GTACAGGCGCCTGTTGCCGCGTCCCAGAGTTTGACAGTCCTATCGTACGACGCTGACGCGAGCGTCTTCGAGTCGTGGGAGAACGCGACCGAGTAGACCGAGCCACTATGCCCCTCGAGCGTTTGGATGCATGCATCCCAATCTAGATTAACTTTCGGCGGTAGAGCAAGCCAGGCGGGAAATTGATCTTGGAATATACTTCGGACGACGCTCTGCATTGGCGCAAATACGATAGCCGAATGGTAGACCTGAAGAGGCGATATATCGATAACAGAGCAATGACTCCGAATGACCCGCCTAGTATCCAAAAGAAACGCCGAGATCTTGTCGCTTCCTTCTTGCTATAGCAAAACAAGTCAGTACATCATCCAAGAGAATAGTCAAAGCAGCAACATACATCAAGCAAGCCCAGCAAGTTGTCCACCATACCGATACTCTCCGAGACCCATCCTAGAATACCCAGCACTTCGAGCCAGTGCAGGAGATGTCGTTTCAAAAAACGGTCGACAAGGTCGCCGTCCCGTATCAGGCACTTACCCTCCTTCCAGTGATAGACCCAATATCGACAGGCATACTGGACGTCGAGCGGCAGGTTGCTGTCGATGATGTTCTGGTCAATATCGGACCGGCGTGTCCCTGGCAGGCGGAGTCCGCAGATGTTTTTCTTGAGTTTATCTTCTGTTGATAGCAGCTCCAGACACCGGACTGCTAGACGTTTATGGGTCTGTCCTTCGTCAACCCAAAATGGGTGCTTCTCTGGATTATTGGCCTTTTCTGGATCGATGAGGAAGTCGCGGAAAGACAAGTGGAATATCCTGACGGGGGATATAGGGGAGGCCTGTACGCTAACGACGGAGTGGAGTGGCTGAAGTCTGCGAATGACGGCCTTCTCAGGTACACCGAGAAGTCGGGCCAAGGGGCGTATTGGGAGCGGTTCTGCTAAGAGCACGATCGCGCCTATGACTGTCCGGAACTCCTTAAGAAGGGATCCCTTGGATGCCTCGGAACCGAGGAGTAATCGGTCAAGAACCGGGCGGTACGTCGCGTCTAGCTTGTCGATCTCGGATTGTTGGGCTCCTGAGCGATACTCTAGTACCTTTGCTAACTGACCATCGGGGTCGCACCATGCCGGATCCCTAATAAACCGACAGATGGTGGCCGCAAAAATAAAGAGCGGAACGGCCATCTCGACAAGGGCCTGAGTGACTTGACAGCCAGGCCAATCCGAGGGGAGCTGTTGGTCGGCGGGATACAAAGCATTATATTCCTTTCGAATTCTTGTGAGCTCAAAGTCCAGAAATGCAGCGATATCGTGCTCGATAATTGGCTTTGGGATTTCGTGCAAGACCAGGTCGTGGTATTTGCCTTCGATGTCGCTGAAGCCGAGTTTGACCGGCAGCTCGGGTCTGCTCGTGAGGAAGGCTTTCAGCGACACCGAACTTAGAGCCTTTGCCTGTGACAACAGGTAGATGATGACTCTAATATCGTCATCCCGCTCGCACTCGTCAAGAGCATCAATCACGAGGACGACTTGTTTGACGTCACCCGTAATGCCCTTCAAACTCCCTAACGGCTTCAAGATAAGATTCTCAAACTGCTCTCTCAATACCTTGCTCGTGACGGAAGGGTCATTCTCGATGGCGGCCCTGACGTGCGGCGCCAGATCAGGTTTTTTGGCAACAAGTTGTGCGGCGATGGTTGTAAACAGCAGGGCTGCGTTACCCCTGTCTCGCTCGCCTCTCTTGAAGAAGAAGCTGGCACCGAGAAGTCCTCGGTCGGCAAAAGTTTGTGCAACCGTTCGTGATATAGTGGACTTCCCAGTCCCTGCCATGCCGTTGAGCCAGAAGATGATCTCGCTGTGAGGATTGTCGGCCCATTTCGTTATACTCTCGAGGAGGTCGGTTCGCGTTCGGGGGTGACAGCGCGCGTCGTGCTCGTCTGCATGAGAATCGAAGGCTGCATTGTTTGCGGTCGGGAGCTTGGAAAGGACGAATGACTGGCCGACATCGAGGACCTGAGTGCTACATCTATGTGAGACTGAAGAATATCGAAAGAGAAATACAGCTATAACTTACACTCCGTCGACAGCGAGACCCGCAGATAGTGTGTCTCGATACCGTTCCAAGTTCTTGATGATATCGTCGATCTCTTTGCTTTCGAAAGGCCACTTGAGAGCGCGAAACCCGATCCGGCTTATCACCTTGCGCGCAGATCCAGGATTGAGCTTCTTCTCCAGCCTCGATCGCAGTTGTGACAGTTGGGAAGAACAGTCGATGAGTCCATTCCGCAGGCCTTGCGAGGTTTGAAGCCTTTTGCCGCTCGGGCTTTCAAGAAGTTGCTGCGCACCTTGCAAAGTCGTTTTCAACCTCTCAAGTTCTCCTTGCAATCTTTCGACATCAGACCTGGTATTCTTGACAGCGGAGGAGTACTGGAAGCAAAGAGATGCGACTTTTGCGGACAGCTCGATCACAGTGATGATGCTCGCTGCGGATCCCACCGCCTCCATGGCGTCACAACCTCGAATGGATCGTCGTCAAGCGAAGTGTCAATTTACGGGGTTGACGAAGCGGTGCTCTCAGATGCGGGGGTATCGTCGAACTGTTGAGTGTGCCCGTGGCTCGTCGGGCGGCCCGACCCAGGCAGCCATGCAGCTTGTGCCGCCAGGCACATGACGCTCCTGGTCGAAGCATCGAGCGAAACGCAATGAACGTGCTTGAAGAAGCGTGGAATACTTGGATTTGTTCTCATCATCCGGTTTACGAACTCAAACAGGTTAAGAAGTCGGACAGACGGCAATACAATATGCTGGAAGGCAGATCGAAGACATCATCAAGCAAGGACCCACATTTGGTGGTCGGAAAACAATCAGCAGTTGTGGAGTATCCAGTCGTTTCTGATTTGTCTACGGATCGCCAAAAGAAGGCGCCAAAGATGGCTTATGCCCCGAGAAATTGTTAGGACTTAATTGCTGAGTACCTCCTCACATCTTGTCAAGCCACACATGCCATAGGCCGACCCCGCACTCCTTAACAAAGTCAACTAAAAGATCAACGACACCCAATTCGCCTTTTACTGTACTTCATCGAATTCAAACCACACGAGGTGGTCCCATCTCCCAAGGTCCTCTGTGTCGTCTACTTCCACCTTGCAGGAACTATGCGATCTGATCCCAACTAAGGTATCCGTACGTATTTCAGCGCCTGACACACCGTCAATCCCGCCAAACTTGTGGAGGCAAGGCTGCATGACTGAACCGCCCGTCCCTTTTCTTGTGTTTCAAAGCCCGGGCTACGTTGCAAATGCAAATAAGCCGGATGGGCTTGAAAAAAACGCGCCGCCTTGCAACCCAGGAAAAGCTGGATTGGGCCGCCTAAGGTACCTTATTTCTACAGCCCAAAGTACGTGCCGCGCCTACAGTCTGGTCTTGCCGTCACGGTTTTCCATTGCTTTTCAACACTATGCCTCAGAGTACCCGTCCACGACGGCAAATGACATTGCGGCTTGTTTGAGCAGCCAAGGGAGAAGTGCCGACTGCTCCTATATGTGGACATGCACGAGCGTTAAAATGCGATCCCTGCGCTCATCCGACGCCAAGACAATTCAGAGCCCACAGCAGGCCCAAACTGGGCCGCCTCGCCAAGCCGCAGCTGGGAAACTTTCGGGGTTCCCACCCATATCGTCCATACACGTAAAAGAACGTGCATATTGCAATTGCGACACTCTCCAAGATTTGGCGGGAGAACGGGCATTGCGAAGTGCAAGCCGTGGGCAGACATCATTTTTGAAGATCATCGCGGGACGCTTGGTGCATCACTAGGCCATATTCACCATGACGAGGCCCCAGATTATTCGCGCTGGTATGTGGATAGTTAGTTACCTCCCCTTCATCTCACCTGCCCCTGGAATGCGCGCCGCCGTGGCTTGGTGGCCCGGGCCCGAGCCCCGGTCGTCTCCCCTGCTTGGGTTCTCTGCCTCACCTTCGGCGCTTTGTGCCCCAGTCTGTGCCGCCCGAGGTTGTCGAACCCGTTCTCTGACACTGCCAGACACCATCGACCTCCAGGCCCACGAGGCGCCGTCCGCCCAAACCCACCACCGCCGGCCGATCCCTGACGGATCGCCCGCTCCACACCAGGCTGAGACGCTTCGCGGAGTTGCGGCGGAGACTGCTGAGGAGCACCTCCAGAGCCCTCGTCTTTCGTGGAATCCCGACCCGGACGATACCCAGCAACGCGCCGCCCTCGAGTCGGCCACCGGCGCCCAAAACGGCACTTTGGACAAGATGCGCGCCGGTGCCCAGCAAGATGCCCTGGCAATTGCCCAAAACGGCGGCCTCACGGCCCAGGACACCGATGACGGCGATCTGGACGGCGACGCTGACGCCGACATGGACGACGACATGATGGACAAGATCTCGAGCTCGCCTTCAATTGAGGATGGTGGGTCAACCTTTGGTCTCCCGACTCTCTATTCGAGCAGCTCAGGCTCCCCAGCGCAGTCACCAACATTGCGTAGCCCCTCGCCTTCGGCCAACGTCTGCGACCCGAGGTTATCTTCACCATACCTCCAAAGTCCTGACCATCTGCCACTGCGGGGTGGGGAGCATAAAGGGCGCCAGTGCGTCGCTTCCGTACAGTCTTCTTTCGTTGCTAGTACACGCCGCCATCATCATCTTGAGGGTGAGTCCGAAGCGAAACCCCAGACGAGGACGACTCTCTCGACGAAACCCGCAGTCTCTTGGACGACTTTGACTTTGACCACGGTCTGGGATGGGCAGACGAGGAGGTGGAAGACCGTTCTCGGCAGCTGAAGGAGCGACAAACCGAGCATCGACAGCATCGGGAGAAGACAGCGTATTGACGAAGGAGAGCGAAGCGATGACGATATCGACCTGGCGATACCATACGAAACCGATGAAGATGATGATGGCGACTTGTTCGGACTTTTTGACTCTAGATTCATCGACTCCGGCTGGGGTGGCGAGTGCTTACAAGATGCAGAGGACATCGACTTCGATTTCGTCTATGCCCTCCACACCTTTGTGGCAACGGTCGAAGGGCAGGCCAATGCGACAAAGGGAGACACCATGGTTCTCCTCGACGACAGCAACAGTTACTGGTGGCTAGTACGGGTCGTCAAAGACAGCAGCATTGGTAAGTACAGTTGGACACCGTCAGACATTGAATGCTCATGGTGGTTGCTGTCCAGGGTACCTGCCAGCAGAGCATATCGAGACGCCGACCGAAAGGCTAGCTCGGTTGAACAAGCACCGGAACATAGATGTAAGCCGGGAGAACAGGGTTATTGAGGGAACTACTGTTGTTAACGCGGCCCAGCTCTCTGCGACTATGCTAGGAGACCAGCCTGACAAGGCACGAAATACGATCAGGTCCGCCATGAAAAGGAGAAAGACCAAGACGGTTCAATTTGCCGCTCCTACCTACGTTGACTACTCAGATATTGATTACTCGACCGAGGAAGAGGATGCCGAAGGCAACATGTTTGCTCAACAGCAGCAGGCGCAGCAGACACAACAAGCACAACAATCCGCTGGCGACTCGGAGATGGAAGATGAGACAGCGAAGGTGGAACCTCTGAAACCGAGATCGCAGCAAAAACAAGCCAAGGCCGAATCGAAGCGGCAAGATGTTGGTGGTGCCACTGACTCGTCGAACACGAGCAAGACTGTGTCCCGAGTTGTGGATGAGGTTTCAGAGGTCAGAGTTGATGGGCCGAAGAAGACGAGCAACGGAACCGTTCGGGATTCGTTCTTCAAGGATGACACGGTTGAGACCAAGAAGATCACGCTTACCCCGAATCTGCTTCGTGACGACAACGACCCACGAACATCGAGCGAGTCCAGGGAAGTCAAGCACCGCCCCAGCCTGGACAAACTCGACAAGGACGGTATCTTCAGCAAGGATGAGAAGAAAAAGAAGAAGGATAAGGATAAGGATAAGAAGCAAGGCGGTCTGCGGGGCTTCTTCTCCCGGAAGGATAAGAAGTCGAAAGGAGAGGATGACGACGATTCCTTGGGTAAGCGGTCAATGGAGGCAGACCCGCCGGAGAAGGATATCGAGGAAGACGAATCACAGGCACAGGCGGAGAAAGCCGGTCCTCAGAGGCAGACGAGCAAGTTGCAGAAGCCGCAGCCCAGGAGCGAACCGCCACCGAATGGGAAGTCCAACAGCACCAGAGAAAACGGCATCGACGTCAAGACTTTCTTGTCCGAAGGGCGGGTCAACAACGTCGCGAATGTTCCTCCAGTGTCGATGCGTGTGGTGGAATCAAGCCCGAAGCCGTCCCTGGAGACGAGTCCCCGCGATCAGAGGCCGGATCGGGACCCGTCCACAGGCAAAGGCGCCTCATCCAAGAACCCAAGAGCGGCGTTACGGCCTGCAAAACCCTCCGCAGCACAATCTCGTGCGGAGCTTGAGCTCGAGGAATTGGACTCAGATACGGAAGAAGACGTGACCGAGCCAATACGACAGGCACACGTGCCCGCAGAAGCTGTCCGGCAGCAGCCAGCACAGGCTGCGCAAGGCGCTACTCCAGCAGTTGAGCAACCGGCACTAGCCGGGGCGCAGGCAGCGAGCAGAGCGCCTGCGGTCAGCATTCCGCCCCAGCAAGCCGAGCGGCTCTCTGAATCGCCCGTGCAGGTGTCACCAGTCAACAGCAGCAACCCGCCGCCGCTGATGGTGGACAACTCGAACCAGGAAGAAGAGCGGTCTACACCGTCGCCCGAGCTGATCGAGCACGAGGACGCGGATCCGGCCGGCCCCAAGCCCTCGACGACTCCGTCGACGGCGAGGTCCGAGTCGTGGGATGATGTCAGCTTGCGCGCCTTCTTTGACTCGGGATCGGATATCCGTGATCTGTTGGTTGTGGTGTACGATAAGAACAATGTCGAACCCGTAGGGTCGGATCACCCTATTGCGGGGTCTCTGTACCGGGAGCAGAACGCCAAGTTGGCTGAGATCACGACGGTGAGTCGCGCTCTTCTCTGGAGTGATGAATTTGGCGCTGGATGCTGACGATATGCTTATAGCGGCTTGACGACATGCTTGGGGACTGGCTTGCCCGTAAGCAGAGACTCAGGGGCACCGTCTGAAGTTCCGTGACGCTGCCGGTGCTCACAATTTTACTCATCCTTGGATTATATCGCCCACTCTTGCGATGAGCAACACTCGTCCTTTGGCGGCAGTTCTCACGCATTACGACTTGACGCATACTTTCCCTTTTTCTCTTACTCTCAATCTTCTTACTCCCCGTATGGTTTGTGGATTGGGTGGCTTTTGGGTGGTACTCTGGAATACAGCAACACCGCCCCCTCGTGACTGGCAGGCCGGTTATCGACTGGAGTCGAGTTTGGTTAGGCAATTGATGTAGACGTTGGGCCTGGTTCTCAGGGCTGAAACCCTGGGGGAACCTACACTGACATGGTAAGCAGACCATGGTTCATTCTTCTCACTGGTGTCTCATACTATTCATGACGATGTCAACGATACCCTTTAAACAAATTATTTGGTTTGACTTGACACCTGCTGCTTGTTGACAGGGGGACGCTGATTCTTTTGGGTTTGTAATTATATGAAAACTGTCGTCTTGGCACACGCACAGCGACAGCTTGGCCTCGGTAACTAATACGGTACTTCGCCGTTTACCTTATTGTGTGCTTTGCAGAGGGAGGATGCCGAAGAAGGAGAGGACATGCAGGCTTCTTTCCTCGTCCTTCGCACATGCTACGACATCCGTATGTCTTCCGGCTGTGGCATCAGCAGTCTGAGCGTGTGTGCCTGCAAGGCCGTTTCAGCTTTTCAACCAATCTTGGCAGTGTAAAATACTGCTGCGGGGATTCCGAATTTACCTTGATTCCTAGGTTAAGTCAGAGTTGTGGTCCGTATAAGGTCCGTTCTACTCTCTCACGCTGATATCGATCCATCATTTCTCCTTTGAACCATCGTATCGGCACTGGAATTGAAGGAAGTGCACACAAAGCTTTTCACAATGGTCTCTCTCGTCGGTCTCGGCTCGACCAACTGGTCGTACTATACGGTAAGCACCCACCATTTTGCTGTAAATTGCCGATTTAGAAAGACTGATACGGTCTCTGTAGATTCCTGTCGCGTTCATCTTGTGCATGGTTCCGCATGCCTACGCCATCAAGTTGGCAGGCAAGAACTACGATGTGGGAAAGTAAGAGGCTGCCACCACATTGCAGTAAACCTTTGAGCCTCGCTGCTGTGGCAACTGACAAGCTCTTGGCCCCAGCCCTCGCAAGACGGTAGAGCACTGCGCCAAGGACACCTCCCTAGACAAGGTGGTATGTCAATACAATATACCCTTTTCACCCATCCCGCACAAAGCCTTCCAACCAGAACTAAACATTGGAAATCAGACGGTCCGCCGCATCTCCCGCGGAGAAGCGGCCACGGCCAACGGCTTCGAGACGCTCGGCCTGTACGCTGCCGGCGTCGTGGCGGGCAACGTTGCTGGTGTCGCCGCCGAGCGCATGAACCAGCTGACGCTGGGCTACCTGCTGTCGCGGGTTGTGTATTCCTACATCTACGTGGTGCTGCAGGATAATTCCAGGTTCGCGGGCCTGAGATCGCTGGTTTGGATGGCGGGTGCTGGGCTCATCATGGCGCTCTTCGTGGCGGCGGGCCAGGCGTCGAACTAGATGATTTGTCTGCCGTGTTTGGCAACAGCTTCAGAGGCACCTTGTAGCGGCCGGCTTGCGGAATCGTCATGTCTTGGAATCTAACTTGAAGAAGCCCAGTAGATCTTATCTCTCTATACCCCCGGACTCAACACCCCTGGCCTCACCTCCTACGCTAGACGGCGCATTAGCGAGTTTGACATGGGACGTGAGAAACAAAGCGTCAAGAACTTACCAGGCCCGCCAATCGTGGTGGTAATGGTGCCGTTTTCAATGTAGACACCCGAGAAATAAAAGTCCTCGTTGGTGTCCGGGTACCCCGACCGCGGCAGCTCCAGGACACCCAAATGCCAGTCCGCGCCGTTGGACGACGTCGACACCGAGACGGGAGCGACGACCTGCTTCAGGGGCTCGGCGCCCTCCGAATGCCAGAATCCGGCCTTATTGGCCGAGAAGTCCTAAAGCAGCGATACACACTGGATGTCAGTTTCTCCCCTTCCACGACTCGATGACGCCACAACTGACAATCTCATAGGCAATATTGTGCCACACGCCGGCCTTCCACTCCGTCTTCCAGCGGCTCTGCTGGTTGGTCATCCACTGCAGGTTGGGATTGCCGGCCCCCTGCTCGCCGCTGATCCAGCCGTACTTCATCTCTGTGAAGTGGCTCTCAAAGAAGCAAATCTGGTGCTCGCGGTTGACGCTGGGCGGGTTGGTGTCCCGGCGCATCATGCTGAAGTGGTAAAACACCTTGCCGCGGTTGATGGCGGCCTTGGTCTGCGGGATGAGCTCGATGCGCCGCATGTTCTGCCCGTTCCAGTAGGCCGTGCTGTCGAGCGTGAACCTGGCGCCCTGCTTGGACACGCTGTCGGCCGGATTCTTGTAGTCGGGCGACAGGTTGATGTACCTCTCGACCGAGCCCGAGCCGTGGATGTAGTACTGGTAGGGGCCGACCTGATTCGCCCACGACCACTTGTTGAGGTCGGCCGACGAGGTAAACTCATTGAAGCGCCCGTCCCAGAGCACAGCGCCGTCGACCGAAACCGCGAGGGCGGCGAGCAGTGTAGCAGCCTTCATTGTAGGGATTCGGCGTGTGGAGCGACTATGTACAGAAAAAGCGGTTGAGCTCAGGGGTAGCGGCAACCAGGCCAATGTGAGCGTGAATTGTATGACCGCGCCACAGAAACAAAGTCACCTGGCTGTTGGTCTTATTATACAAATCCTGTCTTCCATTCTCACTATTTGCTACTCACCGCCGAAACCCCCATGGTGTGAGATTAAGTGCATTGAATCCACCCCATATTGGGATCTGTACGCAGAACAATTACTCCGGTATATACGAGAGGCATTGCGGTCCGTTATTATACGACTCGTAACTGCCATTGCGGATGCGAGCCTCCGAACTCTGGGACAAGCCCGGATCCATCATGGGCGTTGAGGCATGCTGAGTTTAGCCTGTAGCATCAACCGTCATCGCCGTCATTGGAAAACCCACAGCGGCGTTCCGTATGTAGAGAGATAATCTGGATTGGGAGAAAGCAAACGGCCGAGACAATCCCACAATTAGAGAGGTAATACCACATACCTCTTGGTAAGAATATCAGGCCGCATAGCTGAATCCCAGCATCAAGGATCTTAGCCGAGTCTCGGCCGGAATACTGAAGTCAGCGAGGGGTAAACAGACCACACTGATAGTTCTACATCTTAAACAGCAGAGATAAAACGACGAGATCGCGGAGTCTCCAGCTCGCAGAAGATAGTGAACAGACCGGAAGCCCACCTCTATCACACCAGCCGCTGAATTCAACCCTAAGCCAACGTGAGGATGAACATAACACTAAACAGGAACCATACATGCCTACCGAGGTCCTAAAAGCAATGATATTCTACGAACAGATAATTCCTGTAAGCAATGCAACTGGAAGGTCCAATCTCTCACGCCATCCAACTCCCAATTCAGTCCGATCCAATCCGAAAGCGCTATATGCCTCCCTCAACACACAGTAAACCGAGATTCCCCGAACGAACCCCGGCAGTGTTCTTGCCCATCCGCACTGTACAACCAACAAACCCAAAGACGGCACACGTCTATCCAGACATCTCTTCCCAGAACTTCAATATTCCATCCCCCCAAAACTCTTATTCCTCACCAACGCCGCCCGCTCCAAGCTCGCCCTCGGCAGCTGTTCGTGCGAGCGCGTCCTACTATGCGCCGTACTGGGTCTGCTGCTGGCCTCGCCGTCCTCGACCGCGCACATGACGTCCACGGGCGCGCCAGCATCGTCCCGGATGCGATGAATGAAGAAGGCCGACACGAGCACCGAGATGCCGCCTAACGCCAGCACGATGGCGATGCTGTGATCCCCGGGAACGCCGCGGGGCTTCTGGAACATCTTGAAGATGATGCTGCTGATGACGGTGGCGATGATTTGCGGCGCCGCGATGGCCATGTTGTGGATGCCTAGGATGACGCCCGCCTGGTCGGATTCTTCTTCGTCGGACGACTCCCGGTCTCGGTTATCGTCCTCTAGCGAGTAGCCGTCAAGAGGGTCTTCGGCGCGGCCGCTGGGAGACAGATTGCGCTGGGCAAACTGAGCGCGACGGAGCTCGTCTCGGCGCGAAATCTCGGCGCTGATGATGGCCCAAGGAGCCCAGAGGGTCAAAGCCCATGTGATGCCCACGAGGCCGATGAGGACCGTGGCGGCGGTGACGGTCCGCACGAAGACGGTGCAGAGCATGCTGGCCGTGAAGAGGATCTGGGAGAACATCCAGGCGCGGCGGAGTGTGAAGCCGGGGATGACCAGGTAATCGAGCCACGATTTCTTCTCCTCGTCATAGTCTTTGAGGGAACCGGGGGCTTCTCCAGGCGCACCAGCAACCACCGAGCTTTGCGTCTCGTAGGTGGGCTCGATGAAGAAAGGAAGGAAAACGTTGGTTGCTAGACTTATGATGGCGAAGATGAGCAAGGCAAAAGTACCCTCCCGCGTAGCATTCTCGTAGAGCTTGTCGAGCTCCTCGGGGGTCATGCTGGGGTTCTGCTCAAGGTAGGGCTCTGCGTAGATCTCGCCGATGTAGGCCGATGTGTAGAAGAGCATGGGGAAGAAGCCGATCCAGGCGCAGAACTGCACCTGGCAGACCTTTTTGGTCTGGGGAGGCAGCCGCTTGATAGAGGTAAAGATCTTGCCGAAGAAGGCCAGAACGCCAGGCTTGCCAGCCGCCGGATGGCCCTCCAGTCGCGGGTCCCTTTCGCGGATGAATAAGCAGCTCAGGAGAACAGTGACGCCAAGTACAATACTGGCGATGGCGCAGAGATCTTTGAACTGGGACTCTCCGAAGAACCAGAGGATAGCGGGTAGATTCATGTAACCAGCGAGGTAGCCAACAATATTTCCAAGGCCCACGAAGCGGCTTGCCATGGCATTTGCGCTCTCTTCATCGCAGCATGTTAGCGTCCCGTTGAAAGTGCCAAAAAGAGAGAGTATCTGACCTTGTTGGTGTGTCGGCGCGCAGTCTACGATGAATGCACGAATCGCTGCCTGCACTGTTGTGGGCTGTCAGCGCCGAAATGACGGCCAACACGTTTCCCTTCTAGTAGCCCTACCTGTGTTGATTGCAAAGTCCAGGACATAGACCCAAAGCACGGCGACGACTATGACCGAGTATTTGACAACATCCGAGTCTGGAGCTGCCCCAAAGAGGCCAAGGAATCCGCCAACGATCTCCTTGGTCCAGGCAAGGAACATCAGCGAGACGATGGTCGCAACGGCGCCCCCAATCATGAAAGGCTTGCGCTTTCCCCATCGTATGCGGCAGTTGTCGCTCAGCATGCCGACGTATGGCTGCACCAAAGTCCCGGACAGCGGCCCGGCGATCCAGACCAGGGCCATGAGGGACTTGCTGATGCCCAGAGACAACAGATAGGGCGAGCCGTTGGACATCTCGACGGACCATGCGATTTGCAAGCCGCCAATGCTGATGGTCAGGAGGATGATGTACCAGAGGCTCTTAGTCTTCTGGTGCTCGTCATCAGCACTCCCGGGGCCAGCACTCCCAGGATGGGGGCTGTCCATCAAGCCCTCGTCCTCGCCCGAGCCGGAGCTTGGGGACAGCAAGGGCGACTGCTCGTTGAGCTCAGCATGGGCTTGCTGCTGTTGTTGTTGTTGTTGTCCATGTCCGTTTGGTCCATCTCGAGAACCGTCCACTGTGTTTTTGGTGTCCTTGCCCGTCGTGTTCGACGGCGGCGTCTGGTCGTCTGCGCGGCGGGCCTGTTCCGGAAGTCCTGCTGATGACGACGTCATGCGAGGCAGAGGATGAAGCAGATATGCTTGTCGCAAAAAACAGGACGTTAAATTGAACCAAGCAACCCGTAGGGGGGTATCGGCGTCGTTTACTTGGGGTTGTACGATGCTCGGATTTCAGCTTCGGATGCAAACGAGGTAACTTTAACGTTGCAGGTTGTGGACGGGAGGCGGTTGGACGAGGCCTGGGCTCGCCCACTGACTCGTGACAGCTCGGTGCCTTCGAAAGATTGGAGCAGGGGAAGCTATTTCAATGATTGAGATGACTATCGGGCTGAATTCTAGTTTATGTTTTATCGGTCGGCTTTGATGCCAGGCATCAGCCGGTCAAGCAAGGGGATGCCACGAGACCGTCGTCATTCGGTTGGACCGAGAGCTGCAGGGTGTGGGTGCCGTCGCAAATCGACAGGACGGTCCAGTCACAGTAGGGCTGGGATAAAAGAGACAGAAAATGAACCAAAAAAAAAAAAAACAGAAGAGATGTATGTAGGGTGCAAGCAGCCTGGTGACAGTTGCTAGGAGCGTAGGACAGCGAACAGTTGCGCAAGGAGGATGAAGACGAGGCGGCGCAAGTCTGACATGGAACATGAGGGCTGAGAGATGTCGGACACTGGTGACACCCGCGTGCCATACAAGCAGGGGCTGGAGCTGGAAGAGCTGCCCTGGTTGTGCATGCTCCTAGCGTACGGCCCCACTTTCTCCAGGGTTCCATTTTGACCCACTTGAAGTAAGGTAAGCGTCCGGCGTCGATTGGTCCCTCGTCGCCCTCTGTGGGCCCGCGACCTTGGTGGGCTGTTGAGCCATGATGGACGGGAAAGTTGGCGACTTCCATTTCCATCCCTTATGCAGATAGCGATAACCAATGCGCGCCATCCAGCCAGCCATTCCAGGGTAGAGACTCAGGCGTTTACCGACGCTACCAATCCATGCTCAGATTCTGGTTGCGTCCTCTCAACATATTGTTTATTCTCAGTCCGCCTATCGCAGCGCCCAGTAGCGGGTGACGGGCCAAGCCCGCGCGACCTCGACCATGTTTGCGCAAACCATCGCCAACACGTTGGTGGGGCTTGCAGGTATGCCGTCACTTTCAAATACCACTTGATCACAGATGGCAGACGCTGACATGGTGTTACAGGGAGGGATGAAGAAGACCCAGCCGGTATGCCCAGAGAAACAAACACACCACGAACCCAACCCACCACGAACACGCGCACGAGCTAACTGGCGGCCGCAGGCGAGGATCCCACGAAGCCGGAGAACAATGCACAATGGGCCATTTTTATCCTGATGATGCTGCTTATTGTGGCATTCTGCACAAGCTACACCATGCAGCAGAGGAAAATCACGGCCATCCACGAAACCGTCGTGTCCATCTTTGGCGGTATGACAGTTGGCTTGATGCTCCGAGTGTCGGGCTTCGACTCGATCCGTGACCTTGTCAACTTCAACTACCAGATCTTCTTCAACCTCCTCTTGCCGCCAATCATTCTCTCGTCCGGTTACGAGCTCCACCAGGCCAACTTCTTCCGGAACATTGGCACCATCTTGACATTTGCCTTTGCCGGCACCTTCATTTCCGCCGTGGTCATTGGCGTGCTCTTGTGGCTCTACACGGCCATTTCCCTCGAAGGTCTCGACGTGACATGGATCGACGCCATCTCGGTTGGTGCCACCCTCTCGGCCACAGATCCTGTCACCATCCTCGCCATATTCAACACCTTCAAAGTTGACCCAAAGCTGTACACCATCATCTTTGGCGAATCCATCCTCAACGACGCCGTCGCCATTGTCATCTTCGAATCGGCCAAGAGTGCGGGCAGCAAGGGAGGAGGGATCGGCATCTTGAGTCTTTTGCACGGTATCTGGTTTTTCCTGTCCGAGTTCTTTGGCAGCTTGGCCATCGGCGCCATAGTCGGTGTCCTGACCGCGCTGGGCTTGAAATACACCTACGTCAGGCGGTACCCGCACATCGAGAGTTGCTTAGTGGTGCTGATTGCCTACGCAACCTACTACTTCGCCCAGGCCATCGGCATGTCTGGTGCGTGCCCCCCCGAGAAACGTCGGATACCAGACGATAGGCTGACTTCCTCACAGGCATCGTCGCCCTCCTGTTCTGCGGTATCACGCTTAAACACTACGCCTACTTCAACATGTCCCGCCGGACCCAACTGACCACAAAATACTTCTTCCAAGTTCTCGCCCAGCTGTCTGAAAACTTCATCTTTATCTACCTTGGTCTGGCCCTCTTCACCGAGAAGGATCTGGTTTACCAGCCGCTTCTCATTATTGTCACCGTCCTCGCAGTGTGCGCCGCAAGATGGCTAGCCGTGTTCCCCCTGTCCAGAGCAATCAACTGGTTTATCCGCTACCGCGCCCGCCGCCAAGGTCGCGAAGCAGCCGAGGAGCTGCCCTACAGCTATCAGGCAATGCTCTTCTGGGCTGGCCTGCGCGGTGCAGTGGGCGTCGCCTTATCAGCCCTCTTCGAAGCCAAAGAAAAAGCCGCTCTCCAAGCCACCGTCCTTGTCGTGGTGGTCCTCACGGTCATTATCTTTGGCGGTACCACAGCCCGCATGCTGGAGATACTGGGTATCCGCACGGGCGTCACCGAGGAGGTCGACTCGGACGACGAATTCGACATTGAAGCCATTGGCGGCGGGCTGTACAAGCGCTCTGACACAGCCATCGGGTATAACCCCCGCGCCGGCGGTCGCGGCTCGGTCCTACCGCTTGCCAGCGTTGGCAGCCGCAGTGGAAACGGGCACGCGGCAAGCGGGAGTAGGAACAACGGCTGGGCGTCCGGGCACAGGTCGCCGAATACGGCCCCGCATCGGCAGGATAGTCGAAGTCGCATAGCCAAGAAGGGTAGTGTTGGTGGCGGTGGTGATGAGTTTGAGAGGTCCGAGTTGCTGGGCGTGGCATCGGGGAGTAACACCGACTCGGAGTTTGGGAGCGACATCGATATCTCGGATCTCCCGCCTCCGGCGCCTGTTCCGAAGAGTAGGTCCAGCCCGGTCCATTCTGACCAAGGGAGCGGGTCGAGTAGACAACGTGGGGCTGGAGAGGCGGCGAGCACTGGCCAGCAGCCAGCGCAGCCGCTGACAGCTACCGCTGCTATCCGGCAGCTGTTCAGTACTGAAGACCCCAGCGCGCTGTTTAGGCAGTTGGATGAAGACTTTATAAAACCGCACTTGTTATTGGACGGCGGGAATGGGAGGGGCGGGGGTTCGGGGTCTCATTGAGCGGGCTAGTCTCTGCTGGTTTGTTTCTGGGTGGAGGTTGTTTTGAGTATGAATGTACAACATGCGGCTGGCATTGAAGGGACCTTTGGGCGGAGTTTGGGCGCTGGGTAGAAGAGGCTTAGAACCTTACGTGTAACGCTTTACATTGTTTCGGTGCCTCTACCGTTTCAGTGCCACATGCAGATCTGGAATGATTCCTCTACGTCGAGTTGGAATCCTGCAATGGCAGGCTCGGGCGTTGGCCTCAGCTGTATGTTGAACCTTGATCACAAAGCCATCCAATTGAACACGAAGGGGTTTAACCGTAAGCTAAGACAAAGATTCATCATCGACACAACCGGGCTCAGAAATTTCGAGACGCTAGCTATGTATATTATTACCTCTTTGCATCCCCTGAAGCACCAGGCTTCCGAGGTGCGACCCGTCTATCTCAAACTTTCTCCTCTGTGAGCAGCTTCCAAGCCCATTCGGACATGCTAACCCATCTTCCCCAACCCCGCAACAACCTCGTCCACCCGCCTCGGCTTCTCCTCGTCATCCATCATCATCCCAAAACTCTGCTCGCTTGGCGGGTTATGGATCCCCGGAATCCCCGGGTTTCCAGGTGCCTGCGCGACAATCAGACCACCCGCCGCCTGGTCCGCTGCTCCCCGCTGCTGCGCCCTCCTGATCCGCCCCGTCTGCTGGTCCACCCACGACCCGACACTCCGGAACCGCGCCGGCCTGTCCTCGCTCGTCTCCGTGTACACCGACTCCCTGTTCCCGCGGCTGCTGGCGCCCGTGCTCCGGCGAGTTGGAGAGTGTTTCTGGCTTGTTAGTTCTTCCTGTTGCGGCTGGGACATCCACGAGAAACGGGCGCTGTATTGCTGAGGGCTATTGGACGTGGAGCCGGGCACGGCTGTTGGTGCGGGAGGCGCGACGAGAGAGTCAGTGATGTATATGCCGTCGACGTCTCCGAACCCTGACGAGAGGGACGAGACTTCGCTTGTGACGTGGCTCGGTTGGCGGTAGATTGGATTGTATTGGGCGGGGAACTGCTGGGCCAAGAGGGGCTGGTTGTAGTATGAGACGGGGGACACTCCATTTTGTAGGGGACTTGCTGTGTTAGGGTTTGCTATGATGGCGCCGAAGTGAGCTGCGTTGGTGGAGCTGAAAGATTGCTGGGGCTGGTGGGCATAAGGCGACGTGTTGGTCATTAGCGTGATATGGGGTCGGTTGGCTGCCTTGTGCGTGTTTTCCGGGTGGATCGGTGGTTGGTACATGTCGGTCTGCCTCACGCCCGGTCTAGGGACAACGGCGACGTCAGAGGCATTATGCGGCCATGGCTGCTGCGAGAGCTGCTGCTTCTGAACCACATCCGATCTGAACAAGCCTTCCACGGATGGGATACTGGCACTCCCCGGTTTCTCTCTGTAGCTTGGTGGAAGAGATGTCGTATCCGTTGTGTCGTCCAAGGTATGCCAACCTCGCCTCCTAAGGAAAGGAATCCTGGAGATAACGCCGCTCGGAAGCCCCCCAAAACGGCCACTACTTTCATCGCCGTTCCTTGATTTCTTCATTGACCGCCATGCCATCCAGACGATAAAGCACACCAGAATGAAGCCTCCTGATTGAGCTGTTAGTGTTTCAAGCTCAATGTTCTGAGAATCGCAGGGAGACAAACCTATTGAACCCACCGAGATGAGTACGCGCTCAGCTGTTGGATCCATGCCAGCACTTGACACCTCGAAGCGGCCGACCGCACCGCCGCCACCGTTGTTATCGTTGTCCATCGGGCCCCCGGTTGGAGGAGCATTGGGCGGTGGTGTTGGGGTTGGCCCTGGCGATACGGATGACGCAACTCCAGAGGAAGCGTCGGGTGATTCAAGATATTGTCCTGATCCAGAGAGGTTCGCCGATCCTCCTACATCGCTAGGCTTCATCAAAGGAATGAAGGTGGTGGCAGTTGGATTGGCCTGTTCATGATTAGAGACGGTGGGTATAACCAGAAGTGCGGTAGCGCTCACCTCGCCGGTTGGGCTCGGAGTCACGGCAGACTGCAGCAGAATCACGCCTGGATTGATTGTGCCGGAAACCTCGGCTGTTGTCGAGACGGTGACATCTGAAGATGCGACAATCTCTGTGGTCGTAGGTTCCGGTGATGCGGATAATGCAGAGGTCGACGATGGGATTGTTTCAGCAGATTCGCCAAGTATTGAGCCGCTGCTGTCGCCTCCGTTGCTGCCATTTTGGTTCCGTCCAGAACCGTTGCCAAACTTGTTTCTGTTCCCATCCCCATTACGGTTCCCGTCACCGAACCTGCTCCCATTCCGGTCCCCGCTCCCATTGCGGAATCTGCCCCTATTACCGTTTTCATCTCCATCTCGATTTCCGTCGCCATTGCCATTACCATTGCGGAAGAACCCCCCACCTCTCCCATCGCCATCGCCGCCGCTGCCGTCACGACTACCATCGCGATTGTTGTTGTTGAACCCGAAGCGGCTGCGGCCGTCATTATCAGGGTCACCCCCTCCCCTATTTTGACGGCGATATATGGAGCTTCTCCGCAGTAACTGAGGCATCTCGGCTATCCATCCCGGCACTGTAGCTTCCGAGCGAGTTCTTGAAGGAGCCATTTCGTCCGCTGCTGGCTCTGGCAGACTAGGGGGACATCTGGGAGGTGGGCAGCACTGATCGGGTCAGGATGCCCAGTGGAACGGTATGCGAGAAGTCATGAACAGGAAGTTCGTGTATGTCTGAATTGGCCGTGTTGTCGAGACCGCTGTATGCGGCAGTGATACTATTCCGAGATATGAAGTGGCTGTCGACAAACAAAGGTATTATTAGACGAGGATAAATATCATGGAAACAGACACAGAGCCGTAGCGAACAGAAAAGCAGAAGAAAAGAGAAAGCGAGCCGGGGAGCCGGCCCCATCGAGCGGATTAGAAGAGAAGAACAGACGATCAGGAGAGGAAGAATGTGTCAAGGGACGAGCTTCACCCCAAACCTTGCTGGACTGGTCGCCTGCTGTCAGGGCGCATGAAGGACGGGCCAGGCTCCCACAATTGAGTGCATCTGAGACGGGACGAGCAACTTTGTCAGCCATCCTGAAGTACGGAGCTGCACAGGAGGACACGGGACGGAACGCGAGGGCAAGGGTATGGATTTCTGTCACGACTTCCGGGGTTGGATCCGCGAGCTGGGGAGGCCTCACAGATCTCGGATCCAGGTCTATGTCAGCAGTGGTCAGCAACGCAAACGGGGGGCGAGCTCTAAATCGAATCGAGATATAATCCAGTGACGTGTGACCTTTGAGGTGGTCTTGCTGCCATCAAATGGCGAGGTGCGCTAGGCATTGAGCGGCCACGGTCTAAGAGAACTTCGTTGCTGCAGTTTCTGGGGTATCGACTCTCCCGCCTGGTGAGACTCGGCCCAGCTGCACCCATAATTCGCCAAGCCGTTCACGACAGGAGAAAGGGTGAAGAATTCCGGCAGGCTATCTGGTTGCTGAGCCGCAAGAGCGCACAGGCCGACGCCAATATGTGAGGGTCGAGAAGGTTGGGGTGCTCCAGACAGGGGAACAAGGGTCCAACGTCTCAGCTGTATCGAGAAGACGTTTCAGGCGCGAAGGGAGGATTTTGACAGCAAGTCTTGATCGCTTCGATGGCCCGGTGAGGCGAGATGAAGGCCGTGCTATTGAATGCGACCCGGCGAGGGATCTTTGATTTGAGAATCGACTATCGGCTGCCTTTGCGGTTGTCGGTCTTGTTTGCCGACTCGCTGCCGCCGTCAGTTGAAGTCGCAAGCAGGAGCGTAGCCAAGCAGCCCATTGCAGAATGCTGGGCGGATTTTTGCCAAGAGGAAAAAGTCACGGCACCGCATCGCTCAGCTCTTGCTCGGTCAGCAAACAATGAGCTAACTGTTCCCCTTGAGGGGGGGCAGTCGTGCGGTGCCTCGGCAACTTCATGCTTTCGCACTCATCACGCATGTCTCGGTATAGTAGATCGGTCGCGTGAGAAATCCCAGACCGAAAATCCCGAGACTCGGAAACACGCGGCACGACACTCTCGAACTTCTTGATTGACTGGACCGGTGTTGCGGTGATGGGGGGATGTGCATTGGATCGTTTTGAGCCGAAAACTGGCAACAGTTCCGAGGGCGTTACTGTGTATGTATGCAGTGCCGGACTGAGACGAGTAACTATTCGTACTGCGTAGTGAAATGGGCTCGCAGTTCGATTCCCGCAAATCGTACAGTAATGCGGGCGGACAGCATGGCGCAGTCGAGCCATACGCCTGCGTCAGAGCTCAAATCGATGTCTGATCCCACAAAGATTCAGCCGGAGCCCAGACCGGTCCGACAGACTAATAGGTTGCGGTTTCGAACCCCGCGTTTTCCCCAGTATCTTTGATATTTCGGTAATGTTGAACTTTCCCGGCGCTGTTCTGTACCACGGTAGATTTTGGCGACGACAAATTGTGAACTGGACTATGGAATTTCGGACGATCTGGGGCTTTAAACAACTGAAGTTCCCGTCCGGTTGTTCGAACTGGCTGAAGACGGCTTTAGAGGAATCCCCCGGGAGCGGCCTGCCCGGTCCGGGCTTCGGGCCTCGGCCGGTACAGGCCCGGCCCCGGGTGCTGCGCAGGGTCTGTGCGTGGTTCCCGGGAAATTGGGAATGCAGAACTTCTTCGCCGGACCGCCACATGCTGATCGACTTGGCAGCATGTGCCGGCATGAGGATGCTACCTTGCACGCCAACGGCACTAAAAGGTGTCACACGGGTACACGTGTACGGATCCGTAGCATGTATCTTATGGGCCCGCGGCCTGTCGGATTGGTTACATGTGATATTGGGTTCGTCGGACGTTGCTCAAGAGACAAACACCTTCCGAGAATCAGGTGTCCTGAAGTATCGGCACCTTCAAACCATGTCGAAAAACTCGGATCCTACAACCACTGAAGCAAATTGGGAAACTTTAACAAAATACCAGATGACAGATAGCGCACATGATTGGGACGCCAGTGAGGGCAGAGCCTTGTTACCCTTTGTTTGCTGTTCCAGACTATAGATCCGAGTCAGACCAGAGAGGAGGCGGGTTTCCGAATGTGGGAGCTGGGGCGCCTGCTGCGCGTTTGCAACTGCCCAAACTGAGAAACCCTGCCCTCGTCTGCACTATGCATGCTGTCCGTACCAATTGTGACTGGAAATGACTCTCTAGTCGGGCGGGCTCCCGCAACCGGAGTTCAGCACACTACCCAAGTGGATGAGAACAAAAACCTCAAAGTCAGACAGATATGTCTGTCGTTATGACGAAATCCTGGCGGCTGGCTTGGCTAACACAACGGTGGGGCACTCGTGGGGGCAATGCTGTCGTTTGAGTGGCTACCAAAGAAAGCGCGCGAATAGGATAAAGCGCGCGTGGCGGGTAAAAACGAGACATTGACCAGGGCCGGGAAGCTCCCAGCTCCTTATCTTAGTCACCGAGTATCAGATTTGAAGTTTGCGCCGCCATCTCACACAGAAAACGAGCCACTTTTCTGCTCAGAACCGCAAACATCTTCTTCTGACCTCGACCAGTACGGAGGTAGTGGCCGTCCTTCTATACGCCATTCCCTCCTCACCAGGTATTTTCGCCGTCTCCTTGTCTTCCACGCTCGCCAATTGAGCCATGGCGACCTCGTCACGAGCTCTTAGCAAGCTCGCGGTGCCCCAAGTGGGTGCTGTATTGCTACAATCTCAAACCGCACCTCGATTGTTCCTCCAGACATCACGCCGAACCATTGGCGCACGACCCGTCTTCGGCAGCACACAAGGGCCTGTTTCGAGACAGTTCCGGCGCGGCATCTCAGACGATGCTGCCCCCGCCCCCCTGCCCAAGAAGCGGCGGTTCCGGGTATTAAGATGGACCTGGCGCTTGACTTATCTCTCAGCCATCGCCGGTATCGCATACATTGGCTACGGCGTCTACCAGGACAGGCATCCGGAACCCCAGGTTGAACCCGACCCGTCCAAGAAAACGCTCGTTATCCTCGGTAAGCCTTCCTCACTCCCACTGCCCCCAAACACTTGACATGTGCTGACCCCAGCTCAACAGGAACCGGATGGGGTTCTGTCTCGCTCCTGAAGCGCCTCGACACCGAAAACTACAACGTAATCGTCATCTCGCCGCGCAACTACTTCCTTTTCACGCCTCTGCTCCCGTCATGCACCAACGGAACTATCGAGCACCGCTCCATCATGGAGCCGATCCGGACCATTCTCCGTCAGAAGAAGGCTCGCGTCAAGTTTTACGAGGCTGAAGCCAGCTCTATCGATCCTGAGCGCAAGGTTGTGCGCCTCATCGATACCTCGGAAATCAGGGGTGACATTACCGAGACCGAGGTGCCATACGATATGCTTGTGGTCGGCGTGGGCGCCGAGAACGCCACATTCGGCATCCCCGGCGTGCGCGAGCACTCGTGCTTCTTGAAGGAAATTGGCGATGCCCAGAAGATCCGCAAGAGGATTATGGATTGTGTCGAGACGGCCGCCTTCAAGGATCAGTCGCCTCAGGAGATCGACCGTCTCCTGCACATGGTTGTGGTTGGCGGCGGCCCGACGGGCGTCGAGTTTGCCGGCGAGCTGCAGGACTTCTTTGAGGAGGACATCAAGAAGCTGGTGCCGGACATCAGCGACCGCTTCAAAGTGACGCTGATCGAGGCGCTTCCCAGCGTCCTGCCCATGTTCTCCAAGCAGCTGATTGAGTACACCGAGAGCACCTTCAAGGAGGAGAAGATCAACATCCACACCAAGACAACAGTCAAGAAGGTGACCGACAAGACGGTTGAGGCCGAGGTGACGCGGCCCGACGGCACGAAGGAGACGGTCGTCTTCCCGTACGGCCTGCTCGTCTGGGCGACGGGCAACGCCGTGCGGCCCGTGGTCAAGGACCTGATGTCACGCATCCCGGCCCAGGCGAACTCGCGCCGTGGCCTTGCCGTGAACGAGTACCTGGTCGTGCAGGGCACGCGCGACATCTGGGCGGTGGGCGACTGCGCCGTGGCCGGGTACGCCCCCACGGCGCAGGTGGCCAGTCAGGAGGGCACCTTCCTTGCGCGTCTGTTCAACAACATGGCCAAGACGGAGGCGATCGAGACCAAGATCCGCGAGCTCAGCTCGTCGCTGAACCTGCAGCCGGGCAACTCGGCCGCCGTCTCGCGCGAGATTGAGCAGTACGAGCGCCAGCTGCGCCGTATGAAGGACGTCAAGCCTTTCAAGTACAGCCACCAGGGCAGTCTCGCCTACATTGGTAGCGAGAAGGCCGTCGCCGACGTGACGTGGTTCAACGGCAACGTGGCGGCCGCCGGCAGCCTGACCTTCCTCTTCTGGCGCAGCGCCTACCTCAGCATGTGCTTCAGCACGAGGAACCGGCTGCTGGTCATCAACGACTGGCTCAAGGCCAAGGTGTTTGGCCGTGACCTTTCGCGGGAGTGAACCGCCGATTATCGGTTCGTTTCCTGATGTTTCCGTTTAGCATTCCGGCGGATGACGGAGCCTGTTGCCCTTCTCCTAGTTCCTTTGTTACTCGCGGCGGATGATAATGGAGTCTGGCATTGAAAATAATAGACCACGGACTAGACTGGGTTTGCAGATAGACGAGGACATCGATGACGAGGAATTTCGTCTTGTTGACCCATGCTGTATTTTTGAGATATGGTTGCCTCTTTTTCTCACTTCTTGTGCATCCAGAAGGCCATCTTGCCCTTGCCAGTGTAATCTAGCTGATCGGTGGCATTTGCGGCTCGTCTTGTACAACAAGCTTAGGCGGATATCCAGATTTATTATTTCAGATGTTACTACGTCCCCCATCCCAACTTGTCAGGTCCCATTGACAATGCTGAAGTCGTCGTCTCTAATCCTTATAATTGGGAGGGTTAGGGTCAACCAATGAAGTTCTCGGAACTTGCAGGTTGAGCATCCACGTTAAGTTAGTGAGCTCACTCCTCTCATCCACATCTCATCGTCACATCTACAACTTGGTCCAAAATGCACGAAATCATCACACTACAACTCGGGCAGCAAGCCAACTACCTCGCCACTCACTTCTGGAACACCCAGGTGAGTCGTCACACTCATGCCCTTTTTTTTTTTTTTAAATAACTTTTGTTCGTCATGTTGAGGGGTGTAGGAATCCTACTTCACCTACTTCCCAGACCAACCCGACTCTCCCGTTGACCACGACATCCATTTCCGGCCCGGTCTCGCTCCCGATGGCACAGAGACCTACATGCCGCGCACGGTAATATACGACCTCAAGGGCGCTTTCGGCACCCTCCGCAAGATCAACGCCCTCTACGACGTCAACGACGATTCCGCTCCGCCCCAAGCCCTCTGGTAACAACTCTCCCTTCCTCACAATCTTTCACATGAAACTGACCACTGAAATACCAGGCAAGGCCAACCAATAGTCCACCGCTCCCCGCCCATCCCCGAGTCGCCCTACACGGAATCGCTCAACCTCGGCCTCCCGCCGCCCCGCCTCACGCCTGACACCGTCCGCTACTTCTCGGACTACTCGCGCGTCTTCTATCACCCGCGCTCCGTCGTCCCACTGTCGGAGCACGACGTCAACTCGGCCGTCGCCGCCCCCATTGAGCGCCACGCCACCGGCGAGGAGCTGTTTGCCGACCTCGACCGCGAGCACGACCTGCTCGACCGCGACCTGAGGCCGTTTGTCGAGGAGGCCGACCACATGCAGGGCGTGCAAGTCTTTGCCGGGTTTGATGATGCCTGGGGCGGGTTTGCGAGTCGCTATGTCGAGCGCGTCAGGGATGAGTATGGCAAGGTTGGGGTGTGGGTTTGGGGGCTGCAGGCGCCTGTGAGCGGAGTCACCAGGGTAGGTTTTTTTTTTTTTTTTAATTTTTTTTTATTGCAGTTTAGCTGGTGGTGAGGGGATGCAAGAAGTTGTTGGCATGCTTGATGCTGATTTCTGGGCTAGGATAAGATATTGCTTCGGCTGGCGAACAAGGCGAGGGCCATGACTGAGGTGTACAAGCAGGCTTCGATTATGGTGCCGCTGGCGGTGCCGGAGAGGCGGCCGGGAAAGGTGCAGCTGGATTTGGGGTCGCACTGGCATACCTCGGCGTTGTTGGCGGTGGCGGTGGAGAGCGCCATGTTGCCGACAAGGTTGAAAGATCCCGTGAAGCGCGAAACTTTAGGAGGGATGGCCGAAGTGCTGAATACGATGGGGAAGCAAAGTGTGGCAGGCTTGCAGATGAGCTTCGCCCGGCCGGAAGCCGAGGCGCAAAATGACTCCCGGCAGAAGGAGTTGTCAGAGGAAGAGCTCTCGGAGGGCGTGCAGCTTGACATTCGGTTCGCGCCGTCGGACCAGCTCGAATGGTATCCACGGTCCAATGGATTCGACAGGCCTCGAGTGTTCAGCCAGCTGCTTGTGGCAAGGGGTTATGGTGACGAGGAGGCCGAGGATGTGGAGATGGACGAGGCAGGACGAAGAGTCCGACGGAGCTTATACGAGCCGGTAACGAAGAGGTATGTTGTGGCTTTTCTTTAGAAGATTGAATTTCACTGACCCAATGGCAGCTACAACACAGCCCTTCGGTTTCCTCTTCTGGATAGCTTCCCTGAGATTTTTCGGGGCGATAACGATGAGCCACTATCTGAAGCCCTGAACATCACGTGCAGCATATCGACCGACTCGTCAGTGTCGACCAAGTTGAAACAGCTTCGATCGACGGTGATACGGTCCATCAGCCTGGAGGACCGTGAAACGCTTGGGAATGAGCTCATGGAGATGGCTGACGAGTATCACGAGGGATGGTCAAGCGGGAGCGATGAAGGGGAGGACGACTGAGATTCCTACCCAGGGAAGTGGCCATAAGAAGGGTTTCAACGTCTCCGTGAGTGCTCGACTTCCTTCCCCGTCAATGCCTATAGACGAGGAAGATTAAGGATGCAAGGGAATAAATACCACAACACCTTTTGCATCTTACAACTTCTGTCTCCCAAACCTGTATGTGGCACATTGCAACTCGCATCAGGGTACTTCATTCCATTCGGTGTTGTCTCATCCGACTTTGACGCCACAGTCATCCCAAACAGCCTCAGCTAGCGTCGACGAGAAGGCGGAGTGTCTCTTCCCGGCTGAAGTCTCACGGGGTAAGTGCATCGGTATCTTGCCAGAACAAACCCTTGGCAATAGAGAGAAGGGGGCGCGGCCGTGGCAGTCCAGCCTTTCCATGGTGGAAAGGGCAGCTTGACCCAGAAGTCCGACGACTTGGTGCCACCCATTTGCCGCGGCCCAGTGGAGCGGTGTCCATTGAAATCCCCGCCCTCTTGGGCCGGTGTCGTTGATAGAGAGTCCTCTGTTGAGGAGAAAGCCGACAGCTCCCATCGTGCCGCCAGGCCGAGTCATGGATTCCTACTCAATGATGGGTGCGGTGTCTCACTGGCATGTTGACGGCCCCCGGGTATGTATGGGTCGAGGCGTTAACGGCACTGCTCATCAAAGAGTGCTTCGACAAAAGCGGCCCAAGGTGTGCTCTTCTCGGCGAAGTCACTGTCCGAAGTGGCAGGCCCCTGATCCGCCTCGTTTAGGTCCATGGTGCGAGCCGTCGTGACGACCGGCGAATAGCTGTTGTCCCGTCGTCGTTGAGAACGAGATGATAGACGATGAGTTGATTGAATGAACGGACGAGCGGTGATGCCTGGTACCTGTTGAAGTGTAAAGTGTCAATAAGGAGCTCCGGACCATGTACGGTACTGGGTACGGACTGGGGCAAGTAAAGCTGAATTGCATCTACTCAGGCGGCGAAATAGTTTACACAGTCTACATGGGAAGACGGTTTTGTTCACCAGTGTCGATGAACGATATTTCCACAAGACACGAATCGCCCTTTCTGGGTTACTCTTGCCGAGTCCTGTCAGACCAGGCCCATCCGCAGACACAACCGACATAAATCGGAAATAGCTCAGCTCTTGACGAGGCATCATGTGCCTCAAAACCTAGCGTCTATTAGTCTAGGAAGATCTATGTAGTTACACATCCCACACGGCCGCACCTGCGCCTGAAGCAAGCCGGCCAACTTCACCGCTCTGTTCGTTGCGCTCCAGCTCTCTGCCACCCAACTTCTTGCCCGCCCCTCTCCCACCTCCGGTCTCTAACCAGCCGCCGCGGCCGTCGTCGAAGTGGGCTGTTGTTGCCGCTGGAGCTGCGGACCTGGGGTCTTACCCTGGACCTGCCTCTTGGCCGGAGGTTGCTGCTTACTTCCGGGCTCCTCGGATGCGACTCGCTTGAGGCTCTTCTTAGCGGGCCGGGGCTTCGTCTCGCCGGGTTCAAACACATCGTCGGGTAGCGCCGTGTTCTTGACGTGTTGGATCGACAGGAACATGAGCCCTTCCTTGAAGAGATCATTCGACATGCACATGGCCTTCCAGTCGTTGACTTCGCGCGACAGGTCGAGCGACTTGGCGCCGTCAACCAACTGTAGCCCGATGTAGTGGTTAGTGGTGTAAATCTCCATGTACTCGGGCTCATCTTTCTTTTCGGGGATATCCTCAAGTTTGACGTCGACGTCGGCACCGTCGGCGGGCTCGGGCTTGATGTTCGGTGGTGGGGCGGGTAACGCGTCGTCGGAGTGCTCTTGCTTAATGGGCATGCCGTGTTCAGCCTCCCCTGCCGAATTCTCCTGCTTCACCGGCACGCCATCCTCACTCATGGTCTCGGTCTTGATTTCGGTCTTACTCCCTGCTTCTCCATCGGCGGGCGGGTTATATAGATAAGCGAGGCTTCCCGCAGATACCACCTCCTCCACTTCGGCATTGCTTTTGCACCGGTGCATCCTGTCGTAGCCCTTGTTGAACGGGCGCGCCAAGGCAATGCTCGGATGCATCTCAAGCTTGTTGACCAGCACGCGCACCCTCGATTCGACGAATCCGGACCAGGCATTCTGTGCCTTCTTTGTCCTGCTCGACGCAATGACTGTAAGGTAGTATCTGAACCCTGAAGTGAAAAAGGTGTGCTTTGTGAAGAGATCTTTCCACGGTCGCCTGCCAATCATGATTTCGTCTGTTACCTGCGCTCCCTTCTCGAGCTCTTGCTGGATCACAGCCATCGAAGATCTGCCAACGTTGTGTGTTGCGCACATGGATGGGTAGGACGGCGTGATGATGGGCATCCTGTGATTTCTATCACTGTGGGAGAGCTATTCTGTGGTGAGACATCAGCACCGGCCGGGACCTAGGTACAACTCACCTTGGGATTCCACACCGGGACTCTTGTGACGGGACAACCGTACTCAATTTCCTTGAGGAGAACGGGGAGCGGCCAGGGCCACTTGAGCATGATGTTGAAGAACTTGTTGACTATCACGGCGCTCGTTGCCTTGGGGTAGAGCTGGCAAACCCGCGCGACGAGCATTGCCCACGCCACACCGCCAGGGTAACCCATGATGTTGGCGTAGATGGCCTTGCGCTGCGCCCAGAGCTTGATCGCCCGGAGCGCGAGTCTGAAGGTGGCCGGCTCGGGGACAAGGTTCAGGATCTCGTCCGTCACTCTCGTCCCGTTCAACGAGCGCACCTCGTTCTCGCTCAGGCCGCGGAGGAGGTTGTTATCAGCCAAGCTCCAGTTCTTCTCGGCCGGTAGCTGCTTCAGTGTTTGGATGGAGCAAAAGATGAGATCGATGCTGATTCCTGAAAACTCGAACTTGATGATGGGCACAAAGGCCTCGGGTACCGGAGTGAGGTCGGTTATGGCACCAGGCGGAGCCATCTCGACAAGGACTTTGGGGAAGATGTTGAAGTACTGCTCAACCGTGACATATTTCGGCGCGACGACGAGGGTATCCATGTCGGAGCCGGGTCCGTAGACGCCGAGACGGTAGCTGCCATATGTGAAAACTCTCCCGATTGCATCGCGAATCAGGATGGTATTTTTGGGCTCCTTCTCTTGCGCAGCCCTCTGCACAAAAACATTCGTAATCTTCTCAAGCTGGATGAGAACCTCCTTTCTCTTCTCAGTTTCGGCAGGGCTTTCGAAGGTGCCCTGAGCGCGCAGCTCTTGGTGCAGCGCGTTGTTCAGCCGTTTCTCTTGCTCCGTTGGCAGAGCAGTCGAGATGGGTGGCGTAATGCCGTAAACGCGTTCCTCCATGGCGGAAGATGATGATTAAGTAGAGGGTCAATTCGTACTTATGCCGGAATCGCGTTGCTGAGGTTATGTCGTGGTCGAGGTCGCAAACGGTCTGGGTGAAAGAAGCAAGGACGAGAATGAGTGTCGAGGGCGGAAATCGGGAAACAAAGGAACGAAAAGTATGATAAAATTGGATGGAGAATCCAAAGCGCGTCGCCAGTTCAAGTCATGATTTGGCGACGTGACGCAGGTAAGAAGCGTTGCCAGACCAACACAAGTGACGAGGCGGATGATGCAGAGGGAGAGGCTGAGAAAGCGGCGTTGGAAATCACAATGCCAAGGGGTGATATCGCAGCGACTAACTAGCGCGCAAAGGGCCTTCCAAGAGCCAATTGGCGCCCTGTTTCAGCTCTCATTCTGCATACACAGTACGCAAAGCCACAATACACAATAGGTGAATAGTGCACAGTGCCTTCTTATGCTTGAACTGCTCCGACTCCGGGCAATGAAAACGCAAAAGGAGGAGGTTTTAGGCCAGGTAGTGCTTGAAAAGTGTAACATCAAGTCAATAAGGTAGTTACGCACTATTGCAGTAGAAAAACGTATCATATGTAGTGTACTGTATTACCCGGCGCTAGCCTTGCGGTAGCTTACAATATCCGCGGTGGGTTCATTCATTGATTTGAGTGACTCCTGGCCCCAACCCCACCTGACTGCAGCCCTGCTTCAGCCCTGTGACGGCGGTCATGCTGAGACCAACTCTCGGTGCTCTCCGATCAAAACGGGGAGTGTCAACAGCAGTGCGACCTTTCTCACCTCACACCTGCGTCCTCGCCGTCTGAAGCCTCGATGGGGACGAATAATGAAGAAAACACTGCTGCTCTGCTTTATTCACGGCTTCAAGGTACGCGCATCGGGCAAAAAGAAGCCCAGGTTCCCAAGTTGCACAGCTGACAACACCAGGGGGATGAATCCACCTTTGGCAGAAACTATGCTTTCGTCGAACACTTCCGCAAGCTCCTTGCGGGCGCTTTGCCCAAGGTAGATGTTCGAACCGTCGTCTACCCTCAATACGACACGCGCGGCGACCTAGGCGAATGCGTCACGCGGTTCAGCGACTGGTAACGTGTAGCACCCACCACAAACCTCAGATCTGCCGCAAGAAGGCTAACATTCAAAAACCACAGGTTACTCAACAAAGTCATAGACCTCGAAGTAGCTGCCGGCACGCCTTCCCCGACAATTGACCCATCCGTCCGCGTGGTCCTTGTAGGGCATTCCATGGGGGGCATTGTCGCGGCCGAAACCGCGATCCGCATCTCCTCCGAACAGCCTGTCCACAACTCAGTAAACGAGGAGAGCCCGACCAAGTCCTCCACTGCCATGCCGCCTCCGCCCAACGCGCTCATGTTCCCCTACATCCAAGGTGTGCTCGCCTTCGACACCCCCTTTCTCGGGATATCTCCCGGCGTGGTCCGCCACAGCGCCGAGACGCACTACACGGCCGCATCCACAGCGATCGCCCAGCTCAGCGGGTTGACAAGTCTCTGGGGTGGGGCCAAAGCAGCCAAGGCGAGCACGAATCAGAACCCGAACATTGCCGGTGCGCTACCGCCAGCGCAGGGGACTGGGGATGTCAACAGAGACAAGGACAGGGAGAGCAAGGCGGCAGCGAGCAGCGGCTGGGGGAGGTGGGGCACCATCGCCATGGCTGCCGGCGCCGTCGGAGCTGTCGCCGCGGGCGGGGCGGCAGCGTACCTTCACAGAGAGCAGATCAGCCAGGGATTGGGGTGGGCGACCTCGCATCTCGAATTTGTCGGTTGCCTCGCGCGCAAGGAGGAGCTGCGGCGGCGGGTGGCATACATGGTGAGGTTGAACAAGGAACTGGGCGTTGGGTTTGGAAACTTGTACACCCGACTGGGGCAGGCCGCTGGCGCGAAGCAGATTAGCATGACTGGGACAGTGGTGGGAAGTGAGAGGACGTTTTGTGTGGTGCCGCAGCGGGACCCTGCGGGGGATTGGCGGCCGGCTGTGAATGATAAGGCCGAGGAGGAGATCGGGGCGCACGTCTGTAAGTGTTTTCGGGTTATTGATGTAGCGAGACTGTTGATGCTAACGGACTGCAGCTATGTTCGAGCCTCAGGACAATCCGGGCTATCAAAAGCTAGCAATCGAGGCAAGGGATATGGTTGTGGGCTGGCTGCGCAATGACTGGTACGAGAGCAACTCTGCGGACGCAGTCCGTGCATGACAGCAAGGATGCCCGAACAGAGATCGTAGTGTGGCCATCGCGTTCGTTGCGTTCATACTTCAATAATTTGCCTCCGGGGCGTGCTCTATTAATAATCTCGCCGAACCATGTATGGCGGTCGTGAAGGGTGTTTGCGTCCTCAGTTGCATGCCAAGATTGAAATCCATTATTGCGTCTTCTTCTCCGCGGTTTTGCCAGCTCCGAGGTACTTCTTCCGCTGCTTCAGCATGTGGGTATAGAGAATGAACGAGCCTGCGAAGATTCTGTCAGTCAAAGTCCTACTCCACTCCTATAACTGCAGTCAGGTGTACTCACCCGGAATATACGACAACATCACGGCCGCCAGCGCGTAAGGATACCATGACGCGAGGGCTGACGCGGGGCCGAACGCCGCCTGCAGCGTCATGGCCACCTCGCTGCTAATGCCGACGGGGTACAGCACCAGGAACGCGCTGTATCGCAGCCAGTGCAGCCAACCAGGGACCGCCTCCACCTGCTTCAGCGCAAAGTACGTGTACCGAATCACCTCGGTGAGACTCCAGGCGCACAGCATCGACGAGTAGAAGACGCTCGCGTTGAGCTGCGGGAACGGCCAGCACACGGCCCACATCAGAAAGAGCCGGCTGGCGACTTGCATGACGGTGGTGAAGACAGGGGCGGGGACGACGCCTGTAAGTGACCACGCACCCTTGTCAGCTTTTGCTCAGAAAGGCGGACGTCGGGACGGAGGAACGGGGGTTACGTACCGGTGAGAGCGTGTAGGACCTCCATCAGAGCGCATGTCTGCGTGATGCGTGCAAAGTTGTCGACGACAAGCGGCACGAAGAATGGGCCCCTCCACCGCAGCACGACGGCAGCCCGCCCGAGGATGGTCGCCCAGGCGATCGCGGAGGCGGTGTTGTAGAGGATGAGGTAGACCTTCTTGGGCCCGACGCTGGTCGAGTTGGCCATCTTCGTTTTGTCTATCACAGGTGGGTTGTTGTTCGGGAAGAGCGACGCGGAATTGTGTACGAAAGCTTGTGAAGACTTCAATGCGAAAATAAAACTTGTTGACTTCCAAGTCCAACGGGACCTGGAGACAGCGGTTTTGTTGACCCCTGCCGGTGCCCGTGGCAATCGAGCCAGCTGCTTCAGCAGGGATTTCCGGCCCCGCCTTCCTCACGACTTCAGGGGCTGTGGGGATTGCTCGGCTCGCCCCGCTTGGTTCACTGCGTCTGGTCCCGGTTGCCCTTCACACATACAAATCCTGCACAGTACAGAGATCTCTCATTGATACGACGTCAACCTCCCCTCTCTAATGGAGAGATACACCATGCTTTCTAAAAGAAACGATGCTCTCTGATGTTCCATCGCACAGGATGTCATTCTTGATGCCAAAAAGCCAATGACCGTTACCAAGACTGCCCGTCCTGTTTGTCCAATTTCTGCCCATTTCAGGTCCCAGATTGTCCCTCCCTTAGCGACTGCCCAGCAGCGGCCCGTTTTCTCGACCAAGAACCGTCCTCACAAACAAAAACCAAATTGAATCAATCTCTTCCCTCTACCCTCAGGCTTGTTTTACTTCTTGATAACAGCCCGCCAGAGATCTCCAAACCCCTTGCCGCCAAACAAGAACTCATCCGAATGTCTACCACAGTAGCTATGGGCATTGACCTTCCTCTGCGAGACGACAGGAGACGGTTTCTTCAGGGACTCTAAGGAAGCGGGCCCAAACCCGGATGAAGCCTTGCGACCACCCCAGAGCAAAGGGGAGGTGGTGGAGGTTGGCGAGGCAGGGTAGTCGCTTGAGAATGGACCAGGTGTCTGGATCGCGTGGTTAGCGTCAAAGCTAGAGATTGCCTTCAGGTGATATGCGAGTGGTATGGGAGAATCACCACGCTGTCTGCCGACTGAGGGCTGCCCTCGAGGGGACTGGCGACGGCCCTGACGGGCCCAAGGTTGAGCGAAGGCGGAGCAGGAGCGCGGGAGGGAGTGTCCATCGGGGTACAAAGGATAGATAGTAGGTGCCGAGTAAGGCAAGGCTGGGTAAGGGCTTCGGACGATGCAAGATCTCGATCCGATCTGGCCAAGCGACCCGTTTGACAAAACCCAGCAGGCTGGATTCAGACGTTGGTTGGATGAGACGGGTTTACACTGCCACCGCCAGGTGCGTCGATCGGCTACACTACCGAGAAGTGCAGTGTGTTGGTGTGTGCGTGTGTGCCTGGGACGAAGTAATGGCACAGGGAAGCAGTGAGAGCAGTTGAGGAAGAGGCGGAGGGGGGACTCAGGACAAGGCCAAAAGGTGGGCAATTAAGAACCATCCAGGCAGCGAGACAGAGAGCCGCAAAGTGCTACCCTCACCTCCATATCGGTGACATAACCGATCAGAGCAAGGGGGGAGTCATATGCCGACCGCCTTTTCCGTCGAGAGGTCCAATTCCCGCATTCGGCTTCCTGGTAGTACATTCGATTGCTGCCTCGCCAATCCGCCATCCACTCGCTGCTATGTTATGCCCAAGTACTTACCTTACAATAGTCCACCTCTGCTTGTCCACGTGTAGATCTTGTAAAAACGCCAATTGCCCGCCATAGGGCTGCATAGATTCTTGGCTACATGATTAGTCGGGATACGGCTATGGTTCATCTACTGCATATGTCATGCGAACCACATTCCCCGCAATGTGGTGCGCAACGAGGCGAACGCAAACTGAGAAGTGGAAAATCGTTTCCCAATTAGCTCGTGAGCCGTGACATTGTTTCGTCTGAGGAAGGGCCTGAGAACCGTGTTGGATGAGAGATCTAATAGATGGGTTTGGCTGGTGGGTATGGACACAAGAGCTTATACTTTTCATTTCTGGCCTCATCCGTGAGCTTGGTTTCGCCCGGATTTTTGAGTTGGGCCAGGGGGACTGAACTGAACTTTCAAGCCTTGCGATCTTACACTTCTTGGCGATTATTTGAAAAACAGCATCTCCCGACTCAAGACGGATGCAGGGTGGAGGTCGAGCATACGTTCCGCGGCGGTTCTCATCACAACGCGCAGTTCGTGATACGACTCTGGTGTGCCCTCAGTTACTGATTTACCCGTGCCCTCCCTATCTATCTAGTTCTTGTCTAGCCGCACAGCAGGGTTCTTCTGGATAAAATTGAGATCGACTTGGTGACCGAGCAACTCACGAATGTTTGAAATGCCGTATTTGATCATGGTTGGCCTCTCCAAGCTAAGACCGAAACCGAACACCCTCATATCCGTGGGCAGGCCCATGGCCTGGACATCATGGTTAGCCCTAACTGCCAAACACGCTCTCCAGGGGCGATACGAACCTCCAACATCTCTGGCCTGAAAATACCCGAGTTGCCGATCTCGATAAGCTTGTTGAGCCCCTTATGGTACGAGAAAATCTCCATACTCGGCTCGGTGTAGGGGTTGTATCTACTATGCAGTCAGCTATGATGTGCACTGACTGTTAGGCTGGGACCACTCACGCCGGCTTGAAGCGCAGGTCAGTCACACCCATCGCCCCGAAGAACATGTCCATGAACTCCATAAGGCCACCCAGCGTCAGCCCGTAGTCGGCAATGACGCCTTCTACCTGGTGGAACTCGCAGAGATGAGTGGCATCCACAGTCTCGTTTCTAGCAATGGTCAGCGAGTTTGACATTGAGTTCACCGGACTCGATGACTGCGATTACCTGAAAACCCTGTCGATGGAGAAGTATCGCGCCGGCGGAACACGCCCATCCTGGGTTCTTTGGCCAGAAAGCTTGTGCAGCATGGCGGCCGAGATGGAAGTCGTGTGTGTCCGCAAGACAAGTCTTGCCTTCGGTCAGCCGATGTAAGGGGACACAGAACGATAGCTTTACATACCTGAGCGATTCATCCTCGGACCAGGGGTATCTGTACCCAATCGAGCCGTACTTCCCGCTTTCGTGGACTTGCCTCACATTCTGGAAGTATTCCTCGTAGTCCTGCTTATCATCCGCAGATGTCGGTGCGGGCCTGCCAGCCTTAAGGGGGTCGGAGATGTAGAAGGTATCTTGCAAGTCGCGCGCAGGGTGTTGCTTCAGTGTGTCAGATTGAACCGCGGGAGACAGACAAGCCAACAACGAAATACCTGAGGCACGAAGAGAGCGTCAAAGTTCTGTTACTCGTCAGTCAGCGATCTATCCAGACGTTCAAGTGGCGCAGCCACGTACCCAGAAGCCCGACTCAACGAACTGGTTGGTAGGCATCTCTGTGAAGCCCATCTCAAAGAATATTTGCCTGTGAGACGCTTGGGGGTCAACGATCTGCCCACCTCATGCAGTCCTCTCCCGAAAAGACAACGCACCTGAACTCCTGCCGCACCTTGTTCAGGGGGTGCAGTGCGCCGGCATGCTGATCGGCGCCCAATGCGTTGAAGTTGTACGGCTTGAAGGTAGCCGTCTTCCATGCACCAGATGCCAGCATCTCGGCCGTCAGGTCCGTTTCCTCCTTCACCATCTCGAGCGCAAACTTGGGCCCCTTGCTTATCCTGAAGGAGATGACCTTCTGCATCCTCAGCAGCTTGCGCTTCTTCAAGTCGGCAATGATTTTGGCGTCATGCCTCCGCGTCTCCTGGATCGCCTTGAGCTGCTCCCGCGTCACATCGTTGATCGAATCAACCTGCCGGCGCCGTTAGCCGTCAACAGCAAGACCAGGTTGGATGGCAGCAAGCTCACCAGTGCAACAAGCTTGATGCCATCCTTCTTGATCCATTTCTCCTTGAAGGCTTTGCCCTGGCCAACCTTGGTCACCGTCTTGTCGCCAATTTTGCTCTCAAGATCTTGAATCGAGAGGCCGTCCATGGCCTGGCGGACCGCCTCAAATACGCGGGCCTCGTGGCTGCCATGGCTGACGATAGTTTCTGCCTCGGGCTCCAGGTAAGCCTCCTCACGCTCTACCTGCTCATACGTGACCATGGACCGGGACGCAAGCCGGTCGAGGGCGGCTTTGATCGACTCGAAGGGCACATTTGCAAAGGTCTCGGCAGACGAAATCGGGTCAGCCTTGGACAAGGCATGGAGAACCTCTGAGGTGAGGTCTCCTGCCGGATTGCTGTTTGGAGGAGCCATGTTGTGAATCGTGTGTCTTCGAGTCGGTCTCTGTCCCGCGCAAAGCAATTGTTGACTCAGAATCTCAGGCAAGCAACCTAATCGCGGGGCATTGAGTTACCCAAGCCCCACATGGCAGTAACGACAAATTTAGGCGGCGTGATAGTTCGGATAAATGCATTCCCGCTTCAAGGACGCCGGGACATGCTTATAACTGAAGTTCCCCCCGTGTGCATCTATTGATTGCCTTCGGACCACGCCACAGCTTTGCGTTTCCAAACCCTTTCTGGCAGTAATCTGTGCGTATCCAAGAAATGGGGACGACAATAGACAAATCGCGAGCCTCAGCTCTATCTTCCCGGACCTTGTTTTCAGTTCGCCGAAAGCTGGCCCTCTGAATTGCTGTTCACATGATATCTTCCGAACAAGCCAGGAGTGGAGCTCGGGTGTCGTACCCGCACGTCACTGCCCCTGTTCAATCTTCCTGGGTGTCCGCATTGTATTGTACAGTGGCAGAGTGCACCTGACATGGCACGCAGTACTACTTTTACCAGAACCGGCAATGGAAGGCCCCGTCCTTGAGACAGGTCTGCTGATAATTTGATGCCGACACAGCTCATTGTGTGATCAAGTTACAAGAGATTCCCAATCTGGATCTTGGTGTCCTGAGGCGGGTTAGGCTAACTGAGCTCTCAGGCCATATCAGTGGTCTGTAAAGTTGAAGACTAAGATACGCATGATGGAGTTGATCACAAATCTATTTCCAATTATGGATGCTCATTCCGTTGGGAGCGTTTGTGGAGGTCTGAAGTCAAACACGGAGCTCCTTGTCATGCCACCGACGTAATGTCTACCGGTAATCCAAGCCTTTCTCGGGGCCTCGGCGCGCATAGCCAAGCCGACGCCCCGTTGAGGATGCTGCTTCAACATATCGAAAGAGACTGTGAATATGTGTTGCGCCATAATAATATACCGGTCTGGTCTTCTAGGGCCGTCACTATAACTACGACTTGCGTCGAGAATGGGTGCCGAAAACTATGAAAAGAAACGCGAGCCCCTGCGGCGCTAGCCGTCCATTGTATTAGAAACTTAAGTCTTATGTATCCATGTGCCGAACGCTCACCCGCCCTTACTGATGCACCCTGCGCCATCGCATAACGTATCGTCCATGTACCAAGGCGACTCTCTGCCCAAACGCCGCAAGGCCAATTACCTTGCCCAATACCCAAGATTGGCCGGAATGTCAGAAGAGGTGAACTTGTCATATACAGAAACCACTTCCCTATGTCCCAGCCCCGGTCCGCCCTCTAATCCTGTGATACGGTTTGCTGCGAGCTGTTAGAGGCGGGCTACAAAGGGCCGGCCATGGCGCAAACTTACCGACAGCCAGTCCATCCCTTCTTTGATACCCGACCCTTCCACCGCACTGCACGCCATGATGCTCCAGTTCCTGTCTCTGAGCTCGCCTAGCCGCAGTGCTTGCGAGATGTCGGCCGCCCCCTTTGCGCCTGGCTGATCCTGCTTGTTTGCGAAGACCAAGAGGGCAGCATCCTTCAGCTCGTCCTCGTTCAACATGGCGGCGAGTTCGTCTGCTGCGGTCTGCAAACGTTCGATATCGGTCGAGTCCACGACGAAGATGACGGCTGCTGTGTTGGCATAGTAGCATCGCCAGTATGGCCTGATGCTTGTTTGCCCGCCCAGATCCCATACATTGAAGTTCAGCTTCCCGTATGTCACCGACTCGACGTTGAACCCGATCGTGGGTATCGTTGTTACTACTTCGCCAATCTGCTCGTCGCGTGAGTTCCCCAGGTTTCCTAGTCAGGCGAAGCGAAACCGTACCTTGAGCCTGTAGAGGAGTGTCGTCTTGCCAGCATTATCCTACACGGCGCAGCTGTTCAGTACGGAGTCGATCGACGTAGGGCTAAACGGGGGATGCAAACCAATCCCAAGATCAAGATCCTGATCTCTTTCTTGGCCCAGATGAGGTTGGAGAGCCATGACACGGTCTGACCCATCTTTGCTGTCGTGGCACAGAGGGACCAGGAGTATCGGTGTGGTAAAGGGGAGGAGGAACCAGATCGCGAACGAGAGCCACCGACACGCGAGCAGATGTGGAAGCCTTAGGCTGTTTCGTTCAGAAGCGCAAAGTGTTTAGGAAGACGCCGCAAGCAAGGCAAGCCGAGATTCAAGCAGTAAACACTCGCTGATACCCGTTAAGTGCAGATTTTCCGGTTTCGCGGTTCATGCCACTTCTTGATTTTCGCTGATCAAAGAGGCCGCCGCTCGGTCTAGGCTCTGGGGCGCCCTTGTTCTTGGAAATCAGCGCGTAAGATCGGCAGTCGGCCAGGTGCCGGCCGGCACTCCTGAGCAAGGGTTAGCTGTGCCACACCTTAAGTTCAATCGCGCCACACAGGATGATGGCACGTGACTCAGCCACAATTCTGATGTTCGGCCCTAGCATTGACATTTTCTGAAAGCCCACACCAAATATTCGAATCCCACCCACTTGAGGAACATCACGACATCGACACTGACTCGGAATCCTCGACAACAACGTCAAAATGCCGGTACGTATCGACGCTCTCCCAAATGCTGCCCGGCCGGTTTTCCCATTTTCCGAGGATAGGGCGAGAAATGTCCAGCATTTGGGAGAGGGATTAAAAGCGCCGACACCATGACAATCACAAGCTAACGAACCCGATCAACCCACAGAGCCACAAGACTTTCCGTGTCAAGCAGAAGCTGGCCAAGGCCCAGAAGCAGAACCGACCCATTCCCCAATGGATTCGGCTCCGCACCGGCAACACCATTAGGTACGAACGTTCCGACGACAGCGAGCTCCTGCGAACCTGCACATGCCGCAGCTACCTAAACACCGAGACGATGATCAGAGAACGGAAATCAGAGGCTGACTTCGGCCTCGAACAGGTACAATGCCAAGCGGAGGCACTGGCGCAAGACCCGCCTCGGCCTCTAAATGCCGTCCCTCTTCCTCATTTCGACCCATTCGAGCGGGCCTATTCTTCCCAGGGCTACTCCTGCCACTTTCTGCTAGGCTTCAAGCAAACCCGCTACCTCTCAGTTAACCACGCCGACTCTCTTGAGCGGACATTGCGGCGAATGGAGTCGAAGTCAAATACCCCTGGGAAAGTGACGAAAGCTGGGAGAACTGCGCCGGGAGGAGAGAAGATGCGGCCGGTAGGGAACACGTCTTGCTTTGCAGTATCTCGGCGGGTTGGGATTTTTCCTTTTGAGCTTGGCTGGGAGGTAAACGGGGCGACTCGGCTCAGTTTAACGGAGTATGCCATGACATTTCAGGGTCAAAAGGAAAACGGAATGAAACATGGCATTTGATGCCTTTGTGCATGACAAGTTCTTCAGTCTTTGCTTGCAATGGTGCATGCTGTGATAGGGTGCAGTCAAAAAGCGATGTTGGACGCAAGGGAGGCTGGTCCGGGATTGTGGGAGAGGATGTCAAGAGCCCGCAATGGCTTGCGCTCGATTCGTTTGGTACAGTATGTCGACGAGTTTGATCGTTGATGGTCTGAAATGACGCCATTCGCAAAGAGCCTCGGCGTTACAAGAAAGGACGAAATCATGCTTCAACCTTCACGGACTTGGGATGTGAGCTGCATTCACGTGGTATATCCGCGAAGAAGATGGTCTAGGGAGAGGACTTCAATAAGATACTGGATACCAAGATGATGGCAAAGTCAATTTAAGACTATGCCCCTCTAATTCTGCGTAAGAGGTCCAGGCGAGCTCTCATCTTGACGCCCTCCGACCAACTTCGCCGTTGATCCACAGGCCGCCGCTCCTGCCGAGCTACAGGTCGGTGCACAACCAGCTCAGCAGACCTAGCAAACCTTCCTCAAAGCATGGAAATAGCAAGAGACAAAGCCATACTCAATAAACCCAAAACGCCATTGAGGGATGCCAACTAAGGGCTGCGTTCAGATACGAGCCCTAGGATCCCATGCCCACTATGTGCAAGTCCAAAAACCGGAAGGGGTGAAATCCTTAAATTCGCAGTTCTGACCAATAAACCTTTTAACGGTCCTCAGCCCACTCGTTCTCACGCCGAATCTGCTCTTCCTCCTCAGGAGTGAAGTCGTTCGTGATGTTGAACGTCTTCCGGATCTCCTCTGGCGACTTGCCCTTGATCATGTTGGCAACAGTCTTGCAGCCGACGTCAAGAAGGGCCTTGATATCGAGGTAGTTGGCAGCCTACAGATTGAGTTAACTTGAGGCCTAGATAGAAAATCACAGGACTGCATGGCAAATCAACTCACCAGAATGATCTCGAACAGCATCTCCTGGTCGACCTGCATAAACTTCTGATCCCACTCGTCGATGTCGGTCGTCTTCTTGCGACTGTCGTTCTCGTCATCGGCCGACTGGGCGGCATCATTGCGGTGGTGCTCGCACCACTCAATCACCTTGCGCAGGACGGGGTCGTTGACGTTGGGAATCGGAATCGGGCTGCTCTCGACGGCATCGTCGCCCAAATCGTCGATCAGGTTCTTGATGAGCATTGACCGCTCGGCAACGACGCGGTCTGTGATGTGATTAGGCGGGGTCAGCAGGGCGCGGGGATGGAAACCGATCGACTTAATCGACGTACCAACTTCGATGCTTGTGCCCTCGTTGCTGGTGAGCGTAACCTTCTGGATGCCTTTGTCGGCAGACATCTCGATTCTTAAGGCTTTTGAAAATCGTTTGGGAAATGGGACACGTTGTTGTTTGAAGGAAAAATCAAAGACTGCAGTGCGAGACGTTCAGTTAGTATGTCAGTTGGTTGCGAGGATGGGTTTGAGTAGGAATGGAAGAACTGCTCGCAAGGTAATGCGGGCCGTGGTTTATAATGGTCTGTCTAGGAGGTGCACGTAACCTTTGAAGAGTTTGCTCGATCGACTTTGAAATTGTATGTGATTGATGAAGATGCCAGAGTAAGCCTGATCAGACCCTTTTGACGACAAAGCAGCGTCGACCTTACCTATGCGGCGGAGTTTAACGTCAGGTTCGCTGTTACAGCACCAACCTCATCATGCCCTGTCTTGCCTGTGCAATAATCCGTACAGGTAGACCGAAGGTGGCGGGGCGCTGCTGCCTCGCAGAGAGTGGAGACTTTTAACTTACCTAAAGTGCACAGACCCCTTTTTCCAACGGGCGGGGCGTTGCAGTTGTCGGCTGATTGTGGGCAGGCGTTGGTAATTGATGCCTGCATTTGTTACGGTACCTGAGGTACTTTACCAAACATTTTGTGACACCGTGAGTTAAGGTACCTTGCTCCGTCGAGTATCGCACACATAAAGTATTTACGCTGAAGTCCGGATGTATACTCTGCTGTCATGGCATGTAATGCAAGTATGCAATTCTACTGTTCAGCAGAGTAAGGTAAGTCATTGAATCTACTGTGGAACAGCTTGAGGAATCGGTAGCATGTGCCAGCCAGGGTTTCAGGGTCCGAAACCAGACACCCTTTTAACTGACCATCAGGAACAGTAATGAACTTCAAGAACCTGTGTAGGCTATCTGAGACCTTTACAACGCGTGGGGTTCTTGAGTTTTTGTCTGTGATATCTGAGTTTCGGGATTGGCGGGCATTCTGGTCGCAATATGTATCTCTGGTCTCGCAAAAATCCGAAAGCGAGCAGAGGCGACACGGCGTAATCAAAAACACAATTCCACATTCATTTTGCGCAGTCATACGGAGTATGGCATCATTCAACGGATCCGTCCAGTTGATGTGTGCAGCCAGTTCGGAGTTTGAGCTCGTTCAGGTACACCCCAACAATGGACGGTGGACCTTTGTATGTACCTTAAAGCACGCGATGGTGATCATCTTGTTCTTGGGAACGGCATTTGAGGCACCAATGCAAGCTGTCCGGATCCCTGCCGTGAACAGGGGAGCCAAGCCTGAACCGTGGAACAACCACGTCGTCGACTGGCTGTCGCATTCCCTCCATAGCGATCCCAAGATTTGCACCTGGCCATTTCCCGCAGCTCGTCACATCCTTGCTTTTTCCGGCAGAAGCACTCTTTCCCTGATCATGACCCTACTCCCTCGGCGACCCCCTTGACGGTTTGACATCTTCCTTCCGCTTGCTGTTTCTGGTGATGCGCCGCGACGGACAAGCGACTGAGTTCCGCAGCTGCTCTCCATCGGATTGGATGTTTCGGGCTTGCCGCGACAGGGTCTTTCTCCCGGCGCGCAAGCTGGCAAAATAATATGTGGCGGCGAACATACCTCTTTTTGGTTCTGGTTCGGCTGTGGTTCGCGCTGTCGCCGAGCTACCTACACCCCGACGAGAACTTCCAAGGGCCTGAGGTCATTGCTGGTATGCCATGGTTTCTGGTTATATGTTGGGGACAACTGGCTTGTCGTCGACGGGAACCGCCCGGCGCAACGGGCCTCTGATCATGGCGCGCCTGACTGCAATGCAAGAAAAGACTGCTGACTTCAAGTTAAACAGGGGAGATCTTCAGCTACCCAGTGCGGCGCACCTGGGAGTTTACGAGCGACAACCCGATTCGAAGCGTATTCCCACTATGGCCTGTTTACGGTCTGCCGATGCTCCTGCTGCGATGGCTGTGGATAGGGAATGGCAACGATGGCGAGATTACCCCCATCGCGGTCTTCTGGACGCTGCGGGTGCTCATGTTTATCGTTGGTTTCGTGTTGGAAGACTGGGCGATTCACGAACTCATACCATCGCAACGGCATCGGCGCCTCGCCGTTCTTCTCGTCGCCTCTTCCTATGTCACATGGACTTACCAAACGCATACCTTCTCGAACTCAATAGAGACGCTGGCAGTGGCCTGGAGCTTGGTGCTTATTGAGCGGATTCTTGATAGTCCGGTAGGTGCATCATGCGGGTAAGGACACGCGGGCGCTGTCACTGACGGGATGTAGCAGCGCGGCTCAGTTCTTGCTTCGACGGTTTTAGGGGTTGTTGCCGTTTTTGGGGCGTTCAACAGGATAACATTTCCTGCTTTCCTGTTGATTCCGGGCCTTCGGCTCCTGCCTTATTACTGGAAAAAGTACGGGAATCCTGAGACCTCACCTAGATGGCGTTGTGGCTAACAACGAGCTTAGTCCCCTATCTTTCACAGCGATTCTGATGGCCGGTCTTGGTACAACTGCGGTTGCGATTTCTCTCGACACAGCCTTCTACACACCACACTCGATTTCTTGGTCCGACCTCCTTAGAAGGCCCGTCCTGACGCCTCTCAACAATCTTCTATATAACATTTCGCCCACGAATCTGGCAAAACATGGGTTGCACCCATGGTATCAGCACCTTTTGGTAAATTTGCCGCAGCTGATTGGACCTGGCATGCTTCTGCTCTTCATGCGGCCTAAACGCTCTTTGCGCCTTTACTCTGCCATTTCGGGCATCGTCGTTCTTTCGTTTTCGCAGCACCAGGAAGCCCGGTTCCTGCTCCCGACCGTCCCGCTGATTCTGTCCTCCGTCCGGCTCCCAAGAAATGAGAAGCTGCTCCGGGGTTGGGCGGTCTCGTGGGTGATCTTCAACCTCATTTTTGGAATCCTCATGGGGGTTTACCATCAAGGAGGAATCGTCCCGGCTCAAGTCTTCATGAGTAAGCAGCCGGATGCGACTCAGGCCATCTGGTGGAAGACGTACATGCCGCCAATATGGCTGCTGAATGGAAAGAATGAGGTCCTGCACACGCGGGATGTCATGGGGATGAAGGGGGGAAATCTCCTCGAGGAACTCGAGAAGATCGCAACTTGCGATACACCAGCAGACAGGAGAAGCATGGAGTATCTGAAGGAGAAGAACGGCACATATCTGGTGGCGCCGCTATCAGCGACATGGCTGGATCCGTATCTCTCGAATAAAGGGCTGGAGGGGTTGAGGTTCCGCGAGGTCTGGCGTTATCAGCAGCACTTGAACCTCGATGATTTGGATTTTGCAGAGGACGGCGTTTGGGATACCCTTTCTAGAGTCATTGGGCGGCGAGGACTGGCGATTTGGAGAGTAACAAAAAGCTGCCCTGGGGTCAAAGGAAGATAGCGGACCGGTACTTTGGGCGGGACTTTGATATTCACAGTACAGACTCAAACACGATACCCATTAGAAAAGCACTGGAAGTTCCATTTTGTTTTGTGTTGAGGACCCTGATGGCCCTGCGGAGCCAAGCTCCGGCAGGGATCTCATGACCTACGGGCTGTCCCGTGCTGGGCGCCCCACTTCCCGAAATTTGGGGTCGAACGACCTGGACTTATTTTCCAGAGCAAGGCCATCTGTAAATCTTCCCCCACCTCGCCTTGGTGACCTTCGAGCTACCTTACCTGGTATTTTAGTGAAAGTGCACAACCCACGATCCAACATGGGCGGGCTCAATCTCGAGGTGTTCAAGGCATGCTTTCCCAAGGACTCCCTCCCTGGCTGAGATTCTGGCATTTCATCCTCACTGACCATCCTCTCTGCAGTTTGGCATGTACGTCATGTTCCCCATTGGGATCATGTATTACTTTGGCACGAACCTCGACAATCGCTTCTCCGTCCCAGACTTCTGGCCAAAGCCCGAGAACGCCAACAAGGTGCCGCTCGAGCGCGACGAGATCCATGCGGAGCTTGAGAGGTTACGAGCGAGGAGGCTCTATCTGAGGGAACAGAGGTTGGCGGCCGAGGCGAGGGCGGCTGCGTTGAACCAGAGTCAAGGCCAGCAGCAGGATGATTAGTGGCTCAGGAGGTGCAATTTCGGCTGGGCGTGAGGCCAAACAAAGGCCGGGTGTATAATTCAAGGAATATGGAGGATGGAGGGCCTGGTATGGACGGCGGTGGTTGGCGTGGGCAAATACGGCGTTTTACGGAACCTTCGACAAAACCAACCCGTTTCTCTCAACGGTCCCGGTCTTGAAGGAGCGGCATGTTGTACGACTGTATTATTACACGTACTTATACATCTAGATCGGTTTGTCTATGTCTATCGGCTGGTCTCTACATGTCCAGATTTTCCTCGATCTTCGCCCATTCATCGTCATCCATAGATCCCTTTGTAACGTTTGAATACACGGCTTGGACCTCAGGATACTCCCTGAGCGCCTCCAACAACTCAGTGAAGTTGACCAGCTCCTCCGAAGCGTCCAGCTTAGTTTTGGTATCTTCATTTGCCGTCCATATGATATCCGAACTTAGAATCTTCAAGCCGAACTTTGGCCCGACCGTCTTGCAGACTTGCATCGTCGCCGCGGGCTGCGTCCAGACGACGATATTTCCATCGGCGTCATTCTCGAGGTCCTCTGCGCCAGCTTCGATCGCATCGTCCAGGATCTGGTCGACATCCGGCCCGCTCTCGCCCTTCTCAAACACCACCCGGCCGAGACGAGAGAAGAAGAACTTGGATGAGCCAGCTGAGCCCTTGGCTTTCTTGACCAGCAAATTCATGTCCTGCAGCGCTCTCAGCTTGCTCTCGGTTTCGATGTCGACAATCAGAGCGATCGTTGGCGGTATCATGGCTTCGAACGTGATCGACTCGAGCGCCTCGCCCCCGGACGATTTGCCTTGCCCGCGAGCGATGGCTGCCTCGATTCGGTCCTTGGGAACGCTGGCCTTCTTGGCTGCAGCGATGGCGGTTGCTAGTTGTGGGTTGTTGTTGGGGTCGGGGCCATAGACTTTAGGGCTCGTAAGTCTTCAAGAAGCTGGTGGTGATTGAGGATTTCTGGGGAAGGGTCGCGTACGCTTTGAGTACAAGGTAATGTTCTTTGCGAATACTGTACGCGCGGCATTCTTCTTGGCGTCGTTGGCAGCCTTGTCATGGCGAATCTTGCTCCATTTGTTGTGGCCAGCCTGGAGTACTGGACCGGAGACGAAGGTACGGCGGCATTGTGCGCAACTCGAGGATGGCTTGGCCGGCCGAGCTAACGGGGCGAGACTGCGAGCGAGAGATGCCATTGCGCCGGGACGATATTGGGAAAATAATGTCTGTGTCATGAATGCATGACAGAAGACTTCGAGGAGCGACTCCCTAAGGGATACGCCAGCTTCCTTCAAGACCAACAAAAGTGCAAGGCAGCCGATGAAGTTGCTTGGAATTTGAGAAGCTTGGAGTTGTGGATCTGGAACCTCGAATTGTTTGGCACTGCCTGCCGGAACGGCACCGGGACCTGATGCCGTGCACCGCATAGGCAGCACGCCCCTGGCCTATCTCAGCGCTCAGACCAGTTGTATCGGTCCTGTATGGCTTCTCCGCAAACCCTCATTTAGTTAAATTTCAATACAGCGTCCCACACCATGCAACTTCAACCAATGATATGTGGATGAATCCGGCCCTCAAGGTGTTCTCTGCAATAAGTACACGTGTACTCCGTAGGTCGATATCTTTGAAGAGCTAGCGCAACGGTAATGTATGGGAGCTAGTACGGCATTACGTCCTTTGGACCTTTGCACAGACCATTATCGGCTGTGTATGCCAAGAACGCCTTGAAAGTGACGTTTGAGCACTGAGATAACCCCTGACGGCAGCCCGCATTTTTTGTTCAGCCGTTTTCAGTTCGCACTCTTCAGGCAAGGACGATTGTGAACGACGCAACAACCGCCTCCCGACAGCATCCCAGATTCAGATGGCGTCAACAGCGGGCACTGATGAGCCCAGCACCGTGAACGGCGGCGTCCCGCGCACATCAGCAGCTGCTGCAGCCAGTTCCAATCCCGAATTCGATGTCTCTAAGCTGCAGGGACTGCCGCCAGAGCAGCAAGAACTGCTCCTCTTAAGCTTTGTATCGACCCTCAGCAAACATGTCCTCAACCTGCCGCCCGATGACTGCACGGCTCAGCAGTTCTACCTCAAGAAGGAGGTCTTCAAGATCCTCAATCTCGCAGCCCCGCCTCCGACGAGGGTCATACGCAACACACTGGGCAAATGTCTGGGACACATCTTTGGGAAAGGGGACCGGAAATTGCTTTTTGAGACGGTCAATGAGCTGGCGGGTATCATCTCTAGCGGGAAGTCGAAAAATGACGCCGAGAACCGGACAAAGCATGCCGCGGTTACCTGCCTGGGCGATGTTTACGCTGCCGCCGGCGACAGCGCCATCAACCTCCACCAACTGGCCTGCTCGGCCCTCTTGAAGTTGTTGAAATCGTCTTCGAACAATGCTGGGCTCCGCGCCGCAGTGTTTACTGCTCTGGGAAAGATTGCAACGATGCTGAGTGGAAGTTTGGACGAGAGCATTGCTAGGGACGTCTGGAAGCAGGGCCGGAGCTATGCTTCGAGCGACAAGGGATCGCTCGTCGTGATTACCGCGTGCCGTTGCTTGCGATCGCTCCTACGGTTCACCCCTTATTTTCAGACCTCAAGCGACTTTGACAGTCTCCGGTCCTCCATGTTCAAGGCCTTCGACTCTCCGTCCTCTAACGTCCGTGCCGCGGCCGCCGACTGCTTTGCCGAGGCCCTTGTCCAAGGTTATTCCGAGTCAGCGGTTGGCGAAGCTCCCTTGGTACTGCTCAAGAGATCCAAATCCAAGGCTGTGAAACGGCAGTCCATGCAAGCTGGCGCGTTGCAGGACGACGACGATATCCATTCACGACCGGAAAGCCCTGCTCCAGGCAAGAAGTCCCAGATCTTGGCTCTCTCGCTGGCAGACATGCTCAAGACCTTGTCGACACAGTATGTGCGCATGTCAACGTCCAACAAATCGAGAGCTGCAATCGCTATCTGTTACGGCAACATGCTCCGCAAGCTGGGAGAAAGGACGGTGGAGATTAACTACACGCGGATTGTTGAACACTTGACCGTTGAGCTCCTGGGGAATAGCAATGTCGCCAACAATCGATACCGGCTGCTCATTACACGGCGAATGGTGGAAATCATTGTACAAGACGTTGTTGGCAAGAAGATTCTTGGAGAGTCGGGCCAGAGCAGCGCAGCAAAGGCCCTCCTCAACGACATCGTCAAAAACTACCCACAGGCGCTCAAGGAGAAACCGGAACCCACGAAACAGACACTAGCGGTTTCGCTGAGCGCCCTGGCGTCCCTGATAGACAGTCTGGGCTCGGCGTCCAACAGCTTCTCGGAAGCTTGCCGTGATGGCCTTCTGCAGGTTCTACAACACCCGAGTTACACTGTCCAGGTGTACGCATCATCGTGTCTAAAGACGTTCCTGTTGGCGTGCCCCCAGCAGCTTCTCCCCTGTCTGTCGGTGTGCATGAACAGCCTCAGCAGAGAGCTGGGGCTGCTTGGTACGGGAAGGGGCTCGCCCCGTCGTTGCCTCGGCTTCGCCCACGGCCTCGCCGCCGGCCTCAGTGCAAGCCCGCAGCGGCCGCTCTATGGCTCGGTCGACATCAATAGCCGAGTCTTGACCATGGCCACAAACCTGCTCAAGTCGAGCGGCAGCTCCGAGTTGCGCGTTGCCAGCGTGCAAATCCAGGTCGCTTGGACCCTCATCGGAGGGCTCATGTCGCTTGGACCCAACTTCGTCAAGATCCATCTCTCGCAGCTCCTTCTCTTGTGGAAGAATGCCTTGCCCAAGGTTCTCTCAAAGGACAGCTCCATACACAGAAACTATCTTAACGCTTGTTTCCTGACCCATGTCAGAGAGTGCGCGCTTAGCTCGATCCTAGCTTTCCTCGAGTTCAACAGCCGTCTCCTCACAGTCGATGTTTCAAAGCGTATCGCAACAATGCTGCAGAGCACGACGGCGTTCCTGAAAACGCTCCCTTCAAAGAAGACAGCAGAGGATATTAGCGAAAGACTAACACCGTCCCTGCAATTGCAGGATCTGGAGGTCATGGTGCAGCGGAGGGTGCTTCAGTGCTATACCAAGTTGGTGAACATCAGCCCAGCAGCCGGTACTGAGGCCCTCTTGCAATCCAACCTCCTCACACTGGCCATTTCTCTCTTCGCAGACCCCGATAACTACACCCCTACCTCTCTCAGCGCATCCATCGCCAACACGGCCGGAACTTTTGAGTCTATCTGGGAAATTGGCGACAACTCCGGATTCGGTGTGACGGGCCTTGTGCGGGGCTTTACCGTCAGGCCACTTCCTGGACAACATGAGGGCTCTGCCGACCGCACTCCTTCTGGTCGAGAAGGGCCGGAGGAGGCAATTGAGAGACTTTTGCTCTCTCCCGTTTGCGGCACCCTTGAGCACGATGCCTCGGTTCTGTACATTGGCAGCGCCGACGGGCCCAGTCTTCCCGACCCTGCTGCGACTGAGGTGGTCAACATGGCGATCCAACTTTTCGCCTTCGTCTTTCCGCTTACGCCTGCTAAGGTCCAAGAGAGTGTCTTGGAGCAAGTAACGACCTTCTTGGCCGCGGGCTCTCTCCAAAGAGACCCCGGCCGCAAGGCTGCCATCAATGTCAACGTTGCTATGGCGCTGCTTTCCATTCTGCGAGTAGCTGTTAAGGAGACGAAGTCGCCTCCAGGTGACGTGACCAACGCGGCTGTCGAAAAGCTTATCCAGGACTTGCTTCGAGTTTTCGTGCTGGATCGGGACCAGTACGTTCGAAGCATTGCTTATGAAGCGGTTGCTCGACTCTGCGGCGCCTGCGGGAATGCCTTCACAAACCAGGAGATCAAATACCTTGTCGACACCATCGTGGTGAATCGAGAACCTAGCGCCAGAGCCGGCTGTGCAATGACTCTGGGAACCATCCAGGCGCAGATCGGGAGCATGGCAGCTGGGTACCATTTGAAGACCGTCCTTAACATTCTCCTGTCATTATGCAACGACCCTCACCCTACTGTACACTACTGGGCGCTGGAAGCAGTTGCAAGGGTTTCTGACGCCTCCGGGCTTGGATTCGCAAACTACGTCTCGGCCACTCTGGGGATGCTGGCCAACCTCTACTGTTCCGAGACTCACAATCCCGAAGTGGCTTTACCTGCGACCATGAACCTTGAGGTCGAGTCGTCTACGTCTGCGGCCATCGCTCACTGCGTTGACTCGCTCATCAACGTCCTCGGCCCCGATTTACAGGACTCCACGAAGTCGAGAGAGCTCATCCTTACCCTCGTCGGATATTTCCAGCAGGAAGAGGATTCTGAAGTGCAGAGGGCCAGCCTCCTGTGCTTGGAGCACCTCTCGCTGTACGCTCCGGGATACATGAATTTTGCAGACTACGTCAAGACACTACAACACTACCTCGACTCTGAGCGCACCGCCCTTCGGGATGTTGCCGTGGATGGGCTGCATAATCTGATGAAGAGGAACCCGTACGACGTCATTGAGGCCGCGAACAAGGGGTTTGAGGACCAGCTGTGGTTAGTACTTGACTCGAATCCGAGCCACGACGGGATGCGTAACACCCTCCGGAATTGGATGCGGCACACGTGCCTTGACAATACGGCCGCCTGGCTCGCTCGTTTCCAGCATGTCCTCAAGATGACGAGACCCAAGGAGGCAGTCAAGGACACCACCAAGCCCAAGAAGTCGAGCACTGGAATTGATCTCCAAGATGAAGAGGTCGCTGGGTTTGCCGTCGCGTCTGCTGGCGCCAAAGACGAAAAGGACACCCCGAGCGGCTCCGACGTCGAACCACTTCGATGGCAGGTCATGACTTTTGTTATGGAGTGTCTGAATGACATTTTTGTCCTCGTGGCCAAGGACGTTGCCACGAACGGGGAGTCTGCGGCTCAGGCTGCGCTCCAGAGCAAGATCGCAGATGTCGTCCGGATGGCTTTCTCGGCGTCCACTGCCGGTGTTGTCGAGCAGAGAATATGGGGTTTGAAGATCATTGGTGCCGTTCTGAAGATGTTCGGTAAAGCGCCTGACCCAGATTTCGAGGAAGCTATGCTGCTCGAGCAGTACCAGGCCCAGATCAGCTCAGCTCTCACGCCCGCGTTCGCCGCAGACTCTTCCCCTGAGCTTGCCGCCGAGGCGGTCAATGTCTGTGCGGGTTTCATCGCGACGGGCATCGTCAGGGATGTGGACAGGATGGGCAGGATTCTCAAGACTCTTGTGAGCTCGCTCGAAAACTTCCGGATCGAAGATGAGAATGCCGGCATTGGCGACCTGAAGGGACTGAGCTCGAATGCCCGAGTCATGGTCAAGATGGCCGTGTTTGGTGCCTGGGCTGAGCTTCAAGTTGCGAGCTCCGAGCAAAAGTACCTGCTTGACGTCCTCAAACCCCACATCGGTACATTGACTCCTCTCTGGCTTGAGTCTCTTCGGGAATTTGCACGGTTACGCTTTGAGCCCGACATTTCAATGACCTTGGGACCGCCCTCTCTCTCTGGCAGTCTGGACACGGTCTACGCGGCTCTAAACAGAGAGACGCAGCTCAAGTTCTACCAAGATTCATGGCTGAAGCTGGTCGATGCAATCGCCAGCCTCATTGGGCAAGATAGCGACTTCGTCTTTGACGCGCTTGATGGCAAGGAGGTATCGGGGCCCAATACCAACGGCACCTCCAGCGGACCTGGTATCAACTACCGCGATGAGCCCGTGGCATTCTTCTTCGTGCTCTTCGGCATCGCATTCGAAGCCCTTGCCACCAAGCCTGGGCAGAGCGAGTCTCTTGCGACTCAGGAGCAAACGCTTGCCATTCTCAGCGCTCTAAAGAAGATCTTGCACCCCAGCGTGTCTGGGCAAGCAATCTACCGCGAGGCCATCTTCTCCGAGACGATGGATCTCCTGGACCGCCTCGTCCTTACTGAGGGCCTTGACGTCCAGGGGGTGATAGTCGAGATTGCGAGGGATCTGTGCTTAGCTCATCCGGCGGCCAGGAAACAGGAGGAAGCCGATAATGGGGAGCTGTCGGAGGATATCGAACAGCTTTTCGAGCTTACCCGCATCATCGTCCTCGTCCTTTCTGGCCTGCTGCCGAATCTCAGCGAGGCCCCTCAACCAAGCCGCCATCACATGACTGAGGAAGCCATTCTCCTCATCAAGACAGCGCTCCACGCCCTGGTGGACGCCGCAGAGGTGTTTCCTGCTATTATCAAGACGGATCTCTACGCGTGCATCATCCACATCTTCGCGACAATCCTAGCCACCCCTTCCTGCCAAGAGGTGATTGTGCCCCAATCACTGCCGACGCTGAAGAGATTCATCACAAGCGTGGCCGGCTCCCGAAGGTCACCTGAAGAAGGCAGTTCACAGACGGACATCCAGCTGCTAGGGTGCCTTCGCCGGTTCCTCTCCATCTACCTGAACGCCCAAAAGCGCGAGGGCCCCACCTCGCTTGCCTGCGTCAAGAACTGCCTGCTGGCGCTCACAATCCTGTTTACAGGCGGCAAGAACAACCTGCCGGCCAGCGAACCGCTCGTAGAACGCTTCTTGGATGAGCTTCTGGACTGCCTGACGGATTGCATGGTAAGTGCCCGCCTCACCGGCTCCATCCATCCACCCAGCCCCGCTATCCCGTTCACTAACCACGCGTGCCCTTACCCCCGTACCTTACAGACGGCCAAGATAGCCGCCAACTGCATCCGCTCCCTCCTCCTGCAGCCCAACCCAACCCTCGCGGATCAGTCGCTCGCGCGCCACCTCCTGCCGCGGCTCCTCACCTTCGTGACGGACACGAACCCAGAGGACCCGGAAAACGCGCGGGCGCTCGTGGCGCACGCGCTGTGCGGGTACGTGGCCACGCTGTCCAACAACGACGCGCGCGCGCCCGTCGCTATGGCGCTGGTCCTGCCTGCGCTGCTGGCGCGCGCCATGAGCGAGGGAGAAGAGGTGTATCGCGAGACGAGCGGGCGGTTGCTGGAGCTCGCGTCGGCGGACCAGAACGCGTTTAGGGGCGTCGTCGGCGGGATGAGTGAGGGGCAGAGGGGATTCTTGGAGGAGGTGATTAGGAGTGGGAGGCAGCCGGATGGTAGGGGCAAAGTGGGTGGTGAGGATGGGGTAAGGGAGCCGAGTATCGCGCTGAAGATGGATTTTGGGGGCGCATAGTTAGATGGTTGTGGACTTGTTGAAGTGAAGAAATGGCCAGTCTAATTCAGCCAAGTATATTTTTCTATGTTGGAATCCAAGATGGCGACTCGGGTCGGCCATGGATGTCATCTATGTAACCTGGCTCCGGTTCCGGCTCCGGCTCCAGCCCCTCGCGCTCGCTATGCAATCATGTCTATGTGTAATCCGGTGCTGATTCCGTTATTCTGGGCCGTCAATTTGCCGCCAAGATCTCGGCCGCGTCAGGCCCGGGCGACAGGTCCGACCTCCCGTCGTTCTTCTTCAGCTCCTCGGCCTCTTTCGCCAGCCGCTCAGCCTCCTTTTGCCGCTTGCGGCCCATGTAGGTGGTGTACCGGATGGTGCTCAGCGTGAGCACAGCCATGAAGATGATACCAAGGACCGATCGCCGGATCAGCACCCACCGCAAGCCCTCAATGTCGGACCTGGCGTCGCTGTTGAGGGTGACGCTGATTTTGTAGTTGATTTGTTGAATCTACCCCCTCTGTCAGCAACAAGACGATGGTAACATTATCAGACGAGGAGTAAAAACACACCCGACTCTCAACAGCCTTCTGCTCCTCGCGCACCGCCATCCGCCTGTCGTTGAACATGCCCCGCACGCTGTCATTCAGCGTCAGCAGCTCCTGGTTGAGCCGCTGCGCGAGGATGTCGACCTCGTGCTGCAGCAGGGTGCGCTGCTGCCGCAGCTGCTCATCGGCCACGCGGCGGTTATTGCGCACCTCGGCGCTCAGCTCGCTGCACGCCGCCCGGAAGAGGTATGTCTCGTTCTCGACGTCGGCCTTGGACACCAGGCCGGCCTGTGCCACGTCCAGGTTGGAGGCCAGGATGGTGCGGATCGCCTTCATGGCGAGGATGGCTTGTGGGAGCGTGTAGCCGCCGGCTGTGAGCTGCTTGACGAGCGTGTACGAGTCAAAGTGGTGGATGTAGGGGGGTGGAGTGAGGTGTGGGGGTTTCGTGTTTTTGAACGGGGAAGTGTCCGTGTCGGTGCCGGTGCCGGTGCTGCTCTTGTTGCTAGAATCCCTGGGCAACTCAGCGGCAACAATCGTGGGCGGCGGCGGGGGGAGAGAGTCCGGTGGAGGGCCTATGTGTAGGATTTCGTCCATTGGACTGCCTTTCTTGGTTTGGGTGACAGGGTCGATGTCTCCCGGCGGGGGTAGCTCGATGGTCTGGGGAAGGTCGAATTGGGGAGGAGAGGTAGACTGTCGGCTTCCATTGCCAGATGGTGGCGGTGTGGTTGGTGTCGGCTGCGTGGTGGCCTGCGCGGGATCTTGCCCTTCCGGCTTCCCTCCCTCACCCTTCGACTGCGACTTGGATCCATCCAGCGACAGAGGCTCTATGCCCTTCCCGGCCCGCTTGGCAAAGACGGCCTGCCTCCTTGCCGAGGGCGTCGTATATGGGGTAGCATGTTGGCCGCATAGGGATGTCGGGGACCGGGCCGATGGCTGTTTGCGACGAGAGCTACGCACGGCCTGTGATGCTGCGGGGTCGGTCCAACGGCCACCTCCTCGGAAGAGGTGCGGGTACAGGAAGGTCAGGCGGTTCGCTGCCATGGTGGCCGGGTAACTTGGGCCGGAGACGGGTTCTTGTGGTCTGTCAACTCACATGCCGTGCTGCTGAGTGCGTATTGAAGGTTTATGCGGGAGCGCGGTATTTCTCGGTCAGGAGATGGGATGCATCGGCCCAGAATGACGGGTCCGTTCCAGAAGCTGGCAGCTTGGCAGCTCGAATCGCTTGGCGGCGGCTTGATCCGGGCGCTGCTGGGGACCAGGTATGCAACTAAAGGAGCTGCTACCCGTTACTCCGTACTTGGTCACAAGTAGGCATCAGTCATAAATGTCTCGGTCATGTCTGCACTTTGCAGGACCACTCCATGCCTGTCTATCTGAGAGACCTCAAATAACCTACGCAATCTCATATGTGAATGTTCTCATCTCTGGCGGAATACGGATACTTGGGTGCAACTGGTCAACCCAACACCGTCACCTCGACTTGTAAACTGACGGGGACTCAAAATCGCGGCTAATTACATGTCTGAGGCTTGTTTTGACGCCATGTCCAATGAGAGAGCTGACCCCGGGCACACTGGCCAGGCGATGATGGCCGTTGGCCATCCTTGTCATTTTCGGTGAAGCTCTGACCTCGCACGAAATGTTGCGGTTGGGAACAAAAGGCCTGGCGTCGTCCATCCATGTGCGGGCGAGTTGGGCCCGTCAACAAGCATACATCTCTCAATGTCTCTGAAAGCTTCCAGTATATACTTGTGGAACACCACGACCTACGCTAGGCATTGCTCATACACCAGCACAAATTTGCACCCGGTCATTTTGATCTTTGCTTCGTCTCTCTTCCATCGAGCTTCCGTACGATAACACATTCTTGAACCCTCATTGACTCACCAAACCTAATCTTCATCCGCCACGAGTGTTTTCCATCTTCGCCAGCTATTCTTTGGTCGATTAGAGAAAGCTAGCACTTGGATCGCTGGGGCGGAGGCCTCTTTATTTGGGAGAGATAGTATATCTATCTTTGTCTCTACTTAGGAGGTGACCTCACTGCGAGCTCCAAGGTAGGGATTGCAGCTCTCACGTCTTTCCGTCTTTACAGCATGTTCTCACTCCCGTGGCCGGCTGCATATGGGGCTTCTGTTGCACCATACCTCTCGTCGCGATCAACGTCAGAATCCATATCTTACACTCCATCCACAGGGTCTTGTTGGCCTCTTTGCTTGCCATCTCCTCGGCCCTCGTATGCCATCTCCGTTCCGCATGGCCTCTTCTCGTTATGGTACGCATATCATATGATCACAAAAGCTGATAGATCGTCTAACATGGTGAGCAGACGCCAAGTCCAACGACCCTCCTCTCATCGAGCGGAGCTCCAGCATAAAGTCTTACACGACGTCTCGGGCCGCGTACCCGAGGCTCCGTGTCTTTTACAGGAAGCATCAGCACGCCGACAAGCTGCCTACTTCGCCCGCTCCTGTACCGCTGCTGGTTTTTGTCCACGGCCTTGGTGGTTCGGTCGCGCAGTTCAATGCTTTGCTCACCAGCCTCACTCCCATCGCATCATGCCTGGCGGTTGACCTCCCCGGATGCGGCCTCTCCGGGTTTGCCCCCCAACACTGGGATGCTTACTCGGCAGATGCCCTCGTTGAGCTGCTTGAGACGGTCATCGAGGACCACCGTGATGCGTCGGCCGGCCAAGGAGTGGTTCTGATTGGCCATAGTATGGGTTCCTCCCTCGCCGCCCTGCTCGCCAACCCACGGAAACCGAAGACCGGACTTCACGAGCACGTTCTCGGCTTAGTGGCTATATGCCCCACTGCAGGGCACTTCACTCCGGACCGGGTTCGAATGATGCGAGCGGCTCTGTATATCCCCAACTTTCTCTTTAACCTCTGGAGAGCCTGGGACAGGCGAGGAGGTCTTGAAAGCCCCAGCATCCACCGTTTTGTTGGGCCTGGTGCGGATACGGAGACGAAGCGGCTTCAATACATGTACAACTTCCAGAGCCGGACGCCTGTCTGGCGGCGAATGGCTTGGGGCGCGCTACCGACATACTCCAACGGCGTGCCTTCGAACGGGATAGCATCACTTGACGTTTGGGCAGGGCTGGACATCCCGGTATTCCTGGTCGGGGGGACGGACGACCAAGTCGTTCCCCCGGGAGAGGTCGACATGATCGTTTCGGTACTAGCAGACAAGAAAACTGACTCTGGCTTGGAGCCCGACGGAGCCACTAGTAGCACCGAAGAGATACCGGTTGCGAACGGAACAGCAGACATCCCACATCTGCCTCAACGCCCGAAGAAAGTGGTGGTGAGCATCAAGCTTCCCAGCCCAGCTGGACACGGGTTGCTGTACGCCCCACCAACTGTGCCCATCCTCGCCGGTCTCATCTCCGATTTCCTCTCGACCCACGTCACCGGTCGTCTCTCACTAGGCTGGCAGCTGCAGTACCTCTGTAGGGACGGGAAATGGGACGTCAAGAACCTCGAGAAGTGGCGAAAGGTCGCGCCAGTGTCGGAGCCGATAGGCAGAGTGTTTCGCGCTATCAAGACCCTCCGGGAAGTGGACGAGGAGCACTGTCCGCGGGTATTCGTTGAAAAATGGGGAGACATCATCAAGGACGTCATTGACATATCCCACGACAACCCAGTCTACGACCCGCGAGGCCTCGAACAGGGCGGCATCCGCTACCACAAATTTGCAACCCTGTCCAAGGTGCCGCCCAATGACGCCGAGATCAGAGGGTTTATCGATTTGGTGGACAAGATCCGGGCCGATCAGGAAGAGCGGGCCGAAGGCAATGGGTGGAAGGACGGCTACGCTGTTGGCGTTCACTGCCATTATGGGTTCAACCGGACTGGGTTCCTGATCGCGTGTTATCTCGTTGAGCGGTGCGGGTTCACCGCCAAGGAAGCCATCGAAGCCTTTGCCAAGGCCAGGCCGAACGGGATCAGACACGAGCATTTCAAGGATCGGCTATATGTGCGATATTCGGGGGTGAAGAGCGAGGCATGAGCAATCCGTGTTGGTATTATCGGTTGTATGGATCTGTTAGCGGTTTTATAGAAGGTTGGGGGCAGTGGAATGGTGGTGGCGTTGGGTCAACGGCTTAGAGTTTGGTCTCGGAGAACCCCTTGATGTGACTGTTTTCGCATTTTCCTTCACTTAAAATTCTCGACGAGTATATATGATTTAGTTACGTGAATGTTATGTCTTGCCCATCAAATCCCATCACCACCACACGACTCCTGGCAAGTCCCTCCTTTCGTTAACCTCCAATAATAATCTCCCCACGACTAGCCAACCACAAAGCCCCAGAATCGGCCCATATCTCATACCTCTCCACTCTATCATCATCCTCATCAAACCCCAGTACATAGGTGAACACCTCGTCCCAGCTCTGCCCCGTGCTCTTCCACGTACATCGTGCCTCGCCCCTCAGCGAGACCTTGCGCACCTCGGCGTCTACAATGTACTCGCTAAAACACATGTTTTCAAAACTGAGGCATTCGGCTATGGTGGAGAGATACTGGAGTAGTCCGTCGGCGCCCCGAAAAGTGCGACCTAGAAAGGGAGCTAACTTGGCAAGGCCGTGCTCGTGCACGAAAATGGCGGGGTGGTTGCGAGTGAAGTGGGTCTCGAGAATTGTCGAAGGGCATTCGGAGCGGGAAAAGCTATCGCAGAAGGACATGGCGGCGGTTAGGAGGGCGGTGCGGGGGTCGTGTTGTGGCATCTTTTGGGACTGGTATCTGACTTGGAAGTTGACTGGTTTAGATTGGGATCAAGCTATTGTTGAGATTGTATGAATGAGGTGGTCATCAGCGTGCATCATGTGGGCGGTTCAACCCGGTTAGGCAACACCGCGCCAGACCCCTGTCCAGTCGACGTCATGCGGGCGGGCGCCAGGGGTATAGGGCAACCTCGCCGCTGATTGGGGCCTAGTGGACTCTGCCGGTACCTAAACTCAACGTCACACCCCAAGCTGCGGCTCATCAGCTCTGAACCTCCAGACATGTACCTGCCTGCCAGCAACCATCCCAACTTTCCACGTTACCTTCAGAGGCCAGCAACAGTTCGGTAATCCGACACCAAACGCGATGGTAAGTCCGTGCGCTTCATTTATTTATACAAGAAAGAGAACAGTCTGACATATTGAACACGGCAGTCCCCGAGGTCGGAGCGGACACCGCTCCTCGCGGACCGCCCGCGCAATTCCGAAGACTCAACTCTCCGCGCCGAAGAAGAAGATGCCGCCCTTCACAGCACCGCCATTCCACCAATTACTCGCCGCACCAGCATGCGTGAGGTGGTCCTCTTTGTATGGGCGCTTCTCGCAACTGCCGGCGTCATCGTCCTAGCCGTAATCCTCCAGCACCACAACTCAACCCACCCCTCGCCCTCAACCCCTCCTCCACCGCCCATCGCCCCAGGCGACCCCTCCGCCGGCGGACCCTACCACATTCCCACAAACCCCTCCAAGAAGCCGAAACGCAACCTCATCTTCATGGTCTCGGACGGCATGGGCCCGGCCTCGCTCTCCCTGACCCGCTCCTTCCGCCAATTCACGTCCTCCCTCCCGATCAACGACGTCCTGACGCTCGACCGCCACTTCTGGGGCACGTCGCGAACGCGCTCGACAAACTCACTCGTGACCGACTCGGCCGCCGGCGCCACGGCCTTCTCGTGCGGCCGCAAGAGCTACAACGGCGCCATCGGCATGCTGCCGGGCCACCGGCCCTGCGGCACCGTTCTCGAGGCGGCTAAGAGAGCCGGGTTCCTAACGGGGCTGGTGGTGACCACGGACGTGACGGACGCCACGCCGGCGTGCTTTGCCGCCCATGTGGACTCCCGATGGCAGATGGATGAGATTGCGCTGCAGGAGGTTGGCGAGGGGCCGCTGGGGCGGAGCGTCGATTTGATTTTGGGTGGTGGGCGGTGTCATTTCTTGGGGAACGGCACGCAGGGGAGTTGTAGGGCGGATAATGTGGATGTTGTGCGGATTGCGCAGGAGAAGCACGGCTGGAGTTATAAGAGCGATCGGAAGGGGTTTGATGAGTTGAAGTTGGGGCGGAATGTGACGCTGCCCATGCTGGGTCTATTCGCAGCGACGGATGTGCCGTTCGAGATTGACCGGCGGCACATGGCGGATGTGTATCCGAGTCTGAGCGAAATGGCTACCACGGCGTTGACGGCGCTGGAAGAGGCGACCAAGGATAGCGACAAGGGCTTCTTTCTGATGATCGAGGGCAGCAGGATCGACCATGCCGGACATTTCAACGACCCTGCTGCCCAGGTGCGGGAGGTGCTGGAGTACGACAAGACGTTCAAGATGGTGGTGGACTTTTTAGAACAGTCCGACACGGAGGGCATTTTGGTGGCCACGAGCGACCATGAGACCGGCGGCTTGGCCACTGCTTGGCGTAAGATCTTCCCCTCACTGCCTGTTTCTTACGTGATGCTAACCCCCCTACAGAAACACCCGGCGAGCTTCCCGTCTACAACTGGTACCCTACCGTCCTCGCCAAAGCCAACGCGTCGGCCGAGTACTGCACCTTCCTCCTCCGGCAGCACATCGCAACTTCGCCTTCGGAATCCAAGCAATCCCTTGTCGACTGGATCAATCAAGAACTCGTCATCCGCCGCCTCGGCATCACCGACGCCCGCGAGGTCGAACTGAGCGCCCTCGCCACAAACCCCGAGGCCGCTAACCCCATCTTCTGCCGCATGGTCAGCGAGCGCGCTCACATTGGCTGGAGCACCCACGGCCACAGTGCTGTGGATGTGAACATCTACAGCTCTGGGGGTGCGGCGGCCGAGAAGATCAGGGGCAATGTGGAAAATACGGATATTGGGCGGTTTCTGAGCGGTTATTTGGACGTGGATGTTGAGGAGATTACGAAGGAGCTGGACGATAAGCTGAAGGGAAACTTACCGGTTGAGGCTTTGGAGAGTAATGTGCTTGAGACGGGCGGGCATCCGGCAGAGCGGCTGAGGGACGTTAGATTCTAGACTTCAGCGTCTGAGCATGTTGCGGAGTTAGGGGCTTGTGGTTATGGTTGTATGATGTGTGGCATGTGTTTGTTTTGATCAGTTTGTTCTGCATTGGAGCGAGCTTTGGCAGATATTTCGGTAGCTTCTGTATCAGGTAGATGTCGTCGGACCGGAACTTCTCACGAGCATACCTTTCGCCTTTTCGAACTGCGTGCTACGACTGAGCTTCAGCCGCGCTGCCATGCTTGCCACTGCCAGGTAGTATATGAAGAAGGTCTGGACCCCGACTTCATCGACCACCGCGAAGTGGGCTAACGGTCAATGGCGTTGATCGCCCCCCTGTGGCTTGTTTGGGATTCATCGGTCTCATACCGAGAGCTCACCAGTTCGACTTCAAGCCCACCTGCCGCCCGCGAAGTAAACCCTTCTGAGGGTTTCTTACTTGGCTATCTCTCTTCGACTGGCGGAGAAGGTCAACCGGTGAGCTTTTTGCTCTTTTTTTTCGTCATTAACCTCCCTGAAAACCCGATTGTTGAGGTCCTGGACGCCCTGAGTTCGCCCCTGGGTTGTGCAGGCTGGGCAAAAGATCGCATTTGGAGCATGCGGATCCTTAGCCTTGACTGTGCTGTAAGATAACTACTACTGGGCTTGGTGTTCCAACGCCTATGGCCTGTTTTTGCTACTTGAGGAACAGTGTAGCGAACGCAAGTTGAGAGCGGTTGACGCGGTTGATCCAAATTGAAACTACTCGAACAGAACCACGGAAGATATCATCGGGACCATCAACTTGCTGAGTCTCTCAACCTGTTATATCCTGATTTAGACCTCCTTACGATACAAACTAAACCCCTATCGTGGGAGGAGACAAGCCTCGCCCGTCTGAACCGGTGCCGGGGGTTTATCATTAGGTAATTGCTTCCGAGAGCCGCTGGGCTCAGCATTGTATTCGCAATGAACACGTTGTTCGAGAAACAGGATCTGAGCGATGCCCATAAAAGAGCCAGCATGTGTGACAAAGAGGATAGCTGTCTGAATCCCAACATCCTCAATGATCAGCGCGAGCGCATTGTATTGCACAGTGATGTAACCAGCATCGCCTCCTGTTGTCCAAATCGGATGCCCAGAATTATCTCTCCAGATACGTCAAAGATCCGTTAATCGTCGCCAGGCGTCCTCTATCGCGGGAAATGGACGAACCCCTCGTTGACAGTGGGATACACCCATTTAACGCGAAACAGAGATGATCCCGCGTCTGGACAGACGACTTCCACGCCCATAACCCACTCGTCGACGCCCATCCACTGTAGTGGCGTAACCTACTGGGAATGTGCCCATTTTGCCCAAGAACTCTTCGTTCACGACATCTCCTCTGCTCTCAGCCTGGCCAATTACTGGCGGCGCACCATCTCCTTGACGCTACTTTACAATGAACTCTGCCCCGCTTTTGCGGTTTCCTTTTCTTCGGCATGATCCCGCGCCATAAGAGAAGCAGATGCGGAGACGCAGAGGAGGAGGGGTAAGAACCTCCCAACCAGCATTTGAGGTGTTGAGTCTCCGGGTGACGGGGTGTGTCTGTCGGATCGAATGCGACAGAAGTGGGAATCGGGCACATTCTGGATGAACTTCCCAGCTGGTAGATGCTGGGAAGTCTAAACCTCTCCTCCGGGGGATTTTAGATGAGCCCTTCTCGGAAGAAAACTTGTGAGAGGCTAAGGCATGAAAGGAGCATGCACCTGCTGCCGGAGGCGGTGATGGGCTCGGCAAATTTGTCTGTCGGGAAAAGTTGGATGCCGTGGGAGGACTGAATAGTGGATTGAGTTTCCGAAGAAGCCATGCCCTATCTAGCTGATGACGGGCAGTCCTTGACTAGTTGTTGTAACTCTAGACTGGCGGTCTAGAAGTTGCCAACAAGCTGCCCATGGATGGCATGCCCTGTCCATAGCTAGGTGGCATTTAATCCGAGAAGTCAGACTCGTGCAGTTCGTCTGGGTCCATCTGGTTATTGATGTCGAACCGCCCCTTGAACCGGTTGTGGAACTCTGTGCCTAGCCAGGCCTCCTCGTCATCCGTGAACCTAAAGTCGTAGTTCTGGTTGGCGATGTACACCTGCAACCCTTCGTGCTCGCCATCAGGGTCTGCTTCGAGCTGATCCAGGAAATCCATGAGCACGTGGGGCGAGATGATCGAGGAGCCGTATACGTTGAGCGATTTTAGCTTGGAGAGTTTGGCAATCGGCCCCAGGAACACGTCGTCGATGAGATCTCCGTACATGACGATACGTTCCAGCAATGGCAGCGAAGAGCACATATGGTTCGTGTTGTCGAAAGTGAACAGCTCGTTGGTATCAAGTTCGCGCAGCTCGTGACAGCAGGCGATGGAGTCAGCCAGGGGTGTGCGTCGCTCTTCGCTCAATTCGATGAGCTCTTCATCGAATCGGATGGACAATTCTTGAAGTTGGCTTTGGTTCTGTAATGCAGCACAAAACTCATCGTCGAAGTCGAGTGTTTTGAGGCTGAGACTGAGAAGACGGACCGTGGGCGATTTGAGGACATCGGCAAGGATCGTGGTCGAAGCCGGAATGACCCTGAAGTCCAACTCCTTGAGAGAGGCACAGTCCTTCAGCCATTGTACAACCTCCTGGAAGCTCTGTTTGGATTCGGTTTGCCAGTCGTAAACCTGAGCGCTCCAATCGCCCTCTAGTTTGAGTGACTCCAGGGAGACGCAGTGCTGAAGCTCGTTCAACGACTCCAAGGCCGGTCGTTCGAGGCTGAGAAGAGCGAGGCTTTTTAAGGAGCGGGAGTGATTACAGAGAGCCTTGAAGGTCTTCCTTTGGAGTTCATTCATGCTTAGAACGGTGAAGGATTCTGTGGAATGTTAATGGACTCGGCTGCCTCGGCCATCCGTATGGTTCACCACGTACCCAGTGAGTTGGGCTCCAGGTTTTTAAAGAAGCCGGCTATCTGTTCATCAATGTCGGTCCCTCGACAAAAAAAGCATTCTCTGCATCACCAGTAATGGGCGGGTGATCAGCCTGGGATCACACAGAAGAGAAAGGAGAAGCAGACGGGGCTGGGGTTAGGGTTCACTCACACCTCTCGGAAAGCTGGGCAGTGTTGTCGGATAGCGCGAGCCACGTCGCTGTTGAGCACGGAACCGTCACGGGCGACGAGCGTTGTTAGGCTGGAGAGACCAGATAGCCAGGTGGGCAGGTTGGCGGTGGGGAGGTAATAGCCTTCGAGGGTGGTGATGCCCATGCGCTTGTCCTCCTTGTCAGCGGACGTGCGAATACAGTCGGTCACTAGGCTAGCCACTTCGACAATAATGGCGTCGAGGTTGAGTGCTCGCCCTCTTCCACTTCGAATCTGAAGCTTCTCGAGCGGTGAGCTGAAGAACTGGGCCTTGAGAATTGGATTATCGCGGGCGAGATCCTCGAGCTGGGAGTGAAGGTTGCCGAGCTTCAAGGCCCTGATCCAACAGCAGTAGGGGAAGAGCGTCTTGCCAAGGCTCGAGGCGATGATGGAGCGCCAAAGACATATCGACGTCTCCATGTCGAGGATGTGGGCGTTGATGGCAGGCGACTGATCGTGGATGGCGTACAGCTCTGGCAAGGCCAGTCGGGCGATCCCTTTGCTCAAACGGGCACAGAGAAAAAGCCCGCCGAAATCGCGGCGACTCGAAAGCTCTTGGGCGATGAGCCACCATATCTCTTGTGGGAAACTTAGACGACTCTGGTCGTCCATTGCGGAAGGGTCAAGCTTGGCCCTAGTGTCCAGATGTAGCGAGACCGCGTGCACGGCCTGTGACAGAACCGGACGCGAAACTGGGCAGATTTCAGCAACGTAAACTCAGCTGATGAGACAGAAAACGTGCAAGACTCAGAAGGCAAATCCTAGAAGACAAGGGTATTTTGAATTCGGGCGGTTATGAAGTGTTGAACAATGGAAGTGGACTGCAAGTCAAGTTGCGGCTCGTCTCCACATTTGCCTTGCACTTCAGTTAAGGTACGGAACGCCCCTAGCGCCCCAGCTTGCTGCTAACAGCGCAGTCGGCAGTCATCCAAGTCGCACCTTCCACTGTAGCGAGCCGCCCGTCGGACATTATGCCTCTCCCTTGAGTGCATTGGCTAAGTGCAATCAACAGATGGCATTCGACCAGAACCGATTTTTTTCCAACCCATATTCCAGGAATTCCTCGGCCTAGTCATCTTTGATCTCAGACACAGCACACCCGCATAGATCTCGGCATGGTGATTTTGAACTTCACGCTGAGCGAAGAGGGGGTGGCTGTGCTTCACGATGCTCTGGCTTGCATGTTCAAGTTCAGCGACGATGTCTGCTTGGAGGCCAGGAAGGACAAGGTACAGAGCTGCCCATGTCCCCGCCTTCGTTTAGTTGTTTATCTCATTGCAGTCTTGCTGAACTGATCCCACTTCTCCTCAGTTGACCCTGACTACGCTCAATATCTCAAAGTCGGCCTATGTCTGCTTCTCCTTCGCCGCACACCGTTTCTTCTCGCGTTACAGCTTCGAGGGCACCCCCCAGTACAGGGACCGCTTCTTTTGCCAGCTCTACATCCGCGTATGTTTCTTGGCTTGCTTCTATGTATGACGTCTAGACCAACACAACACAGTCTCTCCTTACCATCTTCAGAGCACGTCAGGGGAGTGCAGAACAGTCACGGGAGAGGGATGCATCGATAGAACGCTGCGATGTGGCAATCGACGACGGCGTTGGCAAGAAGAGTCGCCTTGTTGCGAGGGTCTCGTTCAGGAACGGTAGGATGCTCACCGACGTGACTGCCGACTTGGCTTCTCACCAGCTTTAGGCATCACGGCATCGCACTCCCTGCCATACGAGGTCAAGCCCCCAACCCATGCCAAGTTCAACAGAGACGAAGCAACAAATCGGTGGGTTATTTCGTCGCGGACATTGCGCCAGCTTATGGATCACTTCGGCCCGGGCATAGAGCTCCTCGATATCAATACAGACGATGAGGCCAGGGTTGTGAACTTCACATGTTTTACGGAGAAGGTGCAGAAGCGCGGTGCTGTCAGCAACGAAGGTAGCATCACTGCTCCCATTACGCGGCCAAGGCTAACCACTGTCCAGCTGTCCTCAAAAAGCCCCTCCACACTAACATTGCGGTTGAGATGGACGAGTTTGATGACGTCGAAGTCCAAGACAAGCTTCACATCATCATCAGCGTCAAAGACTTCCGCGCCATTCTCCAGCATGCCCAAATGACCAGCGGGGCGCTGACAACAAGCTACTCAAACCCTGGGCGTCCTATGAAGCTGTCGTACAACACCGACGGCGTCCTGTGCGAGTTCATCCTCATGACGGTTGGTGAACAGGATGCCTTGACCAAGAAGCACAAGAATCCCCGGGCGACTACTGCAAAGACCGCCGAACCGCAGCTCGATTCAGCATCGCACCGGGGAAGCTCTGTCGCAAATGACAACCAGCAGGGCCCGCCGCCGCCTGCATCTCGGCCTCCCCAACACAAGACTCCGGCCGGGCATCGCCAGCCAGCATTCGAAATTCGACCATCTCCCATGCCGCCTCCCATGACGGCTCGATCCGACTCGCTGTTTGTTGACCAGGCCGAGGACGACGAGCAGTGGGAGCCCGTTAACCCAGACGAGGAGGAAGAAGAGGAGAATGGAAGACTGGAGTGGAACACCACCAACGAACCGGTACTGTAATTGCCTCGTTTTGTATATCCGGGGCTGGCCGCTAATAGGACTGTTAGAACCCGTCGTCCCTGCGCATCGGAAGCTATCTTTCTCGACAGACCGAGCCTCAGGAAGGACCTCCCGAGCGCCTCGCCTCGGGCCTTGAGCCGACCCAGCGACTCTCCGAGGTATGCACGCACCATGGCCCAGGCTGTGCTGAACGTCGTGTAGCTGACTGTTACAGGTCCGCCGTTTCGGCTTGTTTTCTCCCTGATCAAGGAGCAGTCGCCATCGTGTGGCTTGCTTTGCATAGCTTGGGCGTTGGTGGTTTAGGATTTGTTGAATCATTGTGAGGAGTAGCGCGGCGTGATTCAGGTTTGCTTGCCGATGGCGAACCAAGTCGTTGCGCAACCAGCACCGATCTTTGCGATTTTTATCCCCTGTGCAGTTGAAGCAATTTTACTTCGCTCGCCATTCTGGCCAATATGGTTCTGAATTGGCCCACAGTTTCCATGCTCGCCCCAGCCCCAAACCATGAGATCGCCGGTCTCGGTCAATGCCACGGCATGCTCGCTGCCGACTGCGATGTGCTCGACACGCCCAAGGTCATCGCGCGCAAGCTGTCCGTGATCATCCCTGCCCCAGCTGAGCAACGTCCCGTCCTCCTTCAGGACGAACACGCTCCCCCAGCCGGCGCCAACCTCCTTCCACCCGGCTACAGCCTCTGGGGCGTCTGACCGTGCACCCCACTTATCTGAGCCCAGTACTTTCATCTCCCCCGTTTCTGGCGGCCCAAAGAGACAGGTGAACTCCCTCCCACAGATGGCTCTGACGACATGGAACCCAACACCCTCAATGCGCCGCGGCGAGTACAACGCCGCAGCCGCCGGCTCCCCGAGCTGCCCTTTCCGCCCGGCCCCCCAGCCCCATGCTTCTCCATTACTGAGAACAGCAACAACGTGTCCCATACAGGCCGCTATATCCACTACTCGCGTTCCTAAGGGAGGAATGTCCGGTATCTGAGTTGGGTCGGTCACGCGGAGCGTCCCGTTCCCGAGTCCCAATTCGCCTTTGTAGCCCGTACCGAAGGAGTAAACCTTGTCAGTATAGCCGCCGTCTTGTAAAGAGGTGGCGATGATGCTGGCTGCCCAGGTCGCAGCTACATGCTTGGTTTGGCTGCCATCCGGCAGGGCGGTGAGATCCACGGGGCGGAACTGAGGGGTCAGCTCGGATGCACCATCCTTGTCGGCTGCTGGTACGCTTCCGCATGCACCGCTGGTGTGGTCCCCGCTCCAGAGGAGGGCGCCCGATGAGAAGAGGAGGAGGGTGTGGTTCCCTCCGGCGGCTATGCAGCGAAGTCTGAGATCGAAGTTGGGGGTGGTGGTGAGAGAGGGAGGAAGGAGGACTGGTTGAGGGGTGGAAACGTCTTCTTTGTGGCCGAGACCAAGCTGGCCGGAGCCGTTCGAGCCGAGGGCTTGGAGGAGGAACATGGTAGATTTTGGCTCTGCTCCGGGTGAGGCAGAATGGGAGCTGTACACAGTAAGTAAAGCTCAAGACGTCGTGTGAGAAAGACACCGGACGGTGGGTGGACACAATTGGCTGTGCAGCGTGCTTTGTGGGGCACCTACTTGAGTGGCTCGAGTGGGTCAGTCACCCAGGCCCCACCAAATTTTGACTGCTTAAATTCCGATTGACTGGAAATTTTCTTTCCGATTCCTGCAACCTCACTGGCAACACCTCTCGAGCAACTTGAACTCTCACTCGGAAACGTTGAGAGAAGCAGTGGTCATCCGACTGACGATGTGATTTAATAACGAGGAATCCGTCTAATCAGCAGTCCGTCAATCAATCAGCAGTCGAGCGAGATGGTGTCGGAAATGGCGCCGTTTTCCGGTGCCGAGGATTTTGTTGTCGGCCTCATCGGCATGGGCGACATGGGAAAGATGTATGCCCGCCGGTTGAGCAGTGCCGGTTGGAGGTAATGTCTGAGAGCTTCCATATTCTGTCTCAGCTGCCGGGTCGCCAGCGAGGCAGAAATACCTGTCAGTCGGTGGTTATTGCTTATCACCCAGCTTCCGGAGCTGTTGACTTTGGTAAGTCGTTTCTCGTCACATCTTTCCTCGACACGCAGCATCCCCTTGCATGATGACTTGAGCGCATTTGGCTAGAGTATCGTTCGTGGCACATCCGGTCAGCCGTCATGGCCCCGGTGACTGCTGCGGGCTTTCCATGATGAAAAATCTCAGCTACCTAACATTCTTTGTCTGAAGCATTATCCCTTCCCACACGAAATCTCAGCTTGACCTCGCTCTGTACGCCGGCTGACTCGAGACAGACTTGTTGATGACCGCATGGCGTAGAGGCTAATCAAGCGGGTGGGCTGCAGGATTATGGCCTGCGACCGAGAGGAAAAGTACGAGGAGCTGGTCAAGGAGTTTGGCAACCATGTACGGCCGTGCATCTGACCTGATCTCCGCTGCGGACCAGTGCTGAGATCATATCTATAGAAGAATGTACAAATTCTCCGCAACGGTCACCTGGTGTCTCGCGCCAGCAACTACATTATCTACAGTGTTGAGGCGGCGGCCATTGGACGTGTCGTTGCCCAATACGGTCCTTGTGTGTGCCATTCCATGACTGCCCAACCTGTCCACACGCACGCTCGAATGAGCAGAGCTCTTACCAGTTCCTAGCAACGCGTCTCGGTGCCATTGTCGGCGGCCAGACCTCGTGCAAAGATCCAGAGATCAAGGCATTCGAGGAGCACTTGCCCAGCGATGTCGACATAGTCTCCTGCCACTCCCTCCACGGACCCAATATCGACCCGCGGGGCCAACCCCTCGTGTTGATCAAGCACCGCGCCTCGGACGCCTCCTTTACCAAGGTCGAGGCCGTTCTCCGCTGCCTCGGCTCCAAGCACGTCTACTTGACGGCCAAAGAACACGACCGCATCACGGCCGACACGCAAGCCGTCACCCACGCCGCCTTCCTCTCCATGGGCAAAGCCTGGCACGCCAACCAGCAGTTCCCCTGGGAAGGCACGCGTTACGTCGGCGGCATCGAAAACGTCAAGATCAACCTAATGCTGCGCATCTACGCCCAAAAGTGGCACGTCTACGCCGGGCTCGCCATCCTCAACCCGGAAGCGCACAAGCAGATCAACCAGTTCGCCAAGTCCACCACCGAGCTCTTCTACCTCATGCTCGAGGGCCGCCGCGACGAGCTCCGCGAGCGCGTCTACGCCGCCAAGGAGAAGGTCTTTGGCCGCGAGGACAGCCCCAAGTGGGAGGGCAAGCCGCTGCTGCCCGACGGCGTGGTCGACCGGTTCAGCCTGAACCCCAACGCCAAGGGCAGCACCCCGCCCCTGCCGAATAACCACCTCTCGCTGCTCGCCATGGTCGACTGCTGGAGTGCGCTTGGGATCGTCCCGTATGACCACATGATATGTTCGACGCCGCTGTTCAGGCTGTGGTTAGGTGTTACCGAGCATTTGTTTCGCACGCCGGGGTTGCTGGATGAGTGTTTGAGGGTGGGTATCGAGGATAACACCTTCCGGCGGGATGATTTGCAGTTTACGATTGCTGCGTCCGGGTGGGCAGAGTGTGTGGCGCTGAGGCAGTTTGAGACGTGGAGGGAGCGGTTTGCCGTGACGCAGAAGTTCTTTGAGCCGCGGTTTGAGGGGGCGGTCGAGATTGGGCAGGCCATGATTCGGGCGGTGTTGGAGAGTGATAAGGAGTGAGCGTCGTTAGGGTGTGTGCTGTTTTCAGGGGCAAAGAGGAATTCCATCAAGACAGGAGGCGGCGCGGTAGTTCAGCATGCTACTGATTCTACGAATGCAGTCGACACACAGGTGAAACCTGGTGTATCTGTTAGCATGGAACTTACTCCTCTCCTATGTTCTCTTACTTTATAAGTTGTTCTCTATCTTCCGCTCATCCTTCTTATTTATCTCTTTTATTTACCTTCAAATTTTCCATATAACTATCTTGTTTTCTCTATTTATCGTCTTTTCTTTCTTTCGTTTTATATCTCATCGTCCTTGAATTGCTTCTTTTTCTTATTATTTTCTACTGCCTTTCTGTGTGCCATCTAACGAACACACCGGGGTCGTTACCGTTCCCGCTATTGCCGAAGCAACTCTGCAATCTCCCTCAGAAGCGTACTCGTGTCATTCGAGTCACCATTGGAGGCAGGTTCCTTCCAAGCCTTCCAGGCAACCCAGACTTGGATACAACTCAAACCCAGGCTGAAGATGCCAACCGCAACCGAGATGAGGGGAGCGGCCAAAGCCACAGCAAAGGCGTTGCTTTCGGATGTTTGCCACTTCATCCTCCGCTCGAACTTGTTCCGTGTCGGGCGTTCCTGCGTAAACTCGTGCAGAGCTGCAAGCCGCTCGCCCCAATACCATCATCAAGGTGCTCTGCATCGTCAAATATCTTGTACCCTTCAGGCTGCGCGCAGTCTTCGTCAAATCCGTCTTTGGTTCTCAAGCGCTCGGGGATGCAGCTTGACCTGTGGTCGACGAAGTGGAAGAGATTGGTTTGGATAGAATGGAGGGTCTCTGCAAGGAGGCGCGGCGGGAGGCAGCCGCTACTGAAGGTTAGAGGTATGATATGACGAGGCTTGCGAATGGAAGTGTAAGAGGAAGAGGAAGATAAGAAAGAGGAAGAGGAGGAAGAGGAGGAAGAGGAGGAAGAGGAGGAAGAGGAGGAAGAGGAGGAAGAAACTTGACACCCTCTTGAGACAAGCCAACATATTAGCGTCCTTGTTGAGTTCCTCCCTTCTTAGACGGTCTAACTGTGCCTTGATAAGGCTATATAGTGGAATAGATTTAAGGTCTGCCCGTCAGGATGCAAATGGTCCAAGAGCTGATGGTGAGCGATATTGTCGGTGCCCCTGAAGGAAAGGTTGCATCTTGACTTGAGCTTCCATGCTTTATCGACTTTGTGTCCGCCATGGCCTGCTTGACGGCAGCGGATATGGATGAAACCTTTGGGACGCATCTCGAAGCAAGGTCGACGAAAGACCCGGTCGGCTGCCACCCGTGGGCCGGCGCAGTGCAATCCAGCATGAGCATGGCCCGCACCTATATGAGCACTGTTAGTTCCAACTGCCTCGTCGAGCAAGGCACGCTCATCCTGGTCCTGAGTTGCTCGCTGACCTGGTCTAAGGTGAGCCTGGGAGCACTGCGGAGGATCTCGGCTGTAAGAAGGATGTCATTGTGTGTGATGGGATTCGTATGCTCGGAGTCGGATTTTTCAACCTGCAGAACGTAGACGTCGCCGTCGCGTGCGATCAAGCTGTCGTACACCCTGAAATATCAAGCGCGTAAGCGGAACTTCCCACCAGCTCCGAAGCAATCTGGGTTCGATACGTATGGTTTGTCATGATGGTCTCTACCCCTTCGCCCTTCATTTGTTTGTTAGTTCGACATTTAGCACATCTCGGTGAAGCTGACAAGATACAGCAGCAGTAAAGAAAACGCGAATTGGGACGATGAAAAAAGTGAAAAAAGGAGAAGGAAGAAGGAAAAAAAGAAGAGAAGAGAAACGAGGTAAATATAGAAATGAGAAAGAGAAACAGATAAAAAAAGGATAGATAAAAAGAAAGAAGAACGGAAGGAACTTAGGATTAGAAGAAGGAAGAAAAAAGGAGAAACGAAGAGAAAAAAAAAGTATAACTTGGGGGAATAGATAAAAAATAAGGAGAATAAAGAGATAGAAAGATAAAGAAAATATAGAAGAAAGAAGTAAAGGAGAAAAGAAGAAACGTAAAGTAAGAGAATACCTTAAGAATGGAAGATATATAGGGAGGAATGTAAATAAATTGAGGGGGAAAGAACAAAGAAATCTTAGATCACCAAACCGAGCTTCTTTGTCTTAAGTCAGGTTGTATGCTACCTGAGTAAAACAACCAAGGGAGCGTTGGGTTAGAGTGTACTGATGGGTAAGGATGTCTTTCAGAAGAAAATCTGAACGGCAATCTCTATAGAGCCGGCGGTGCCCATATGCAGTCCTCAGCCCTATTCGCCCCTCGTGCATGCAGAACTTGAATCTTGTTAGGCAACGCTGTGGAGGGCTAAGACTGACTGATGGCTTGCGCAGACACTGGTGCTTGAAGGGAGGAACAGAGGTGAGCAAGTGTTTCTGAAAAGCCACAACTACGGGAAGTCCTTCACCTCTTCTATCCCAAAATTCGCCTTCAATCCAGCATGAATAGATGCACCCAATGGCTCAATTCTCATGACGCTGCGCCGGTAGTGTGCTTTGGATCCTCTGCCAATCGGACAACCATGAGCGCGAGCCAGGGGGTGTGTGTGGCTTGGTTCAAGTTGTGAGGCTTCAGCTGAGAAGCAGGAACCAGCTTTGCAGAGCACCGCCAGGAAGAACCGCGCATGAGGTACTAACGACCAATGTGCGGGCACACCCGCTGCCGACTAACCGCCTGATAACTCCATTATACCAACTAGTTCCTTTGTTAAACCCCCTCTACGTCGACTACCCGTTTTGGTATTCGTTCACACCTCACTAGTCTTTTTCTTTTATATATACTCTTCCCCTCCTTTCGTTCTCTTTGCACCTCTTATTCCTTATTATTCCTTACTAATATTTTCCTATTATAATCTTATGTTCAGTTTATCCTTCTCTATTTTCTTTCCCCCCTTCGCCCTTTTTATTTCTCTCCCCTTTCCCCCCTTTTTTCTTGCGTTTCCCATTTGCTTGTTTTCTCATTGTCTCTATCTTTTCATAGTCTTTTCGCATCATCAATATTTTATGGTGTTTGTTGTCTATAGTAAATTGTTCTTAATGATGCTAACTATGCTGTTGTGGTGTTGTTAGGGGGCTCACTGACATCAACACAGTTTCCCCGACTGTGTCCTGGCGGCGATACCTCCAGAACAGTCCAAGGTATTCCCACATAGATATGTTAATATGTTTCTTCCACGGTCGTTGAGGTTTGTGTTCGTAATGTTGATGTCACTGTTGGGTTGGAGATATAAATTGTAAGGTAAACTAGTCATAGTCAGATTCGTCACAGTTGTCCCTGCACTTGGCAGGTGAACTATGAACTTGTGCTTCTGTATATCAGGAATAGGCAGCCATTTCCAAGTCTGAATTTTGAAGAGACGGGAATCGACCGAGCTATGGAGGTCGGGGCATTTGAGTTTCACACCAGCACCGCATGATAAGGAACTTGGAAAGCTTCTACACCACTTGTACTTGATATGTCGAAGGCAGACCAGGCTTGCTACAACACAAATCTGGCTAAACAACTCAGATGAGATCCCTCTGAGAACCTCTAAGTACCCTCAAGTGCCCCGTTCCGCGCGTGCCACCTTCAACGCCGCAGCAAACGCCTCGACGAACCCAATGCAGTCCTCAAACGTATTATACAACGGCGCTGGCGCAACCCGAATCACATCTGGCCTCCGCTCGTCCACAATCACAGCCCTCTTTTCCAACTCGCGCATCACCGTCTCCAATAAGCCAGGCTTCAGCATCAAGCTCAATTGCGCGCCCCGCTGTTCCGGATCGCGCGGCGTGATGATCCTAAACAAGCTGCTCTCCTCCTCCCCGACGATCCCCTCCTCACCCAGGAGCAATTCCTCTAAGAACGCCGTCAACCTGACCGACTTTTCCCTCAACCTGCCCACCCCACCAGCCTCGTGAAACAACTCTAACGACGCGCTCAAGCTGGTAATGTCCATAACACTCGGATTACTCAGCTGGAACCCCGCAGCCCCCTTGACCGGGTGGAACTTGTTGGCCATGACGAAGCGCGTGCGCTTGTCGTTGCCCCACCAACCCGCAAGCCGGTTCGTGTAGCCCTCTTCGGGCTTCTCGTCGGTGATGGCGCGCGTGACGGTGCTGTTGCGTGAGTGGACAAACATGCCGGCGATGCAGCCCGGCCCGCCGTTGAGGTACTTGTAGCTGCACCAGGCGGCGGCGTCGACGTCCCAGTCGTGGAGGTGCAGGGGCACGTTGCCGACGGCGTGGGCGAGGTCCCAGATGACGAAGATAGAGTGTTTGTGGGCGTGGGCGGTGATGGTGGGGATGTCGAGGAGCTGGCCGGTGTAGTACTGGATTCCGGGGAGGAGGAGAAGGGCGGTGGACGAGGCGTGGGCGGTGATGGCGGAGATGATTTCGGACGTGGTGAGGATGTTGTCTTCTGGGGAGGACGCAGAGGTGAGGGTGATCATGGAGGTGGAGGGATCGAGCCCGTGGTGGCGGAGTTGTGTTTCTACGGCGAACTGTAGGGAAGGCGTTAGGTCTGTCTTGAGTATGGGCGAGGCCAAGTACTTACGTGATCGCTGGGAAACGCCTTGCTCTCGAGCATGATTTTGTGTTTGCCGTTGATGTCGGGCCGGTAAAAGGCAGACATGAGAAGATGAAGGTTGGCTGTCAGGGTCTGCATGACGGCCACCTCGGCCTCGGAGGCACCCACGATGGGCGCGATGAGCTGAGCTGCGCGCTCATCTGCGTCAAGCCATGTCGGAAGCGGTGACCCCTCCAGAGGCTTGAAGTGCCCTTGCACACCCTGGGTAGCCCATGTCGCGAGATACTGGTTGAGGCGGGTTTGGGTCCGCTTGGGCTGGAGACCCAGCGAGTTCCCACAGAGGTACACGCACTTGTCTGTGGTGCTTCCGCCAGACCCAGCATCTATGGTAGCTAAGGTCAGGAGATGTCATGATTAGCCCCCTGAACGTAGAGTAGAGTTACAATTCTGCCAGAACGTGGAGCCTTCACACCTGAGTCGGGCAAGCGGGTACTCGCAATCTGGTTTACGGTCGGGATGTTGAACTCGCTGCACGTAAACGTGAGGGAGTCTTCCCGGTCCAGGATCCGAGCTCTCTCCCTTGCGCCCACGACGGCGGAGGCATCAGAGGAGCTCATCTTGCCACGGTACGGCAAGTTAGACAAAATGGAGATACCTATACAGTTGGGTATCTTTGGAGGCAGGTACTCGGTAACAGTCGAAGACTGGTCTTTGGGTTTTTCTGAACTTTGAACTGGCCACTGACAGAAAGCAGGAATAGGTGCGTTAGCTAAGCAAACCAAATCGAAGGATCGAGGGAATTTCTCGATGCTCTGTAACTACCTGACACTGTGTAGTGTACGCGTACAAGGTTCTCCAAATCCATCTCTGTGGGTAACGCGCGGTCGATGCATGGTGAACGTGCGGGGCAAAACCACCCCACCAACAAAGCGGCGTCATCGGCTTTGCGCCGTTGTGCCGATCTTGTGCCGCTGCCAAGAGTCGGAGCGGCAAGCAGCGGGAGCCCCACCAAGTGGAATGTTCCAGGCTGGCGTCCATTCTTTTCCGCCTCTCGTTATGTACAGTATCAGGAGGATGGCTCCATTTTCGCCAGCCGCCGTTGGCGTCGTCATTGTCCGGTTGAGTACATTTGTATGGGAAGGACGAGGAGGAAACGGATCTCTTCCTCCTCACCACCCTTTCCTCAGCCCTGTGACGCGAAAGGACCGAGGCGGGGCCGTCAACCTCCGACGCCACCCGCTCAAACGCCCCACCCCCCATCCGACCCGGCCGGAAGGAGTCCCGGCCTGAATCACGCCATCCCGGCACGATGCGGCGGCATCAAAAGCCAGGGGTGCCCATTTGGTCGTCTCAGAGGGCCTGTTGGTGTGTTCTGCGAAAACACAACACAGCGACATAAGGAAGACAAAGAGAAACGAAGTCAAGAAAACGCTTGACCTGCGTCGGCTTGCAAGTTTCTGGATGCTTTGACTAATCGGAAGCATGGGGAGTTCTGCCTTTTCTGGCAAGATCTATCGTGAAGACTTCCATCAGTGTTCATGGAGATACCACTTAGGTCAGAGCAGCGCTCCCTTCTCCATGTTTATGGCCAGATGCTGCAGCCCGATGATGCCCGTCTGCCGTGATGGCCGACAGTTGGAGTCGGGTCGGTCTGCAGCACCCGAGGACACCTCTCGTCCTCTCGAGACCGATCTGTTAGGTCGCCCTGAACCACATGGCGTGCTCCAGGTGTCAATCAACGGTTGACAAAGGGGAAGGGGGTGGGAAGCCACTTTGATCAAACTACCAAGCGTTGCCTGGGCATCATTACGTATAAGGTAGACCGCAATGCGCAAAGTCCTTCCCTCAGGTTAGGTACCCAAGGTAGTCTCGGCCAAGAAGTCAAGGTACGTCCGTACACGTACACGTACGAGGGTCTGAAAATCATATCTGAATCCAGTTGTTTATTTTTGTTTTGCAAAGCGGACCGTAGCTGCTAAGACGCAGGTCAAGGTGCCGAATCATGGCGGCGCAGCCCCAAAATGGAGTATAATCAGGGGGGAGTCTGGAAGGGCTTGGCAGGAATGGACGCTTGCAGCGGCGCGCCGAGCGCCAATTGCACGCAAACCCCGTGACCAACCCCCCGTCATTTCAATTCAGCGTTGGGAGTCTGGCTGCCGGCACGAGGACAACAGAGCCTTTCCACCGATCCATCCGGGAATCGCGATCCGGAACGCGCTTCTTGTCCGGGGCTGCAATTCGATGCCCGAGATTTCGGCCGGCACAGCAGCGGTCAGTTCATGAGCCCGGCCAGGTCTCTCGTGACGTGTTAGGCTTGCCCCTTGTTCCCCTCGAGGTCCCTCATGCAGCAGCGCTGTCGACCCAGGCATCCCTTCTGGCTCCAAGAAAATGCGTTTGCTGGATTTGCGAGGCGGGCCGGCCCCGTGCAACGTCAGGAACAGGTCTGCGGACATGCATTGCGAGAAGTGATTTCCATTACCCCCATTTTACTTGATGAGAGACGCACTTTGTCTGGCATTAGGGGACTTGGAATGACGGGGCCAGCTGATCAACCACAGCGGAGTTGGGTTCTTGCGTCCAGGGCCTGTCGCTTTTACGTATTTTTCTCAATCACGGGACCAGCTCGTGCGCCGAGACCCCTATTCGGCTGGGACACTACGCGACACGTGTAGGTGTAGGTTCGTTCAGAACTGCCGTTCGTCTCTGGCTGACGAACTGGTGATGAGCCCAATCCGGTCGTCCATACTACCACGGTCATTGAATTGGGATCCTCCCCCGTTGATGAAGGCGAAAGAGCGGTAAGACAGGGCGATGGGTTACACAGCCAACGATCTCGTTACTTTCTCATCTCAAAATACGGGTTGATGATGGGTAATGGATTGGTAAGAAGCCGAGACAAGCGCAGAGCCAGTTACTGTGTTGTACCGTGAGCTACACGTCGCTTTCTCACGCTCTGGTCAGCCATCATTCGAATCTACCTAGACAGATAAGAAAGGTAACCGACCTAGATAGCTTGCTTGGTCACCGCCGGCAGCTCACCTCGGTGGGGTTCGATCCTCGGTGTAATCCCTATATGCCAAGTCCGCGGGGAGCATCGAACCAACACCCCCTTATGAGGCCTTCAAGAATGTGCGACGAGGTTTGTCCGTTCCTGAGGCTCAATGTAAAGTGTTGCCTTACCGGAGTAAGGAGCGTTGATTTTAGGTACTGTGTGATTAGCGAATCAGCTGGATTTGCGTGTGCAGGTCTTGGAGGAAACGTATGGGGAAGAGCGCAACTCGCAGTGAGTCTGCGACAATGGAAACGGGTCGATAACTGAAGATATGGGGCTGACAGAGACCAGGATGCTCCGTTGAGGGCTGAAAAACCCTTGAAGTCCCGAGCACACTCGATAGGTACCTCGTTTCTTAGTACCTCTAGAGCCTCGATATTTTTGCAAATCAAGTAATTCCCGTCTTCAGCGAGGTACAGTACTTGACGGACAAAGTAGCAGAATCCACCTCATTCCCATGTCAGAACCTCGAATAGCCGCTCTTCAGGTCTGGCAGTGGCAGTGTGGCACCAAGGTACGTACCCTTTGGCTTAAAATTCAGGTACGAGTCTCGTGACCCAATCAGCAGAGGCTTTTAGTTGCCCGATCTGGCCTAGGCGCCCGGATTCCGTTTGTCAGAGCGCCGCAGAATGTCATCACAACACCTGGCAATGACAGGCAACTCCTTCCCTTTGGGAATTGCCGTTCATGGATTGGCAGCGGAGACGACGGGCACAGTGCCAATCCGCGAAACAATTATTCAAAGCATTCCGTCGTCGTCCGAGATGGAGAATATAAATGGGTGGCGTGCGCTTCCCATCCGCTCAGATGCCGTATTGCGAGGTTGCGTCCATCTTCCTGTCCATTCCAATACCATTAGTCTATAACTTGACTCAACGCCGCAAAAGGCGAGACCCAACACCCTGAGCCTTGTTTCGGACACTCCTTGTCGATTTAAGTTCTGCAACCAAACACCACGGACGGCGTTATCTCCTGTGCAACATTCCGCTACCGCAAAAAGGTACGGCACCTTGCTTTACCCGGGACCTGGCCGGTGACGTCGAGCAGATCGATCCACCCAAACCAAGCCCTCCCTCAACACCGTCCCTTACATCTCCATGCGCCCCTGCTCCGTCTGAACCTCAGCCTTCCCGGGTGAGGCGAAGCTGCTGGCCTTATCAGTCAGATGCAAGGCTGTCTCACCCCGGGACACTGCACAAGTCCTGCACCGCCGTTGGAGATGGCATCATGGCGAAATGGCCCATTTCAAAGTCAGAACTTGCCCAATTGCAATGCAGTTCTTGCATCTGGGCAAGTTAAGCCTTGGGATGGCAATGCCTTCTCGTATTGTGGATCTGGCGGCTGCCCAAGTGCCAATTCCTTCCAAAAACGGCAGGCTGACGACATATCGCAGGCATTGCTTCTGGTTTCAGACAACAGCTGAATCCGCTGTCTCGTAACCTGATTCTTAGCTTGCTTTCGACCGAATCGCGGTCTTTGACTGCCAGTTCTTGGCCCGGTGCAGTTACCGCGCTTTGTTCAACTGGACCGACCCCTGGCTTGTCCCGCCTTCGCCAGAGGTAAACGAAGAAACTCCCTCCTTGCCTTATCGCGTTGCATTCTGTTTCGGCAGCAGCCAACTCCTTTTCCGTGCCTCCTTCATCCGTCAGAAACTAATTGCTTTGCGATAGTCAAAGCAAGCTTTCGATTCGATACACACAACTCGCACACACCACCAGGCACTGCCAGGGCATAGTCGTCATCAAGCTCATCTCCAGCCGAAAGCAGGTACGTTGAGACTATCAAGTGCACCGCCAACCGGCACATTGCACATCCAGCAGATACGAGTCGAATGGCTGGGACACCGAATTATCTTATCTCCCCTTATCTCGCGGGAGTCACAGCCGAGGACAGGCACAAACGGCCCGGGAGCGGTGAGCAAGTGCGGAACCTGCTCTCCCGGAAACAAGCAACCGCGTCACTCTCACCACCGAGTTGCCCATGTTCCGATTGGCAATTTGGCGGACGGATGTCGACGCCATGTTGACCCGTGTCACTCTCCATTCCAGTGCCACGGCGCTCGTGGTGTTCCTGGATCACCCGATTCCAACGGTAACGGTGTGTTGACTTGATAACGGGGGGCCAGGGGACGGGGCAGGTCGTAGCTGACGTCCTTGTCCTTCCCGCAATGTCAAACCTGCTCGCTGCCGTCAGCCATCGGGGTCTTGATAAGGGCCAACTGCTCGCCGCTGCCGCGAGCAAGCAGCACAACACAGAGCACAGACACATTCCCCGTTTTGACAACGATATTATGTTCCCGGGCCTGTTGTCCCGCTATACAAACCCAGCATTTGCACCTCCCAGGAGCCTCCAGTCTCCCCATTCCCTTCCTCATGCCGGACCAACTCATGCATGTTCAGCATAGTTGCTGGTGGCACTTTCCCGCTTGCAGACATCCTAGCCTTCTACAATCATCATGGCCGGCGTTACAGTCCAGCCGCCCCTCCGCACCCCTGTCGGCGGCGTCGGCAGCGGGCGCCCCATCTCTGGCTTGATCATCAAGACTGACTTGCCCATGTCTAGCTTCCCCGAGTACGTGGATCCATTTGCCTCGTCCGACGAGACCGTGATGGGTTCGCCCACAATCATGAGCGTCGCACATCGGCTTGTCGAGAAGGTTAAAGCCGATGACCCTGGGAGGCACCCTTCGCCCCAGCCGACACATGTCAGCTACCCGGGCATGCCAAAGGTGAACGGCAATGGCCACAGGGTTTTGCGCTCCGCCACTGTTGGTTATGTCGCGCCGGAGTTCACAGGCAAGAAGGAGCAGATGAAACTCGGTTAGTACTTTTGAGACAATAGGTGTTATTCTGGGTTGGTTTTACTGACGTTGCTGTACAGTTAAGGAGTACATCACAAAATGCGGGTGGATCCCAGAAGCCCTGATCGACGAGCAGGTGGCCTGGTTTTACAACGAACTGGGTATCGACGATGTTTACTTCCAAGTTGAAAACCCAGAGGTCGTTGCCAAGCACATCACCTCTCTGTATGCTGCCAAGATCGCCGCCTTTTCGCGCGAAGACAAGCGTGAAGAAATCCGCCTGGACATGGAGGCGTCGGACCACGCCATCTACATCGACACGAGCGAGCCCGGCAAGACCGCCATCGACGGCCCACGATATGAGCACCGCCTCGAGTCCAAGTACTTGGACGGCAGCGACACATCAAAACGCTTCCGTGTCGAGACGTTCCGGTCGCCCGGTGTCATCGGCCACGCGGATTCTAAGGCGACGTTGCGCTGCTATTTCGTCTACCAATGCCAGTTCGTTGAGCCGAATGCCGATCCTAAGGAGACCAGGCTCGAGGTCATCAGCGACCGCATGTTCCTTGCCAAGGCAACCAAGAACACGAGGCAGATCTACCAGGACATCATTGAAACCTCCGTGAGCAGGACCGGCCCGGTCATCGAGGTGTTCGACATTGAAGGATCGCGTGAGAAGCGGTTGGTCGTCGCCTTCCGGTCGAGGACAGCAAGAGGAATGTTCAGCGCCCTGAGCGACCTCTATCACTACTACGGTGTTACGAGCTCTCGAAAGTATGTCGAGCAGTTCTCCAACGGCATTACGGTCATGAGTATCTACTTGCGGCCCGCACCGAACCTTGATTCGAAGTATCCGCCAATCGAGGAGTCAATCCACCAGATTACCAAGGAGGTTTCGCTGCTGTACTGCATGCCCCAGACCAAGCTGCACAACATGTTCGCTTCCGGCGAGCTGAGTCTGCAAGAGACCATCTATGCGCACTGCGTGTGGGTTTTCGTGCAACACTTCCTGAACCGTTTGGGGTCAGAGTACGCTTCACTGATGGCAGCGCTTGACCCCAAGAACAACGGCCACGCCGAGATTCTCTCAAAGATGAAGAAGCGTCTGCGCACCGAAACATTCACTCCCGACTATATCCTCGAGATCATCAGCTCCCACCCGGAGCTCGTCCGTGCCCTGTACGCCTCGTTCGCCAACGTCCACCTGAAGGTTGGGCCCGGCTTTGACCGTCACTGCATCGCGCCCACTCCCGCCACGGAGGTCCTCTCGGATGCCAAGCTGAAGGATAAGATTACCAAGGATGTCTCTAACGAGTACGAGGAAATGGTCATGACGGCGTTCCGCGTCTTCAATAACGCCGTCCTCAAGACCAATTACTTCACCCCAACCAAGGTTGCCCTCAGCTTCCGTCTCGACCCGTCATTCCTCCCTGAGATCGAGTATCCGAAGCGGCTCTATGGCATGTTCCTCGTCATTACCTCAGAATCACGAGGCTTCCACCTGCGCTTTAAGGACATTGCTCGAGGGGGCATCCGCATCGTCAAGTCCCGCAGCAAGGAAGCCTACTCGATCAACGCTCGCAATCTGTTCGACGAGAACTATGGCCTTGCCAGCACGCAGCAGCGCAAGAACAAGGACATTCCCGAAGGCGGCTCCAAGGGCGTCATATTGCTTGATCCTAAGCAGCAAGACAAGGCTCGTGAGGCGTTTGAGAAGTACATTGACAGCATCTTAGACCTGCTGCTCAAGGCCGAGACACCGGGCATCAAGAACCCGATTGTCGATCTTTATGGCAAAGAAGAAATCCTCTTCATGGGACCGGATGAGAACACGGCAGACCTCGTTGACTGGGCGACGGAACATGCTCGCAACCGCGGCGCCCCCTGGTGGAAGTCATTCTTTACTGGAAAGTCTCCGAAGCTTGGGGGTATCCCTCACGATACCTATGGCATGACAACTCTGTCTGTGCGCGAGTATGTGAAGGGCATCTATCGCAAGCTCAACCTGGACCCATCAACGGTCAGGAAGATGCAGACGGGTGGCCCGGACGGCGACTTGGGAAGCAATGAGATTTTTCTCAGCAACGAGAAGTACACGGCCATCGTTGACGGCTCGGGTGTCTTGGTTGACCCTAATGGAATTGACAAGGAGGAGCTGCGCCGCCTTGCGAAGAAGCGCCAAATGATTGCGCACTTTGACCTGTCCAAGCTGTCCAAGGATGGCTACCGGGTTCTGTGCGAGGACACCAACGTCGCCTTGCCGACTGGAGAGGTTGTCAACAATGGCACGGCTTTCCGGAACACATACCACCTTCGAGACACGGGTCTGACCGACATGTTCGTGCCCTGCGGCGGTCGGCCCGAGTCGATTGACCTGGTGTCAGTGAATAAGCTCATCAAGGAGGGCAAGTCGACAATTCCGTACGTGGTCGAGGGTGCCAACCTCTTCATCACACAAGATGCCAAGCTGCGTCTCGAGCAGGCCGGCTGCATTGTGTACAAGGATGCCAGCGCCAACAAGGGTGGTGTGACCAGCTCCTCGCTCGAAGTGCTTGCATCTCTGAGCTTCGACGACGAGGGCTTCGTCAAGCACATGTGCCACGACGCTCAGGGTAACGCACCCGAGTTTTACAAGGAGTACGTCAAGTCGGTGCAGGAGAAGATCCAGGAAAACGCCCGGCTCGAGTTCGAGGCCATCTGGCGCGAACATGAGCAGACGGGGGTACCACGATCTATCCTGTCAGACAAGCTGTCATTGGCCATCACGACGCTTGATGAGGAGCTGCAGCACTCGGACCTGTGGGAGAATGAGACGGTCCGGCGCGCCGTGCTGGCGGATGCCCTGCCGAATCTGCTGATCGAAAAGATCGGCCTCGACACCATCATCCAGCGTGTGCCTGACCCGTACCTCCGGGCCATCTTTGGCAGTTACCTGGCCAGTCGGTTCGTGTATGAGTGTGGCAGCTCGCCGAGCCAGTTTGCGTTTTATGACTTGTGAGTTTCACTCCCTTTTCCTGGTATCAATTCTAGCGGGCGCTGATAGTGTCAATAGCATGTCCAAGCGGATGTCCCAGATCCGGTCGTGATTGCGGGCGTGTAGGGTAAGGAGCATTGTCAGTTCTTGGTTAGGCGGTTTGGCGTACAAAACACCGCAAGCAGCGTTAGAGAAACAAAACCAAAAAGAAACCATGGGCGCCGAAGCACCCTTGGTATGGGAAGGCGTTCGAGCATGTGTTACATAAAACGATTGGCTTCATATTTTCGTGCTGCGAGGTCCAACAACCGCGGGAGCAAGCCAGCGGATTCGGCCAGGATAGACATTTAATACTCAGAAGTTCTGTGATGACCAGTCACCGGGATAGATGATTATCGACGCTATATCTCAACGACGATGGGCTCGTGGACCATGTCATTATTCCGCCCTCTAACGGCCGAAGCGTTGACGAATGTCGTTGTCCTCTCTTTCAAGTTAGACCTTACAAGCACCCGCTTCACCTTGGCCCACAGCACCAAAAGTGCCATAACGACGAGCGTGTCCCATCCGCCCCAGCCGATCTGCACTTGGTCGTGGGCCTGGCGGACATGGTCAAGGACAACGTCTTGTCGGCCGGGGGCGACGTGGATGTGTCCGAAGACGTGCAGGCGGGGGCGGAAGTGGGAGATGCAGGAGAGAAGGTGCGGGCAGCCTGCCTGGTGGATGTCGCGGCGGTCGAGGTAAAGCTTGGGCGGCCGTGGGTTACCATTATGAGGTCGGTGTCGGTGTAGCTGTAGGTGGTGTCGCCTGTGCTGGCGTGGTGGCTGAGGAGGGAGGACCAGTGGGTTTCGCCGGTCGACGGTGGGTATTGGAATGCTGAGATGCCGTAGCGTGGTGTCCAGGGCTGCCGAAGATTGTTATTCTTCTGGTGGCTGTATTTGGTTGCGCGTGCCTAGTGGCAATCCGGGTGGCGGTGGTAGGTGGTTGCTGGACTAGGATATCGAGAGTGATGCTCGAGTCCTCGAGGGGATCACGTCTCCCCAATCTAGGTCCTCCTTCGTCTTAAATGAGCCGTAACGACGCTCTGGGTGTTTTTGGAGGAAGGCTTCGTCGAGCAGGACGTCATGGTTACCGGCTATGAGGAACTTGAATGGGTGTGGTTGCGAGGAGAGCCAGGTAAGGCCGGCTTGGACCTCGTCAAAGGATCCGTTCTCGGTCAGGTCGCCGGCGTGGATGAGTATGTCTCCCGTTGGTAACTCTGGTTGTTTGTTGTGGGTGTCGGAGACACAGACGACCCTGATGGCATCTGGACGGCTTGTGGGAAGCGGTTTGGAAGAATGCCGCGCCAGGATCGCACGCGCGAACTTTCGTCTCTGGTAACCTGGCGATTTGATGCTTGTTATAGGCTGCTGCATGTTGACAGTAGATATAGTCATGAAACTGTGACAATGGGATGTGAACGTTTCCACACCATGGCCCCTGGTCAGCGGTGATGAGTGCTTACACAGTACTTAAAGGTGTAAGGAATGCCGGTGTTGGCGGGTTGTCGTGCTATTCAACCGACAACCACTGACCAGAGAGAGGCCAACCAAGGCCCGGCGGCTACACAAGCCATCTCATCAAAGACAAAATCCCGACGAAAGGCCACGGGGTGTCATAGATATGTCCACCTTACTTTTCACGACATGGTGCTCGCTTGAGCCTTGCATTGAGGAAATTGTATTGAGGCCATTGAAGAGAACACCATCTCTCGTCTTGTCAGGTATTGAAAGTACGGACACGTGCCCCGAGTACCAGGCAGACCCGGGACGGCATCTTATCATAGCCAGCTACACCAGCCCGAGGTTTGTGGTTAAGCGCGACTGGAGATGGGGATAGGGAATACTCAAAATGAATCTGAAGTCAACGTTCGTATGATGAGGCGTTTTCATGGGTGCGCGTATGCGTCGTACCCTTGATTCCGTGGTGGTATTGCCAGACCACAGCCTTGGTTGGTGGTTTGAAGCTGTAAGTTCACGGATGAGACGGACAAGGATCGGAGGAACCCAGGACCACACAACTCGCGAAACCACTGTATTGTCCGTCATCATGGTGCTGAAGCTGGCGTCTATCACGCAGACCCGGGAAACAGGAAATAAGGTATTCTTATGACTGCCCGTCCCAAACCCATGTCATTGATCGTGATATCCCGGTTGATGTCTCGATGCGGTTCGCCAATTCATTCCCGCTCAGCCTTGGAAACACCCTCCTTCCAACGCCCAAGAGAGTCCCGCAACCCGAGGCCAGCTGCTGCCCATATGACCGTGGCGAAGGAGGCTGCAATTGTATTCACTAGCTCAAGTGGATGCTAGGCAATCGCAGACAAATAGCAGACCTTTCCCGAAGACCGCCCGAGATGCTCCCAAACACACAAAGAATTCGCCCAATGGTTGTTGCTCGCCGCTTAAACCTCCGTCGTGACCTTCGCCTTCGCGTTGGTGACCTTGACGCCTAATTGCTTCGCCCGCGCGATGATGTCGATCCGCTTCCTCGAGGAGACATTGTGGGCGATCCTGAACAATGGGGTTAGTCTCGCGCTGTCCCAGTGTCCATCCCATCCGCCAACGGCGTCGCTTCGCTGTAATTTCGGGTAAAGAAGTCACGTACTCTGCGGCGTAAGTCTTGTTGTGCATCAGGAGGAGCTCGACATCCTTGACGTTGCTGACAAGGAACGCTTTGTGGCCGGAGGGCATCATGTGGCGGGTCTTCTTGTTGGAGCCATAGCCGATCTAATAGCGAAGAGTCGCAGATTGTCAGCCTTCGTTCATCGTTCCCTGCAGAGCCCGTCCCTTCTTGTCCCCATTGTTTATTCCCAGTCTCTTTGTCCGAACTCTCCCAGCACCCAAGAAAAGCGACCACGTACCGAGGGCATAGCAAGGTTGCCCTTGAACCGTCTCCGAACCCGGTTGTCAATACCCTTGGGCTTGCGCCATGCCGAGTCCAAGCACTTGAATCGGTCGCTCTGGTGGCGCATGAAGCGCTTGGTGCCTGCAAGCCGACATGGTCGTCAACAATCGTGTTCTCAGAAAGCGCAATTTCCCAGCTCAGACGACGAGGACGGTTGGGCAAATGTATAGGAGTATTCAATCGGTGGGTGGAGCGGGAGCTCGAGGAAACGTACGCTTCTTCACGATCGGGATGTGCTTCTTGGCGGCAACCATCTGTGCAATTGTTAGGATCGAGCTGAATTTGAAGAAGCAAGCCAACTGCAGCCGCAGGAGGGAAAAACTTTACCTTGACGGTATTGTTGGTCGGGTGATGGTTGATTTGGCGTCGTCACAGTCCGGACCTACCTCTGGGAAAAATTCCAGAATTTGGCAGAGTCGGTGGGCTTAGGGCTGTGCGGAAAATGTTAAGGCGGAGTGGCCTGTGCGCCTGTCCCGCTTTTGCTCTGGGGCCCTGGGCTTGGCGGCAGGTGCTCTTATCGATAAGCCCAGATACAGCCTCGTCATGGAGGGGTTCAACAGCTGGTCCAGGGAGCGAGGGTGAGTTTACGGGAGGGGCCATGGATGGCACAGAACCATAAGATATGCACGTGGCGTTTACAGGTCATTTATCCGTGTCATTAACTATGGAAGAGCGGTTGCCAACGATCGACCCCGCGGTGGCCGGGGGGTTCCTGCTCTCTGTATCTGCTGGCGAAACGAAGCCATCCTGACCTCATCTTGGCGGCAAAACGGGGGAGGGCACTCTAGGACGACAATCCCTTCCGGCATCTGATTATAAATGGCCGCTTCAAAGTTGGTGGATATGTGGGAGTGTTGGGTTGAGTGATCCGCCACCCCGCATTGATCATGACGATGTATGCTCGTAGCCAAACGTATCTTGATCGACCGTCCGAGAGCTTATGACAGACCTATGCTCTCCCATCGACGCGGCCCGCCCGCTGGAAGACGCCGGTATCATTGCGAAGTAGCCATTGAGCGGCGCACCCACTTATTGTGTGGCACATTGCGGGCCTTCACCATCATCCTCATTCTCATCCTCCCAATCGCCACCATATCGCGGGTCACCCTGGTGAGCACCCATCTGCAAGGTCTGTTAGTTTTGATACCGCGTGCTGTGTCATAACTGGAAGGTACTCGCCTTCTCTATGTCAGCATCCTCTTCATAGTCAACTTCATCCACCTCGTCTGCCTTGATAGGTGGGGCGGGAGGAGGAAGGAGTTTTTGTAGGGCGTCGTAATCGCTGTCATTGGACAGCCAGCCATCCTCGGGGAAGTCGACCTTGACAACGAGGTACAGATCTCCCTTTGCCTCTCCTCTCTTAAGAGGCATGCCTTCATTCGGGACCTTGAGCACATCGCCGGGCCGGAGGATCTTGCCGCGGGGGTGGTCAATGTGAATGCCTCTGCCATCGAGATGCTTCAGGATAACACGCGAAAAGCCCGACAAGGCCTCGGCGAGGGTGACATGCAGGTCGGCAGAGAGATCGTGGCCGATGCGGGTGAACTGCTCGTGAGGCTCCTCGACGAGGTGGAAGATTAGGTCGCCGGGCGTCATGTCGGGCATCTGATCGGCCTCGCCCTCGAGCACGATGCGCTCGCCCTGCATGGAGCCACGCGGGATGTAGAGCTCCAGCGCCTTGGTCTCCTTGACGGTGCGCTTGCCCTTGCACTTCTTGCAGCGATCCTTCTCCTTGTAGTACATGCCGGACCCCTGGCAATGGTCGCACGGAATGACCTCTCTGCGGACGAGCCCTGGGCCAACCTGACGGAAGGCGTCCTGCACGCCTCTGCCGCTGCAGCGGTCGCACTTGTTGGGCTTGACCTTGTCCTTGGCACCGCTGCCCTTGCACTGGCCGCAGATGACCTGTTTCTCGGCGGCAAATTTAACCGTCTTGCCCTTGTACAGCTCTTCCAGGGTGACCTTGTAGGGTTGCTCCTCGTCGGGGCTCCGTCTAGGCCGACGCGGGCCACCGCCGCCAGGCATGCCGCCCATGTTCATGCCAAACATCTGGGACAGGAAGTCATTTAGGTCGACTTCGGCGCCACCAGGCCCGCCTCGTGAAGGGTCAAAGGCGGCCATGCCATGCGTGTCGTACAGGTGGCGCTTCTCCTCATCGCGAAGGATCTCGTAGGCTTGTGTGATGGCTTTGAACTTGGCCTCGGACTCGGCGCGGATCTCTTCGGGGACCTTGTCGGGGTGGTGTTGCAGCGCCAACTGGGTCGGGTCAGTGCCTGATCACAGCGGTGCGTCTGGGTCGATGAAGCCAACCTTGCGATAAGCCTTTTTGATGTCGTTGGGGCTTGCGGACTTATCTACGCCGAGGAGGGCTATATCGCAGTGAGAGGGATTAGCAAGAGAGGATGCGCTGCCGCTTCTTGAAGCGGCAGAGGCTCGCAGGCCAAAGACTGTCGCGTACCGTAGAGATCGATATCCTCGTCTGCACTGCTGCCGTCCATGTTGGCTGATGTTTCGGGTTTGTCTCAAACGGAGAAAATACCCAACGCCGGTGAATCCAGAATCCGCACAGCAACCGGAAGGCAACCTGCAAAATGATGACGGGAGTCGTGTGCAGAAAGGTTGCTATGTAATAAGCGGGATAGCCTGGGCGTGTTGGAAATTTTAGGCGGTGCTGAGTGTAGCAGAAGGCGACGCCCCACGTTGAAAAGGCACTAATAAACCTGAGCGAGAGCAGGCGGGAACGTGGGAGCCGTGGCAACTAAAGTTGACCGAGTGGCATTTATGATACCGGCCTGTTGCAGTTCATCTAGGCTCTGGGCGATTCGCCTACATTGATTCTTCGCTATAAGACGGATAGGCGCAGCCATGTCTGGTTTTCACGACCTAAAGCCCTCGGTCATTGCAAATGCGGCAACAAAGAGCTAATGAGCGTTCCCGTTGTTGCAGCCGAGATTTTGTACACCATCTTCAAGACACGATTTAGGCCCACACATCGTAAGAAGCCATAGGACTGAGGCAACGCTCAAAGAAGTAACATCTTTCTCATCCATTGCAGCGCCTTTGACCTGTCTGTGCAACAGAGTTTATTTTCAAGTCGGTTCTTGAAACACAAGCCATGTGATGTTATCAGCAAGCCCCACCTAGCTTCCTATCAAGGCAGGGACCGGTGGGCTGCACCGCCACCATAGCAGCCACCTGAACCTCAGCTCTCATTTTCGAGATGTGGCTCAACTCACCCTCCAACATCCGACCACCAGACCAGCAGATGCTTCACCACGGGTCCGATTTCTCCTTGGAGAAATGGAGAAGCTGATTCTTAGAGGCGGTCGTCTCTGGAGAGGGCAGTTCTACCCGCCATGTGTGCCTCGGCAACGACTTTTGTCCTCTTACATCAAGGTTGTCCCTACGACTGATGCAAGCTCCGTTACGGCCCCTCCATTACGAGACAAAACTGCTCTGCCCGAAACCCCCTGCCGAACCCGTTTTGCGCCTTCACCTACGGGGTACTTACATTTGGGCTCACTGCGGACTGCACTGTTCAACTACCTCTTGGCCAGGGCAACAGGGGGCCAATTTGTCCTGCGTCTTGAAGACACAGACCAGGTGAGACAAGGCTGCTTTTGTTTGTAGGCGTCTTTATGGAACCCGCAATTGACTCATGATGGTGCAGTCTCGCCTGGTAAGAGATGCCGAAACAAGGTTGTACAAAGACTTGAAATGGGCCGGGCTGTTATGGGACGAAGGTGAGACAAGAAGTGTGAATGCAGTCAGCGTGATCTGTAGCTCACCATCTAGGCAGGTCCTGACAAAGAGGGACCATATGGACCCTACAGACAGGTATGGGCTTTTCTGTCCTGGATTGTATGCAACCGAGGAATGCTGACTTCCTCAGTCCGAAAGGCTGCCTCTGTACCAAGAGCATGCAGACAAGCTGGTGCGGGAAGGCAAGGCCTATCGATGCTTCTGCTCTCCAGAAGCACTCGAAGAACACAAGATGGCTGCCCACGAGTCTGGGCAGTCCACCCTCTATCCAGGCACATGTCGCAACATCTCCCTTGAGGAGTCCGACGAGCGCGCTCACAGGGGCGAACAGTTTGCCATACGCTTCAAGAGCGGCCCTGAACCCATCATGATTGAAGACATTGTATACAACCGTTTCAAGAAGAAGGATCCCGAAGATGACTACATCATCATAAAGCGAGACGGATTCCCAACCTACCACTTCGCCAATGTTGTTGACGACCGCCACATGAAGATCACACATGTCATCCGGGGAGCGGTAAGTGTGATGTATTGCCTTCCTGGGTGGCCCGAAGCTGAGCATGTGCCTCTCTCGTGTAGGAGTGGCTTGTTTCGACGCCAAAACACGTCGAGTTGTACCAGGCATTCGACTGGCAGCCGCCACAGTTCGCCCACCTCGGCCTGCTTGTCGACAAGAATCGGCAGAAGCTGAGCAAGCGCGACAACTCGGCCAACCTCGACTTTTATCAGCGCGGCCACATCCTCCCCGCTGCTCTTCTCAACTTTGCCGTCTTGCTGGGTTGGCGGGCCCCTCCTAGCACAAAGGAAGTCTTGACCCTGCAGGACATGGTCGACAACGTGAGTGAGCCAGACACTGTCTCCCCCAATTCTCCCGCTCTGACACAAACAACCTTCAGTTCTCCCTCAAATTCAGCAAAGGCGATATTATCGTGTCCCTGCAAAAGCTACCCTACCTCCAGGAGAAGCATGTAGAACGGCTAGCAGGAAACAACAACAGATCCCCCGACGAAACGCACCTCCTCCAAAGACATGTCCTCCAGCCCATCCGGTCCGCCATTGAAAATATCCAAAAAGCCAAGACTGACGGCCTCCTGTTGGCTCCCGGAGGCTACCTGACAGGGGAGATCGGCGACCGGCTTCCCGTCCTCCACATCCTAGACGAGCGCTTCCACATGTACCTCGCCCGCATGCTCCGCGGCACCATGCGCAACACCGACAAGCCGGCGAACCGGTTTGCCGAGACGGCGTGGAAGCTCAGATACCTGATTTGGCGAGTGCCGGAGGGGCTTTTGGAAATATCGCTGCAAGAGGGCAGGCTCTACCCCATCGTCCCGGCAAAGAGGGCCGGGCGGCTGGCCGAGGCCATGACATACCTAGTTGAAAAGTTCCGCGCCGTGGACGAACCCTCCTGGGGCCACGAGATGGTGAAGAAGGCGTTGGGGGAGGTGTTAGCGGACGACGAGTACCAAGATTTCTTTGAGACCGAGAACCCGGATACCAAGGATCTGCAGCTCAACGTGTATAAGCCACTGCGGTGGGCGCTGCTGGGTACGGACAAGGGCCCGCCCATAACCGATACGATGGAAATTCTGGGCAGGAGTGAGTCCTTGCGGCGCCTGGAGGCGGGCAAGCTTGCTGCCGAGAAGGTGGCTGCTCAGATGCCGCCTCCTATCGTGAAAGAGTTGGCAGTCAAGGGGAACCAGCCGCTGCTTCCCATAAGTGATTCAGCATCGGCTGCCGAGAGTGACCGGATGCAGTAGGAACCCGTGCTGAACACCGCTTGGATGTATCATAGTCTAAATAGACTCCTGTGTGATGGATCCAGTGTACAGACCCCAATACCCCACCCCGCCTTTTCCATGCTCCCGAGCAATCCCGCGCCGTCTAGTGCATCATAAATTCGTATTGGTATCCCATGACGCCGTCTCAGTAATGCATCTCTCTTAGCCCCCTCTTTTCTGCTTACGCAGTTCAATTCCCGCCGCTGAATATCTGCGCCTTCACCTCGGCCGCCATCAACCCGGCCCTCTCCTTAGCTGCAATCTGCGCCACATCCTGCACGATCCTCTCAATCGCCTGATCACTTGCCTTCGCAGGCCCACCACTTCTCTCCGGCCTGCCGCCATCACCACCAACACCACCACCAAGCAGATCCCCCACACTGCCACCAGCCCCACCCCCCAGGCCACCACCGCCAAACAAGCCCATCCTCATGCCCACACCCGCCGCGGCGGCCGTGCCCTTGCCCAGCCTCGACACGCCGCCGGCGGCCTCGAGCACGCGCTGCGAGACATCGCACATGCGGCTGCTCGCGTACTCGCGGTTCGTCAGCAGCGGGTTCTGCGCCAGGGTCTGCACCCAGTACTTGTTCCACAGCAGCTCGAGCAGCTTGCCGTCGAGCGTCGACCGGTAGTGCTCCACCTCGAGCGGGTAGTACTTGCTGGCGTGAGCGCCGTAGTCGTCTGCTTTTGTTAGCGGGACTGAAGTACTAGTACTTGTTAATGTTGTCGTGGGTCCGGCCGTGGAGGAGGGGGTTGAGGCGGGGTGAGACGGCGGGGTGTAGTTATCCGGGTAGGTGCGGAAGGCGCCAATGTCGACCTTGTTGGCGGACACGGTGCGGTCCGGATCGATGACGACGGCGACCATGGGGCCTTGGAGTTGCTGAAGCTGTTGGGTGGCGACGTCGATGCCTGAGAGCCAGCAGCCGTAGCCCGGGTGGGAGTGGTACCAGCCGATGACGTTTTCCTGGCGCGATTCTTCGCGGCAGAGGCTCAGGTACTCGACGAGGTACTCGTCGGCCTCGCTCTGGGCGTTGACGCGCGTCTCGGTGCCCTCGACGGGCAGGCGGAAGGCGTCGGTGACGACGAGGGCGGTGCCGTCGACGTAGCCCTGCATGATGCCCATGACCTCGAGGGGGCAGCCGGAGCGGGCGTGCATTACCATCTTGACGAGGGCAATCGGCGAGATGCGGACCGTCTTGAAGTAGGTCGGATCTCGCATCCACGGACGCTTGGCGCTGATCTCGGCTTGGGATGTGGGTGGCGGGTAGTTGAAGAGGGCGTCGCGCTGGCGGTCGACCAGCTTGTCGGTTAGCGGAAGCTCTGCGACGGCAAATTGTTAGCTGCCGTTTTCCTGTGATGGAGTAAACTGCTCAACATTTATTGAAAGAACCGCTACTTACCCATATTGGCGCGCAATTCTCGGCCAGTGATCGAGAGTTGCTGTGAGGTGTCTTAAGGTAGTTGATGGATGTGGAGAGGTCCGGTGTTGTGGAAGTACAGGATGTTGACTGCTGGAAGTTGGAGGGGTCAGATGCCTGAGCTACGATAAGATAAAAACCTGCCGCCAAAGATGCCGCGTTTACTCTGTACATATTTATACCTGTACAAATCCATATTTCACGTCACTGCCAGCACGGTACTCGGTTCTGCAACTGAGTAGCGTTTCAGCGTAGGAAAATATGTTGTCGAAGTTGACAGTCTTTTAGAAATTAGACAGCTACTCAAAAGTAATGGCGCGCAGCGGTCTGCCCAGCGCGCGAAACAGAAACCCTCCAATGCTCCGAAACAATGCAACAAGTGTGGGCCCTAAGGTGTTCCCCAACCATCTATAACTAGTTGCCCATGTTGATGAAGCAGAAAAGCATTCCATTGTATGCTCCCAAGCCATCCCTGTTCCGCCATATCCAGAATTCCCCTGACCTTCAACCCCTCACCCGGCTAGTCTTCCTCATGAGCCCGTTCTCCTCCCCATTCTCATCCGCCCCGTCCCCACCCCCGGCATGCACAGGCGTGCTCTCCCTCTCCTTCAGCCGGCTAGTCAGTGCATGAATCTTGTCTCTCAACCCTCCACTCGCCCCAATGCCAGCCGTCCTCCTCCGCTCCGGACTCTCCCTCTCCTCTGTCCGGCCCGTCCCCGACCGTCTCGGAGAAGATCCAGACGCAGTAGTCACTCCGCTACTACTCCCCGGCCTGTTTGCTCCTGCCACGCCTGCATTCCCTTGATTATGGCTATAACCGCCTCCGCCACCACCACCACCAAGCGGCCTCGACCAACCACTCGACGCCGGCCTGAGCAGACTGGTAAGCCCCGACTTACTGCTCCCAAGACTCCGCCCCTCCGGCGGCATCGTCGCCGAGGGGGTAGGCGGCGCCATCAGGAAGCTCGGCACGGCACCCGTCGCCTGGGTCTGCACCGTGACATGGGGTCCTCCCACCCCGGAGCGGTGCGAGCGCATCGAGGACGCGACGCTCGAGCTCCGGCTAGTTGACGAGGTCGGGATTGGGATGGACGTCTGCGAGCGGCGGATGGACGGCGGCGGGGAGCGCGAGAAGTCGACGGGGGAGTTGCCGTAGAGCGACGACGAGTCGTCACCGCTGTTGTCGCGCGACTCGGAGGCGGTCGGCGTCGCGAGGAGCACCGAGCTGGTGGCGAGCTCGCGCAGTTTGGACTGCTGAGCCGTGTTGGGCCGGTGTCTGGAGAACTTGTTCCCGATGATGGCGCCCGTGTGACTGATCAGCGCCTTGATGACGCGGCTCTTGAGGGCCAGGGCAAGGTCCAGGTTCGACCACGTCTTGTTGCGGTATTCGATGGTGGGCAGGCGGAAGACAAAGTCGTGCACGTCTTCAAAGTTGCGCTCTCCTTTGCCTTTGTAGCTCAGGCAGAGAACGACAGAAGGCATCTTGATGTAGGCAAACGTCATGTAGTTGGATGCTCGGTCCATCATCTTGGAAAGGTCGTCCGAGTTCTTGGCTTTGTCACCCTCACCGGATCTATGCCGCAATACGAAGCGTGCTGCCTTTTTGGACTCACCGCTGGTCGACACGCCATCCTTGGAAGACAAGCCAGTACCCGTCCTGCCAACTCCGGGCCGCGGGGCGCTGGCGCGCAGCGAGTCGTAGGACCGCTGCTTGTTCACCCCCTTGAATCCAGTACCTGCTCGGAAGAGCCGGATAGACGTCCCTTCACCCGAATGCACACTGAGCGCCTTGTGCTTGATGGACGCTTGGTCTGGATCCGATGTTAGTGTCGGGCGCAGTCGGAGCTCGAGAGACCCGGCCCGTGTCGTGAAGGGCGCATCATCTTGGTCTTTGTTGGCTGCGCGAAGCCGGATCGAGTCGGCCAGGGACTCTTCGTCCGCCTCGTCGTCCTCTTCTTCCGGAGACTGTTTGACTATGAAAGGGGAGTCGTTCTTGCCGCTGGATATCTTGCCGCCATCGGTGCCTGGGAAGATGTACTCGAAGAGCTTCTTCCCGATCTCGCGCTCCAGCTGGATTTTGAGCGGGAAGAGCGACACTTCGAAGTGGTCCATGACGGGGATGCCGGCAATGGCTTCGAGCATGTTCCAGTAAACTCGAATCATCGGCTGAGAACCAGTGTCGAAACCGCCACGGTCTCCTTCGACATATGGAGCGACCATGGCCGGATAGATGGCGTCGGGAAGAAGATTGAGACCAAGGATCTTGCCCACTTGAAGCAAGTTGATATGCGATCCATCCGAGTTGTCGATCCGGTCATACTCAACGTCCTTGAGCTGGAGCTCGACGAGCGGCTCGTTGTTATCGCGAACAAGCTGCCAGACGATTTCCTTGGCCATAATGCTCCACTTTAGCAGGGCACTGCTGGTGCTATTGTCGAACTTCCTCTGCGACGACGTGATGGCTTTCATCACGAAGAACAGTTCGTCTTCACAGGCTGCCAAGTCACGCTCCAAGACCAGCCGATCTTTCCAGCCCTTCTTGTCCAGGTGCCTGGAATGGATCTGGAAGTGCATCTTGATCTCCTCCAGCTGCCGGACGCGATCCTGGAGCTTGATGACCATCTCGGGAACGCCCCTGAGGTCACTGAAGTCGGAGGCCAGCAGAATCTTTTCGAGTTTCTCGTTTCTGGTTTTCTCTAGCGGCTCGCTGTACATGAGAAGGTCCAGGACAATGACGTAAACTGCGTAGTACTGCGAAGAGTTGCACAAGGCGTGCGCCCGCGGGAACTCAACCCAGAGGTTGTCCGTCCTGCTCTCGCTGTTCTCATGCAGGGCCGAGTTCGGGCCCTCACTGGTGTTGACCTCATCATCGTACTTGAGACGGAGCGTGTTGTACTTATCGTATCGGAGCATGGCCGAGGTTTTCTGCACGACGCGTTTGAAGCCAAACGGGTCTGACTGGAAGTCGAACATAACCTCCATCGGAACCCACGGCGGCCAGGACGAGCCTGAGGGGGTGCCATAGGTATTCCCCGAGTACATAGACACCAGCTGCGTTGAGAACCATTTTTGATGGGTGACAAAGAACTGCGTGCTGTCCATGTTGACGAGGAAGCGCCGCTGCACAAGACCGCTGACGTTATCCGACATTCTGCTCTTGTCGAGAACGTCAACTACCTTGAGCTCCATGCCCTTGGACGTGGAGAGAACCACGTGCTTCTTGTTCTTGTCGCTCTGCAGCTGAATCTGCGGTGCGATTAGGCGGACATGGTAGCTGTTTTGGGTTGTGAACACATCCGCAATGCCGCTTGACAGATCGGCCATGGAAGGATTTATGCCATCGGCATTGTCAGAGCTCGCAAACTTCTTGCTGTCCTGCAAAATCCTGCGGATGCGATCCTCGATATCCTTCTCCGTGTCTGGACCTGTTCCATTCGAATCGGGATTGCTCCCAGGAGCTCGTGGCGTGGGGACGCTACCGCCGTTGCCTGTCTTGGACTTGGATTGTTCTTCCACGAGATCCAAGATGAACTTGACCGCGGGACGCGACAAATAGTAAACGAAACCCCTGCGCTGGCTGACTTGGTGAATGTAGCGGAGGATAATGTTCCTCAGGGTGTTGTTCCATTTCAACTGCATGTTGTGGACCACGAACCGGTTCTTGAAATCGCTCGCAAACTCCGCAATGGCAGGGGTCGTCATACTCCTCTGAAGGCTGGGAGCTGGCCCAAGAGATCTCTCTGGGGCTGTGGTCTCTTGACTCTCCCCGTTTGATGATTGCGGCGTCATTTCGTCCAACATGCCCTGCAGAAACACCTTCTTCCCGGCGAGGACTCCCGAGTGCCGGTTCAGAATCTCAAACTCGGTCCTGAGATCCGTGTCTGCTGGATCCTCGCGCACAAGACGAAGCTCAATCTGGCCCAGGTTTCGGTTGTGCGCCTCCATTTGCTCATCTAGCTGCTCCAGTCGTCGGCGAATGAGTTGGCATTGCACCCTTCTAGGGTCGTCGTCTTGGCTCATGATACAGAAGTGTGTAGGTTCCTTGCCAAATGGACTTGACCTATTCGGATCCCCATTAATCATGCCGTTGATGTCCGTCTGGCGGAAGTATGTAACTCGAGGGGCAAATGCGAGTGGCAAGATCTTGGTGTCAGGGTTCGGCTCGGTCGGCAAGATCCAATCCAGTTCAACAAAGTCGTCCATGTCAATCCACGTCAGATCGTTGTCGGGGATCGTGAAGCGGGAAAGATCCGTGCCGTCGCCTTCCTGATCCGTGATGAAAGTCGAGAGGGATTGTCTCATCATGGCGTCCGCTGTTGTGCCCCGGATGCTAGCCGAAACAGCACGGACGTCCGCTGATACCAGATCCAGCTGACCCGCGTGTATTTTCATACCTGTTGTTCTGGACTGCGTATTCCTGCCACGGTCCCTGGTGTTGAACTCCTCCCGTCTCTGGTGCAGGTCCAGCATGAAGCTGTCCAGCCGGACTTTGATGCCGGTCGCCGAAACCGCATTTTCACAGTAATCCTCGGCATCTTTGTGCTTGTAGATGTGACTGACAAACAATGGGGCCAGTAAAACGTTGTATTTGATGGTGGCCAGATGTCTGCCGAATTTCTTACTGTTCTTCTCCCGGCCAGGCCAAAGCGAGCCCTGTCGAATGGGGAGAGACAGTGGCCCGGAGAAAAGCGACCACCACGCAAAAAAGTGGGTGAAGAAGCGAGGCGTGAGGTGAATCGTGTTGTAACTGCGCGACGGTTCGGTGACGGAGCCCGACCATTCTCGGTCAAGTGGGGCGCGAACAGCCAGGGAGAGGTGAATGTGCTGGCTGCGGAACCCGCGGAAAGCGTCGTACGGCAGACCATCTTGGGGTTTAGCATGATATGGGGATTTGAGCACAACTTCGTAGTGAGGCTTGAAGTCGAAGCTCCGGTTCCCTTGCTCGATGGCCCGCTCAAACACAAGGCCGGCAAGCCACTGCACCTTGCCGGAGAGCTTCATGACGACCTTCCTGAAGGTGGCGCCGGATTTCAGGCTGGAATCGCTCCTGATGCTTTCGTCCTCGCCATGCTGACGGCGTGCTTCGCGGAGATGGTGGCTGTAATCGGGGATGGCGAGTACATACTCACCACTGTCGACTGTCATAAAACGCTTCGGGTCATCAACGCTATGGATGCTCCATATCACATCGCTCCGGAAGCACATGAGGAAGCCCGCACCATTACCCGTGACCTGGTAGGGGTCTCTGCTGCCTTTGAGAGCCAGGTGAACGTCGCCATCACCGCGCCAGGCTACTCTGATCCGAGAGTGGAAGTTGAGCCGTATCTTATCCCAGAAGCCGACTCTTTCGGATGGGTCAAGCTGTGGCTTCGTCATGGACTCGATCGCCATCATCATGTCCTGAATCGCGGGCTGATACGACGGGCCCCAGGTGATACGGGTTGCGTTCGCAGTATGGATGTCAATGCTTATGTCCGAGAACGTCTTGACCGGCCCGGTAGTCCTTCGGACGTCCACGGCAAAAGAACCCTCATTCGAGGATGCCGGGTCCAAGCTTCGCGGCGGCACGATGGGGACTCTGACCTTTCGGGTTGACTCCGGCCCACGATATTCCTCTGCGATGACAAAGTCCGTTGTCATCGCCAAGGCTGGAAGGCGAACAGACTGACCAAGTTTGGTTGGCGGTACATGTAGTAGAGGCAGAGGGTAGTCGCGGAGAGATATTCTCGCTTCTCCCATGCTGACCTGAAGGCTCATTGGGACGAGCAGAGCGTACTTCATGTCCCTTGGCATGCCCTTTCCAACTTTGTGCAGGAAATCCGGAAGCTCCCTGATCGGGAAAGATGGCTTATCCACGACGATGTGCAAGTCGTTGATGAGAGTTGCCATTAACGCGGGCCGTTGTGGCACCTCCAGGATCTTCTCACTGTCTTCCAAGTCGTCTGGAATCTCGTTCATGCCCCAGAAGTGTGCGCGCATGTCCTTGACCGAGTTTCTGGCAAGGTCAAACTGCTCGTCGATGCGTTGCTTCCAGCTCCTCGCATTGTGCACATCTAGCATGTGTCTGGCTTCGGCAATTGGGATGCGAGCATTCCCGGTGATTGTTCGGGAGCCGCCTTCTGGGTCATATCTTGGGGCCCGGCCCCGCACGCGCCCTTCACTTGCGGACCGGCGTCGGCCATCGCTGCTTCGAGTTCTGGTCTCGGGCATACCGGGCGTGGGGGGTTCTTCTTGAGGAGCCACAGACCGGGAACGGAACTTGGACGACCCTTTTCGGGACTCTCCCTCATGGATCTTCTTGACTTTGACGCGGAACGCCTCTTCACGCGCCTGACGCTGCTTCATTTCAACTAGGCCAGCGCGGTATATGACGCCCAGCTTCCATTCAAAAGCGCCGTCTTCCAGCTCAAAGAGGAGACTCTTCGTTCGAAAGGAGAGTTTTGGTACGTTTTTGGGTGCTTCGGGTCCCTTCTCAAGAATGTACTCGTTGGTGCCCGTCTTGAATCTGTGGTGAAGTTGTTGGACGGATTTGAACGTGTTGACAAGGTTGTCTGTGATCTTGTAGACTACCATCTCGTGGGGTACAGCCAAACGGATGTTGTCTGTGGCGACATCAAAATATTGTTCTTCCCGCAGTCCACCGCCGGCAAGCTTATGCCGTGATTCGCGGTAGTCTAACCGAATACTTTTCACGCTGACAATCCTCGCCCAAACCCTGCGCATCCTAGGGCCTTCGGCATATAGGCGGATGAGCTTGGCCTGGAGGAACGGAGGGGACCATCGATGGCGTCCCGCTTCCACATTGTAGACATGAAGCATCAATGGAGGGTCCGAGGGAAAATCGGCCTTGATCTGGATGAGAGTAGCCTTGAAATCGACAGCGACGAGCTCCGGTGTCGCCCGCCAAAAATCAGAATCGCCAATGGTGAATTCGGAAGAACTGCCCATGGGAGGCGGCGAGAGGTGGCCCACCACCCGTCGTTGAGGAGACATTGGCGGGGTCATGGTCCCTGTCCTGGCCGTGCTCGTCCTCATAAATGCTTTCCGCAAGGCCGAAACAGCTACCCCTACGGCGTAGTGGCGGTAAAGAGAGTACTGGACGAGAAGGGACCTGATGTGCGACTGGATGTGGAAGACCGGCCCCTGGTGGTCGCTCAAGGTGGAGAAAGCGACCTCGAGCCTGGGAATCTTTATAAACGGCTCAAACTCCCATTTCTCAGCCGACTCGACCATAAAGACCTCAAAGCCCCGAGCTTGCAGGGAGACTCGGCGACCGTCGCCCTCGTGGTAATACCTTTTCCTTGGAGACGCGGGGACGGCCCGCAGCAGTTCTGTCTCAGGGGACATTATACTGCGGCTGCTGGCTCTGCGTCGGGAAGGCCGCCTCTGCAGACCGTCCAGTCGTTGGGCGCGATAGTCGGCTGACCATGAGTCCAATTGAATGGCAACACCTCTCGAGTCTTCGGATATCTCCATGTCCACTCCCGCAACTTCGATACTGCAGTCGGAGCATTGCAGCTGGAAATGCAGTAGCCAGTCGGGTAGATCGCGCAGAAGGTTGGAGTGTTTCGCTGTCTTCGGGACAGCAAATTTGTCAGGTTCAACGTCGAGACGCAGCTGGCGCACGATTTGGCGCAAGCCATCGCGGATCTCTTCCCTGACCATCTTCAAGGTGAAGGTCTCGAGGTTTCCAGTGGCAATCACTTGAACGTTGGGCGAGGCATTGAGCTGCACTCTAAGGTCAAAGGTCTCCGTTTCAAGAAGATCAAACCTGCTTCCGGCGGAAGTTTGGTAGTACAGATTGTGCGTCTGAACTCTCATGGTAGCGGCCAGGGAGTAATGGAGCTCTTCCACGGTTGAATGGAATGACTCCATGTCCAAGGAGATAGACGATATTGATGAAATGATCAAATCGAACTCATCAGGGTCCGGCGACTTTTGGACCGGCGGGAGCGCTATCCTCAACACAGGCTCGTGCATGGAGAATTTATAGGTTGCTTTGGGAAGGAGTCGAGATATGAGCATGTGCCGTCGCTGGGGACGCGCCTTTGCTGGTTTTGGTTTCCGCCTTAGCATCGCCAGAAGAAGAGGGAGATGCCGTGGGTCAAGGTCGACAGACGGTGAGGTCACGACGGAGTTTGCAAAGAGGATATTGGCGTTCCGCTGCTCGGCGGTGCCCTCATTGGCTAACTCGACCGTTTTCGAAGGGAGCGTGGTCCTGGCCGTGGTAGTAGCCATGGGTATGTACATGATGCGCTCAGGTTTACTGTGCCCGTCGTCGAGACCGACGGATATCGAGAGCGCAGCAGCTAGGGCCTCATGAGCAATGTCCGTGGAAGGAAAGTACATCCTGTGTGCCGCTGACTTCGGGTCAAGCCGATGGAGGTCGATGCCCACTTCTTTCATGGACGCTGTGAGAACAACCGGAGTGCCTGCAGGCTTGACAGACTCGATCTTTTTGCTCAGCCCGACGAAGCTGACAGCAAACTGGACCTCCTTGATTCCCCTGAGGACGGAGCTTACAAGCTCCTTGGAGTCAGAAACTGTCTGCATTAATTCGTGATCTGTGGTTCCCGGCGCGTCGATTTCCTGGATCACTCGGTCGACGACCACGTCGACAGGATCTAACTCGGCGAAATTCTGGTCTGTTTGCGACCTAATCCTCTTGTATTGAGCGAAGCTGTGACGGACATCGTCGTACGGAATATGGAGCCGGCCGAGCTTAAGGGCTATCGCAGTGTCGCGAAGGCCATCGAGTGCCTCGTACAGATAACCGTGGATGTTCAGCGTAGCGCTATCCAGTACTTCCTGCGACTCCCCTCCTTCTGCCATGAACAAGACACTGCGGAGCGTCATGATCCACTCGGCCTGTTGGTTCTGATGCCGCCTCTCGGAGCTTCCAGACAGGAAGAAACGGGCACGGTCAACCATTTTCCGACGAGTGTCGACTGCAACAGTGAAGCTGCCCATTTGTAGGTTTCCAATACCCGAGAAACAGACAGTTGAGTTGGTGGCCACAACGTCAACCATGCGAAGCCAATTCACCCTCCGGTGCAGGCGCTTGATGCGCTCCTTGACCCTTGTCAACCGCTCCCATGTCTTGCTCCGTTCATCCGGGCTGGTATCGCGCCGAACAAGCCTCGGTGTCTTTGGAGGCTTTGGTGTGCCCGGTCTGGGATCGCGCTCGGCCACATCCGAGTCGGAATCCCCCTCTTCAGGCGCAGCCTCTTTTGCCTTGGCCCTCTCGAGTTCTCCAATGTCCACCGTGACGGCGAGCTCGTCCACCACGATACTCAACCAGGTCGGCTGGGCGAAGGTGGGGCGGTGGACGTTGAGGCCCAGACCCCTGATTTCAATCCGGACGCCATCGCGGGGAGTGTAGGCGAGCCGCCGGAGGGAGAAGTACCCGATTCGCTGGATGGAGATGCCCGTAATCACGCGGACGACTGCGAAGATGACAAACGACGAGAGGTACAGGAGGACGACGATGCCGAAGATGAAAGTCGGGTTAAGGAGGGCCATTTCGACCGAAAACGGGCGACAGGTACCAGTGACCGGCCGGTGCACCCATTAGTAGGCTGGCAAAGCACATGCGATCTCGAAAAATCGAACCCTCGCCTCGACCGGGCTATCCGGGGTTGAGAGCCAAACAAAGGGCCCGGTCCGTCGGCTTCAGTCGCGCGGCATGCTGAGCAATCCCATTTTCGAATCCGTTCGTTCGTTCAATGGCTCCGGGACAGTCAGTCGCTGCAACGCTGTGCCGTGGGTGATTGTCGCGTGCTGTCCAACACTGCGGCGAAGCCTCGACAAACGAGCCCCAAACTTTGGATGTTGAACGCGCTTCAGGAAATCAAGCTTTCAGTCCGGAATATTAAATGTATTGCACCAAAACGGAGCAAAGCTGTCACCAAGTCGCGCCAAGGGAATTAAATTGATTAGCAGCTGTGGGGTTCTTTTGATAAGCCCCACCAAAGCAAACAAGCTCCGTCTGTTCGTGGACAGATTTCTGACAGGGGTGCATCATCGGGACTCGGCGTTTACAAATGCGGTTCGCCTCCGACTTCCAATGTTCACCTTCATTATCTTACCTACTGCGTATGCAGAACACTTGATAACTGAGTAACTGCTGCGCATCAATGCTCAGCCAGCGCGATTAGCCAACAAGCTCACTGCCCGCTTCCCACTGCGCGATTGTAGGTTTCAAAGGTGTGGCATTTACTGGATCTCCAAAAACCCTATCTGGCTCGCCACCAAGGAAACCACCAAGTTAGTACTCCGGGAGTAGCGGAGTGAAGAAGGCGTGTGTGTTGAGAACGACACCAAGGGTTAGATTCGAGTAATCCAACATCTTTTGACATTTCATTCAAGGCCATGGCTGGCGGCTGGACGCCGTACAAGCGGACTTAGTGAATCAAGAATTGTGATCACATTCTATGCGCAATATTTGGTCCGATCCGCCAAACACCGTTTGCCGTAAATCACTGGCCGCCGTCCCTGGTCTCTGAGGTGACTGGAGGGTAGCCTGGAGGCCAAAGGTAAGCGGCTGTGATACTGAGGTTGGTAGCAGGTCAGGACTTGGCGAGCGTCTGCTGTGCCGCTGTTGAGCGGCGCCAAAGGGACCCAACTAGAGAGCCACCAAGGGAGCGTTACTCGGTCGGATACATGAAGATGTATTGTTAGCGGATCGATTCAACCCTCGCTCTCTCTCTCACCATCTTGCTTTTCGGTTTTTTTTTTTTCAGTATCCTTCTTGTCTTGCTGTGATCTGTTGCGGATGCCCCCATGTTGGTGCGCTCAGGGGTAAGGGGATCTGTGGTTCCCATCGTTGTCCTGCTGCTGTGCAGTTGGCTGCTTGTCTTTCGAGGCCACCGCCAATGGGGCTGGTTCCCATCCGTAGAACCACCACTACCATCCGTCGAGATAGTCGTCGCCAGCCGCTCAACCGAGAATACCTCCTGGGTACATGAATATCTGCCGGGCTGGTTCCGCAGTATCTATGTGGTTGACGACCCCTCCGCGAAGCTCACCGTGCCCCAAAACAAGGGCCGCGAGGCCATGGTCTACCTTACTCACATAATCAACTCCTACGACACGCTAGCTGAGACGACCGTCTTCGTCCATGCCTCGCGCTTCGCCTGGCACAACGACGACCCAGATTACGACGCCCTGAGCACTCTCCGCAACCTCAAGCCGGACTACGTCCAGGCCTCGGGCTATGTCAACCTCCGCTGCGTCCAGATCCTTGGCTGTCCCGTCGAGATACGGCCGCACGACGACGCTGCCACCCAGGGGGAACGTGCCCCTGGTATCTCAAACTCTGGCCGTCCGCTCACCACCAAGGAAATCTACAAGCAGGCATTCGAGGAGCTGATGCCTGGTGTAGACGCCCCAAAAAAGGTGGGCGTCAGCTGCTGCTCACAGTTTGCTGTCTCGCGCGAAACTGTCCGGAGCCGGCCCAGGAAAGACTACACCCGTTACCGGAAGTGGCTTCTAGAGACGCCGCTCCAGGACGACTTGAGCGGGAGGGTGTTTGAGTATATGTGGCATAGTGAGTGACCCCTTCCACGCCTTACGCCTCCCCATAAGATCGTCGTGGATAGTCCAGACACTAATGGTGCATAGTAATATTTGGCAAAGAAGCCGTGTTCTGCCCGTCCGCAGCCGAGTGCTATTGCAAGCTGTTCGGTCTGTGCGACCTGAGATGCGATGAGATGCAGTGCGATGGGCGGTATATTTTGCCGAAATATTCCAACCTCCCGGACGGTTGGCCGAGAGTCGGTTGGTCAGGAGAGGCAAGGAACTTCTCTGGCCCACTATGAAGCCCCGGAACGTCGATGGCGTCAAGTCCTGCTGGATGGCTTCTTGATGACCGGCCTGGGAGTGCTGGTTGCCCAAAGTCCGTTTCGTCTTTTGAATGTGTGTTGCGTTCGAACAAATCACAGAGGTAAGAGTCAACCCAAAACCAGCTTGTTCTGGCTGCAGCTGACTGGGTTTCGTAGAGATGTCTTTGTACGCACGCCGAGTATGTAAGTCGTGGATCGTGGAGACGAGAGTGAGTGCAGCGAGCTTGCTAGTCCAAGGGCATTGATGGGTGTCCAGAGCAGCGAGGGCTTTTTCTAGTATTTGTAACAGAATCAGTCAGATGGTTGCTAAAGTGATGCAAGCAAGACCAGATGAAAACAATCACCTTGTGCAGCATCGCCGCCGCAACCCGAGGATGGCGGTTCATGGTTTCACATGCAGTATTATCCTACACTATGCTGTACAGAATTCCCGATGGCTAACCTATCAACAACCTCGGCTCTTACCTTCCGTCAAGCTTTGCTTGACGGTGCCGAGCTGGGTTTCTCACTTCCGGGTGCCTCGTCCTTGGCTTTCTGGCTTTTGGATTCGCGTATCTCCTTGATACGGTCGTCTACCAATGCAATGTCGGCTTCCACTCGGAGGAGCTTTTCCTCGAGTATCTTTTCGTAGTCCTCGTCAGACAGTGGAGTGATTGGGCTCCATTTTGACCAGAACCCGCGGCCGGACTTGGGTGGTGTATTTGTGGCACTCGAGAGGGCAGCCTTAGCACTTCGCCAGTTGGCGATGGCTTGACCTCCCGCTCCGAACAATGAGAACATCAAAGCGCCTGGAATGACATTCCGCGGGCCACCTAGGGGCTCGGTCAGTACCTAGATCAGGACGCCAGAAACTGATGTGCCAATACGCACGCAACAGGCCGCCGAGGGTTCCAGCAACACCGCCTGCCACGGTGCTTGCCTTCAGTTTATCTCCTGGAGTAGGCTCATCTTCTGCAAAATGCTTCAGGCTAACCAAGCGGGTCGCTGGAAGCAGTCAGAACGGGAGACCAACACCTGGGAAATGATGGACAGTGCATCTTACCAGAGTAGCTGGTAGCCAAGGTAAACCACTGTCCTCCCGCAATGACAGAGAAGAAGACTGTAGGTGCAGACCGGACAATTCCGGCCACCGCCCCGGCGAACAGACCACATGCACCTGGCAAAGGTGTCAAAGGGTTTGCATATGTTGAGAGTCACCATGGTTGCGTCAAGTATCATACCAGCAGCTGCACCGACCTTGAGGGAAGGGACAAGGATCTCCATCAGTTCGGGTGGAAGAGACTGCTTCTGCTGCCGTACTGTGCGTTGCATCCGAGTGTTTTCTACTGGCGGTGGTGATGATGGTGATGTCGACGAGTTGCTCTGAGTGCCATCCTCTTGACTGGAAAGCACTACGCGCTTCATATTTTAGGGTGAATTGAAGGAGTGTGATGGTACCGGCTGTATCTTCTGCAATAAATAGGAGATAATCCGCCCGATAGCTGATTTAGATTGCGAGATATTGCGTAGGAGGCATCAAGTTAAAATTCGAGGTATCGGGGATTTGCAGATCACGATGACAACCAATTGGTCCGAATCTTTGCTCACTGATCGACTTTGAAAGTTGAACCGAATGCAGCGTCGGCCTGGGCTTGCCCCGGCTGAACTAGGCTCTTTTCATGCTAGGGTGGGATGCGAATTGACCCACACCAAAATGCCCCGTCAAAAAATATGTCAACCCTGATTCCTCAATCGACCTATATAATAATTTTTACTTCCGCCGCAACCAACTCCAAAACCACGTTGAACAGACCACCTGGTCGCGAAATTCACGTCTTTTCGCGCCACCCCATTTGTCTCCGCCTGCACAACATTTGGAGCAAAGCAATTGTCCAGTCTTTCGACAGCCTCTCCATACCGATCACCAGAGGCTAACGCCGGTTAGACAACACTCTCTTACTGCGCGCTTCGGTGGTACATCACTGCGCGCCCACTCTCAGAAACACCGCAATCATGGGTGAGCATCACCGTCGACCTTGCGCTTGCCTCCGCATCACAAGCATCTGGCCCTCCATGTCATCACCTGCTGACCTAGATACACAGCTCCCAAGAAGAAGGAAGTCCAGAAGCTGTCTCTGGGCGATTTTTTGAACGACACCTGTCAGTGCCCCTCCATGCCAAGGCCGCTGCCACCAATTGCCCCCAGTGCCATAGCCTGCTCATGACCCCATGCTGACCCAACTGTATAGCCTTCGGCGGTGGCGGATCATGGGCTGACGAAGTTGAGGACACCTATGGTGAGTACCACCCCGGTTGAAAAGCGTAGTTGCTTTTTCTGCGCCGATATGTTGGCTTCTGGTGTACATTGCAAGCAATTTGCTTTGGGAACAATGATCTGACTGCTGCTAGGCACCCAGCCGCTGCCCCCTTCTGACCGTCGAATGCCCACGTCCTCATATGGCGCAAGCAACGATAGGGGTATGTCTGCTCTGCGTGTATGGTCCAAATCTTGGAATCTGACATCTGTCCTCCCAGGTTACCACTCCCTCCGTGACAATCTTCCCCAGGAGCTCCCGAAGAAGCCTCCTTTCACCGCCCACCTCGGGAACCTGTCCTACGATGCCACAGTCGAGACTGTCACCGAGTTTTTCGAGGACTGCAACGTAGTGAACGTTCGCATCATTGAGGACCGGGAGCAGAATCGGCCTAAAGGTTTCGCATATGCTGAGTTTGCCGACCTTGAGGGTCTCAAGAGTGCCTTGACCCGCGATGGACAGACATTCCAAGGCCGGACAATCCGCATCAAGGTCGCCGATCCCCGTAAGTGCGCCTGGCTTCATCTGCATGTCCATTACCTCGGGTAGCTGACCAAGGCATTTAGCGAGGGGCGGCTTTGAGAGGACCGAGAGCCTCCGTGAACTCGATTGGGGTTCTGCCCGCAAGGGCCCTCTGGCCGATCTCCCTGGCCGTGGCAGTGATCGTCGTGGTTCCGACTTTGGTGAGCGAAGGCGCGAGTTCCAGCCGAGCGATGACGGGAAGGTTCGGGATTTTGGTAACTGGGAGAGGCGTGGCCCACTGTCTCCGCTGCCCCAGAACGAACGGCCTGTGTCTCGCGAAGGATCCCGTTCTCGTACCATGGATACGCGCTCCGAGTCCTTCCGTGGTAACCGGAGAGACGCTCCTGCTGCCGCTTGGGGCCCGGGTGAAGGCCGTCAGGACGGTTCCCGTCCGCCTCGTCGCGAGTTCGCCGACCGTCCGGAGCGTCCTGAGCGTGTGCCTACTGCCGCCGAGAAGGACTTCAACTGGCGTAATAACATGCGTCCCGTTTCCGACGTCAAGTCACCTGGCCAGTCTCGTGAGGGCAGCGAGGCACCTCCTTCGCCAGCTCCGGCCGCTGCTCCCCCTGCTGCTCGGCCGAAGCTGAATTTGGCCAAGCGGACAGTCTCTGAGGCAACTGAGACTGCTGCTGCACCTACCCCTTCCGACTCCAAGGCCAGCCCGTTCGGTGCGGCACGCCCCATCGATACCACTGCCCGGGAACGTGAGGTTGAGGAGAGGCGGAAGAGGGAAAAGGCGGAGGCTGAGGAGAAGGCAAAGCAGGAAAAGCTTGCCAAAGAAGCGGCCGCTAAAGACGCGGCTGAGAAGGCTGCAGCTGAGGCGGCAGCCAAAGCCAAAGAAGAAGAGATAGCCGCAGACGAGGCAAAGGCGGCTCCCAAGGAGGCCACAGCAAAGGAGGGCGGTGCCAAGGAGGGCGCTGTGAACGAGGTCACGAATGAGCAGAAGGTCCCCATCCGAAGCCGTGAGCCACGGGAAGCCCCCAAGTCGCGGGCTGTCGAAAGCGGCAACTGGCGATCGGCATCAGGCGAGCAGCGTGCTCCGTCGCGGGGTGGCCATATCCCCAGCGGTCCCCGCCGTGGCGGCCCCCCGCGCGGTCCTCGTGAGAACACCCGACCTCCTCGTTCAAACGGTCATGGCCCCGCCTCGCAGTCGCAACCACAGTCACCCTCCACCGAGCAGGCGCCGCCGACCCCGACTGTTGATGAGGATGGCTGGACCACCGTCGTCGTTCCAAGCAAGGGCCGGCGGGGACAGAGCAATCGCCCCTGAGCTCGAAACTAACGCATGCTTACACTTGCCCACCCACTCCATCTGGACACTTTGATGTTCACCCAGGGTCTGGCGAGTCTCTTTGGCTTCACCACTGCTCCGACGTGTTCTCCTTTTGCCTCGCTACACCACATCGACATTGTCGAGTCGTTGGCTTGGATAGCCCGGAATCAGCCCATCGGCTTCAACTAAGTTTCCTCGTTCACGTTTCGGAGTCAGCTGGGATTGCTGGGTCGTCCTCTCCTAGCACGCATCACGATCCTCTCAGGCCTCTCAGGATGACGACCTAACTACTCACTCCCTTTGCGTCGCCAGTCAACATATGCCCCACCAGGTGACTGTGGCGGACATGACGGAGCGATATATACCGACATGATTGTTGGAACTCCATGAAACTTACGCTTCTTCACAATTTCCGAGTCATGACATTTATGCACGGCGATGCGGCGAGGGTTTTCTCTACTCTAAAACAAGGGGCGGCTTTCTCAAGGGCTTGTTAACGGCCAGATGATAAGGATACGGAATTTTCTCTTAGTCCTCATGGTGGGTGTTGTACTTGATTTGGGCGAAATCTCGACTTTAAGGGGGGCGGATTGTCAGATAGATATAGGGGGACGGGTAGGAAGGCAGGCTCCCTCCGCATTTCAAAGGATTATGCCTTTTCTTGTCACCATTCGGTCTCTCCCGTAACCTGCCTGCTCGCCCAGCCACGATTGACTTGGGCAGTGCTCGAGACGTCGAGGCGATGACATGCTTTGCGGGCTGGGCTAGAGCGGGAGCTTGGTTGAGTCTGGAGCACGGTAGTCACTCAAGTTCAGCCGAGGAATAGCAAAACTGAATACGATGCAGGTTATGAATCTTTGAAAGTACTTAGTGTGATGAGAGGTCCTTTCGCGTCTCAAAGTGAATCGCAATTGCTAAATTCGAGTTGAACCTGGACTGTACCTGCACAGTCTAGATCTCGCGTAGCTATCAAGTCTGACAAAGGGACCCCTTGAAAACTACCGCTTCAAGGTCTTTTGCTTCTGCGCATCCGTCGCGACGTTCCGGCCCTCCACCAGCAAGCCCTTGCGCCGCCGCACCCCGTCCATGTACCGCTTCGCCACGTTCTCCTTGTCGCCGTACTCGCCCAGGTCCTCGAGGTCGTCCTCGGTGAAGGGCACCCAGAAGGGGTCCTCGTCCAGGATCTCGAACCCGGCAAAGATGAGCTGCGGCTGCGCCGCGCCCGACGTCCGCTTGCGCATGTCGTCGGCGAAACCGAACGACTCGGCCACGGGGAGGAGGGCCTGGATCGTGAAGAAGGGCGTGCCCTCGTTCATGGCCTCGGATTGTACGCGCCCGCGCCGGCGGGTAAGGACGTCATAGACGCGGCCTAAGACTTCGGCTTGAGGGAGGGGAAAGGGAGTGTTAGTAGTGGGTTGGTGGGCCAAAAGGGTGGACGGCGGAAGGGAAGGAAAAAAAACTGCTTACTGGAGGCTTGAATTTCGCACGAGTACATGGCTAGCATCAGGCGCGGCGACCAGTCGAGGAAGGCCTTGTGGATGGCCTGTTGGACTGTTTTGATGACTTCGCCCGTTAGACGGCCCAGATGGTCGCGCGCTAGGATGGCGGCGTCTTCGCTGTCGGTTGTTGTTGAGGAGGAGGAGTGCGTAATAGATACGTCCTCGATGAAGACGGCTATCCCTTGGACCGGCTCGAGGCACAATGGGCCCTGGTGGGTGGCCAGCTGGAAGGCGTAGATAATCTTGTCGGAGAAGTGGTGCGGGTTGATGGATTCGTTGGCGGCCGGGCGGCTGTTGAGATTGGCGGCGGAATTGGGAGAGAAGGCTTTGGGGAAGAATTGGTCTTTGGTGGCGTCGATGAGGATGTTGGGTCCCGTTCTGCGCGGACCAAAGGAGACGATGCGGTCGACGATTCCCTTCCAGGTGTCGAGGCGGCCTTTTTCGCTGTCGAATTGGGATTGGAGTTCTCTGCTGAGCTCCTCGGGGGAGAGAGCTTTGCGGGCTGCGGAGAGCTCGTCGTCGGCCTCGGCAGAGTCCTCTTGGGAAGCACCGTTTTCTGAGCCCAGCCCAGGGGGAGGAGAGTGAGACCCGTCACTGCCTTCCTCGGCAGCCTTGCGATCGGAATACAATTGCTTGACACCAGCCGCATTTTTGACTAGGAAGTCGGTGACGTCTCGGGGCAACGGCCGCACCCGCAAGGTGATAGTTACTTGCTTAGAGCTTGTAACGCCTACAACCACGCCACGGCCGAGTTCCTTGTTGGCAGGAGGGCGCATTTCCTCCGCGCGGACAATGGTTTCCCGGTATGGCACGATTGGAGCACCCGCTTGGATCTCGCAACCTGCAAACCGCTCTCGCAAGTCTGTCAGGCAGCGCTCCAGATGCAGTTCACCGGCAGTCAGTAGGACGTGCTCGCCACTGGCAAACTGCTCATACTCCGCACACGGATCGCTGTGGACGAGTAGATGAAGCCCCTTGATCATCTTGTCCAGGTCGGCCGGGTTGACAGGCTCTAAGGCGACGCGTACGATCGGACGGCCCTGTAAGTTGGCGATGCCTGCCAGGTTGACTGCTCCTTCTAGCTGGCTGCAGAGAGTACCTGATTTGAGGAGATCGCTGTCCTCGAGCCCACGGATGCCAAAGACCACGCCAGCCGGAACGGAGTCAAGGGCCTCCAGATTTCGACCCATCAGCATGTAGAGGGCTGTCACCTTCACCTTCTTGGGTACCGGCTGGACAAACGGGTGAGCTGGTGAGAACTTTGGTGGGATGACGTAGATCTCGTCGCCCACAGATAGCGTGCCGGAGTAGATGCGTGCAAATCCGATCAGGTGCTCCGGCTCCGCCTCCTTCTCGCCATCCTCGGGAACATCTTGTTCTAGCGCCGCCCCAGATAAGGCTGTGGTCAGAGCATCCATATCATTACCGCCATTCATGGTCCCTTGTGCGAGCGCCGCCTCGGCGCGCTTTTTCCTGGCGAGTTCCCGTGCCTCCTCGCCACTCATGGGTCCGCGTCGCTTGTTTTCGGGGAGTTCGCTCTCCTTGACGGATACCATCTTGCTCACGTAGGCTATGACTGGATCTGACGGCGCCTTTCCGAACGAAATGATGGCATCTTTGACTTTGTAATCAATGTGGTCTGCTCCCGGTACGTCTTCCAGCAGCAGCGGGAAGCGCTCAGCCTGCGCTGCCCTTGGGGATGGAAGTGATTCCACGACCGAGACCAACACGGCAACAGAGACGGGGAGCCACGAGGCGAAGACGGTCGTAAGAAGGAGTTTGGGGTCTCGCGAGCGGAGGATATGAGGAGGAATGGTGATATTGAGGGATTTGGTGATCTTCTCGAGGAGGTTGGCGTCGCCCTTTCCGTTGTCGCCGCCAACGGTGGCCTGATAGACGGCCCATATCTGGTCGAGAACCAATTGGACGAAAAGGGGCTTCAAGGGCCGGCCCTTTAGATGCTTGGCCCCAAGCACCTTCTTTGTCTTTGGATCCAGATAAAAATTTCCCCAGAGAACCTTTTCCAAGACATTGCGTTTGATACCCAGTTTCTTTTCGTACAAACTGGCGAATTGCCGTACTGTGAAAGCCCAGCCGTCGATGGCGCTGCCGAAAATGACGTTGTTCTTCTCTGGGGCAAAGTAGAGCTCCTCATCATCTCTCTCGTGAAACTGGAGTTCCCCAGAGTCGGTCAGCTGGTCCGCAACCCTGGCCTCTTTTGCAGCGGCGGCAGCAACGCGAGCCTCCATCCTCTGACGCCAGTTGAGGTCTTCCTCCATGCGTTCGCCCTGGAAGAAGCTGCCCAGCACGGCATTGACCTGCTCGAGAAGCTTGCTTAGATGGATGTATGCCTCCCCCGGTGTCATCTTCAGCTCCGTGACGAGGCGGTCGATTTTGTTGATGACAAGTAGTGGCTTGAGTTTCTCCGTCCAAGTTTGCCTCAGGACTGTGACTGTCTGGCTGCAGACGCCCTCAACTGCATCGACTAGAACAACGGCACCGTCACATAACCGGGAAGCCGTAGAGACCTCACTGCTGAAGTCTATGTGACCAGGCGAGTCGATGAGGTTGATAAGGTATTCTTTTTGCTCCGGGGCGGCCTCAGCGGTTGACCTTCGAAGCATGGAGAAGTAGAGCGAAATGGCTGACGATTCCATGGTGATGCCCCTGAGCTGCTCGTCTGGCCGGGAATCGAGATACCGTATCTTGCCGGCCAATTTTGGTGAGATGATGCCATTTGTAGCGAGGAGGGCGTCGGTCAGTGAGGTTTTGCCGTGATCCTAATCTGTGAGCTTCTGATCTCAAAGTCAACAATACAAGGGCGAAGATATTGTCCACGTACCACATGAGCGAGGATGCAAATCTGTGGAGACTAGTCAGCTTATATTCGTAAAGAAATATCTCTTTTGTTATTTATTTTCTTTATTGGTTCCCTGTTAGGGAAGCCGAGCCCTTACATTTCGTACATCATCGGCGTTTTGCTGGAGCTTTGCCAGCTTCTCTGGACTGACAACGGGCATGTTGGTGGTGTTGGGAGGCGATCAGGGAAGATTATGTGCAAAAGATATTGTTTATCCCAGAGAGTCTGTTGAGGGTATAAAATATACAGATGTGTACTTTGGTAGGGCGGCAAGGGGGGCGCAGGACGTGATGGCGGGGTGATTGTTCGGCCGGACTAACACCTCGATGACAGGAAGTGGGATGTTTGGCGGGGCAATGTCTGAACTTTATCAGAAGACGAGGATGCGGATATAGTGGTATCGTACGGATAGAGTAGGCAAATTATCAGAAGTGGATGCAGTTTAAGGGGCAGGACACGGAGGAGGAAGAGCAGCTTACTTCTCTGGAAGCATCTCAGAGGAACTCACAGATGGTCATTATGAATCATCATGACGGGCGAGACGAAGTTATGCTGGCCTGACCACCTCAGCTGCAGCTTGTGCAGTTTCAGGTTCCATCTTGAGCTACAGATGCAATTAGTGAGGCTTAGCCGCTAAGAGATTTCCATACACCCAAAACCCTAAACCGGTGCGGCATCCTCGAAATTTCACCACTTGGCCCGAGCCCCCCGACCACAAAAATCGAGCCCCACCGAGCAAAGCATTTCTGGGTCTTTGCGACGGCCGAGGACAAGCAAGCCGGCGATAACCAACTGCTCCCCCGTCCACCGAGTTCCTTAACGCTGGATTGCCCCGATCGATTGTCAATATGAGTTACCAGAACGGCATGGCGGCCCCCCGCGCCATTGAGGACGACAGCGATGTCGAGGAGGAGGCCCTTGTCGCCGACTACAGGGAGCAGGTCCAGTACGAGGGCGGTATGGAGGAACTCGACCAGGCCACTCTCGCTCAGCAGGCCGACGAGATCCAGTCTCGCCTAGTTCAGGCCGCCCAGCCGCTGGACTTCCAGGCGACCCTTGAAACCAAGTTTCAGAGCTACGACAATTACTGTGCCCTGTTCCACTACATCCTCAACTCAGACGGGCCCGTGGATCTTGAGCCACCATCGGTAAGTTGCCGGCGCTGCCCCGTCCACTCTGGCCGGGTTACTCATCATGAAACAGTACTACTGGGCGTGGGATGTGATCGACGAGTTCATTTACCAATTCAACACATTCTCCTCGTACCGGGCGCGGATCGCGAGGCAAGCGAACAATGAGGAGGAAGCCCAGATTCTGCGCGACAACCCGAACACGTGGGGTTGCTACAGCGTGCTCAATGTGCTCTACTCCCTGATCCAGAAGTCGCAGATCCTCGAGCAGCTCACGGCTATGAGGCGGAACGAGGACCCCATGGCGGTGGCCGGCCCGTACGGCGCCAAGAACCTCTACCGTATGCTGGGATATTTTTCCATCATCGGACTCCTCCGCGTCCACTGCCTTCTTGGAGACTTCAGCCTCGCGCTTAAGACGCTCGACGACATTGAGCTGAACAAGAAGGCCATGTTCGCCCGTGTCATGGCCGCCCACTTCACCACCTACTACTACGTGGGTTTCTCCTACATGATGATGCGCCGCTACGCCGACGCCATCCGCATGTTCAGCCACATCCTGGTCTACGTCTCGCGGACCAAGAATTTCCAGAAGAACACGCAATACGACTCAATCTCCAAGAAGAACGACCAGATGCTCGCCTTGATCGCCATCTGCGTTGCCTTCCACCCCACCCGCCTGGACGACACCATCCACACCGCCCTGCGCGAGAAATACGGCGACCAGCTGCTCAAGCTGCAGCGCGGCGGCCCTGAATCGCTGCCCATCTTTGAGGAGCTCTTCAGGCATGCCTGCCCCAAGTTCATCTCGCCGGTGCCTCCCGACTTTGACAGGCCCGAGGCCAACATCGATCCCATCGACCACCACCTGTCCGTGTTCATGGAAGAGGTCAAGACCAACATGTGGAGCCCGACCCTCAAGTCGTACCTGCGCCTCTACACCACCATGGACCTGAAGAAGCTGGCTGGCTTCCTCGACGTCAAGCCCGAGGAGCTGCGCTCGTGGCTGCTCGTCAACAAGCAGCGGACGAAGCAGCTGCGCTGGACCGACAACGGACTCCTGGAAGGTGAGCTGGTCAACATTAGCGATCTTGACTATGCGCTGCAGGGGGTAAGTGATGAAGAAATACCTACTTTCGTGTTCGCGCCGAATACTAACCCTATTCGCAGGATATAATTCATATCTCAGAAGCGAAGATGGGCCGCAAGCTGGTTGACTGGTATCTGCGCAACCTCTCGCGCACTTACGCATGAGTTAGACGGGGTTTGCTACGGAAAACGACGTGGATCCTGGCAACAAGACTGGGCGAGAAGGGTTCAGTCTGCTCCTCGCTTTGATCCTTTTAGTCATGTTTGTAATCTTGGGGTTTGGGGAGTCAAGGCTACGCAGTTGCAGCGGCATTGCATATTAGGCGTCGAATGGTCAAAGGGTCAATCTTAGGAGGATGACTTCGATGGCAGGCCGGCGGAAAAGTATTCATGACCGATATCAGAGAAGACTCTTGGCTCTGACGATGCCTCCCCTGAGCTGATGTGTTAGTGGGAGGCTGGTCGCTTCGCATCGAGTCGTAAGTATTTCATTGAGACAATGGGACATGGGGCTGGAGAACTGGAGGATGGGGGGTAGCAAGAGAACGTGAAGGATAGGGTTAGGGGCTGACGTGAAATCGGCGCTTTCAAAGTCAAGGGCGCAATTCCAACCGCTTTACTCACGCAAGACTTGACCTTGACCATGACGAACATGACACCTCCGCCGTCGTCCGCGGAAGGCAGCAGGAGGCCCCGCGTTATTCTACTCAGCTTGCTGGTGTGAGAGTCATCCTACCTTACGTCGGGTAGGAGTATTGGGACCTTGCCGAGCACAACGCAACTTTTTTCTTGTACGGATCCGTACATCCGGTACGATATATTTGAGGCAATTCCACGTTCTCTGTACTCCGTACGTACGTTGGAGCAGCCAATCCCGGTTCCAGACCCCGCAACGGGAAAGCTTCGAAGAGCGCTGCCAAGGACCGATGACAAAGTCCATGTCATCAGAAGCGAAAAACGTATCCGTGGGAAGCCTGGGAATGCCATGGCCCTTGTTCCCCGGTCTTGGGTTGCCCCGGCTTTCGGGCTCGGTTCGGCAGGGTTTGGTCCGAAAGTGAGGCCTCCGACCCGGACTTGTGATGTCGTGTCGACGAACCGGATGTTACGGCTTGTGCTTGGCAATGCACGCACCTGCTTTGTTGCTGTTCGCTGGTTGCTAGTCGATGACGAGATAGTTACAGTGAGTTTTGCATGCATGCAGTTGTGTAGGAATGGATGGTGTTGGGTGGGGTGCAAGCTGCTTTTTCCACAGAGCGGCCGCCTCAGCTTGTTTAGGCCATCAACGTGCGATTGATGCCCCATGCAGGACCTGGAAAGGCTTCAGTCAGGGCCGGGGCATGATGGTGGGGGGAGCTCAAGTGAGATGATGTGAACCTCGGCAGGTGGGTTGTCCAGGTCGAGCTGTGAGAGCCGAGACCCTACTTTGATAGTCTAGTTGATGACCATGAAACTATTTCCGAGATGATATTGCTGTTTTCTGGATCAAAGATCCTAAGAGCCAATGCTATACTTCGACTTCGTTCATCGATAGTTATACCGAAAATCAAATAGTAAATTTATGCCATGGTGTGACTTATGGCAGCTAGCAAACCAAGATAAGTTTTCAATATTGCAGTTCTGATTTCATTCATTTTTTCTCGGTCTCTGTGACTCTCTCTTTCCTGTTAGTATATAATTTTCTTCCCCTTCTTTTCCTCTACTGTCCTAAGTTACCTAGGTTGCTGGGACCCTGCCATATCATGTGCCGCGCTAAGAAACACACCAGGTTTGGGTTGTAGCTAATGACCATGCATGTCTGAGGTGGCTGGTGATACCCTGAGTTGGAGATCTTGCCTTGAAACTGTTTTTGTGCGGCACTCTTTATCAACAGAGATGACGGAGTTACGACGGACCCATACCCAACTTGCTCGGCCTCCAAGCGATGCATGTGAGACAAGAATCGTCTCACCGGTTCCTGTTCTTCACTGGCACTGCAGACCGCCTGGCAATCATCATCCGTCCTTCGCCCTCTTCACGACTCTGACAGGGGCAATTCTTGGGCTCGGCTGGCGAGCAGCAACTCCACCGGTTAGCAGTCCTGGCGGGGCTACGGGACCCGAAACTTGTCTCCTCCAAGACATCAGATTCAGGATACTCAGCTCGAACGGTCGGGCTGGCTGGGAAGGTAAGAGTCTCTGGGGAAAACGAGTTGACGCGCATATGGCCGTCAGAAGGGGTCCAAGGTTCGAAAAAACGGTCCAGACTGTGATCTGTAAGCTTCCTGCAGTTCACCGCGGTTGGGCCAGAGGGTTATCTCTGGCCCAACAGCGGGTTGCCAAGGCTCTCCCGCTTGAAGCTTGGCCTATTGTGTCTCACCGTACCATGTTCCCTGATCGTTGCTGTGTTCTTCTCTGGGTTGCGAGGATAATACCTATCCGGAACGGGCATCGGAACACGGACATTGTTGTGGACGTGTGAATGCAAAGCAAGCTGTGCGAAGTTTGCCTCTTGTCAGTTCTGGGCCACAATTCCCACATCGTGATCGACCTTTTGAAATGCGCTGATCGCCCGCTTCCGGGCCGGACCCCAATCTGAGTCTTTACGAGACATCCTATAGATTGAGACAGACGACAGACGGGAGCGATGGGAAGATGATCAGAAGCTGTTAACGGGACATCAAGGACTGACAGATGTAAAAGACTGAACTCAAGTTGCGGTCCTGGCGGCGGCAACTATATTGATTCTCTTGACCATTGCCGTAGCCGTGGTGCGGCTAAACCCTGTCATGTCAAAGCTTACAAGGGTTCAGAGTAGCATCCGCCCGCTTGCCAAGAGGTAGGGCGAAAAATATGCAGGAAGACTGACATCCTTTCGGAGCTCGAGACGCGATTTCGAAGCATTGCTAGATGGGGGCTCAGGTGCAGCCAAGCTTCGGCTTATTACTGCCAGCTCCCGCCCGCCTGGTTTCATCCTTGACCTTGTTGCTTTTGCTTTGCAACAACGTGCTCGTGCTTGTCCAACAGGTTCGGTTGCTTTGGCCTTGTGCTCCCGTTTTTTGTTTTCTTTCAGGTTTTGATTACGGCCAGAGCCGTCCAAGCTCCCAAAGCTTTGAGCTCCTTGACCCATCGACGCCCCGCGGGAAGCTCCTTCTTCCGGCACTCAACTCAAGACGCCGGGCGAGAGTGTCAACTTGCACCTGCCACCGAACCTCCCCTTTCATCATCATTTCAATTCGGCCTCAACCACGGCGCAACTCGAGTTTGCCGCTCAAATTCCCGACTTTGATACTCCCTGCAACCAATATCGCTATACTCGACAACCGAGCGAACTGTTCGTCGCGGCCCTCGATTCTGTCGCCAACACTCGCTGACACAGGCGCGCCGGCTTCTGCGTTGACTGGCGTCCCAACGTCAGGCTCTTCGAGCACACCCGAACCCGCTTCAAGCTCCATGCATGTTATCGCAGGATAGCCTCTGCTGGCCTCTCCGCGAGGCCGAACAAGCGCTGGCATAGCTTCAGGAGAAAATAAAGAACGACGGCGTAACAAGCATTCCGCCCTACCATGGACAAGACCATTCAAGATGTGAACGAATCAACTTCATCGCCGTCGGCCGCCAAGAGCCCCGACTCTGATGTGTCACCGGGCACGAAAGCACCTTCGGTACCTCCCGATTATTTCACAGCCCAGTCTCTCGCCAACGGCAATTGGAAACGTGATGGACCGCCCCGATCATTTGTGAGGGCATCGACCGATGCTAGCACTGTCACGTTGGCATCCATCTCGGAGGAGTTCCAGTTAGACAGTTCACGGCAGACGTCAAACGACAGCGGCCGCCCTTCTGTTGGACATAGGAAGTCCTCAACCCCGTCTATCACCTTTCGACCGCCGCGTAACCCGTTGCTACCCCAGGGTAACCCGCGAAAGACGGACAACCGACGACTTCGTGAGTCGTCGCCATCTCCTGTGAGGTGAGTGTGGCCATTTATCGTATTCTACCAACTCTCAGCCCATCACCTTTATGCTTCCTCGACTGCAATGCAGATTGAGTGGTGGTGCTCGATGTGGCAAGGGCCCTCGGCTTTGTTGATGATTCTGTCTGCCGAGGAATGCCGCAGGCCCTTTGGCCCGCCTGCTGGGGAGTGCCAGGCGAGTGCCAAGCTGCCATGCAGTACACTAGCTCCAGAAGGGCTCAATAACCCTTCAAGATTCGACGCCCGCTGCCAGCCTTTACTCGTCTCAACATCTCCATGGAGACTTGGCCGGCCGAAAAAAAGCATGCAGCGTCTTTCTAATTTGCAAAGGATGTGATTGGGAGCGGCTTTTCACCTTCATAGTCGCGAGGGTGGTCTGCGGAAACAGCAGCATTCAAGAGGGCGCCATCGGCTCGACTCACGCGAGCTCGCCATGCGTTTCTGAATTGAGACAGATTCAGCGGCAGCCCCGCCGAGCACCTCCAACTTCAACCCCGCCACCCCACCGCTTTGGGCTGGACGATGTCATGCTGCAAGCCAGTTTCGCTAGCTGGAGCGGGCCACCTCGATGCCTTTGTTGTGGCTGTGCCGAAGGTCGAGATCGCCATCGGCCGATGGGCATGTGCAAACATCACGTTTCCCCTCGCCGCAATCACAGCTTTCCCACCAAGTGGCAGCGTTCATGCGCCTCAACTTTAATCTCCTGCACAGCGTCGAGCTTCTTAATTGTCATTCTCCCATTTCGCGAAATTGTTTTAAAACCACAGCTCGTCGCATATTCATATGCCCGATTTAGAATATGGCAACGCTAACCGCAACCCCGCTGCCACCTCACAGGTTCGAACAGCATGTCGGGTTTGACAACCTCCCGGTCGGAGAGGCCACCAAGAACAATCCCTCGTCTTTTACTCTACAAGCGAGGCACCAGGGCTATCATGCGTCACGGAGATCCCGCACCTTTATGATCGGCGTTGACGAGCACACCTACTCCCAGTATGCGCTGGTATGGTTGCTTAACAACATGGTGGACGACGGCGATGAGGTGATTTGCGTGAGGGTCCTGGAGAGCCCTGTGCGGCCCGATAAGAATTACCAAGAAGATGCGAAGAGGTTGTTGGAAACTATCAAATCCAAGAACGAGCTCAACAAAGCGATCAGTATTGTGCTGGAGTATTCGGTGGGGAAGCTTCATGACACATTCCGGCAGTTGGTGAGTGTTTTTAGCGGTGGAAGGTGGTTGTCGGTCTAATTGCTAACCAACACTGATATTAGCTCGGGATTTACAACCCCTCCATGCTCGTAGTCGGCACTAAGGGACGGACGCTGGGAGGATTGCAGGGGTTGATGAATGCGCGAAACTCATTCTCAAAGTACTGCCTGCAATACAGCCCTATTCCGGTCGTTGTTGTTCGGCCAGACGACAAGCGACTTAAGAAGAAGGAGAAGCGGTCACAGGATCCGACTCGACAGAGCTATGCTGCCATGCTGGCTTACAATGCCGGCAAGCACGAGGCGGACAGCGAGGCAAGCAGCGTTTACGAGTTTGAGAAGGGAATATCGCCCGACGAAGAAGCGCATCGAGTCGCCGCAGCCATTGGGCTCCCTGCGAGGTTCGATCCGACCATAAAAGCATACAATCCCCGCGATTCACTCCGCGATTCGCATCGTCGGCGGTCTTCGCCGTCGACAGCTGCTTCAGGAAGATCGACATCCCTTTCTCCGCCTCCGATGCCCCTTCCAGGCGAGAGCGGCGACGAGGAAAGCGGCGACGAGGACGACGAGTTTGAAGTTGAGGCTGTCTCGGCTCGCCAGATTACGCCCGGTGTACGCAAAAATTCGGGGCTCGAGGAGCAGAAGGAGCGACTCCACGCTATGGAGGTTGGAGAAGCAGCTGCGCTGCTCAAGTCTGGAAAATCGAAAGAGGTGGAAGAGGACGACGATGACGATGAGTCGCAGGAGCGGACGGCGGAAGACGCTGCCAAATCATAGTGGCATGTTCTTTTGGGCCCCAGCGTGCTTGTTTCTCGGGACTGAGGGGTAGGTTTCTTTGCGGCCCGTTTGTGTTTCGGTGCAGGGGGGGCGTTACAGGCGCATATTGGGATGCTCAGACGAAACGGCAACATGGTTAGACAAGTTTCGATGTCCTCATAGGCAGTGACTTGGAGGACCCTGATGATAGTTACCTATCTTCACTCATCGTTCTGGTTGGGTCGGGATCGATCCGGGGAGGGGAGTTGAAGATCTTGTACTGTACGGCACGGGGTTGGCGGCAGTGTCCAGCGATGTTTTCTGTAACCAGGTACATTAATAGGACAGCTTTCCGACAAGAATGTCTCGCCTTGGATATGTTTGCGCAGCTTTGCCAGCTAAGTCGCACCCGTGTTACGCAAGGACTGCCTGACGTCAGGTTTGAAGGGAAGGGTGAGAGGACATGGCGCTGCAAGGGCCAAACAGGGGTTATTTGCGGGACGGCTTGTGGGGTGCTTAGCGTTGGATCGGTAAGGTGGTCCAAGCTCGATTCCCAGGCCCTTGCTGGGATCCGGGGTCACTTTTAGCGCTGTCAACTCAAGCTCTCCCTCCTACTTCACTTCCAGCAACCAACCAGTGACAGACCACAGACTTGGGCTCAACTCGGACCATGACACGAGAGTCTCGCATCCCATAGCACCTGAACGCCTTTGTCTCGGGCACGAACTTACTGTATTATGCTATCGCCATTTGACCGCACCGACAACGCTGCACATTCAACCTCGACTTGGGCCCTCTTCTCTCACCACCGTCAACATAAAAGAAACCCACAATGCCACCACCCTCCGCCAATAACCATGACAGGGAATCCGCCTCATGCGGGCCCTCTTGCGCCCCGACATCGCCTTCCTCCCTCTTCGCAACAACCCTAGCCCTCACACCGGTCCTAGCAACCTTTTTCCTCGTCGCGTCCTTCTCCCTGACCCGCCTCTTCCCGCGCCTCGCCCGCCTGCAACAGCAGCAGCCACAGCTTCATTCCTCCTCCTCGTCCTCGTCACAACAATACGGTCCCGGGATATTAAGCCTCGACGACGGACAAGACCACTTCCTGCCCTCGTCCGCCCCGCCGTCGCTGCGCCAGGCGCACGCCGAGCAGGCGGCGCGGTCGCCGCGGCATAGGATGGCGGCGGTCGCGTTTGCGGTTACGGTGGGGTTGGCGGCAGTTCTGGCGGAGCTGATACTAGCCGAGATTCTCGAGGTGGAGGGCCTGGTGCTGGGCCAGAGGGCCAGGGCGGTCGGGTTGAGGTTCACTGTGCCGACGCTGATGGTTATGCTGGTGGGCGTGGTGCCGTTTATCGAGGTGCAGAGTGTGCTTGCTTCGAGGGGGTGGCGGTTTGGGCGGGATGGTAAGGGGAGGGTTGTCTCGAGGGCTGCGTGGGGCTTGCAGGGGGTGGTGTTTTCGGGGTGGTTGATGGGGTTCTGGTTTGTGGGGAGGGCGGTTACGGCGCTGGAAAGGGGGTCGGTGGGAGGGGAGGAGCAGATGTGGCTGTTGGCAGGTATGGCTAGTGTGAAGGGGGGTGACGGGGGGTTTGACAGTACTGCGATGACGATCGGGAGGGCGGAGATCGGGAGAGGGGTGTTCGGCGGCGGGGCAGGGGATGGTGGGCTGTCGAGGGCCTGTTTGGAGAGGATTGGGGTGATAGGAATTTCGTTGATGGCATTGCTCTCTGGGTTTGCCAGCGTGTCGAGTCCGTGGCATACGTTTGTCGATGACAGGATGTATCGGAAACGGCCGATCACAGACGCTGATATTGCGAGGAAGCAGGCGGGCCTGGATGCGACGAGCGAGTTGCTGCTCACCAAGCGGCACCGCTTAAGATCGCTGCAGAGGAAGGCACAAGCGGCGGCAGAGGGGATAGGAAGCGGAACCCCCCATGGTGTGTCAGCAGGCGGGGGTGGGCTGATGGGAAAAGTCTTTGGTTCTCTGAAGAATATGGCTGGCGGCGGAGAGGCTGCCGAGATCAAGGCACTCCAGGTAGAGATTTCGGGCCTCGAGACCATGGAAGCAAACCTCGCCGCATCCCTGTCCTCGCTCAAGTCGCGTCAAGCCGCCCACGCGCTGGATGGTACCGCCCTTGGCCGCCTGCTGACGATCCCGCGCTACATCTTTGCCAGCTACTGCGTTTACCGCATCCTCGCTACGACCCTCACCACCTTCCGACGCATGTACTACCCCTCAGCCTCGTTCTCCTCCTCAGACCCCATCAACCGTTTCCTCGGCTTGCTGGCCAAGCACTGGGATCCCAAACTCGACCAAATCGCTTGGGCACGCCAGATCTCGTTCTTGCTGTCCGGCGTCATTCTCGCCGCCAGCGCAAACTCGGTGTTGCAGACTTTCCGGCTGTTTTCCAAATGGGCGCCAGGGCTGCTCCAGCAGGCGCAGGCGAACCTGGCGCTGCTGGTTGGGCAAGTCGCGGCGACGTATGTCATCAGTGCCGCCCTGCTCATGAGGAGTAACTTGCCGAGAGACGTAGGACGAACCGTTGGGGACGCGCTGGAGAGCGCTCTGGAGCCCGTGTTTGTGGACCGCTGGTTCGAAGGGTGGTTTCTGCTTGCGAGCGCTGGGACTGCGGCGGGGATCTGGGTGGGAAGGAAGTTTAGCAGTGGGTATGGGGAAGATTGGGACGAATTTGCTGGGGAGGAGATGGGGCAGAAGCGGTCCTGATGTTGTTTTGTACAGAGCTGCTCCTCTCCTCTCAGAAGTGTATATATTCTTTCTTGTAAAATACCCCAACATTGCTGCTTTGTCCAGCGTGGAGTTGGAGTGCGTTGTTGTCCTTTCTTTGGAGGTTGTTCGTCAATGTTCTGGCATTGACCAGGAATGGATGAAGCGAGGCATCTTTCAGATTCGACGTACTAAGGAGACACTGCTTTGGTTGGTCCAGTAATGCTTCACTATATGGTCAAGAGAACCCTGATGGTGGGATGTTCTCTGCTTGCCGATTATCGCCGAATGCTGCTATACAGTCCATCCCGTCTGTCCGTCTGGTTACTAGCAGGTGGCCTAAGAAAACAACGTTACATTAAGATGTTCAACTGCTTCTTTCATTTTCTTTCTCTTTCTCCCCTTTCTCTCTTTATATCATTCTCTCATTCTTTTGACTTCACTCCTCATTTGTATCTTCCTACCCCTCCCCAGCAAACAAGTTAGACCTGGGCTGTATATCGACAAACTGGAACCTGAATGGTGTTTTTAGGTATGTACTTGAGCTTTGGTGTTGATGGCGGGGTGTAACCAATCCCCTTGCCTGCTGAAAGTGGCTAACTCCACTTGAGTCCCTGCAAGTAGTGGCGCGTTGGCGTGGGCTCCCGCTGTGGGTTCGTGAGCGGACCAATCATCCCTGTGTCAGGGGCTCATCTGGGGCTTGTCTCAAACGCCAGCCTTGTTTCGTTTCGAACCACCTGCTCCTCCAGTCCAACCACAAGGACTCCTTTGGTCACCAGAAGACGGACTAGGTCAACGCCGCTGCTCTGTCGACGCCTGTTTCTGTGTGCCCAAGCGTGACATTGAAACGCGGAGAATGCAGGGCACACACGTGTGGTGACAGGTCGCCGCCGAATCATGGCTTTTGACTGGCGAACAAGTCACCGCAGAGCCCCTTCAAAGTCATCTGGGGAACCGCAGCGAATCTCCCTGGGCCCGAGGGAGTCGGATGCCCGAGGAGGGTCATTTGTACTTGCAGCAAGTGTTGCAACGAGCATTTTAAGAATCGGATCGCTCAACTTCTGACTTGAGCTCCTTTGTGAAATGTCTGCGATGGAGAGAGAGCCTCGTCCGTAGCTCCGAGTGAGCCCCTCCAACAGCCCACCCGTCGGCTCGTTGCCGCATATTTCGAAATTATTTTCCCCCCTCTCTTTATCTTCCGTTTGCTATTGTTGTTTTTTTGAATAATCCACCACACGAAGCTGTGCTTCCTTTAATTCTTCTATTCGTGCTTGGTTGTTTGCGAGCGCAACTGGCCGCTTTTCGTTCGACCACACCATCACCGTCACACCCGATCTTCTCTTTTGCCACTCATCAACCTTCCTGCATGCGATCGGTTGCCTCGCTTCTCCTGCGCAACCGCGGTTATATAGAGCGACACCTCTTCGCCCACGGCACGTGCGAAGAGTCCACGGGACCACCACCTCAAACCTCCACCATCGGGTTGTTGATTGAGCAGTCTATCGGAGCTCCATTCCCAGGGCAGCCCTTTTCAGCATCATTGGTCGCCCCTTCACTCGCGTGCAAGGCAATCACGGTTACCCGACCGATCGGATCTCCCGCTGTCACAGCCCTCTGACACAGCCCACGTTTCGGGTAGTCACATACCGAGCAAATCGCTCCACCTGCTCGACGAGGACGTACCCGGCTTTCAGATTTGCCACGACGTTCCAGATCACTTCAACGTGACCACTAGGGGAAAGGAGGGAGCCAGCGATCTGTCGACTGTCTCATCCCGGAGAGGACCATTGGGGGTCAACGGTTGGAGACTGAGCTCACACTCACTCCTTGATCTAGCCCCTTTATCCTACAACAAACGTACCTGCCTTGCGGGTTGTGGAGGCCCTTCGCCATGGCAAGTCACGATAGGCGGCAATCGTCGAGATGGGTCGGATTACTGTCCATGATGGCTTCAACGACCTCGGCCCTGTCACTCACCAGTTTTCAACCCATCACCGCGACGACAGTCCACCTCGGCTGTATCCTGGCCTATAACTACCAAATTTCCGGCTGCACCATAGCCGATTTTACGCGTGGGAATACATGCTCGGTAGCATGTGTGAAGAGTCTCATCAAAATCCAGTATGCTGTACAGGCAGCCTGCCCCAACGTCAACGTAGACGCGGCATCAGTACTAGGGCAGGCCTTGCTGGGCAATCTGGTGGATTTGGTTTGCTCAGGTACCTCTTCCGACGCTCCAACCTCAACCTCAAAATCAAGCCTAAGATCGACCCCGAGTCACACCACCATCACCATCACGCGGACCTCAAGCAGGCCGGTGCTCACTCTCACCCCAGTTCGGCCCACATCGACGACGACTCCCGCTGCAGCGACGACGACGGAGACAGAAGAGCCTCAGACGTCCACCACGGAGACAGAGACAGAAGAACCGGAGACTTCCACTTCCACTTTCTCTTTGACCACCGCTCTTGATACTTCGATCTCGACCTCCGCCCAATTCTCCCCAACGACGAGCGCATCACCTCCATCTTCGTCCTCTTCAAGCTCTTCGACCATCACTGCATCTCCCGAGCCGACGACTGAAGACTCGTCGGGCGGCGGGAGCCCCTTTGACGTTGCAAGCAGCGACTCGCGACAGCTTACTTCTTGCTGGCCGCAGACGGTGGCCGTTGCAGTGGGGTTGAGCCTATTACTTCTGCACTAGGCCTGTCTGTGCGGAGGAGAGCTGCTGTGCTCTAAGCGCGCGAAAGGAGCGAATGGCTTGGCATGGGGCTGCATGGTGGATCTAATGAGATATGGGCGCACGACTTAGGGTTTTAAGACTCTGAGGGGAGTGAACAGGAATTACAACGGTCATTTGTCGTTGGGCAGCCATATTATGGAATACCGGGTCGGTCATGATGACAGAGGGCCCAACCATTGCATAAAGGAGCCGCACTTGGACAATGGATGGGATATGCATTTCTTTTAGAGACGCCCGTTAGACGATGGGAGGAGGGAACGCTCTTATGCTCGTTATTGGGGTTTAGCATTGACAGAGGGAATTGTTTGTAATTCAATGATACCACATGCGTTTCGATACGAGGGTCGTCTATCCTGAGGAATAGAAGACAAGTATCTACAAGTTTGGCAGTGGGACACATACCGGCTCCAAACCGCTCGACACCCTTGATCTTCACGCCGTTCTAGCAGCTCCAAAATACCCTCCCGCCGATTTAGCTTGCTAATTGCCCTCATCGCTTCTTGCATAGAAAATCGTTTCTCAGCTTATCCCCACCTTCCATCACATGACAGTTTCCTCAAGCCGTAGATGCCCACAGATCCCTCATTTGAATAACCCCCGGAATACTCGCCAGCAACCCGACCGTTGTCTCGCTGACCAGGCCCTTGTCGCTGCCCCAATGCAGCGTCAGCGGCGCCCAAGCGAGCTGCCGCGCCGCGTTCTTGGCCCACTGGCTCTTCTCCCGCGCCGTCCTGGCCCGGAACTCGGGCCCGAACCGCGCCGCCGCCAGTCGGCCCAGCTCGATACCCACGTAGGCGGCCCAGAACCGCGCGCTCCACTTGTACGCCTTGCCCTGCTGCGCCGGCGTCCACGACAGGACCCCGCGCGAGGAGAGGTAGGCGCCGTTTTCCAGGGATTGGAAGATTACGCAGAGCGCCAGGCGGACGTACTCGAGGAGGGTGCCGAGTTTGCCCGGTGCTGGAGGGGGGGGGAGTTCCTTTTCGCTGGGTTGCTTGGAGGAGTTGGAGGAGGAGGAGGAAAAGGTGGCGCGGACGAGGCGGCGCGCCCAAAAGTACATGCCCAGCAGCGCCCAGAGGCGCAGAATCATGCGGGCTTCGCTGAGGAGGGAGGAGAGGGCGGAGAGCCGCTTAGAGAGGACGAGCGCCAGGGCGGCGGCCGCCGGGAGGGCCGTCTTGCCGCCCGTGGCGGCGGTGGCGGCGGCCGGGGAGGAGAAGACGACGGTGGTGCCGCGGGGGAGCGAGCCCACGAGAGCGATCCACTCGCGGGCCGAGCGCCGCAGGGCGGACTGCGAGAGGGACGAGAGGACCGAGGCGCCGAGCTTAGAGGTGTAGCAGAGGAAGAGCATCACTGTGTCGATGCCGGACGGGGTGGAGAGGCACTTGTCGAGACGGGTTAGGAAGGCGTCGACGTTGGAGGGCAGGGCGGCCATCAGGGCGCCGAGCGGGAGAGGTTGGCGCTTTGGGGTCCTGGAGGGCGGCGCCGAGGACGGGATCGGCTCGCCCGAGGGCAGGTCGGCGACCGGCGCCGCAACAGGCACCTCCGGGTCCGGCGTGGGAATGGTTGCTGCTGCGTCGGCCATTGCGCTAGATGCCCTTGGTGTTGTGGATGATTGATCTGTGTGAACTGCAGCAGTGGATGTTGGGACTGTGTCGGCAGCGTTGAATTGAGTGTCTGTTTGGCGCGCTGCGTGGATTGGTGGAATTGAAATGGAGCGGGGGAAGTCAAGCCGTCGGGATCACAATCATGGACTCGGAGCGCTGGAATTCAACATCCGGGACAGCACGATCATAGAAAGGGAATTTGTATTGCTGCACCACCTGCAAGCTAATAAAGTCCCAGGGGTGCGTGAACCGCTAGCCACTGGCAACTGAAGTCGGTGGATTTGAGAGCTCCCCACTGTCGATGCTTGCTCGAAGGTCAGGTTTCGGGACTGCAAATGACGCCAAGAGTAGCCCAGCTCCACACGTACCTCGGTCCGCGGCGGCCAGGGCCGGCAGTCGCAAATGTGGGGCCCCACATTGTTCTGTAAGGAGCACAGAGCTTCGCTCCATCCAGGAACAGGACAGATGATTGCTCTTGTAATGAGCGCCTGGAGTTAAGGTATCTGGGCTTCCACCGTGTCTGGACAAAGTAAGTTACTGCGAAGGTCCACTGTCCAACATGTCCAAGCCTGCTGATGCTGGTATCATACTACACGAACTCAATGAAACAACTCTAACCACTTTTTGCCCATGCAACTCCGCCAGAACGCCAGGAATTCCCATTCCCCCTCATCACGCCGCCTCTGCCTGGTACCAACCCTTCCCTCACGCAATAATTATCAACAAACCCCCTCCCCTCTCCTCAAAACCCCCATCACCTCTTAACCCTCTTACTCTCCCGCCCTTCCCCCTCCTCCTCATCACTCAACTCCGCATAGTGCGTAACCGGCTGCGTCTTGGCCCACGCCCCGGTAAAGACGGGATCCTTCTTGGCGACGTCGGCATACTTGAGCAGCGCCTCGCGGGGGTCCTCGTGCAGCATGCGGCTCAGCGGAATGTTCTGCTCAATGTGCTTCTCGTCGGGCTGGCTGCGCATGAAGGGCGTGATCTGCTGCACCTGCGGGCGGTAGGGGTCACGCGACGTGCGGCCCGACGCGGACACGCCGCCGCCGCCGCGCTTCTTCTGAACTCCTAGTAGTGCGCCAGGCGCGACGATGGCGTCGCCCGAGATGCCCAGCTGGCTCTGGTCCATGGTGAGCGAAGGGTCGTCGTCGATGTGGCGCTTCTTGGGGGCGCGCGACATGACTTCGAGCGCGCCGCGCGTCGAGAGAGAGGGGTTGTAGAGGACGTGGGTCTCGGCATTGGCTGAGCCAGTGAGGATTTGGTTGAGCTTGGGGTGCCAGTCGACGGCGATGAGCGGGATGCCGGGGGTGATGGGCGTAACGTGTTCCGGCCGGAGGTTGGCCGGGTTGAGGATGTGGAGGTGACCGGATGCAGACCCGGTGATAATGAAGCGAGAGTCGGGCGAGTACTTGATGTTGCTCATGGCGTACCGGTCCGAGGTTGAGGGATGCTCGATCTTGACGAGCGGTTGCTTGAACTTGCGCGTGTCCCAGAGCTTGATCAAGCCGTCGCCTCCCCGCGTCACCACCATTCGGCCGTCCGTGCTGATATCGATCCCTCCGGTCCAGGTATCTGGCCGGTGCGCATCCTTGACTTCCGCCGCCGGCCTTGTAAACGGGCCGTTGCCGCCATACATCACCAGCGAGCCATCCAGGGCGGCCGATATCAGCACTGGACTATTCCCCTGGGATGAAACTCCCCATGCGACTGCCGTCATCCTTGTGCGCCCTGCTGAGCCGGCGGCTTTCGACTTGAACACAATGACGTCCTTTTGACTCCTCTTGTTGTTGATGTCCCATATTCTCAGCGTGCTGTCCGACCCGGCGGTTACGCAGAGGTTCTGGTCCGTGGGGTGCCAGGTTCCCGTTGTGACCTCCCCGACGTGCCCCTTGGTGTTGTGCATGTCTCGGAGGTACATGTCGCCCTTGACAAACTCGGTCACAACGCCGCCATCCCTTGACATGATTTTGGCCTGTGGATGTGCCGTAACGCAAAGGAAGACGCTGCCCGAGTGGCGGCTGAACTCGAGATGCTGGATGGGGTGCGAATCTGACGAGGCGGACTTCTTAGTTTCCCACGGGTCGACCGTCTTGAAGGCCCTCAGCGTTGTGGGGGTCATGGCTGCGAAGTCGTGGAAGTTGACAGTGCCGTCGAGTGAGCCGGTGAGCATGCGCGACCCTGCGGGATCCAAGGCGATGCTGGTGACTGCTCGCTCGTGCGTCTTGAGCACCATCTCGTGGGATATTGGAAATCTTTCCGAGTTGTCTTCATCGTCGGATTCTAAGTCGTCCAAGTCGCTATCGTCGCTGTCGGAAGCGACCTTTTTCTGGTTCTGTGGCGCTGGCTTCTCGACCTGGCGCTTCGTCTGCTCGATCTGGGCGGCGACATTTGCTTCTTTGGTTGTCTTTCCAAAGGACTTGGGGACGAACGCTCGCATGGGGTCATCGTCGGCAAGGACGGGTTCCTCAACTCGGTAATCGTCGCCGTCACTTTCGCTGCCGCTCATTATGGCAACTGTTCGGTTTGAGGTTGAGAATGGAGAATTGGGATGCCAGCCTCGGGACTCCAAACTGCCCCATAGGTATCCCAGCAAGCAGAAGCTTTGGAAGGTCTTGGCATGCATACAGACCTGCGAAGGCTAAAAATCTTGGCAGTGTTGTATTCTTGGGGAACCTGGCTGGACTTTGAGCCTGTGAGACAGAGAAAAACCAATTCATTGTGTTCTCCCATTTTGGAAGCAACTCTACACTGATCATTAAAACGTGCATCTAGATGATTTGTTGCCGACTACTCGACACAGGCATACCATTCCGTCATTAAGCCGCCGCAGTGACAGCCTGCTGACCCTCCTTCGCCTTCCGCTCCAGATCGGCCAACCTCTTCAGCTCCTCCTGCTTCATCCTCTCGGCTTCAATCAACCGCTTTGGCACCACCCTCTCTCTCGGCCCGGTGGCCTGCCACCCGGGCAGCTTATCCTTGCCGAGCGCGCGCAGAGTCACCTGCTCCACCAGGCTATAGTTCCCATCCTCGCGATCAAAGCGGTGCGGTTCCCTCAGCGAGACGGGCGGGTTCGTGATGATGCGCACCCTCCTCAGGGCATTACTTGACGGCGCGTGCAGCATGAGCGGGTGCATCAGGTAGACGTCGCCAACCTCTCCCGTGGCCTCAACGAAGTTGTCGCAGCTCTTTGCGATCTCGCAGAAGAAATTGAGATCCTTCTCCTCCCGGAAGTCGGGCTCCCCGCGCGGCGTCATGCGCGGCGACACGCCCTCCGGGTGGTCGTGCAGGTGCTTGGCGATCTTGGGGATTGCCTCAGGGCAGATGTATGTGCCGCCGCCGTTAGGGACAATATCTGTGAATAACGGCGTCACTAGTAGTGCCTGTTCGGGACTGTCTAGGTAATGGACCTGGAGGCTTGGTGGTTAGCAGCTCGAGATATCAGCAAGGAGTACAGCGCAGCTCTAACTCACAAAGAAGTCGCCGTCGACATGCCATTCGGGCAGCTCCTTGGGCGGCACGGGCTTGCCGCCGTGCTTCTCGTCGCCGAGGTTGACGATGAGGGCGTCACGCCAGTACTTGGTGCTCGGGTCCACGCGGTCTTCGCCGCCGCACAGCTCGAGGATGGCAGCCCAGGCGCGCGGGGCAAACTCGGAGGCGTCGAATTCCCTGTGATGGGGCATGTTGATGCGCAGGCGGTTCCAGGTCGACTTGTCGTTGGGATCCATGCCTAGGCGTGTCCAGACGTTGGCTGTGATGGAATCGGCTTTCTCTTTGGTGAAGGCCTTGGGGATTCTTTGAGAGGAAAGAGGGAGTTAGGAGGTGATTTCGAGGTGAGTATTTTACGGAGATGTGCTGCTTACTTGACCCAGCCGTGCTTGAGGAAGTGCTCCTTCTCCTCCGGGGTGAGGACTGATGTGGACGACATGATGAGGGATGGTCTTGACTTGTACTACGAGAAGACTATGGCAAGAACAGCGTTTGATTATTTCTTACACTCGTCGGCTTGAGTAGCAAACTCAGCAGCCCCTTTTTATAGACGTCGTCGCCAGGCTCCGATCGGGCTTCGACTGGGCTTCAAGCCAAGCTTCGAACCTCGTGATCGCCGTACATGTGTATGAGCACGCCCTAACGTATTTCCGGTGCGGGGGAGGCTTTGTGGTTTAACCAGCTCCATCTCATTGGACGCCGGGTGGACGCCGGGTGAGCCCCGGACATAACGGCGCCGTGGAGTTTCCTCAATGAGTGGTAGCGGCCCCTCCTCTGGTACCCACCCGTCCCGGGTTGCAGGCCCGGAGGAACACCCGGAGAAACGCCGGACGGGTCGTCATGGGTAAATTGCCCTGGCATCAATTGGGAGACACTGAAAACCGGGTTGCTGGAAACTTTGCCGCAGTTCGGAGGTTCAGGTCACGCGGAAAGTTTGGCTGAATAGCTGCCTCCATGGGCCCCTCTACGACCGTGTTGCTTTCGAACCAATTCTGTTGTCAAGCTGGCCATGAATTCCCCGAATTCTCTCATGTCCAATATCTCACCAAAGCTACACAAAATCCATCTAACGTTACCTTACCTACCTAGATACTTGAACACTTATTAGGTTCTCGTTCTTGCAGATCTGGGGCGAGTTCCCTGTCATCCTGCCCCGAGCATCCGGAGCCGAAGCGGGGGTGGGCCACCCTAGCACAGGCTCCACCCCTTGGTCCCGGTCCACTTGAATCCCTTCTTCCAGGCTTCTCGGCAAAGCAACTCCGACAAACCCGACGTCAAGCTAAACCCCCCCACGCGTCACCATGTCTGCGGAGCTGGTGCGCGATGAAGACTACCTGTCGGAAGAGGACTCCGATTTCGCACCGGAAGAGGCGCCCGCAGAGGAGTCCTCCGTGTCGGATGACGACGAGGCCGCCGATGCTGAGAAATCAACCCAGGGCAAGCGCAAACGACAAGACGTCGAGGATGGCGCAGAGGATGCTGGCTTTGAGAACTCGGGAGATGAGGCAATCATAGAGAAGGGAAAGAGGCGGCAGAAGAAAGCCAAGAGGAAAGATGGCGAGGCGGACGAAGACGAAGGAGGTGAAGGAGGGCTGATCAAGACGCGCCGGATGCGCGCAGCCGAGTATGTGCCCAGGGGCTCCGAATAACCGCCTGGAGACGATCACTAATACCGCCACAGAAAAGCCGAAAAGCGCGCAGAAGTCGCCAGCGGTCCCGTTACTATCGACGTGGATGCCCTCTGGGCTCAGATGACGAGCGAGCCCGTCGGGAAAAAAATCCAAGCCGAGCCCGCAACCACACAGCCAACAGTGGACGGCATCAAGCCTCCTTCACAGCCCCAACAATCCACAGAAAATAACAAGGCTGACGAACTCGACCTCATTCGCATAAAACGAACCTACAACTTCGCCGGCAAGGTCCACACCGAAGAAAAGCTCGTCCCCCGCGACTCTGCCGAGGCGAAGCTCTACCTCGCCGAGAAGGGCGCGGACGCGGCCGCCTCAGACAATTCATCCTCTCCGACACAGAAGCGCATGCCCCGCAAAGCCTTCCGCTCCGCCTTCGAGCCCGTCGCGTCCGACGGACCGGCCCACCGCTCCGATCTCAACCTCGCCATGTCGGAGCGCTTGCGGGCGCGGGAACTGGCCAAGGCGGACGCCAAGAAGCTGAACACGGTCGAGAAGAGCAGGATGGATTGGGCCGGGTTTGTGGACCGTGAGGGCATCAAGGACGAGCTGGAGCTGGCGGGCAAGTCGAAGCACTCGTTTGCGACGAGGCAGGACTTCCTGGCGAGGAGCGAGGCGGTGCGGGAGCAGGAGGCGCGGAGACTGCGTATGGCGGGGAAGGCTTGAAGAAGTTGTTTTTGAGGCGTATGGTGTACTGTTACTGGTTGGGAAAAGGGACGCGGCGTTTGGGCGGAATACCCGTTGGGATAGAATTCACAAACTTCATCGCAAAATTTACAAGAGGATCATGCCATCCAACTACAGTACAACTCCTCCAGCGCCCATCAGAGCTTCGCCTTTGCTCCGGCTGCCGGCAGCAGCGTGACGTCCGTATACGGCAGCCCCAGGAATTTGTACACAAAGTGAAACCTACACTCCGCAACCGTCAGCAACCCTGCTCCCTATATTCCCCACATCCGAGAGACAGAACGTCAACACTCACCGATCACTCCCGAAAAACGGCTCTCCCCTCCCCGTCCGCTCATCAACAACCCACAGCCACGGCGCCCCAAACGCCCCCTTATCCAACGCCTCCTGCGTCGTGCTCTTCAACCCAACCTTGATCTCCTCCGACAAGGCACCCTCCACAATCTCCCTCACCTCCGCCTCCGTAAACAATCTGCCCCCCTGGCCCTCCCCTATGCCAGTGCCAGGCCCCCTGAATCCCCTCGGGACCGTCACAAGCGCCTTCGCCACGCTCTCCGGCGTCGTCAGGTCCATGTTGGGCGGTGACCAGAAGAGATGAAACAGATAGTGCAGGACCGCATCAAAGACTGCCGCCGGGTAGCGGCGCTTGATGTACAGGAGGCAGCGCATCGGGACGACGGTCATGCCGCGCTGCATGAGGTCCCGGGGGAAGGAGATGGGCGGCGGCAGCGGGTCATGGCGGGCGATGGAACGGCGCGCGTCGTGGGCTAGGTACTTAGCTTTGGCGCGGACGGTCCAGGGCGGGCGGTTGCCTGATCCGGCGTTTATTCCGCCTAGGAGGAAGGGGTGATATCTGCGCTGGGTGGTCAGTGAGTGAGGGATGGTTGGTGAGGGAAGAGAGAAACCAAAGCGGGGGGGGGAGGAAAGGGGGTTGGTTACTCGACTTGGACATTCTGAGAGGCTAGGAGGTCGCGGTTCTTTTGGAGCTCGAGGAAGGCGAGGTAACTGTAGAGAGACGCTGGCGAGAGTGTGAGAAGAGGCTCGTGGTTTGGATACATACGGATAGCATGTGATGAGAAAAGGGACAGCCGTACCAATGTCCACGTAGCAGTCGATCTTGCCTCCCATTCTGTTCTGGGATCAAGTAGATAGGCGAGTATTGGCAATATTCAGGCACAATGAGGTGATTTCTTGAGCTGGTATCCATAGGGAAGCGGTATAGAAGAGTAGAGGGTTGAAGGAGGAATACCTCGGCTGCCCCACCCCGGCCCGAGTTCCGGTCCGGCGGATCAGTAATCCACAGCCCACGTCATGCCGAAGGGGTCCACTCCTCCGACATGCCGGGTTCTCTAGAGATACACTCCTCCGCCGGACTGACCGCGGAGAGCGGTACATGAACGACCTACACCCGGCGGATTCACATCCAAAGTCCCATAAAGCCCATTATGACACCTACTAAACACCCCCCAAGTAGCCCTGGTCGTCGGCGAATCACTGGTGTCGATCTTCCCTTCATTCCAGGTTTGCTCCGGGATTAGGGTTCATATCGATGGTCAAGTCATTGGACCATTGAGCAGTGATGGGACAATGCTGGAAAATGGGTTTAGCAGGTTGTCTAGAACGCAGAAGGTCAGTTCTCCTATCGTATCAGATTCGGAAGGTTTAGGAAGCTCAAGCCGCCCTGAAGGAACCAGCCTCAGTGCAATCTGCGAAAGCCAAAGACGAACCATGCATCCATGCTCCAGTAGTTGCAGTGACGCCAAGATGATCGCAGCCCATGTCTAAGCCAGCAAAACCCTATCAGCTTGAGAGCTCACGGTGGGTGTCTGCTGTACGGAGACATATTCGACGTGATAGCCCGAGATCCCCGCACTCTTCCCTTCCACTTCTACTCCTCGCCAGCCGCCTTTTTGTGCTTCAAACTTGGCCGTTATTGGGCTACTTGGTGCAAGGTAGGATTGTGTGCCATGAACAACAGCCCCAGTCTTGCAGCTCGTTTCTATTGGATGCCATGGACCAGTCGAAGCTGCAGTTGCGCCGTCGTGTTGGTCAGGCAGTACTTAAAGCCCGGCGCAGCGCGTTCAGCAGCCAGCTTAAACGAACATCTAAGTTCCCCTACTATACGGCTAGCACAGAACCCAAAGCTGGTATGGATATCAGCAGGGTCAACATTACCTTGCCCGAGGGCGCCAGCAACCACGGGAATCCGAACATGCTTTGTCTGCCCGTGAATTGGTACGAGGACATCAGATTCTAATTCACCAATTATTTCGCGCACGCCCTCAGAGGACGGTCCGGAAGCAGCGGCTTAGGCGAGCCCAGGCGGACATGATGGCCCTGTGGTGGTTCAGCATGTTGGAAGAACCGACGACCCAAGAGAGCTTGACGAGGGCGGGAATCCGCCAATTATCGATCGGCGCCTTCCGGCGAAAACCACAGCTCAAGCACATCCTGAAATCAGAGGAGAAGTGTGTTCACCTGAGTCATCTCCCAACCGTTCATGAGTGAGGAGAATGCCGAGCTGAATTCTTGATAACCCAATGCAGTTCGGTCAAGGTGCCTTCTTCAGACACTGTACCAACGCTCCAAGGATGCGGCTGAGCGGAGCGGCGGTGGTTTCTTCACAGGGGCGATCCTCATCAAAACCCCAGAGGCCGACAGCTCTTCTACGTACCGTCGGACTGCCAAGGGCGGCAGGTTTGATAACGCTGTCAATACATGTATAGTGCCCGTGGTAAAACTGACACCGCTTGCCATTGTCGGGGCGCGCCTTCCCGCTTCCAGACGGGAAGGAGCACATCCGTCCAGCGTGGCTTCACATTGTCCTAGCTTGTGGTGGGCATGGCGGTGGGGCGCAGCTTCTTCTTGACGGTGGCGGAGAATATCGGCAGGGGAATACGGCACCGTGGCGGTTCCGAGATATTCGGATCGCTCTTATCCGTATTGATGGAATATCTACTCTACGGAGTCTGTTCACAGTCGGTGGAATGGTGGTGGTTGGTCTTATGATTCGAGACTGCGGGACTTGCACAAGGATTGACTAGATAACCGGCGTCAAGTTATAAGCGGCATTTCTGCAAACGACGCCCTGTCGACCGAGAGCCGAGACGACGGCCCCCCTGAGTTGATCGGTTTACTGGGCGTATTCCAAGAAGTCAGCCAGGCTGTAGGCCAAGACTCCGATCGTATACCATATGCCGGTTGAGCTGTCGGAGTCGATGGAAACAGATAGGCTAGGAAGGGGGTAAAGACTGAGACTTAACAAGTCTCTATTGGGGGTGAAACCGTCTGACAATGAGCAGTCATAAGAACAGGGCATCGGCTCCCCATTGCCATTGAAGATACCTCGGCTGCCCCACTCCGGCGCGGGCTCCGGTCTGGCCGGCGGATCAGTAATCTACAATCACCCTACCGAAAGGGGCCCACCCACTCCGGCATACGAAGCTACTGTATCACCGGGCGGCCGGGCTTCATCAATCATATACTTCCTCGGCCGGTCTGACCACAGCCGAACATACTCAACTCACGCACGCCCGGTTTCAAATTGGGAAAACACATGTCCCATCATGACACCCACTAACACACGCAAAGTAGCTCTGGTAGTCGGCGCGTCACGGGGCATCGGCCGGCAGATCGCTGTCGATCTGGCCAAGGAAGGCTATGCCGGTAGACAGACCCATTTCCCTCCCTACCCCTTTCGTTCTCAACACAGAAAACTAACTTCACCTTGCTGCAGTGGTTGTCGCCGCCAAATCCACCACCCCGCAACCCGACCTAGTCAATATCTCTCCCTTTCCCCCGGACCCAAACTCTCCGCAATCCACTATCGCCACCGTCGCCCGCGAAATCACCCTCGCCGGCGGCGAAGCCACTGCCATCCCCGTCGACACAACCGACTACGCCAGCATCCAGCGCCTTGTCGCCAAAACCATCGAGGCAAGAACCCCTTCTCATCCCCTTCCCAACCCTTCTTTTTTCTATTTCTTTTCCTTCCCTTTTCAAACTCAAAAAAACTCATCATACAGCGGAAAGAGGTACTAACATGAAAAAAAAACCTCAGGCCTACGCCCGCCTCGACGTCCTAATCTACAACGCTGGCGCGATCTATTGGGCGCCCGTCTCCCAGACGCCCATGAAGCGCTTCCGGCTGATGCAGCGGGTCAACGTCGAGGGCCTGTACGGGACGCTGCAGGAGGCGCTGCCGCACCTGACTACGAAGAAGCCGAGTCACCATCCTCCTCCTCCTGAAGCGCCAGAAAGAGGAGGAGGGGGAGGAGGACGGATCGTGGTTGTGTCGCCGCCGATATACAGTCGCTTCTTTCGCGGCAAGACTGCGTATGCCGTCGGCAAGGTCGGTATGAGCGTCTTGGTCAAGGGGTTGGCGATGGATCTTGAGAGGGAAGGGCTTGTTGAGAAGGGTGTGAGTGTTGCGGGGTTGTGGCCTGCTACTGTGAGTGGTTTGTCTTCTTCCCTGCTGTCTTGTTTCTCTTTCGCGGGTGGGTAAGATACGGAGGGAATGGGGGGAAATAGGTAGGGAAAGGAAGGAGACTGACATGTCCATCTCCTCAGGCCATTGAATCCGCTGCGACTGACCAGTTCACTCGCAAGGACCCGTCCTACGCGAGGGATCTGCGCAAACCAACTATCTTTTCAGATGCGGTGCTCGCCCTGCTGAAGGCTCCAGCGTCGCTGATGAATGGCCAACTCGAGCTGGACGAAGACTTCCTCAAGAAACATGCGGGCGTCACAGACTTTTCGAAATATGCTGTCGTCCCCGGTGCCTCGCCAAGGAGGATCATGCCGACTGAGCTGCCCGACCTTACGGTCAAAGAGCAGGATGATGAGGGCATGAGGCTCGACAGCTCCAAGCTTTGATTCCGGCTGAGAAAGATCTGGCAACATGTCATTCGTGTTTAGCTAGCTATGTCTGCTGACTCTGATATCCGCTGTATGCCATCAAGTATCACATACGTGCTCTCATATGGCAATGTGTTGCAGTGTCCTTATCTGCTCACCGAAGGCTTTTGAGACGGTCAGCTTGGACCTGGCCTCTGACGTTTGGCACTCTCCATGCTGGATGACATGTGCTTCCGTTTTGTTAAGACTTGTTCAGGCTCAAGACCGGATGGCGGGACCAACTTCTCCGCCAACAATCTTGCATGGATGTGTGCCTTCGGAAATAAATCTGCCTCGGCCTGTTGGGGGGCCATGAAATGGGCCGACACTGTGTCACTCCTGCCTTTGCCCGCTGACATGGCCGTAAGATCTTCGATCACCGGAACGCTGACCCGCTGAGGCTTCCAGGAGAGAGCGTTGTCGGCCTCCAACCGCTTGAACATCTTTCTGTCACTCTTGGGCTCTTGGAGCCAGCCATGGGAGAAGGCCTGGCTAGCCGTTGGTCTTCTTGCGCTATCGTAGCCCAGACAGCCGTAGATGAAGCACTTGGCTGGTTCGGATATCCGACCTTGAAGGCGAGAGGTCGCGAAGACAAAGGTCAAATATGCGTCAATGTCTTCTTGGCTTCTGAATACGACCGAATCGATGCGGGGAAACTCTTCAAATCCCAGAAACAGTTGCAGTGTGAGCATGCCAACTGCCCAAATGTCGACTGACAGATCGTGACCGTGTCCTGGAACATCGCACTCGCTGATCATGGTCAGACGCTCATCTGCGCGCAGTGGTGGGATGACTCACGGTGGGCGGTAAAATGGGGTGCCAACGGAAGACCTTAGCCTTCGACGGCCGGGGAGGCCGGAGGCTCCAAAGTCCGAGAGCATGATCCGGTAGGGGACGTTAGGGGTTATGCCACAAAGAATGTTCTCGGTCTTGATGTCCCGATGGGCTACGCCTTTGCTGTGAATGTAGGCCAGACCGCGAAGTACCTGACGAATAATGGATCGGATCGCCCACTCATCGAGTTGGTCAAGTCTCATCAGAAGCGAGTAGAGGTCGCCTCCCGTCGCCAGTTCTGTGATGACGTATCTGCTAGGGAGTCAGCTACTGGACTTGTTCTCCACCGGTGCACCAAATCCGTACATGGTCTGCTGTGTTTCGAACGCGGCCTTGATGGGCAGGATGTTCGGCTGCACTGTCAGTATCTGTAGCAACAGAAACGGCTCGTGATATGTCTTACATGGTCCAATGTGCTCAACAGCAATGCTTCCTGGCGAGTTCTCTCTACTTCCTTGGATGTCGGAGAGAATCTGCTGATATCATGAACTTTGCATGCCACGTGTCGACCTGTTTCGACTTCTACCGCCAAGAAGACGACGGCATGACCGCCATCGCCAATGGTGCGGTTGGTGACCACATAGCGGTTGCTAAAGAGCTAGGGGGTGTCAGAATGGGGGAATGTTGTGAGGTTTGAACAGTTTCTTACCTTGACTTCCTGCTGCTGGAGATGACTGAGAGTGTACGAAGGCTGGGGGTTTGACAATTGGGTGTAAGTGAACATCAAGTGAGGATGCGGCCCGATGGTGATGGTGTCTCCATCCTCAAGCAGCCATGACGGGGAGATTTGCGGTCCTCTCCCAATGAGCTCGCCGTTCACCGCGGTCCCGTTGGAGGACCCCCGGTCGCGCACAAAGACAAGAGGCGGGTGCTTGTATTCTTCGTCCGTGATGATGCAGAAGATTTCTAGCTGACACCTCGATACCACTGGATCCGCAAATGATACATGATTGCGGGTCTCATCACGGCCGACCAGAACAGTCTTGTTGGGGAGGATCAGAAACGAACCTAAGCGGAGGCGTCAGATTTGAGCAGACGCCTACCCAGACATAAATCTTACCTCGACTCGGTGGCTCTTTGCTTCTATCCTCCCACAACATCTTTCCGACAGCTGTTGACGACATGAAATAACTCTGCTCGAGGTCGGGAACTAAGGGTACCTGGGTTAAAGAGCCCAACGAAGGCTTGATGTTGCCAGCTCGTGAAACCACATCGCCGATCACCTCATGGATTGTTTCGTTGTACGCGCCCAAGTCCTCGTGGAATCAGATTCTAGCTTGAGGAAAGAGCGGTGCTTCCTAAGCACAGAAGCTGCCCCGAGTTGCCGGAAGGTACATCGGCTTACCTGCCGAGTGTCATCGTGTATTTGGGAAGGAGCAGCCTGAACAACCATAGGGCCCCTCGGCACTCAGCCGAAATGGAATGGAGTCGAATGCTTCATAGCGCATGGTAAACCCATTATCATTCATGGAACCGCCCGGAGAGGCGGTACCTATTGAAGAGATCGCTTATGCCCCTTACGGCGAGCTGTTTCTACCTTTTCGACTTGGCGAACGCGGTTCTCAAATGCCGAGAGACTTTTAATCTTGGATCTGGAAGTTCGAAGTCGGTGCCCCACTTTTGGCGACCTCGCTTACGACAGTGACAAGAAGGAGCTTGGGCCACGGTAAGCTTAGCAGTTGGCAGGATCACATGACCTACCCCACAGGGCTGCTGCCCTTCCTGCCCTAGTTTAAGTGATTCCCCTCCCGAAAATCGAACTTGATTCTTTTCCAACACCATCACGCAAATTCTCATCACGAAGTTACATGTAGGTGAACCCACAACAGCAACATACTCTGCCTCATCCTGACCTTGCACAGTCAAGATGAGAGCGAAGTGGAGAAAGAAGCGCGTTCGCCGTCTCAAGCGCAAGAGAAGAAAGATGAGAGCGAGATCGTAAGTTCCGCCACCGGGCTCGGGAATTGGCCGAATTGGCGCTGACAGCTCTTGCAGGAAATAAACGCCCGGTCGACTCGACCTCAACCAGTCCCCGGCATAGCGCCGGGTCACCCTGCGGATTGAGCACTGCGGCTTCGCCGACGCGCCCATCGAAGCTCCTCGCGGTCTGACACCGTCCGTCGTCCAGCACACAGCAAGCCTCGGCAATCAGAGTCTTGAACGATCATGTCTTTTCTTCACGACAAGGCACTCTCGACAATTGGATGAAGCGCAGGGCACCGAACGGTTCGGTGGTATCATGAGTTATGGGAATGACTGGTTGCCTGTCAATGAAGGTTGAGGTGGGATACAGGCGTTTACTGGAACTCGAGGAAGCTATGCCTCGATAGGATTGCGAATCCGGAACCATGATTTGCAGGAATTGACGATGCTTGGCTTCGAACTTGCTATGCCGTTTGTGCCAACAATGTTGCGACGGTGCTAAGCTGTGTTCTTTCGGGAGCTCCACCTTCTACACTGAGATCGAGTCCCATGCCACAATTTGCTGTTCAAGTCCAGCATAACTTGGTTGTCGATGCTCGGCTCGGCGTCGCGTGCCAGGTGGTACGATAGACCTTGGTCTACATGCTTCCATTGTCACGGGATTGAGACACTAGCAACTATCCCCGGGCACAGTCGGAAGTAGACATAAGAAATTCGCGGATTGCACACAAAAACATGCTTTCAAGCCCTGTACCTCGGAGCTGCATCCAACGCTTGAAGCTCGAGGCTCATGGACGACTCAAGTGATAATGGTATTATAGTGGGGCTCGATAAACTAAAGGCGGTGGCAGAAAAAAGTCGCCCGGTGCCGTCCCGTCCGTCTTTGGAACCTTGAACCAGCAGCGTCCGTGGGTTTGACAACAAGATCGGATTTACACCATCACGGACAGAAATTGACCAACAATCACCATGCCTGGATCGGCGATGAAGAAACGGAAGATTCCGGAGGTCGAGACGCCTCAGACAAAGAAAAAGAAGGTCGAATTTCGAGACGACAAGCCAGCCGTTGCAGCCTCGTTCTCGGTAACAACAATACAGAAGCCACAGGTCTCTCCCCCGGTAATAGGTGAGACTTGCGAGCGACCCGCCAGACCAAAACCACGGCGCTGATCCTTAGATACAGCGCTTACGCCTGGGATTTCCCTTCCTGACTCGTTTCCCTTCGATGTCTACCAAAAGGATGAGCAGCCGACTGCCAAGCGGCGAAAGAGTGGCGGCCTGCCTCCGCCCGCCGAGATGGCCCTGCACTCCTCGGCGCACAGGACAATAGACTACACCGCTCGAGAGGAGAGGTTTAGGAGCGTGGACACACTACTCAATCACTTTCTGGCCATTATCGATCCGCAGACTGGGGATATCGAAGTCGTTCAGGCGAAAAAGATGGTTGTTCGGGGGATGGTTCGGGCAAAACAAGCACCAACTGAAGCGATGGAGATCTCGACTGCTAAACCAGTATGGCTAATATACTACACCGCACAAAGGCTCAGGACTCGGTACTGATGGATATGCAGACTCACTCGGAGATGAGGATGGAGCTTGGCGAGACATTCGGCACGAAGAAGGCGAAGAAGGCAATCCAGGCCGTCGCGGAGAACGCCATGCTGGCTGCGAAATCGCGCGGCAAGCTAGGCGAGGACGACCGGGCGCTGGTGGTTACTATCAGGGACTCCAGCCAACATATGGCGACGCGGGAGGAGCTTCAGGCTGCTGTCGACATGGCGCGGCCTGTGCCCCGGGGCAACTTTGATGCCGATGAGATCCAGGATGTCTACGTTCCAGCGGAGATCATCGGCGCCGAAGTACTCAACGCGATACCGGTCCTGGACTGGCAAGAAAAGGTCAGGAAACTAGAACCGGTGCAGGTCCCGGCTCGCTTCGTTGCGCACCGCATTGTCCGCGTGGCTGGTAACGAGGATGGCGTGCAGAGGCTGAAGCTGTTGCGATATCTCCTCTGGGTCATCGTCTTCTGGTCTACGACTAGACCAGGGAGGGAGCGCGGCACCAAGAGCATAGCGAGGAGAGACGACTTGCGGGAGGCGCTGGCGCCAGCGCCCGAGGTGGTGATTGAGAACATTCGCCGCAAATTCTCGGACAACGGGGTGATGCGCAAAGCGCACATTGACCTGCTCATGACGCATTGCTGTGTGTTTGCGAGCATCATCGACAACTTCGAGGTCGATACGTTGGATCTGCGCGAAGATCTCAAGCTGGAGCAGAAGGATCTGAACCAGTACTTTATGGAGATTGGTGCGCGGGTGCGGCGGGCCAAGGCTGGCGATAAGATTAACCACATCGCCAAGCTTGCTCTGCCGCTGCAGTTCCCCAAGATGCGGCAGGCCGCAAAGCGGAGGTGAGGGAGCCGACGGAGCAGAGTGAAGGGAAAGGAAGTACAATATCGTCGGTGGTGTTGCATCTGTTGGTGATGGTTTCTGTTGGCAGAACAGGGCTGTCAAGGAGCAAAGTCGCATTCAGGTAGAGTGCTCGGACGGCCGGTGGATCCGGAGACAGGGTATCAGCCCGCCAGTCTCGGCAGCAGACCTCATATGCATGAGCAACTAGAATAGACTACTCCAAGCCAGCAGTTGCTCGATAGACACCAACATGAAGAACGGATGGTATTTCCTGACAAGACCCCAATTTCCACCTGTTTGGAATAGGCGGAGCAAAACACGGATATTACGGAGCGGTAGAAGTTGGGTGGGATCCGGCGGTTGCAAGTTGGCCTCCAGAGCCCCTCGTCTCCCAAACAAGGAGCAGGACCAAAGGCACTGCAAACCCTGCCCTCTTGACTGTCCCCCTTCTTCAGCCTGTTGGCACAGACCACGGCAGGCAAAAGAAGGGACCGTTGCTGGCCGAGGGCGTCGTAGGGCTGAGGTAAAGGCCGGCCTGCCGGTCCCCCAACCCCTGACAGCGGCAAGTTGAGCCGCATCGGCCACGTGGGAACTGGGCTCTCCACAACCCGCCCGCCGCCGTCAAGCACACCATGACGCCATTGATCTTTTGGCGAGAACCACGTTCGCGATGCGCTTCGAGCGCGTTTCCAAAATGGATTTGCGACGGCGGATTAGGACTTGGCTGGTTATGCGCTCAAGTCGCCAGAGGTGGAAAAATAATCATCAAAAGCAGGGTGACTGGGTCTGTTCCATCAATGCATATATTGTGCTTTTTCATGCATCGCGGCTCAACAATGGCTGGATTTGTTTTCCGACGCGGTCGCCGTGACTGATCTTTGCCAGTCGTGGACTGCGATTTTTTTGGTGGTGAGGAGCCGTTGCTGCCTACAAGGGGCGTCAGACCCACTTTAGCTAATCTTCTCACGCTGCTAATTGGCTGATTACCGGGGAGCAAGCAGCCAACCGGGCCCTGCGCGAAGCGAAGTGTGAAGAACGCGCGAACCTCACTCGCTCGTTCGCTCTTCTGGTTGTGCTTCCAAGACAGTTCCGTTTCCGCTCAATCCCAGACGATTAGATGCACAAGAGTGGGCGTCACGTCTACACCAGTCCCTTCGCTACCTAGGCACTTTGCCTGTGGCATTGTCCCCTTTGATCGACGTTGTCGTGCTGCTCTTCCGTTTTGACGACTTTCACAGCGCCGGACGACGCCTCTGCGGTCTACTACCTTGGAAAATCAACTCCAGTGCGCCATCTCAACCACGTTTGCCTCTGTACTTGCGAGCAATCGAACTGCTTTAGCAAGTCATAAGACCATAAACATCGCCCATGCGCTTGATTGACGCCAGCATCGAGAACCTAGTGTAGGTGCTGTCCTCTGTCGGAAGCACCCTTAAACCCTCCCCGTATCATTTACTCCGTTCGCGCCATTCGATGTTCGCGTTAACAATCTCTGGACAGTTTCTGCCTGTATCTATGATACCCCGATCTCAGCGTTTTTAAAGACATTCCTTGTGTATTCGGCGGTACCGGCGACGGCCGATTTTTGAGCACGCCTGTCTGTAGCCATTCGACCTTGTTTATTCGGTTTTGTTACAACTTCTGAACCATGCCGTCGAAGCGGAAACGCGACATTCTCGAGGGCTTTGACCCCAATAAGTCGGACTCGGAAGACGAGAACTTCGACCCTAGCGAAGAGCGCCCTCCACGGAGCGCCAAGAAGTCGCGCTCATCCAGACCCAAAGCCAAAAGTTCCCGGAAGCGCTCTAACCGATACAGAGGGTCCGATATTGAGGAAGATGATGAAGAACTTTCAGACAGCGGCAATGACGAATCGTTTGGTGAAGACGAGGATGACGAAGAGGAGGACGAAGATCTTCCTGTTGGTGCGACCGGCAGGAGAATGAGAAAAGCTGCTGTTAAACACCAATCCTACAAGGAGAGTAGTGAGGACGAGGAAGAGGATGTGATCAAAGATTCGGATGGGGATGAAGAAGAAGCTGAAGAAACGACCCCGAAGAAGCAGCCAAGCCGTCCCTCGAGAATCGTCGTTCTGAAAACAAATCCGCGGGTGCAGCGAGCTTCGAAACGCGGGAAAGACGAACCTGCACCGCCTGCCCCGCCAGCTCGTCGGACCAGAGCTCGCACTGAAGAAGTGGAGGAGCCTCTGGTGGAGCTGTCAAATTCCGGAAGGCACGCGCAGCCAGCCCGCGCTTCGCGGAGTAGAAGCCCGGAATCCATGGCTCGATCGACTCGCGCTACTCGGGGAACAAAAGGCCTCAAGAAGCCGCCCGCTCCCATCGAAGAGGCGACGCAGGAGACCGACCCAAAGGAAGACGTTGACCAGTTGATGAATTCACCAGATGAGCTTGCCCTTACTAAGGTTGAGGTCGAGCCTGGGAATCAGGAAGAAGTGGACAATGCTGCGCAGGAAGAGGAGGTGGCCGAGCCTGCCGCCATGGATGACCAACGAGAAGAACCTGCTCAGGTTGAGGCTCCGCCAGCGGCGGAAGAAGATGACGACGATGATGCGCCCATCACGAGGCGAACACGGGCCTCGAGAGCAAATGCTGTCGCCGCGTCCGTTGAAGCGAATGAGGCTGAAGCCGAACCTGAAACCACAAGAGGCGGCCGCCGTCTCCGGCCGAGATCCGGACTTCGGAGCAAAAAGAATACTCAGGAGCCGAGCAGCGATTTCGAGCCTGGCGACGAGTCTGGCGAAGACCAGATGTCTGGTTCCGAAGCCTCAAAGAATGGCGATGCCGGCGGTGATGGTGAATCCACCCCGACACCTCGTGGCCGTGGTCGCGGTTCTCGTGCCCAAAGCCGAAGGAGCCGCCGCAACAGGCAGGATTCTGGCGACGAAGAAGTGGAGCTCGACAAAGATGAGATGGCCGAAGAGCTTGAAGAGCTTAGGGAGAGCTCCAGGTCGCGTCCACGTCGCACTCGCCGCCGATCGCCGTCAATCCAGTATGAGGAACGCATTTCCAAGAAACGCCGCACCAAGCCTGTCAACTACAGCATTCCCGCCATTGACCCTGCAGCGCTCGAGGTTGAGGAAGATGACGACGAGCCTGCTGCAACACCCGCGAGAAACCGGAGGGCCGGTAAGGGTGTTAGCAATCAGGCTTGGGAACGTGCCCTCAACACCACTTACGGCCCCTTCGGCGGCGGCGGCGGAGCTGGGGCTCTTCTTGGAGGGCCCTGGGGCACTGGGGCGACAGGTGGCGTGGAGTCGGACAGCAGCGACGACGAGTTGGCGCAGCGATCTGGAATTGGAGGCGCCCTCGGCATGACACCCACGGCAGCTGCGCCATCTGTCGGTCTGTTCAACCCAGTTGGCCAGACTCACAACGCTGATGGCGTCGGAGGCATCGGAGGCGCCACGCCACAGGTCGGCAAGGTCAAGAATCAGAAGGCGTTTGCCGATGCCGATCCCCTCGGAGTGGACATGAGCGTCGACTTCAGCAAGGTTGGAGGCCTGCAAGGCCACATTGACCAGCTCAAAGAGATGGTTCAACTCCCACTCCTTTACCCAGAACTCTTCCTGAAGTTCCATGTCACGCCTCCCCGTGGTGTCTTGTTCCATGGACCGCCCGGCACAGGTAAGACTCTCCTTGCTAGAGCCCTGGCGAACTCAGTTGGCTCTGGTGGCCGCAAGATAAGCTTCTACATGCGCAAGGGAGCCGACGCTCTCAGCAAGTGGGTTGGCGAAGCCGAGAAGCAGCTGCGTTTGCTATTTGAGGAAGCACGGAGGACGCAGCCCAGTATCATCTTCTTCGACGAGATTGACGGCCTTGCGCCTGTCCGGTCTAGCAAGCAGGAACAGATTCACGCAAGCATCGTCTCGACATTGTTGGCCTTGATGGATGGCATGGACGGCCGTGGCCAAGTCATTGTGATTGGAGCAACGAACCGTCCGGACAACATCGACCCTGCACTTCGCCGCCCAGGGCGCTTCGACAGGGAGTTCTACTTCCCGTTGCCTGACTTCGAAGCTCGACGGTCTATCCTGGACATTCACACCAAAGACTGGGGTCTCTCAGACGAGTTCAAGAACAGCCTTGCTGAAAACACCAAGGGCTATGGAGGTGCCGACCTGCGAGCGCTTTGCACGGAAGCTGCGCTCAACGCCATCCAGCGGACATACCCGCAGATCTACAGCTCAAAGGAGAAGCTGATTGTGGATCCGGATAGGATCACGATCCACGCCACCGACTTCATGTTCTCAATCAAGAAGATGATCCCGTCGTCCGAACGGTCAACGTCGTCGTCGGCTTCACCGCTGCCTCGCGTCGTTGAGCCGCTGTTGAGGAATCAATACATGGCCATTCTGAGGGTTTTGGATAATATCCTGCCCCGGCCTAAGAAGACGACGGCCCTCGAAGAAGCCATGTACGAGCCTTATGAGGATGCGGACCATGGATTTGGCAGAGAGGCAATGCATCAGGAGTTCGAGCGCTCGCGCATCTTCCGGCCCCGTCTACTAATATCCGGCGTCCCGGGAATGGGTCAGAATTACTTGGCGGCTGCTATCCTGCATCATTTGGAAGGAGTGCATGTGCAGACTATGGACTTGGCTACGCTGTTGGGTGATGGCCGGGTAAGCATTCTCTTGAACGCTGTTATGGAACTTGTGTGCTGACTGGCCCACAGCCCATGGAGCAGGTAATTGTCAGCCGTTTCACGGAGGTGAAGCGGCACAAGCCCAGTGTCATCTTCATCCCCGGCGTCGACATCTGGTGGAATAGCCTTACCGACTCGGCAATCACGACTTTTACCACCTTGCTGAGGAGCATACCGCCCTCTGACCCCGTTCTTCTCATGGCGACCGCCGACTGCACCCCTGAAATGCTGCCGCCCGAGATCCTGAAGGAGCTGTTTGGCTTTTCCAAGAAGAACAGGGCTGTTGTCGAGCGTCCCGAGCGGGTACGTTGCGAAGTATCATCTGGTAAAACTTGGTCTAAGCTAACACGTACTAGGCAAACCGACTCGAGTTCTTTGAGAATATCATCACTCACTTGAGGAAAACACCAAACGATTTCCCAGATCCTGTGAATCGTAAGAAGCGAATCGTCGAAGATCTCCCAGTTGCGCCCCCGCCGCCGCCGAGGACCTTGACCAAGGAGGAGATTAAGGCTCAGCGCAAGGCTGATCTGCATCATCTGAACCTTCTGAAGATGCGTCTGCAGCCGATCATGGACCAGATTAACCGCAAGTACCGGAAATTCAGGCAACCCGTGATCCCCTTTTCGCAAATCGCCTACCTGTTCGACGAAGCCGACCCCAATTTTGTTCGGCCTGATCTTGCCCATGGCCAGCACAGGCCTTTTGAAATTGCGAAGGACAAGGAAGGCACAGAGGGAATTCGGGAGACGGCCACTGGCAAGTTCTTCTACAACCTGGAGACGACCACGATCGAGGAGCGTCTGGCAAACGGTTACTATGCTCGACCGATCGATTTCTACAAGGATATCAACAGGCTGTACCTCGATGCGAAGAACATTGGTGACCGGGACAGGACACTCAAAGCCAATGAGCTACGTACCAACGTTGAGGTTGATGTGCACGACATCGCGCAGAGCCTGGCAACCTCGGGCATCAAGTTTGAAGAGATCTATCACCGCCAGCTGCAGAGGGCCAAGGAAGCCGAAGAGAAGGCCCGCAAGAGGAAGGCCTTGCAACCCATGGTTGATTTGATCCAGTCGGATATTCCAGGCGACGGCGATAGCGACTCGCAAGGGCCGGTGGGTATTGGGCTCCCTCTGACCCGGGATATGCGGACAACCACTGCGGCCAGGTTCCAGCCGATCATGAGTCCACAGTATAATGGACATGCGGACACAGCCGACTCGCACTGCTTGACAAACGGCACATCGGTGCCTTCGCGATCGGGTGGTGAAGATGTCCACATGGGCGGATTGGAGGACGGTACCCAGCCGATGTCTGGTCCCCGACCGGACCTGGTCTCGCCGCTTCAATGGCCGCAGCTGGGACGTCGCCCGCCGCTTGGAGACTCGAGCAGGGCAACCGCTGGGACACAGTTCTCACAACGTTCAGCAGTCACCTCGATTCCTCCGGGCGTGTCTCCGTCTGCCATCCTGAACGAAGCGTCTACGACCAAGACGTCGGAGCTGTCCACCAACCGTGGTTCCGGTAACTGGAGCACACAGCGTACTGATACGCAGCGTACCAACGGTTTAGCACGCAATGCAGACGAGGCGTCGCAGCTCCTCGACACACAGCGGAACACACAGGAACTGGATCAACAATATAGCGGTCACTCCATCCGGTTGAGCCAGTCAAGCTCGAGCGGCAAGGAATGGGCGCATTCACAGGCCGCTGCCATGGCCCAGGGGATCCTCCAGCCCCGTTTGGGGATGGCCATGCCAATGGGCCCGCCTCCGGGTAGCGGTTCTGCGTCTGTTCGGGTTTCAGAAGACAATATCCCATCCTCGTCGCAGCGTCCGCCCCGCAAGCCCTCTGCCAGCAGCCTCGGCAACATCCTCAACGAGGAACCCAGCAACCGCACATTCTCAAACAACGGCAGCAGTGCGTCCGGCCCGGGCGCGCACACCCCCAATTCCGGCTCCGGTTCCAGCTCCGGCCCCGGCACCACCTCGGCCCGCAGCGGCCCCCACAACAACAATAACAACAACAACAGCAACCCCTCCCTCCGCCAATCCGGTTCCAGCACCGGCTCGCAGCAGCCCGTCATCCATGAGGGCAGCGTCTACAAGTTCCTCCAGTCGCTGGCTGACCGCACGTCGGGCTGCAGCGTCGAGCAGCTCGAGCAGATATACCGTGAGCTGATGGACGAGATCTGGAAGACGCGGGACGAGTGGAACCGCATGACGGTGTTGAACCGGCTCATCTCGGTGTTCAATGATACCATTGGGGATATCGAGCTTGTGCAGGGCGCGCTGGTGGATAGTCAGAAGCAGCAGCGGAAGAAGGGCGGTGATGGTGGTGAGGAAGGCGCGGATGGGGATGGGGATGTGGAGGGTGAAGGGGAGGTGTTGGAGAGCGTTGAGGGTGTTGGACTAGGTGCGGGGTCGGTGCTGGGTGGGAGTCAGATTCAGAGTCAGAGCCAGAGTCAGGGGAAGGGAAGTGTGGAGGAGCCGTGGGTTTATCTGAGATGAGGTGGGATCTCTGTGGTTTGGTTAGTGTCTGAGAAGGGAGGCGTGGTCTGCAAGCTCAGAGGCGGTCTTTATGCTTTCCTTCTCCCTGCTGTCGTTTTCTGGTTAGGAAAGGGTGTGCCGGCTAGTGGTAGACTGCGCTTCCATTTTGCGGTTGTTTCTCGCGTTGGCTCAGAGCCTCTTGACTGATAGGCCGAGCCATGGTTGCATATTTGCATGAGTACCGATCCGTACATTGCTTGCTTGGTCTCGATCCGGGTATTTATCCTGGACACGCTAGTATCCATTGTGCCGTGATGTGGCGAGATGTAGTGAGCATCCTGACTTCTACCGGTGTGAACATCTGCTTTTAGCCTCATTCGCCTTGCTTCTTATCTCTTTTTTTGTACTTTCGTACCTCCTTTTGCTTTCCCCCTGAACACCTGCGAAGGCTGTCACGCAAAGGGGAAAAGACCATGCAGATTGACTGCTTAATTCGAACAAACTGCTGCTTCTAAGCAGCAGAGCGAAAAAGAGTGGCGCAGATGGGAATCGGAAAAGAGAGGGAGTCGCTTCAGAGAGGCGGACAGTCTTGCGTCAAGCCGTCATGTTTGATAGTTAGACCTCTGATCCACCTGCGCTACACAAACGGAGCGTCCGGTGGTTGTGGTTGTTGTTGTTGTTGTTGTTGTTGTTGCAGAATGTGTGCAGTATCATGCCTTATAAGCCCTCCTACTCAGTCCACCACATGTCGAGATTCTCCTCCATCCATCTGGGTCTCAGCCTAGATATGTTTTGTACTAGAAGTCCATAAGGAAAAAAGGCAACCCTGTATGCCGGTGGAAGCCCTCGTACCAAGGAGGACCTAGACAAGCATGCCAATACCCATCCAGATCACCTTCACTGTCTGCTTTCGCCACGAGCTCGAGCTTGCTTCCCACGGCGACGGAGAGGCCAGACGAGAATAGATACTCCAGAATGTCAACCGAAATCTAGGCAGGTTTGAGTCGGGTGTTGTCAATCTCGTTGCTGCAAGACAGTGTTGGAGAGTGTGCTGGCTATGAGCTAGTTATCATAACAGCGGAGCGATATGAAGGGCAACCTGAAGGCCTGGAGCGACGTACTTCGTCTAGAGAAATCCCACTCCAAGGAGGGAACCGGATCACAGTATGGGATAGTGTGATCTAAAATAACATTCTCTTGATGAAACTAGAATCAAACTTTTCCTGTCAAACTCCAGATACAATCTGATACAACGCCGAAACGAACAGAAACAAAACTCAAGTCTATATGCACCCACCTCCCTAAGAATTAACCTCCGCAAACCAAGTCCTCAACAACGCCGCCAACGCCCCAGGCAAGTCCTCCAGATGATGGACAATCAAATAGTACGGAAACGGAAACGAGTCGAGATACCGGTGGATAACCGGCACGCCATCGGGCCCAAACCTCGCCTCCTTCAGCTCCAGCACACTATGCCCCTTCTTGTTCTCCCTCGCATCGTCCATGACAATGAATACGACCATGACGCGCTGCTCCATAGCCTCTCGCAGCAGCGGCCGCAACCGGGCATGATCCCGGCTCTGGACGAGCCCGTCCGACAGGATCAACGCCAGCTGCCACAGGTCCTCGCCGCCGGGCGCCGATGCCTGCATGAGCCGCGCCTCGCGGAAGTGGTCGATGGTCTTGCGCAGCAGACGCACCATGTCGGTGCCCTGCTGCCGGAACGTGAACCTCTGCAGCACGCGAGCGCCCGCGTCCTGCGACGTGAAGGACGGGTCCGTCAGCGCGTGCGCCACAAAGACGTCGGTACCGAAGCCCAGCACGCCGATCTGTCCTGTCTCGAGCACGGTCAAGGCCCGGGCAACCATGACGAGGGACTCGAGGGCGAGGTTTCCCGACGAGGAGCGGTTGTCGTCCGACATGGAGGAGCTGTCGTCGACGCAGAGGAGGATCTGGTACGCGCGCTTGGAGGGGATGGCGCGGCGCATCCAGATTTTGTCGCGCTTATAGCTGGAGGCGATATAGGGGATGATCTTTTTGATGTTGAGACGCTTGCCGGTGCGGAAAGAGCCCGAGAGTTTGGTAGATTGGGTTGGCGTAAGGATAAGGCGTAGCTGAGACGAGAGGGATTGTGAGAGAGCCTGAGTCTTGGCTTGGAAGGCTGACCACATTTCGAGCGCCTCGGAGTAGTCACGGAGCGGCATGGCGTTCTCGTCTTCTCCGGTGATGTGCGTGGCCAAGAGCTGAGTGGATGTCTCCTGGATTTGTTCGTCATCGGAATCTTCTGTCGCCTCGGTTCGCGGCATTCCGTCCTTGTCGTTGGTCTCGTAGGCTCCCTTGCGCGTAGCCACCCCAGAACGGCCATCTTCGCGGTCTTTCTTGGAGGCATCTTGAAGCTCAGCTGGCTCGACGTCCTCCATCTCCACGTCTTTCTCAGCTTCCTCTTCTTGTTCATCCTTGGGCAAGATCTGATTGTTGCCTTCGTCCATCTCGGTGTCCACCGCCATGGCGTCGTCCATTGGACGGGCTTCTTCGTTCGTGGCAGTTCCCAAGGCTTGGGTATCCGCCTCGGCAGTCTCATCCTGGAGATGTTGAAACTCGGCACGCGCCATATCCTCAGCTGACTTCTCCGTCTTGTCTTGGCTCTCCGAGGCAGTCTGGATTTCCCGCTGGTTACGATACCAACGCTCCAATGCGTCGCCAAGCTTCTTGAATGGCTGTGCATCCTTAGAGTCGGCGTCTTCGGCATCATCAGACGGACCTAGTACTTGATCCATGCTCAAGAGGGCGCCCTTGTTGCCAGGAGCCTTGTCCTCGTCGGCTGATTGCTTGCCAAGCGCGCCTTGCTCCCTTTGACCAGCCTTGTTGTCGACTTCTTCGTCCCGCATGTTGGGATCTTCGGCTTGGCCGCCCCTGTTCTGAACATCGCTGGGTGCCACATCGTCCTGGTTAGCGCCTGTCCCGTCGGTCGGCAGCGGCGGCTTCTTCTCGTCCTTTTCCTCTTGACCCTCTTCTCCTTGGTCTTCTTCTTGCATGTCCACGTCCATCTCCTCTTCTCTGTCCCCAGCTGCGTCAATTTCTTGCTCCTCTTCCGCTTCTTCCTCTGCAATGTTCTTGTCCTTTTGGTGCTCCTCTTCACCCTTTTCTTCCTCCTCACCATCCTGAGACATATCCTGCGACTCTAACTGTTTCTCATCCGGCTTCTCCTCATCTGACAACCCATCCAGATCATCCTCATCCCCGCTCTCTTCCTCCCCATCATTTATCTCAATATCCATATCCTCGGGCAATGCCAGCGTCTCGTTCTCCTCGACATTTTGATCCTGCCGATTCAGCTCCTCCTGCGGCATACCCTCCTCTTCTTGTCCCGGCTCCAGCTCCGCATCTTCATCCCCCTGCTCCTCCCCAACCTCATCAGGCGGCGCATTCCCCTCATCCTGCTCATCCCCCTTCGGCTGCTCCTTCTTCTGGCCCTCAGCAGCTGCACTTTGATCATCCTCCTTCTTTCCCTTCTCCTGATCCGCCAACTGGTCCTTCTCGGCCTCGTCCTCACCGCTTCCATCCCACATCTTCTCATCCACCGCCGTCGGGTCCAAATCATCCACATTCCCCGCCTGCTCCTCCATCTCATCCTCCTCGTCCTTCTCCTCCCCATCTTTATCCCCATCCTTCTTATCCTCCTCTTCATCCTCCCCAGCAACACTTCCCAACTCCCCCTCAAGCTCGTCCTCGCCCATATCAACGGCATCTTTGTTCTCCTCAATCTCACCCTGCGTCTTGTTGTTCGGGTCTTGCGCGAGTTCCGACAGGTCCTCGTCGGCCTTGATGTCTTTGCTGATGTCCTCCGCGCCCTCGCCCTCGCCGAGGCCGGTTCCGCTCTCGACGTTGCCGGACTCGCCCACTTTCTCGTCGCTCTTTTCCTGCGGCGTGCAGAAGCCCTGCGAGGAGATCTGTACGAAGGAGGAGGCGAGGTGATAGCCTAGACGGCATGTTGCGCGGTGCAGGGAGGAGAATTTGGTGAGGTTCTGCGTGCAGAGGGAGGAGAATTGCGACAGGACCGGGTGGATGAGCCGGAGGAGAGCGGATATAGTGGCTGTTTGTGTGGAGGGCAATGCTTTGAGTTGGTGAACGAGGGATTCAACTTCCGAGGTGATCCTTGGCATCCGGAGGGCGTCGATAGACTTCTGAAAGTTGTCGGTGTAGCTAAGAAACCAGCCGGCATCTTCTGTCGTCGAGGGCAGGGACTGAGTACCCTTCTGAAAGTTTTGCATCGCCACAAGGATCTTGCTCGACAGCGTCAACGCTGCAGCGGTAAAGTCGTTGATGTCGTCGTTGGAGACGCCGTCGATGGCCTCTGTCGCTTGTAAGCTGGTCCAGAGCTGGACTTGCTGCACAATGAACGCCAGGTCGGGCCTTGCTTGGCCAATTTCAACTAGATCGGCCCGGAGAACGTCAAGTTCCCTCTCGACGTTCCCTTGAAGCTTCTCTTCGGCGGCCGAGCTGAAACCATCAGGAAGGCGAGGCAGGCTTTGGTGCGCGGCGTCCAGCTCCACGAAGATCTCAACCCAACCCTCAAGCCTGCCATGAACCTCAGCATTTCCCGCACCACCAAGCTTGCCATGGACTTCGACGAGATGAACTGCAAGCTTCAGTATCTGCACAAGCCAGCGGACCACCTGCGCATGGTTTGTCAACCAAGCCCGCGGTTTGAAGCTCTCGTCTCCTCTCGTGGAAAGGTCTTTGACAGTCTCGACAGCTCCATGAAGATTGCGCTCATCCCAGGCAACTCTGGCCAAGAATTGCCGCTGGCGGAACATGACATGCAGCACGCCCTCCAAGTAGCCGATACTGCGATGCGCCACCTCGCGGTTCAGATCCTCGGAGTGCTCGAACGCGGCGCCACGGAACCGCGGGGCCAGGTCAAGCGTCTTGTGGTAGAAGTACTCGATCGCGCTCACCGTGGCACCATCGAGGTGAGGCACCGACCCAGAGTTGACAAGAACCGCGGCGGTCGAGCTTTGTTTGTCGAGGAGGTTGGTGCCCAGATTGCGGCTGAAGCCCATGGCGCGGAGCGTCTTGAGGGTGTCGCTGTACAATGTGACCTTGCGAGTCTTGAGGTGGCGGACGAGTTCTTTGTTTTCGTCGGTCAGTGTATCGGGTGTCTCTTTCCTCAGGGCGGAGATGGACGATGCGAGGTCGGTGATGTAGCCATCGAGTGTCTCCGCGGCGTTGATTGTGGCAGCAGGCAGAGACCCGTGCTTCGACATCGCCCTTAGGACTGCGGGTAGGTTGGACATCCTCGCCCAGTGCGGATGACTTGCGATGCTCGGGAGGATTTCCTGACATAGGGCAATCGCCTGATGGTCAGCTTGAGCCTCGGCAAACTTCACAGCTCCTTCAGAAACAGTGTTGCTGTGATCCTCTTCCGGGATCCCTTCATCCGTGATGGTCTTGACCGGCTGCTCCAGCACGGCACGGAACTTGCGCACAAGCTTGAAGAGCTTCTGATGAGATTTTCGCGCGCTCTCCCTGAGCGCATCAATGTTCTTGTCTCTCCACTTCGACATCAGCAAGACATCCTTCATGCTTCTATCCAACGGCGCCCTCCCAGCGTTAATTATCTCGCTGACCTTGCGCTCGTACCGGCTGTAAAAGGTGATGAAGTTTTGAACCGCATCACGAACCAAGCCAAGAGCAGGCTCATCCAGCATAAGGAGATCCAGCTGGTTCTTGAGCTGCCTGAGAAGATCCAGACGGGCGCCAAACTGCCCCACACTCGCGCCCGTAAAGTACGACTCGAGTATCCCCAAGAGCTTGACCGCATGGTCCTTGACGTCCAGACCCTGCTGCAGGATTGAGCACGGCTCGAGAATCACTGCCCCGTAGGCGATAAACCACCACGACTTGGCATCCTCGTAGGACTTCTTAATCTCGGCGTCGAGCAAGCGCGACCAGCTCGACAGCTCCAGGCGGCGCCAGTCACAGATGGTATCTCTGAGCTTCTCGTACAGCGCCTCGGCCTTGTGCGCCTTGGTGGCCCAGCCGCCTTCATGCCACTCATAGACGTGCGCGTGCAGCCGCTCAATGGCGCTGATGATCTTGGCGAGAGGATCGTCAATCGCCATCTCCAACACCTTGTCACATGCCATGACCACGTCGGCCAGGGTCTGGTGATGCCCGATTTCATCGATTGCTTGCAGCTCAAGGAAACGCTTCTTGATGGAGTTGACCAGCCCAAGAATCTTGCGGACCTCGGCGAGGTTGGCGTCCGTGTAGAAGTTGTAGTCGGATGTGTCGACCTTCGAGCTGAAAGCCTTGACTTGCTCGTCAAAGATGAGAATCGTCGCGGGGAGGAGGATGCTGTCTAGCTCAGGTTCAGCAACAGCAGTGTCACGCTTCTCGCGGGCCACCCGGCGCGCGACCTGCGTGCAAAGACCCTTGATGCTCTGCTGCGCTTCGTGCGCCGACAGGAAAATCTTCTCATGTGCCTCGGCCAACATGACCGAGAGCTCGCGGCCGCCACGTCGTGACTTTTTGTTCTTCGGCACGCCCTCTTCGTCGAGGGTGTGATCGGGGAAGAGCTGGTCGAATTCCTCCTGGTCATACTCTTCTTGATCTTCCAGGCTGCCCTTGAAACGGAACAAGCTGGTCTTGGCCTCTTCAATCTTGCGGTCTGCCTCAAGCTTCTTGGTCCACTCATTGTGGAAGGCGGCGAACGATTCGTAAACTGATCGCCGGAGGGCAACAGGAAGATTGTCAAGGCCCTCAACCGCAGCAACCGTCTGGACGAAGGAGAGGAACTCGAGCGTGCGAATAGGTAAAGATGCAGTATCCACCTTCCAAATCGTTCCACTGAGGAACGGCGTGACGGCAACAAGGGCCTGCGAGACGCCCTCCTCAACTCTAATGTTTGATCCGACACCCCTGCCAAGGGACAATCCCATCTTGACACAGCGGAGGAAGCTGACCAGCGGCATCGTCAAATCCTGGTAGGCGCCAAATCTGGTCGTTAATCGAGCAATCAGTAACGACACATTCTGCTCGACAAGCGCCAATTCCTCGGCAACGTCAGTAGAAGACGAGATAACCGAGCGCAGATGCATAGCCGCGACGTCATTCGCGATCAGCGCGTTCAAAACATTGTTGAACTCCCCCTGCAGGCTGCGAAGTTCGCCGCCCCCAGGCCGATAGATTTGCTGAACCGCCGGAGGTTCACCCAATCCTTCCGCCTCTTCAGTCAGGAGCTGAGAACGGATACTTGTGCGTTGGCCGGTGAAGGCGAGTTCAAACGCCTCAAGCGCAGCGATTTGGGCCTGCAGGCTTTGGTACATCTCCTGGTGCTCCTCCGCTTCGACCTGTGCGCGGTGGTGGGGGTCAAAGATCTTGTCTGGCACAAACAGATCGACGCAACCGAGGGCGAAGCGGACCCAGGCGATGGAAGTCGAAGCAGAACGCGGCTGGAAGCCTTTGGCCGATGCTGCCAGGGCTGACAAGGCCTTAGTAAAGTGTCTCTCAAAGACGGCAGCCAGGTGTTGGGGGAAGCGGTCTTGTGGAACATCAAGCAAGCTGACTTGCTCAAGCAACGCTCCAAGCTCGGCATCAGGCGGGATCAATCCAGCCAAAAGACGTTGATACACAGCGGTCACCTGCCCCCTGAAACACTCATCATGTGCCGCCACGACGTCCTCCATCAGCTTGAGTAGCAACCGTTCCGCTTTAACAAGCGGATCCGTCGAGAGGGCATCCGTCGCAATTGCGAGCGCCTTACCCATGATAGGCATCTCGATCTCAAGCGAGCGGAACTCGTTCAGGCTCGCTGAGGATGCCGCATCATACCTGAGCAGCAGTGACTTGGACAGAGCGCCCTCCCAGGGGCGTATTTCACTGCCCTCCTGGACAAGCATGTAATCCACCGCTTGGAGAGCAGTCTCTCTGAGACATTGCAGACGCATCAGGCTAGCGGTTGGGATGCTTGCGAGGACGTCCATATTCGAGTAGCCGGATTGCATGGGCGCGTCCTGGGAGACTTGATGCAGGACGAGTGCTTGTCTGATACCTTCGAAGCTCGAGGCGAAGAAAGGCTTGTGGGTGATAGCGTGCTCCCCGATCGTGGACTCGAGGGTGGTGATCTCAGATTGGAGATCCTTGACGAGACTGACGGCATCTCCCTTGCCGGTACGGACTACCACATACACCCGCGTCATGGAATCCTGGATGGTGCGCAAGGTAGAGATGTTGACGTCGACGCGCCAACGCAGAGAATCGAAGCGGTCGGCAAGACGCTCCAGTTCCATGACTTGCTCCAGTGTTTGTGCATCAGAAATCGGGTCCGGACGCAGGCGGCGCCAGAGATCCTCCATGCTGAGGCCACTCGAGAGCTTGAACCCAACAACATAATCGCGCTCGAGGAGCGCAAGGAGTGAAGAGAGCAGCTTGTGGTCACCCGGTTCCTGCAAAGTAGACATGCTATGCTGCAGCAAGTTCGACCCCAGAGTCACGTGTGCCTGGAAGCGGGCTTCCTCAAAGGAAGCAGTAACCAACGACTCGAAAGTCCGCTTCCAAAACAACATCAGCCGTCTCAACACCGAGCGGCGCTGCTTCCAGGCGCCAGGCTTGTCTGCCTGTTCACGGAGGAACGCTTTGACTGTTCTGAGCACGGCAGAGAGGAACCGGACAGAATGGACAGTCGAATCCCTGGAGAGCGAGGCTATCTTGTCCGCAACATAGGATCGTTGAAGCCGATTCAGCGAGGAGGGTTTGCTGACATTGACTTTGCCGAGTTGAGCTTCCATGGCTGTTTCCGAATTCTGGATGGCGAGGTAAAACTCGTAGCAGCTGGCCAGCCAGTAGGCCAACTCCTCGCGGCCCTGTTCCAGAAGGGGTATCATAAGTGAATTGAGCAGAGGGTGCAGTGGCATAAGCATACTGTCAGGAGACAAAGCGTAGATATTGGCAAGCGTCTGTCTGAGGGGTTCGGCGTCTTGTGACTGGATATAGGACAGCATTTGATCCAGGTGTTGGATCGCGGCAGGCAAGCGGATGAGTGATGGCGACGGATTAGCCAGTCCCTCGCGGGTAGCTTGAAGGTAAGCATCCAGTTTGGAGCTATCACGAAGGGACAGAACGTCAAAAGCCAGCCGTTCAAGCTGTCCTTCAGTTGCTTGCTGCTCCAGAAGCCTAGCTGCCGTGTGAAACCTCTGCAGGGCTCCATCGACGGGGGCAATCCGTTCCACAGGCGCCGTACCTACGGGTAAGGCATCGAGGTATATCTCGACAGAACGATTCCTCATAGCCCGCGAGAGTTCGCCATACCGCGGATCTACAGTCAAGAAGATTCTGAAATCTGGATGCGGCTTGATAATCCTTGGCTCACCCCCTGGTCCACTGTGTTCGTTGATACTCAGGATGCCGTTGGGCCGCTCAAGAAGCGAGTTGAGTCTGTCAAGCACGGATGCGCTGCACAGGTTGGCGTTGTCCAGTACCAGCCAGGCCCCAGTTTCCACTGCACGGACGATGGCACCGTCGAGCCATTCAAAGCGTGGGTTCTCCAATGTGAGCGGCTTGTGCAGGACCTCAGAAGCCTCAGAGAGCCGGGTGGCAAGGTCTTCTGGCATGGACGTGTCGTCCCGCAAAGCCTCGAGAAGCGGCAGGATGCTCTCGTATTGATGGGTCTCTCCTGTCAAGTAGTTCAGAGCAGCCATCAGGTCTACCACAGCGTTTGGGACAGCGGTAGGAAGGGAGCGCAGAATTTGATCCTGCAGCGTCCGTTGCAGTTTCGACAGGCAAGCCTCAACCTCCCGGTGAGGATCTGCCTGCTCGAAGCCGCCAATGAGATCCATGGCGTCCACGTCGGCATTAAGAGGGAAAATGACGAGCGACTTGCCGGCAAGGGCAGCAACATGCGCAAGAAGAGCCGACTTGCCGCTGCCGGAGGGACCAACCAGGATACACGGCAGGTCCTGCTCAATGGCAATCATGATCGATTCGATCTCCTTGAGTCGCGGCACCGGGTCGATGGCGGGGAACGGGGTTGGCTGGGAGAGTGCGTTCCTCTTGATCATTGCTAACCCGACCTGCCCAAAATGGGGGTTGATGTCGTGGTAAAGACCGTGTTGTTCTGGCGCTCGCTCAAAGATCTCAGCGAAGAGTTTGTTCACCTCCTGTCGATCCTGCTCCGTCCTGAAGCGCTGTCGAATAATGACGTCCAGGTAGTCATCCGGCTTCCGGCCAGCCAAGAGAGCGTTCTGCGAAGTCAAGAGATCGCCCCATCGAAGGGTATCTCGGAGGTTAAACTCCCAAGGCGACCCCAACGCACCGAATGATCTCCGGCCGACAACCTCGTCATCAAGCCTGGACATGAACTCAATGAGCTGCTGCTGAGTTTTGGCTCCAATCTGGTCAAACTTCTTGGCGGTGATGTGAAGTAAATCCTGCTTGGTGAAGACATCCGAGTAGACAACAATAAAGCGGTTGACGAAGGAGCTGGGCAATCCCTTCCGGCCACCGCCCTGGTGATGAGGGTTCTGGGCAGCAAACAGCTTGAAGTCGGGATGCCGCTTGAAAACTTGGTCAAGCTCTGCAATGTAAACCTCTCCACGATGGTCGAGACAGGCATTCAGACCTTCAAGGACCGTTTGAGAAGCCAAATTCATTTCCTGTTCGAATCTAAGTCAGCCACGCCGTCCAACCAGACATTGGAATGCAACTAAACTCACATCAAGCAACACCCACTCGCCCTTCTGCATCGCCTCCAGAAACGGTGCATTCTGCCACACAAAGTTACCTGCCTCGGCCCCCTCAACCGGCACGTCGGTACCAAACAGATCCATCAGATCCGTCTGATCCGACAAATTGATCCTCGTCAGCGGCCGCCTGCAGGCCCTTGCCAGCGCAGTAATCAGCGTTGTCTTGCCCACGCCCGGGTTACCCTCCAGCAGGATCGGCTTGCTCGTCCCCTGCAGCGCCCTGATGACGCGCATGGCATTCATTTTCGTAGTTGGAACGCTGAACTCATGACCCGCATCAATGCTGCCGCCTGCCATCGGCCGGTCGATGCTGAAGTCACCGATGGTGAGCAGATTCTCGTCGATTGCGACCTGCGGCTCCTGGAAATAATGCTGCGCGAGGTCGACTCCGCAGAGGGAGCTCAGCTTGTCGAGGCACATCTGCCGCTGAGAAGCCATTTCGCGCGGGTCGACTGCCACGAGGGCCGAGGGGTTGGCGCCGATGGTGTCGATGAAGACCATTGCGGCGCCGTGGAGGAGGGCGAGTTCGGCAGACGGGAAACGGCTCGTGTTGATGAACTCGACCCAGGCGAGGATATCTCGAACTGAAAAGGCCGTGGCCGACGATGGACGAAACGTCTTGCCAAACCATGAGGCGAATTCAACGATGATGCGAGAGATGGATTTCGCTTGCTTCTTGTTGCCGACGCGCGGCTTGAATCTGCTGTCGAGCTTGGAGACGACAATGTCGTGGACATCATCGACTTCCGAGAACGCCGGCACCCAGACTTCAGTGAAACGGTTACGCAGAGCTGGAGAAAGCTCCTTCTTGCCGAAGTCACCACCAGGATTCATGGTGGCGAAGAATTGGAAGCCCTCGGTCGCTTGGACGAAGGAGTCAGTGACACCCTTTTCGGCGAGCAGCAGGCTGCGGTGTGGCTCAAGGACCGAGTTGAGACGCTCCAGGACAGAGTCGTCCGCAAGAGATATTTCATCAAGGAGAAAGTAACTGCCTTCTTTCATGGCTTGGACGAGACTACCGTCACTCCACTCGAACAATGCCTTGCTTCTGGTCGTGCCGGCGTGGATTTTCGCCTTCAAACTGTCTGGTAGCTTGGCCAGAACTTCGGGAGTCAGGGAGCGGTACCACTCCTGCAAACCCTCCAGCGAGTCCTTGCCTCTCCCCAGAATCACAGCAGCCTCCTCAAGATCCCGGAACAACGCGTCCACGATAGCCCCGCGGTTTCTCACCGGCCGCTGCGAACCGATGAGATCTCCCGTCTCGGTGTTTTGATGGGCGTTGACAATATGCAGGTCCTTCTTCTCAAACTCAGCCAGTAATTGGCAGACCGTAGTTTTGCCACACCCTGTCTCGCCGACAAGCAACACGGGCTCATTGTTCTTAATGGCCCGTTTCACCAAGACGTACAGCCGCCGCATAGCCCTTGTCCAGATGACGCCCTGACTGTTTCTCGCCCGGACGTTGCTAAGTTCAGGAGCACGCTCCAAGTCGTACAAACGCTCGGAATCGATCGTGGCCTTGAAAACCTCCTCAATCACCTTCTTGACCTCATCGCGCTCCTCCGGCTTGCGGACACGCTCGGCGAGCAGCATGAACCCGTGCTCTGCGATCTCTTGACGCGTGTCTGCCTCGCGCAATGCCCAGCGGAACAGGTCTCTGAGCGTGGCAAAGCTGTTCTTCTGCTCAAACACGCGGCTCTCCTGGCGTAGGCGGGTGAGCTGCTTGTATACAGCCACGATGCGGCGGCAGTCGGAGGGCGCAGTGTTGCGGCTGCGCTTCTGCAGAATCGTTTCGAGCTCGCTCTCGGGGATATCGTCGAAGTGCAGCTCGAGGAATCTGTTGCGGAAGGCGCGAGACAAAATCTTTCTGCCTCCATACAACCCTGGAGGATTCTGTGTAGCGAACAGACAGAAATTCTCGGCCGGCCGCACAATCTCCTGTGTTTCGGGAATCAGAAGCTCCCGGTTATCGTCAAGGAGGCGATTGAGAGCTTCCAAAACGTCCGTAGGCGCCAGGTTCAGTTCATCCAGCACGATCCAGGAACCTTCCCTCATTGCCTGGACCAAGACGCCCTCCTGGAACTTGAGTTTTCCTTCAGAGTCCGAGACATATGTCCCCAGGTATTCTTGAAGATCGGTGTGCTCGTGGTTGTTGATTCGGACGAACTTGTTGCCAGTGTAGTTGGCCAGGTACTCGATCATGCTCGTCTTGCCGGCCGAGGTTGGCCCCTGGATGAGGATTGGGTATCTGCGGGTGGATGTTGCGCGGACCAAGTTGAGAAGATTCCTTTCCACATATGGTGTGATGATGTAGTCGTCCCGCTCCTTCGGCATCTCATTTCCTTGGAGCAACCAGTACTGGTGGTCCTTGTTTCTGTTCTTGAACGAGACGTAGTTCTTCCCGTCAATGGGCTTCTTTGGGGGCTGGGTCAGGATATTGGACCGCTTCAGCAGATGCTGGTGAATCAGGGGCAAAACAGTCCGCTCTGACTCCTCGCTGAGTAGTGTGGTAAAACACATGCAGAATCCTTCGTAGAGAGCCCGTTCGAGACCGTAGAAAGGAGCGACGTCGTTGGCATACGTCAACACTCGGGTCAGGGTGCGAAGACTGAAATGGGGCACTTCGTTTGCCTGGTCAACCAACGTCTTGAGCTCTGCTCGCTTCTTGATCTCTAGGTATAGATCAGCAACATCGTCGGCCAGACGATCGATGCTGCTGCTGTTTCCTTTCAGATATGTCTTGATGATGGTAAGGAGGTCTTTCTTGTCTCGATCCGGACTCGCGACATAAATCTCAGTGAATCGAGACCTCAGCCCGAGTGGAAGATCACGTTTGCCGACGTCTGTAGCCGGGTTCATGGCGCCGAATACCCGAAAATTGGGGTGTGCCTGTATTCTCTCAATCTCTCCTGTCTCAGAAAGGAGGAGGGAAGGTGTGGCTTGAAACAGCCCAGCTATGCTCTCGAGGGTGTCAGGAGAAGCCAGGTTGATTTCGTCGAGAAGCACCCAGTCGCCGTTTCTGGCGGCCTTGACGATCTTGCCCTCGACAAAGGCAAAGGCGAAACCAGCGGACCCGCTCGCAATCTGTCTGTCGAACTGGTCAAGACTCTGCGAGAACATCTCCCAGCGTGGCTTGAGGTCGTGCAGATGCTGTAGCTTCGTCGACTCGGTCTTCCGGCGTTTCGTGGGCTGCCCACCCGCGTCTTCTTTTCGAGTCTGCGTGCTCTCAAGTTTGGCCAAGATAGACTCGAACATCTTGGGAGCCTTCCGCCACTCCTTCGAGACCTCTTTCCAACGGCCCTTGGCAAACCGCTTGGAGACGCGTTCCAAGTACTCCTTGTTCTTTTCGGCAGAAACGCCTGTTTTCTCGAGCAAGTCCTCGAACTCCTCCTTCAGGGGCATGGCAAGGCTCTGCGAGCTGACGGGCTTGAACCCACCCAAAAGATCGCCAGCCTCGCTTTGCTGCGACAAATTGACTGCGACCAGCTGGTGTCCGAGAGACTCTGCCAACTGCTGAATCACGGTTGTCTTGCCGATACCAGTCTCGCCGACCAGCAGTAGCGGCTCGCGGTGTTTGACAGCGACAGCGATCTGCTCAAGCAGCCTCTTGGCATGGACCGTTGTCGCGAAAGGCCTCTTTGACCTGCCGACCCTACTTGTTCGTCTTGGTTTGATGAACGACACACGCCCTATTGTCAACCTGGTCTCGCTGTCCTCTAAGTCAGGGATGTAGCTGGTCAGGTAGTGCTGCACTCTCTCGAATGAAAGATGCATCTCCTTGGCAATCGCTGTGATCAGTATCTTGCGGGCCGAGGGCTCATGCATGCTGCTGACGAAGCAGTCCACGGCCTCGAGGAACATTCGATCTCTCGTCGTGTCCGTGATGGGCTCTTCCCCGGTCTTGCACCCGGCCGCACGCAGTATGTCGTCGAGTCTGCTGCACCACTTCAAGAGGTCCCTGGTGCCGATGGGCCGGTCGAGGGCCGTCCGGCCGAGGGACAGACGAGTCGACCCGCTGGTACATGCGAGGAGCTGATCAAAGACAGCCAGCACGCCGGGGGTGTACTTGTGCAGCAATGGGTATCTGCCATTGATGACTTCTTTCAAGTCATCGCGAGGCAGCGCCTTGACATGAAGGAGATTCCAGAGGCGCAGCCCGATCAGGTTTGGCAGGTTCTCTCTGTCGTTCATGCCGAGCAGGGTCCGAACTGTAGCAAATATCCGGAACCCTGGAGACGCCTGTATCCTCTCCCCCCGGCCAGGAATCAAGAGGTCGCCTCGCTCAAGGAGCGGCAGTAAGGTGCTCATGACCTCGGTCGGGGCGCGGTCAAGATCCTCGATCAAGACCCATCTCCCCTCCTTGACCGCCGTTGTCAAGACACCGGGGCGCCATTGGAAGGAACCGGGCTTTGAGTTAGTTGTGTACAAGCCGAGCAGCATCTTAGCATCGGTCTGTTCGTTGAGATGCAACGTCACCATCTCCCTTTGCTTCCCCAACTCCCTCGCGACCTCGTGAACCAGTGATGTTTTACCGGCACCGGACAGACCATGGAGCAGGATGGGGCCCGGTTGCTGCAGCAGTTTGGCGAGATGCTCAAGATTCTCGATGGTGGTAGAAGTGAATGCTAGAGTGCTCGGAGTATTCACAGGGCCCAGAGGCCTGGGGAGAACTGTCGTGCCATATTTGACAACAAGAGGAGTTAGATTTTGCATTGGGATGCGCGGCTGAACAGGTTCAGATTCAGCAGACCCATCTGCCTGAAGACTACTGCGAAGTCGCCGAAGTTCCTGATTCCTTGCGTCCTCGTACAGAGTCAGTAATGCATAATCTGCCCTTCTCCCGTCCAAATCCGCAACGAGACCGGCGTCCTTCGGGATGTGCTTAGCCAGCATGGCCTCTATCTTCTGATCCGAGGCATCATGAAGCTGGCAGAATATTCTGACGGCGAGGTATCTGACTGTAAGATCCTGGTGGGCGAAGAGCGATTGGAGTTGGGATGGTCTTGTAAGCGGGGAGAAGGTCCGTTTGTCAAAGTTGTTGAGCCTCCATAACGCGAGGAGGGCGATGGCGAGGTCCGCATTATGAAAGGATGCCAGATCAAGGGGGTCGAGTGCCTTCACACCTCCACCTCGTCCAACTCCTGCCCCTCCTCCACCTTGGAGGTGGTGTATGAGAAAGACGGACAGGGAAGGCGAGAAGGGGAGAATCCGGGCAAAAGATGCGAGGACCCGGACACTGAGTATCGGGTTGGCCAGGATCCATCTGGCGCAGATATCTGCAAATGCCGTCTCGAAGTGGGCGAATATCCTCTCTGTAGCCGGGGTTATGAGGGCTGCATTGGCGATCGCCTCTAAAAGTTGTACTGAGCTGTGGTCTCGGATGAGAACCAGCAGCTCCTGCGGCAAAAAACGTAGTGTTGCCGCATCGCCAAGCAGAGAATTCCTCTGCCGGCTAACATCGATCGTGGCCATCCTCGACAGCGGAGACGGCGTTGTTTTGTCGATGTCGAATCATGTAAGTTGCAACTTGCAACTCGCCGTCTTTCCTCTCTCAACTTTTTTCTTTTACGGAATTCGAGGTGGGCCTCTGGAAGCCTCACCCCTAACCCTTGAGATTCCCCAGCCGCTGCCACCTGACAGTGACCCGCCAAACCAGCCAATCAATAGCGCGCGCCGGTGGGAATTTCGAACGACCAACCGGCCGAAAAGTTCTCCGAGTTCACGACAGCAGCAGCACACCCCATCGCAAGGCCAATTCCGAACACCCGACGCCCCAACAGGCCTAGCCGTCCTTTTCCAGGCCCCGTTGTCTACGACTCTAGTTCTCCCGCCATGTCGCTGCCCTGCCGGTACGCAGCGCAGTGCTGCGCCCGCCAGCTCCGTTCCGCCCCGATCCGCGCCTCGAGCTCGCTCCTCCAGCAGCAGCGCATGACGCGGAGGTACAACTCGACCGAAGCCGCCGCCGCCGCCAACCCCAAGATTTCCGCCATTGTCGACCAGATCAGCCAATTGACTCTGCTGGAGACAGCAGATCTCGTAGCGAGCTTGAAGGTGCGGACCTGCGCAATAGCCCACCAGGGGAATATGACCTACCAGTAACCAAGCCCTCATTACTAACATAACCGTGTCTCTCTTCCTCCCAAAAACAGTCACGCCTGAACATCCCCGATCTCCCCGTAGGCGGATTCGCCGCCGCCCCTGCCGCCGCGCCGGCCGCCGCGCCAGCCGAGGAGGAGGAGGCCGCGCCGGCGGCGGCCGAGAAGACGCTCTTCACCGTCAAGTTGCAGTCGTTTGACGCCGCGTCCAAGCCCAAGGTCATCAAGGAGGTCAAGAATTTGTTGGGTCTCAGTTTAGTAGACTCCAAGAAGTTCGTCGAGAGCGCGCCCAAGCTCATGAAGGAGTCGGTACCCAAGGACGAGGCCGAGAAGATTGTGGCCACGATGAAGGAGCTGGGTGCTCTGGTGGTGATGGAGTAATATGCGTATTAGAGGGGGCGATGTGGAACATGTGCCATAGAGGGGCTTGCTGGCACACCCAGCAATGGTCGTCTGGAGGTAGAGGACCAAAAGCGGACGGGCAGGACCGGCATGTTACGGTTAGAATCCAGCCTGCGGCGTTTTCGCTGCATGTACAAAGAGCTTGTAACACTATAACTCGATATACCAGCCAAAACATGTATTGCACCGGCATGACTGCGGACGACGCTGCTGCAAGTGACTCCCTGTTCGAGGTAAGTCACGTCTTCGAAAGATCCTATCTCGCCAAAACCAACCGACACCCATGGTACCAGGATACCTAACACCCCCTTTCCAAACGCCACTCTGTCTTTTCCCTACTAACCAGCCCCATAAGCGCCATGCAATGCAATGCAAATCCGTTCAACACAACCCTTCACGCTGGAAAACGAACCCAAAGGTCTCCTTATTGCGCCCCATTCCTCTCCGCCTCCCTCTGATGCAAACACTTCCTCGCCTCAAACTCAGCCTTCCACTCGGCCCACTCCTCCTCCCCCATGCGGTGATCATCTTCCCCAAGGTCGCTCGTCTCCTCCCACAGCTTGTCCATCTCGGCGTCCTCGCCCGGCGGCACGGCCCATATGTTCTCCCTCTGCCGCTTGTGCCGCTCGCGGTCCTCTTCGATCCGCTGCTCGATCTGCTTCTTGTCCAGCTTGGGCGGGGCGTGTATTCTCTTGCTGGTGGTAGTGTGATAGGGAGGTAGGGTGCGGGCGGGGGGCATGTTGTCGTCGCCGAGGTTATCGGCCATGTCGTCTCCGTCGGCAGGAGGAGGGGAAGACATGGCGATGTCTTGGGCTGAGGCGTCACGGTCTTTGAGGACTTCTTCGATTTGGGTGACGGTTTGGGCGTCGAGGAGGGACTTCGTTTGGAGGGCTTGGAGGACCTGTAGAGAGGGGTGTGGGTCAGATTGATTCCCAGGAAAGGGAGGACGAGGGGGAAAGTATTGGTCTTACCTTACGAACAACCTTGACGTTTGCTGCCCCTGACCCGTCGTCTGGCGCTACAGCGTCCACCACCCGGATAATATCTCGCTGCATCATGCGCACATAATCGACGTAGCCATCCTTATTCGCCATGTCGAGAAAGTGCTCGATGAAGTACATGATGTTTGCCCGGGTATTCATGTTGTTCTGTTTGCATAGATCAGCCCACCAACTCCACCAAACAACCTAGCGCGGGAAGAGCAGCTAAACCCACCCTCTCGAGCTGCTCCAGAATGCACGAGTGCAAGTCCTCAGCCATGTCCCTGTATTTCAGGGCATATTGCGCTGCCTTCTGCGCCGACGTCACCGACGCATTGAGCTGTCGAAGCTGGTTGGTGAAGCGCATGCGCACCTCGAATGGGTCTGCCATAGTGTTGTTGGTGTGGTGGTCGTTGCTGACTGTATTGAAGACGAGAGCTTCGACATTTGCTGAGAGTAGTCTGGGGCTGAAGAACTGCTGTTTGACGTAAGTTGTATATGTGAGTGACGCTTTGCAGATGTGCTGTGCTCTTGCCGCGGGCACCCCAAGTAATTGGGCTCATTCTTGGCTGGACCCACTCTGCTCAGCCAGCCTGGGATACTCACCTCGGAGCTCACCGAAATTGCTGTGCAAGTCAATATTGACATATAGGTGTATATCCGTCCGGGGGTACTTCCAAGGCGATTCAGTATGAATCTGCTGGAAAGGTTAAACCTCGGGCGATTGGCTTTCCCCGTAGGTTGTCCAAGTATAGTCAGTTGCCGAACTTGACCCACTCCATCTGAAAAGCCAAGGGGTCTTCACTTACACGTCAAACTTCCCTTCTCCGAGAATCGGTGCCCATCTTCCAACCGAACACGATTAAACCATCAACCAGCAGACGGCAATATGAGTGCGTTTCAGAGTTCTAGCGGCTCTTCGGAGCTCACAATGACCGTCTTGGGCTGCGGTAAGCTCTGCGCCTGCATTGTGCAAAACCAAACCTGGAAACTGACCCTTGCAAGGCACCATGGGCATCGCCATCCTCTCAGGGATCCTCGCCTCCCTTGATGAGATGCAAGACGGCAACACCAAGCCCTCCTCCTCGGGCACCTCGACCCCGCTCTACGAGACGTCCAACACCACCCGCCTTCCCTCTCGCTTCATCGCCTGCGTGCGCCGCCCCGAATCCGCCAAGAAGCTCAAAACCACCTTCGCATCCCACCTCAACGCCGTCACCATCGCCCAAAATGCCAACGTCCCCTCCGTCCAACAATCCGACGTCATCCTCCTCGCATGCAAGCCCTACATGGTGCAAGAAGTCCTCTCCGAGCCCGGCATGGCCTCGGCGCTGCACAACAAGCTCCTCATCAGCATCCTGGCGGGCGTCACCGAATCCCAAATCACGTCCACCCTCACCGCCGCCAACGGCGGCTCCCCCGTGCCCTGTCGCGTCGTGCGCGCCATGCCGAACACGGCGTCGCTCATCCGCGAGAGCATGACCGTCATCGGCATCTCGAACCCGCCGCTCGACCCGGACACGCTGGGGCTGGTGACGTGGATCTTCAAGCGCATCGGCGAGGTGGTGTATCTGCCGCCGTCGACCATGGACGTGTGCACGGCGCTGTGCGGGTCCGGACCGGCCTTCTTCGCGCTGATGCTCGAGGCCGCCATCGACGGCGCCGTGGCAATGGGTCTGCCCCGCGCCGAGGCGCAACGGATGGCGGCGCAGACCATGAAGGGCGCTGCGGGGTTGGTGTTGAATGGGGACCACCCTGCGCTACTGAGGGATAAAGTCAGTACTCCCGGTGGGTGTACGATTGGCGGGTTGTTGGTGTTGGAGGAGGGGCGGGTAAGGGGCACGGTTGCGAGGGCGGTCAGGGAAGCAACGGTGGTGGCGAGCCAGCTTGGACAGGGTGTTCAGGGGGTGAACGGGACCAGGTTCCCGAGTAATCAGTTCCAATGATGCAGCGGGGGGTGAACGGGACCAGGTTCCCGAGTAATCAGTTCCAATAATGCAGCGGGGGGTGGAAGTACATATGGCCTTGTTCGGTTCCGCTGGGGGGCTTTGTAAAAATGGGTTGACACAAACACGGTTCTCAATGTCCACGGATAAAGAAAATCTTCTTTCAGCCGCAGATTGTCCCTTGCAACTCGAACGGCGTACCGCCCGAGTAAACCAATACTGCCCTCGCCAAACGCCGTAGTGTACACACAACCAGACGATACGTGCAACAATAAAGTACCGTAATCCGGAGTCAATGCTCATTACCGGTCGGGTAACCATAACGCCCGGCGTACCCAGGAAATGCCAATGACTAACTCCGAACACACCACTAGGCGTCCTCAACTCTCGCTTTTTTACTCGCCGACGCCTCCTCAGCATCCTCCTCCGCCTTGCGCTTCCCGTTCGCAGCCAACCCGTTCGCAGCAGCCTCCTTCTCTTGCTGATCTTCCGCCTTGGCGAGCAGGCGAGCGTAGTCAAATTCGACGCTCGATACCGTCTCGTCCAGCTTGGCAATCCGATCCGGAATCTCCAGCTCGCCCAGCGCGTCCCGGTTGTGCTGGTATAGCCTCTTCTTAAGCATCAACCTCCACAGCCGGTACTCGTGCTCCTGCTCCCTGGTGGCCTTTGCTGACGTGACCTTCTTTTCTTCCTCCGGGAAGTTGATCCCAGGCCGCACGGAGTCGGCCAGCTGTGACATAAGGTGCATCTCAAGGACGCGCGCGAACTGGCGCGGGGCCATTTTGGCCTTGGCGCGCACCGCGTCGTACGCGGCCTTCTTGACGATGTTGTCCGGCGCGGGGCCGGTCTTGGGGATGACGACGTCTGTGTTGATGCGCAGCTGCTGGAAATCGGGCAGCTGGCGCAGATACTGGAGGTCTGCGATGTCGCGAAGGTCGTCGAAGGCTTCGTTGGGGTCTTCAACGGTAATCTCGACCGTCTGCGGGTGGTTGATGTACTCCTTGAATATGTGGCTGTACAGCTTCGGACCTAGCCCCTTTTGCTGGAAAGGCGGGAGGATAATGAACTGGGCGATTCGAGTGCGGCAGGGGAGGCGGGATAGATCGAAGTCTTGGCTGAGCACCGCCTTCTCGACGTCGCTCTCTGACGGGGAGAGAGGTGGCGTGGGTAGCCGGAGGAAGAAAAAGCGATATGCCGTGGCGTAGCCCGCGAAGGTATAGGGGTTGCTGCTCGCATCACCGGCCGCTGCGCTCTTCTGGTACAGGAAGAAGACCGTCCACTGGTTCACCTCTGGGTCGTCGAGGTTGATCGGAGTCCCCGCTTCGATGAAAAGCGGAACAAGTATCTGAATGCGCTTGACCAGCTGCTTGACAGCGGTGTCGGCCAAATTTCCCTTCCAGACCTCAAACGTGTTGCCTTGTGCAAGGAAGGTGGCCGCCAGCTCGCCGGGAGGTGTCCAGTCTTTTCGGAGAGTCTTGATTGCTGTCTCATAATCGCCCTTACTTTGAAATGCAACATCCGGCATAAGTTCACGCAGGATGCCGTGGATGTCGGTCGGTTCTGCTTCTCCTACGGCGGGGAACTTCTTGCTGTAGGTAACTGAGAGGTTCGGCCGCATGTCGCTCGCATTGAACCGGAGGTTGATCTCGAGCTCCTGATACCCAAATATGATCTCATCCTCTCCAAATATACTGTATGAAAATTTCGGGTGGAAGCTGTGGCCGATGGTCTTGACGCCGGTGGGGGACGGAGCTACGAGCGACAGAAGCAGCGCGTCGTTGGACGGCGTCGACCCTGTGGAGGATGAGTGTTACGAGCCATGTATATTGAACCCTTTAGATACTCACAAGGATTGTCTGAAGCCATTTTCATGAAGGTTGACTAGGGATGTTCCAGTAAGTGTTGGATTTGCTGGAAGTCAAGTCGCAACTTGAGTGAAGATTGAACTTTCAAGTTTCCAACGTTTCGTGAATCGCGACGCGCTGCCAGCGCGGTGCAAGACCCTGGGCTTTATTGAGAGTGGGGCTGCTAGCCCAACCCATACGGTGAATTCCGGTGCTCCCGACGGCTAAGGCTCCATTCTGGCCAACTTGCGTCGCCATTTATGGAGTTCAGTTATATCCAGCTATTTGCACCTCTGGAAGAAATATACTTATCAAATCCCGTCATCTTGATCAGTACCAGGCGTTAACTTATCGTTGGCGGTCTCGCTTAACTTTCGCTTTCTTTATTCCTGTTCATGAAGTGGAAAGACGTCCGGTTTGCTACTATTACAGTGCGGATCTGCGGGGAACGGATTTGGTTAAGTGTGACGGGAGGCTGCGGGCACTTGCATGGGTCGGTTGATCTGGTTGCTCGGCTCCCCACTGCAGAGGCTGAAATAGAGGTCGGATCCAACAACTTCAGGCCACCTTTGCCAGCTTCGCGCTCCCGTCCCTTGGGAAACATCGACAGTATTCCCGACGCTGCTTTGTCGGACTTGCGCCAATGAGTTGACACTGGGACCCGTTACTTTCTAACCTCCTGGCAGTATCGTAGTCGAGCGCTGCCCAAATGGCGGGCTTGATTTTTTTAATTGCGACCTCTGTAAGTGCCGCTGCTGCATGCTTCCGCGACATTGGCAATGAGTTCCGGACACTAAGCTGACTGCGTGCTTGCTCGAACAGGTGGTCATGGCCGTTGCGTACGTCTGACTCCATTGTTTTGCATCTTCTTCCCCGGCGCAAGCTAACTGGCTGTGCGACAGCTCCTTCCTCGCCGGCGCGCTCCCGTTGTCCTTCTCTCTTTCGCAGTCGCAGCTCCGGCTCATTGCTTCTCTTGGATCTGGCTTGCTCGTAGGCAGCTGCTTAATTGTCATTCTGCCAGAAGGGATCGAGGCTCTTGCGGCGTCGGTAGACCACTCGCGAAACCCCGCGCAACATGGATCCCAAACGCACTCGGACCACATATCCGCAAGAGCCGAGGAGCACGGGAGGGAGAACTTGGAGCTACCGGCATTCAACATTGGTTTCGCTCTAGTTATTGGCTTTGCGTTGATGTTCCTGATTGACCGACTGCCCCGGCACGCAACCGAGAGGTTTCAGACAGCGCCAACGAGTAGACACGTCAGTCTGGATAATCTGGCTGGCTCAGGTGTGTCTGGCGACGAGGAATCTGAAGGCTTCTTAAGTTCTTTGACTCCATCACCCAAGCAAACGCGCAGCTTGGCTACCACGACCGGCCTTGTCATACATGCGGCGGCGGATGGCATTGCAATGGGGGCTTCAGCGACAACATCCAACCTGAACGTTGGGCTTATCATCTTCTTTGCGATTTTGGTGCACAAAGCCCCTGCCGCATTCGGGTTGACCTCCATCCTTCTGAAGCAGGGCCTCTCAAAGCGAGCTACGCGCGTGCACCTCATGGTTTTCAGCTTGGCGGCACCCGCCGGGGCGTTGGCCACTTACTTTCTCGTCTCATTGATAGGAGGCGAGACGATGGAAGGCGAGTCGGCACAGTGGTGGACGGGAATGCTCCTCCTCTTCAGTGCTGGAACCTTCTTGTGAGTAGACCGTGCCATTTTGTGGTCCGCATCCCTTGTGTCTTTCTGACATCGACCCCCCCTAGGTATGTTGCGATGCATGCGATGCAGGAGGAGAACCATTCAGCAGGTTTCGACCACCACTCGAGCAGCAACGGGTATGCCGACAGTGGCGTCCCTTCCAACAGGCGGCCCGGCAAACTGCAGATGCGGGATACGCTTGCGACCCTGGTGGGATTCGTGCTGCCGCTGCTGACGCGGTTTGGCCATCATCATCACTGATGTGTGTATGATTTGAGATTCTAGGCCAGGCGTTCTGGTTAGACTGGGAAAAACTTGGAAAACCTTGGAATTGTGAGGTTCTGGAAGTGCGAGGCAATTTGATTTAGGGCCGGGCGTTCTGGAGCACAGCGTTTCAGTCACGGCTACTAATACTTTAACCTGTTCACAACGATAGTACCTGACTTGATGTGCGGAGACCTTGGCCCCATGCCAACCAGGAGCACGTCGGTTGCGCTCTCAAGCTGTTTGAACTTACAGCCAGGGCGTTGTTGTCGGGGTGTCAACTGAATGCTTGATGACGCAAATCGTGATATCGGCTGCTGCTCCACAGCAAGTTCCAACTTGGATCAGCGGTGCGAAAACGGAGGCTAAAACTGTGAACTGCCCAGGCAAGTGGGGCCGTTTCAGGCACAATTCTACAAAAGCGGTCTGTTTCAAGCGATGGGTAGGTCGAGTTGCATCCAACATTGATTGCATTTCCGGGAGAGGCAAATGTAGCGACTGTTGGTCTCATGTCTTTATTGTCAGGATGAGGCTAAGCTATCAAACTCCAGTGTTCAAGCATTACGTATGACCCTGGAGTCAAATATGGTGGCTGAGATGTGAACCATCGAGCACGCTTCCAAGGTCCATTTGACAGCCCAGACTCCGACCACACACCATGGATGGTGCGACAATAAGAACATCATGTCTCCGTCCGATATGGGAACTTGAACAATGCGCAGTCACCAGAACGGATGGACAATGGTCTTATTTTGAAGCAAGAGCCGGCAAACTGGCTTACACTCAAACCGGCCACTGCAGTCAAGGATTTCTAAGGGATAGAGGACGGGAAGCAGGGTTGCAATCCTCATTAAATTCCTTGACAGTGGACACCTGTATCCTCCCATCCACCTACAATGTAGGTTGTCTCTCATTTTCTGGAAACTTGGGGCCACCGGACGGAACCGCTCTTCGACTGCAGAGGCCGGCCAGGAACTCCACTCGGGTTGTTCAGAAACGTGGATGCGGTTCAAGTACGGACAAATTCCACAAGGGGCGGCATTGACCAGTTTCCTAGCGGACTTCGTCGCCTTTTGAGAACCTGAGGAACGCCAAACGCTGCCGTACGTGCATGCGGCGGTCGAGGTCCCGTCCTCAAGTGTCAGTTGCCTCAAATGGTTGCTTAGGCACCTGGATATGCAGGACTTGATGGGTCGCACCAAGTTGTGCAGCTGAGTTTTCTTGTGAGACCGTCTTCTATTCGCGATTCGCTGTATGTACAGTAGTTACCAGGCTCCCGGTCTCTACTCGAGCTTACTTTGCCTCTATGCCTGGCCAGAAATGGAATTGAAGGAAGCATGAACAGCAGCAAAACGGTGGCCTTTCCGTCACAAAACAAGCTTCCGGTGACCGCCCACCGCATTGTCGTGGCTCCATCTGACCAACGGTGCTCAACGAGGGCCTGCGACAGGCGGCGGAAAAGCGCAGTCTTGCTGCTGCTGGGCGGCGCTGGCGGTGGGGTCTGTGCCATTGCCAGGGTCAGCCCGCTCCCTCATTCGGCGCATTGAATTCAGGGAAGGAACGCCCCTTCCCGCCTCGTCTTTCTTCCCTTCCTCAGCCCTCACATCGACCCCAAATTCGGTCGGCCTTTTTTGCACGACCTCCCTTGACGCCTGCGATTCCGAGCCCGACAGCACGGAAGTGCTTTCTGATGGATTAACAGGAATCCATCCCTATCCATTCTCCTATCCCTTCCCTGCCGTAACCTGCGTGCGTCGCTCCTTTCCCCCGATCCCCTCTCTTCCTCTCCCGGCCTTCTCGTCAGGCTCGCTCGAGACGTCCTCGAATACCGAGTTGGAGGCCGTGACCTCCTCAGTTCTCCTACTCTAGTAAACCGAACATCGAACACGTGCAGCGCATCTGTGACTTGGGTTGCTTTCGTGCGTTCGATTCCGCCCGTGACGACTCGAGCCGAATTATTCGGTCATCATAACATCAGCCTGCCCTCGACCCCGAGCGGTCATCTCCGCGTCTCTGGTCGGTGCAGCATAATTCTATTCGGTCGGCTCTCTTCGAGTCGAACTTTTTTGACCACGAATTCCCCGGTTCGCCACATACACAACCGAGATGCCGCCTTACAACCGGCCGCTCAGTTTCTCTGAGCGAAGGGGTGCCGTGTTCAACGAGGAGTTGTCGTTGAACACTCACAGTATGAAGCTGTCACAACAGCGCCCGAGAGGGCCGCCGACGCCGAGCATGAGCACACCAGCAGCCGATTTCGAACAAGTCACTGGTTCGCCCCCACCCCCGCCAACTCCTGCCGCGTCTCCCGGACCATCACATTCGAGACTGAATTGGAGCAATGCCGGAGAAGACGAAGAGGCATACTTGTCAGGGCTGCGGAAATATTTCGTGCAGTGCAATGGCGGGCAGAGGACCCGGCTGCTGGCGGACCTTTTGAACCTCTGCACCAGTGGGCAACTGAGTTTTGTGCACCAGTTCGTTAGTCCTTTGCTCAAAAAGGATCCCTTCACCACTCTTCCAGATGAATTGTGCCTTCGAGTACGTCCTCGACCCCCGCGCCAGCCTAGAGCAGAACCTTGTGGCTGACAGTCTGCAGATCCTTTCCTTCATTGATGACCCGAAAGTCCTGGCACGCGCCTCGCAAGTCTCACGGAGATGGCGGGATCTGCTGAGCGACGACATGACGTGGAAGAACCTGTGCATGAAACACGACTACCAGCGGAGGTTGTCTGAGGTCCAACCGCCGATTCCTCTAACTGCCACGGCCGGACCCGAGGCCCATCCCTTCGGCCAGCAGGATGGCGACTCCATGGGCCAGGGGGGTTCCGGCGCGCTTACTTCTACATCGCTGCCCGCGATGTTTGAAGGGAGCGGCAATGCACGACCCTTGCTGAGGTCGTACAAGTCGCATTTCAAACAACGGTACCTTGTTGACGCCGCGTGGCGCGCCGGCGGCCACAATGTGTCTCGCAACATCACTCAGGACGGCGGTGTCGTTACGAGTCTGCATCTCACATCCAAATACATCATTGTGGCTCTTGATAATGCCAAGATTCACGTGTTCGATACCGATGGGAATGCGCTACGGACACTGCAGGGCCACGTGATGGGCGTCTGGGCTATGGTTCCTTGGGACGACGTCTTGGTCAGCGGTGGTTGCGATCGTGATGTTCGCGTTTGGGACCTGTCCACTGGGTATGCTTGACTAACTTCCTCGGCAGAAACCATGTGACAAGACTGACTGAATTTCCAGTGCCTGCTTGCATACCTTGCGGGGTCACACCTCAACTGTTCGCTGCCTTAAGATGTCAGACGCCAACACCGCGATATCAGGCTCGAGGGATACGACTCTCAGGATATGGGACATCAGAACTGGACTCCTCAAGAACGTGCTCGTGGGTCACCAAGCGAGTGTCCGCTGCTTGGAGATCAAGGGCGATATTGTGGTGTCTGGCAGCTACGATGCCACCGCGAAAGTATGGAGCATTTCGGAGGGCAGGTGTCTGCACACTCTCCAGGGTCACTACAGCCACATCTACGCCATCGCTTTCGACGGCCAGAGGGTGGCAACAGGGAGTCTAGACACAAGCGTCAGGATATGGAACGCTCAGACTGGGTAAGTCATTCTCAAAATCAAGGGAGCTTGGTGCAGGAGCTAACTGGGTGTCTCAGCGAGTGCCAGGCCATCCTTCAAGGCCATACTTCCCTCGTCGGGCAATTGCAGATGCGTGGCGGCACGCTTGTGACCGGCGGCAGCGACGGGTCTGTGAGGGTGTGGTCTCTTGAGAGGTTCTGCGCCATACACCGACTTGCTGCCCATGACAACAGCGTGACCAGCTTGCAGTTCGACGACACCCGGGTTGTCAGTGGCGGTAGCGACGGGCGGGTCAAGGTTTGGGATCTCAAGACTGGCAACCTTGTCCGCGAACTGGTTACCCAGGGTGAAGCAGTCTGGCGGGTTGCTTTTGAGGACGAGAAGTGCGTTGCAATGGCGTTGAAAAACGGCCGGACCGTGATGGAGGTAAGCAGACACCTAGCAGAGTCCCGCGTTTGTGGACGCTCACTGACTGTTTTCCTCAGGTATGGTCGTTTTCCCCTCCGGCCGAGATGCTCCAGGAGCGGTCCATGTTGCCTCCAAAACGCCGACTCGACGGTGGACCAGTCCCGGACCGACCCTTGAGCGCCTTCTCGCTGGACTACCGAGGGCCTGATTCCGCCAGCGGGATACAGGACGTGGACATGGTTGACGCTGGCCCTTCGACTGCGCCCCTTCAACAGACTGGCTCGACATTCTTCCACGACGAATAAACACACCGTCCCAGCCACACCGCGGATTCTCGGCAAACAAATACTTCTATTTTTATTTACTCGCACATACCCCATTGACCTGGCTCACACAAAGACAGGCAGACAGGCGTTTTCTTGTCGCAACAGGCGACAACGGCATACGGGAAGCAAGATACCAGGTTCAACATTAACGACAGAGGAAGAAAGACGAGAGCATTTCTGGGTTATCCCAAGACCGGGGGCGTGACACACAGAGTGGCATTGCTAAGGCGTTTCCGAGTTTTCAAACATTACGCATGGGTTCGGCACAGATATCAAGGATGCACAAACAGCAATTATGCATTGGGAGGGAGGTTCTCGGGTTGCGTTTCAAACGTTTTTGATATTTTGCAAGAGGGATCATGCGCCCTTAGAGGTACTGGATGGCCATCATCTGATGTCGAGAATACCAGATATGAGGGGCTGATGGGCGAATCAGTCCCTCTCCGTGTTGGGATTAGAGACCGTCGGTTGAGGTGTTGTTTCTGCAGTGACTGTATGGAGTATTTGAGTGTGTTAAGGCCGTGTATGTATCTCTTAATCGCAGGTTTCTCGAGGCTTCGCCGAGGCCGGATGGATTTCGGAGTCCTTGAGAGTTTCGAAATTTGAGTACAGAGTAGGTAGATTTTCTTTGCTCTCGCTCTCCAGGCCCTCAGGTGTCAGCTACGACTGTTCTCATCACGTCGGAATATGAAGATCATCCGGTCTTCAGAATTTCTCTTAGAGCCATCTCATTATCAGCATGTCACATAGCACTTCGACGACTAGCCTCATTCAAAGCTACGTAGTTCACTCAATTCGAAAGATAACAGTTCAAAACGTTCCCACTTGGGCCTCCCTCCTTACCAGAGCTGTCACACAAAATAGCGCGCGGCCAGTGGAGGTCCGATGGGATGCCAGAGCCCCATGTCAGCTGCCCCAAAACAGCTTAGCCCACGTTCAACAAGCATCATTCAACTGCCCCAACGCCAAAAAAAAACTGGGTCGCCCATTTTCTCAGACTGCCGCAGGGGCCAGCTTTTGCTCGCAAGCAGAACTCTGCGATCTCGCATCTCCCCGAGACTTATTTGCCTTGACAGCGGCGTTTTCTTTATTTCCCCACCTTGCCGTTCTGCCTTTCCGATTTCTTCACCACCCAGTTACCTATCGCACCACACACAATGTTCTCGCGAGCCGTCCGGATATCGCGGGCAGCGCCGATCCGTGCGGCTGCCCAGCGCGTTCATGCTGCCTCGATCGTTTCCCGGAGGACCGTCACGACCAACGCTGCTTCGGCGCAGGTTGACAAGAGCTCAATTCCACAGGTGAGCTTTGAGGGGACAGCTGATGTATTCTTCCGGATGCGTTGCTATTAGAGATTGGGTTGTGGAAGTTGTTTTGGAGGTTGCGATGTTTTTGGGGTGTCGGAATGCATCGGGTTTCTGCAGTAATGCATGGGGAACAATTGCTGACTTGGTTGCTCCAATTAGTCCGACGAGGAGCCTTTCAGCGTCAGGCTCAGCGATGAGAGTTTCGAGACCTACGAGCTCGACCCGCCGCCCTACACGCTCGAGGTGACCAAGAAGCAGCTAAAGCAGATGTACTACGACATGGTCGTTGTTAGGTACGCATTGACAGTTTCGAAACATCTATGAAAAGGGTTTTCCGGGGCTAACGGTTATCTGTTGGCTAAAGGCAAATGGAGATGGCCGCCGACAGGCTATACAAGGAGAAAAAAATCCGGGGTTTCTGCCATCTCTCTACCGGTCAGGAGGCCGTCGCCGTGGGCATCGAGCACGCGATCCAGAAGACAGACGATGTCATCACATCGTACCGGTGCCACGGCTTCGCCTACATGCGCGGCGGCACCGTTCGCTCCATCATTGGCGAGCTGCTCGGCCGCCGCGAGGGTATCGCCTACGGCAAGGGCGGTTCAATGCACATGTTCACCAAGGGCTTCTACGGCGGCAACGGTATCGTCGGCGCTCAGGTTCCTGTCGGTGCTGGTCTGGCTTTCGCCCAGAAGTATACTGGCGGCAAGAAGGCTACCGTCATTCTCTATGGTATGGATACCGGGTTGATGATTTCGAGTTGCAGCGCTGACAGGCCATACAGGTGACGGTGCCAGCAACCAGGGTCAGGTCTTTGAGGCTTTCAACATGGCTAAGCTTTGGAATCTCCCTGCCCTGTTCGGCTGCGAGAGTGAGTCCCTTGGATGATTGCCGAAACCGTTCAAGGATACTGACGATTTGTAGACAACAAGTACGGTATGGGCACGTCTGCGGCTCGCTCGTCGGCCTTGACGGACTACTACAAGCGCGGCCAGTACATTCCCGGTCTCAAGGTCAACGGCATGGACGTCCTCGCCGTCAAGGCTGCCGTCCAGTACGGTAAGCGGTGGACCGAGGAGGACAATGGCCCGCTGGTGCTGGAGTACGTCACCTACCGGTACGGCGGCCACTCCATGTCCGACCCCGGCACCACCTACCGCACTCGCGAAGAGATCCAGCGCATGCGGTCGACCAACGACCCCATTGCCGGCCTCAAGCAGCACATCCTGGATTGGGGCGTTGCGTCGGAGGATGAGCTCAAGGGCCTTGACAAGCAGGCACGAAACCACGTCAACGAGGAGGTGGCTGCTGCCGAAGCCATGCCACACCCCGAGCCCACCCCCAAGATTCTTTTCGAAGACATCTACGTCCGTGGCAGCGAGCCGCAGTTCATCCGGGGCCGAACGCCGGATGAGAACTTCTACTTCAGCAACTAAGGAGTGTGTTTGTGGCCTGAGTCTTGTCGATGGATATCACCAGGGAGAACGAATCCATGCTGGAGCTGCGAGGTTCTGAGCGTTAGGGAGTCGATTTTTGTACATTATCCTAATCTGCTATAGAGCCTGGGAAAGTCCTGAAATTGAGGTTTCGGGATGGGAAGCCTTGGTGTTTGCAATATCTGCTTGAATTTCTGATATTGTTCTTCGCCGCATCGGTCTTGCTGCGCTTTTTGTAGTGATGCTCCCTCCACGAACGGAGTAAGACGGGTTGTCGTTCGAGTGCGGGCTTGGCGCTCTTGTGACCGTGGCACTTTACGTGACCCCTGCTAGTTATGGCTGCCTTGATCAAAAGTCGCGTCCTAGCGCGTTATGTCACGCCAGGCTAGAGCTGCTGGACAATCCGACAGCGAATGCCTAGATCGAACTCTCAATTGCGCCTGCCTTTCTGCCTAATTGTTCCATGCGCTATCCTGCGCATATTCTCACCGAAATCTTTTCCTGTTCGACTATTTATCGCACCGTTTCTCCCCTACCGCATTCAACAGCCTACAGCCTACCTCCATGCCGAACTGAGCGGCTGTCATTCCCTTTCTTCAACTCCCCGCCATACCAACCTCCGCAAGAGCTAAGCCAAACTGGCTCTCAGGCTCCCCTTATCCTTCCCCATTCTCAGGTCCACGCGCCTCGCCAGCCTTAGGGCTTCAACGACTTCCCGTTGCTGCTGCTGTCTTCCCGGCATACCTGGCGGCCTGGACGGTCGCCGTCAGAGCAGGTTGACTGCGGTTACTACTCCTACCGGGTTGAGAAACTTGACGTTGGGTCCGCTGTGGAAGCTGAGAGAACAGGCGGCGGAAATGGCGCCTAAGCAGGCTACGCTGGGGTACGTCAAGTCTGGGCAGACGACCTTGGTGTGGGTGATGTGCATGCACCCCAGTGTATCATTACCTACCTGGAGGGGCTCGCTATCATCGTTATTATCATTAGATTTCGTTCTTTACAACACTGATATTGTCGGTCGAAGAATTGGAATTGAATCATGGTTGGCTGACTGGGGCTGTATACAGCAAGTTCTTTGGGCAGGCGAATGGGCCCAAGAACAAAGGGGCGCCGCCGCAACAGACCAAGTTGAGCTTCTCGACAAAGGCGGGACCAAAAGGGAGGAAGGAGGATGAGGTAAAAGAGGAGGTGGAGAAACAGGAACTTGAGGAGAAGGTTGGGTCGGACAAGGGTAAGTCTGACCAAGAGGTCGACGTCGCTCTGAGGTTGGAACTGAGCTGACATGATGGAACACCAGAAACTGGTAAGAAGAGAGGGCGACCTGTCAAGGCGGCTGCAGCCGAGCAGAAGACCAAGAAGGAGGCTGCCGATGAGGACGAGGATGCTGAGGTTGCAGCGCCCGCTAGTAAACGACCGCGGAGGGGTCGGAAAGTAATCGAAGAGGAGGATGAGGACGAGGACATGGAGGATGTGCCGGAGCCGGCGGCCAAAAAGACCAAGACGACTACTCCAAAATCGAAAACATCGCGGAAAACGGACTCTGAGCCAACATCGATTCTGAAGACAGGGGCTGAGGAGGAAACTCCCGTGTCGTCATCCGAGGTCGAAGAGGAGGAACTTCAAGACGAGGAGGAGAGGCCCGAGGTCGCGGCCAAGGCGCGGCAGAAGGTCCAGGCCAGCCTGAAATCGGACGTCAAGCACCCCTATCCGGACTGGAAAGCAGGCGAGCCAGTGCCGTACGCTGCGCTCTGCAGGACCTTCTCGCTCATCGAACTCACCACCAAGAGGTTGGAGATCATGGCGCACTGCTCACTCTTCCTGCGTCAGGTCTTGAAGCTCACCCCTGATGACCTCTTGCCGACCGTCCTCCTCATGATCAACAAACTTGCGCCGGACTACGCCGGCATCGAGCTGGGGATCGGCGAGTCCTTGATTATGAAAGCGATAGGCGAGACCACAGGGCGCAGTTTGGCTGTTATCAAGCAAGATCAGAAAGAGATAGGCGATCTAGGACTGGTCGCCGTCAAATCCAGGTCAACACAGCCGACCATGTTCAAGCCCAAGCCGCTCACCATCCGAGGCGTGCATAAGGGGCTGATGGCGATTGCCACCATGACCGGCAACGGCGCGCAGGGGAGAAAGGTGGACAGCATCAAAAAGCTTCTTTCCGCGGCGGATGCGAATGGAACGGGCAAGGTGGACATCACCAAGGACAAAGGCGGGCCGAGTGAGGCCAAGTATCTCGTTCGCTTCCTCGAGGGCAAACTGAGGTTGGGCCTGGCTGAGAAGACGGTCATTGTCTCGCTCGCGCAAGCAATAGTGGCTCATGAAGCAGCCCAGAAGGGCCAGGTGCCGAGTACGGCCGACATTGAGAAGGGCGAAGCTATTCTCAAGACGGTTTACAGGTTTGCCGTGTTCTGACTATCATCTTTTTGCGGGTGGGCCGCTGACAGAAGACAGCGAACTGCCTAGCTACGATGTCATCATCCCCGCGATGGTGGAGCACGGCATCCAGAACCTGAGAGAGCAATGCAAGCTGCGCCCCGGCGTTCCCCTCAAGCCCATGTTGGCGAAGCCGACCAAGGCCATCACCGAAGTCTTGGACCGCTTCGAGGGCCAGACCTTTACATGTGAGTACAAGTACGACGGCGAACGAGCGCAGATCCACTACGTCGCCAAGGACACGGACGAGGAGCTCAGCCAGTCGGCCATGAGTGCCACCAAGGAGGTCGGCAAGGGTGTGGCTGCCATCTTTTCAAGGAACTCGGAAGACCTCTCCAACAAGTACCCTGATATTCTCGCCAAGCTGCCGACTTGGGTGAAGGAGGACACCAAGAGCTTCGTCCTGGACTGCGAGTCTGTGGCCTGGGATGTTCAGGAGAAGAAGGTTTTGCCCTTCCAGCAGCTCATGACCCGGAAGAAGAAGGACGTCAAGGTGGAAGATGTCAAGGTCAAGGTGTGCGTGTTCGCCTTTGACCTGCTCTACCTGAACGGTGAGGCGGTCGTGGAGAAGTCCCTCAGGGAGCGCCGCGAGCTGCTGCACAAGGCCTTCCAGCCTGTCGAGGGGGAGTTTGCGTTCGCCACATCCATGGACGGCCAGGAGTTGGACGAGATCCAGTCGTTCCTTGATGAATCTGTCAAGGCCTCGTGTGAGGGCTTGATGGTCAAGATGCTGGACGGCGAGGAGAGCGGGTATGAGCCGAGCAAGCGGAGTCGGAACTGGCTCAAGGTATGCTACCACCCAAGCACATGCCCAGAACACCGACAGAGAACAGTTGCTGACAACCAGACTGCAGATCAAGAAGGACTACCTCTCGGGCATCGGCGACTCGCTCGACCTGGTCGTCCTGGGCGCCTACCACGGCAAGGGCAAGCGCACGTCGGTCTACGGCGCCTTCCTGCTGGCGTGCTACAACCCGGGCACTGAGATGTACGAGACTGTGTGCAACATCGGCACGGGCTTCAGCGAGGCGGTGCTCGAGGAGCTGCACACTTCCCTCTCCCAAATTGTCATTGACCGGCCAAAACCCTTTTACGCGCACAGCGCCGGCGGGCAGCACCAGCCCGACGTCTGGTTCGAGCCGCGGTACGTGTGGGAGGTCAAGACGGCCGACCTGACACTCAGCCCGCGGTACAAGGCGGGCATGAAGGAGGGGGTCGACCCGAACGGCGAGAAGGGGATCAGTTTGAGGTTTCCGAGGTTTATTCGAGTGAGAGATGATAAGAAGCCGGATGAGGCGACGACGAGCAGGCAGGTGGCGGAGCTGTATCGCAAGCAGGAGAGCGTGACCAAGAATAAGGGGCCGGCGGCGGATGATGATTTCGAGTATTAGGCTGGTCAAGGGAGAGAGTGGTTCGTGCCATGCGTGTATTGTTACTCTAGGGTTGAGTTGGCGGCGTTTACGACATCGCAGATCAAGGACAAATAGTTTGGGGCCATTTATTCCGCTCGGCCAACCAGTGGAATGTTTCTATCCACGTTTTGGAAACACATTCTCCACTGCAGCTCCAAACATATCACTCCCAGCTCGACCTCCGTGGCCCTCGTCATCAGTTGGGGTGCTGTCATGGCAACCCAAATGTGGCTGGACGCGTTATGTTTGCGGATTCTCAACGCCACGCCGTTTGAATCACCTCTCTCCCCAACGTGCCCACCATCTTCGGCCGCTCACCAATACCCATCAGCGCCAGGCACGGGAGGACATGGTCGTTCAGCAATTCACACCCAAAAATAAATAAATAAATACATACTAAAGAAATCATCCATGTTGAGAACCCTTCACCGCGGTCAACAGTGGGTCTCGCGGAGGAGCGGAAGAAGCCAGGACTGGTTCACCCACATTGCCCGCGCTGGGATGTGTACAGTATGTTGAGAAGTCTGACGAGAGTCGGGTGATCCGCTCCGACGAGGGAAGGACTTCTGGGTAGGTAAGTATAGGGAGTACTGTTACCCGGCCGAGTAGTCGCGCCTTTTGCAGAACTTCCCCAGCTGGCGCCCCTCGGTGTCAATGACAGTCTTGCTAAGTTTTATGGTGGGCGGGACGCTCAGCTCGGTCTTGAACGCTAGTGCTTGAGTATCTGCCTATCGCTTGATTTCGGGGTGGGGGGGTGTCGTGGGAAACGAGCCAAGTGCCGGTCATACTCCTGCTCTTCTGGCGGTTGCATCAGGTGGGCGATTGTGTTAGTCCCGCCGGCGCAGGTTATAACGATGACTAGGTGGAAGAGACGGCAATTGTGCGGCGGCAAATGTCCAACAGGTGGCAGATCCGCTACATCTACCGAGAGTACCAGCAGCTGGCTTGCCGATGCTCGCCTGTATAGCTGTCCATGCCAGCCATATCCGCGCGGGGGCGCAATGTCGCACAGGTCGATGAGCACACTGCTCTCCCAATTCTGGGCCAGCTGCGGAGCGTTCCGCCAAATTCGGCGAGCCAAGAAAAGATCAATACTTCCTGCACGGCGGCCGGGTCTTTTCGCCCTCGTCGACGTACTCGTAGACGATGGCCGTGTATTCCTTTCCGGGAGCGATGAAGCGCGTCGGTTTTGTCGACTGTGAGAACCGGTGGTCTCAGGCGACGGCTTAAGCCGGTGGGAAGTTCGCTTCTGATGGTCAGTTAGCCGTAGCACTTTCTCATGCGTGGCATTCTCGTAATTTGGGTGAGCCCGAAGTCCGGCCCTTGGCCTGCTGGTGGGGGCGGTGGCGGCTGTTGCTGCCGCTTCAGACGAGCCTCGTCAGAGATGCGGCCTGGTTGTCTAGGGCGTCATGCAGGGCCTTTAGGTTGGCGTTGACCAGGATCGGACGAGAGGCGGCAGCGGCCTGCTCCACGGCCGTCTCCATCTTCTGGAGAAGGGCGGCATTCTGGCACTCTCGCTGTGGCGCGCAGTAGTGGGCAAACTCGGGCGGCGCGTCATCCCACAACTGGTAGGACATTGATAAGCCAGCCGGCCTCGCACTGCAGTAACTGGCACCAACTTTTCACCTACCACCTTGAGGACAAAAGGTCCCTCATGTCCAAAGCGGACCTTTCAGGCGCAGCCATCCAGCCCCCCGCCCAGGGTCGCGTCCCAGACAAGGCCGCCGAGGTCAAAAGGGCAACGACGCAGCCTTGACGTTTCGAAGTCGGCGACGGTGCAACCGGGCGGACCGACCATCAAGCTGTCGTCGCGGAATGGTGTTTGCGCCGCTTCTATCCACGGCTTTCGCGTACGTACCCTGCGCTGGGCGCGCTGAAGCCTCTCCACACGAGCCGCCATCAGGATGAAGGGCCGTCGGCGGAACTGAAGCGTACAAGTCCACAATACGGTTCGGGGAATTTGACGGCATGTGCACTTGAGTCGGCTGGCTGCCTTGCGTTTCTAGGCAACAGCGGACGTCACAAGGAAATTGACCCTAACCCTGGGTACTCCTGGGCCACCAATGTTGGCTTTTGTTGCCAGCTATGTACCTACGTTGAGCGAAGTAAGTTACGACGGCGTATTCCGGGTCGTCATAGTAGAATGTCGAACCAGATGTCAACGACACGTCGGCCAGCTGCGTTTGATAGAGCGCAGCCCCCGCAGCCGCCGCCGCCCGAAACGGGCGTCCTGTAATTAGCCCCTGCTGCCTCGGTCCGGCAGCGGGTGATCCTCAAAGCGCCCAGGATATTGTCCGTGATGATGAAGCTGTACCTCCGGTGGCAGGAGGCCATGTAGTTCACAATTTGCGCGAGCACTCTTTGCCATTCCACGTAGTGCGCCGGTTCGTTGACCATTTCTGGTCCCCATTTAGAGTTGAGCTTGGTGTCACCCGGAAGCACATTCAGAGAGGCTCCATCGTCGTCGACGTGTTTGTCCGAGACCACGGATCAGTCGTGCTTAATCCTGTCGCGTATCGGGACCCGCAGCCAAAGTGACAGGCGCCCTCTTGCCTCTCCAGCGTGTAATCCACCTCGGGACTGACGAACCTGCGCAGCAGGTCCTCCAACGTCTCCTCATTCGAGATGCACAGATCTTCGGTGAGTGGCCTGGGCTGCGGTCCACCCCGGTATTGCTGGTTCAGTTCTCTCTCGAAAATCCTGGTCAGAGTGGCTAGTCTAATCCATTCCAGGGCCGCCAGTTGGCGGGGAAAATGTTGGTTTGGACGATAGTATTGGGACTTGGGACGGTTGCGTCGGCATTGATCTCGACGTTGGGCATGGTGAGAGCCTCCAGGAACTTGACCATTGCAACAACACCCTGCCGCTAATTGGGACGCTCGGAAGGGGTCAAGGCCGACTTCTGAGATATGGGAATTGCTGGCCGGAACCGAGAGTCGTTTATATGCTCGTCCCCCCTCTCCTTACAGACGGTCTGCGATGACCAGTCCCACAGCATTCGCATGCCGCGCGCCTATGATCTGCGCATCAGGGCCTGTCAGGACTTGGTTGGCCTAGAATGTGCGAAGAGCCAACCGGTTCAGCCTCAAGGATAGCTGTGTCGATCGATGGCAACCAACAACGCACCCGCTAGATGGGATGCGGAGTCCGGGCGAGTCATCTGTCATGGTCTTGTTGGGTGAGTCCCCGGGGGTCGGGGGGGGGGGGGGGGGGGGGGGGGGGGGGGGGGGGCGGCTAGGTTGGGCGGCCATGGCAACCTTCCACCACGAGACATTGACTCAACAAGGGTTCTCCTAGACAAACGGCCAACCACGCCAACCAACAATAACCAACAATAATATCTAATCACAAGGTAGGAGAAAGTGGGAGGAAACCGCCCTTCCCGCTTGCACGTTGGCCTGGAAAGGGGGGTTCAGGGACAAGGCAGACACTTGTGTCGAGAATTCACTGCGCCACAACTCAGCGCGCGATAGATAGGCAGTGACATGATACATGTCAGGCGGCCGAGTGAATCCTAGCTTGACCTGAGAGTAGCAGCGGGTATCATCCGGCCGGGCATCCCGCAGCCCCAACCAGGGAACCCTAACCAGCGACAATAACACAGAATACCAGACCCGCCGGCATAGAATCAAACATAGAGAAACCAGAATCCCATCAGAAAGAAGCCAAATCCACCCACCGCCTCCCCGGACCAACCGCCTGCATCTCCCTGGCCCTGGCTACCAACCTCGCCCTGAACCCCTCGCACCACATCAACTCGAGCCCTCCATCCACAATAACCAGGCCCATATTCATCCCCATGTCCCCGTTCTCCCGGAAAAACCGTTCCACTACCAGAAGCATATGCAACATCAGATCCGGCTGCACACACGTTTCGGCCAGCAGAAACTCCATGGCTCGACACACATTCCCCGCCACCTCCCTCGTCTTGGCCAGCGAGTACCGCATCGGATCGAGCGCCTGCAACCTCGCCGGGACGGGCAAGATCCCCGATCCCGGCACTCCGACGTCACGACTGCCCATACCCATACCCATTCCCGTCTCATAAGAACCCAAACCAATGCCTATCCCCTGCTGCTGTGTCTGCATATCTGCCTGTGCCAGCGGTGACAAGAACCCCCCGGCGACGTTGAGGTCGACATCGACAACTGGATCCAGCACGGCCGCAAAGTACAGCCGCCACGCCGTCGGGTAAAGCACCACCAGCGCGGTCCCTACCGAACAATGTCAGCGGTGGATTCTCTATCCCGGAAATGTCCCGAGGGGTTTCGGGGGCAAACGGCGCTGTCTCGGGGGGCAAGACAGCTCCAGAGACAGCCATAAAGGGTGTGTACATAGTCCCATGCACCAAGAAAAGTGTTTGCTTACAGTAGTACCCCATCGCCAGCGCGGCGCGGGCGGCGCGGAAGGACAGGAGCGGGGCCGGAAAAACGGCCGTTACTACTTCCCCTGGTGCTGCTGCTGCTGCCGCTGATGGATCCGCGAGCCAGAACAGCGGCTGATGGCCCCCCAGCGTTTGTGTCGTGGTCGAGTACCACCTGCCCAAGTCCAGCTCGAGGTCGAGGCAGTTGTTTAGCAGATCCTGAGCCATCAGCCGGCGGGCGAGGGTGCGTTGCTGCGAGAGGACCCGGTCCGCTTGGCCGAGCAGGGCGGGCAAGGCCGACAGGCTGTCGAGGAGGTGGTCGAGGGGCGATTTGGGGTGTTCCTCGAAGGGCGTTGTGAGCCATTGTGGCTCCGAGAGGTAAGTTGGGGTGCGGTTTAGAAGGGCAGTCATTATCTGTTTGTTGTTTTTCGCTGTCAGGGGTTGAGACTAATGAAGAGAGGGAGGGAAGACATACTGCGCTAGGGCGGTAGACGCGGACGAAAAAGTGGTGGGCGGGAAAGGATTGGAAGGCTTCTGGTCCGACCCGACAGATCGTGTTGGTTTGGGCTGACGAATCTTGCCAAGTAGGTTGGTTGCTGAGGTGGGAGGTAGTGTGCTAGACAGATCAGTCAGTCAGGGGTGCGAGCAACACCACAACTCTCTAGCACTCACCTCGTAAAGAAATAAGCAGATACTATCCGTCGCCTCTCTGCTCCCCTGCTCCCCGTCTGGCGTACCCAAGTGGACCAAGCATCGCCCCCTCATTCCGAACTCCTCCTCCCCCAGCCCCGACCTCATATCAGGTGACGCATATACCGGCAGTGAAATGAATACCCCTTCCTTCCCGCCTTCATCACAACCCCCTACTTCTCCCATGAGACGAACCTTTTCCAAATCCGTATACAGCCCAGCAACCTGCAACCGATACGTCTTCCCCAGGCACAAAACAGACACCAAGTCATCCCATGCCGGGCAAAGCGGTTGACTCGGAACGAGCTCCAAATTCCCTTCGTCCTGTCCCTCCTGGTCCTCGGCCGCCCCTGCTTTCGACGAGCTCGCCGACGCCGTCGCTCTCGCCGCCTTTTCCTCCCTGGGCTTGACCACCCGCGGCGGGTGCGACGAGCACCGGCCCTGGTCCTCAATGGTCCCGACGATGAAGACCGTCTCGCGCTCATAGCCGGCGCAGGTCCTGCCACCGTCGAGGCATTTCCGGCAGAATGGGCGCGTGTTGTCGCACTGGAGACACGTTTTTTCTTGTGAGTTGGTCGGGTTGTGGGAGTTTTCTTGCGGTGATCTGTCCACGTACCTTGACTCGGCGCAGACGGCAGGCTGCAGGGCAGAGGAACAGACTTAGCGAAGAAGTTGTTGCGGGCAGAAGGTAGTTGTCTGATATGAGAAATAGGGGGATATGAAACCTACTCTCGCAGCCTTTGTATTTGCCCGGGACTCCAACTTTTTTTTTTTTTTTCAGTATGTCAGTGGTGGACACGCAAGCTATCTCCTGATGTGGTAAAGGCCGGCTCGGGCTCTGTAGTCCAGAACGCTGCCGAGCAAAGGAACTGAGGAGAGTGGAAAGGCAGGTCTGTTAGCAGGGAGGTAGAACTTACCCATGATGCATGTAGTTGAGACTCGAACTTGAGCTTCTGCGGTAGAATTACGTAGTTCGAGCCACCGCTATGGTGATGGTCGGCATAGACAGCACTGGCGACTTGCATGTCGAGGCCCTGTCCCTTTGTACTCTTGTCGACTCCCTCGCCAAGTTCGAGAAGGGGTTTTCGCATCAAGGGCCGAAGCCGACCCCGGCCGATATGGAGTCACAGAAGGGCACGACAGCAGGCTTGCTGACGATCATGAGCGGCCTCCATACCACAAGCCTGGGTATTGGGATCAGATTCGCGAAAAGCCGACAAGAGGCCGCTTGAATTCTGCAACCATGGACGATCAACAGGCAACAACTTAACCTCCTCAACCATTGAGCCGTTGCCCGACCTCAGGGAAATGCCAACATGTGCTATGATCTTGGCATCTTGGAGAGAATTTCCTCGAGTGATGCTGGACAAGAATCGACTAAGACGGGGAAAATCCCTGGCTAGCTGAAGCATCGTGCTTACAATACCACGTGTATCATGAAAAGTCCCCAGATCAAGGCCAGCTGTGACACCTTTTGGGGAACCCAGGGCAGAACCCCCCATGCTGCTGAGTGTCAATGCCGGCGGAGGAGGACTGGGGACTATCCAGGTTCAACGGACCCGGCATGACTGCATGGCAGCTAGCGCGATGATGGCCCTTGACCTTCAAAGAGCTCCAGATGATCGGTAATCGAGTTTACGTCTAAGCTAGCGTCAGGGGGAAGCCCATCGAGACAAAGCTGCCACGAAAGAAGCAAAGTCTCGGCGCTGATACGAAGCCCTACCATAGGGCTGAGGAGGATTGAAGTGGGCTGCGAAATCATCCTAGCTCGGCCGACAGGGTACATCAGACTGCATGTGGTAAGCTGCTGCTCAATTGAGCATAGGGATTGGCCAAGATCGCGATGTGGATGTGCGGCGGGGAGGAGACCCCAAAAGTGTAATCTTCGCAACCCGTCCAATGGGAGCGTCGGATTCCCTCAACGGCGGACGAAGGGCGGACGAAGGGCGGACGAACAGGTCGGTGCCGAATCAAGGTCAGAAGGATGAACAGAACGCGGCTTGGTAGAATAACACAGTCTTGCAACCTCAAGGACAAGCGCTTTTCACAGGAGATGCCTCGAATCAGGGTGGGTCAACTGCATCACTTGGCTGCCTCACGTCGTGAGGAATCGGCGGAAGATATCGATCGTTGACTTGCCGCAGCGTCGAGGATTAATGGCAGCGCTGGCTATGTACAAGAAAGTTGGAAAGTTCCAATTCATAGACGGCAAGTTTCGCGGAAAGACCGGCAAGGTATCACAGCGTTAGAGATACTTGTAAGGGTTGAGGATGCCGTTCTGCGATGCACTGTCAGTCAGCTGAGATAAGAGATCCTGCAGTGAAGAATACGGATGCCTACCGGATCAAACGTGTTCTTGATGTTCTTCATCAAGCCGACGATGGTCGGGTTGCGGCTGTATCCAATGAACTTCTTCTTCATCACGCCGAGACCGTGCTCGGCGCTGATGCTGCCCTGCCGTGCGGCGATCCACTCATATACGAACGGCTCCAGTACCTTCTCGACTCGCTCATCAAACCGCCGCGTTGATACATTGAGGTGCAGATTGGCGTCTCCCATGTGGCCATACCCAACCACGGCGCGGACAGGATACTCGTCGGTGTCTCCCAGCAGGCCGGCCGCATCAACGCGGGCCCGCGTGTCCTCGACCAGCTGGTACAGCTCCTTCAGAGGAATCGACACATCGTACTTGTAGGTGCCGCCCAGGTGGCTCAGCGCTTCCGTGATACCCTCGCGCCAGGTCCACAGAGACTTGATCTGCGTCTCGTCCTGGGCTAAGGTCCCGTCGGACACGATGCCCTTCTCCATGACATCCTCGAGGAAGGCTTGCAGCTTCTCGCTGTCGTGGTCAGCGTTGGAGCCGCTCGTCTCGATCAGGCAGTAGAACGGGTATCGGCCCTCCAGTGGGCTCTCGTTCTTGGTGACCTGCCGGACGAGCGCCTGGCTGCCCTCATCCATGAGCTCAAAGGCGGACAGGATCTCGGACAGCTGGCCCTTTGCCTCGCGGAAGGCCTGCTGGACCTTGTCGAACGACTCGAGGCCGAAGAAGGCGACGTTCTGCGCGGGCGAGCGTTGGGGGCAGTGTATTGACACCTTGGTGATGATACCAATGGTGCCCTCGGCGCCGATAAACAGCTGCTTCAGATCGTAGCCCGTGTTGTTCTTCCGCAACTTGCAGAGATCATCCACGACGGTGCCGTCCGCGAGCACGGCCTCGATCCCAAGCACCGTGCCGTGCAAGCTCCCGTATCTCAGGAGCCGCAACCCACCAGCATTCGTCGAGACATTGCCTCCAATGTGACACGACCCCTTTGCCCCGAGATCTAGCGGGAAAATGTAGCCCTTGCTGGCCAGGAACTGGTCCACAACCTCGAGGATGCAACCAGCCTCGGCCACGAGCGTGCCACTGACCTCGTCAAACTCGATAATCTGGTTCATGCGGCTCATGCTGATTACGATCTCGTCAAAGACGGGAACTGAGCCGCCCACCAGACCCGTGTTTCCGCCCTGGGGGACGACAGCGAGCATGTTGTCGTTGCAGTACTTGAGGATCTTGCTGACTTCCTCGGTCGAGCCGGGCTTGAGCACCAGCTTGCAGTGACCGCGGTACTTGCGCATCCAGTCGCTGTTGAATGGCTCAATGTCGTCGGCGGCCCTGTCATTGGTCACGCCGTCGATGACGGCCGACTCGCTACCGAGCAGACTGCGGAAGTAGCCAACATGCTCTCCAGTGAGCTGGGCAAAGCGGCTGTCCCGCTTGATGTCTGGGTACGTCTCGCTCGTGAACTTGGCCTTGGCGGAGACTGCTGGTGTCGTATGGAAGGGTCGGGGGCGGGAGGTGCTGAAGCGGCGAGCCACTGGACAAGGAAGCGACTGCTCCAGTGCCGCTTGTCTGCTGGGATTCGCTGATATCCTCGCCAACCTCAACCGTCGCAAGACCGGAGTCAGTTGTGGACGGGCCGTCATGGTCATGCCAGGAGCAGAAACTGGAAGAATACAAAATGTATAAGAACGCAACTGGGTATATGAAAGACAATTTTCACCACCTGTTTATGCTCCAGAATACTTGGGAAGCAAAACCAAGGTAATTAATACAAATTGAGAGTGATGTCCTAGATCTTCGTAACGGCCGTCAAGAAGCAGGCGAGAAGTCTGCAACCTAACACAGTTGGCGGCTGGCAGAATCAAGACATTGACTGGCGGACACCTGGCGTCGGCCTGCGTGGCCCCTGCATGACCCTAACCCTTCATCGGTACCATCTGACCTCGTCGCCCAGAAAGAGACGCAAGGATGAAAATGTGATTCTGAGCAGAAAATTAGTGGTGTTAATTTGAAAGCCAGATCAGGAAGCAACGTTAGCCGCTGGCTTTCATGGACCTCGTCTCTTTCCCTCCCTCAAATGAGGTCAACTAGGAAGGAGCAGCGCGCTCTTTTACACGCAGCATGCTCCAAGGTACCGATCCATTCGGTGTGTTAGTGCAGCCCAGAATAATGTACGTAGAAATCATCCACTCGATTAGCCCTTTCAACAGATCGAATAGTGGGGGTACATCAGGTTGAACGGACGGGCACAAATTGGCCGGACTCTCCGATCTCTCTGACCTCGATCAGAAGGGCCCGGAAACTGAGCGGTCAGATAACTGAGTGACTGCACCATCAATCTTCTTTTTCCTTGGACAATGTTGGGTAACGTTAGATATTTCCTGAGAAGAGCAAGCATTCGGCTTCTCGCGGCGAAAGATGACGACTGCTTCTGTACTCCCGAGATCGCTCCCCCCGGCAAGTTGTGTTGGAACGTGACAGAGGCGCGAGTTGGAGACCAAGGTTCCATAAGGAATTCACAAGACGTGGCACCCGGGGTTGAGTTCAACGCAAGGTTCTAACGTAGCGTCAGACGGGGATGGATGGACACGCTGGATGATGTTGAACCTCGCTCGCGCGCGATGCAGAGCGTTGAGGATTTGAGGTTGAGGACATACGGGCTGAAGCAGCAGTAACTAGCATGTGATTGGCCCAAATCAGCAATGTGGGTCACCGACTGAGCTCGTCTTGGCAACCTGAGCTCGTCGTCACAGCTGTGGTAGCCTGCCACTGCAGCTCTAGCCCGCAGCAAACAACCGCCAACCGCGATCAATCCCCGCGACTGCACCACCACTACCTGCGCAACCCCCTTTCCTTTCATAATATATTTGAGCGCTATTACGGAGAACGCCTTGCGATTTAGATCCCGAACATGGCTTCAGGATACGATAGAGCACTCTCAGGTGAGTTACCTTGGGCGCGCTCCCCACAGCTCCACAGCTCCTGCTAACACAGCTTCCCTCCAGTTTTCAGGTCTGTCGCCGTCGCCCGCTCAACCCCTCCCGCAAGGCACTGACTTCTCATAGTCCCGACGGACATGTCTTCCAGGTCGAATATGCGGGTGAGGCCGTCAAGAGAGGTACCTGCGCGGTGGGCGTCAAGGGCAAGGACGTGGTAGTGCTGGGATGCGAGAAGCGATCGGCTATGAAGCTGCAGGACACGCGGATTACGCCCTCCAAGATCGGCCTGATCGATACCCACGTATGCCTCGCCTTTGCCGGCCTCAACGCAGACGCCCGCATCCTGGTCGACAAGGCCCGGTTAGAAGCCCAGTCGCACCGCCTCAACCTCGAGGATCCCGTCACCATCGAGTACATCACCAAGTACGTTGCCGGCGTGCAGCAACGGTATACCCAGAGCGGTGGTGTGCGACCGTTTGGCATCAGCACCCTCATCGTCGGCTTCGACAAAGGCAGCGAGCAGCCCAGGCTGTACCAGACGGAGCCCTCGGGCATCTACTCTGCATGGTGAGCTAGGACATTGCCGGGGGGAAGGGGAGGGGTGGGCCATGCAGCAACTGACATTGTTACCACAGGAAAGCCAACGCCATCGGCCGGTCGAGTAAGACTGTTCGCGAGTTCCTGGAGCGCAACTACAAGGAGGACATGGACCGCGAGGCGACGGTGCGGCTGGCGGTAAAGTCGCTGCTGGAGGTGGTGCAGACGGGCGCCAAGAACATCGAGATTGCCATCATGGCGCCCGGCAAGGCGGTCGAGATGCTCCCCGTCGATGACATTGAGAACTACGTCAAGAACATTGAGCAGGAGAAGCAGGAGGAGGCGGCCAAGAAGAAGACGGGCAGGACACCCGGGACAGGCAGCGCTGCCATCCTGACCCGGACTGCCCAGGACGAGCCTGGTGACCACTAGAGCGGACCAGAACCGGAGCTGGGAGGATGGCATCTGGCGGTGAGGTAGAGGGCAGCTTTTCTGTAAGAATATACCACGAATGCAGTCACGGCGAAGCAACATGCTCTCGATCCCGTCTTTCCATACTCGTTCCCGCTCTTTTGGGTATCTCTCGTCTAAGTAAACCTCACCAATAATACGCCCGCTTAAATCATTACCCCTTTTCTATTCCCTTTCTCCTTTCTCCTCATTCCAAGGGGAAAAGCTGTAGACCGAAATCAACCCAGCTTATCCGCCTCCTTATCAGGATCAAACACCGTGATCTTGTCCCCATTGCTCTTGACCCGCTCGTCCTTGATCATCCGGCTGTCGATCCGCGCGTCTTCCCCTTCCACGCTGATGGCCGCCTTGGGCGTGACGGCGTCCAGCACAAAGTGGTTGTCGCAATGCGGGCAGTACTCGTCGGCCTCCTCAAACTCGGACGCGTCCTTGCGGAAGCACTTTTTGCACTTCTTGCAGGCGAACGTCATCTCGAACCGCTGGAGCAACGGATGCGATTCCTGCTCTGCGTGGCATTCAGGGCAATCGAACCATTTACGGCCTGGGACGGGGGCATGTAAGACAGAATCTGCGTAGGGAAATAGGGGTGTGGGGATGAGAAGGGTGGTTATTACAGCATGGCGAGCGGATTGATACTTGGGCGTTGAGGATGTGTTTGCTGCAACAAAGGTGTTAGCTACCCTAGCTGGCGGAGAAAGGGGGCGAAGCCGAGGCAGAGAGGGTGCAGTGGACATACCACATTGTGAGGAAAAGTAAAGATCAGCTTCTTGTTTAGCTTTCTTGTTTCGGTGACAGCGATGTGCAAAGAACTCAAGCCTTTGGTGTCACTGTCACTGTCACTGCCTGTCTGAGTCGCAGGAAATGGACGTCGGTGAATCAATTCGAAGTTGAAGCCCGATCTGCGGGTTGCTTTCCCGCCCGTGCGGATCTGGCGGGGTAGGCAGATTTTAGTGGGACGCTATCCCGACTATTTGCGGCTAGCACACAATTAGTAATACCAGCTCAGACCGGGAGGCAAGGCTGCAGCCCAGCTAGTGGGGCCGTGGGCTTGTGTCCTTGGAACAAAGGCTCATCCATCAGCTGTAACTTCAACGGCCACCTCCCTCCTCGTTTCACCTCCCATTCACCTCCCATTCACCTCCCATTCACCTCCCATTCACCTCCGCCTGTCGTCACTACGCGAGGCCGCCATCTTCAGTCGTGCCGATTGCGAGTATATCGGTTTAAGGGTTGTTCTCGACTTGAACAAGCAGATTGAAGAGCTCGCGGGTTTCCGGGTTCGCGGCGTAGCGACCATGCCTCCAAAGCGAAAGGCGCCAGGCGGGCAGGCAAATGCAGCCAAGGCAGGGCGTGTCTCGGCCATGTCGACGCCAGGCCCGGCGACGCCCCGTAGCCTCGACAGCTCAGTCATGTCGGAAGCCGACGAGGATTTCGACGAAGACGTGTCTGAGGCCCAGAGGGAACGCGAGGCGATGCTGTCCAAGGAGGCCGATGAGTTTGTGAATAAGTTCACTATCGGCTCCAGGCGCATGCAGGGTCAGACGGACGACAAGGAGGTTAGGCGCTTCGATTCGGCCACGCCCTTCTTCAGGAAGCGGGACTTCTCCCACCTTCCGCTCAAGCCCGATCACCAAAACCGCCCGCTGTGGATAGACCCATACGAATGCACAGTCGTTCTCGAGCGCTTTCATCCGCTGGCCGAGCAGGCGACCGACTTTCTCATCACCATCGCTGAGCCAAAGTCGCGTCCCACGTTTTTGCACGAGTATGCCCTGACGCCGCACAGCCTATATGCCGCAGTGTCGGTGGGGCTGCGGCCGAAGGACATCATCAACACGCTAGAGCGCTTCCTCAAGACTGCGCTGCCTGACATGGTGCGCACCAAGATTGAGGAATATACGAGGAGTTTCGGCAAGGTGAAGTTAGTGCTCAAGCACAACAAATATTACGTAGAAACCATGGACGCCCAAGTGCTGCAGACCCTCCTTAAGGACGAGGAGATCGGCAAGCTACGCGTCCACGGGTCCGACAAGGTCACCACCAGTCATGCCCCGACCCTCGGCGGTCTTGTCATCCCGGGGACGCAGAACGCAGCCGGCGTCCACCAGGCCAATCTGAAGCAGGCCGGAATGAAGCCCGGTGAAGCAGCCGATGCCTCCAACGAGGCCGACCTCTTTACCGCTTTAAATGAGGAAGATGATGACGACGATAAAGAGGCAGTCCATGCCTTTGAGATATCGGATGCTGACGTCGAGGCGGTCCAAAAGCGCTGTCTCGACATTGGCTATCCCATACTGGAAGAGTATGATTTTAGGAATGACGACGTAAACCCGAATCTCGAGATTGACCTTCGTCCCAACACCCAGATCCGCCCGTACCAGGAGAAAAGCCTTAGCAAGATGTTCGGTAACGGCCGCGCCAAGAGTGGCATCATTGTCCTGCCCTGCGGCGCGGGCAAAACGCTCGTCGGTATCACGGCCGCATGCACCATCAAGAAGGGGGTCATCGTCTTGTGTACCAGCTCCATGTCGGTTGTGCAATGGCGTCAGGAATTCCTCAAGTGGTCCAACATCAATCCCGACGACATCGCCATCTTCACGGCCGAGAGCAAGAACAAGTTCTCCGGCAGTACCGGTATTATCGTTACCACGTACTCCATGGTCACCAACAGCCGCGAGCGCTCCCACGACTCCAAGAAGATGATGGACTTTCTGCGAGGGCGTGAATGGGGTCTGATGCTCCTCGACGAGGTGCACGTCGTCCCGGCCGATATGTTCAGGCGGGTCATTTCCTCCATCAAGTCGCACTCCAAGCTCGGGCTCACGGCCACGCTTCTGAGAGAAGACGACAAGATCAACCATCTCAATTTCCTCATCGGGCCCAAACTGTACGAGGCCAATTGGATGGAGCTCTCCCAGCAAGGGCACATCGCCAAAGTCCAGTGCGCTGAGGTCTGGTGCCCCATGCCGACCGAGTTTTACGACGAGTACCTGCGGGCCAACTCACGCATGAAGCGGACCCTCTACGCCATGAACCCGCGCAAGTTCCAGGCCTGCCAGTACCTCATCAACTACCACGAAGCCCGCGGGGACAAGATCATCGTCTTCTCGGATGAGCTCTATTCGCTCAAGCAATACGCCCTCAAACTCAAAAAGGTCTTCATCTACGGCGGCACCTCCCAGGCCGAACGGATGCAAGTCCTCGAGAACTTCCAACACAACCCCGAGGTCAACACCCTATTCCTCTCCAAGATCGGCGACACGTCGCTCGATTTACCGGAAGCGACCTGCCTCATCCAGATCTCGTCCCACTTCGGCTCCCGCCGCCAGGAAGCCCAGCGCCTGGGCCGCATCCTCCGCGCCAAGCGCCGCAACGACGAAGGTTTCAACGCCTTCTTCTACTCGTTGGTGTCAAAGGACACGCAGGAGATGTACTACTCGTCCAAGCGCCAGGCTTTTCTGGTGGACCAGGGCTACGCCTTCAAGGTCATCACGCAGCTCGCCAACCTCGAGAAGACGCCCGACCTGGCGTTCGGCACCCCCCAGGAGTGCCGCGAGCTGCTGCAGCGCACGCTGGTGGATAACGAGCGCGGCGCCGAGGACGATGTCGAGACGGATGACCTGTTTGGTAAGGTATCCCGCCGAGCGGGCGGGAATGGCGGTGGTGGAAGGAAGGGTAACGGGGTGAGGCGCACGGCGGGTATGCTGAGCGAGCTGGCTGGCGGGCAGGATATGGCCTATATCGAGCAGAACAAGGCTGCCAATAAGGCGCTCAAGGCCGCTGCGGGCCGGAAGAAGGGCGGTGCAGGGCCTGGGGAGCAGAGCAAGTTCTTCAAGGGCATACAGAGGGAGAAGGAGAAGAGCAGGGCGCGTGCTGGCTAGCGGCAATAGGCGCTGCTGCCTTTATTTACTCTTTTTTCTCCCTTTACCGGGGTTTTATAGATTCGCCAGGCGCCCTGATCACGAGCAATGACGTGAAGCGAGCTCGACAATTGGGTATAGAAATTGAACCAATATTCCTTCACTCAGTTCCCGCGTATCCGACGCTACCTGTAGACATCGGCATTGCAAAACGATGTTTGGCTGTTCCCATCAGCGACGAGCACCGTGCGTGTTTTTACCCAAATTATGTGGAACTAAGGTGAGTATATATGCCTGCTCTCCGAGAGCATCTGATTTGTATGTACAAGTGCCGACGCAAACCAAGCCGCAAGCTTGCGTGTTAGGTTCCGTCTATGTCCATATGAAATCCCGGTCTCCGTGCGCGCCAAGGTCCATGACCGCGCAGCCACGACACACCCCCAAAATGCCCGACTCTCTGATTTCCGTGATCCGTTCCAGAATGGAATGTCTATGTTTCCGATATCTATAAACTCCGTTCCCATCTCCAAATTGCCCCCCTGTTGCCGAGGTGTAATCCCTCTGCTGCAACTCAGACTGCCACAACGCCATACCCGAAAATCCAAAGATCTATCCCTTTGAAAAAAAGTCATCCGAGAAACGCCGCGATCCAACGCTCATTCCCCACCCCCGGCTGCAGTACGGGGCCTGTGCGAGAAGATTGGAGTATCTAGCCTCCGTGACACCCCTGGCTCCGTCCTCCGTGAGCTGACGCGGGTGGCGTACGGCTCACCCAGCTCGTCGACGGCGGGCTCGGTCGATCTCCTGCGGATTCCGGGCACGAGCGGTTCGGGGGGCACGTAGGGCCCAGGGTGCAGTAGGGAGGTCAGGATGTTGCCGTGATCGCCGCCAGTGCTCTTGTGCCGGCCGACGCTGGACCCGCGCGGCCCACCAGTCGCTGCCGAGGTATGCGACGGCAGCCTCCCCATCCTGGCATCTGCGTCCGCCGCTTCCGTAGCATTGAGTGCTTCGCTGGGAAGGAGAATGGCGCGATCCAATCCGTAAGGAAGACCACGGTGTCTGCCACGGATCATCATGGCGATGAGGACCAACTTCCCGACGACGGAGAACTGGGAGCAGAGCGATGCGTTGACAGTGGGGTAACCGAGACTCATCCCGACTGTGCCGTAGGCGCTGACAACCTCGAAGAGGACAGCAAACATGGTGAAATCGTTGGCCGCGAGCTTGGGCCCTTCTACAATGGTGATGATAAAAAACCCGATGACAATGTACCACAAGTCGAAAGAGAGCTGCCGCCGCAAATGTGCTCCGACGTAGGACAGGTCGCTCTGACCCGCTCGCTCCTCGATCTCGTTCCCACCGTAGATGCCCAGTGACTTCTCTTCGTACACGTTTGTGCGACGGACGGAGATGGCAATCGGGAAAACCGAAATGTACATCATGACCATGTACGAGAACTGAACGGCGGGGTGGAGCATGGCGATGTTGACGCAAGAAAAGCCGGCGGTCCTTGTGGCAACTGCTTCAAAGAGGCCGTTCAAGACCTTGAGGCCGGCGGGCAAATCGACGACCGGTTGGGTATTCAGCTATGGAGAATTAGCAGGACAATCAAAACTTGGGATCAGTGCCGATACTTACATCAAGCACGATGAAGAGCAAGACGTCAAGACCATTCAGGATAACGAGAAGCCAGAAGAGCCACCAGGTGGCACCAGAGGGGAACAGCAAGGTGAAGCAGCGGCGGGGGTGGTCCAGCAGGAACCTCAGCTCTTCATAGAGGCCTGTGCCGACCGGGACGATGTGTGACATGACCCAAATGATGAACCGGAGCATGACTGGGAAGCCTGTGTTACCAATGATAACCAAGAAGATCATCAACAAGAGCGGCCATGTAGCCGTATTGAATGAGTTCATGCTGTCAGGCGTGAGCGTGAAGCCCAAGTCCATAAAGGCCGAGCTCGCGGTAAAGAAAGCCCACCATGTCCTGCTCATGCCGGCCTTGTCAACAATCTGGCCGTAGGGTTCGACGTTCAAGATCCACGGTGCCAGCCCAACGACGCCGAGAGCAGAGTAGATCCAGAAGTAGCCTATCAGGATGAGAGCCAGCGTCTTCAAAGACCTGTACTCAATACCTCCGAGCTCTTCTCTCTGTTCTTCTGTCAGGTCCGGGAAAGCAGAGTTTCGGCCAATAGTCGGCTCCCAGCTGAGGTATGGCGTGCCATCAATCTTGTCCCTTGAGAAAGCTGTCCGCATGTTCGAGAATGATTGCCGCCTTTTGCCCTTCGAAACACTGCTGCCCGGTTCATCCGATTTGCTGTGAAGCTTCCTGTTCGTCTTGCGCAAGAACTGAGGCCTCCGGAGCTTCAGGAACGAGAAGGTGTGGGCAGCGGCCTTAGCGTCCTCGACAAAGTCCTCTGAGGCGGATTGCTGCAGCTTCCGGCGGTCAGGCTCTTCAATCGTGATAGCCTGTTGACGGTTATCGGCTGCGCTCGCCTGGAACTCTCCGTCAAAATTGGTGGAGAAGGTCCTGGCTCGCGGGGACGCCGCTTCGGGCTCCTCATCATCACCAGCCACTACGCGCTTCGGAAGCACGCCCCGTTCGACATCTCGGGGGTGAGGGATCCGCAGCACCTCGTCATCCCCTTTCCGCTGCCGCTCAAGAATAGCGATGTGCTCCTGGTCGGATCGTGCCTGCGGGAGCTTGAGAACATCCTCGCCCAAGCCGTCGCTTTTCGTGACGGTGCGAGCGAACTTGATTTCAGGCCTGCGTGGTTCCGGAGCCTCATCAGCACCATCGCTCCCAGACGAGTTTGAGACCTGGCGCTTGGGATCAATGTGCTCGCCGTCCGATGGCGGCAGATTGTCCTCCAGAAGCATGCCGTCATTTGTGATGCGCGACCTGGCCCCATTCAGCATCACGGTGATTTTGCGGCCATTCACGCCTGTCTCGGCATCCGCATTGTCAAGTCTCGCCCTGGTCTTGGTCTTGGAGATGGTGCCCCTCATTTGGCGAGCTTGGTGGACGATATGCCGGAAGCGCTTCTCAAACCAGTAAAGGCGTAGAAAGACGACAAACGAGTGGATGGTTATCGGGTTTGTCATCAGTGGCCACAAGTAAAGGATGATCTGCTGGAACGTGTTGAGCTGATTGATGTCGATGGGGTTCAAGCCTGCCTGGGTGCTGGCACCGCTGGCAAAGAATAGAGCATCGATATAATCTAGGTTCCCTTTGCCAGCGCCATAGACAAGAACGGATCCAAGAATTGCCAGACCAACGATATAGAAGTCTATTACGAAGAGTTAGACCCAATCTAGATAAGATAACTATAGGCAGTGATCCGCCCGATACCCGATACTCACAGTGGGCAGAGATGAAGTTGAAATGCGGATTCTTGGAGATGAAAGCCGGCTTAAGAGCCATGAAGTAGCCAATGAGCATGTCCTTGAGCCCGTCCATGGTGACCAGTTATGAGAATATACGGCTAAGTATCCTCTGTAACCAGCGAGGATGGTGGGACAGGACCGCAATCTTGAATGGGAGCCAATTGATTGTCGGTTGTTTCGGGGAGGCCTCCGATAGCAAGCGGAAATGCAAACCGCCTGCAAAGAGCAGGAATCAAAGAAGTTTGCGGCACGGTGAGGACATGGTTGTGGATAACCGTCGGAGAGTGCAGAGGTCGGACGAGGATGAGGGCGTGGGAATGGGTGAGATATCCAAACTTCCAAAGATGATCAAAGAGATGGATGGTCCGCTGCAGTTGCCGAGGAGATATCCCTTAGTGAGCGGCCAACCAGGGTTCCAAAGTTGGTTGCGTGATCCGAAATCAGGTGTTGATAAGGGTGCATTCGGCAATGCGATGCTGTGTAAAGCAGTTGGCGAGGCACGTCCGGGATGATGCTGCAGGTGGTACGAATCGAGAATGCTCGAGGCGATGCCAGGGTCAGACGACGGCCGACCTCTTTGATGCGCTCAATTCACTGAGCCAAGGAAAGTGGGAGGCCAAGAACGGCAAGGCGTCAGTGATGGCTGCGCCAAGAAAAGTGGCCGCAGGGTTGGCGAAAATCGAAGCGAAAAATGCGGGCCAGAACACCACGCCCTTGTTCAATTGATTTTGCTCTCTCAGCGTTTTCTGGAAAGCACGTGGGGCTCATGGACAACATTTGAGGATGACCAGGAAACAGCCGCGGTTGTATCCGTAGCCGTTTTGCAGAAGGGCATGCGAGGATTGCGACACCGCTTTTCTGCACGAGACATTCCCCAATGACGCACGCGAAAGATCAATATCTGACTGATATACGCCAAGATACAGGAGACTGTCTTCCTTTCACAAATCTTCGATGTGGCACAACGGCGCTAAACTAATGTACATATATGAACATGTACACTAATGCACAGAACCATCCCCACGGATCTGGGGCCCAATGTAACTGTCATATTGCTTGCTTACACATAGAGCCCAAAATGCTGAGTTGACGCTTCGAGACCAATTCAACCATTATCAGAGTTCCCAGAGGCTATGAAGGTGTCACAGCCGTGTTACACAACAGTCATTCAGGTGCAATACCACCCCTTCCTTCTTTTCTGTTGCAGCAGTACTAGAACAGGGGCCCCGGAGCAGCCAACCTAAAATCCGTCGATGAACTGGACGTTGCAGTGCAAAGCAAGCAGGGATGGAGGAATGCCGACGATCACAGCCAACCAACAACCGCCAAGGCCGAGTTTAAACAGTAGCGTCGCCCAGAGCTGCGGAATTGCCAGTTTGTTGTTGGGATGATCTTAAGTCATCTCACATCTCACCACAACATCATCAATCATCATCCCCAGGCATTGCACAAAACATCGCCAGTGGACGGTCTAGAGTGTTTTGTGCCCATGAACTGGGAAGGACAGGGAAAATTTTGGGCCGGAGAACCAGTGACAAGCATCGCCTTTGCACGCCGTTAGGTTGTCCACAGGCATGGCACAAGCCGGTGCTGCTACGGGCACCAAACGGCAAAGGATCAAAGAGATCATCCTCCGAATTCTTAACCCGTGTGAATGTCACTATCAGCTCTAGTTCCGTTCCAACCATCTGTCTCATCAAGGCCCTTGGACCTGCATATTGAGCCTCTATCCTTTGATGATCCGGAGCCCCAAGACACTGGTTCTGATGGCTACGTAGGCTCCGGCGTCATACCCTCATGGGCGAGACATTGAAAGCACTGAGATGGCCTGCCGATTCCTAGTTCCTAGCCATGTTGCGACAAATGTGTGCTTCGGTGTGCGTTGACTGTGGCAAAGCAGATATGCCATGACTGCAACATCACGTGCAGTTTGATAACGCCATTCTCGGTGATGATACAGCCGCAATCTCCAGCAGCGCACCAGATGATGTTAGGATATGGTGAGCTGATCACGGCCAATTTTTGAGGACGACGGCAGTCCCAGCCCAGCCAATACAATAAATAAACCTACCTTATGCTCCTCAGTATCATCGCATTCCCTTCCGATTGAGAATTCGAGTCGTCCGAACCGAGCCGTTCTCCTAGCCCCTCCGGTTTCTGGCACCCATACTGACTTTGTCAACACGCCCGAGGCGTTGCTGCGGTGTCGAAATTCGGATGCGCAGAAGGCGTGTCAGCCGAATTGAGGACAGGGTACGGGCAATGGCGATGGCTAAGTTGGGTTGCTGGTCATACTTTTGAGTTTGCGAGCGTTGTCCATGGGCTGAGGTGGATTGTATGGAAGAGATTCAGGTTTGACCAGGTGGCTAGAGGGTGACGATCTGCAGGCAGACCTTCTCCATAGTTCATAGAGGCGCGATCAATGACATCTTTCTTGGTGCCCGAGGTGGTCGCGGAGGAGGACTTCTGGGTCATATACCCGTGCCTTACAAGAAGGGGTCCATGGTTGGAATGGTTCGAGAAGAAACTCAAGCTTGCTTTGGCGTTCGGAGGGATGGTCCTGAGCTCAAGTCAATATAGATCACACAGGAAGAGTTGGAACTCAGAATTCGGCAGATGTTGTGGTTTCTCCGTATCATAACCCGTCTTCTCGTCACATTTGAAAGGCATGATAACACCTACTGACATGGTGCATAGACGAGAGAAACGTTGAGGGGATCTTCACATCACATCCCCTAGCTGCGATCCCAGACCTTGGTTAGATTCCATCTATACATGGTATACACGTGTACACGGTAAACCCTCCTCTTGCCCAACGCCATCGCCTTCCCACGCCTTCCCCTATCAGCCACCCTATTTCTTCTTCGCACCCGCCGTGCCCTTCGCCCCCTTCGCCCCCTTCGCCGCCGTTGCCGCCGCCGCCGGCTTGCCGCTCGAGAAGACCTTCCTCGACCGTTTCCAGGCAAACACCAAATCCTCCACACTACCCATGTCGTGCTTGGGCTTGCGCATGTACGTGAGGCGGGCCCGGCGCGCGCGCTTGGGCCGCCGCTTGACAATTTCGATGCCGGCCACGTTCTTGTTGTAGATCTTGAACCACATCTCGACGCCGACCTTGCCCAGGTGGTTGCGCAGCAGGATGGCCGTATCGATGCCGCGCCGTCGGATCGACAGGCACACGCCCGCAAACGGCTCGCCGCCGCGCCGGTGCGTCACCATCAGCACGTCGCCCACCTTCGCCGCCTCGCGTGTCTTGGCAAAGAGCGCCGTGCGCGCGCCCGTCGGGTCCATCTTTTTGATCTGGGCTTCGTGCAGCGACTGCAGCACGTTGACGGGCGGTGGGGTGAGCGCCTTCTTGCCGGCGACGGTGGTGCTTGGGTAGACGGCGAAGGCGCTGCGGAGGGTTTTTGTTTTGCGGTCGGTGAGCGGGACTGTCGGGGGTTAGTCAAGCCTCTTTCGGCCGGTTTGTGAGGAGGGGCAAGTACAGAAGTTGTGTCCTAGTAGTGGTCGTGGTGATGCAGTGGTCTGAGCTGCCTCGGTCGCCATATGTCGAGAGATTATTCTATGTTGTCGTGCCCGGCGTAGGCTGGCCTTGAGGCAGCTCAAGGGCCGCCTTGCCAGCGGTGTGGTGCTCATCGTGTAACGGTCGAGGTTGGCTTGCGGTTGCTGGCGAGCAGCGCAACGTTTCTCGCTCGCTATGGACGTTCGAGTTCGACATGCGACCTGGAGCGAATGGCTGGCTGCAATTGGCTGTGGTGGGTCTGGCATGGACTTGGGGCACACTAAAATGTCCGCCCGACCAACCAGATGCCGTTGCCGAATTTCGTACATCGGAATTTCATGGGGGTAGCGCGTGTACTGAGGAGCGAGCAGTCGCACTTCAACACCAACGACGGGAACTCTTTTGCCCGTAGTCATGTTCCTCGCGACAGCACCACCAAGTGCCCTGCGGGCCAGCGGAGGCAGGATATGGCTTCCCATAAGCAGTGGCGCTGCTCCATGGCACAGGTGGTTCTCCACATCTCCAACACATCGAGGTACGTCGGCCTGCGAGTAGACTTCGTTCAGGTTTTGCAAAATACTAACGTACAGTGCTCGACACAGCCAAACACATCATAACATTTGGCGAGACCTCATCTCCCGAACTTTCTAGACTTCTCGACAGCTTCCGCCATTACATCGTCCTCCCGACGTACTTGGCCGGAGAGCAGCGCAAGAAGATCTACAATCCCAAGCTGAAGGACATCCTCCAGAACGACCCAGTCACGATGGAAATCGACGGCGTGGCCTACAAATTCCGCTACATCAACAGGGTCACTGAACTTCCCAACACCCGCAAGATAGTCACGCAAGCCGTGAATGCCATGACAACCTCGAAGGACTTCCAGAACATCCCTCCCCTCCTCGAAGGTTGCGAGCGGGCAAATCGCACCCTGGGCACGCCCATCCGGAGTTCGATGATTAGGAGGGCCGCCATGCACAGGTCTCTACACATCATAATGGACTGTGTCAAAGCCGTGAAGCGGACCGGCTTCAAGCTCGACCACTCCGAACTCATCAACGAGCTGCTCATCTGGCTTCAGCTGCCAGCAGTTCAAAGCGGCTGGGACGAGGCCAAGACGAAGGTGGCCCTCAAGCAAGTCCAGCTGGTCCTGAATCTGATCGAGAGCGACGAGAACCACTTGCCTCGCAAGGAATCCCAAGGCGCCTTCCCCTTCTACCGGGACCCCCAGGTCTTGGCTGCCAGGCTGCACATGGCCGCCGCGCGGGCTGTCCACCACCAGGGAGGCAAGGATGTGGACGGCAAGGTGACCAAGTACGCCCAGGAGCTGGTTGCGCTGTGGCCCGAAGGCGCCGGGTTACTCGACCTCCAGCCTGATGAGTCGTACAGGGACAAAGAAAAGATGTCGTACCTGATCGAAAGGAACCATTATTTGTGGTATGCGTCGCCCGTGCTAAACGGCTTGACACTGGCGGCGCAGGTGGTGGACCCCGGCTTAGCCATGCAACTGCAGAACCGGGCCGACAGTGTGGAGACCGAGGTCAAGGCTGCTCTCGCTTCGGAGAAGAGGAAGCCCGGGGGGAGAGGGGAGATGATCTACAATTCACTCTTCAACCCTCAAGCAAACGAAGAGGAGCTGGCAGCCGCCGAGGAGACAGCATGAGCGGCCTAAGGGCACTTGAAGACGTTTTGTAGTGGGCTGAATCCTATGTACATGTATATCTCTATGTATTGTATCAAAATGCGCGGCGCGGGCTATGGCAGGACAATGTACTTCTGCAGATGCTCGGGGATGGCCGATAACAGGTTCTTGGTCTCGAGCCACTTCCTCGAGAACAACCTGTCTGCATACCGGTACGCGCCATCCGCGAGAATCGTCACGACCGTGTGCCCTTTGCCCAGCTTCTCCGCCACTTCCTTGGCCGCTACCACATTGAGCGCCGAGCTGGCGCCCAAGTACAACCCCTCCTCGTCCAAACACCTGTACACCATCTCGATGCTCTTCTCGTCGCTGATATGCAGCGACCCATCCAACAGTTCCAGATCCGGCTTCAGATTGTCCGTGATCCTTCCCTGCCCAATCCCTTCGGTAATGCTCGATCCGCTCCTCTCAATCAGCTTGCCCCCGGAGCTGATATACGAGTGCAGCACGCTCCCCGGCGGGTCCGCCAGGAAACTCTTGACCTTGTCCCCAGACACCTCCTTCAGATACCGCGTTATCCCCGCCAACGTCCCCGCGGTGCCGGTGGAACAGGTAAACGCGTCCACCTTCCCGCCCGTCTGGTGCCATATCTCGGGGCCGGTCGTCTCAATGTGCGCCCGGCGATTCGCCGTGTTGTCGAACTGGTTCGTCCACACGGCATTATCCAATCGCTCGGCATGCCGCCGGGCCTGGTGGTTGTAGTTTTGTGGGTTGTCGAAGGCGACAGCGGGTACGGGGTACACCTCGGCGCCCAGGAGCCGCAGCAGATCAATCTTGCCCTGCGACTGTGTGTCGGGCATGTAGATGACCAGCTTGTAGCCCTTACTGCGGCACACGTGGGCCAGCCCGATGCCCGTGTTGCCCGCCGTGCCCTCGACGACGGTGCCGCCGGGCCGGAGCAAGCCGCGCTCCTCGGCGTCACGCACGACGTAGAGCGCTGCGCGGTCCTTGACGGAACCGCCGGGGTTGGTAAACTCGGCCTTGCCGAGGATCTCGCAGCCTGTCTGTTCCGAGAGGTGGTTCAGGCGGATGAGCGGGGTGTTGCCGATGGCTGGAGCAAGTTAAGTTGTGTTAGACTTGTCTTCTTTTTGAGCGTGAGTGTGTATACGCGGATGGGTATTGGTCACTTGCCTCCTGTTAGCCCTCTGGCGATCCCCTGCGCCTTGGACACGGCGATGAGGTGCTGCGTGGGCTCGGCGGCGGCTGCCACTGCCAGGCGCTTTGCGCTTGTCGCGAAACTGCGTGCGCCGTGGCGGAACATGGTGAACGGGAGGTCGTGCACTGCTCGGTCGAGGGAGGACTCTGGTTTGTCACTCGGCGGATTGATCAGGTTCTCGACCGGCTCCTCCGGAACAGACGTTGCAACAACAAATTCCCGGCGCCGACGGCGTTGTGAAGGGACGGAAGCCGGGGAAGTGGGGCCTTGCATACTCAACCGATGGCGCAATCGAGCGCTAATCCACCCTGGAGGGTACTGTACCTGTGTACATTGCAGGGGCCATAAGTGAGACCCACAACGTTGTATGGTCCCGGTCTAGCTTGCCGCCGGCATCCTCGAACGAGCCCCTGCCACGCGACGGTCCCATCACGTTTTTCGGACGTTTCTGTCAGAGCGTGTCGACGTTAGCCTTGGCATCGATTCATCACCACCACCAGCTCATCACAATTTGACTAGCAGACAAATGTGTGTTCGACCGTTTTAAAGTTCAAACTGTCTCTAAGCCGGCCCGCCATGGCAAGCGACGCAGAAGAGAGGAAATCATCTCCTCTCGATGACTTGTCCGACATTGAGAGCACGAGCAGCACCGACGACGCAGGGCAACCACAGACGGTGGAATGGCTCGTCACATCCCGCGCGAAACGGGCTACAGCCGGAAACCGTATGAAGGCGATGCTCGCAAACGAGGAGCTGGCCGCCGAAGACTCGGACCTCGAACTGCTGTTCGCCGAAGACGAGAACGATGCAGGGTTCAGCGACGAGGAGCAGGATGACGCATCCGACGTGCAGATGGACTCGTCATCCGACGACGAGGACAATAATGATAATGCCGACGACCTGGAAGGGGAAAGAGAGCTGGAGCGCCAGGCGCGAGAGAAACGCAACGTCGAGCGTAAGCGGAAAGCCCAGGAGGCCATCCCAGCGAGATTCCGGAAGAAGGTTCGCATCGAGCAACCTGCTGCTCGCCCACCGCGGCCGAAGAAGAAATCAGAGAGGTCCAGCTGGCTTCCGTCACCGGCTGACATGCCCACGCGAGCCTCGGAGCGCCAGACCACCAGGATCAGCAAGCAGCAGCTTCATCAAAAGATGGTCTCGGATGAACTCAGACGGAGGAAACAGCTTGAGAGGATGGAGAAGAAAGCAAAGCTGCTCGAAGCCATGAAGAAGCCGCCAATGACCCAGGCCGAGCGTCTGGCGGAGGCCGCCCTGGTCGAGAAGCGGAACGCCAAGAGCTTAAACCGGTGGGAGGAGGCTGAGAAACAGAGGGAGGAAGAGCGCTTGAAGAAGATTGCCGCCTTGAATAACCGCAAACTCGACGGACCGGTGGTTACATTCTGGAGCGGCATTCAAGAGCTCCAGGAGGGACAGGGCAAGCACGTTGGGAACCTTGTGTCCATGGAGGAGAAAGCGCCACGGAAGAAGAGACAGTCCGCTGCGGCTGCACTGGCGGCTAAGGAAGCCGGAGCCGGAACATCGACGCCGACTAGCCCGGTGGAAACGCCTAAAGCGAAGACGCTCGAAGCACCAGACGTCAAGAGCGAGCAGATTGATGGTCCTGCGCCGCCAAGTATGAAGCCAATTCTGCCATTGTTTGTTCCTGATGATCCTAATCAGGGGCCGGCGCCGGCAACAACCCCGCCAGCGCCAGGACCCGCGCCAATGGCTCCGCCTCCAATACCCCCGCCGCCAGACACCAGATTGAGTAGCTCAGGAGTGCTGGCCGCTCCTATTCTTGCTCCACCAGCCGGCGTATCACCTCCCATGCTTGGGGGGCAAATGCTCATGCTGGGACTTCCGGCAGGAGCCAAGCCCTTCCTCGCGGCGCCGAATACTTCACATACGCCTTCGCCCCTTTCAATGCCCCCGTCCACGCCGTCTGATACCGCTTCTCCTGCGCCTGCGACGACCGTCCCGCCACTGGCGATGTCTACCCCTAAACCCAAGATCATAGTCCCTCCTCCTCCCTTGCCATCAACTCCCGCCACCACACTTCATACATCACAACCAAAACAACCGCCATCCGCGGGACCCCTTGACACACCGCAAGATGCACCTCCTTCCGCTGAGCCGGCCCGAGAAGGGAAGGTGACGCGCAGCTGCATCATCCTACAGAACTTTGACGACCAGGCCATCAAGGACAAACAGGTGCAGACACAGATCCTATTCGGCAGGAAGATGAACAAGTTGGCGAGTAAGTGTCCCGCTGCCCATGATACAAAGTAGCGTCTCGATGCTGACCCTGGCGTAGAACCCGCTCATCCGCCCCTCTGCGTCATCACCAACCACCCGGCCAAGTACAGAGATCCCAAGACGGGTCTGCCGTACTCCAACAGCTATGCCTACCGCGAGATCCAGCGTGTGTACCGCGGCGACTACAAGTGGAGTAGCCTGCTGGGCGCGTGGGTTGGGCGTGGCGATTATGCGGCGCGGGGAGTGCCGGAGTCGTTCCTGGATCCGTCCAAGGTGTCGAAGCCTGCCGAGCCGGTCCTGGCCCCCATCGAAGGGGCCGCGGAAATGAAGGTGGAGGATAGTCCAGAGAAGGCTGCGGATGAGCCAAGGCTGGAACCGATCGAGGGGGTGCAGGGAGCAGAAATGGCTGGGCCGCCTGCATTCCCGGTCGCGAGTGGTTAACCGTGTGCCAGATGGAAAACGTCCCGCGAACAAGCCGGGGACCGCTGAGGCGGATAATCTCGTCAACCCATGACCTCCCATACTTTACAACCTCATCTGATGGTATCATGGACAAGACCAAACCAAACACCGGTGCCACCCAATCGTGTCCCAAGTTCTCCAGCCCAACACCAACTGCCAGTACCACAAAACACATCATATACAAAACATCACGACTCGTCCATCCTCTCCCCCTCCTCTTCAACCCTTCCAAGCAAGCCAACAACCCTCTCCAAACTCTCCACTTCCCCCTTCGCCAACCTCCTGCCCCCACCATCCCATTCCCCGTCCCTGACTTCCCCATTCTGCCCCAGCTCCAGCCCGCGCACGTTCTCGAGGTGCCTCTTGGTCGCCGTCTCGACATACTCCAGCCGCTCCCTCCGCCAGCTCTTCTTCTTCCCCTTCCCGTCCACCTCATCCTCCTCCTGCTTCGCGACATCTTCGTCGTCTTCCCCGGGCAAGGAGGCCAAGCTGGGCATGGCATTGCGCAACGCCCTGGACAAATCTCGAAGGGCCTGGAGTTGGGATAAGGAGAAGGCAGTTGTTGTGGTGAGTGGGGTTGTCGCGTCGCCGTCTGTGAGGTGGCCTTTGGAGTGCAGGAATTGGAAGGGGGGTTTTTGTTGAATTTGTTTTTGTTCTTGTTGCTGGGGGTCTTCTTGCTGCTGTGGTTGTTGATGTTGGTTTCTTTGTTGTTCAGCCGTAGTAGTAGTGGTGACAGGCTCGGTCTTGACAGTTCCTGCCACCCGGCCGCCCACCAGCCGCCGCATCTCGCCCAATAGCGCTGCGTTGCGCGCCCGCTCGGCGACCAGCATGCTGTGCAGGCGTTGGCTCGCTTGCAGCCGGCGGCGCAGGTGGTTAATGCCCTCCGCGCTAAGCCGGTCATCCTCCTCCACTCCCTCTTCCTCCTGTCCGTCGCCGCCGGCCGCGGCTGTTCCTCCGTCTTGTTGTTGGCCTCCGGAATTTGGTATCCTGTTTGCAGCTGGAAAGACGAGCCCGTCGTAGTGCCCCAACCGCAGCCACTCCATCTCGCCCGGGCGCAGGCAGAGGATGTTGCGCATGACGTAGATCTCGAAGCGGTCAAAGTTCTTGTCAATGCTCGCCCAGAGGAGGGTTTCGAGCTGGTGCGTCCCCGTCTCAATCTCCTCGCGGTGTCGCCGCCGGTAGGTCTCCTCTTCGTCCTCGATCCCGCCAGCTCCGGCATTTTGCTGTTGGTGATGTTGGCGGGGGGCGTGCTTTGACGATGGGCGGAAACCGAGAGACACAGGTGGGGCATTCAATAGCCCCTGCTCAATCGAGTGCAGGGCGCGTTCGGCGAGGAAGTTAATTGAGTTGATTATCTCGTCGAGGAGGCTCTGCGAACGGTACATGTCAGTAACAGGATGGGTTTCGGGACAAAACTGTGGACGTACAACTGGTGGGTAGCCAAAGTGCTCAGTCAAGAGCTCTGTATCTGATCTTGAAGCCATCGTCCCCAGTTTTACCCTTTTTTCTCCTCCTATCTCAGTGGGGTGGAATGGGTAATGGGTGTTTAAAGAGATCAAGATCCGCTTGATCAGGTTCGCAAATCCGGCCCGTGAGACGCGTGCGGGCGCGTTGGGAAATGACAGCTGATCATGAATACAAGGGTTAGGGTCTAGCCCCGTTTGTCGCTCTGGCCCTCGAGGACGAGTAGGGCATATTTAGCACGTCGGAGCCTCAAAAGGTGCCCTCTCAGCCTCATGGCTCAGAGTTCTGCGCAGCCGCCACTGCCGCTGCGTTCCTCGGGCTGAATATTTTCTTATAAATCTGCAAGATGCTCGCCCAATGTCGTCCCGTCGTGGGAGGCACCGCATCTGAGCTCGCAAATGACAGTCATCGCAAAAGTGCCCCATCCCGTCCATCCAACCGACAACGGTGAATTCGTTGGAGTGTTGTCAGCGCCAATCATACTTAGTTCAGAGGTCGCCTGAGCAAGACGAGTCGAGAAGCGGGACCCCATTTCCCCCAGGTCTCTCAATGGAGACTCCGACAGAACGCAATGCACGGCAGCACGTAGAGAAGATCCGCCGGGACACCCTGGGCGGAGTCATGCCGGCACACGTTCCGAGATGCTGCTTGAGAGTTGGCTCGAAATTTGATGACACTATCCGACTCATACGGGTGAGAATAGTCCTGGCTAATACTGCTCCGTGCGCAGTTTATCCAGCCAGCTCTACGCAAAGTCGACGCACTTTCTGCTGGAAATCATCCAGAATGCGGACGACAACAATTACAACTGCCCAACGCCAACACTGCGCTTTTCCTACCGACCTGGGAGCCTCCGGATTGATTGCAACGAAGCTGGCTTTACCGAGGAGAAGGTCGAAGCTATCTGCGCCATCAACCGGAGCACCAAGTCAGGCAAGACGTCGTATGGCGAACATATCGGCGAGAAGGGGATCGGCTTCAAATCCGTTTTTAGGGTAGCCGATGTGGTATGGATCTCGTCTGGCGCATTCCGGTTCAAGCTGGATAAAACCAGCGCATTCCGGTTCAAGCTTGATAAAACCAAGCGCCTAGGCATCGTGACCCCAATTTGGGCCAACTTCCCCGAAGAGACTCTACCAGAATGGACCTCCATGTAGCTTCAGCTGACCAGAGGCGCCGAGGGCGAGGTCCTCATGCACGAGCTTCTCAGTTTCGACGTCAACCTGCTCATATTCCTCAGGAGGATCCAAGAAATCAGTATCTGCGTTGTTGGTCAGGATGACGAAGCCAGGGAGTAGCGGATCCGAAAGACAGAGAACAGGGAGGGCGCAGACCAAGTAGTCGTTCTGGAAACCGGCGAGAGCACGCTGCGGTATCTCATCAGAACTCACGTCAAAGACCTTCCGAAGGAAAGGAGGCGCCCAGGCTGGACCCAGACAAAAGTCCTACTTGCCTTCCCGACAACTGAGTTTTTCGAAGAGCCACGCCCCAGAACGTCTATGCCTTCCTCCCCATCAGGAACTACGGCTTGAAGGTAGATATTGGAAAATCTGTGCCCAAGAGCCTGGTCGCTGATTTCTCGACAGTTTCTTGTTCAGGGAGACTTCCTTCTCACAGCCAGCCGTGAGGACATTGAAAGCACCCTACCTTGGAACCACCGGATCCGTGGAGCTCTCGCAGAGGCATTTCTGCAATCGGTCGATCACTTCAACAAGGGCGCCTTAAAATATAGCTAGCCTTATTATCTGCCATCCACCTCAACCGCTGCGTCCACCTTTCTGGAGACGGCAGTCGCATCAATCGTAGCGCAACTCAGAGACCGTCGCGTATTGGAGTCTTGTGCCGGCAACATGGTGAAGGCTTCATCTCTGAAATACGTGCCAAGTAACGCGTTTGCGGATGAAGAGGGGCATACCCTTTACGTTGGGGCCGCTCACAGAGCCGGCTACCTCGCACTGCAATACCCTGCGTGGGCTATCGATGCAATCAGTTCCATTGGCGTTCGGCATTTTTCTCCGCAAGAATTCTTAACGGATCTCAAGTCAATGATTGCAGGAACCCTTCTTCTTTCAAGATAAGCCAGCCGCGTGGCATTCGCAGCTGGCCAAAGCCCTACTCAAACTTACTACAGACGCGAAATTTTTGTCGATGCTCAGGGTGATCGATCTGGTTCCCTTAAACGACGGCAACTGGACAGCGGTCAGGGGCCAGGAGATTTTTTTCTCAAAAAACGACGTCTCTGGGAGTTCCCAGCGGCATCAAGTTGCTCATCGTGCATTCGGCCGCAGAGTCCGATCTTTCTCGACACGCCTTGTTTGCAACTCTCGGCGTCAAGAACTGCGAAGCAAGCGAAATATGCCGGCTGATCTTGAAAGCACACGAGCTCCCAGAACTTGACCCCAAGACGCTGACCGTAGATCAGCTCGTTTCCCACGCTGCATTTCTGTACAAGGCTTTGTGGCAGCCGCCCAAGACCGCCAATCTATGGTGCGCGACGACGGTGAAAGACGAGCACTGCTTAGGCAGGAGTCTGTACATTCCCGGTGCTGCCGAGGCACACCTGGCAGCCGCCAATGTCTTTGCCCACCTTCAACGACGCTTCCCCGTCGTACATGGCGGTTACCTGAAAGCATTTCCCTCGGACTCGAACTGGCCCGGTTGGCTAGTCAAGAATCTTGGCCTCTCGATGGCCCCACGCATGATCATGCCACAGATAGACACCAAGCCACAGCCGGTAAAGGTGCTGGAAAACAAGGGGGTTGCGGCGGATGCTAAGCCTCAGCCACCGCAGACTTCGGGGCCTCAGGAGAAGCAGCCGGATAGGGCGGGCACTGAGTTCGTTTCCCACACGGGTTCGCCCCCGCAACTGAACGAGGGCCCCCCTTTTCGGTTTCGACTTTGACGCTTTCTTGAAGGAAGATGCGAGCGCCGGTATTCCTGACGCAACCCCGAACGGCCAAGTCGATCCCCGTCTCCTGGACCTGAACGTGCTGGCGAACCCGGCAAATGCGCCAGCTGACACCATGTCCGACCTCGATCGAGTCTGCGGCATGAAGCTCCCAAACGGAATTCCTTGCAAGCGCTCACTGACTTGCAAGTCACATTCCCAGGGTGCTAAACGGGCAGTGAAGGGCCGGTCTGCCCCATTCAATGTGTTACGTGCTGAATATGAAGCACGTAACAAATTTGCGGCAAGACGACGACTGGCCGGAGCGGGTATGGAGCGCTCCCAAAACATATATCGACGGTGTTTTATTTGGCAAGTGAAGCTAACGAGAGCTGAAACATCAGAAACAACACAGGTTGTTAATGACCCCGGACCCTCCAAATCAGAGGCGTAGACCGATCCTTCATCGTGGCCCACGTCACGTAACCCTCCTCCGCGATCGAGGTCTTCAAGTTCATCTCCGATATGCTCGGCCCAAGGCAAGCTCGTTGATGAACGTGGACTCTGCCAAACAGCGGCCTTGCTTGGCTCCTCATCACGGTCCTCAAGTCTATCTCGTCCGCGGTCACAAACCCCAAGTCCACCTCCTATGCGGTCAGCAGAGGTATAAGTCCTGGACAAAGGTAAGCCAGATCAGCTTCCCCAAGCTTCGAGCAGAAACTTAATATAGGATACAGGCACCAACGCCCAAGACACCGTTGCCGGCCTTTCACCGCCGGCAAATGCTGGTAATGTCTCGGCGATATTCAATCTGTCAGAGGAGTTCACTTTCATGTTTCAGGAATGCCATTCGTCCGACATTCTTCAACTCTTGCGAGACAACTGGAAGTACTATGCTCAGTGGGTTGACGGGCCTCACATGAAATGGCAGGATGCCGACTTCCTCGTGTTGAGTGACCGACTAAAGAAGGACATAGGAGCCCGCCTGGTTATGACTGCCAAAGGTGCTCTTCCCCTGCAGGACACCGTTCTGCCGATGATAGATCCGGATCTTGACCAAGGACATCTCATACCCGCACTGGAAATCGAGGATCCGCTGCACCCGGAGTGGGCGCTGTTGAGCTCCTTTGGCGTTCTTCTGAGACCCGATATCCATTACTATCTGCGCTGTCTGTTCGCGATATCAGAAGCGGCCGATCCCAACGTTGACGACGTTGCCTACGTCTATAAACAGATTGAGAACAGATACAACGGGAACGAAGGGCTTATTAGGTACGTCTCGCACCATGCATACAATGTTGCTGGTTACAAACGCCTTAACCTCGGAAGTATAGCGTGGCATTCTGGGAGAGAGACATCGTCCTGATACCGAGGCATTCACGATCAAGAGTGCCGGCAACATCGGTGGCCTGGACGAACATGCGAAATTGCGTGTCAAGAAACATCAACGTCGACACCGAGTATCCCAGTAGCGGATATCCTTTCCGATGCTTGAGATGTCCTGGGGGAGATCCCGTGACGGAACTCAACGCGAGTGCGGCCATGATCACCCGTTCCAGCAAGCTTCGAGCTATATCTGGTTTCCTCCGCGCACTGAGCGAGGCACTCAAAGCTGTCAGCGGCACCAAAGCTGCTCAATTGCTGAGACCTTCGGGACTAATCGATTTTCCCAGTTACTTACGGCGCTGGACAGCGGGAATATGACGCTCTCTTGAGCCTGCGCGACAACAGCTGGTTCATTACTGATCGGCCACTTATCCACGAGAGCATGCACAGCAAGCTACCCTTGCTAGCTTTGCCCGTCGAAGATCTGCCGGCGTTGGAAGATTTGTCTCGCCTCTTGAGACTCGACGCTCGTACCCTATCAGGACAAGTGACGAGCCAGACGCAACCCAGGGGTCGAATATCGACAGATTGGCAGTACACAGCTTCATTCAGGCGAGGTCCCAATTCATCAGAGCGTCAGTGCCCTCACCTTTTTCACCTCGAGCAACCGACAATATCCATTGTAAGCACACATACTACCCACGAACGTCCGTTGAGACCCAATTGGTCACGGCTATTGTTGTCTTTCATGAGCCTGGCCTCATACTTCGTCTACTAATTTCCCACCCTCCAGGTTGATTCCCAATTCCCGCCCCGACAAAGCCGCAGTTGCTCACCAGATCAGCCAGATGCGCATTAGCATCGCGGCAGAGACAACACTCACCTTTGTCCTGAGCTTGCCCCACAAGGATATATTCGGCCGCCCCGTTTGTGGTCAGATAGCACAAAGCACTACCGGGCACTTCCTCGACGTGATTATGACACAGGACTGTGCCGCTGCTGACTCCCCGCCTTATGAGCTCGTAACGTGCATAGCCGACCTTTGCGGCATCAAGGATCCGAGACATTCCCCGCTGCTGTTCACGGCGTTGAGCAACTCCAGCTTGCGAAGCATATCCTCCACGTTCATTCAGCAGGGCATCCGGCTTGAGGGACTCGTGCTTGGTAGGTCCGGCATATAACCTTGCCCTTATCGCAGCACAAGCTAAATTGCGGCGGCAGATGAATCCGGAGATAGGTATCTCAGCCGCCAGGGAGATTTACTTCGCATACCTTCCCCTCTTTACGGTAGTCGAAAGACGTTGGGGAGATGGTCCAGGGGTTCGTCCACAGCAGTGCGCTTCCGCTCCTTCCGGGGACTGAACATGGCCGGGCGCGGGGACGATCGACGCATACCGATGGTGGAATTCATGCGAGCAGATGGCTCAGGTTTCGGAGCTGCCCAACTTCGCCGCCTACGTTACGAGCCGTCTGCGATAGCCGGGTGGGAAGAAGTTCAATTCCTAGGCGAGCTCATGGTGCGCCCATGCCCTCTTTTCATTGCCGTATAGGATTGTTACAGCTAACGAACAAATGGTGATAGATCTCCAGGATGCTGCAAGCTCATCTGGGTCCGGACTACGATCCTGAGACGCACTGGACGAGCAGGTTCCGCAGTCGATGCGGCCATAGACTCTTCTCTGGCGTGGTGCATGAGATTTGTGCTGCCTTCACCATAGATGAGGTAAAGATCGTGGATAAGATGACTGCGTTTCTGATCGAGCACGGACGCTCCGGGAATCCCGGTTGGAAGGAGAAACTGAGAGCAACCCAGCCAGTCTATCACATCGATGTAGCTGTGAGCGCCGGTGGCAGCTCATCTTTCGTCATCACTTCGTCTCAGGTGGAAAGGGTTGGTGTCTGGCAATCTCCGCCACTTGGAACGGTTGCTAATCAACACACACCGGTGTCTCTAGATGCGGCAGCTGAGGATGCCGGAACATGCAGGGCGGTCGCTGAGGGGCATCCTTGTGCTGGCTCGAGTCAGCGACGTGTATTCCGCTGACCTGTTGTCCGTCGACCTCTTCATCGATCCCGGGTCACTGTTCCATTCCAACATTTTATCACTTGAGTCCAACTGGGTTCTGCAGGCAGCCCTTCAAGAGACCGATCGGGGATCTGCGAAAAGGCGTCGCAGGATGGACGCCCAATTTGCAAAATGGGCGGTGCCAACAACCGCCCAAACGCACGCAAGCGGCCTTGCCACCTCAAACGTGACAGTGAGTCGAGAAGCGTACATTTACAAGGCCCTGCGTCCGGGAAGTATCCGGTTGCTATATCTTATTCCTGGGGAGGGTGACGACGTGCTGCAAGGGGTCGTCTTGCATGTTCAGAACGACTCAGATGCAAGGTATCGCGCATTGTCGTACGTGTGGGGACCGGACCGGCGAACGCACGAGCTTATAACACCAGACGGCGCCATCCCCATCACTTCCTCCCTTGACAGAGCCTTGCGGCGCTACGAGACGGGCAGGAAGCAGCAATGTTCTGGGTGGATGCAATATACATCAACCAGCAGGACAGTAAGGAGAAAGCACATCAGATCCGACTGCTTCCAGATATTTTCCAGTTGGCAGCATCCACGTACGCCTTTCTCGACGAATGCGAAGGGAGCAACGCGGCTATTGAGATGCTCATGCAAGTACGTGCCATATCAGCAATGTTCGACAAACGCTCTAAGCGCCGAGCTCACGCCGCTCCCGAAGCAGACGACGACCACGACGACAGCAGTGGCACAGATTCAGAGTACGAATCAGAAGGGTCCAGACCACCGCGAATCAACCACCCCACAACACTCTCAGACCATGACTGGCCAGCCGAGTTGCCCAGGGTCCCTCCGTCGTGGTGGGACCGACCCGGGCCGCCCCTGTCCGATCCGGTCTGTGACTCAGTCCGCTCGTTTTTTGCGGGCGCATGGTTCCGCAGAGCATGGGTCATCCAAGAGACGGTGGCGTTCTCGAGCCTGCGCATCGTCTGCGGGAAGTGGCTGGTCGACTGGACCGACCTACATATGGCGATGGAGACAGTCGACCGCGAGGTCCAGCTCGCCTATGACGGCGACTCATCCCTGCGCTCGAGCTGGCTGCCCTTTCTTGCGCTCGCGGCGCTGCCGCTGGCCATTGCTCCTCCTGCTCGAGAACTTCCGGCATGCTGAGTCAACGCTCCGCCGCGACCGTCTTTTCGCGCTGCTGGGGCTGGCGTCGGATGGCAACGAGACCGAGTTCGAGCCTGACTATGACGCCCCGTTGGAATCCATCGTTCTGCGCTTCGCTCGGGTCTTTGTTCGTCAGGGCAAGGGGGTGCAACTGCTCTACCGGGCAGCCGGCCTGAACAGCCAAGCCCACGATCGGTTCCCGTCGTGGATGCCAAACTGGACCGCCCAGCGGCCAGGAGGCCTCCACGAACTGTACGAGAGCGGCAACCTGTTTCCGTCTTGCGGGGTTCACCAGGCAAGAATCAAGTACGTTCCCGATACGGATGAGCTAGTTGCCGAAGGTTACAGCATGGATGCTATCAAGGCTGTCAGTACCTCATCTAACGTGCCAGGTGGATGGCGGGAATACTTCAAGGAGGTGGACGCCATGGTTGACTCTGCGGTCCTGCGGCTTACCCGAGAATCGCGCGAGGATCTCAAATGGAAAGTGCCAATCGCGTGTGCGCCGTATCCTAAGCTGGCGACAGCCGAAGGTCTGGACTTGCGGTTGTCATATCAGGCTTTGCGTAAGCTTGTCGACAAGGATCAGCAGGAGTTTCGACCCGGAGATGCCTGCTTGCTTGACAAGAAGAGCGCGGGCTACGTCTCTGTGCTGCAGGACACGCTGTATGGATGGAAGTTTATTGTTACGGAGGGAGGACATGTTGGCGATGTCCCAAACGGGGCTCAGGCCGGCGACGTTATTGCCGTGCTGAAAGGTGCACGAGTCCCGTTTGCGCTGCGGAAGAGTTCAGCAAGGCCCGAGCTTTTCGTCTCGTTGGAGAGTGTTATGTCCATGGCATCATGCATGGTGAAGGATTGTTATTACCAGGGGTTGCTGAGGTTGAATACCGTCTACACTGATTAAAGCCTGCCAAGTCTATCGTCGAGGTAGGTAATATGCGAACCCAGTATTAACTCCATTTCTCCACCAACTGAACGCAGCTTGCCCAGCATTGATTCCCATCCCAGACAACCCGTCTTGATTTTCGGGCTCCGGTAGAGTGGTACCTCGCGCCCTCCGTGCTGCTACGCCTACCCCAGGGCCAGTGTTGCGAGACCGATCAGGGGGGTACCACGAACCTCTCCGAATCCAATTGCCCTGCAACCCGTTACCGTCCAGTGGCGCAGCTTTCGACTTTGGGCCCCGATGGACCACGTCCTCAGGGACTGTGTCTGATTATGCCGGCTCACTGTTTGAGTGGCTATCATCTAGAGCACCTTGGTCACTTGCGAGGCCTACCGGTATACGCAAGATACCAAGGTAGACACATAAACCTTGCACACGATGGAACTATGAGGTGTTATAAAACAATCCGACACTTCTTGTAGACCTGTACTCCTTAGGCTGAAATCCTACTACCTCATATCCAATCAACTGAGTCTAGTGTTTCACCCAGAAGCTGCAGTTGACACCGCAGCCCGTTTCCCTTGCCATGCTCGCTCCGTCCTGTACCTGTCCCTCCTCTCATCCAAAAACCTTCCTCAAAGCTGACCTCCTTGTCAACCACCTGTCCTTTTACTCCAGCCTCCTCTTTCTTTCACAGTATCGCCTTAGCCCTATTATCCAGCTACTCTTCCCCGCGAACCCTCCTTCGACAAGACCATCGCGGGACAAAGCGAAGTAAAAAAGAAACAAAGCATCCAAAAAGGGGCAAACATGATACATGTGAAAAAGGTGCTATTACAAGGAGCGAACAAGGTTGAACCAAAACCATCAGCGGTAAACAGAATAAACGGAAGCAGAAACATATAAAGGCGACGAAGAGCCCCAAGCCAAGATGAAACATTAACCCAAACAGATTACAACAACATACTCAGGTTGATTTTCTGTCCCGGGCATCCAGTCCGCCATTTACAACTCCCTCTTCTCAGTTGGCGACCTCCTCCTCAACCCATCCATTCAGATTCCCTTGGATCGCGAGCCCAAACCCAGCACCCATGCCGCCAAAACTGGCCTGGTACTGGTGCCCGCGGCGCGCTTCACCACCATCGCCGCCGCCGACGCTACCGTGGAGGCTGTTGGGGCTCGTGCCGCCGTTTTCAAACGGGGCAAACACCGGCAGGCTCACAGCGCGGCTGTGCGAGGCGCCGCGGTTGCCCGGCGCGAGGAGCCCGCCGATGGTAGTCGGGCCAGACGTCGTCGCCGGGTTGGTGACGAAGCCGTTGGAGATGCTGGCCGACTGCTGGTGGTGGCTCGAGATGGTGGGGCCTTGAGGAACCTCCAGCGTCAGGCTGGGCTCGTTGGGCGAAGAGGCCGCTGTCCCAAAAAGGGCGGCCTGCTGAGCAGCCAACACGTGCTGTTGCTGCTGCGCCTGCTGCTGGGCCTGCTGGGAGACGTGGTTCAGGTACATGGTGAGCGGATTGTTGTTCGTGTTGAAGAGGGCCGCAGCAGGGGCGCCGCCCTGGTTGCTAGGTGGATTGCCATTCTGGCTGGCGCCGTTGGCCGATGACGAGGAGACCTGGTCACCGCGAGGCGACTGCTGCTGCAACTGCCGGGGCGGGTTGCCGCAGCGGTCCTTGCCGAAATTCACCTTGAATTTCTTGTACTCCTCCTTGCCCCTGACTGCCTCAATCGCCTTGATCGCGTTCGCAATGTTGGTGAAGTTGACGAAGGCGCAACTCTTCTCCCGCAATGTGTTGACGAGCTCGATCTCGCCATACTCGGAGAAATCTTGCCTCAACCTGTCCTCGCTCCACGTCTCGTCCAGATTACCGATGTACACATTCCGCGATGCGCCGCCGCTAACGGCGAGGGCAATTGCGGGCGGGAGAGCACCAGAGTGCTTACCCCAGCCAATCTTCAGCCGACGGTTGTGGATCATCAGGCCCTGCAGATTGCTCAGCGCGTAGAACGAGGCAGCAGCTGTGGGATCGATGAACGTGACAAAGCAGATATGCTTGTCAGGGATATAGCGAATGTGGTGCAGCAAGCCGCCCCGGACAACGTTGCAAATCTCCTCGATGGTGGTCTCAGGGTGGATGTTGCCGAGGTAAATGGTCCGATTGCCCAGATTGCCGATACCGCCGGCCGTGGTGGCCACGGCAGCCGCGGCCACCGACTGCTGAGCCAGGGCGTTCGATATGAGATCACGATCCGCACCGGTCAACATGTGAGCGTAGCCAGGGGCAATTCCGAGATACTGGGCAGCATTTTGCTGCTGCGTCTTGGAAACATAGGCGCACCGGTCCTTGCCGTAGTAGACACGGCGGGGAGCCTGCCATTTGGCCTCCTGGGGAAGCTGAGAAACGGCCTTGATGGCGTTGGCGATGGAGAGAAAATGCACAAACGCAATGTTCTTCTCGCGCACAATCTTGACCGTGTCGATGGCGCCGAACTTACCCAGATCCTCCCGCAGCTCTTCCTCGGTGATGTCCTCGGGCAGGTTACCCAGGTACACATTCCGCGATGCGCCCGACTGTTGGACGGCCAGGGCAACTGAGGTAGGGACCTGCGAGGGCTTGCCCCAGCCAATCTTGATATCCTGGCCCTTGATGCAGAGCTTTTTCAAGATGGCATCAGAGTGGAAATGCGTGGCCGAGCTCGCGTCCAGGAACGAGATAAAGGCGCAGTTCTTGTCCGGAAGGAGACGGACCGACTCGATCTGGCCGCTGCGCACATGTCCCAGGATCTCCTCGGCAGTCGTGTCAGGAGGGATGTTGCCCAGGTAGACAGTCCGGCTGGTGCCAGTGACCATTCCGGGGCCCATGGACACGGGGGACGTGGGCGGCATGGGAACCTGGATCTGGCCGGCGACGTTGTTGAAGGAACCCGTGGGAGACTGCGGCGCGTAGAACTGGGGCGCCCCGTAGGCCGACGGGGACACAATGGATTGATACAGTTGGGGCGACAGGCTCCCCTGGACCGGGCTCGACGGGCCGTTCTGCTGCTGCTGGAGGTTCTGCTGCTGAGCCTGCTGGAAACTGCTCACGCTCTGAAAGTGGGGGCTCGCGAAGGCGGCAGGAGTACCAGGCTGGAACGGACTGCCGAGCAGCAGCTGTGAGGGCAGCAGAGGAGTGAACTGCATGTCAAAGGCGGTGCCAGGGGTTGTCAAATCGGCACCATTGGCGGGCGTCTGATGGTGATGCTGGATCGGCTGGGTGTTGATGGTGGGAATGTTCCCGCGCCGAGGATGCCTGTCAGCAAAACCGCTTATGTTGGAGGTGAAAGCGCCGTGAGAAAAGCCCGTGTCGCTGTTGGACGGCTTGGAAGCATGGCCGAAGCGGGCAGGGGCGCTGGGCCCCGCCTGGTGACCCGACATATCCTGCATCCCCAGAAGATGCGGAGGGACAAGGCTGTCCCTGGCTTGATGGGAGAGGACCGCCGTTTTGAAGGATTAGACGTGCCCGGTGACAGGCACGAGACAGAAGGATGATGCGTGCTGAAATGCACCGATGGTACGACAGGTACTGTCGTCGCCAAGCGATTCTCGAAAGCAATGTACAAGCAAAGTACAACCCTTTTAAACCACCTCAACCTCTTGTTGGAGACTCGGCCGTCACTATCTCTCGAGTTGTGTCGACCGAAAGATAACGGGGTTTGCCTGATCCGGAACGGAGGGCGGGTGCTCTAGGAATGTCAACTGTGGCTGCAGAGCAAACACGTCCAGGAACGCTTCGGGAATGGGATGGCGGCGGCTGAGGTCTAGAGAAAGAAACGGCCGGTAGACATGCAGTCTCTTTCACGACTCCTCGCAAAGACAATCGACAGGACGCGACGACGCTCGAGATTGGCTGGCGATTCAGACAAAAAAGGATGTCGGTTATTAAATTTTTATCGGCAACGGAGCGAGCGATTCTCATATAGCGAGTGTCGAGAAGATGCAAGACTGGCTGTGAGCACGTAAGCTCTCGCCCCGGAACCGAGGAAGCAGAAAATAAGGGGGGTCGCGTCAAAACGGGCGAGCCTTGTACCCGTGATTGCACCAAAAGAATTAATACCTATAAACGAACGATAGGAATGGAAAAGGCAAGGTGAAGGACTGAGGTCGGAGGGACACGGCAAAAAGTCCAACGAGCGATGGTGCGGGAAGCAAGAGAAAAAAAGAGAGGGAAAAAGGAGGTGAAAGACTGGGGTCCAGGGACAACCCAGCCCAATTGGGTGGATGGAGCTAGTCCAATTCTAATTGCAGCCGACAGGGAGCCGTGTCCGTTTGACGCGGTACCTCCGTACCTGACGGGGCAGGTCCCCTTTGTGCCTTGCAGGGAAAGCGTGTGCCTAGAACCTCCGCCATGCAACCTCGCAGCGGGTACCGCCGGTTACCAATCAGCAGCCACGGATGTTTTCTTTACAGGAAGAAGGTGTGCAACCACGAATTCCAGGGTTCCTTCCCATCTGGCGCAATGCGTGAGGCGCAAATCCTCAGGCATTTTCCTCGAACTGCTGACGGTTCGTTCCTGGCCATGCACCGCTGCGAGATGCGATCGAGCCCCTTATCTTTCTCGTGCTCCTTCAAGAGTCACCGGGCATTTTCGACTTGCTTCGTGGCCTGGCCAGCCCGGTTAGGCCTACGAGTCATACCGTGGGTTCTGCGACACCTCCTCAAGCCCATCTTGAATCTCAGGGGCATGCGTGATTCGGGTCCAAGACCAACGCAACAGAAAGCGATCCAAGGGCACAGGGCGGCCGGCCCAGACCACATATTGATCGACTCGGGACCATATCCTGTCGCTCTCACTCTACCGGTCTGCCATAACGTTACCGTCCCTTAAGGCGCTACTCCTCGCGTGAGGCTGATTCAACCGTGCCGATTTCGATTGCTGTACGTTACGTCCACGCATCTTCTCTCGTATCTACGGAGGAACATCCAATACTTCAGTAGTGAGAACGACATACGAGTTTGGCACTCCATATGTCCTGTACTCTACGGAGCGTCTCAAGGTATACGCGAAGACCGTTTTTGTTTGGGGCCTCATTGTTTTACCAAGCCCAGGCAAGGAAAGACCTTCAAGGCGACTGAACGGGAGAGTACTGAGCGAGTCAGGCCAATACCCGGTAATCAACGATCTGTACCTCAACTCCTAAGACTCCAGCCGAGCATTGACATGCCCTTCTGTCAGAGGCTAAATGCACAACTCTCGCATCAAAGCATCCCGAGCCGAATCAGCCCTTTTGGTCGTCAAGTTCCCCATCAATTGCGTGTTCACATACAACTTCTCACTCTGGAGCCGCGCTACCATCTTCCTAGAAAGCAAGAATAGGACCATTGTCTCCAAAAGGTGCGCATCTCTCGGCGCGTGGCCCGGGGTTGAGTCGGCTTTATAGTAAGGTCAAGTTCAAGCTGGACAGAATCACTGTGCTTCCAGCACGACCTCATCTACACAGCGGTTCCACGTGTCAACGGAGCAGCAAATTCAGGCTGAAACGGCCTTCACCGACTTGTTGGAACCCAAGCGAGATAATACCAGCGCGTACAGCCGCCCTCATCCCTCACACAAAGACTCCATCCGATTTTTGTTGCCCGTTACATCTTCACTCTTCCCACAGCACACAGCCAACTGCCCACCTCCCCCAGCGCGTGATGTATTCGACCAGCCATGCGAGCCATAATCTGCGCAGGGCACTGGAAGAGGTTGGAGTAGACAGTTGGGGGCTAGACAGCAACAGCCAACGCTATACCAGGCTTCATGCCTCGGCCGCCCTTATTGTCCCAATATTGGCATGTCCAGGTTGTATTAGATGTCTGCTCCACTAATAATCACAAACCCTAGATGAAAGGTGGTTTAGATAACGGCGATTGAACCTCCTAAGGTACGTTTCCAACCGTCCGGTCAACGACCTAACACCTGACGTTGTACAATTCATCCCCATCGACACATCCAAGATCTCCCACTCCACACACCCCGCCAACCCGGAAACACAGCGGTTCAGACCCGAGGGACGGCTCGGCCGCTCAGACGGATCGTTCGAGGGATCAAAAACAACCGCAGTCCCCGGCAAGACGTCGCAGAACAGGCCAAGCCCCAAAAACAACAACCGTGAAGTGCTGCGCCGTCCTACCATAGCGACCGGACCTACTCCAAACTGTGCCGCACGCGTCAAAACCGGCAATGCTTGAAGTAGAGCATATCCAGAGACAAACAAAAAACAGGACACAAAATACACCCAGAACTTCCAAACCCCCTAGAACATACCCTTGCAGTACGGAGATAAGCGCCGAAATCCTCACGAAATACGTCAAGCAAGTCTATATTTGTCTTGCGGCTACCTCTCCTAAGAAACCCGGCCATTCTCTTGAAATATAACCACCACTCTAGCAATAACCCGCTCGCTCCAGAACTCCTATGGCACACTCTGTACCAGGTATTCAGCCACCTCAAGGCTCCATCAGGGCTTGCACCGCCCCATGAAGCGCGAATACAAGCTGCACGTCCGGACGGTATGCTGGTTGGCCATCCAGGCCAGGAAGCGCTCCAGGCCGAGGCCGTAGCCGCCGTGCGGCGAGGAGCCGTACCTATGGAAAGTGCCGGGTCAGCCAGGGTCGATCAATGCCATGCCGGGCAACAAGTCGAATAAAGGGGAAGGAGAGGGCATAAGAAAACAAGAAACGCACTTTCTCTGGTCGGTGTACCAGTAGTACGGCTCGTGGGGGATGCCGTTCTTCTTGTACGCCTCAATCAGCTCGTCGTAGTCGTCCATCCTCATGGAGCCGCCGACAATCTCGCCGACGCCAGGCACTGAAAGGCACAGGGGTCAGAAGCGCGCTCTTCTTCCGGGGCGAGGAAAGCGGTGATGGGCATACTTAGCACGTCAACGGACTCGGTCACCCTCAGATCCTGCGGGTCCTTCTTCATGTAAAACGCCTTGATCTCGACGGGGAAGTGCGTGAGGAAGATGGGCCGGTTGATGATGTCGGTCATCCTGCGCTCGGCCGCCTCGGCAATGTCGTCGCCAAACACGTGCGGCTTGCCCTCCTCGTTGAGGATGGGTGGGTCCTGCTTGTTGAGCCACTCGATGGCCTCCTCGTACTTCATGCGCATAAACGGCCGCGACGGCTTCTGAAAATCGGGGTTGAGCGTCTTCATGTACCCGCGCATCCTCTCGTCCGCCAGCACCTTGTCCACCACGCGCGAGATGAGCTCTTCGATGTGGTCGAGCAGGTCGTCAAACTCGATGAAGTCGAGCTCGGCTTCCACGTGGGTGTACTGGGCGAATCAGCCTCATCCCCACAACCCCTTTTTTTCTAAGAATCTCACAAACACATACCTCGGAAAGATGCCGCCTCGTCAGGCTCTTCTCGGCACGGAACGACTTCTCAATGCAGTACACGTTGCCCAGCGACTGAATCACCGTCTCGAGATACAGCTGGCTCGACTGGGTCAGGTAGGCCTCCTCGCCATAGTAATCGTACTTGAACAGCGTGGCGCCGCCCTCGACCTGCGTCTGCACCATGGCGGGCGGCGACACCTTGCGGAACTCCATCTCGCGGTAGCTGTCGATAAACGCCAGCTCGACAAACTCGCGCAGTTTCATGACGGCCGACGCATTCTCGCCGCGCAGCACCAAGTGCCGGTTGTCGAGCATCTGCGCATCCCACGGGTCCTGCTGCATCGACACCCTGTTGGTGATGGCGTCCAGGTCGCTCGGCGCCGCCCCGAGCACCTTGTAGTAGTCGACGTGCAGCTCCCTGTTGTCGGGCGCCTTGACGCCCGCGGGCACCGCCCGCATCTCGCCGTACAGCACCAGCGCCGTCTCGAGCGCAAACATCAGCGCATCATAGTTCTTGGTCAGGTCGCCCGCTGGCAGGATGCACGACAGGTAGCCATAGCCGTCCTTGAGCGTTATGAAGGTGGTCGTCTTTTGCACGCGCAGCTCGTGAATGCGGCCGAATACCTTGACGCGGGTACCCTTCTTGCCCGCGCCATCGCCGAGCTCGACCGACTTGTTGTTGAGCTTGATGCGCACGGCCGGCGGCAGCGACGGGTCCTCCTTGAGCACGATCTTCTTGGCCTCCTCGAGATTCTTCAGCCGCTGCCGCCGCTCCTCCTCCTCCTGCCTGGCCGACGCCTGCTCCTTGGCGAGCTTCTTCTTCTGCGCATCGACGCGGCCGAGGGCCTTCTTCATGGCGCTCTTGGCGGGCTCCTCCCACGCTGCTGCCGTCGTCGCGTCGAGTCCATCCTTTGCAGCAGCCGGGCGGGTGAGGTAGACGGGCGCCGGCTGGTCGAGGTGCTGCAGCAGCGCATAGTAGAGGGACTGGTAGGGCTTGGCCTCGGAGCCGTCTGCCGTCGAGTCATCCTTTCCCGAGGTCGGGTCAATGTAGCATTTTGAGGCGGCCTTGGTGCGGTGGGCGAGGTCCTGCGGCGCGGCCATCTTGTCGGTGTCTGCTTTCGGCGCTTCTGCGCGGTCAATCGCAGGTTTTCGGGCGCTGCGAGGATGACTGGTTGTTGTGCGAGGGGACAGCGTGACAGGAGCGAGGGGTCTTGGTAGTTTTTGGTGGGGTAAGTGGTTTCGATGAAAAGTTGGCGGGGCAATTGGAGGTCTCGACGCTGGTTTTGGCCTGAACTCCAATGACTCATTTTTTCCTGTGACCACGAGTTGTTTGAGATTAGGAACCTAGGGATCTGTCTCTACTAGTACACCCCTGTTTTCCCCAGCCTCCGTTATATGGTCCGCATAATGCGGTATGGCTATCTGGAACAAGCGAGGTCGATCAGGGCGATCTCGAAGACTAGACAGAGGTATCACCAGCCCCAAGAGTCGAGCAATCTGTAGAGCACTTGGGCCCTGTCCTGACACCCACCATTTCAAAGCGCCGTCCATTTTGCTGCTCGACCCAAGCAATGCACTCATCTGCAGTGTGAAAGGGCTAATGCCATGCGGCAGCAATTTGAGCGTCTCTCCTCGCCTGTGGTAGAGCCCTCTTCTTAATGGTTTGGCAGACAGCCTCAGCACTGCACCCGGCTCTACCATGATGCTCTTCAAGCTGCCCTATACAAGTGAGTTCCGATTAGTTGTTTGAGCCGTCAGACGTTACGGGGCCGGAGCATTCACCTCTAAGTCGTTGCCATGCGTGCTTCAATTACACGTCTCCTGCTTTGAGGGTGCAGATCCGAACATATGGAGACGTCGCAGGCCAGTTTGTGCATGTTCAACCACCATCGTCAGCCCATGGGGATCTGGAATGACTGGATGATCCCCTCCTGGTCGGCGCGCAGTGCGGACCATGCGATGCTGGCGTCTCCGATCGCTTGTACTTCCGCAAGCCTGCTTCCTTCTGGTCGAATTTTGATCGGCCTGCCTCTGAGCAGAATCTGTATGTTGCGGACCTGAATGATTGTCAACTCGACAGCGCAGTTTTGATCGTAGGCAGGGAGCGAGCATGATGTTCCAGAAGCACAAAGGGGAAAGGGAATCTTGATTCAATTGCACTCCAATTGGCAAGCTGTCCTATCAAAATGGAAACGTTTCCTGCCTCGGTTTATGAACTTGCCCACCATCGACAAGAGAAATAGTACCAAGAGGAAGAAACATGCGCTGCCGACCAAGGGGACGATTGCCATCTGGAGCCTGGGCTGCGCGGGTTCTGCCGGGAAACGAAGTGATAATCGAGCTCAGCCCAGCCGGTTCCCGATGAAGAGGAAACGCACCCTCTGTCGCAGTCGTGATTCGGCCTATCAGGTCCCGGTGGGGAAAGGAGACAAGATCAGAAAGGCGTGTGGGGAGATGGCCGTGGAGTTGCTCCAATCACTCTCGCGCTGCTGTGGGCATCAGGTCGTCGCTGTTGAATCTGGTGAGCTCGCATCGGACGACTCCCGACGTTAGGGGCTGACGGCGGGCCAAACTAGATCCGGGGTATCATGATTGCCCAGTTTGATCTTCTTGACTGTGTCCTTTCCCACACCGTGTAGGACAGGTCAGACAACTATACCACGAATGTTATCGTGATCTGGGTCACAGAATTTGGCATTTGTGTTTGCTGCTGGAGCCCTGCTTCTTCGGCGGGGGCGGCTCGAGTGCAGCAACAATTGCCTGGGAAATGGTGGGTCAGTCCAATGATTGCTCGTCACAGCCCGGAGGTTCGCGCGCAGAAATGTCGGTATACCAACCTCGTCAAAGACATCCTTGAGCTTGTACTGCGTGAGCGCACTGCACTCGACGTACTTGACTGCGCCCAGCTCTTTTGCCATTCGCTCACCGTCCTCTTTCCGCACCGGCGACATCTTCTGCTTGGCCAGCTTCGCCACCACCTGTGCATCATCCCGCAGGTCCACCTGGGTGCCGACGATCAAGCAAGGCACGCCGGGGCAGTGGTGGTGTACCTCGGGAAACCATTTTTCGCGGACGTTTTCGAACGAGGCTGGCGACGTGACGCTGAAGCAAACGAGGAAGACATCGGTCTGAGGGTAAGAAAGCGGGCGCAGCCGGTCGTAATCTTCTTGCCCCGCGGTATCGAACAATCCCAAAGTGTATGGCTCGTCACCAATCCTACGACGCGCCTGTTTAGTAGCCGGGTGACGAAACGGAGTACGCCGGGAGGTGAGCGACGCGGGTCTCAACGTACATGACCGTGACGGCATAGTTGTCGAAGACGGTGGGCACATATTCCGAGGGGAACTTGTTGGTTGTGTAGCTGATGAGAAGACATGTCTTGCCGACCGCACCGTCGCCGACGACCACGCACCTGAGTCACTCGGTTAGCGACGGGTCCGGCATCTTGGGGAGATATTGCTGGAGGCATCGAGGCATGAGCGACGTGTCCAGCTGAGATTGGAATCCCTCGGTGGTCCGGCCAAGGTGATATGGGCTGCATGTAGGAGCTCAAGCGAAGTCATGCCTCGCAGTCTGTATGCTTGGACTTGGCGCGTGCAGGAACGAGGACGTACTTGATAGTTCCGAGGACCATTTTCGGGACGGAATAGGTCGTTTGATACGATGACTATGCTCGTCGACCGCACCAAACAAGGGCTTGCGCTGCAACCTCGAGTTCCCTGGATCGCACACTGCAGATCGCCGGCAATTCGAAGGTGCGCTGGGCGGAGTGGGAGTCGGGAGTGAAGGGATGGAGAGCCAGAGAACAGAGATTCGATGGTGGAAAAGAAGCGGCAACCGATGACGAATGGAGCGATCAATGTTTCGAGGCAAGGGTGTGATTTCTTGTCAGACAAAGAAAGGACCGGGGTTGATGAGAAGTGCAGTTCGGTCGAGCAGCAGGGAGCAGCAAACGCAAGAAAGGCAGCAATTGAATGCCAGTGGGAGAAAGGAGTTGGGTCCAAGTCGCGAATTAAATTGGCTTGGAGGTTTTTGTTGCAAGCAGCAGCCTCGTAAGATTACGGGGGAACCTGGAAGCTTGGGAGGAACCCTGGCAGAGAAGGCAGGCGAGCGGTCAGTGGCTTTGGACTGCGATGCCCTGGCGCTGGGGCCAAGCAGGCTTCCCCACTTTCCAGTTTCTTGTAAGCTGGTTGGCCGTCTCCGGCTCGCTCGATGGGATCCAGCGATAACCACCAACAACCAAAAAGCTTCAAATCAGCAATCATGACGGGCGCGTGGCCAGTGCTCTACGCTAGCCGCCTCGAGCCAAGTTCATTATGTGGTCATTGTTGCATGTTGTACGTGTAATGGACGTAGTAGATGATGGGACACAGATCTCTCGCCAGCTTCGACAAACCGGAGGGAACGTCGTAGGCACTTGCATGACGGAGAGACTGCTGGTTGGTATGTAACTTACGTGTAAACCCATGCACACGGTATCCGTACTCATGGTGCAAGTACCCGGGCAGTAACGTTATCTAGTCCCGGTGCTTTGCGGGTCGCTTGTTCCTGCGGCATGCTCTGACGGATCATGATCAATCCTTTTGCGGTGCTTGACGCTGAGCTGCATCGGTTGGCTTCTGGAAGACGCTAATAGACAGGCAGATGTTGTGGAACAGAAGCTCCCCGATCATCTCGCGGCCCGGAACCGGCCCCGAGTGGCCACGGCCTTTTTGTTGGTCGTGTAGCTAAAGTTATGTTGGATAACCCGCCGGCACGACCAACACCCAACCGAAGCGCTGCTCGTCCGGCAGATTCTGCAAGTCACTGACAATACCATCAAGGCCCTTCTCCGGAGGAACCTGGTGCATACTCAAGAAGGCTTCCCCCCACACTTAGGTTCTTTGGGCTCATGGATCTGGAAGTCTGGACGAGCAAGTGCATGAAGCGCACAGACAAGGGTCCGATCTGCCACGCCGTGGGAAGTACCATCCCAACACGATTTCCATGGGTCATCTGCATAAGAAACGCGGGGGGTCCTCTCATCCATCATGCCCAAGTGTCTGCGACAGAGTGGGTAGGGAATGGGCCAGTGGGGTGGTCCTTCATGGTGTTGGATTCGAAATCTGCGACGACTTGCGCACCTGAGTGAAAATCATTTCAGACGTAGGTAGGCCCGAGATGCTAAGCAACTTGGCCAACACAACCTTCCAGGTCCTCTGAGCTTCACAGTTAACTTTCTTAGAAACCAGGTACACTGAGAGAAATCGGCAAGCTAGGAAGGGCCTTCGAGCTGACAGGGGACTGCAAGTGGGGCATTTTTAGTGTTTGATGCTCCTGCCCGGCGGTCAGCCAGACATAGTTCCCAGGTCAATATCCAATATCCGGATCATGGGTCTCATAAGGTAACGGAGAAGGACGATGTAGCTGCGGATCTGAAGAGGCAGGACGGTATGATGGTCGGCGTCGCCGGTCAATAACGTAGTGGAACATGGCCGTCTTATTCATTGTGCTGTGGTAGGTTCGCGAAGAGGTAACCTAACCCTGGCTACCGACCTACACAGCACTCCGTAATCACATCGAAACCAGCCAACAAAGCCGGCGCCTTCAACTTGTCACACCAAATCTTGCCTCTCACTTCACTTCGCTTCACGTCTCATTGGTCTACTTCTAAATCAGCCACCTAACCATTTTCAAGACCATTTCTCAGAAAGCCTGCTCCTTCACAACAAACCATCAGAGCCCAATTCTCCCCTTCCTCTAAACTCCCGCTCTTCCGACATCTCTCTCTCTCTCGCTCCCAGGAAAAAGGCCACACCATCATGTCCTCCCAAACTCACCCTCCAAACCCAAACCCGACAGAAACAATCAACCGCCTCCTGCAGCACTACCTGGCCCTGCTGAACGAGTACACCGACCTGCGCAGCACGCTCAACACGGTCCAGACACGTCTTTTTCAGAGCCTGGCGCGCGCCAACTTTGCCGCGGAGCGCGGGGTGCGCTACTACGGCCAAGACTACTACGACGAGCGGATGCAGGCCAGCAGGCGGGTTGGCATCAGCTTCAAGGAGGAGGCTGACGACAATTTCGGCGCAGAAGCAGAGGCTGGCGCCGGCGCCGGCGCGGCGGTGAAACGGGAGGGTGAGAGAGTTAGGGAGGGGTTAGGGGGTGGTAGGCCGGTGTTTACTGTCGGGGTGTATCCCGCACCGGAGCCAGAGTCCGGAACTTCGTCGAGAATCGACGAAGAAAACCAAGGAACAGGGGAGCAAGAAGAAGGAGGACCTGCTAGCGTGGAGGCAAAAGACGTCTCCAAGTCAGAGAGGAGGCCGGAGTCTACGGGGTATGATGACAGGGGAAACGAGAAGAAGCGCCTGCCCCTACCAAACAACCTCCCCACAGAAGACACCAAGCCCAACCACAGCAGCAGCAGCAGCAGCAGCCGCCAGAAAGCCGCCGACCCGCTCCACTGGTTTGGCATCCTCACGCCTCCCCCCCTCCGCCAAGCCCAAGGCCACGCGATCAAAGCCGTTGAAGACATTATCCCCCGGCTGGCGACGCTCAGCGCCGAGATGGCGCGGGTAGAGCTGGAGGTGCGGAGGGCGAGGAAGCGACGAGCCAAGGCGGAGAAGGCAGAGGGGAGGAAGAAGTTCGCAGAGTTAGAGGACAGGATGGGGAAGGTGGATGTCGGTGCGTAAGGGAGACTGTTCAGCTGTGAGTTGGTGAGCGGATCGGTTTTGCAAGAGGGTCTATCGGTGGTCTTCTTAGGTGGGGTTGTATCTGACAATCTGGCTGGCGATATCTAGGTCTGACGGGGCCTTAGGTTTGTGCAAGTTCATTGTCTCATTACCGAGTCACACCTCGTGACTGCCCATCACTCTCTCTGCCTTTCTCCTCTTTTGGCGTCCATGCCGCGCAAGAATACCAACCAACGCACTGTTCGCTGAGCTATCTCCAACCTCTCCCGAGAGGATACCATAGCCAATGCCCGCCTGCCCTCCCCTCAGTCCGCCGCCATTCCCTTGTATGAACTCCACGCTAATAATGCCAGTTAAGGATGGGATATAAAATGCCATCGTCTCTGCCAAAGCCGAGACAACATCCGCACTCAGTGGCCCGCCCATTCTGGCTCCCCGGTCGGCAGGGCGGGCTGGTCTCGGTTCATTCGGCACTGCTGCTTCCAATTTGTCGGCGTAAACTTGTCGACGACGGCTTTGAAGGCGGCCTACGACGTTGTCAGTGACTCAAATCTAGGCCAACGGGTCTCGTACTCACCAGCGTGCAAAACGACTCATCGCCATCCAGATGGTTCCCTGGCAGCTTGCAGGCCGGCACCTTGACGGGCTCGTCGTTGTAGCGTATCCGCACGTAGTACCCGTCCAGCTTTTTCTTCTCGCCCGCCGTCAACTCCGCCGTCGGCCTCCGCCCTATGTTGGCGGAGACGGCCGCCGAGCCAACGAGCGACGCCCACCAACTGCCCTTCACGGGATCCTGTGGTGGCGGCGGAACCTTGGTCTTCCTGAACAGCTCGATCGCAATATGACTCGTGAACGGCGGCCACCGGTCCGTGTCGTACGCCCCCAAGCTCGCCAACACACCCGCCAGCGTGGTATCGTGGCAGCCGCTCAGGCCGAACCGGATTCTGGCGCTGTGGTTCTCCTGCCCCGTCCGCTTCGTGAGCGTGTGCGCCCCGTCGCTGCGCGTCTGCGCCCCGTCGCTGCGCGTCTGCGCCTCAACGCTCCCAACCATCCGGCCGACAATGTCTCCAAGCAGGCTGCCCATGCCGAGCATGCGGTACTCCCGCGACTCCTTGTACCCGGCGAACCACTCCTCGACGCTAATGCGCTGCATGATCTCGCGCGCCCGCTCGTCGTAGAACTCGCTCGGCAGTCGTGTCTCGGGCCCGTGCGCCAGCGTGGCGTTAACCGTGTCCATGATGCCCGACAGGCGCGGGCGCGAGTCGACGGCCACCTTTGTGTCGGGCCGCATCCACTTGCCGTACACCTGATTCAAGTACTCCATGTCGGGCGTGTTATTCCACCGGTCGGCGGCGCGCTGAGCAAACGCCCTCGACAGGGCCGCGAACCGCCGGCAGTTGCCGTCCTACCAACAATTATCAGCTGTGAAGTTCCTATTGCGGAACGTCCGGAGGAGTTCCGGGAGCAAAACGCGCTGTCTTGGGAGCAACATGGCTCCCGAGACAACCATAAAGGGGTATAAACAGACGTTAGGATACAAAGTTTCATCCCCAGGCACGCGCGTCAGGATGGTGGGCGCCGGGAACTTGCCGTCCGGACCTGGCTCCCGAGACGAGGGCGGGTACAGCGCCGAGAAGGTCTGGTGGAGAGATTCCAGCGCGCGAGGTACCGGAGTGGAGCGCAGGTAGAGGAAGTCGGCCGAGGCGATGGTGGCGGGGAGAAAGCCGAGGCGGTCGACGTAAAGCTGGCGCAGGCGGAGACCCAACTTGTAAGTGCTTTGGCGGCCAAGATCGGTCAGGCTGCCCATGTCGCATATGTCGTCCAGCTGGCCGTCAATACCTCGGGCGACCACAGGCTCGTCATTGTCGCCAAAGGTCTCGATGCGGCGTTTCCAGTCCAATGTTTCGAAGGGGTGGTTGGAGGTAGTGTTAGCAGCCGCCAAGATGGCGGAACGCATCTGGCGAGCGCTGGCACAGTAGGGCCACCAGGGCCGCAGACCGGCATTTTGAAAGCGAGCCGAGACAGGAGTCCGCTCGCCGTGGCGCATCAAGACCTGCACCAGCTGCAGCTCCAGCCCGTCCGGGTAGAGTTTCCGGAGCTCGTCGTCCGTGTACGGCGCTCGCGGGATTAGGGTCGTCATTGCGTTGGTGCCCTCTTGTGTCCTATAACTGGGTTTGTGTCTGGTATTGACGGGAGTAACGTTTATTTATATATTTTATGGAGAAGAGTCACCCCGGAAGACTGGATGGCTCGATGGGCTATGGATAGGTGCATCGAGTCTGCGTCGTACGGTTAGTCATTGGTCTAGTCAACTGAAGACACAGAATCGAACCTCGGGTACCTGGTCAGTGACGTCCGGTCAGGCGCGGGCTTCAGTCTGCGACCAGATGGAAGCATCCATCCACTGAGGGGCGTTCCACAACAAAGGCCCAGGGGCCTGTCACACGGGGCGCCAGCGTGGGGCAGTGGCTTGGCACGGGATCCGTCAATTCCATGCTCAGTTCCACTGAAATTTTGAGCCGAACCAAACACGAACTCGAAAGCAACTCGAATCGGCCCGCACTTCAAAGTGCGGCCGCACACCAATTGCTGGATTGCGACCGTCTATGGCGCTTCTTCATGCATCAGTTCAAGGACTGCTCTGAGTATTCCAACAAAAAACGGCCATGCGCGAGCTTGGGGGTGTCGGCAGCGTCTGCCTGCGCTGCCGCTTCAAACTACTCGTCACAACCCGAGCCCGAGCTCGCCGCGGCATCTCGACTTCCAGCACTGCGGCTATCGTCAGAAACCGGGATAGCGGTGCTCACCTGCAAAATGACGGCCAGGCTACACCAGCAATGCCCATTACTCCCGGGGGCTTGGCCAACGACCCGACCATGACACCACCGCGGGTCCCTCGAAGCTCCATCCCCGGTCGTCGCTCATCTTCTGTCGCCATGTTCCAGAGCATTGTCGAAAACCAAACCAAGATACCCTCAAGCCTCGGATCCCAAGCAAGCGGAACGGCAAGCATCGAGCTAGTGAAGGACGTGGCCCGGATACAAACAATAATGGAGCGAGACGGCGCCACACTTGCGGAGGCTTATGCGTACTTCGAGGAGAATGTGTACCCTCAGATCATCAAGAACGGCGCCGGTGTTCCGCAAATAGTCAAAAACCAGATTGCCACGGTTCTCTTGGACAGACTTGCGCTCCTGAAGCCGCGCGACTTCGAGTCGAGCCGTCTTCCAAGCGTCACGCGCATCACCGAGGTCATGATAGAGCTGGATGTCCTCAGGCCATCTGCGTGGGCTACCCTAGTGATTGAGCTCATCCAGCACATCTACCGGCAGAAAACGGTTCCAGGGGCGTACGACTCGGTCAAAGATTACGAGACTGCCATGGCGCTGCGAGACGCCCTCCTACACGATCTTCTTGGGGCCTGGCGGGTGTTCTGTGCACAAAGGGTGTCCTCTAACAACAATTTCTCGAGATCTCCGCAGACGAACCAGCTCAAGACCAAGTCTTCCCGTCCCGGCGCAGAGCCTCAGCAGCAGAACACACTCCAAAACGCCTTTGGGGCCATGTTTCCCCAGTACCTGGTTCCCTCCCTGCTGAGGCCGACCTTTGCCGCATTTGCAACGTACAAGTTGCTGACAGACCCCCTCAATCGCTCCCGTTCCACCGAGGGGGAGGCAGTGCCGTTCCTCCAGATGATGAAAGGGCTAATCCCTCAAGCCAGGCCACCTAGTCGTAAGGACTTCGAACCAATATTCAATACTTTCCCGGATCTTCCTCGCTTCGTGTGGCCCAAGAAGCAGGTAAAAGACGTGAGCAACTCAGTTTTGAACGCAGCTTCGGTTTTTGGAGACAAATCAGACCCTAAGAGAGTCAGCGTCCACCGGCAGCTAGGAGATGCAATCAACCGCAGGAATTTGAGCATGGTGAACCAGGCTTGGTTGGAGTTCTGGGGTGATGCGGTTACTCCCGACGATGCTCGAATCAGCGAGCTCGCAAAACGCTCCGAGATGTTCGACTACTTTATCATGGCCTACACCATGATGCGGCGGCCCCAGCAGGCCATTGAGGTCTGGACCAGCATGGAGCGCGTCGGCATCAAAGCCACCATCAAGACATGGAATTCAATGCTCCAAGGCTGCGCGAAAGCCAACAATGCACAAGGCATCAAGACCGTCTGGGACAAACTAACAAAGTCCGGCATGAAGCTGGACATCGCCATCTGGACGGCCCGCATCCACGGCCTGTTCCTCTGCGGAGAGGCCAGCGCCGGTATCCGCGCGCTCGACGAAATGGTCAAAGTCTGGGCCGCCCGCGAAAACCCTCAGTACGCCGCCCTCGCCGTGCAACCCACCGTCGAGCCCGTCAACGCCGCCCTCGCCGGACTCCTCCGCCTCAAGCGCAGCGGCGACGCCATGAAGGTGCTTGCCTGGGCCTCCAAGCAAGGCATCAATCCCGACATCTACACCTTTAACACCCTGCTGCGCCCCCTCGTCCGCCGCGGCGATATGGAGGCCATCGACGAAATCTTCGCCACCATGCAGAGCATCAACATCCGCGCCGACGTCGCCACCTTCACCGTCCTGCTGGAAGGCACCCTCAACCACATCGGCGACCTCCCGCCCACTCAGCAAGTCGCCATCGTCGAGCGCATCCTCGACGCCATGCAGTCGTCGGGCATCGAGATCAACATGCAGACCTACGCCAAGATTCTCCACCTGCTCCTCCGGGAGGGGGACCGCGCAGGGGAGCCCGTCAAGGCCGTCCTCGCCCACATCTGGTGCCGCGGCCTCGACCTGACCAGTCACATCTACACCATGCTCGCCGAGCACTACTTCTCGCGCGACCCGCCCGACACGGTGGCCGTCACGGCGCTCATCGAGAACAGGAGGCTGCACGAGAACAAGGCGATCGACCGCGTGTTTTGGGAGAGGATGATCAAGGGGTATTGCCAGGCTGGCGAGACGAGGCGGGCGCTCGAAATTTTTGATCGCGTGTTTGTGCCGGGAACCATGATCACGTTTGGGACGCTGTATGAGTTGCTGCGGCCGTTGGTGGTTGCCGGGGATGCCGAGGCGGCCGTGAGAGTTGTGGAAGCGGCGAGGAAGATTGGCAGGGCGGATGATGATGCGGTGCCTAAGTGGAGGGGGTCGCATGGTGATGTCGGGGAGGGCAAGCGGTATTGGAAACATCGGTTTTGGCATCTTGCGTATGAGCATGGGTTGATGGGGGAACAGCTGGCTGAGAGGTTTCGGGAAGCTAATCTGTAGAAGGGGAATTTACATTTGGGCCTGTATTTGTGAGATCATTGTTGGAAGTTATGTTTCCGTAGACATAGTGACAATTCTGTAAACTGTTCTCGCATACCTACCTCTGGCGTGTGAGAAGCCAAACCGAAGGTGATATCGGGAATAACGATGGTGAGTGTCTTTCCCTGACACACCTCGCTAGCGCTCGTGTTGTCTTCCTCAAACGACTCGTCATCATGATGCCCATGCTCGGAAAAAGGGGCAAAGTAAACAAAGCCCACAAGACCCTCACCCAAGTTTGCTATGTTTACAATCTCACAATAAGAGCTGGCGCAGCAAGTAAGCGATCACAGAGCCAAAGAAATAGAAAGGGGATGGAACTATCTGTAACCCTCGGCAATACGGAGTAGTTCCGTTGACAATCTCTACAGAATGGATTGAACTAGGGCGGTATTCCAGCCTGTTGAATTTCAACCTCGTGGCCAGCGGAGGCCAGTCAGTCATGGAGCCGACATTTGATGATATGGCCACCAATCCTTTGCGAAGACGACTGCAAATTCACCTGCACAGAATACTTACTGTATTCTTTGATACCTATCTAATGCCAACTGAGCCAGCCGTGCCGATGTCTAAGGTATTCATGGCCCATTCATGCTCTAGTACTCCAGGAAGTCAAGTTCTCTCTCCCTCTCGAGGTAACTGGAAACCACCAAACCCTTTCCGATCCAGTCATCTCTCAGGAGACCTGAAAGACGCTCATGAAGTTTTGTTCCCTTTACGCCAGCAAATGAATTACCGTAGATAGCAAGAGAACCAAAATCCGGGAATCTATCCCATAACTCGCTAGGTATGCAAGCCCGAACCAAACACCAACCCCAGAACTCACCACTATAACCATTATATCCCGCTTAAAACGTTCATGAAGCGAAGCCAGAACCACAAATAAAACAAAAGAATCCAGTCAGACATATTCCTCACGAATCACGTCCGCCATCCAGCCCAACTCACTCACCAGCTCCTCCAACCCAGCATCCGGGATTGGGCTAGCAAGCATCAGCGGCCCTACCGCGGCTCCCGCTCCAGCAACCACAGCAGGCTGTTGCTGCGCCGCCGCAACACTCAACTTTCTGCCTTCGGTCCCCGCCGTTCGCGGGAGCGAGTACGTGGATAGTGTGGCGGTCAAATGCCGGGCGAAGGGACTCGTTTGATGACCGGCCGTGGTGTTGTGGTTGTTGTCGGGAGGGTCCTCATCGTTTCCAGACGTGTCATCGTCTTCTTCTCCTTCGGAGAGTTCAAAGTCTGGCGGGCAGTGTGAATCCGGGGACTCCGGGACGTGCTGGGGGCGGAGGGCAGAGAGGGGAAATTCTGGGTTTCCACCGGGTGTTCGGTCGGTGTCGAGGGTTGGCAGTCGCGGCGGGGCCCGGGTTGGGACAGGGGGGACGGTCAGGTAGGATGATCCAGGCACTGCTGTTGCTGCATCCCTCATCGAGGCCATTGACATGGCCGGGGAGACTGCTCGTTGAGGTGGAGGTGACAGCCCCGCGAATTCCATCGTCTCGGACACGGCCGAGGTGGCAAAGTTTTCGTCATCCTCATTCTCTTCAACAATGTCCTCCGGAATGTCAATCGTAGGCCGGTCGCAGGTCTCCTGCTCGTGGTCGATCGGCGTGTCGTCCACCAAGAACCTACGCAGCGACTCCGGGGAGATGTCCCTTGACCGGCTACCTTCCGACCTTAGACTCCGCTCATCCTCCGCCCGCCAGTTATGGGTATCCTTGAGCGAAGACGAGCTTAACTTTCGGCTGAAAAACTTGCGTGGCAAGGACATCCAGCGGGAGCTTGGCGACGGTGACCTGGCGGGGCGCTTCTGTTGCAGCGTTCGAAGTGGCGCAGTACCCAGCCGGCGACTCGGTTCCGGCGGTGTTGGTGCTGGCCTTGGCGAGACAAACTTGCTGGCAGGATCCATCGTCTTGAAGTCCTCATCACGCAATGATGTCAAGGAGGCGCTCCGTTTCCTGCGGGATTGCTCGACGGGAATGAAGAGGGTGTTGACGGTCTGCCCGGGAAGATACGGGCACATATTGGTGGATGGCTGGGACGGATCGTGGGTCTCAGAGGTCCCGTCGAGTTCATACTGGACGTCTTAGTGACACAGTTCGTCTCGGTTAGCAGCGGTACTCACGTAGTAATAGTAGGTGTGTCCCATCTTGAGACCTCCATTCCGCTTCGGTATCCTCCCAGTATCGCCCTCGCGCGTGATGTCCTTGAAGGTGTAGCAACCCCTCCACTGGCCACGGTCTCGTCGGCTGTCCCGTTCCATTGTGTAGGCCGTGGTAAAATTGTCCCAAGACCCAATGAGATGGACGGCCTTGACTGAAGGAGGTGTTTGTCTTTGGCGTATTAGTGCTCGTTCTTGCCCTGGGGCATTCAACGGAGTGTGCCAGGCGAGGGATGTTGATATGGCAAGCAATAGTGTGGCGCGATAAGCCGGAATGTGAACCCAGGGCTTTGTGAAGGACGTGCGATATGTACAAAACAGAAAGCGAAAAAATGTACGGGAGAGAGACCGAGTGAAAGAGCAAGTTTAAGATCAGTGTGGGACGCAAAGCGTGGGTTGAAGGATTGAGATATACAACGAGTGAGAAAAAGAATAAAAAAGTGTTGAAAGACTCACAACATGAAAGTAAAGAGCGTCGTCGTCGGATCCATGCTGACGGTGGGAGGACTCGCCGCGCCTTCGCGGAACAATGTCAGGACGGCGCAGTAGGTTGACTATATGTGGGAGGAGCGGCCGGTACTCCGTCGGACCTCAGTGCGACCGTTTGGAACGGTTGCCAAAGAGCAGTCCCCGAATAGACGCAAACGATGCAGAGACGAACGTGGCAGCCGTCTTGGTGAATGAAGGGTGCGGCGTCCGACCAATTAAAAAGCCTTAGAGCTCCCGGAAGCGCCGCGATGATGCGCAGACGGAGCCTGCTCCTGGGGTTGACTGAACGGCGCTTAGCCACGCAAGCGGCAGACACAGCGAGGGTCGCTGTTTCGAGTTGTTCTCCAGCCAGCCTTGTTTCGGTAAGGTGGTTGCGGCGTCAACGACAGAAAGTGACGACGGACACTCCAGACTGTGCCGCGGCTGCAAGTCTGTTGGTTAGGTCGACTGAGGAGATGCTATGGCAGCGTAGCACAGCAAGCTTGAACGCGAACTTGGCCAACCTTAAGAACCTTGGAAGGGGTCGCTGGGTGGTAGGCATGCTGGACACAGAGGAGGCTCAGATGGAGCACCATCGAGCATCATTTCTTCTCGCGCCGAGTCGCCGAGAGCTTTCCCCAGGATCCCACGGCTGCCAAGGCTGCCCGGGCTGAGATGATTGACGATGTGCTTTGACCTCCAGTTGCGACATCGAATTGGACCATCGAATGGAACGACAGATTGCAAGCGGCTGACGGAAGGATCGAGGCGTGGGATTGGGCCGTCTTCATGCACCGCTAATCTCGCCAATGGTCCTGTCGCAATGCCCTGGGCACCCATGGCAACGATGTGGGCCAGCCAGTGGGTGACGGGGTGTGCCATGGATCGAGCGGAGGGTTACATCCATCTCCAAGTGTGGCAGCTCAGTTTGGCTGTTTGTGATTGATGAAGCGAGAGCCGCTGGACTTCGATTGAGATTCCCCGCCCATTTGAGATGTTGTTTCCAGTTGACAATGCAGTGGAACGGGCAACTCGGAAACCTGAGCCCATTGTTCTCAAGCAACAATGGGATAACAGAAAGCGTAATGCTTGATCCAGGAAGTTAGCCTGGTCATCAATCCAATCTGATGTAACGCACAACCCTGAAGCTTAGGCGTCAGTCTCAGTCATCCACTGCCCCTGTACGGCGATGCCTTTGCCGCATCAGATCAGCAGCTGCAGGCACTCGGAGTTGCTTTGCATACTATGTACAGCAAGGTAAGTAGGTATCTACAAGGGTTGCTGATTGGACTGCGACCAATTCCAGAAGTGGTACGGAGAAACCAGTCGGACCTCGATGTCTCGGAGTGGATGCAGCACCCGAAGCATGTCTCAGCCGCGCCGAGCCAGCTGTCGGCCTTCAAGATTTCTGTAACATCGTCAACCATCCCTTCCAAGAGATCAGCGCTCTGCAGGAGATCAAGGCGTTGCTTGTTAGATGGTGAACTCAGTCTCGACATCAGCCTGTGCTCTGATTTCCAGGACAGCAAACATAAACCAAAATCGACGGAGCATGGGATGACCGAGACTCGGGGAGGATCGAACGGAACAGGCAGCATTCTCAGCAATCTGGAAGTGGGCCGACTCCTGTTCCTGGGACAGGACCCACTTTGCGGGCCGTTACATCTGCCCTCCGTGATTGGCCAATTCAATAGACGACCTTCAACTGGAGTTCCAAGCTGTAAAGTTCAATGCGCTTTGTCTTGGACGCTGACTGCCACTCAACGACGATAATCTGGAAAGATGCGGGAAAACCATGACACAGATACCTCAGACATCGGTCACTATGCTTGTATCCGTACGGAATAAGCACCAGTCATCCAAACAACTTCCATCTCAATAGCCATCTACGTACACTCTGGTCGGGCCTAGCTACCTGATTTGACCAGGCCGCATCTGCGCAGACCTCAACCCGATGGCGCCAGCACACTTGTGCGACCGCACAAGGCGGCCCATGGCATGAACCGGTTATTTGAGAGGCGGCCATCAGCCGGCCACACGCCAAATCAGCTCATCGGGATGATGGCGGCTTCTCGGCGGTTTCCTGGATTCCTGACAGCTGAACAGCCGAAAAAGGAAATGAAGCTGACACCACCTCTCATTTCAGCCCTAATGAGACATTTCAAGGTCTCTGGAGGAGAAACAGGTGAGATTGTTGCCGATTGGAACAGGAACGATGCGGCTGATGAAGGCGTTCGCTGGGCCCCGGGCCGGCTTCCCATTGTTTCTCGAAGCATTTGTCAGTCTGGAACAGGGCACCGGGGGTCCAAGTGACTCTCCCGTGATCCTATCTTTTGCGAGACGTTTCTGAGTCCGAGCGGGCCCCTCATGTTGTAGTCCTGCATGTTGCACATCCTCAACATCGTCCTTGATGTTTCTAGAGTTGGTATTGAGGCGCGTCACCTACTGTGTATAACTGAGTTCTTACCTGCGCAAGCGGATGCCACCAGTTCATGCCCATCGCAATCCGCTTGTGCATCGATCCGCCCTGAGAGAGACCCTTTACGGCCCGGGCCCGTTACACAAGCCACTCGAAAAGCAATCAGTCAATGCTACACGATGGTCTTCAATCCATCCACTCGCCAACAAACCATGAATCCTTCCCGCCAAACCGGCGCCCTCACTATGGCCATTCCCGCCCGCCTTACCATAAGCACACCATCTTCTGCACACGGTTCCTGACAACAGCAGGTAGTAGCTGCAGCGCGGCGGCAGCGGCAGAGACAAAGACGCCGCAAAACAGCAGAGGGCCGGCGCCACGCCCCGCATCGGCTACGCCGTGTCACCGGAGGCGCCGTGCAACCCTCCCGAGAGAGAGTCAACTCCCGACAATGGCCGCCCTGACTATGTCATATCAAAAGGTATTATCATTAAGTAGTGTAGGTCCGGCAGTGTGGCGTTGTAACGAGCCCGCTCCCACACTCTTCCTCATAACCAACCATCCACCCCCGCGCTCCGGCGAGGACATACACCATCCTCCTAACCCCCGATTATGTCAAGAAAGCCATCATGAGGGTAGTTCTATGTACAGTACACATGCCGGTCTTCAACCCCTCCTCCACGAGGAATATGCTGGACGAAGGGGTTGAGAGGGGGGTTAGCCAAACAGGCAGAAACCGCACGAGACGCCTCTCATTTCCCACCACTCCAAACCCCAAAATGCAGAATGTCGTACATGTCGATGCGCCAGCTCTGGAAATGCATCCAAAGCCAGGCCGCTGTCTGTCATGTCTTCCCAAGACAGAAACCACGCACGCTGACCCTTCCGCTTGTCTGAAACCGGAATCCAGCTGTCGGATCACCCGCACAGCGAAGTGTTCACCGACAAGGCGAAGCCAGTCCCTCATCAACCCAACTCAGCCAAGCCCAGTGGAAAGTCAAATCTACTTCGCCACCTCGGCCTTCCCATTCCCATTCACCGCCTCCTCTCTCCTCCCAGCCTTCTCCTTCGCCTTCTCCCTCTCCCGCTCATACTTGAGCTTCACATCTCCCTTCCACATGGTCCCGAGCCACCGGTCCCAGATGGTGAAGAAGGGCTGCGAGAAGTTGGTCTTAATGCCCCAGCTCTGGTGGTGTATGTCGTGGTACGCCGCGTTATTACTCGTGAGGTGCTGCAGCGGGTCCCACGGCAGCGCGTACCCGCAGTGATCGTCAACCGTTTTGACCATGCTGGCCACGAAGAAGAACATGCCCGCGCGCTGGCTGAGGAAAGCGCACTTGTACGCGACCGCGGCGCCCAGCGTGTCCATGAAGAATCCTTCTACCGGGTGGTTGTACAGGGCGCCGTAGGCGTAGGGGACGTAGAGGCGATGGTGGCGGATGTGCCAGTGGGCTGGTGGGAGGGAGAGAGATGTTAGTTTTGGTTCGGAGGGATGGAGGGGTCGGAGGTGGAAGAGAGGTAGGGGAAGAAGAACGTACTGTACATCCACTTGTTGAGGTGCATCGCCCGGTGCATAAAGTACTGCCAGGTGTCGAGGAAGCAGGTGGCGAGCCAAAGTTGGAAGCCGGGGATCAACACCCAGTAGATGGCCTTTGCGAGCAACAGCTCCCATGTCGCGAATGCCGGGACAGCGGTGCCGGTGACCTCGTCAAAGGTTGTAGTGAGGGACGGGTAGTGCCCGCCGGCGAGGGCGCCGGCAAGGAGCGGGTAAGATGTAGCCATGTTCTTGGAGATTGCCGCGGCGTTGAGACCGAGCGTTCCGAGAATGGACGGCAACGCTCGCTGCGCCAGACGAATGCGGGTTGCCCAGACGGCAACGTCATATTCCTCCATGCCTGTCGTTTGTTGTGGTTCTGTCAATGACAGGACGGCGCCTGACGCGATCTGGATGATCTGCTCGATAATAACATCTCGGGCCACCTCGTACCGCGATGCCAGGTTGCGCTGCGTGATCTCGTCTGGTGTGTGTAGCCGATATTGCGGGAACAGGTCGTAGACGTCGATAAAGTGGAAGAACATTGATACGACCCAGTACGCGATGTGCGGTAGGATGAGTCCGAGCCAAAAGTCCGAGATAAAGGGCAGGAGGTCGGGCATTGGCTGGGTCTCGTATGCCGGCAGTGGTGGGAGATCGGACGTCATGGTCGCGTTCGCCATGGTGCGATCAGGGGACGGGGGCCGTGTCAGCGGCGGACTGAGAATGTGCGGGCAAAAGAAAGTGGGTAGAAAGAAGATGCTGCCTTGCGACAGCGGCAGAATCAATCAATCAGTGCAAGAAAGGACGATCACCGGGAGTGACTGAAGGAGAGGCGCGGAGGTGCTAGAATAATCGTATGTATGGGAAAAGACGATCGGCTTGTGGAGATGCCGAAAGGCCCTGAATGGCGAGAGTCGATCTGCACGGTCCAGATTTCAATTTCCCATCCGTCAAGGTGTCTGACCACCAGTGGCACCACTGATGACTAGATCGGGTGTTCAGGAACAGCGAGCGACTGAGCAGACTTGAATACGCAATCACTCTCAGCTAGGGCACGCATCAGACAGTAGAATTCGCAGAGGTTGGCGCATGGCATGAAGCAGTTTGATATCAGGTGCGTGCCTTCCATAAAGTTGCTGGGCTTGGCAGAGCTCTCTCAACCCGAATGGCCGACGGACATAAGCTAACTTGAGTGGCCAGCCGCCAGGTGTTCGGCATCGCCGAGTTCCTTGTTGCTGGGTTAGGGGGTTCTCTCGTCTCATAGACTCAAATGCCGGGTTAGGGTTGGCATTAGTGTAGACAACGCCGAGCCTGTTCCCGCCCTGGTGACCGGAAATACTAGATGGACTGTGGCGGTGCCTACGGCAGCGCTGGTAATTACTCCGTACATCCGTACCTAGAGTTGCTTTGGGGTGCCGGAAACAGCTACCCATATAACTTAAGAGTCACGATGGGATAATCAGGGCATGATCATGATACATTTGCTGAATAAATACTCGGAAAGGCATCTACATGGACCGGAAGTGCCGAATTTGAGGGTACAACTGATCTACCTGTATCACCTGTGAGTTCTGCTGTAAATTGTTTGGCCAGCACCGAGTGGGCACAGTCATTGTAAACGCTGGCTTTCGCACCTGGCGATCTTGCCCCGCCTACCCCTCCTCGACCTCCTTGCCCCCGCTCAATTTTTTCCTAGCACTCAAACCTATCTCTTTTTGCGGCCCGCCTTGTCCAGAATCTCTGCCCTATCTCCTCAGATAATACAGACCGACCATCAAGATGATCATCTACAAGGTGAGCCGCCCAATCCCCAGGAAACAACAGCAAGGGCACCGTGATGCCACACAATGCGAGCAGCGGTCTTGCTAACGCCAGTTCTCGTGAACCAGGACATCATCAGCGACGACGAGATCATCTCGGACTCGTACGACCTCAAGGAGGTCGACGGTGTCGTCTATGAGGCCGACTGCGCCATGATCGTCGAGGGCGCCGTTGAAGTCGGTACGTACGATCTGGCGACCCCTTCCCTACCAAATTACACAGCTTACGTGTCTCGGGGATTGGCTGGTGGTAGAGTTTTCCATGCTAACCGGGGGTAATCTGGTCAGACATTGGCGCCAACGCGTCCGCCGAGGAGCAGGAGGAAGGAGTTGAGGATCAGGCCATCAAGGTCAACAACATCGTCCACTCATTCCGTCTCCAGAGCACTCAATACGACAAGAAAAGCTACCTCCTGCACCTCAAGGGTAGATCAACACTCTTTCGGGCGGGCTGTTTTTGAGTGAGACGACGCAATTGCTGACTCGGTTTCTCCCCCCGTCTCTAGGCTACATGAAGGCGCTCAAGACCAAGTTGCAGGAAGCCGGCAAGTCGGAGGAGGAGGTCAAGGATTTCGAGGCCAAGGCCCAGGTCTTCGCCAAGAAGATCATCAACAACTTCAAGGACTGGGAGTTCTACACGGGCGAGTCCATGAATCCCGATGCCATGTGAGTCGTTCTATTCTCCCACGTCCGAAACTCCTAGTTTCGCTAACTTGCCCAGGGTCGTCCTCCTCAACTACCGCGAGGACGGTATCACCCCTTACGTCGTCGTCTGGAAGCACGGTCTCAAGGAGATGAAGGTGTAAGGGGCTGGAGTCGCCTTGTCTATATACCAAGATTCATCCAAAAGACTTGGAGCCCATTATTCCCGCCCGCATCGCTTTTCCTGCTTTCGGCATATGCATGGACGTGCAGCACATTGCGTCTGCTTGAGTTACCCCGTAGAGGCTGGGCGTAGCCATCGCCTACCCAACAACGACGTATTGATGTCTCTGCCGTTTCCCACTCATTTACTTGATTGCTCTCCTGATGAACAGTTGCGCTACATTCGGCCTTGCTGCTGCCCAACGGTTTGGATTTAAATAAGATGAGTGCTCCTCACTTGAACCACGCCAAAAAAAATTCCCACCTAGAACTGAGGCCTCGTGGCTAAGGGTATCGGCGGCGGCGGCGGTCCATCGCTCTGATCCCGTGTCGGTCCCTGCCCCTGCTGTCCCCCGACAGCACCGCCCACCCCACCGCCAAACCCAGCAATTGTCTTCTTCTTTGGCGGCGGTGGCGGCGGCGGTTTTTTCTTCCTGGCTACTACAGAAGCGGGGGCAGCAGTAACAGCCGACTTGCTTATATCACCTCCTTCTCCTCTACCGTGGGCCCCTCCTCCTCCTTCTGCTGCACCCGCAGAAGGCTTGAGTTGGGCAAAGCGGTATTGCAGTTCGCTCATGTTGGGGTGGGATGGAGCTGCCGAAGAGACGCTGCCTGAGTGTGAGGGGGCTGGCGGTGCTGGTGAGGTTGTGGCTGAGTCTGAGGTGCCGATGCCCAGGCCGGGGACCGAGATCCCTGCTGCGCCCAACCTGTTTAGGTAGCCCTCTGCCGCCCCTGGCTTTGGCCGGGGCCCTGGTCCCGGGTTTGGGGATAGTGCGGCGGGACGGGCAGGTAGGGCCGGGCAGGCTGCTGGAGAGGGGGTGGTCGATGCTGAGCGGGGAGGGAGCCGTGGTGGGAGCGTTGGAGGGGCGGGTTGACCTCCCGGCGCTGACGCTGCTGCTGAGGGTGGCGGGGAAGGACGGACTGGTGGTGGTGGTGGTGAGCGTCCGTCTGCTCCGGGTTTTCTTCCTGGGGGCGGCGGGAGGTGGGCGATGGAAAGACCCGTAGTGTCGAGGCGCCATGGCTTCGGGGTAGCGGGCGGCTCGTCGGATGCTGGCTCCGAAGCTGTACCTGGCCGTGGAGGCATGGTTGGTCCCGTCTGGGATGTTGGGGATGAGGAGGATGCCGGGCTGGCTTTTCCGACAACGGCGTTGGGATTGCGCTTGGGTGGAGGGGCGAAGCTGGCTGGGTCACGCAGGGACGAGAGAGGTGGAGCGGCGTGGTTGCTATGGCGGGTCTGTATGTAGTTGCGTCTCATCGTCAGCTGGAAATTGCGCGAGTTCCAGGCTCAGCAGAGGAGCTTACTTCCTCACCACGACCAATCAGGCTTCTCTGCAAAGCATTAGTGAAAGTATTCAAGTGTGAGACGTGCTGAGGATTAGCGTCCATACCACCTGGCCCTTGAGCGTCGTCCCCTCCTTTTCGGGATGCCATCCTCGTTTGAGGATGTCTTTATATCCAGACATGGTGACGTTACGAGTTGTTGAATTGCGAGCACAACGCACAAAGGACTTGAGAACAGATCTGTTTTCAAGTGTTCTCAGGATGTGAAGTAGTCCACGAAATTCAGGCTGGGAAGCGAAGTAATAAGTGAACCAGACAAGTTGAGTGAGCTGCAGTTGAGTTGTGGATTCAGGTCGACTGTCGGGCCCACTTAGAGACGGCCTAAACTCACTCGGGTAACCCGTCTCGCCCGCCTAAGCCCATCCTTCAGATGCAGATGATCGATCATCTTCTCATTGTTGCAATCTCAAGACGGCTCAGGTCTGCTTTATCAGTGGTTATTCACGGATGAGAACGAAATCAATGTGCAACAGAGTCCGAACGTGGCGTGTGACTACCCCGGCTCAGGCACCGGTAGGTTCGTGGTGCCTTACCCCTTTTCATGACAGCACCAAATACAACACTGCATTTGTACACGAAGACTCCTGCTTAAGGATTGCTACAGACCTGTATATACACAACGGCACAGCTCCACAGCCATCTCTATAATATACTTCCCCGATCGACGACAGGACTGACCATCTCCGCCTCGTCCGCCAACCCAACAGCCCTCAGCAAGCCGGCGCTCTCCCCCTCCCCTGCCTCTCTGGCCATGCCTGTCTGCATACCCCCAGCATCTGCCATCCCTCCCCTAACCCCTCCACCCGCCATGCCGCTCGTCCGTCTTGTCTCCTCCGCCCCGTTCAGCACATACCACACATCCTTCTTAGTCAGCAACCCCTGCAGCACCCCGCGATCCACAAACAGCACATAGCGCAGCCCGAGCTTCTGGAAATACGTGACGGCCAAGTGCATCCGGCACCTGCTGGGCAGCGTGAGCGGGGTCTGGTCCATCCACGGCCTTAGGTCCAGTGTCGTGCGCGGGTCGGCGAGCGGCTGGTGCGCGAAGTAGGCCTCGGTCTCGGGCGGCAGGGAGCGCGGCGGCTGCGTGGCCGCGTACAGGGTGTAGGCCAACTCGGCGCGGGAGATGTACCCCAGTAGGATGGCGTCACGCGGGTCCGAGACGACGGGGAAGCCGCGGTAAGGGTGCGACTCGAGGATGGAAGACAGCGAGGCGATGGTGTGCCCCGCCGCGGTCAGCACGACAAGGTCCTCGATGCGCGTCATGATCTGGGCTGCGGGGATGTCTGGGATTGGGGTTGTTTCTTCCGAGTTGTCGAGGAAGGGGTACTCGTTGAAGTGGATCCAGGACTCGTAGATGCCGCGCCGGGAGAAGGCGTCGCCAACCCATTTGGAGATCATGACGGCTATCATGATGGGCAGGACGTAGGTTAGGGCGCCCGTCAGCTCGAACATGATGACGACGATGGAGACGGTCATGCGCGTGACACCGGCCAGGGCGGCGGCGGCCCCGATGATGGCGTAGGTGCCGGGGGTGATGCAAGGAATGTCGGGTTCGCAGGAGTGGAAGGCGATGAATTTGGGGTGGTTGTGCTGCCACATCTCCATGATGATGCCGGTTGCCCGTCCTGTGAGGGCTCCAATGGCCATGGATGGCAGGATGATGCCAGCGGGAATTTGCAGGCCAAAGGTGATGGCTGCGAGGCAAAAGCTCAGCATGGCAGCTACCATGAGCAGGACTATGTTCCCGGACGAATCGGCGCCGTTTTTGCACAGACCGAACTGGTCATCCAGCAGTCTTGAGCACTCGGCGAAGAGGTTGGATACCAGATCAGAGTTTTGGGACCGCATATAGCGATTGGGATAATTGACCAGGGCGGTGAGGCAAGCCACGATGACGACCTGGGCCACAGGGCCGGGCAACCGTGCAGTAGATTTCCTCCACCGGGCGACCTTCATGTTGGCTTTGATAAAAAGGCCGCCGTAGATACCACCGAGGATGCCCAAGATAACGAAGGGGACGAGCTCGAAGCCATGCCAGCTTGAGCTGTACGTTACCTGGTACAGGACCAGCTTTCCCGACCGGAAGGGGTCAAACGCTTGGAGCACCATGGCGGCTGTCATGGCGCACACAAAGCTCTGCCACATGGTCTTGTCGGGGAAGTAGTAGGATAGTTGCTGTTAACGTTAGCGGCGCGGCTTTAGAAGGAATAGTCTGCTGACCTCGAGCGAGAAGAGCACGCCGCCAATGGGCGACCCAAAGGCGACGGATATCCCAGAGGCGGCAGCCGCAGAGAGCACCTCCCTCTTCCGCGCTGGGGAGAATTAGCGCCCATGTAACCATCAAAATAGGAGGTCCGCATAAGGTACCTTCATTGTTGTTGATGCTGGGAAACAGCTTGGTAAACAAATTGGCGCAGCAGCAGGCAACATGGACCAACGGGCCCTCCTTGCCCAACCACATGCCGGACGCCACGGCCAGAATCTGTCACGTTAGCACCACACACACACAGACGGAATTAGTAGATGGACAAGAACTTACCAAGCCCAACGACTTGGTAATCAAAGTCCACACCCCCAGAAACCGCCTGATGACAAACCCGCCCAGCACCGTCTTGAGCTCTGGTATGCCGCTATGCTTGGCATAGATCGCATACTCCTTGACGAGCACCGCCGCCAAAAGCGCAAACGTGACCTGCACCAACCTAATCAGCTTCTCAGCCCTCCTCCCAGAGCCAAAAGACGGAAGCACCCACAGCCAAACCCAAATATACGGCCCCCTCAACCACCCACTGACCCACCCCCTCCCCAACCCCAACAACCGCCCCCCACCTCCTCCACCCGCGACACTGAACCCCCTCATCATATCCCAAACAACACGCATTCCTCCCCAGATAAAACCTGCCCCCATCCACGCCACTGCTGCAAAACCCATACTTGACATCCCCAAGCCAATCCGTGGCGACATCGATCCCCGCGGCGAGCACCCCGACCGCGAGCCCCGTCAGGATCAGCACCACCCACACCTGGCTGGCGTCGAGCAGCCTCTGGACGTAGCCCAGCAGGGGCAGCGGCGACTGGAGGGTGCGGGCGCGCAGGGCGCGCTGCCGCTGGCGCTCCTTGGTGTACTCGAAGATCCAGTCGATCGCCGTCAGGTTTGCGTAGCCCACGCGGCGGCCGGGGCCTTCGGCGTTCCAATCGCGGGAGGGTTGGGCGTTGTCGTCGGCGTCCGTGTCGCGGGGGTTGGAGGGGAGCGGTTTGAGGTTGAGGTGGGTTGGCATGGAGGTGGCAGGGGGAGGTCGGGGCAGGTCATGGCTTGTTCGGGAGGTGAATGCGGGTGTGTGGAAGAGGGAGGTGATGAGACGGGCTGGACTGGGTAGGAGGCTGGGTTGGGTTCGTTTGCGCTTGAAGGTGAGGGGGGGGGAGAAGTCGGGTTGGAGGGGGTCGTCGCGGAGGAGGGTGGTGTCGTTGTCTTCGTCTTCGCCGTTGCCGGCAGTGCGCTTATGAGGTGGGTCATCGCCTAGAATGAGGTCCAGCTCGTCGGCGTCGTCGTCATGGGTGTAGATGCCATTGCCATGGCTGTTCGCGGCCCTCGACGACGACGCCCCATTGTTCATTGCGCTGGTCAGGGGCATGTTGGGTGTCACGGTGGTGTATGGGCCATTCTCATAGCATGTGGGTAAGTAGGATCAACTTTGTCTCCAGGGCTTCTTCGAAAAGCCGCCGCGCGTCTCGGACTTGGAGGTCGGATTGTCCTTGTCGTCGGCGTGCCATAGCGATGTTGCGTCCACGCGCTATCTTATCGCCAGGCTTGGGGCTGAATAGCGTGGTCCGTGCGGCTTTGGGTGGTTGCAAGGATCCAGGGCTGATTCTCAGCCTGCAGCTCTGCGGCGGAACTTCCAGCCTAAGAACAACAACTGCAGGTGCCATGACGGAATCGCACGGTGCTCTGTTGAACGCATCCACCAAAGTTGAGTTTCAACGGTCGAGCCACCTGACTTCGGGTACTCGTGTCGCAGCACAAGCCGGAGCTCACCCTAAAGTCCAGATAGAAATGTACTATCCATGTACTTGTACCTAGACGTCTCTCATTTTCCGAGGTACAACTACGCTTGCGATGAACGAGTTTGCTGAGGTGGCCAAAGGCCATGGCCAGGGCCAGCAGGGTCCCTCAATTCATAAAATGAAGACCCTGCTTGGAGCAGAGGACGATACATCGCGCTTTGTCGGCCTTGCACTACTCAAGTCGGTCCTGGACAATACGCCAGAGCTGCGCAATGATGAAGAGGCCATCGTCTCGTTGTGGGAGAGCATCCCTCCCAAATTCCTCGACAGGTTGATCAAAACCGGGTCCAAGCCGCACAAATCGTTGGAAGCATCATCAGAGTCATCGCGCAAAGACGCCAACGACATGTTGGATCTCGCCGTATCCGTGCTCCATACCTTTGCAGCCTTGCTTCCGGATAATGCGAGGCACAATCCCAAACTGCTCGACAGGATACCACAGCTTGTGTCCTCTCTGCTTCACTGGTAAGGCCCCTGCTTCGCCCATCGCCGTTTGCATAATCAGATTCTGATTTTCAGACAGCTCGGATGACACTACGCGGCTCGCGCTCGAGACTCTGTTGAGCCTGGTGAGCCATCCAGACGGTGCCACGGTTTTCACAACAATCAAAGACTTGTCGCCCCTGACGGAGATGGCACCCTCGCAACCGCTTGCCCTGGAGACACTGCTCCATGCGTGGCTCAACGTCATGACAGCAACGCCAGACAAGAGCAACTTGAGATTCAAGATCGACAGAACCATCAACAGTCTGGTCTCATCGTTCAAGGGAACCGATGCTGTCACCCTCCTGAACTTCCTCGCAAACTTGCTCCCCCGTTTGGAGCCAGAGGTCAGTTGCACATGAGCATAGCATTCCAAGCAGCCTACTTACCAGTTATTACATAGGTCGTACCACCCAATCCGAAATGGCTACCTTCCCTCGGACACTTCATTCGCAATCTCGTCGCAAGCCGCCCCAACGCCGCCAGCCGCAACGCCTTCACCAATCTTTCCGCCGCCCTCCTCGAGCTCTACCCGTTCCAAGCCCCGCAACTCCTGTTCACCGACAAATCCACCACTGACACCGCCCCCTTCTCCTACCTCCTCGTCAACCTCCTCCTGGTCGACCTCCGCGCGACCCTTCCAACCCTCCTCCCCCAGCTTAATAGCCCGGACTACCCCTCCACCTCGCGCCGCCTCACATCCGCCTTCAACACCATATCCCATTTCATCGGCTACCTTTTGCGCGCCATGGACGCGGACTCAGACAACCACGGTCTCTTGATATCCCCCGACCACCTCCTCAAGCTCCGCAAATCTATTTCCGAAACGCTCTCCCTCACGACCGAGTTCCTCCGCGACCGCTGGGACGCCGCCGTCGCGGGCGCACTGGGCCTGCACCCGGACGCCCGCGCGGCCGAGGCCGTCACCGCATCGGGCGTGTCGCACCTCACGCTCGCTTGGAATATCAAGAACGCGGAGGGTGGAAGTGGGATGGGCGTTGCTGACGATCCGCTTGCCCTTGCCGCTGTGCGGACGTTGGCGATTTGGATCCGCGAGGACGAGAATGAGTTGCTCAGGAAGGAGGTGAGTGGGTTGGCGGATATGCTGGTTGATTTGTATCGATCTTCTTCGGCTGCGGGGACGGTGTTCGATTTTCGAAGGGCGGTGCTCGTTGCTTTTGAAGGCCTTGTGGCTGAGCGCAAGGGGAGGGAGGTGGTGGTGGAGAATGGCGGGTGGGAGGTGCTCGCGGGGGATTTGATTGCTATTCTCGAGGCGAGTTCTTCTTCTTCCTCCTCCTCCGGGAGTCTCGAGGAGGATGCGGCGAGAGGGGTGGAGATTGTGCGCGTGCTGCTGCAGATTGCTGAGGCTGCGAGGCCTGGTTCGAGGGAGGCCTGGATGGATCTCGTGACCAAGGTCGCGGCTTGGTATGTGCCCGAGGCGGACCAACCTTCTGTGGTGCTGGAGTGTCAGGTTGCCGCGCTGCAGCTAGTCACGGCGCTATTGGCGAACACGCATCCTGGAATGCAGAAGCGGTATGTGCATTCGACGACTGCCGTGTTAGGCATTGCGAACCAGCTGCGGGTGAAGTTGAGAAGGGATGAGGCCTTGGACGAAGCGCTGGAGGACGTGTTGGGGACGCTGGCTGCGCTAAGATGAGACCTGCCGGTTGTGTGCCGGGGAAGGCGAGTTGACAGGCGGGCATTCCTTCCGTTCTGGTAACAATTCAGCAGAACTGTACAGAAAACCTGGTTGATTACCATCTACATCTGGAGAGCTCTAGGAGCTCTGGAGCTTACCACCCTAGGACTTCCATTTACCCTATGATTTCTCGCGTTCCGCTTATCTCGGCCCTATCCGGGACGGCTCTAAATTTCTTGTGAGGAACAGTTCCGACTCCTATCGTTGTTCAACTTATGCCTTTGCATCTCAAACATCGACATCAGACATTACAAGCCCGTCCTAGCAGAAGAGGATGCCTTGCATGCCTCCACGTCTTCATCAAGGGTGTTTACCAAACGCTTTATCAGCACCCCGAGCAGAATGTTTCATGGCCTTCCCTGCCTCTGTTGGAGGTGCCGAGGAGGCCTCATCCCAAGCACACGCATCTCCGTAGCATCAGTGAGAGTCAGCTTTATACCCAGCCTTGGGAAGATGGTATGTGATATTTGCGCAGTCTCCTCCTAGTTGATTCAGATCGAGCATGCAAATTCCAGGAGCAGATATAATCTTAATTCATTCGTTTCTGACGCATGGCTTCAGTTCGCCACACCTCGCATCACTTTGCTCATGCTCGCACGAGGGCACCGCCGCATGCCAACTTTGGGGTAGATGCCCTCCTTGAGCTCTCCAATTCCGTGAGGGAGTCGCTCGCAAGGCAAGGCGGCTTCGGCCCGAGGGCGGACTGCATGTCTTTCTTTTTAGAGCTTGCACTTCTCGAAGAACGAGAAGGCGTGCCCACGATCAATTTCGAGACAATCAAGGTAGCTCGCCTGGACAAGCTCGTCGCCACTTTGATCGAATGCGGCCAGATATCCGATAGCCTGCTCCCGAGATACGTCCACGATGTTGTCACGGCCGAGAAGTTGGACCATCTCTGGCGGACTCGCTTCAAGCTTGACTACTTTATGATTGACGAGATACGGACCCATGATCTGACGACGCGGTGGCAGCTGGATGGAAGGCCGGTCCGTCTGCGAAGCATTACTTTGCCCACCTCCTTAGCGCTCCAGGAGCTCGGCTCTACTGTTGCCCGTAACGTCAAGGCCAACATCAGGCCTGGGGGGTACTTTTCCCATGATTCCTTGCGCCCAACTCTTCAGCTAACAGATGGAACAGATGGTGGCCGGACATGACTTGCGCCCATCTGGATGGCGTGGTTGGGACGGAGTGCGAAATGACAAGCAAAGGCGATGACGGAATTCCTACATTGCCCCTCCTGAGTGGGAGAGAGGTTGCCATCGGCAACAACAGAGTGAGGTATCTTCGGGAGGGTACTTTAGCCGACATGCATCCAGCTCTCATACCCCAAACGGGGAAGCATGTCCGCGTCCTGAGAGGCCACCTGCTCCATAGCCACTTTGCGCCAGCGGCCGGCATCCGGAACGATGGCTTGTAGGTCCTCCCGAAACCCCATGTTTTGACAGCTAACTGAAAGGCTTTGCTCAGGTGGGGAGTACTCAGATTCAGGGAGAAGCTCAACAAAATAACTGGATTCTGCCGGCTAGAGCTGGATCTCGAGCAAGTCCCTGGCCAACTCCCCATGTCAGAGCTCATGGGGATTCCAAGGCCCTCGCATCTTGACGATTGGAACTTGTACCAGACTCTCAAGGCGAAGAAGCCCAGCCAAGTCAGAAAGACCAGAATGGCTTGGTGCTCAGAACACTAGATGGAGTGAATTGTAGGACATCACGGTCGAGACATGGACAGAGGAGACACAATCACAAGGGACTTAAAGGCTGACACTGATGTGTAAAAAGCAGCTGCATGTTCAAGATGTAAAGAACAGATTCACTTACAAGTCAACATCGAGTAGCAGAACAAAACAGAGAAGGTTGTTCTACTACGGCGGAGAACAGCTAATCCATGACCAAGATGTAAGGGGCCAGGTCATGATTGAACCGAACCGTCTTACAATGTACAAAGCTGGAGAAGCACTTTTATCTTCCCGTGTACTCTGGAGAAGCAGAGCGAAACTAGGAATTTTATAACCTAAGTAGACGCTGTAGGCAGTGCTCAGGGATTGCCCGAAGACTGGTCCATTCAACCCTAACCCGCGCTTCACTTCGCTCTTCTAAGAGCTGCTCCTCCACACAACTTCCATAACTTCACCTCACTTGTCTCACCCACCCTAGGTAACTCACCATTCACAATCCAAGGTACCACTTCACCCCAAATACCCTCTTCTAGAACTTATTGCCGCCTGCTATCCTTCCCAATAGGCTCAGAGATACACTACTCTGTTCATACAAACACGCCATGGGTAAATCAAAGGGAGGAAGCAGTGGGGGCAAAGCAGACAAGTCCAACAACAAAAAGGGTTCCAAGGGCGACAGTAACGAAGGCAGCGACACCAAGACCACCAAGCTCAAGGGTGCTCAGAGCATTAACGTCAGGCATATTCTCGTATGTTTTCACACCCCTTACCCTCCCTGCTCTCTTGACTTGCCCAAACTCTGGACAGCCAAGGATCGTGGCATGTATCGATGAAATGCCTTCCGTACTCACGCTGGCGTTTTAGTGTGAGAAATTCTCCAAGAGTGATGAGGCAATGGAGAGGCTGAGGAACGGGGAGAAGTTTGATGCCGTGGCCAGAGACATGTCAGAAGACAAGGCGAAAGCGGGTAAGTGCCGCCCCGGACAGAGGGTCATGGGCAAGCTCACACAGTAATGCTATCTACATGCAGGAGGGTCACTGGGCTGGCAAATCAAAGGCAATCTGGATCCTGACTTTGAGAAAGTCGCCTTCGAGCTGCCGGCCAGCTCAGTCGACAGTCCGAAGTTTGAGAGAGTCAAGACTGGGTTCGGGTATCACATCATCATGGTCGAGGGCCGCAAATAGGGATTGGTTGGGCGCCAACCGAAAATGTCAGTTGTGAGGCTTCTTTTGATTTTGTCTTGCCACTTGAGGTTCCCATGCCGTATGCAAAGGGCAGCCGTGCGAAGGGGCTCCCGTTTCCCCCGCCACCTAATGCCAGCGTGTGGGGAGCCAGAGTACATCCGAGAATCATGTCGTGGACCGCAACCCAGGAGGGGAGTCCTTCTCGACATATTCTATCTATGATATCCCCCTTCCTTCTTCCCTCCGGGGGGACTGCCGCTACCCTCAACTGAACTCGGTCCGCTTAAGCCTCAGATTGGAAGTAGTTGAGGAGGATGGAGCGCTCCTGCGACTCCTCACCCCAGTCCTTGACGACGACGCAAGAGCAGTTGACAACCTTGCGGGCGTTGCCCTCGCGGTCGAGGACGCCTGCAAACACAGCCGAGTCAGTACACCACACTCCTCCTTTCTTTCCATCGAAGCATTTTCCGGGCCCACTCACAGAGACCGGCCCACTCGCCGAGCTGCTTGCCGTCGGGGACCTTGATGAGCGGGATCTTGTGCTCCGAGCAGAGGGCGATGACGAGCTTCTTGTAGGCCTCCTCCTCGCACGACTCATTGAGCACGCACATGTGGGCCTGCCGCCGGTCGAGGGCCTTGGAAGCCTCGCGGAGGCCGCGGGCCAGACCGTCGTGCATCAGAGACAGCTTCAGGACGCCCTTGAGCGCATCCAGAACCGACATCTGGCCCTTGGAGGCATCGGCCGACACCTCAACCTCCTCCGACACCTCGGGAACGTTGGTCTCTTCTACGTCCGACTAGATGCGGAAAGCCATGGTCAGCGGGGTGTTTTGGGTCGAAGAAAACAAGTGCGGGTTTGCCGCCTTTCGATGCGGGAATCGGTCTGTGCTGATCGAGAGAGCATAACTCGGAGGGGAGATCGGAGTTCTCACCATCTTGACGTTTTTGTTTGCGGGTAAGCTGTCGGTTACGATCCTCGAAGAGAAATTGGTAAATGATTTCGCTTTTCGTGTGTTGGAAGAGGGATCTTGGCTCGTCTATGAGAATGTCAAGATTAATGTGTGCGGGCTATCGGCCCCACCCAATGGTGGTCGTCGCAGGATTCCACAAACTAGCACGGATCAGGCAAGCGCACAAACCCATAGCGCGGAGTTAGGGCAAGTTTTTCATGCACGGGCCACCACAGCTCTGGCGTCCATTGAATTTTCTGGATGGACGAACTCCTCCAATCCTCAACCCGATCAACCACGGCTTTTCGACGCAGGCACAAGTGAGAGGTATGTAAAACACCACCACGAATATGACTCGCCAACAGGAATATGCTTTTTGCGAAGGCCGAGGAGAGCAATCATGGGGCTGTCGAGGCTGTCCCTCGATACGCTTCTCCTCATCGGCAACTGAGCAGGCAGAACCCTCTTGATCTGTCGACGAGGGCACTCTCCACGCTCATCGAGCCTCGAAAGGCTAACGTAACGCGCTTCGGCACGCTGGCAGATACCTCTTATCCTCTTGACGATTTGAGAATCTCCATCTCGACCACACCAGAACCGCCAACATGGTCCGCACTTCCGTCCTGCACGATGCCCTCAACAGCATCAACAACGCCGAGAAGGCCGGCAAGCGCCAGGTCATGATCCGCCCTTCGTCCAAGGTCATTGTCAAGTTCCTGCAGGTCATGCAGCGCCACGGTACGTTGCTCCGCGCACGAACTGCGTCTCGACCCGTCAGCTCTCGGCGTTTCGGCCGTCAGCTGTCCCACAGATTTGGAAGAACCTCGCGACTCTTACCCGAGCCTCCCATATTCGGCATGATAACTAGGCAACGGTCCATTCCGCCCCACGATCGAAGCCCTTTAAGTTGCCGAGAAATTGAACACCAATGCGAGGGTCTTACACGTTCTCGGAGAATTCCAATGATGTCCAATGTTTAATCTCGCGCAACAACAAAAAACTGACAGAATGATGTTTTTAGGCTACATTGGCGAGTTCGAGGAGGTCGACAACCACCGCAGCGGCAAGATCGTTGTCCAGCTCAACGGCCGGTGAGTGCAGATGCAGATCAACGTTGCACGCTTCCAAGTTCCTTTACTGACTGTGTGGCCAGCCTCAACAAGTGCGGTGTCATCTCCCCCCGCTACAACGTCCGCCTCGCCGAGCTCGAGAAGTGGGTTGTCAAGCTTCTCCCTGCCCGTCAGTTCGGCTACGTCATCCTCACCACCTCGGCCGGTATCATGGACCACGAGGAGGCCCGTCGCAAGCACGTTGCTGGCAAGATCATTGGCTTCTTCTACTAGACCATGAAATCGAATGAGAGACGAAGGGATTTTTAATGGCACAAAGCTGGGCATATGTGCGGCGTTGAACTGTGTTTGAGGGATACCCTGCTGTGAATAGAATAAGGCCTGCATTTTTGACAGACAGGAAGAACTGCCGCCGATCTCGCCCGTTGATTGTCCCGGTATTTCGCTGCCAAGCCCTGGCCCAAGATATCCTGAGATGGGGATAATTGTGAGACTTTGATTGAGCAAGTGACAATCTCCGAATCTTGAACCTGGAACCACCGGCTGTTGACACAATCGGGACTTCTTTGACGGTCCATCATCAGAAGCTGCATTCAGTGGGCTCCTGACTGTCCAGTGTACATGTAGATGGCCGGCTTGGGCTCCTTTTTGATCTCCTAGTATTAACTGCATCTGATCATACATATGGCAAGAACAATACCAAGGTCCCTATATGCAAGGCCTATAAAGAGGTCTTGCACGCAAAATAATTATGGGTTTGAGCTGAGAATGACTGATGACGGAGGCTCAGCCGTGCATTAGCTGTTTGGGGAAGTCCGAGCCGGCAATTCCAAGCATTCCTATTCTAACCTTAAATAACCATGCACAGTCACTTTACTAAACCAGCCTTTTCACAATCGCTACGTAAGCCGTTCTCGGACTGTCGGCGCATGGCCAGTTTCGCTCTCAGAACTCCACCGTAAACGACGCCTCGAACACCTTACAAGCAAGCACCAAGTCCCCAACCCAGTTTTCTATTTTCTCCCACACTTTCCCCTGACGATCCCGTCGTCGACCCAATGACAATCGGATACCCCACGGCCGCAGGGAGAGAGCCGCCGCCCCCAGACGACACGGTCGGATACAGCGCTGGAACCTAGAGAGACGCGACGAACTTGCGGGACGCGAGCGGCAATCAAAAACATCAATCCACTACAGATACATTGTAAGGTTAGTTATGGGCAACGCGCCAAGTCCGTGCCGCAAAGGTGCCGCGACCCCTGCAACTCGACTGAGAATGCGCAAACGCCAACTCGGCGTGCTCTGCGCCGTTGTCCTCATACTCTTTTGCTTTTACTCGCTACCAAGGTCGTCCCCAGACGGCCCTCGGCTGCCAGAACAACAGCCGACGCAAGGCCCCAAGAAGCTGCCCGACATTCCGAGCTCGGCAGGACACTTTGATGTTCAGGATTCCGCAACAGACAAGACTGGCGTCGAGAAACCAGCGAAACAGCCCGGCGTACCAAGCCCCGCGAAACAGCCCGGCGTCCTAAGCCCCGCGAAACAGCCGGACGCCAGCGAGATTATTGAATTCACCAGCAAGAAGTTCACCACCACCAAACCCAAACCCGTACCCGGCGGGGCACACCCGATATGGCACCTCATCAAAGAGGCGGAGCGTGAGTTTGAAGCCGTCAAGGCTCGCCAGTCACAGACTCTCGATGACGCCGCGGCCGAGTATCGTCGCCGGTATGGCCTGCCGCCGCCTCCGCATTTCGACAAATGGTGGGCATTCGCCAAGAGCAAGGGAGTGCAGCTAATGGATGAATTCGATACGATACACGATGTGTTGACGCCATTCTGGGGCCTCAAGCCCTCGACCATTCGTGCGCGGGCGCGCGAGGCCCTCGGGGCCGACAACCAGCTCATGGGCGTGCAGGTGCGCAACGGCAACGCGACACACATCTTTGGGGGCACCGATTGGTTCCAGAAATCCGTGATCGGCATGATGCAGGGCTTTGTCGAGTACCTGCCGGACATGGATTTGGCATTCAACGTCAACGATGAGCCGCGCGTCGTTGTGCCGCACGAAGACTTGGAGCGACTGGTGCACAAGGCGCGGACTGTCGCCATGCCGGCGGCCAACACCGCAAAGAAGCTCCGCAACGGATTCACGCAGAAACCTTTGGGCCTCAGCTACAACGGCCGCTTCGACGAGGTCAAGCACACCCGCTTCGATTTCTTCCCCCACCAGCCTGTTTGGACGCACTCACGCATATCCTGCTCGCCCGCCTCACCCGCGCGCATACTCGAAGAGGACGAGCAGTACGACGACCTGGAGCAATACGCAGCCGGCGACCTCGGCTTTGTCTCCAACTGGACCGCCATGTCGGACATCTGCCTCTCCCCCTCCCTCGCCTCGACCTACGGCTTTTTTGACCGGCCCAACGCCTTCGGCGTGGTCCACGACCTCTTCCCCATCTTCTCCCAGTCCAAAGTGTCCTCCTACGGCGACATCATCTATCCCCCCCCCTGGTACTGGGCCGGCAAGGTCCCCTACAGCGACGAGATAGACCCGCCCTGGCAAGACAAGCTCAACCGCCTCTACTGGCGCGGCTCGACGACAGGCGGCTTCTCCCGCAACGGCGGCTGGCGCCGCCAGCACCGCCAGCTCCTCGTCCAAAAGCTCAACGCCCCGGACCAGGCCACCATCCTCGTCCCGCCCACATCGTCATCCCAAGACGACGGCGAGACCAAAACCTGGACGCCGACCCAGGTGCCCCGCGGCGAGTTCAAGTCCCTCGTGGACGTGCACTTCTCGCACGTGGGACAGTGCGACCCGGGAGACTGCCGCGCGCAGCGGGCTTTCTTCTCGCTGAGGGAGTACGCGCGGCAGGAGGACGCGCTTGGCTACCGGCACGTGCTCGATATCGACGGTAATGCGTTTAGTGGGCGCTTCTATGCCTTGTTGAGGAGCAAGAGCCTGGTGTACAAGTGGGCCGTGTTCCGCGAGTGGCATTATGAGTGGCTGAGGCCGTGGGTGCACTTTGTGCCGATGAGTCTGCACGGCGAGGAGTGGCTGGAGGTGGTGAGGTTTTTTACTGGGGGCCGGAAGGGAGGAAGCGGTGGTGGTGGTGAGGAAGAAAGTGAGGAGGGGAAAGGGGAAGTGAAAGCCGAACGGAGTGTTGGTGGTAGTGGTGTTGGGGGTGGGGAAGAAGGGTTGGGAGGTGAAGAGGCGGAGCGGATGGCGTTGAGGGGGAGGGAGTGGGCGGAGAAGGTGTTGAGGAATGATGATTTGGAAGTGTGGTTCTTTCGGTTGTTGTTGGAGTGAGTATTTCTCACCTTTCTCCCCCTTTTTACCTGCCATGCCATTAGGCATTTATTGCCATGTCTTCCTGTATTGTTTGGTCTTCATTTCAAGGTGCGAGATGTGGGCTGACATGCTGCTGATAGATACGGCCGCGTCATTGACGACGACAGGGACAACATTGGATACTCGGGTTGAAGCCGGAATTTTGAATCGATGCAGTTGGCCGGGGGTATATCGACATCTATATTGTACATATGTATTTGACATCCTTCACTTTTTAGGGCCTCCTTCCCGGAGGACGGGTAGAGAGCATAGGATGGACGGAAAATTTGTTCGGCATTTTAAGGTGCAAAGGAAGAAGATAGATTGGTTGGTTGGGTGAGGCTGCATTATCAGGACATACATGGGGTCGGCGTTTTTTTTGTGGTTGCCTCGGTTGGATCGGGCAAAGGCTTTAGGATCTTGAATAGCATTCGTAGAGTGCATACTTATACTATCTAGTATCTCCTGGTTTGCATAAGTTTTGAGTTGTGCATACATAAGGCCTATTGCCGTCCTGTTCAGATCGGATGATTATTCACTCCGCAATGGAATTTCGATGCCTAGATGCTTCCCATTTTGCCATACCCTGTTGAACTCCCCGCTCATTGATGCGTGGCCTGTAACTAATAAAGAGTGTTATGGTTGTCTCAAACGTCTCCGAACTTGTCCTACTGATCCTCGTCGCCCTCGGCATCCTGCTCCTCGTCCGATTGCCTTGTATTCTGACTCCGGCTCCCGTTCGGCGCTGGACTAGCAGAGGCCCGGTCACTATTCGAGCCCCGGCGTCCCTCCTCCCTTCCCGCATACTCCTCCTCGTCCTCTTCCTCTTCGTCCGGCAAATCCCCCACAGGCTGATGCTTGTACCGCGCCAGCTCCATCTTGAGCTCCTCGCTCGGCTCGTCAATCTGCACGTGCAGCTCGTCGAGGTGCGTCTCCTCCTCGTCGGCGATGCCGATGGTGCGCGCAATGTTCTTGGTCCGCTGGCTGCGGATGGTGGTGCGCTGCATGACGGGGTAATAGTAGACCGCCTTTTGGGCGCTGTCGTCGTCGCGGCCTTTGCTCTCCGTCTCGTCGTCGCGGAAGGCCAGGATGACTTCCTCGTCATACTTGTTGTCGTGGTTCATCTCCTTCTCTTGCGCCGTTTCGTAGGCGCGCACGCGAGGGAAACGGAAGCTGCCGCCTGATTCGCTGCTCGTGTAGAGCAAGCGGCTGTTGCGGTCCGGGTTGTCTACGTCAAACTTGGCGCGGAAGTTCTCGCCGGTCAGTGTATCGGCGGGCAGGAAGAAGTCGTAGTTCATCATCTGCGATGGTTTCGGCTGGCTCGGGTCGCGCTCCCATGCCACGCGGGCCGCATCGTACGCCTGCTCCTCGGCAGCCGTGCGCTCGATGGGCTTGAAAATGCCCGAGAGCAGGCGGGTGTCGTACGAGTCGCTGGCGTTGACGGGGTTTGTGCTGAACTTTACTGTCACGTATGCTCCCGAGTCGGGGAAGGCTTCCAAATCGGGAAGGATTGGGAAGGCGTCAACAACCTTGAGGTTTCGCTTCGACGGGTGCTTCACGCGTGTCCGGTCGGCCAAGTTGGCAGCCGCCACTTCGAAGCTCTTCTCGATGCGCCGCCTAATCCAGGCGGGTGTGCCCTTGTCTGGCTCGGGGGACGCCTTGCGCTTCTCTGGGCGTTTGAGGGCGTTGCCAGAAGGCTTGTGGAAGAGGTGGTCCGCAGGTTTCGGCTTGGTCTGCACAGAGGAGATGTACTCGGTTCGTCGAAGGAAGGACACGGCTGTGTCACCGATCTTGGGCTTACCGAGTGTCGAGAGCGGTCGAAGGAGAAGGCGGTCGTGGGGATGGACTGGCGGAGCCTGAGCAGGCGCCTGAATGGCTTCGCGGGCGTGTTAGCGTCTGCTTTGATGTCGGCATAAATGTACTTACAGCTCTCGTCCCCATCAAAGACGCCCGGCATGCCAACCAAGTCCAATGGCATTCCGAGTTCGGCATCGGCCTCAATGTTCAATGGCTGCTCTCGCGCAAGGCGGGAAGCGAAACCGGGTGCAGTGTACTGGCCGCTTGACAGCCCTGTGTTGGGGATGTCCAGCAGCTTCGGTGGATTTGGTGGTGGAGGCAGCGCATTGGAGTATCGTATCCTCGCAATGTAGTCCTGGTGAATCATGCGCTCGCCGCCGCTTCTCGATTGGGAAGACGACATTTTGGATTGTGTTGGGTGTTTGCGATGATGGCTGGAGGAATGTGGTGTCGAATTGCGATCAAGAGTTGAAGCGCGATCGAGAAATGGCTTGGCGCTAGATGCTCTGAATTCGGGTTCGGGTTGGTGGGGCGATCGGCTAGTGACCATTGATAGTTCGACATGGACAATTAGACTGGAGGAACTGAGGAAGATATACGGATCCGTATGTTATCTGAAAATGTAATCGCCAAATTCGAAACCGCTACATAAGTCGGCCCACGAAAATACATAAAAGCCGCAGCAACATATGGACACACCAGGGAGGGAAGATTTCGGCACTGCTTGCGAAGCCAAAGGTAAGAACGCCAAGCCTTAACCTAAGCGGGATAACTACCCCGGATGTGTTTGTCTCTGACTCGACCACCGAGTTGAGCGTTCAACGTGTTCAACTTAAATGGTCGATGTACAACCCCGCAGATCCGATGACCTCGACGCCCGAAGCTGCTTCCTGAATCGCGACTTTCTCGTGAGCACCCTTTGATGCTTCAGCGGCATACCCAGAGATCCCTGGTTGATCAAAGCAGCGGTTCCTCATGTAGATGATGTACAATATGAAGGTGTAAGAGCCACCAGTCTCGATTGACACCATCTGTACAAAAACAATATGTTCATGTACAATGACTGACATATCGCGCCCTCCGTCTCGTTGTCATTGCTCCCGCAATCCTATGGCAAACCGGCCCCCTTCGAGAGACAAAGATTACGTCGAGCCTGCCCGCCCAGAAAACCCCAGTGCTGCGTGGCTGTGGGCTAATTAAATTGGTGAGTACATCGCGTTCTTCCAGGTCCGTTGTCGTCAGCTCCGAGCATGCGTCATAATACATTGATAATCCGAAAACACCATTCTATTGCCAAGTGCCCTTCGCCTGAGTCCGTTACGCTTTTACGGCGCCGCTCATACGGCACCGTGTATATAAAAGAACAACTCTAGGCGCTGTTCTTGGTGTAGCGTGCCTTGCCGATGGTGAAGGGCACGTAGCGGTACTTAATCATGTGCTGGATTTGCTTCCTCACTGCGCCAAAGTCAGTCTCAATACTGTCCGTATCGGGCGAGCGACAGGCTCAGAGAGGGAGGGAGAAACTTACTCGTCAGGATGAACAGCATGAACCAGTACATGACCAGGACGGGCCAGAAGACGGGCACGTTAAAAATTTCGAACCAGCTGCACAGGAACGAGACAGCGATAGCGCGGGTGGCCGAGTGCCAGAACTTGAACTCGGGCAGGCGGCGAATAAAGGGCCGGAACTCCTCGTCCTTCTTGGTAGGGAGGGTGCCGATGGCCCCGTCCTCCATGTCGTTGTCGAGCGCATCGTTGGACGGGTCGAACTTGGGCTGGAGGAAGGCGAGGAACAGGTTGAGCAGGTAGATGCCGAGGGCGTATGCGACTGCGGCCAGAATGTCAGCTTTCAGCGTTACTACAGACGAGGACAAGGTATCTGTGTTCGAGGTACTGACCAATGTACCAGCCCTGCGCCAAGAATATGCGCAGGAAGAAGATGAACAGGGCGACGCCGGTGCCGATCCAGCGGTAGAGGACATACGGAGTCGACTGGTCGAGGAGGGCTTGGTATTGCTACCGGCATGTCAGTGGCATGTTTGCGACACAACACTGGGGTCTTATCCGCGACATACCCTTTGAAGCTTGCTGGTCTGGGCGGTGACGGCGCTGAAAGGCGTCGCCGGCTCGACCGCGGCATCCATTTGTGCAGGAAATGCGAAGGAGTGACTCGGGTCTGAGACTCTGGCGTGTATTCGGTTGTAGAAATAACCGTATTAATCAAGCGCTGAGTGCTGAAGCACGAAAATGATGCTGGAATCGAGACGGGGCAACGTCGTCGCTGTTGCGCGTCCTTTGCTACGGTACACGGTTCACGAATCGGGGTTGGCCTGAGCCACGAGGTAACGTTGAATAGGGTGAATAGGGGGCCAGGAGATTTTTTGGTGTGGCGCCGCGACCGGCCCCAGACTTAACCGAGTAACTGTGGCGCAGTCCGTTCTGATTCCGAGTCCTTGGCAATACTTGGCAGAAAGCTGCAGTGGGGAACTCTGACGTCGCTTGTTTCCGCAGATGTCCTTTTGAGCATCGGTCCTCTCAATTGCACTCTCGTGCTAACACCCAATATTTTCGGAACAAACGCAGTTTTCCAGTTTACGAGAAGTTCGCTTATACCGTCAAGCACATCCATGTAAATGGCAACCTGGAAGTGGTGTTTCCGCATGCAGGGACTAGGCTGATGCGAAAGCCCGTGACATTGCTGTTTTAAACCGAGGATAACCTGCAGCGGGACCTTCCTGGCCGAGCAACCTCAACCCCTTGCGTTGCCTTTACTTTCAATTCTGCACCAGTTCAATATCTTCTCCTTAGAACCATACTGTGAACCTGTGCCATCCTGACCCTAGTATCGACACCAACATCACGATGCACGCTGGCGCCGTCCGCGTCAATGTCCTCCGCGGCCTGCGGCCCATGGCCTCCCGCTTCCAGCCGAACACTCTTCCACAGGTCGCCCGGAGCTTCTCGGCCTCGGCCCGGCGCAGCTACGAGTACATCCAAGTGTCGGAGCCCCGGCCGGGCGTCGGTCAGGGTGAGCAACGACCTGCAAGATGACCTTCCGCCGCAGCTCAGAAAACAACTAACCGCGTTCTCTTTCCCCCCTTCAGTAACCCTCAACCGCCCAAAAGCCCTCAACGCACTGTGCACGCCCCTCATAACCGAACTCAACACAGCCCTCCGCGCCTTCCAATCCTCCTCCAGCATCTCAGCCATCGTCCTAGCTGGCTCGGAGCGCGCCTTCGCGGCCGGCGCCGACATCAAGGAGATGGCGCCGCTAACCTTCAGCGAGGCCTACACGACCGCCTTCATCGAGTCTTGGTCGGAGCTGACCACGTCACTGAAGAAGCCGCTCATCGCGGCCGTGTCGGGCCACGCGCTCGGCGGCGGCTGCGAGCTTGCGCTCATGGCCGACATCCTGTACTGCACCACCACCGCCAACTTTGGGCAGCCCGAGATCAAGCTCGGCACGATCCCCGGGGCGGGCGGCAGCCAGCGGCTGACGCGGGCGGTGGGCAAGAGCCGGGCGATGGAGCTGATCCTGACGGGGCGGTCGTTCAGCGGCGAGGAGGCGGAGCGGTGGGGGGTCGCTGCGCGCATGTTCCCCAGCTACGAGGCGCTGATGGAGGGCGCGCTGGGCACGGCCGAGCTGATTGCGGCCCACTCCAAGGTGGCGGTGCAGGCGGCCAAGGAGGTTGTCAACAAGAGCCAGGACCTGGCATTGCGGGACGGGGTCGAGTACGAGAGGAGGGTGTTTCATGGCTTGTTCGGCAGCCAGGACCAGAAAATTGGGATGAAGGCATTTGCCGAGAAGAAGAAGGCTGAGTGGAGCCACCAGTAGACGGGACAGGGACGGGTATGTATATAAAGATGTCAACAAATGGATACCTGCTATTCAAAAGCCGGAGGGTATAATAACTATGCCAACGCCAGCCCAGCCCAGGGTAGATCATCTCCCCACAAGCCGCACATACGGCGCCGGAAACAGCCCTTGCGCACCCATATAGAATCCATGGAACCACTCCCCATTGACATCCTCCACCTCAAGCACCTCGGCGCCTTTGGGAAACATCAACTCATCCTCAACACTAGCAGCAGGAATCCACCCCCACCCGGCCACCGCCCTGTGTCCAGTGCCTCCATCAGGCGGAAAAGTTTTTGTAAACCTTCCCCCGTCACCGCCCATCACAGCCGTGGACACGCCCACGTCGTTCGGAAACAACCTTTCCATCCTCCGCCCAGTCCCTTCCTCCAGCCACCAGCACAACTGCACCTGCACCCCGTCTCGTCCCTGGCTCTGTTGCGGTTGATGTTGTTGTGGTGGATGATGTGGCGCTGGCGGCTTATACTCGTCGAACCTCAACCTGCGCCCGCCCACGAGATCCCGGACAACCTTTCGCCTGAGATAGCCCGTGCCGCCGCGTGTCCTCCTGCTGTCGATCTCGTTGACGTTGGGGTTTTTAGTACTGTCGTCGGGCGCAAAGCCAACTATCACCATCCTGTGGCCCTGCGGACACCGCCGCCATCCGCTAGGGCCGTTTTCATAGCTGATGGAGCCATCTGAGACGAAGGTGGTGTAGCAGCTATCGCACAGATTATAGCCTCCCGGTAGGGAGATGTCTGGCTGGGGGAGGGGTGGAGGGCAGGTGGAGCAGTGGTAGTGCTGGTATTGGTATTGGTTATTGTTGTTGCTGGAGGAAGAAATGACGGAGGAGGATAATGGGATAGGGATGCGGCAGTGCGAGCAGCAGGGGTTGGGGGTTAAGGGGTGGAAGTTGCCAATTGGTATCGTCGTCCCCGCTCCTGATGCTGTTGTCGCGGTGTTGTTGGCTCCGGCGTGCGGCGGGGAAGGGGGACGGTACGCCAGCGCGAGCAGCGGGTGGGAGCAACACCTGGCCTGGTTCACGCAGTCGCTGCAGAACCCCCATTCGCCGTCATTGCAAATGCTGCAGCGCCAGTAGCACTCATTGGTCCAGGCTGAGCAGCTGCAGCAGAAGGTGCCGCTCTGCAGGCGGTCGAGGGGGTTCTCGGTCGTGAGTACGCGGCGGCCGTCGGCGCCGCCCCTGATGGTTTTTGCGGGGAGGTACCGGTTGGCCGTGAGCATATGCGGAGGAGGGATGGGAGGCCCGGTGCGGTTCTGCTTCTCCCAGCGGGCCCAGGCTGCTTGGCCGAAGCCAAACCAGTGCAGGCAACCCTTGCGTCGGTGCCAGCAATCCATGCAAATATTCCAGTCGCCGTTGTGGCAGACGGAGCAGTTAAAGTGCAGCTCGTATTCGATGTGCTCTCTGGAGCACGTGTTGCAGTTGATGAGCGGTTCTTTGTATCGTGGGAGCTGATGCCGTCGGGGCGAGGCAAGGGGCGGCGATACAAGGGCTGGACTTGTTGGTGTAGAGGTAGAGCCGAGAATGGGCGACTCTGGGCGGATGTCGAGGGCTGCGGGACAATCCGACCTCTGTCTGCTGCTGGTCGAACTCGAGCGAGCCTCAGGTTGCGACTGCGCGACTCCCAAACCTGCTGCTGCTCGAGCGCTGAAGGAAATTGCCCGGTTAGCCGGGGAATCCCCACGGGTAACAGGAGCCGTGGCCGTCGTGGGCGAGCTTGAGCTTCTAGCGTCGACGCCCATACTCGGCCTCCTCGCATGCGACTCGGCCGTCCCTAGCCTGGACGTGAGGTCTGTCTGCGAGCGACCTCCGACTCTGACCTCAGCCGCGGCGGGGACAACAGGCAGGGTCGCACTTCGACTGCCACTCGGCGTCCTTCGCCTCCTGGATGCTTCCTGAACCTCAAGATGCGCTGAAGTAGAAGGCGGATACCGGCCTCGGTCCTCATTGTCGCTCGCGCTCGGCGCGCGAGAACGAGCCGTGTGCCTGCTCGTGGGGCGCGACGAAGCTTCGTCTGCCCTGGACCTCGGCCGCGCCGAAATCTCTGACCGGTGCGAGTGGGCGCTCGCATTACTCCTCCTCCCGCCGTCCCTCCTCCTCTCGCGTTGCCGTCTCCTGTACGCCTCGGTGATTTTGCGGCTGAGCTCGTCGTTGTTCTCCAGGTCGAGGTTATCCAGGTCCAGTCCGTCCAGCAATCCCTCCTCTTGGATCTGCCTCGCAAACTCCTCAATCTCCCTCTCAATATCCCGCGCGTCCATCCCACCGGAGCTAATCAGATTCCGCAGCGACGACTGGTGCTCGACCTGCCGCGCCCTCGCACGATCCGGATCACGCTGCTCGTCCCTCCGCCTTGACTCGCTCCTCCTCCTCCTCCTCCCACCGTCTCTCTCACTCCTCACCCGACTTTCCTCCCTACTACTCCCTCCCCTCCCCCCGGCCGCCCGTTCCGTCGCCTCCCTCAAGCTAACAGCTCTCACCTCCTCAATCATCCTCCTCTCCTCCTCATCCAGCCTCCTTTCCTCTTCACTCCGCCCCTCGATCCTTTCCACCCTCGGCATGACCTGCTCCCCGCGCCTATACCTTGAATCCATCTCGCTCTTCTCGGCCTCGTTCTTGCCCGCGCCGGGGTTCAGCGCTAAGAACATGTCCAGCAGACTAAAGACTCTCGCGTCGTGCCTCGTGTCCCGCACGCTCTCCCTGCAGCTCGGGCAGGTGAAGACGGGCGTTCCGGGAGGGGGCGGGGGGCCGGGGGAGGACTCAACGCGGAGGGCCTGAAAGCGGAACCATTCCTTGAGGCAGGCGCCGCAGAAGGTGTGCAGGCAGTCAAGGAGGGTGAGGGGCTGGTAGAGGACGTCGGTGCAGATCTATGATTTGATTAAAGAAAAATCAGGTTCATGTCAGGACGTGCAAGGTGTTGCATTTAGTTGCTGCTGCGTGGATGTTTGCGTACCGAGCAGGTGAGCTGCGTCTCGAGGTTGGGTGCCAGCACCGGCGGCGATGCGCCAGAGGATGCCGCCGGCTGGGGAGAGTCCGTCATTGCGACCGGACGGCAGATGACGCTTGAGGGGATTGTATTGTACAGAAAGCTGGCTAGACCTGGCGGCCTGGCAAGCTCGTACTTCAACTCCGAGGGAACCAGGTAGCGGGGTATCGTCTCGTCTCGTCTCGTCTGTGAATTTCAGTTTGGTATGTTGTAGTGGGGTATTTTGACCTGAATTAAAGGTGCCGGGACGGGCCGTACAGATCACAGACTACACGTGCTAGGAGAAGACGAGAAGCAGCAAACGATGGGCGAGGATGAAGGTAGGACTACCTGAATAGAACCGTACCTCGCGGTGGGCAAAGCCCAAGATGTCAGACAGAATTACGAGGTCGGTGGCGCCGAGGAACTCCTTGGGCAGCGTGGGCTGACTCCCTGCCCAAGAAAAGACGGGCCCCACGAAACTGAAAGGTATCAACAAATGGGTGGATTCAATCCCATAGATCTTCAAAAATTGCTTATAACTAGAGGGCGGAATGACTGGCATTTGGATAGCATTTAGAGCATTTATCCTTATCCAATACGCAGCTATTTTGAGTGTATTGTTGATGATCGAGTGATGTGGTTGTTGCTTTGCGGGGCCAGTGTCTTCTTGGGCAGGGAGATTGAGCCAAGCTGCAGCGGAGTGGGGCATGCTTTCTGTCACTGCGACGTTTGCTTTCCCGGCCATGTCTGTCAACTATCTGTATAAACTATCAATGTGTATATGCTGCCCATGAACCGCTCGACGCACGATCTGTATGCTTGTTGACCCTCCATGAGAACTCCAAATGCGTCCTATGCAAAGCCCAACCTCGGAACTTGCTGATCTTCAACTGCCCATGTAAAACTCCAACCACGCCGGTACCCAAGCAAGCACTGAAAAGCAAGAAAACCCACTACATTCATCTTAAATGTCTTCGACGCCCTCTGGAGTATTGTCCTCCCACTCCCTGCACAAACCGTACCACACCCGGTGCACGCACCGTCCCTTCTCGAGAGGATCCTCTTCAGTGGGAGCGGCCGAGGGCGCAGTCGTGCTGTTGGGCACGCTCGGGGGTGAAGTAATGGTGCTGCGCTCTTGCGTCGGCATACTCTTGGGTATCCCTGTTGTCGTCACTTTGTCGTTGCATCCCCAAAATCGGCCTGGCGTCAGGCATGTGGTACTGGTCACGGTCGGTGTGGTCGACGTACTCGCGGTGGTTGTGGTCTTGTCCTTGCACCCAAACCAGCCCCTGAGCAGAATCAGCGGAATCGATACACAACGACTGGCCAGTCAGTTTCTACTTACGGAGTATGGCATGTAGTGGTGGATGATGTTGTTGTGACTTGGGTCGTCGTCTCGGTGCCTGTAGTGGTGGTCGTCTCGTCTAAGCAACCCCACCAGCCCCTACTACCGTTAGGGTGAGTTTCAAACAAGGAACGAACTGAGTAAACGACTTACGGCGTCTTGCACGTCTCAGTCCTGGTCCGTGTTTTGCTAGTACCCGAGGTAGGTTTGCTCGAAGACGTCGTCGTCTCGGTTCCGTTGCTCTCGTACATTTTCCAGTTGCCGCAGTCCCTGCACTCAGGAGTAAACTTGCACTCCGGGACGTTGTCATATTTCAGAATCACATCGCGAATCACGGCCCGGATCTTGTGCGTTCCGATACCAACCCGCCAGCCCTTGTCGCCTACCGTGTCATAGACACACTCGCGTCCCGTGTGGCAAGCTGACTCCAGCGCGTAACCACCAAACGAGCACGACGCCGTCGCTCCGTTGCAGGTGCCGATGTAAATGGGGTCCGCCGTGTGTCCGAAGTGAAATGCTCCCGTGTACTCCCTGCTCTGCGGCGCGTCCGGATCGGCTCCGGGGGGCACAGGCAGGCCTAGCCGCCGTGCCGCCAGCGCGTCCGGAACGGCTTGGAATGTCACCACTGGCACACCATAGGTGAGTCCAAGAAACGAGCTGACCGCCCCACCCAATGAGTGTCCTGTAATCCAGACATTGGAGCTGGGGTAGAGCTCCGTGACGTTGGCGTACAACTCCCGTGCCGCCTGGTAGTATCGATTCTCGGCGCGCAGGGCTTGGACGACGCACGTGTTGTTACATGTGTATGTGCCCGTCGCGCAGTCGCAGACTTGGTGCCAAGTCCAGGGTCCCTGCTGGGCGCAGCAGCAGCTAAAGAAGAGGTTGTCGTTGACCTTGTCGTTGGTGGTGGTCCCGTCCCCGTCAAAGACAGCAGGCGAGGTCCCCTTGAGCCCAATCACTATGGTCGAATTGTTCTCGTCGGCGAACACATGGCCCCGCAGTCCATCCCCTTGCCAGCCAAAGTCGGCACTCCGGTTGAACGGCGCGCCGACATCCTCCCAGTCCGCATCGCCCGACTTCTCCACATACGCGTTCGCCGCCATCAGGGCCAAGGTCAGGATGGTGTCCTTGTCGGTGACATTGGGCGCGGGCACATCGACGACCGTCCACGCTGACGGCGAAAGCACCGAAACGAATCCCTGCTTTCGCGACTTGGCCACTATGGGATCTACAACGCTCGGTCTCCGGTCCACTAATCGTTGTATCCGGAGTGCACTGCTCCGTGCTCGGAGGGGCCCGATGCGCTCGGCCTCGTAGCCGTCCTCGGCGGCCAGCCATACATCGGCAGTCGGGTGGCTAACATCTTGTTTCCGATGCAGGTGCGGGTTTCTGTACGTGCCGTGATGGAAGATGTGTCGGAGGGTCTGACGGGTGGGTAGTGTCGATGGTCAGCAGCCTCTCTCGCGAGCACAACAGCACTGAGCAACTCACAAATGTGTGTTCGGCTGCCGCCGGCGGTTCTGGTATGGGCGGCGCAATCGGGGAGGCATCTATGGGGAGAACGAGCTGGGCGTTGGGTGCTGCGTTTCCTGCAGCGGCGACAGGAGATGCCGAGAGGGCGAGGAAGGACAGCAGCAGCTGGGCGGCAACTCGGCCAGCAGCACTACAGGTTGCGCTGGCCTCCCTCCTCCTCGGTAACATGCCAGGCGCTTTCTGTCGGTGCTGAAACAGCTAACGGAGAAATATATGGCGATAAGAGGTCGAGTTGCAGATGATTACTCCATCCGTGCTGCGAAACGCGATGCAAGACAGAAGACTCGCATTGCTTGCGGACGATGGCCAGATGACGACGCTATGGCTTGGCTGGCTCGGCTGGCAGCTGAGTCGCAGGCAGCGCCACCGCCGATTAAGGATGCCGATGGTTACCTTATCTTATCGGAACAGCCATTCTGCTAAGGGGGTTCATGCTAATTGTGTACCTTTCCCATCTGAGAAGCCAGCCGGAGTACCCCGCTCAACGGGCTAGTCTAACAAGCACCGATGCAATCTCCCAATCCTTGGGCGATTCCCGTCAATGTCGTGTCGACTTCCATTCCTTCCATTGGCAGCTGCAAATTGTTGGAGACGGGAAGCCTTCACATCACACTGAGAGAACCACAGAACGGTGATAAGCCTTAGGCAAACACCCCGGTTTTTTTCATTCTCCCTGCCTGTGTATGTGGTTTTTTCCAATCAGTTAGGTTACTAGTATTCCATACTGCCTCCTTGCGTCCATTTCCACCGAATCTCCACCCACTAGCCACACCACCATTTGAGCAGCGAACACCACCACCGTCAAACTGCACTGTCCAATGTAACGAATGTATATTATCAGTCAGTGGTAAATATGAGTGAGTGGGCCACTCTAACAGAGATGGTGGACCTGTACGCAGAACGATGGTAAGAAAATGCTAAGTCGCTTAACAGTTCTCCAATATATTTTCGCGGTGCAACTGACCAACATACATTAGAGTGGCCCACTCACTGATACGGACCACTCACTGATACGGACCACTCACTGAAATATACGTTAACTGCGCGCATCGCCATACATTATTATGTCTTTCGAGGCTTATTGTGCTCCACGTGTTCAATGGCTTCCAAGCTCCCAAACCTGATCGTCGAACCTCAACCACACCACAGTACGGCTGACACGGAGTGGGGCCGCCACAGAGAGTAGGGCCGCAATTGTAGTAGCGCCCAGCGCGGAGGGGGCTTGGGCCGCAATGAGGCTGATGAAAAACTACGCGGCTGAACGATGAAAACCAGAACTTCGTTTTCGAGTGAATTGCCAGTCCAGTGGCTTGCATGCATCGTGATGTCGATGCATTGCATTTTTTTGAGTCCCTCGATGGAATTGACGGTGGTAGTGTTCGCTACTCAAAGAATGGTGGTGTGGCTGGTGGGTGGAGATTCAGTGGAAATGGACGCAGGAGGCGGCGGAATTAGGAGGGTCGCGCCCCGACCCAAACATCCAGGCGGCCACTTAGCATCACCCCGCAGTCCGATTACGCATGCACCTTGAAGGCTGCACGATACGAGGTCTCCTTCGTAGTCTCCTTCGTACAGTTTCATCGTCATCCGACTGGACGTCACTGCATCTGGCATATCCCCAGGACAGTTGTAAAATACACAATTTTCCCTTGGATAGGTTGTCTTTTAACCGTAATGTCATAAGCTCGCTTCAAGTAGAATGCAGCCTCCGTCATGACACAGCTTTCCAGTCGGGGTGCTATCAAGGCCAGTCAAGGAGTGGCGGTGGATGCAGGTAGGGACGGAGGTGGTTGCTGCGTTGGATTCGATCAAGCAAGCCTCGCGTGTTGCCCCACAGTGTCCCGCTAGCATGGAACAGCTCCATTTCGCGGCGCGATACCTGTAACTACTGTAGCTACCCGGAACCCACGACCTCCAATGGAACGTCAATCAAGCTAACCTGAAGGCAGCTTGTAACCTTACGCCGACTTGCGCAATGCGCATGTCTCACAACGGACGGTGTCCTAAGCAAGATTGTTGAAAACATCTAATATTGTTCTCTTGTCGTCTACATTCTGTGTTGATGATACCTAAATTGGCCTCGGGTCACCTGCTGATCACCCGCTTGGGCCGTTGTTTCAACATCTTGCCTGGCCTCCTCTGACCGTCCACTGCTTTTCATGCGCTACGGTCAAACCTAGGTAAGGCTAAGCCCACGCTGCTGCTATTATATTCTTCATTGTGGGAGATTATGGCCAGGAATGCTGGGGCAATCCTCCCTCTTTCCCACAATCTCGCCTTCTTGTACTGAAACTCGCTAACACAATCCTGACGCTGAACCTCAGCGGTAGCCCTATGGCTTCCCATTCGAACCCCTTAAGATCTGTACGCTCTTTTCAGGTCGAGCGTTCTACATCTCCTGAGCCAACGATTCGCCCAAAGAGAGCCAGCACCATCGAGAATGGACCGCCTCCTGCAAGAATGTCGGCCCTCCGAACGGCGTCTGGGACTGCGGTGAGGCAAGGAACCGAGGACCATGTGCCCGACACCTTCGTCAGCAGCAGAATCAGCGAGGAGATAATAGAGCCCCCGAGGGCCTCGGTTGACTTGGACGATCTCCCCATCGAACTCATCAGCCTGACGGATCGCTTCATCGACTCGCTGTCGGCCAAAGTGCATCCCAGCCCACCCAACATCAACAAGCTTTCTCGTATGTTCCAGGAATTTTATGCTACGGCTTCAACACATATTCAAACACACGTCGATGCTCTGGCCACCCGCCAGAGACGTGAAGACGCCCCCTCCCTCTCAACCCGTGCTTCCGCTGCAAACCTGCTGCGTGGGAAGGCTGCGTCGCTGAGCACCAAGGATAAAGCGAAATCCAAAACCGCGCTGGTCAAGCGAGACTCGGAGCAACAATTATTGACGCCCGAGGAATACGCAGCGCGGAAGAAGGCCCGGCGCGCGCTGGAACAGAAGAAGTCGTTACTGGAGGAGGCGGTGGAGCGGAGGTTATGCGAAGGTGTCTACAACAAGATCTACCGCCACCGGAGCACGCAGGACGAGGCGCAGGACGCCAAGCTCCGATCCAAAACCGCCGCTCTCTCGGTAGTCGGCATCGGCCCGGTGGATCTAGGAGTCGAGCTCGGCACGGTCGACAATGCCCCAGAAGCCGCCGCGACCGAGAAGCAGGAGGAGGTCAAGGCCTGGCTGGAGCCCGCGAGGAAAGAGCTGGTGTTGATGAGCCAGTCAAGGTATCCCCTGGGAAAGTTGAACCATCTTAAAGCGGCCCACAAAAGCATTATTGACACGCTCTCGCACTTTCACCCCTCTTCTTCGGCCGACGAGCTCATGCCCATGCTCATCTACACTCTCATCACGCTCCCGCCTGAAAATTTGAATGCTATCAGCGACGTGAACTTCATCCAGCGCTTCCGCTGGGAGCAGAAGCTCTTTGGCGAAGCCGCCTACTGCCTCACCAACCTCGAAGCTACCATCAGCTTCCTCGAAACGGTCGACCTCTCCACCCTTCGTGCCGACGAGACTCCCACCGGGCCACTCAAAGGATCAGACTCCTCGCCGAATCCGAAGGGCGACACCTTCCCCCCTGCCTGTAAGCAACAATTATTTTAGGGTGTGGATTGTTTATACCCCTCGATGGCTGTTTCGCGAGCAGTCCTGCTCCCAACACTGCGCATTTGCCCCCGGAACCCTCCCGACATACGGAGTAAGAATCTACAGCTGACATTGTTGGTAGTCTCGCCCATGTCTCCCGGCCCAGCAACCCTGAGTCCCGACCCCTCGACAGACACGGCATCATCCAGGCTCAACGCAGGCCTCAAACAGTCTCCCGCTTCTCCCTCCCCCGCCGGCTTGCGCGCAACGGCCAATGCCCAGCTCCGCGGCCCGCGTCGTCTTAGCGACCTGGTCCGCAATACCCCTACCCCAGCACAAGCCCTCAACGCGGCCTCGGACGCAGTCATCAACACAGCCGATCAGGGACTCAAAACGATTGGCACCTCGCTCGGTGACAGCTACAAGTTCCTCCTCGGCAAACTGCGCGAGCGCGCCCCGGACGTTTTTCTTACTAAAGAGGAAGACGGCAGCGGTGGCCAAGTGATTGTCCCGAAAACTCTCGACGACGCCCGCAAACTCATCGGCACGCCACCACCGCTCGGCGGCCTCGACGACGAACCTCCCGCCTCTAGTACACATCTCCCGGGTCTCTCCCTACGCAGTCCCTCGCCAGAAGAAGAACCCGAACAGCGCCCGCCGCTGTTCAGCTTCATTTCCACCACGACGCGCAAGGTCTCGCGCGATCATAGTGCTGATTCGGCGCGCAGCGCCTCGTCGTCGTCTCGCAGGGGCGGTGGCGGCGGAGAGGAGGCGCAGCAGAGGAAGGGTTCCGAAAATAGTGTTGGTGGGAGCGAGCGGGCGAGCGCAACGCAGGTTACCGCCACGGGGGCGTCGCTCGTGATATCAACCCCGCCCATCATGGATTCGGTGCGGAACCTGGGGAATTCGCTGAATCCCATGGCCAGGCTGTCGGCGGGGATTGGGGGCCTCCGGGGGTTTGGGCGGTCGAGTGCCGCTGCCGCTGCTGCTGCTGGGGCGGGCTCGGGCAGGGCGCCGACGCCGCCGGCGAAGGATAGAGATGGGACGGGAAGGACAGTGACGGGGGTTGACGGGGGGGATTTGGCTGCGGTATGTTTCTTCATTCTATATTTTCATCTACCCTTTGGTTGTGTTTTTGATCGGCTTGTCTGCTTTCTCTCATGTTCTATCAGCAAACGAAACACAATCAATGACAACCAAGCCTCTACGTCTAATGTCCCACTGGACAAATCCAAAAATGAAACGAAATGAATGAATGAATGACCGTCTGCTGACTTGAAAGTGGAATTACAGGCCTTCCCGGACCTCGCCGTCGTCCTCCCGCCTCGCGAACACCCCAAGATCTCCCCGCCTAACCAACGCTTCATGGAGCTGCAGAACGCCGCTGACCTCAAGCTTGGCGAGGTTTTTGAACTGCTGAGGGAATATAAGCGGCTTGCCGGCGCGCTGAGGGAGATGGATGCTTTCAAGGAGTAGGATGTTGTGTCTCGTGTAAGGTCTTCACTTTGGTTATTTGCTTGATCCAGCGTCAGCCTGGCAAGGGATAGAGGAGTTGTTTTCTTTTGGCTTGGCTGGGTGCATACATGGGTTGGTTCATCTTTCCATCTTCCACTGGAATGGCGACGGCGGAGGCCAGATGGTGCGGGTGTATCCTGTAGATTTGGGTTGGATAGACAAATATGTTTTGTTTACATCCCTACACATTGATATAGGAGATCTCTGTTCCCTCATGTGACCAACTAACCGTCGCTTAGCGTTTAGTGCAGCGGTCACTTGACGAGGGTGGCATCCGTGATTCGGGGTTGACTGGCAAACCCTCCTCGACAACTCCCAGTTTGAATCCAGGTCAAAGGAGCAGTAGCGGGGCCTGCGGATTTCCACCACTAGATCGGGCCCTCAGTGGAGGTAAACGAAGTAAAAACCTACAGGCTGGTTACTTTCTGCTTTTCTTACAATGAACGAAAAGTCCCAATCCACTGAACGTTAAACTAATGGGGGACTTGTTCACCGTATTTCCGTCAGGTCGCTGAGAGATATGGTGGACCTGAAGGTTCTATTCCCGCCCGCCCGTTTATGGAGACGCTGGTGACTGACGTCTGGCCGTTGTTCTCCTCTTCCAAGATGGGTAGGGTTGATAGTCATGAGAACAATTGTTCGAGGCGCTCCTATAATAGGGTCCGCCTAGGTAAATATGTCGACAATGATTGACCAGCTAGCCGTCAAGAGCAAACAGCCTTCTCATTACGACGCAAATATTCCTGCTGCCAAGATCCAGAGGAAGGGCGGTATGCGCAAGTCCAAGTCAAAATCTTCTGTTTGTTCCCCCATAACCATGCACGCTATGCTAACACGACTATTAGTGAAGAAAATACGCCCAAGAGAAAGGTATGAAGTAGAGAGAAAACCACAGCTCTCAGAGCCCGGCACCGCTCAATGCGCCCCATTCATCTGTCCACCCGCCCCAGTCCGACCCTTGGACGGACTCGCCCTCCCACTCCCACTTGCACCAGCGACTTCTCCCGGCTCCGCGATCAACTTGTCCATAAACGCAATGTAATCGTACTGCGGCTGCCCGCGGTCGGCCTGCATGTCCGGCCCGCTGTGGCTCGGCATGATCTCGACCAGCTTCTCAATGACCTCGTCCGGCACGAGCGAGTGGCGCAAGTCCATCTCGGTCACGTACGGCTTCCCGTCGGCGACCTCGCGGAAGCTCTGAAAAACCTGCTCAGCCGTATTCTGGTCCTCGGTCACGTCCACCATGAAGCGGATAAACTGCTCAAACGTAACGCGGTCACGCCCGCCCGACGTCTCGAGGAAGTAGTCGTGCATCTCGTCCTCGGAGAAAATGAGGCCCAGCGAGGCGAGCGCGGCGCTGAATTCCAGCTCCGACAGGCAGTTGGTGTCGTCGCGGTCAAAGTGCCGGAAGACCGACTCGAACTCTTCGAGCTGAATCGGCGTCAGGTTGGTCATGTTGCGCGCGACCATCTGGTTCTCGAGGAAGGAGAGCTTCTTGGAAACCGAGGACTGGACCAGGGAGAGCTCGTAGCAGAGCTCGTCGTATGTGTAGGTGGTGAAATCATTTTCTTCAATGTTGGCTTCTTGGCACTTGGCGTCCACGGCGGCGATGGTCTTGAGGAAGGCGTCCAGCGGCGGGAGATTGTCTGAGAGCTTGCGCACGTGGTGCAGTTGGTCTTCTACGTCGCCTTCTAGGCCTGATATGGCGAGTTGTATGGTGTTAAGTGCGAGGGCGAAATCATTGGCCTTGTCGGCGAAGGATTTCCGCAGGGCGTTTTTGATGCTGTCACAGTCAGCAGATGTGCTTGCAGTGAATGGCTTGGCAGTTTCAGAAACATACTCCCTGATGGTCTCGTTTATCAGCTGCCCACGGGCCATCTCCGCCTTTGTTAAGTTCGCCCATTCCTTGTCTAACACCTCTAACCTTAATTCTGCCGGCGGCTCGTATGGCCGCAGTCGGTATGTGCCCAGCTTGGTCTTGATGTTGCCCAGCAGCGTCGCTAACTCGCTCTTCTCGGCCACCCATTCCCGCTTCAGGCCCCTCTTGTATGCCGAAAAATCCGCGGCTTGCGCTTTGGCGTCTGCATAGGTCCCTTCAAACTTGGCCTGCTGCCAGCTTTCCATCTGTTCGCGGATCGCCTTGAGCAACGCCGCCATCCTCTGCTCATACGCGCTCTGCATATCCCAGGCACCCCGCATGTTGTTAACAAACTTCTCAACACGACGGCCGGCATTCTCCACCTTTTCCATCTGCGAGAAGGCGTGGAACCAGTAGGCAATGTACGTCATCAAACTCCGCTCGTCCGGCTTCGCTACATCGCACACATCCTCCACGTCGAGCAGCTTCGGGATACCTATCTCCTTATGAGCGATATCGAACGCCAGCTGCATGTTGCCTCGGTGGTTCGATTTATCGAGCGCGTCGTAGTCAATCAGATCCGGCCGGTGAATGTCGAGCAGGGCGCAGAAGGCGAGGCCGTCGTTCCAACTCGCGCTGAAGTCTCGTACGTCGACCTCGTCGTAGCACGCCGTCTTGCGCTGGCACCAAAGCAGCAAACCCTCCTTCGCCGTCATGCCCTCCTCGTTGATGTCGTTGATGGTAAAGCGCAGAATGAGCGTCCATATTAGGCCGAGGATGATCTTGCGGTTCCCGTCCACAACGTCCTCGGCGCCTATGTTGGTCATCTGGATGCCCCGGGACTTGATGAAGTCGAGGGCGATGTTGGCATTCTCGAAGCGCTGCACGCGCAATTTCGGTTTGGCGGCATACCGGCCGAGCGACTCGTTGGATAGGCACTCAAGGAGGTGGATGAGTAGAACCTGCCAGGGGTAAAGCACGGGTCATCAGCAGAGCGTCTCTGATCAGGTCGACAAGGCCGACATACACCATCAGACAGATCCTGCACCAAGTCCTTGACCTCCAAGTTGCGGGCCTCCAGTTTGGTGTTTAGCCATTTCGTGAACGTCTTTTGCTGGACCGTGACCCAGCGCTGCTGCTCCGAGTAGGCCATTCTGTTGACGAGCGACGAGGGGGAAGGGATCTCTACCCAGATCTGTACTCTAGCTTCTTCGATGGTTGCTTGGCAAAGCTGTTGCCGCCATCGGTTCTTGTAGTGGCTCTTGGTGCAGAAGTTCCTGGGTGGTCGTGGTGTTGTTGACGTTCTTGTCACAGTGTGCGACCTCTCGATCCTGGCCCGCGTCTTCGAACGAAGCGCGGCCAGGCCCAGCCCCGCCTGCACTGTGTCGACAGCCATCTGACACTGTCCCGGTCAATATCGATAAAGATTTGGTTAAAGTTTGTACCTTATTGAACAGGTCCACTCCTGAGTCTCGTGCCCTTTGGCTCCGACAACATCCGCCCTCTCGAGACCTTGGAATGAAGCTGCCAAATGACAACGATGATTGGGCTGCGATGAATTTGCTGAAGATTGCGAAATCGCGAGATGACAACAAATGCCCAAGGGATATCGGTTGGTTTATACCCATCTTGTAACCAAAGGGCCTGCTCGTTCGACTTCTCTGAAGTTTCAGGCAGCTCCAGCCTGTAGATCACTTCTCATGCCGTCCTCTTTTGCCAGTCCTTATTCCTGCAGTCATACCCAACTACCGTTTTCATAGTTGGGGTATACAGGTAGGGCATCTTTTGTTCTCTACACAGCACGGAGTGCTGCCATGGTCAAGCTTTCCTCGAGTCAGACACTCTCTTCACGTACCCGCTTCTGCTCACGGCCTATTCTTCGTGCGATTGCACTGAAGACTGCTGCTGGTTACCTATGTCAGCACTCAATGGTGTTGATCGCTTGACGGGGACATTTCGGTCCCTTCCTGGAAGATAATGGAATGTTTTTAGGTTCCTAACTGCAATGGCGGGCAGTTTGATCTCCCCATGTCGTTTGTCTAAATGCGGCCCAAGTGATCAGGCTGGAATGACATGTGAGATCTGAAGAAGCCCAGCATTTCATTGCCCGAGCGGAGATTGGCTGCCATTACCAAAGAGTTAGAAGTATGCTCGCTTGAGCCGCTGTTTTACTCTGAGCTTCTGAGGTACATGGTAGTTAACCTGCAGAGCCTGCCAAGCAGATACCTTATCGAGTACGAGACAGTGATATACTGCAGGTGTTATGATCCTGAATGAGGTTCCGTATCTCACGTAGTTGACCTTGGGGGCTTATAGAATTGTTTACCCTGGAATACTCCCGTGTAAATGTCAAATGACTTTCGGCACTCCATCGTGCTCAAGCTCAATCCGCCCCTTGAAGATGGCTCGCCCGGAGCCGTACTACCTGGACGTTTTCGCTCCGAAACGAGAAACCACCGGCCCGGGGCATCTTTGATTATGCTGTGTGCATCAGTCACGGGACATGATACCAACCCAGAATTATCCTTGGAGCTACCTACAGTAAGTAGTGCTTGTGATGCGAGGTAGCAGAGCTGGGGTGGGGGATTCCGACTTTCTCCGTCCTGGAGAGCGCCCAAAACCTGGCCCTCGACTTACAGATCTACCAGGAGCACTTTGCAGACCTAGGTTGGAGCCTCTCCTACACGTGTAGTGTACCACAATAGATCATACGAATCTTGCCGAAGCATCACGATCGACGTGATTGGGATCAGAGGTTCCAGGTTATTCAGAGCATACCGGCTCTTTAGGTGCAATCTTCAATTCAACATAACTGGAACTATCTAGAAACGTTTCTCTCCAGCGAAAGATAATGTATATTTTCAAGTCACTTCCTAACTTTCTTCAGTGATTGCAAGATGGGTGACATCAGTGTGCGATCCAACGTGTCCCTGCGATCGCGGCAGGAAACGGATCAAATTGGCGTTTGTGAGGAGGACGGGACAAACGACGGCGGTGCCCCGTCTCCGGGCCATTTCCGACCCCGGGGCCCGAGTCTCCAAAGGACGCTGGGATTTTTCAGTAGCACTCGGAATGGTGGGTCTTCCCGCAACCGCAGGCAGCACAATTGTAATGGCCAAGCAGCCACGGAGGGTTGAATGATTGGGTGGAGTGCGAGGCAGTTCGTCATCTTCCCAGACACTATACCAGCCAAAGACTCGACAATTCGCACAGGGCCTTAAGGAGGTTTCTGCTGCGTCATCAAAGAATCCGGAAACATTTCGAGCAGGAAGGCGCCGATTCCGCCGCCTTATGCAGAAGAAACGGAACGGACGACGACTGCGAATTCGCTACATCCCCAGATGCTACGTGACGTTAACGTTGCCCTGAGAAACGACCTGGCTTTGACTCATGCAGCGGCCACCTCAGAGAGACACTGACCACCGCGTATGCGGTCCCGACAGGATGTTCGTGGCTGAGCTGCGCGGTACATGCACCCATCAACCCCAGAGCTCAAGCCCAATTGAGGAGCGGCATCTCCATTGGGTCAGGACAGCGCACGTCGCCATGTGGTTTCTTGTCCCCCCGTTCCCATCCCGTCGCTACGGCGCCCATCAAGTAATCAGCCTTACGAGCGGAGACGGACGAATCAGAGACAGTCGGTGACGAGCCCCGTCAAACCTGCAATTTCCCACGCTTCCCCCACAGGACAATTGGGGGGCGGTGCGAGCACGGCGGTCGAACTCGGTGTTACGGCCGCCGCCGCCGCCGCAGCTCCTCATTCGCTCCTCGTCCCGGAGTTGCAATCATTCTTCACACCGCTGGGAGCTTCGTCCTAGTGACTCTCCGGCAAGTGAGGCGGTGCGGATATTCTGGCGACGTTCCGTGCATGACCATGTTGTAACCTATGTTGCGGGATGGAAAGGAGCGACGGGAGCTCATCGCCAGCAGTTTCCATTCCCGGCGCTGGAGGGCGGAGATGAGAGCGCCGTCATGCTGTCGCGCATTCGTGGCGCGTAAACGAGGTGCATTGCCTCAATGCGAATCCGATGACCTGTCGGGACGTCTAACTAATCGACGTACTTCGTAACTGAGTAGGCGGATCGCGAGTGGGATTGCGACGCCTGCGTTGTCGAGTCGAACAATTGAAGCAAATTGACGGACCGGGACAGAACGGCGCGCCGTGCATTGCAAGAGTAAAATGGCTCTTACCGCAAAAAGATTGAAACCGCGTCCTTTTTGGGCAAATTAGAAATCCACGCGCGAAACACTGACAACGTTGCTATGATGCCGGGGAACTCCTGCGGGAAACGAGAGCATCATTCTCGCTTATTATGAGCGCAAATACGGATCCGTACTCCGTACATTTCTCGTTACAAAGGATATGACTGGATTATGTAAAGGGGGGTTACTAAAGCCCTGATTACAGAAGCGACCAGAAGTTGCCGAAAGTCCTTGCGACTGCCTTGGTTATGCGGGGTGCTCCGGCGTTGCTGATTAACAATCGCTCCGAGCCTCTGGGATTTTTGGCGTCGGAAACCCTTTTGACGGCAGACGGCGGATGTCGCGCCGGTGAGATAGTGCTCAGGCGTTAAGGTTATCGACCGAGTTCCATCAATCTCCGTGACAGTCATCTGCGTGAAGCCGGCTTCATCAGTGTGTAACGGGTTTAAGCTGGCGGGAGCATAACTCCGTCTCACGATGAGAAGGAGCGCCGTTGGCCGAAACGGGTCCCAAAGCAGTCAATCCTCACTCCGAGTCGTGTGTTGCTGCTGCCCACGTTGGACAACGCACCAAATTTTGTGATACGTATTTCGTTTGCGTTGGCAACAGGCTGGGCTCGCAGAGACGGCCCTACGCGGGGATCCAACGCAAAGCGTCTATCGGTGCCTCACCGCCGCCGCGTCTCAGTTTTGAGTGTTGCTCGTTGCGGGAAGGGCGGCGCAGGGCGCGGTCAAGGCCGCGACGGGATTCTCTAACCTGCAAGGGTAATCATGCGCACCGTATTTGTAACTGCGAAAAGCGGGCGGGACGGGGGAGTGGGGATCGGACTCTCGGTTTTTGTCAGCTGCTGCGGATGATACAACGAGCCTGGTTCTGGTGACCCGGCGGTGTCTTGGAAGGACCGAACACCAACATACGGTCAAGCTTACAAAAACTCGGGGGCCGCCCTTCCCTCAGGCACATGGCATCCTCATCAGTCCTCAACAATTAGGCCGACATTCAGACTTCTCTTCCAATATTATTACATCTGCCCGACAAACTCTATGTACATGAGCAAAGGCTTGTTCGCTGTTCAGACCTTGAAGCTCAGACACTTCCAGTCACACCCCTCCCCATTCTTGACCCACACCCTGCCTGCCTAACTCGGCTATCCGCAATCGGCCCCATCGCCTTGACTCACTGGAAAACGCCATAGCACATCAGATATTTTGGAAGCCTGTTGCCAGATTTTCAAGATGTCTTCTCCTCTCCCCATCCGAACACCAAGGAAAACCCAACAACCGCGGCCATTGGGCTCCTCGCCGGCATCATTTGCAGCTCCGCCGTCACCCTTCCGACCCCGAGCCAACAAGAAGATGTCGATCGCACAGACCTACTTCCTCGCCCACAAGGCGCGGGCAAAGCTGTCTTCGGAAGCTGCCCGCCCGGACCACAACCTTCGCCTTCTTGTCGGGCATGCCAACCTTCTCGACTCGTTGATGCTTGAGCTCGCCGATGCCGAGAGGGAACAAGAATCGTGGTTCAACCAGTCGGTCCGTGGTGCCTCCCACAGCGAGGAGAGGCACATCCAATGGGCCGACACCATCGCCGAGGAGCCAGAGCAAGAATGGCAGCCCGAGGACTCCGAGTCCGACTCAGACTCGGACTCGGACTCGGATTCGGACTTTGACGACGATGAGGACACTGAGATGGCCGACGCCGTCTCGCTGAGGAGGATACCTTCCCACGCGATGCTGCCGCACAAGGCGGCATACCCGTACGGCCTCGAGGCCGATCAGGAGGAGGAGGACTACGACATGGACGACGACGAGGATTTTGCACATCTGGCGCTGCAGCGGAGCCCATCACACTCAGCGGGCTCTGCATCATCACCACCGGAGCTCGACGACGACTCGGACGACTCGACAGAAGACGAGGCAATGCCGCCGTCGCCGCCAACAACCCTTCTCCCCGTATTCGGGGAGACGCAGAAGGAGAGCAACGCAGCATCACCAACAAACCACCCAGAGGACAAGACCGCCTTCTACGAAGAGGGGTTCTACTTGCCGCCACGAAACCCGGCGAGGCTCATCTCGGCGATATCAGTTTACTGAGTGGTCTTTTCGGTGGCTGTGTTTGCTCTTTCTTCTGCATTGGCCGGCGTTTCGAATGATACCAGGGAAGCGAAAGAAAAAAGGTGCAGGGTTTTCGGGACTTAGAAACATGAGCGTCATTGCGACTTATCTCTCAACACCACTCAATACATAATGGAAGTGAACGGTAGCGGGATCTGGATTGGATTTCAGAGACGAGGATTATTCCGCGGGCCCTGTACACGATTGCCTCATCACTACTACTTTTCTCACTACAGCGCTCCGCCCGCTCCCTGTCACAACGTGGCCAAGGTAGAGTGGGCTGGTAGCCATCAGCTCAGCGAAGCTAAGCTCGGCCGTCAACGGCGAAATTGAAACATTCAAATCATTTTACTATAATACTTCATCCGACTACTGCAATGACGTGCTCACGGTTTTGCTCTCCATTGACATCATTGCCGCCTCCGTCTCATCCTGCAAAATTCCATTTCACCACTTCCCTGTCACCCGGACCTTTGACTCCAAGACAAACATGGCCATCCAAGAGAGGTCGCCGACAATGTCGGCGACGGGACTTGAGTCTCGGCAAAGCAGAGGAACGTTGCGGCCTCGAGATCGTTTCTGAGCCAGCGGTATGATTCACACTCAAGATTATGTGGGGCTGCTGTCTATGATCTACACCAGGGGGTGCAGCTAAGCTTGTCAATCTGGGGGTGGAGCCGCGTTGTTCAATTCTCCTTCTCTACGGATTCGTACCCACACGCTGTTTCTCACTGCCCTGACTTGCTTTTGATTTCTTGGATCAACGAAGGGGTGAGGTTCTACAGGCGACGACAGGTTTCTGCCAACGAAAGCCCTGGCAGAAAATGAGCTTGGGTTACCAGTGTTAAACTTGGCTGGCTGGCCGAGTAACTAACGCTAGGCAATGAACCTGGAAATAATTAGGCATGCACGTTACGGAGGAGTCCGGTACCACGGTGTATGTACCTCGATGACTGGGAGCGGTGGACGTTCCACGTTTCGGGTTTTGGCGAACGAGAATGCCGGGCGGAGACGGAGCTAAGGGACGGATATCGATTGGAACTTTGACCCGAGTATTCTCGCGTTTTTTGCTTCGCTCTCGCTTATTTTACCTTAGCTGGTAGCTCCGTCTGGGTTTCTCGGGACTTACGTGGACGTGACTACTACGAAAACCCAGACCTTTGCGCTGCACGATCTCGTCGGGTTGGGGATGCGAGGTTACGTGTGGGGATGCGATTTATTGTGGCGGAGGACAGCGTGACTAGTGTTGGGTCGGGTGCGTGCGCAATTGATTCCTCATCACTCATTTCACCCCCGCGGTTTCCGATCCAAACGATCATGGCGTGTGGTGGACTTTGGGGGTTTGGGGACTGTCGCGGGGCCGCGGCGTCGGGCGGTGGCCGAGACCGAGGCCGAGCCTCCGCGGTGGTCGAGTCAAGGTCCTGGATTGTTGGATTCACGGTTTTATCAAACGGACAGGTTGACAACACCAGGCCCTCGGCCGTTTTCAACTTGTGTTCAACCTATCTTCGGCTACGGTTTCTGTTCTGAGGTTGCGATGGATCGGACCGCAGGATGAGACACCACGGCTCATCCGTGGTTGGCTTCAATAGCAACCTTCAGCTCACCGCCTTCAAACTCGACCTTGACGATTGCGCAAATGCGATTCGGCCGCATGTTGCACAAAGTTGCAAGCAATGCAGGGCGAATGGTGACGCCAAATCTCGAGCTGACTCAAATTCGAGCCTTGTCATCTTTGATGGCACGCGATTCCTTGGCGACTCTGATGGACGGCATTGAATGCTGCCCGAGATGAAATGAGGGTGGCTCAGACCTCTCTCCTTTTGTGGAAACGGCCATCGATGCTCACCCCAAATTCCCAAGCATCTGAAACCTCGTTTTGTCTCGGTTTACTCAGAATCATTTCCACATGGCGATACTCTAATTTATGGGGAATGTGTTGGCGAGTCTGCAGGCCCCTGTGACAAATAGTTCGAAACCCGCCTGCTCCCAGCTTGAGCCAACATGGCAACCCCCTATTGCCCAGAGGTGAAATACGTTGAAACAGGCTGTGTCATCCTCGACTATCGTCAAAGGACAACGCAGCCAGGCATCAACTTGGCGGGCAACGTGGAGCTTCTTCAGATACCGCGACATCGCTGGTTTGCCGGAGGACAACAATTTATCATACCTACATATTCTGCATATATGTTTCTTGCGTTTACGGTATTGTAGATACCTGATCAGTCGCGGCCCAACCAGTGAGGGAGACGTTTGCTGGACCTCTCAGCCCACCGGAGCTGACCAGTATATTCAGCGGCGACGCTGACAGATGATCGCGTGAGTGGTGCATGTAAGGTAGGACCCATTTCCCGGCCTGTGTGGGAGCCCTGGGAGGTTTGGCCGCCAATGTCCCGGAAAGGAGGGGCACCCGCCACCTCATCCGGTGAGTGGAAAAGGGTGGAGGTTTCCCGTCCGGTGGAGCTCCAAGGGGCCATCACGAGGTCTTAGTAGCCGGGCCTCAGGTGAAACCGCGAGACCGTCAGTTGACCGTCTACGGCACATGAAGCAATGCCTCAAGCCTTGGACGTCAAATTGGCATACCCTTAGTTTGAGGCAGAATTGGAGACACAGGGCGTTCAAGCAGGTTTGCTTGAAGAGTTAGCCTCTGAGGCGGTTGTGTGGCCATGAGGGCTTGGGAGTTGGATGTCGAGGGAGGGGAGGTTACCTGAGTACCTAATCACCAGTTTTCGAATTTCATTGTTGACGACCATTTCTTATCAGCACCATGGCGGCGGCACTCCGGCGGAACTCGAACCATCCTCTTCTCAGGAGCAATCGTTTGACAGCCGTATGACAACTGCTGCGGCCACTGATAAGTCGCCGTATGAACGGGACGAAGGGGCACACAAGGAAGTGCTTTGCATATCAGGGTCTGCACGTAAGAGCAGTTCGACGGCAGGGTTCCATGGCGGGGCAAGGCAATCGAGTCGCGGGAGACCGGAGACGGGATACCATAGTACCGGAACCCAGTGATCTTGGCAGCCGGCCTGTGCCGAGAGTTCATAAACGTTGCCAGAAGTGCTACCGGGACAATGAATGCGGTGAGGCGATCAACTTCCCAGCACGCGATGGATCCAAAAGGGTAATGCAAGGCGGTAGTAGACGTTGAATGTGTAAGACTGCGAGTCGATGACTGAGCCGTGTGATCAAGCCAACTGCTGTTTCCACGCTGGGATACCACGGCTGTTGTTTAAACTGTGCAACGAGGACAACCTCTCAAAGAGCTCATGTCTGTTCCTCAACGTCCGTCATGCGGATCGAACCGGGAACCGAAAGACTTGCATCTACCTATTTCGATGCGATGCAGCAACAAATCCAGAGGTCCATCCCGGCGTGATGAGTCGACTGACACGGGGACTCGAGCTTGCCGTGCAGGAGGATGGGACAACTGACCCACCGTCTTCAGCTCCTGCCGGAACTCATAACACTGTTTTGCTCTCTTCGATTTGCATGCCCTGATTCGTTGAGCACGAAGCGTCAAAAGCGCAAATGAAGAAGTGTGTCCATGGGCCAACTGTTACCTGATGGCGCTGATTCTCCTGAAGGCGGTTCCAATTACCGTGATTGAGATGTCGTACATTGCATTACGTAGTATGATTGTTGCCTTTCCGTCAGAGCCGACACGCGGCATATTCAAAGGAACGATCATCTTATGGTAGAAGGACCGGCGATAACCGACCCGATGAGTCCAAGGCCTACCCATAGGGCTGATTAGATAAACGCATGGACCGCCTCGGTCATTGTAAAACCCCGATCGCCGATCGGCACAATCCGCTGCCGACTGCAGGAACTGGAAAAGACATCGACGTCACCGGAGAGCTCCGGAACACGGCCATCTCTCAGAACGGAGACACCAGCAAGCCGGAACCAGTCCCTTAACCACACTGACGGCCGGACACCACAATGCAGCCGGCACGGAGGATACTCACCTTCTCTTCAAGGGGCTCGAACGGCTCCGTAAGGACCCCGGCGCCGTCCACATGCCTAACCTGCCGAGCACGTCCCACACAACGCCGCGCCTTCTCCCGCTCCGTGCCCCGGCATGCTGCTCCGTCTGCTCCCTCCCCAAACGGGATCGCCCGACTCACCTCGCGCAAGCTGATATCCGTCTCTGGCCCGGACGCGACAAAGTACCTCCAAGGCGTCATCACCGCCAATATCTACCCTGGTTCTGCCCATCCCGGCAACAACGAGCACCTGCGCTCCGACGCGGGCTTCTACGCTGCCTTCCTGACCGCCCAGGGCCGCGTGCTGCACGACGTCTTCCTCTACCACGACGTCCGCGACCGCTCCCATCCGCGCGGCCACAGCTGGCTGGTCGAGGTCGACGCCGCCGAGGCCGAGCGCCTGCAGAAGCACATCCGGCGGTACAAGCTGCGCGCCAAGTTTGACGTGCGCGTGCTCGACGACGCCGAGGCCGCCGTCTGGCACCTGTGGAGCGACGCCGACGATCAGAAGCTCTCCACCGCCATCACCCAACACGTCCACTCACCATCCTACAAAACCCCCGCCATCACCACCCGCGACCCGCGCGCCCCCGGACTGGGCCACCGCGTCGTACTCTTCGGTGATGGCAACCAACCCGCCACCGACATCACCGCCCTTGGGCCTCCCGACCCGTTCCCGCTCCTCGACGAATCCTTCTACCGCCTCCGCCGCTACCTGTACGGCATCTCCGAGGGCCAGGCCGAGCTGGCGTACGGCCAGGCTCTGCCCCACGAGAGCAACATGGACTTTACCGGCGCCATCGACTTCCGCAAGGGGTGCTACGTCGGGCAGGAGCTGACGATCCGCACCGAGCACCGCGGCGTGGTGCGCAAGAGGGTGTTGCCTGTCTTGCTTTACCCCGAAGATCAGCCGCTTCCGATTCTGTCGGGAGGAGTAGGAGTAGGGGGGTTGGAGGAGGAGGTGGGGTTGTTGTTGGGGCGTCTGTATAAGCCGCAGATCGGGAATGGGAATGGGGATGTAGCTGGGAGTGGTACGGTCGTGGATGCCGGCATGGTGCCGACCGAGGCGAGTATCGGGCGGGTGGGCAAGAAGGGACGCAGCGCTGGGAAATGGCTGAGTGGGGTGGGCAATGTCGGGTTGGCGCTGTGCCGGTTGGAGATCATGACGGATGTTGTGCTGCCTGGAGAGACGGGCGGGGTGGGCTTCAGCGAGGGGGATGAGTTTGTTGTTGGGTTAGACGGCGAAGATGGGCGGAGGGTCAAGATCAAGGCATTTGTGCCGGAATGGTTGAGGCGGAGGTTGGCGGGGAAAGAAGGGCACTAGGGGATTGGAAGAGGGTATTGGGGTTTGAACGTGTATTATGATGGTGTATACCGAATGCGTGTGATTGCGTGTATATCAGCTACAATAGATAGACATAGCCATGCGGTCATCGCTTGTGAGTAGCCAGGCCGCCGATGCTGACGGTTTCCCTGCGTTTCATGGTTCGTCTTCTGGTCGGGTGTCTGTCACCTGAGGCTGGAGATAACTCACTCACCCAATCCCATTAAGCCTGCAGCTTTCTTCAATACAGCCAGGCCGTCTTGTCAGTTTCAGGGCCATATCCACATGAAAAACTCGGAATCCTGTCCGCTCCCCCAGGCGACTTTTGAGTGAGAGCGCGGACTACACAATGGGTCACCAGCTCATATTGACCAATAAGGTCAGATTTTGGACTTTCTCCATTGGAGTTCTCTACAATCCAACCCTGGTTTGTTTGTTAGCGTTTCACATGGCAGGCCTCAGTCAGGAATGGAAAAAGCGGGATTGGCAAGGGAGAAGGCCAGAAAAGCAGGAAATGGGAAGACGGAAAAGGAGGATACAGAGATGGATGGAAGGAAGGGGAAGGAAAATAAAAGTAAGAGAAAGAAAAAGAGTGAAAAAAGAGGAAGAAGAGGAGGAAGAAGAGGAAGAAGAAGAGAAGAAGAAGAGGAGAAAAAGAGAACAACAAGCAGGTAAAGACCGGACAGTTTCTTTTGTCTTGTTCAAGGTGCCCTTACTAAGTTCCGCTCTAACAAACAAACCAGGATTAGATTGTATTGGGGTATCATACCACTAGCTAACCTACAAGGCAACCCATTGACGCCTCTTCTTATAGACTTTAAACTTAGACACGGGCCGGTGCCGGCGAAGCCGCTTCCCTAATTGACACCATCATTCGGCACCGGCGGCAGCCCCGGGGATGTGGACGGCCTGGTTTCCGGGGGCTTGGGTACCGTGTCTTCGTCAGCCAGTGGGCGCCGCTCTGCTTCGGCCCTGCTCCTCCTTTCCTCGTTCCTTGCCGCTTGCGCAGCCCGTAACCTGGCCATAACGGACGCAAAGCCGTCGCGTGCTCTGGAAACTCCGCCAGTCGACGTCTGGCCAGACGATGGCGGGGTTGTGACGGGTTGAGGGCGCCCGTCTTCGTCAGCCCGCGGCCCTGCTGTTGTGGAAGGTGATGGAGGGCTACCTGAGGCCGATGCCCATCGAGACCCTCGTGGAAGTGTTGTCTCGGCCTTCTTCGCTTTCTTCTCGGCCCTGTCTCGTTTCTCCTCGGCCTTTCGCTCCCGCTTTATGGCCTTGTGCTGTTGTGCCTCCTTCAAACGCCCCTCCAGCTCGGCGATCCGGTTGTCAAGCTCCTCAGCGGTCGGTGATGGTGTGCGATGGTCGTCCTGTGGTGTCCGGAATGCAGCTGGCTGGTCCTCCGCAGAAGTCTGCGATGGCTTGTTGTCCGTAGATGCCGCCGTGGCCACCTCCTCACCCCTCGCCAGGCGCTCCCGCTCCTCAGCCTCCCTCTCAGCCTCCCTCCGCAGCCGCATCCACTCCTCCAACTTGGCTCGGCCTCGCGCAGCCATGGCCGCTCTCTCCGGGTCCGGGCCTCTTGACTTGGAATCGCCGTGCCTGGCGCGCCTGGCCTCTTCCTCGCGCCGCTCCAGATCCTCGACAAGCTGCCGCCTCCGCTCCGACATCTGCTCCAGCTGCATCTTCTTTTGCAGCGCGGCGCGCATGCAGCTGTCGTAGGCCTCGCGGGCCGTCGGGTCGACGAGCACATCGCGCGCGCGCTCGAGCCCTTCGTACAAGGCTGGGTCGTATGACTTCCCCGCCTTGTCCGGGTGGGCGGTTAACGCTTTCCGGCGGAAGGCGCGGCGGATCTCGGCCTCTGTTGCTGTTGAGTCGGTGCCGAGCAGGGCGAAAAGGTCGACGCCGCGACCGGCGGCGTCACGTGCGTAAGCCACGATGTCTTCTTGTGGCATTGTGGATTTGATGTTGTGGGATGAAAAGTTGAAAGGTGGAAGATGGCCCCGCAGTGTGCCTTGTATACCTTGCGCACGGTTGCGCCAACGGTTGCTCGCTCCTGCCGTGAAGGCGCTTTGCCTGGCTCGTCTAGGAAGTTATGCCCACCTGATGCAGTCGAGGCGAAAGTCTGTGGTTGCAATCGCGTCGCAATGATCAAGACAAGCCTAGCCCAATTTGCTAGATGAGGTGCAGTAATCTCATGTCAAGTCTGATCTACCTCCAAAGAGGAGAGGAAAGGAACAAGTATCTAGGGCGAATGAACATAAGAACGGAAAGTCAGCAAAAATAAAGATAAACAAGAAAGGGTAACGTTAAAGAAAGGGAAAGAGAGAAAAAGAGAAAGAAAAAAGAAAGAGAGCAAAAAAAGAAAGAAAGAAAAAGAAAGAAAGAAAGAAAGAAAGAAAGAAAGAAAGGAAGAAAGAAAGAAAGAAAAGGGAAAAAAGGAAAAAGGGCAACAAAAACAAACCAGAAGGATGCTTTAAGACAAAGGAGAAGGAGAAAAAGATGGAAGAGAAGAAGATCAGCAAAATGCTGAAATTGAATACGAAAGAAAATACGATAATCTATCTTCAGTAAAACAAAAGGAAGAAAGGAAAATGATTACAGAAACAGCCGTTGCGCCGTTGCTGTGTCTTGTTACATTAATTCATGCTACCTGAGGCTTTCATGGTAAGATACAAGTATGGTAGGCAGGCAACATCGTGCCCCGCGGCGCTCTTGCATCTAATTACTTCGTTTTCTTGTCTTCCAGCTCAAATTTGCGAGCTGCGCATACTCAATGCCATCGGCCTTCCTTCAGTATCGTAGTTGACTCATGTCGTCCTTGCGCCCCCTTTACCCGTTTAAGAGCGAAACCTCGAGCAGCCGCCACCTGCAACAAAGTTTCAATACTCCGCAAGTTCGGAAATGCTGACGAGCAGGTACAGAGCCATGATCACGTCGCGCCTCAGCGAGCTCAGGCTGGAGCCATTTGATCCTGCCCTGAAACATACGCTGATTTGGGAACCTTGTCCATACAGCCTGGAATTGACAGAAGGGCGGCCGAGGAAGCTGTTGAGTACGTTGTCAGGTCCTCCTCCAACTCTGGAGGATGTCCAATGTCTGGGATTGCTTAGTTCAACTAGGCAGGAAGCACTCTGGTGGGATGCTGAGAAGGCAAGCTTACTTGCTCTCTTCTGACCGTGAGGCTTTTCGAGAACCTAGTCAGTGGGGACTGCCCGAGGTCGCAGTTGCGATCAATATTGGTCTGGTTGGTACTGGAAGTCGTCATCGTAGGGTTAATGGCAGTCAGGTCCATTCCCAGCGTGTTGTTGGAGGAAGGGAGCAAGAAAGTTGGGCGAGATGCCTGGATCAGGGCCCTGTTCGGCGGGAATAAGACCAGGGCTTGCTTGGTGACAGTTCTAGAAGCTGTGTTAGGGTACTCTTCCTGATCTGCGATTGAGATCTCTGTAAACAATCAGGCATCTGGAATGACACACGCCACGATAACATCACAGGGCGCCACAGCAGCAAGTAGACATACCAAAAGCGAAACATGTACATTGTCGTCTCTCATTCGTAAATATAAACAGTTCTCCATATCTACTGTCCAGCATTGCTCTTGCAGCTCCATGGATCCGTCCCCGAATCCCTCGCAATCGCCTCTCCCGAGGCCCACAGACCCAGGACGCACAGCAGCGTGCCGACCAGCACCAGCAAGGCGTTAAGCGAGAACAGGGCGATGCGCCGGGGGCTCGAGAACCACTCGCCGTAGTACATCCACAGCCACAGCGAGCCGGGAATGCCATACGAGAACCAGCTGGCGAACAGGGCGCATACCAGGCCCAGCAGGTTGCTGAAAACGGGAATAGACTGCGCGATAATCCAGGCGATGGCCCAGAGGGCAGCCGTGATGCCCAGCCAGCCGAACCAGCCGAGCGCCGTGCGCTTGTGAAGGTGCTTGGTGGCCCCAAAGAGTCGCACGAAAACGTACTTGGCGGCGACGTGGCCATAGATGACGCCGGCGATAACAATGGTCGGGATGGCGATGCCCCAAATGACCTTCCTAACCACGTGCGAGCCGGCGGCCGACAGGGCGGGCGACGGGACGTTGGGGCCGACGTAGACGTAAATGACGACCGAGACGACGACATAGAGGACCGTATCACAGACCTGCAGTAGCATGAGTGCCTTGGGCCAGTCGCTTGGCTGCTTGAACTCGGACATGACGCCGAAAAAGCACGAGTGGCCACTGAAGGCGACGGCAATGTTGGTGACGGCCAGGAAGGCCGACGTGAAGCCAACGCTGCGGGACACCTCGATGCTGGTGGTGCCGATGGGCTTCTCGATGCCGACATCGATCATGGTAACCAAGACGGCCGTGAAGATGGACGCGAACGACGCGAACGAGTAGTAGCCCGCCGCTTTCAGCGTTCGAGGCGTGTTCAGCACCCAGAAAACGGCCAGGCCGACGACGCCCCACACGATGGTGCACGCCGCGCTGTTGGTCAGGGTGTTAAGGCAGATGGTCCATGTCAGGAGATGGCTGCCCATAACGAAGATGACGAAGATGGTTTGCGCCCAGCCAAAGACCTCTTGAAAGAGCTTGCCCATGCCGATGGACCTGCCCATGACCTCGCCAGCGTCGCCGAAGCTTTGGACCCAGGGGTGCTGTTTCCGGAACTCGCCCATGACGAGGCCCGAGTACGTCGACAAGAATCCCATGATGACCATAACGATGAGTCCGGGAGCCAGTCCGAGGGTCGCCACGACGGCGGGGAGTGATAGGATACCAAGTGACACGGTCTCGGCAATCATGACCACTCCGGCTTGCCTGTGAATGTGAGTCAGCTTCAGGGTCTCGTCCATGGCGCAAATGTCTGTGAGCATACCACCAGGTGAGGGTGTGATAGTTGATCGACTCAGAGTCATCTTTCCCCTCGTCGTCCGGGCTATAGATCGGGGGCGCTGGTTCGATGCGGGTGCTGCCGGTTTCGATATCGCCTAGCGCATTGTTCTTCTTCTCGGAGAAGGCATCTGGGCCGACGCCAGCAACTGCGATGTTTGACGCCATCGAGACAGGCAGCGAGTAGGTGGGGCCTTTCAAACGGTTCGAATCCCAACTCCTGCGGAGCGTGTGGGAATATGCGCGTCGGATGCCGCGCCGGGCACTAACAAGCCAAGCTTTAGGGACGACGGAAAGGTAGGCTGAGGTCGATGTCGAAATGGAGTTGAGAGATCTCTGGGGAGAGCGCAGCCAGGGGACGTTCGTATTTGAGGGAACTGGTTCGTCTCATGCTGATCCTGCTCACAGGGACGAGTCGCGGCGAAAAGCGCCGCGATCGTCCGCGACCGGACGTTTCGAACATGGACCAGGCTGGTGCACTGAACCTTACATGATGATGTTCGCGGAGCGGTGGAGTCGCGGAGGCAATTACGTCTGGGGTACATGACAAGGTGATGCAGTCGGACCTGCCGAAAATTGCATCTGTCGCCACTTTTGCGCCGAGGTGGATGGATCTCTTACGTTACGAGAATGCAGCCAGAACTTTCGGAAGACCCCATCAGCTCGACGCTCACCGACGACCGGCTACTACTGTATGGAGTCGTGGTGTGCTGGTCCACCCTCAGCTTTCACCTGTCAGTGTGGAGTAGAGCTCCCGCACCTTATCGGCCAATTTCTTCGAAAGCTGCGCTGCGTCGCAAGTAGATGAGTTTGGTGGATTTTAACAAGGCCACACGGTCGCAACTCGGCGTTGTCCGTTAAGGCTACCATATGCTCGAGCCATGTCATCATGATGTAGGCTGATCCTTGTTGATTGTCAGAACGCGCTTTCTACAAACTGCACCAAATAATCGCCAACAATATTTTGACCACTGCTTAACACACCAATATACCTAAGGTGTCCCACAAGTTTCGTGTTCCTACTCCAGGGGCTCCCGCCATGTTGACCTGCCGTGAACCCCAGACAATGGCCACGTGCCCAGTCTTCTTGAGACCTGCAGCTCGAGATATTTATGGGTTGGCAGACGAGTTGCGAAGGCGTGGGCCTGTGAGCTGGGCCTTGAATCGTTCAAATTTGAGAAGATTTGAATCACGGTCGGTTGATGACTCGGGTGTGGTTGACGTTGAGGTGGTTAGTTGGATTCACTTGAGCATGGACCAGTTGGTGTTCGCCGCTCGGAACCTGGAAGGCTTCAACCGAATGAGGATACTCCGTACCTTCTTCGTACAGCTTCCAGGCTGTCTCAATGAGAAGGGTACTGGTATGTGGATGTCAAGAGCAGGCTCCGGCCGTTCGCGGTACGGAGTACTAATAAGTGATGCAGACCGGCCCGTTTTGGGGATAACCGACCCATTCTTTTCGAGGAAGCGTGATCTTCTCCTCATCCGTATCTGACCAGCGCTGGCGTCTGGGCCACCTCCTCGCCATGTCGCCTCGTATGACCCCGCAGCTCAATGGAAACGGGAGGACATCGAGCCGGACAAACCCTTCGCTTTCATCAATTGGGATACCCTCAAGCGTTATGCACTGAGAGTGAGGAGTCAGGTCGATGGGGCCGAGTCCCCCTGCGGGCTTTCTCCCGAATACAACATGGATGGCTACACGTTGTGCGGCGTATCGACTTTGAAGACGGCTATCGATGGCTTGCACGGGTCGAGCTCAAGCCGCCAACACCCGAGTCCTGCCAGTGCCTGCTAAACGAAGTTCATACCATGTCGGCCGTCCGTGCAAAGTCCCCAGTCCCCGTCCCCCGGGTTTTCGCCCATGATGCGACTGGGGAAAGCGGGGTTGGAGCCGCTTTCATGCTGCTGGAGTTTGTCCCGGGGGACACTGCCATGGACTCGTTCGTGGATGGGAGACTCACAAAGGCCAAACGCCTGCTCAGTTCGAGGACAAGTTCTATGCAGCGCTCGCTGAGATTCAACTGGAGATGGCATCGATACGCTTCCCCAAAGATCGGTGCCATCGTTCTTCGGGACGGGGAGTTCGATGTTGGTCCCCATACCAGGACTCGGCGGCCCGATCAACGCTGCTGCAGAATATTTCCAGGCCTGGGCCAATACCGCCAAGTTCTTCTATAAAGAGGCAACAATTCGAAAACGCACGCCACCAGACCTTGTGGACGAGGTGCTCGCCACAATCTCGTCGTTTCCCTCCAAAGTGCGCGAGCTGGCTGGCCGGTTTCAGTTTCACAACGGCCCTCCCCCTCTCATCTACACCGACCTCTACAGCAGCAATGTCATCATTGACACCGATTACAATGTCTTGTCTGTGATCGACTGGGAAAACGCATTTGTGGGCCCCTGGGAGTTGGTCGAGTTTAACAAAATGCTGTCCATGGTCCCTCCCGAAATGGATGGCCCGTTGTTTCAATAGACTGAGCAAGACAGGGGTCTGAAGTCTGCTAGGGCGGAATACCTTGGGCTCGTCCAGGGGGCAGAAGAGGAAAGGGATCTTGACACCAGCCTATCCATGATCCTGTCCGATGAACGCATGCAGGCCTTTGCTCATGCATTTTGGCTATATGCAGACGGATGTATCGGATTCTACAATAGGGTCCTCAAGTTGATCGAGCACGTGGATGTGTGACACTATGCTCCGTATAGCTTCCAGATCTCATCAATACGTAGTCCTGAGCCTCTGGATTAGGTACTCCCCGCTGTTAATGCCCTCGTACTTCTTGTCCGCCTCGGTGGCGTACGTCCCCGGGATAACCTCGATAAAGTCCTTGAAGTTGGGATTGCAAAAGTACCTGCTTTCGCGTTAGCCATCGGCCCCCTCAACTTTCCCCCCTGAAAGGCATATTAGAGTGCCACTCACGCAATGCTGTATCTCGCGGGGTACTCCTCCTTCCCATCATCCCCCTCCCTCCTCGGTGGCTCGACGACCCGATGCACCGTGCTGCGAATCGTATCGTTGCTCCACCTCGCCAGCAAGTCTCCGGCATTGACGACACACGTCCCCTCAATGGGCGTGGCATCCACGAATGTGCCCTCAGGACTCTGCACCTGCAACCCCCCCGCCCCGTCTTGAAACAGAAAAGTAATCGATCCATAATCAGAATGTTCGCCGGCGCGTACCTGGCCCGGGTTGACCTTGAACAACTCCTTCCTCACGGCCGGGTAGTGCAGCAGGCGCAGCGTGTTGTCCTCGTCACAAACGAATTGGTCAAAGTACATCTCGTCGGGCAGGCCCATTCCCGCCGCGATGGCGCGCATGACCGACCGGTGGAGGGCGGCGAGGTCGGCGAAGAAGGACGTCATGGTCTGCCTGAAGCCGGCTAGCTTGCTACTACCGCTGTGGCTGTCGTCCCCGTCCTCGCGCGGCCAGTGGTTGGGGTGGGACGGTTCGTTGTCCCGGCCGATCTCGAAGGATTCCTTGATGTCCGGGATGGAGTCGCGCAGCGCCGAGATGGCGGCCGTGCTGGTGAGCTGCGTGGCTTTCTCCCGCCCTAGGGCGGAATAGCCGCGGTTGGCTTCCGGGCTGAACCAGGCGAGGGAGTCCTTGGCGGCGCGCGGGAGGCGGAAGAACTCGGCTGACGCGTCGAAGACGTGCTGGAGGACCGAGGCCGGGATGGGAATGTTGGAGAGGTAGATGAAGCCCGCAGTTTGGAAGCCTGTCAGGATGGCTCTGGCTGTTTCGAGCTTTTGCGAAGGGGAGCCGTTGAGGAACTTGGAGAAGTCAATAAGCTGGGATTGTCAGCATGAGGCCATTCAAGGGATGATGAGCTGGAGTGTGCTGTCTACCGGGATGAGGAGCCCGTCTTCGTGCACGGCCGCCTTCTCCATGTTCGACTCCTATATCTGGTCAATTCAAGATGATTGAGCTTAGCTGCCTCTGTTAAAGTGGTTGAGTGCGGTCTCCCGGTGCGAGTTGAGGAAAACCCCTTTGACGGCTCAGAAAGGAGGACTGAGGGGTCAGAGACACTGACGTACACCTTCCAGTTTGTCCTGCAGAGACGGAGCCATCCACGCTTTCTTTGTCTTGCCTGTTTTTAATAGGGCCCTATCAATTTGCACAACGCGGCCAAGCATATCGACTGGCGCACATATGCAAAGTTCAAACTGTGTTCCGTCGTCAACATGCCCAATACAATCACAGGCCAGCCGCTCCTACCGGGCTTGCAGTCCCTTCTTCGTGTCTTGCTGCGTGGTACAGCACCTCCACACGCTCACCCACTTCCTCGAAGCCACGAGCATCAGGCATCATCTGCTTTCGGGCCACACATGATCATAGCGGCGCACCTCAACTAACGAAAAGTAAGACCCGTTGCTGCTGGACAGATAAGACCTTGCAGCGATCAGATAACAAGGTGGGCCGTCGGACGGGAGGTGTGGTAGACGCGGGGTCGGTGCCGGTTTGGCGTCCGGTCGAAGCTTGGCCTCCGGGGTTCGCTGCACCGAGAGAAGTCCGTCTCGGAATCTCCTGATTCTCATCCACATCCCCCTTCTGTTCAGTGAATTCGACCTGTCAGTTTCTGGCATTTCCCAGCCAGTCCAGCAACACAGTCCAAAATGGCTCCGACAGAACAAGGGACCCCCGTAGTCGACATCCACACCCACATGTACCCTCCCGAGTACATCTCGATCCTCTCCTTACGAGACACCATCCCCTTGGTCCGGACCTTCCCCTCTTCCCCGGAGCCCCGCCTCATTCTCCTCGAAGCCGAGCTTCCAGCCCTCGAGCGCGCCTTGCAGGATCCCTCGGCGCCTCTCCCCGGCCGGCCGCTCACCAATCACTTCACGTCCCTCGCGCACAAACTCGCCTTCATGTTCCATCACAACATCTCCATCTCAGTCCTCTCCCTGGCCAACCCCTGGCTCGACTTTCTGTCCCCCACCGAAGCAGGCCCCATCGCATCGCAAATCAACACCTTGTTCGAGGCCATGTGCGCCACCACCAACAACACCACAACCCATCTTGCCCAACAACCCCCGACCAGCCGAAAACTCTTCTTCTTCGGCACGCTTCCCCTCACCGCCCCGCCCTCAACAATCCTCTCCGCGATCACACACCTCACCACCCTCCCGCACTGCCGCGGCATCATCCTCGGCACCTCGGGCCTGGGCAGCGGCCTAGACGACGCATCTCTCCTCCCCATCTTCTCTGCCCTCGCGTCCGCCCACCTCCCAATCTTCCTGCACCCGCACTACGGCCTACCGCCCTCCGTCTTCGGTCCGCATTCTGAACAGGGCGCCTACGGCCATGTCCTACCGCTAGCGCTGGGCTTCCCCATGGAAACGACCATCGCCATCGCGCGCATGTACCTGGCCGGTGTCTTTAACGCGGTTCCCGAGCTGAGGCTGATCCTCGCGCATGCCGGGGGTACGCTGCCCTTTCTAGCGGGGCGGATCGAGAGTTGTGTTTTGCATGATCTCAAGCTTGGTGGAGGAGGTGGCGACACGGAAATGGGGAGAAGGAGAAGGACGGTGTGGGAGGTGCTGAGGGAGCAGGTGTATCTTGACGCGGTGGTGTACAGCGAGGTCGGGGTCAGGGCGGCGGTGGAGGCGGCCGGGGGTGCGGACAGGCTGATGTTTGGGACGGATCACCCTTTTTTTCCCCCTGTTGAGGGGGACATGGAGGGAGAGTGGGAGAGTGTGAGATTGAATGTGACGGCAATCGAGACGGCGTTGGGGAAGGGGAATCAGGAGGCGCAGATGGTGCTTGGGGGCAATGCGGTTCGGGTGTTGAGGTTGGTCGAGGAGTAGGGGAGGTTGGTGGTTCATTATTTCGTCATTGATTTGGGGTTACATGAGATGTCTACGGACAAAGCTTAGTATGCGTTCTAAAGACCTGCCGCCTGTATCACTCACCCCAGCTGTCTAGACCATGTTTAATTTCTGCTTCCCCCTCTTCCTCTTCCCGCCCACCTCCCGGTGCTCTTCCAACTCTAGCAAAGCCTCTCGCTTCTTCTCTCCCACCAGCTTCAACGCGTCCCTCACAACCCTCGTCTCCAGATTGACCCCTTCCTCCTGCCACGCCTCCATCTGCCTGCCGACACGCTTCTCGATCGCCAGCACCAGATCCACATCCCGCTGGCCGACGAACGTCACAGCGTCGCCTTTGCGTCCAGCACGCGCCGTACGGCCCACGCGGTGGATGTAGTCATCCGGGTCTCGCGGGATGTCGTAGTTGATGACGAGCTTCACTTCTGGAATGTCCAGACCGCGGGCGGCGACGTCGGTGGCCACGAGGATACGCGCCGCCGAGGCGCGAAACCGCGCCAAATTGTCGATGCGCTGCCGCTGCGGCAGCCTGGAGTGCAGCGCCGTCACGCGGTGGTCGAGGAGCCGGAGCAGGTGGTGCAAAAAGTCTGCCGTCGAGGTCCGGTTGCAGAAGATGATGGCCGATTTTTCCACGTTGGTGGGGGTCAACAAGAACATGTGCAGGTAGTGCTCGCGGTGTGTGACGGGCACCTGAAGGTGCATCTGGTTCAGCGTGGGCGGGATGGCCAGGTTGTCGGTGTCGACCTCGCACACAAAGACCGGGTCTCGGCCGGGTTGTCGGGGCATGTTCTTCAGCGCCATGACTTCTGGGGTGATGGTTGCTGTAAAGAGCAGCGTCTGCCTCTCGGCCGGCGGGGGCAGCGCGCTCAGACACTCCTCTACGTCGGGCAGCATGCTGCCCGGCCCGTTGGCGGCCAGCAGCCGGTCGGCTTCGTCGAGGACCACGAAGCGGACTCGTCGGAGCCCGCACACCGTATCTTCGCCCGACGTGCGGATGTGGTCGGCCAGGCGGCCCGGGGTGGCGATGACGACGTGCGGCCGCTGGGCCAGGGCGATGGCTTGCGACCGCATGTCGGAGCCGCCTGTGACCAGAATGGCTTTGAGCGAGTGTGGCGACGAGATGGCCTTGACTTGCTCGTAGATCTGGAGGGCAAGCTCGCTGAGTGGCGTTAGCAAGAGACATGTTGTGAAAGGAAGTTGAGTCTTACCGGGTAGGGGTCAGGATGACGGCAAAGATGGCGGACGGGTTCTCGGCCCATTTCTGGAGAATGGGCACGGCGAAGGCCACCGTCTTGCCCGAGCCAGTCCTACTCCCACCGATGCAGTCCCTTCCCTTGAGCAGCATCGGTATGCTCTCCCTTTGGATGGCGGTTGGCCGCTTGATGGCCATGTTAGCCAAGGACTGCACCAGCCACGGCCGGAGCCCGAGCGACTCAAAAGTGGTATTGACATCCAGCGGGGCCGTGACCCCGGAAGCGGGCTCGGGCTCGACGTCAGGCTCGCTTGGGCGGGCAGCCTCAACTTTGTTCTCGGACTGGGGTTTGCGCTTTGTGGCTATGCGAGACGGCACATTCAAGGCAGATTTGATGATCTTGAGCGCGGTTTCTCCGTCAGCGTCGTTGTCATCGTTGTCATCATCAACATCAATAGGCGCAGGATATGTGCGGCGCCGTTTCCTGGGGCTGGTACTGTCCAGGGAGTCCGAATCCGATGCCCCCAAACTCGCATCTGATTCTGAATCCGACGCTGTCCCATCGACAATTGCATCGGCTTGCTCCCTCTTGGGCCTTTCTTTCGCAGAGGCGGCTGATGGCATGTTTAATGTGGCTTGAGTCAAACTGCGCAGCCTGGCATACAGGATGGAATTCGGGAGGCTCAGATGTGACTGTCAAGCTCATCAACAGTGCCGTTGTTGTTGGAGGTTGATATTTTTGGCAGGGGTTCACGATGAAAAAAAAGGAGATCTCTTGGCACCGAGCTTTAGTGGAGACGGGGGTCGAACGAGCTCGAAGCCGAGAGACACACTTGAACATCAAACGGTCGATCCCATGTCCCCGCTTGCCCTGGCCAACGAACACACATCACGGCGCTTAACTACCTAGCTCGAGAAGCGCCAGCCTTGGGCGCTTGAAGGAGGCGACTCGACTTCAGGCTACTATCCGAGCAGTCACGAAAATTGTGTAAAAGTGCAGAAGCTGACCTACTCAGATGAATGCCTCCAGTTAAGTTTCAGATTCCTTTGTTGGTCTTGCCAGGGCTTCTGCCAAGAGCCTGAAACGCAACCAAGTGACTTTGGTATTGGCCCTTGAAGCGCCCAGTTCAGGCACAAGCCATTCCAACCAACCGAGGGTGCAGTGCCGAAATCCAGGAGACAAATGATGGGATCGCCCAGTCACTATCAGCGTTCTCTGTCGGCAGCCATAGCCAAAAGGGTAGCTGGAAGCCCAGGACAGCACCTGCCTGATCATCGCTTACACAGTAGCTGTTGAGGAGGGTTCTTCTGCTCACATCAGCCGTACATGGCTTTTGGCAGGCAACACCGCAATTCTGGAAAAAGGAACAATGATTTTAACACAGGCAGCTCAGAAACCACCAGCTACTCCATAGACACAACTTAGTTGTAATTGTGCAGCATAATTCTCGTACCTTTAGTGCCGAGTATAGATCTGCAGGACTGTCTGCCAGAGGGGGGTAATAGGGCGTCGCTGTGGGGCTGTTAGGACTGAGACCTAGGACTGACGTCTCCAAGCCACGACCGTTGATGCCGGCGGCTCCGGCACCGTCATCCATCCATCCCTTGCAGCCCGTTGGGACATGCGCGAGATGGGCATGAGACAAAGAGGCCTGGCTGGATCCTTTCCCCTTGTGTTGTTTTTTCATTTGTTTGGAAGCAGCCGCCCGATGCTCGCTGCCCTGTCCGTACTGTACTTTCCAGGTAAGGTTTCTGACTCGCTGGGATCTCTCCCCAGAGCTCCAATCGGGTTCTCCGTCCAGTGATTTGCTTTCGTTCTTGCCTGCCTGGGCCCCCACCAACAAGCCCAGGGCAGCAAAGGCCTTTGTCCACCAAATCCAACGTCCACCTATGGTGAGAACCACCTGGACCTTGACCCAACCCGCCTCGGCCATTGGCCGGGCCGACGCAATCAGGGGAGCCGCTGGAACCTGGATTGGGCGCCTACACGTGTACCTGTAACTCGTGGAGGGGTCATTGTCATTGATGAGGGTTGATTCCACTCATCAACTGCAGCACCCTCTCCCTGGACACCGCATTTCTATCTCAACACTCGCAACCCTCGACAGCGTCCACAAACCCGACCGAACTCCTACGGAGGGCCATCCATTGCGCCAACTGCCTTGCATCGCCATATTATCGCACCCGCATTGGCTGCCACGACCCAGACGGATTTGCGCCATTTGCGTAAACGAGCGGCTGATCCAATCCGCGCCTCGCCACGACCCAACCAACCGACCCAGAGCACGAAACTCTGGGCCTGATCGAGCTGGAGCCTGAGCCTGAGCCCGAGCCCGAGCACGAGGTGTACCACAGCTTCCCCAGTTGCTTGATCCAGCGTTGCCTGCATCCGCTTGTGCGTTGCTCGCTGCTGTGTTGCGCAGCACACCAGATCGTTTTGGCCGCTCCTGCATCCAAGTCGACGACCCAGCGCTCTTGTCAGCCCTCGCTCGCTTCGGCCCTATTAGTCGGGATAACCAACCAACCACTGCATCGCGCCCTGTTTGTCTGCAAGCCAGTCTGGTTTGCTGCTCTAGGCAGTTCCCAGTGGACAGCGAACGAGCCGGGCCCGCAGCACCGGACCCAATAATGGCGTCTTCCCAGAACCAGGGCAGCGACGCCGCTGCAGCCATGGTACGAGCTCCCTTCCTTTTTGCTCTAGATGTCGAAGTCTCTCCTGTTCTCGTGCACATGCACCACTTGCACCAACAATCTCCCTCCCTTCTCTCCGTCTCTCCTGAAGCTTGGGGAAGAGGTGATCTCGGCATCTCGTTGGGAGGAGAAGTGCGTCTGAAACCCGGCCCGCCGAAAACGAGAGATAATTCGAATCGCCCGAGAAACTTTTTTGAGCTTGCCCGCTGATGGTATCTTCCACCATGAAGCCTCCACTCGGAATCCCTCAGCAAACCCCTTCCCCAGCCCCCACGATATCGGCCGCACCGCCACTCCTTCGCCCAGCCATCCCCGGAGCTCGTCCAGGCGGCCGCGCTCCCCGCTTGGGGCTCGCAATCCCCCCATCCCCAAACGCGAAGCCGGTCGGGAACCATGGGGCGCCTCCTCCGCGTCCGGCCCTGCCCACTCTGCACCTTGCGACCCCCATGGGCAGCACCGTGGTACCGCAAGAACAACCATCCAAACCCTCACTCAGCCTCAACCTACAAAGCGCGAGCGGCGGCAGCGAAAGCAGTGCCGCCCATAGCAGGAGCGGGAGCTTTGGGCCGCTCGACGGCCGCGCCAGCAATCCCACCAGCGCCGGTTCTCAGTTTAGTGCTCTCTCCTTTGCAAGCCAATACGGGATAGGGCGATCGACCGGCGACCCCGTGTCAGCGGTTGGGTCGTTATATTCAAATGCGAGTGAGAGTATGGAAGGAGAGGGCGGCTTGTTGGAGGCTTTCGACGACCTCACCCTAGAGAAAGCGAGGACAGCAGACGTTGAAGACCTAGATGACGATGGCTGGCGCATCGTGAGCCACGAGAAGAGGATCATCGAGCTTGGGAACCTGGGCGAGGGTGCCGGTGGTGCTGTGACAAAGTGCAAACTGAAGGGACACGATACCGTGTTTGCCCTTAAGGTGCGTATCCGAGTCCCCCATTTCTCGGCCATGCCATTTTGCTGACTGTCCAGATTATTACAACCAACCCTGATCCGGATGCCAAGAGACAGATCATCCGCGAGTTGGGCTTCAACAAGGGATGTGCCTCCCAACACATCTGCCGCTATTACGGCGCCTTTGTGGACCCCGCCACGGCCACCATCTCAATCGCCATGGAGTTCTGTGAGGGCGGTTCGCTTGACAGCATCTACAAGGAGGTTAAGCGCCTTGGTGGGCGAACGGGCGAGAAGGTCTTGGGGAAGGTCGCCGAGGGCGTGCTCCAGGGCTTGACTTATCTGCACTCCAAGAAGATCATTCACCGTGACATCAAGCCGAGCAATATTCTCCTTTGCCGCAATGGCGACGTCAAGCTCTGCGACTTCGGCGTGTCGGGCGAGTTCGGCACCAAGGGTGACGCCAGCACCTTCATTGGGACGAGTTACTACATGGCGCCCGAGCGCATCACAGGCCAGTCCTACACCATCACGTCCGACGTCTGGTCGACCGGCATCACGCTGCTCGAGGTTGCCCAGCATCGCTTCCCCTTCCCGGCCGACGGAACCGAGATGCAGCCCCGCGCCACTCCTCTGGACTTGCTGACGTACATCGTCAAGCACCCCACGCCCAAGCTGAAGGACGAACCCGACGCCGGCATCTTTTGGAGTGCCAATTTCAAATTTTTTATCGAGTGCTGGTACTTTTCCCTATCCTTTTTTGCTCCTGCCAGCATGTCACGGTCACGCTAACCACCCGTTTACCAGCCTCGAGAAGGAACCCGCCCGCCGAGCCACCCCGTGGCGTATGCTGGAGCACCCCTGGATGAAGGATATGAGCACCAAACGCGTTAACATGCGCCGTTACCTAGCCCAGGTATGGGGCTGGAACGATCAAGAACCTCAGGCTGCACAGAAGGCATAGAGTGCCGGACGTGGCCAGGTTCAGCCCGGGCGTGACTCGGTCTGCGACGCCGTCCGGGGTGGGGCAGAGGGAGCAAAGAGCGTCAGGGAAGTAAACTTGATCCACGGATTGCTCGTCAGAAGGGCACCAACAAGGGCCACAGAAACGATGGTAACAGGCTTTCTGGGGCAGTCACATTTCCCCCTCCCCCAGACCAGCAACCTCAAAGATGCCCTCTACAGTCCCTGATTTGCGACCGCATGCGGACAAAGGAGTGAAAGTGATAGCGACCAATCCTGCAGAGCAACCGTCGTCTGGAACTGGGCAGATATTTACCTCACCAAACTCTTCTCGTCCTGGATTGACCACCCACCCGCACACCGCTCTAGTCACCGCTTCTTCAAACTTGTTGGATAAAGATGAAGACAACCGACCGGACCACGCACTCAGTTGGTGTGGCGGAACATCTGTATTGGCACGGGGCCAGACAACGCCTTGAAGACAACGCCCTGAAGACCGCCTACCCCCGATTTTGATCTTTTCTTCCAATTCAATGGCCACCCGCACCCGCAACATCGCCCATCATCTCGACATTCTCCCCTGCCTCGACGTCAACGGCACTGTCACCTGCGTCAACCGTGGAATCTGCATCCGCCTCCTTTCCTGCATCGGCATTCTCACCAACCTCAACAGCATATGGCGCGAAATCAGCAACATGGGGATCATCATCTTCGTCATCATCAGCATCGTCAAGATAGTCGCCCGCCTAGGATCTAACAGTTGATCACGCCACAGCCTTGAGAAACACAAATAAACAGACTCGTGGTTCTAGATTACCGCGGGAAGTGGATGATGGGAAAACAGGAGACCGTGCCATGTGGAAGATGGGGCAAGCACAGCTGATTGAAGTGATGGTCTCGGTTGACTGATTTTGGGCAAAGGCATGCTTTTGATGTCGTATCGGTATCATTATAGCTGTGATACGGTACGCTTTCCTTCTCTTGTCTTTTTCTTCTGCGGGCGTGGTGTTGGGTGTAAGAGGTGGGAGCGGCTAGCGGGTGGCAAGGGTGAGCGCGGTTGGGGGCACGAGGTTGGTTTCCTCAGCAGCGAGTATGCTACTGTTCTTGACTTGTTTGCTTGGATAGTAACGAGAGAGAGAGAGAGAGAGAGGTTTGGAGAAAGAATGAGTGAACAAACTGCGCCACGGATCAAATCGAAATTGGCTTGGACAAACGGACGGACGAAGGGCAGATTTCGGGGTTTTGTGATCGTGGTCATCAGCGATGAGCGCCTATTTCCTTTCGTTCTTCCTCATTATCGTGATTACGGGTAATACCTCTGATGTTCAATCTTCATTGGTTACATTTGAATTCGAATCAGGAGGTCACAGCCTATCTTACGTAGCGAAGCATGGGTGTGGGATACAAGTTAATGACCTCAGATCCTGTCCTCTAGCGTCAATGATGTGAATGAATTCGAAATCAGCCGTCTGTGAACAGGTTTGTCCCCGCCGTCATCGCCCTTTGGTCAGGGCGAGCAGAAGAATGGGACATGAAGCCGGGCCGACCAGCCTTCCTCTGCTCGGATTACGTCTTGGGACACTATGACGGCTCTATTAGCCCATGTACGAGATGTCTGCCACTGACGGGAGTTAGTGGGTCCAATTCAGTGAAGCAGCCCAGAAAGCCCCTTAAGGTCTGTATTATGTGGACGTCGAAACCTCACAAGCACACCAAAGCCAAAGATTGATACAAGTCACCACTTTATTGTCCCGTTCACTTGCCCAGGGTCATCATCATAGTCGTACATAACCCATCTACCATCCTGCAAAAGGGGTATCTCAATGGTGCGTCATGTTCACGTCAAAATCCTCTCCCAGTGTTCCCCCCTGTCTAACTGGCAACGCCGAAAGAAAAGAAGAAAACCCAGAAAATATCAGGTTTTGACCCCCGACCACCATTTGCCATGTCGTGCCCATGCAATGCAGCGCCTTGTTGTTTCCCCAAGCTCAATGCGCAGGCCCCAACCATATGGCAGCCACTCGCAAAGTAAGCTTCGCAAAGCAGAAAATATCAGATTAGTTCCCCTTTTTACCCACTCCACGTGAGCCGAATTGGTAGACAGCACAAAGTCTAAGAGAAAGGAAAGAGAGACCGAGTCGCCCAAGACAATGTTGCGCAGCGAAGAACAGAGGCAAAATGCCATGGATCAGAGAGCACAAGCGTGGTGCCGCGATAACCGTCGGCACAGGAGGATGACAAGAAGAGTAGGCTTCCGGAACGGTGAAAGCGACAGTCATCTCCAGCTGGGACAGAGCCTCGGACAGTTTCTGAAAAGTTAAATGAGAAACCGAGACCGAAGCGCCGAAAATGCGTGATAGACATGCTCATCGTGGGGTCTAAGGGCCGATGTGTTGGCGGTACAATTAGATCGCCCATTTCGGAGCAGCAGTATGCTTCAACAGACCAAGTAGGCCAACAAAAGGCCAAGACGAAGTCTAGAAGCCAGTACGAGTATGCCAAAGATGTGTCGTATCGGAATGACGAACGGCTGACTGAACGAGGCTTCGCCATAAAATGACTTCGGATGATGAACTCCGAAGCCATCAACCAAGACGGGCTTAAAGGGGAGTCCCCTCGATAGTCGTGCCCATGAGCTCGCGGAGCACGATGGTGGCATAGTTGCTGGCTTTCAGCTGAAACTTGAGGATCACAGCAATCTTGTCGGCATTAGGGTCAATGCTGCCCTCGTCAATGCCAGCGCCGAGGACAGAGAAGGGGTTATCCGATGCGGTGCGGAGTTTGGGCAAAGTGACGCCGTTAATCACTTCGGTGTCAGGGTCGGCATTGCTCGGCTCCTCAACCTTGACGAGGGCCATGCTCTCGTCATTGCTCTGGCCGGCTGCAGTGTTCATGGAGCCATTGAGCGGGTTCGCGTCATACCAATTCATCGAATCCGCAGCCAGGGATTTGACTTGCTTGGAGGCAACATCGGGCATGGAGCTGTCACCCCGGTTCTCGAAGGTGTTGGTAGCGAGATTGGAAGCCTCAATCGGATTCAACACGCCGGACGATTCGACCTTGATCTCCTGGTGCTGACCCGGCTCCTGGCCCTGAGAGGCATCACCGCCGGCATTCGTTTGCATCGTGAAACCGGGAGGGAGCGGCCCAAAGTAGGGAATCTTGCCAGTCTCGGCATAGTAGCTGTCTGAGACGCCGCGGACTCCAGAGGTGGGAATGGCACCCTTAGGAAGAGGAATCATGGGGAAAGGACCATCCGTAAAGATGTGCGGAGGGGAGGCGTCCCCCTTGTCTTGGGTCAACGGGGCGCCGTTGCCGACGGGGAAACGCGGGTGGCTTGCATCCTCCTCAGGCTCCTTAACCTTCAGGGTCGGAATGGTGGCAGACGCGTCACCACAAGGCAGGCCGTTCGGCGGGTTCTCGATCTGCTGGTGGTGGCGCGCGAGCTTAACACGCTTGGCACTGCTGTCGGCCCCAGTCTGGACCCAAGTCTCGTTGGTGACCATGACAGCGTCCGAAGGCGGCTCTTCATCAGCCTTGCGGCGGCGTTCGGCAGCCATGGCGTCATCATATGTAGCAGCGTTCTGAGAGAAATGAGCCCAGCGGTTGACAAGCGGGTTGACGGCGGGATGGGCCCCCGGATGAGCCACAGCTTTTGCGAGCTTCTCGGCGTTCTTCTTGTGGAGAGCATGGTCGAGGTCAGTGGGGTACATCTGCTCTGTGTCATCGCGATACGCCCGGACGGCGTACTGGGGGTCGCCAATCAAACGGCCGATGAGGGGGCGATAGTTGCCGCTGAGGCTGAATTCGCGCTGCTTGCGGCGCATGTCAAAGGGGTTCAGGGCACCGTTCTCGGGCTTGCCCATGAACTCGACGTAATATTCGCCGATCTCGTTCCGGGGATACGAAACATCATAACCGGGAGTGGGCAAGACGACGTCAAAGATGGTGTACTTGCCGGTGGCGACCTCGGCGGCCGTCACGGCGTGGGCTTGAGCGTAGATGTTGTCATCGTCGTTATCATCGTAAGGGTTGAATTCGTCATCGTCAGACTTGTCACGACGGCGAGTGCCCGTGACCAGGACAAGGTCGCCCTCGATGACCTTGGCTCCGTACTTGGACCAACGACGAGTGGCGACAAAGTTCCAGACGTACGACTGGTAGGCGTGGACGTACATCATGCGCATTCCACGGGTAATGCTCAGAACGGCTCCAGTAAAGTCCTTCGGGTTCTTACCCAGATGGCGAATGATGGCAGTCTCTGAGCTGAAACGCTTGGGGAGGAACTCGAGAGCCTTCCCCGCATTCTTGGTCGCCTTCCACGTGGTGATGCCACGGGCACGGTTGTGGTCGTCCCGGCTGTTCTGGAAGTCCTTGCCTGGCCCGTAGTGGTGAGGAGCGTTGCTCAAGACCTCCTTGAGCAAGTCATCATCGACGTGCAAAATGTCTTCGATGAAGCCCTCGTAATCACCCTTCAGAATCTTCATGCCGAGCAGGTGGGTACCAATGGTGTAGGTCCCGAAGCGCTGCAGACCGTAGTAGTTGATGTAGCCGTTGTGCTTGAGATAGGCGAGGCCACACTCAACAGCCTGCTGGATCATCTTCATGCGTTGGGGAAGGGAGCAGTTGTCGCCGCCCAGGGGCTGGCAGTTCTTGAGCGTAATGACGAACTCGTTGCCACCATGCTGGCCCAGCTGAAGAGGCTCCTTGGAGTACTCGAAGTCCCCCACCTTGACATTGGGGATCCGAGTGTTCAGCCAGATGAGATTGGAGGCCTTTTGGCGGTAGACGCTGATGCGCTGGACAGTGCCGGCACGACGATCCTTGGTACCAGCAAAGCCGAAATTGGACGCCTTGATCTTGAGAAGGCGGGCGATAGTGTTGACTGCGTCCATGGTGTCTTTATTCTCCTTGTAGAGAGTGAAGTGAAGGTATTCACCACCGAGTTCGCCAAACTCGCGGGCTTGGTCACGGCGGCTATTGTCACGGCGGGGAGCCCAGTTCTGGCTGGCGGCCCGGCTGTTGACAGCCCATTTGGCGGCGGTAGCGGTGATGACGCCTGTCGCATCCGCAACAGTGTCAAAGCGGGAGCGGAAGATACGGCGAATTTCCTGCCAACTGTTAGAACTGCATGATGCTGCCGAGCGGACAAGAGCCATAGCAACAAACCTGGTGAATGGTGCCCCGCTTGGCTCTATCGGTGATGGCGTCAAACACGACGAAGCGCTCCTTTGGAGTCAGAGTTTCTTTGGCTTGGATTTTCTCATCAAGCTCGATCAGCTTCTGGGTGACAGGCCCGCCGAGCATGGCGACCAAAGCTCGACGGTCATCCTCAGAGACGTGCTGGACCTTCGGCTTGTTGTCGGGCTTGAGACTGGCAGCAGAGGGCTTGCGTTCAACTACGGTCTGTGAGTATGCGGTGTTAGAGCATTTAAATCGCAGACTATCAGCGCACACATGGTCTTGCGAGCCAGGAAATGTACGAACCGTTAGAGGAATATCCTCTTCCTCGAAATCGCGAAGGTGGAGGACAGTGCCATCCTTGCGAATCTCATTGACTAGGAAATCGGTGTACCTGAGAGGAGTTAGCTGTCAGTTCAAAACCATGAGCCGCAGCACCAGGTCCATGAGTTCAGATCGCGACGACATCGCCGATTTGTCAGGAGTGAGTCAAAATCAAAACGAGACTTACCGTTTGCGAATGTCGCCAGTCCAGGCGAAGTTAATGGCGGCCGAGCGCTGTGTAATACCGAGCGACTTCTCAGTTTCAGCACGCACGGCAGGCACATGCGTGCCCGGGCGCTGAGACATGGTGTCTTGAGCAGGGGAATGTCTCAAGAGTGCCCGTGAATTGGTGCTGGTCCACGATGAGATGATCGAATATCCACCGACCACAGTTTGCGATTGCTTGTCAAGAGTTGTCTGAGAAAACAAGTTTGTCGTCAAAATGGAGAAGACGAAGACGAGTGAAGAGTGCAAGGGGAGAGGATTGGATTTTTTGGTTGTGTGTTTTTGGAAATGGGAATAAATGAAAGGACGTGGAAGGGTGAGAGAGGGCAAGCTTTGTAAGACAGGGAAAGTTTTGCAGCTTGACTTTCACGGGTTGGGATCAAGGAGCAGCTCGCTACCTGGATCAACCCAAACTGCAGAGCTGTAAACAAGACAGGCCAGCCAAAGGAGGTGCCAGGAAGAGCAGGGAAAGCTGCTAAAGTGCAGGACCGTGAAGAGAAGGCCTGATCATGAGTTACATTACCTTCAAAATTTCAAGCTTGGCAGAGTCGTGAATGAAGTTGCAATGGGACAGCTGCGGAAGTCCGTTTACAGGTTGTCAGAAGCACGCAGGGAAAAAGTCGTTGCACAAGAGACGTTGCGGTTGTGGATCCAGGGACCAACCGGCAGAATCGCGGGGTATGTGGACCAGGAATGACACCGCCCAGCCCCGTGTGCCAAGACTGGACTGACGGGCTGTGATTCCGGTTAGGTTAATCTGTATACGGATTACAGTCCCGCAGCTTGGCAAGCCGGCTCGGGACGGCATGCAAGGGCACTGTCATGCCGGGCCGTTGCTGTAAAATCGGCCCGTGAAAGTCACAGCATCCGAGTCCTCCCTGATTGCCAAAGGAGAAAAGGTTCTGGACACATTGATAGACCCTCCCGTTTTCTAACGTGTCTGCTCATCTCACCCAAATATTGCGACACCTTCTCTTTTAAGAAGGTTGTGGTAAAGTTTAACTGACACAGGCTGCGGTGTCGAATAACATTTGTCTAACTCCAGCTTCTGTCGGTGTTGCAAGGCTCGACAAGGGGCAAAGCATACCTAGTTTGCTAAATTCAGACATTGATATGTATGGCATGGACGCCATGGGAAGTCCATAACCCTGTCAGTGATGTTAACCATGTCAGTGATATTCGATAGGGCAGAATCACCTACAACTAGCACGTCTAGAGATCTAGACCAGCGTGTCTAGCACAGCGCTGTTGAGACGGGGTGATTGGCTTGAGAGCAAGGTGGTGAGAAATAGGCAAAATCGTCTGAGAGGGGACGATTTGACATATTTCAATGATGTGGTATAAAATATGCACTATGAGAGATTTGAGTAGCTTTGTCCCAAGAAACCATCGAGCCACGATGTGAATCTCCAGCAATGCCCCATACCCATTCCCGACACCGATACCCCCACCAGATATTGTGATACCTTGTCACCATCTGGCTCAGTAAAAAGCCAGAAAATCACGGTTTCGGAATATGCCTGGTAACAGCGCTCCTGTCGTCCAGGAGTTGCACATCTGAACCCCAAGACATGACATACCACAACTTCAGAGATGCCCAGATCCCATGTCATACTTGCCTAGGTATGCCCATCCATCCCCTTGAAAAAAAATAAGCAAAAGAAAACCGACTGCCCACTGAGCAAGCCCCCTCCATTACCGAGGCCCATACCAAAACCGCTCCCACTCGCCCATCACCCACCCAAGGCCCTGCACATGCAGGTAATGCCTCGTAACCCAGAGCGCCAACCCGCCCAGCACGCCAATACTCCCGAGCACCTCCAGCGCAATGAGCCCCCTATGTCTCAACTCATCAGCAACCTCCAGCAAGCCAAGCGGATCCTGCCTGTGCCGATGCTGTGTCTCCCCCTCTACCTCCCCAAACCCTCCTGCTCCTCCCCTCTGTCCCATCCTCTTCCGCCTCCTGCTGCTCCTCGCCAGCAAGCCATTACCTGTCCCCCTCCCCTTGCAGCCATCGCGATCAGAAGCAACAACCGGCCCATCGAATCCAGAAACCGCTCCAGGAGCGCCAGAAGCAGCACCCTCTCTCACACACTCACCAATCCTCTCGGCAAGCCATATCGCTCTCTCCTGCCTAGCAAGCCTCGCATACTCCTCTCTCTCCTTCTCCAGACTGCGCTGCAGCTCCGCCGCCCAGTTCGCCAGCCGCACTTGCGCCAGCCTCTCCTCCCTCTGAGCATGGTCCGCCAGGCGGGCGAGGGCGTAGCTTGTGCCCGCTCCTGTACTAGTCGGTGTTTGCATGGGTGGCAAGGGAGGGAGGAAATTGCGCTGGCATGGTTGGACTGAGTGCGGAAACGCAGCGCACGAAGATGATGCCAAGCTGAGGCTTTGCGGTAGGGATTGGCCGCGGGCGAGGGATTGCGGGCGCGTTGATGAGGAGAGGGCCGGAGACGAAGGGGAGTTGGCGTTGCGCCAGGCGAGGTACTTGCGGGCGACGGAGTGGCGAAGCCAGGCCGCGCCGTTTGGCGTGAAGACTTGGGCAACGAGAGCGGCAAGTTCGGTGGGGATTAGCGGTTGCACGTAGTCGGGCGACATGAGCAGGCTAGCGTCCATTGTGTCGTGGTCGGAACCGGCGGCGCTTGAGATGGCATAGATGCCTTGCTTGTCTGCATCGGAGGGGGACAGGGTGGAGAAAGAGAAGGGACGGATATTGGCTTCTTTTAGTTGGCTGTGGATTTGCTCCTTGCTGGCGGTGATCTGCTCAGGCGACATCAGATCGGTCTGGGCCAGGAGAAGGATGATATTGGTCAGGGGCGAGAGTTGCTGGAGATACTCGATATCAACCGGGCGGAGGCCTGGTGATGGTCAGCAATGGTCGTGGCAAATCATAAATGGATGCATACGATTTGACACCATATAAAACACAGCGTCGACCTGGACGCCGCCCTCGCCTCCCAGCAGGTTGAGAAGGTCCCCGTCGCTTAGATGATTCGAGTATATCCGCCGCAGGTGGACTTCGATGTACTGCGCCACGGACGTTATTGTTTCCATGGGCTGTAACCGTCAGCGTGGTACTCTGCACCGCAGCATCAAAACTCACCGATGACCCGCTCCCATACCCCGGGGTATCAACGAAGCAGATATTCCGATCAAGCACCGCATCGCCCAGGCTCTTCCTCCGCCTCAGCACCCGAAAATCGTCCACCTCGGACCACCACTCAGGATACGGCTTCGTGCTCGCATAGATCTCAGTGATCTCCCTTGTCCCCGTGCTCTCCCTCGCTGAATGGCGCCTGCTCCCCTGCGGTCTTCCGGTCCCTGGAAGCATAATCTGCGTCGACCTCGCCACGGACGAGATAAGTAACCCCGAAGGGGTGATCGGATCGACGTGTACAATGTGCTCGCACGACTGCACGATGGCCTTGATCAGCGACGTCTTGCCGACGCCGCTGTCGCCGGCAACCAGCACTTTGAGCCTTCCCATGCGTTTGCCAACGTCAGTGAACGGCCGACGGCTCGGCATCTTGATGCTGGGCATGATCAGCTGCGGGGCGCTGCCGCTGTCAATCATGGACAGGGAGCTCTCTGCACCGGCCGGATCGGCCTCGCCTGGGTGCTGCTCTTCCTCTTCGACCTCGACGGCGATGTCCCCGTCTTTCATGCTCATCGGACAGTTGGCGAGGTCGTCCGAGAGGCACAGGGAGTTACGCCGGGAGGAAACACTACTTAGAGCCGAGGCAGGGCCCGATGCACCGAGCATAACCGGGGTGAGGGGCTGGGAGAGGTTGGTGGTATCGGCTGGTCGGGGGAAAGGTGAGATGGGCCGTGACGAGTCGTGGTCGTAATGTCGGAGGGTGTCGAAGGGGACCTTAGCGCTCGAGGGCCGAGGAGCGGGCTCTTTGTTCCGCTCGACGTCGTGGTGCGACGGCACTCGGGGCTTGGAGTGCTCGGGGTGCTCGGGGTGCTCGGGAAGCGGCACTCTGTGGTCTTTTACACGCCTGGAGAGAAGAGGTGGGGCCTGAGAGGACGAGCCGATGGTAGACTCGTCGCCGAGAGAGTAGGTCATCTGGGGAGCGGAGGGCAATCTGAAGGTGGAAGGCCCGTCGGTGTCGTAACTGCGGGGACGCCCTTGAGCGTCATCTCCAGCAGGTCGCATCGTGCAACGTCTACATGAAGTGAAAAATTAAAACGGAACGTTTGATGAACCATAGATAGGAGACGGAAGATATCGAGCAGTGCACATCCCCAGAGAAACCCTATTTAGTTGTCAAGATGTCAGGGCACGTAGCGAACATTCAATGTAGGTGCGGGATGCGGTACACGTCGGGTGGGACAAAGCTGGCATGGATATCGAGACCACATTCCTGCTGATGAGGGGCACACAGTGCTCCTCAAACACTAGGACCACCCCCACTTGATTTAAGCTGCTACACCCCTTTACTTCAAGGCAGCTCCGGACAGCCTTAGCATAGGTAGCTCAGCGTAAGGTAGCTCTTAATCAGTTCAAGCTACGGAGTATAAAGATAGCAAAACGGTACGTTATTCTTCAGGGTTAGTGTTGTACCACCAAGTAAGGTGTCCGTAAGATGCCGGATAGCTTCACTGCATCCTTCGTCTCCTTTATTAACCATTTCCACTCAGATTACCCCAGATCGAGGACTTTCGCAAGCATCGCGACCTTCATGTGTCATAGAGATGGCTCAAAAACATCTTGGTATCTTGAAGCATTTATTGAAGATCTAGCTAGGTACCTAGCTTAGTTGAGTGCAGCTACGGAGCATTTTCACGCCTGTCCTAACTGTCAACCAACAGCACTCACTCCCGCTGCAGGGCAGTCAACAAGCAAGCGCAATCACCTTACCTTTACACAGCACCCACCTTGGGCCCAGGACGCCATTGCTGTCGGCGGAATTCTGCAGCGACCGCCTTGTCACAAATATATGAGCGCCCCATCCCACGAGGAGAACCCCCAGGTGACCCAACCATTCATCCTCCCAACCAGCACCGACGGGGACGATGACGACCGCGCCATCCGGGTGCTGGTCCAAACCAAAACCCATCTCGTGCCGGGCGATAAGAACACCGAGTATGGGGAACGCATTGACGCCATGGAAACCTTATCTACCAGCGCGTGGTGGTCTCGGAACCGCTAGTACAGCCGCCTAGGTCTTGACCACTGCTACTTCCACTACTTCCCCTTCCGCTAATACCTTACCTCTGCTACTAGAAATTCTGCTTTCCACTCCTACCAGAGGGGGTCCCGCTTCCACTTGCACGGGAAGACATCTCGTATCGGGGGTGCTCAATGACTTCGCAGTTAGCCCGTGCATGCTGATGGTAAGCTAGGTCGGGCACCCCGATCGGCAGACGAAAAGCAACTACAAGAGCAAGACCAAACCTGGCCCCGTGTTTAATGATAATGGTTTCCTCGGTCAAGCCCAAACCTTAGCAACAACGTACATAGACTACACCAGCACCTGCACTCAGCCATCCACCCATCCATTCCAAATCTCAGCTGATGGCCGTTCAGCTCAACGGCTAGCTGGCCGTCATCCCCAGGAAAAAGCAGGTCGGCAGATAGAATTTACCATGTACCTTGGACCAGACACCCCTCAAACCCAATCTCGACTGGACACCAACCACTCTATTACCCCCCAACTTCCCCATCCCCAAGCCATGAGTGTATTACTCACGCCAGCAAATGTCCCTCCACTGAGTATGAAGGCAGATACTTATTGTTTTTTTTACTCAAACCTCGCCCTTTCCCGCTCCTCCTCATCCAACCCTCCGTCCCCCTCCACATCCCCACCATTCCCCCCAACCCCCTCCCCAACCCCTCTCCTGAGACTGAGACCCTTCAAGTTGCCCCGACTCCTCTTCCTCCCACAACCATCATCCTCCGCACCACCGCCGCCACTGCCGTCTCGACCCTCACGGCTCTCCCGACTCCGCTTCGAACCCGCCAGCCCCGTCAGACTCGCCATCCGCCGCGTCTCGCGCAGCAGTCTCTCCCTGTCGCGCGCGGCACGCTCCGCCGCGTGCGCGTCGCCGCTGTTGTTCGGGTTGGTGTTGGGGGTGGTGAGGGACGAGCGTCGGTTGTTGGTGTGATTGCTGCTGTTGCTGTTGTTGTTACTAACGTCTCCCGTGTTTGTGGTCGTCGGTGCTCCGGCGGCAGCGGCGGCGCTTTTGATCTCGAGGCCTCCTCCTCCGCGTCCTAGGGCAGAGCGCGCGGCGAGAGGGGAATTGGATTCACTGTTGTTGGTTTCGGGGTTGTTGGCAGTGTCGGTGGAAGGGAGCTCAGCGGCGGCAGAGGTGGTTTTGCTGCTTCGGTGGTGGCGGTCTTTTTCGCGGTCGCGGCGGCTTTCGCGGTCTCTGTCTCGGTCACGGTCACGGTCACGGTCACGGTCACGGTCGCGGTCACGGTCCCGGTCCCGATCCCTGTCTCGCTCGCGGTCGCGGTCTCTATCGCGATGGCGGTCTTTGCGGTCTCGCTCTCTGTCTCTGTCGCGGTCGCGGTCCCGTTCGCGATCACGATCGCGATCCCTCTCGCGGTCGCGGTCACGATCCTTCTCCCGGTCCCGATCGCGATCCTTATCGCGGTGCGACCGGTGCGACCGGTGCCGGTGCTCATCTCGGTCTTTGTCCCTGTCCCTGTCCCGCTCCCGGCGTTTCTCCGAGTCGCGCTCCTTGCGGCTGCTCCGGTGACTCCGACGCTGACTGTCCTCGGCCGGAGGCGAGGCCGACCTCGCCCGGCCGTCTTGTTCCTGCTCGTCCCGACGGGACTTGGCCTCGCGCTCCTCGACGCCATACGACGAGTGCTTCCTGCGGTGCGACGACCGGTGATGGCGCCGCTCGTCCCCGCTCTCCTCGTCCTCGGCCGGCGAGTACGACCGCTGCCGCCTACTGCGGCGGTGCTCCCTGCGATCGTGGCTACGACTGCGGCTCTCGCTGGAGGAGCGCTCGCGGTCCTTGCCTCGATCTCTGTCCCTGTCTCGGTCGCGGTGACGGTCCCGGCCGCTGTAGTCGCGCTCCCGGCTTTGGTCCTGGTAGCGTTCGCTGTGGTATCTGCCGCGGTGGGAGCCGTGGAGCGAAGTGCTCCGCGACCGTCCCCGGTCGAACCCTGTCCCTGCGGCGCTGGTGGGCGTCGGCGGCTTATCATCATCCACCCAGCCTCTAGCTTGGAGATGTAAGATGCTCGTGTTGGGAAGACCCCGCAGCATGGCTTTCGGGCCCTTGGGCGCATTCAGGGGCACGTCGGGGTTCGGAGGCGGCAGCGCCCCCTCTGCGCCTTCACCGCCCTCGTTGGGGCCCTGGTTCGCAGTGTCCGGGGCGCCTCCCCATCCGGCATGCGCTTGCTGGCCGTCTCCTTCCTGCCCGATATCACCGCGGAGTGAACGCCCAAACTCGTCGACATTGGCATCCGGATTCGTTTCGCCGCTGCCCTGGTGGTCGACTTGGCCGTTCTGATACGGAGGCCCCTCGTAACCCTGGTCATTCCAATTGCCGCTGCCGCCGCCGTATCCGTGCTGGTAGCCCCCGCGCCCGTATCCGTATGCGTAACCACGGCCTCGACCTCTACCGCGGAATCCGTAATGGTTCCGGCGATAGTCATTGAACTGGTTCTGGTGGCCATAATTACCTTGATTGTATCCTGTCTGGAAGCCAGAGTTAAGCGAGCCATAATCACCATTGCCCATGCCAGAAGCGCTTGGATGATTGTAATTATCTTGGCCGACATTCCATGATTGCTGTCCGCTCCAGTTATCGGCTTCGCCCCCGTAGCCTCCCATGCCCATATTCATGTTCATGCCGTTCATGCCCATGCCTTGAAAGCCTCCATTCATGTACATCTGCATCGTCATCGGGTCCATGTTCATGCCAGGCATGCCTGAAGTAGTGTTAGTCGAGTCGCACAATCATCGTAAGGCAGGTGGGGTGGAACTGACCCATCATCGGAGGAAAGTTGCCAAACCCGTTTTGCATGGCCATCATCATCTGCATCTGGTCGAATCCAGGGGCGAAACCGGTGCCGGGAAATGCGCCGCCCATGCCAGCTGGTGGGACGATGTTGGAATCCTGGAGGCCCGCTTCGTTCTCGTCGCCATTCTCCTCCCCTTCTTTGGCTTCTTCGGCAATTCCAGCCTCAACATGCTCGGAATCCTGTAGAACAGAAGCCACATCCGTCATTGTATTCGCTTCAGGCTTGCCATCCGCTGCGTCATGCGTTCGCTGTTCCTGGTTCTTGTTAGCCCAGTAGTCGCGCTGGAGCGGAACGTGGAGCTGTCCTACAGCGCCGTCTACTGTCTTTTCTGCGCCTCCATATTCTTCCTGCTCAGGGACTGCACCTCCGCCTTCCTGGGCTCCCGCAGAGAGGCCGGCATCTTTGGCTGGCTCCTCCGCTGCAGGCTGCTGGTACTCCACAGCCTCGGTTCCCTCAGCCTTCAAGGCTGACTCTGGGATCGCGGGCGCGGTAGCAGATATCGGGCTCGGGTCGACCGGAGTGATCGGCGTGGTGGAGACATCCTTCGGCCGGCTTGATTCGCGCTTTTTCTCTTCGGTCCGCAGGAACACCTTGATGGTTGTACGCAACGCCTTGTGCGGCTTGCAGTCGTCGGCCGACAGCGGGGAGTGTTCGCAGACGGGACACGACGATGGCAGAGTCGATTGGCAGTTTTCGCAGATAGCCTGCTCGCAGCACGGCAATCGGAACGCGTTGACGGCGAGCTTACTACAGATGGCGCATCGAAGCTTCGCGGGGATGTCTTCTTGCGGCAGGGAGCTGCAACTATTTGTCAGTCGTGTCGCGACGCAACCAGTCCGCCTTGCGACCTACTTGATGAGTTCGGCCTGCGCCTCGGTGAGAGCCAGTGACGCCGCCATCTTCGTGACACTGCAGTCCGCGATGAACGCGGTCCTGCAACCCTGAAGGTCCGTAGCAGTGGAAACTAGGGAGCAGAGATCATCGGGAACTGCGCAATGGCCGGACACTGCGAAAATAGGAGTGGAACCGTAACCCGTAACCGACTTGAGCCCAGGCAGATGTCGCTGGAATAATCGGCTTGTAACTGGCGCGATAATTGCAAGTATATTGAGAATCGCACCGCTTCCCTGCGTTGAGGTGTTGATGGAGTACCCAGACTGAACGGGTGGTGAAGGATGCGTCAGAAAGTGCGGTATCCGTACTCCGTTCGAGGGAATGCGTTCGCTGGTCGCGTTCCCCGTGCTTGTCGCCAGTCGGATGGTGAAAATTTGGCGAGACCGCCATCGCACGTGCGTAGTTGAGCTGTCGTCGCACAGTATAATGATACAGATATACTGTCTAAAGGGCACGGTAGCCAGCTAATGCCACATTGTTATGCACTGTCTATGCCGGTTTCAGCATACAGTAAGGCGAGGTGCTCCAGCATTTCTAAGGTGCTCTCCAGAGCCCAAGCTACCACGAAAAGAATGAATGGACGCAGCTAGTTGTTGCAATTAGAAATCGCTCAGCGTCTCCAGCTGCGTTAGCAGATGCTGTCTTCTCAGCACCATGCATGCGGCATCTAAGAGGGCAAAAGAGCGCTAGTTGATAAGAATAAATGACTAGAAACGGAATGACCAAAGAATTAGTTACTCCTGATGACCTGCCCAATATGACCGACCACTCCCATTGAAAGAACCACGAAGGACCGAACCCCGTCCGGTAACGCAACTCGGTCCCACGCTACCGACGCCCATCGACTGCCATTAGCAAACACACGTCTCCTTTGCGTTCGAATCCCGTGGCCCGTTAAGGTTCACCCTCTGCTCTTCCGTCCGGCTGGCCGCGTGCGCTGCGCCCGGCCCACGAGCCGTCTTCAGGGACGTCTCAGGGATCGCGTTGGCGATAGCGGTGAAGACCTCGGTGACATGGTAGCCCGTCTTCGCGCTGGTCTCGAAGAACAGCAGGCCCTCTTCTTCTGCGTACGTCTTGGCCTCCTCGGTGCTAATTTTCCTCGCATCGCCAGACTCCTCCGCTCCAACATCCTCAGCGTCGCCACCGGCCCCCGCTTCGTCGTTCGTGAGATCGAGCTTGTTGCCGACCAAGGCAATGACGATGCCCGGAGATGCCTGCCGTTGCAGCTCGGCAACCCAGTGCTTGGCCTTGATGAGGGACGTTGGTTTCGTCAAGTCGTAGACGACCAGGGCCGCTTGTGCGTTGCGGTAGTACATGGGCGCGAGGGATGCGAACCGCTCTTGGCCTGCCGTGTCCCAAATCTCAAACTTGATGGTTCGCGTAGGCAGGTTGCATTTTTGTGTCAAAAAGGCGGCTGCGATAGTCGGCCGGGTTAGCGGGATTCCTCTGTGCTCCGAGAATGCCTAGGGTAGCCGAGCGAGCGACGCACCTCCTATTGTCGGCTCCTTGTTCTCTTGGAAGTCGTTGTTGACAAATCGGAGAACAAGAGACGACTGCGGTAAACACTATTAGTTGTTTGCGAGTATCGAGGCAACAGTGGACGGCACCCACCTTGCCGACGGCAGCTTCTCCGAGAAGCACCAGCTTGACGCTGCTGCTTGGTTTGGGAGCATTCGAATCTGCCATGACGGGTGTTATTGCTATGCGCGCTGTCCCTGCACAAAAGCCCAGTCAGAAGTAGGGTTGTTTGGGGTGCGCGTTGTCGAGCGGGCTGTGCTTGCGTGTGCGTTCGTTGAGAGATGGGATCCGAGTGACGTGATAGGCAGACACCGAGTCGAAGCTTGAAGCCGGAATGCATGCGACGACGTCTCGAACCAACGCCAGGATTGGATTAGCGCCGTCTGTGAGTCCCCAGCCCGGAGGGAGGAAATGCCAATTGATCAGTCTATCCGCCAAACTCTTGGCATTCGGTTTCTGAGCCCACTTGCTGCCCCACTAAAAAGTTCAGAAGTCGCTAAAAGTTAACCAACTTCTTCCTACTCCTCTGGGTGCCTCCAGATACGCGCCTTTTTCACGGCATCGGACTTCCAGAAGGCTGAGACCTGAAGTTCTGGACATGGTGCCAGTTCCAGCAAAGCGCGTGCAGAGCGCCCCTCAAGGCGACATGAGTGTTCCTAAGAAAGCCCTGTTTGACGACTCTGCATCCAGCAGCGAAGACGATCAGGAGGACGGTGGTGCTACGCTGGGTCCCTCGGCCGAGCTTAAGATCAACCAAGAGTACGCCCGCCGGTTTGAACACAACAAAAAACGGGAGGAGCTTCACAGGCTACAGGAGAAGTACAAGACGGCTTCCGGAGGAGACGAGGAGTCCGAGTCATCTTCCGAGGAGGAGACCGAGGACGATGAGGCCGCGCTTATAACCGAAGACCTGGACGCCGAGATCTCGGCGACCCTGCAGGCCATCAAGAACAAGGACCCCAGGATCTACGACAAGAATGCCGTCTTCTACAAGCCCTTTGACCCGACCGCCGAGCCAAAGAAGAAGGAGGAAAAGCCCATGTTCCTGCGCGACTACCACCGTGAGCGGTATTTGAGCGGCGATGTTGGCGCTGACGATGACAGTGCTGCTGCCGCCGACGTTCCAAGGACGTATGCGCAGGAGCAAGACGACATCAAGAAGTCCATATTGTCCGAGATCAACGCAGCCGCGGACGAGGAGGAGTGGAGCGACGACGATGCCTTCATCAAGCCCGTCAAGAAGGACGATGCTCCCGCACAGAACGGCATCCACCCGTCGCGAGCGTCCCACATCACCCTAACCGAGCTCGACGTCGCCAATGCCGACAAGGACCCAGAGGACTTTCTGAACAAGTTCATGGCGTCCAAGGCTTGGGCGCCAGAGGGGGCTGGCTCGAAGTGGCAAGCATTCGAATCCGATGACGGCGAAGACGCGGACGACATAGCTGACGAGTTCGAGCATGCCTACAATATGCGATTCGAGGACCCAGCCAAGAGCAACGAGTTCCTGAAGACGTACTCGAGGAACATGGCCGCGGCCCGCTCCGCGAGAAAGGAGGAGCTGACCGGCAGGAAAAAACAGAGAGCGCTTGAGAAGGAGCGGAAGGAAGCCGAGAAGAAGGAGCGTGAGGCGGAACGGGCTCGGTTGCGCCGTCTCAAAATTGAGGAAGCTTCGGAAAAGTTGGCCAAGATCAAGCAGGCCGCCGGCATGAGCGGCAAGACTCTCAAGGACGAGGAGTGGCTAAAATTCCTAGAAGACGCCTGGGACGACGACAAGTGGGAGGAGGAGATGAAGAAGCGCTTCAACGACGAATACTATGCGCAGGTTGACGACATGTCTATGGACGAGGACCAGGAGGACGACGTGTCCGGGGCCAACAACAAGAAGACGAAAAAGCCAAAGAAGCCCAAGTGGGACGACGATATTGACATCAAAGACATCATTCCCGACTTCGACGACGAGGTCAAGCCCAACATCACCCTCTCCGATGAGGAGGTTGCCCAAGAACATCAAGCCTCTGAGCAACAAGAAGAAGAGCCCTCCGACACGGACTCGGACTCGCCCCCGGCCAAGAAGCGCAAAACCACGGCCGACCTCAAAAAGGACCGCCTGGCCGCCAAGCGCCAAGCCCGCGTCGAACTAGCCAAGATCGAGGCCTTGGTCGACAGAAAGATAGAACTTGAAAACCCTCGCGCCCTCCAATCCAGTTCCAAGTCCAGCACCGCCGGCGGCGGCTTCCGCTACCGCGAGACGTCGCCCAACTCGTTCGGCCTCACGGCGCGCGACATCCTGCTCGCGCCCTCGGACGCCGCCCTCAACGAGTTTGCGGGCCTCAAGAAGCTGGCCACCTTCCGCGACGCCGAGAAGAAGCGCAAGGACAAGAAGCGGTTGGGCAAGAAGGCCCGGCTGCGGCAGTGGCGGCGCGAGACGTTTGGCCGCGAGTACGAGCAGTCCGGCCCGACATTTGGGTTTGAGGCGCTCCTTGGCGACGGTGGAGACGTCAAGGCGGGTGGGGTAACGAGTGGAAGTGGGAGAAATGGGGATGGGAAGAATCCTAGCAGGGTGCCTGTGCCTGTGGTGGCTGGCGGGGAAGGTGGGATTGTGGAGGGGGAGAGGAAGAAGAAGAGGAAGCGGTCTAAGAAGGGCAAGAAGAGTGTTGAGGCGGAGGCGTAGGTTCGGCGTACTTGTCTAGATGTTGGTTATAGTGGGGGCCTTGTACTGGTTATTCATGCCTTGATCTTGAGGAGAAGAGAATTCTCGATGCGTGTAGGTTTTGACTTCCGGGATGTATGTTGCTGTCTGCCGACCTCCCGACTGCTCTCCTTGCTCAGTTACTCGTTTCTCAAACCCGACCACCGATCCAAAACATGTCAATCAGTCACCCATTCACCCGGTCTAGGTCAGTGGCTTTGGTTTGAACCGAATCCATTCGATCGTTCTCTCGCTCGCACTCGCAGATGTCGCACCAATGAAAGTACCCAAGGTAAGGTGATTACAACTCCCTAGATCGCCCACAGCTGCCACGCCAGGGTTTCCTATCCCATCGTTCTGTCATGTTTTCTGATACAAGGGGTTGGAGGCAGATCCGTGGCCAAATGCCTGATATACACTGCACAGCGTTGAGCGTCCTTAAACCAGCAAAATCCTTCCCGACCTTCCATGCCCACTAATCCAACAGATTGTACGCCTTGGCCCTGTTCCAATTGCAAAACCCACCTGGGTGATCCCTTGATGATGTCGCCAGTGAACTCGCTCAGCAAAATGTCTTGCTCCTTTTCCCCTCCTCTCCGAGAAATCCTCGTCCTGAATAACGTACGTCCAAAACATGGTATCTAACTCCACCTCCCATACTATACAAACCTAACTGAGACAGTGTGTCATCCCCTCACAATGCCTCTCGCCCCCCAAGGGGTTTAGTGATGATGCATCCCCCCGCCCCCGGCCCCACTCCCAAACATACCCGCCAACCCGTCCAACCCGCCAACGCCCAACCCTTCCGGCCCAAGCTCGGGCGGCTCCATATTAAACGGCATGAACCACGCCGAACTGGGCTCCCCAAACGCAGCATGCAGCGCCGCGTCCGCGGGATGCGCATACCCATGCGGATGCCCGCCATGCCCACCGCCAGGATGATGATGCCGTCCCCCATGTCCATGTCCGCCACCGTGCCCATGATCGCGGCCTTCGGCCGCTGCTGCGGCGGCGGCGGCAGCAGCGGCGGCAGCTGGGTTAGCATCGGCCCAGCCGGCGAGCGAGGGGTGGTCGACGGCGTGGCTGTGTCCGCCGTAGGCGCCAAAGACGAGTTGTCTGTCGAGGCGGGTCATGCCGTGGGCGGCGGCCAGCGGCATGGCGAAGGGATCCGGGGGGAAAAAGGATTGTGGTGGATGGTGGTGGTGGTGGTGGGGATGGGAAAAGGCGACCGGGGAGACGGGGGAGAGCGCCGGGTGGTAAGGGCCGTTGGCTCCTACGGCGAGGGAGTTGAAGGAGCCTGGGGGAGCGCCGCTTGTTGGAGCTCCGCCGTTGGGGTTCGCGCCGGAATAGGTGCGTTGATGCAGGCGGGCCGCGTGGAGCTGCTCGGCGGTGGCCCTGGCAAAGTCAGTCTGGAGAGGCTCCAGGCCGTGATCTAACCCTGGCCCGCCGGCGCGGGAGGCGGTACTCGCTTTGCGGACGATGGATTTTCGCTTGAGCTGGGCGGCACGGACGCTGTTCGCCGCCGCGGCCACCGCGTTCTCGGCGCTTTGCGGAGAGAGCGTGGTGAAGAATTCTTCGACCGTGTGAAGTTCGGGTTTCTGTTCGAGGACGGCATCTTCTCCCTTTTCTGTCTTCTTGTATGTGGCGGGGTCGAGGAAGTCGGATTGCGACACACCGTGGGGGTAGCGGTCGAACCAGTCACCGTATTGGAATATGGGCGAAGCGGCGCTTTCGTTAACAGGATTATTGCCTTGTCTCGCGGCGTCGGCACAAGTGCGGTATTGCTCGCGGAGATTCTCCGACATCCAGTGAAACATGCCCCAGTATCGCTTCATCTTGGACAAAAACCGGACATTGGTGGCCAGATTTCGCTTCGAGGTGGCTTCCATCGTGGGGTTCCCCGAGAATATGCCAAAGATATGGACGGTACTAGATAAAAATGCGCAGTACCCGGTGAATGGAGCGGTGATGAAGTGCGACTCGCCGTCTCTAATGAGCTCGGATATCCGGTTCGCGGCGGCGAACGCCTTCGCCCCGGCCTTCGTGACAAACGCTTTGGGTATGTCTTGAAGCGAAGGCCCATTTGGCGATGATACGGCGAACCTGTTCATGAAGAGGATGTTCTGCTGGATCGATATGTGAAGAAATAGAAACTGGTTTGCCATGCTGTCCGTCTCGTGCCCCTTCAGATTCTCCGGCGTGTATGCTAGAGATTCGGGCAGCTCGGCCAGAAAGTCTTCGGTCTGCTTGAGGAGCTTGGCGTACTCTGATTCGGGGCTCCACATCGGATGGGGATCCAACTCCTTCCCCCCCTGGTTTAAGTACCCGATAATGCGTCCCCATAACGCGATAGCCTTTATCATCCAGGCCGCAACCCCCATATTGTCTCTTGCCTCGTTGGGATGGTCCTCGGAAAGGGGCTCCAGAACCTGTCCGCTCAGTGTTTCGGTGGGTCCCGGGAGGTCGTATTGGAAATTCTTCTCCTTGATAGGCAGCGGAATCTTCAACGTCTCCTCCCGGATGAAGGTCGGCCGGTCCGTCCCCGACGAGTTGAAACGGTCCATCAAGAAGCAAGCCCACATTGTTCGCCTCCGAATCTCGCGGTCGATGAAGCTTAGCTGCGTCTTTCCCGGGATGCGTAAGGGGTCGTGCTCTAGGTCTTTGTGAAGCTGGAGAGCAAAAGCCATGCGGATAGCCTGTCCTCCCAATGCCCAACTTCGCCCACCGTGACACGTCCCGAATTCATGTAGGCCTAGAATCAATAGGCAGGTCAATATGGTGATGTTGGGCCATTCGTATCGTTTCGTCAGAATATCTCGGGCAGTGGATGCCCACTCTTCCCCGCGAAGGAAATTCGGGTTTGTGTTCAGCTTCGGGTGGTTTGAGAAGCGTGCGGCAATCGCGCACACGGATAGTACCAAGACCGGGGGAAGTGTGCCAGCTCTGGTGTGCCATTGGTCAGCATTTTGGAAGATACGATATACAGTCAACGGGTGATGGACCTACTTGAGCTTCCTCATAAAGCTGGGCTTGTGGAGGAGATGGTAGGCCTGGCCATAGATGTTTTCGAAAAACACCTCAGCGAGATGTTCTTGTAGTTCTTTGGATGGGAGAGCATCGCCCCCCTCGAGCAAGAGTTTGCTCTCTTCTGCCTCCTGCACAAGGATCGTCGAGGGCTTGTTCGGTCCGTCGATGTTGGATCTCGAAGGCGCACGAGCCCAGTGGTCCAGGTCCGGGCCAAAGGCTTCGTCAGCGCCGCGTTTCTTCGCAGCGCCTTTTCCGCTGCCAGGTATTGTGCCCGGGATCGCAGGCTTCACTACGGCTCGGATCACTGACGATGACAGGGCATCCTGCTCCGCCTTAGGCACGACCTTGATGATGCGTTCCTCCATCCGCTTTAACCGCTTGTCCAACATGGCCATGTAGTCGGTCCTCGGTGCAGCCTTGCGAGCCGTGACCTTGTACACGCACGGAATGCGCGAACGCAGGCAGTGCTTGCAAGCAGGCTTCTCACCCGAGCAGCGGATCTTCTTGCGGCGGCACGCGATGCAGGCCAGCGGCAACCGTTTCCGCTCCTTTCCCGCCTTTGTTTTTAATTCGCTCCATGCCGGTACAGCATCCGATTTGTCCCCCTTCTTCCCGCCCAGGTCCGTCCCGTCCGCCAGACCGCCCGTGGAGAGACCGAACTCGTCCGACATGGGCTCTTCCAGGAGGTGAGCCCCGTTCACATTGCTGTCTGGCGTACCGTTGTCGGACCCATCCGGGCTGAGCCGTCGCCCGCTGGGGTCCCCATAGGCGGAAGTCTGGACGGTGATAGAAGCTACCGAGTCTTGTCGGTCCTGCATTGGCGATATCGATGTCGCCTGGGGCGTTGTAAAGGTATCTGCCCCATGGTGGTCGAACCCATGGGCGAGGCCGTTCATGGGCGACTCCTCCATCGGGCTCTGGTAGGAGAACTGGAAGTCGCCGAAGTGCGCGGTATCCGACATGTTGTGGACGGCGGCGGTGATGCTGTCCAGTGTCTCATTGGAGCCTTCCAGCTTGGGATTCGGCTGGCTGAGGTTTGTTTCAGGACCGCCGGCGGCAGGAGAGAACTCGAGCTCGATGGACGGGAAGTTCTTGTGGCCGGCTTGGATGTCGCCTTGCGACATGGTGAAGCACGCGGGAGTGATGGAGTCAGAGCAGCGGGATCACGTTCCTGATAATCGGACAGCAAGCGTGAGGCCTGAAGATTCCGAGACCCCCGCACACGGCAAACCCAGGCCTCCGGTACGGTCTCCACTCGATCGGGCTCGTCTCGTGATAGCTGTCAAGACGTTACGTAGAGATATTCCATCACTCTTCTCCAGAGCAACCTGCGGCTGGTGTAGAGAAGCGAGGACAGCGGTCGTCGGTCGGTATTGCGGCAGATGCAACGGCGTCTTTTGTGATTCTCCAAGTGTGTCCCTTAAGCCGAGATAGGGCCTGGGCGTCTTCTCCAAAAGTTGGTGTTTGGGGACGGGAATCGGAGAGAGGAGGCGGATGGGGTCGGATTCTGCGGCGTCCCAACTGTCCCGGGGTGGATCACCGGCGAATGGGTCTTGCGGCTAGCGTCAAGAAGTGTTTTCGCGTGGTTGAATTGTGGGGTAATATCCCCGTCAGCCAGATCCTGGGGGCAACTCCGTAACTAGCCTGTTCCGGGAGGAAGATCGCAGTGTACTCGGTTGGTACCTCGCGAACGCCGTGATGGTCGATTTCTCTGGAGCGCAGACCTAAGATGGCCATATGGAGGGCGCAAGTAGCAGCGGAGGGCCAAAGGAAGTGCTGTCTCGGCTAGTCGTAACGACGCATGCAAGCATATGTCACGAGCAGGCGGGACGAAGCATCGAAGGCTGGGGGGACAAGGGAAAGAAGCTTGGCCTCTATTGGTGTACGGATAGATTGAGCACGGGGGAAGGTTGGCCAGATCCCAGAGAACCTCCCAAGATTGACGGGCCGACTGCAATTGCAAAAATGAAGCTCGTTGCCGTCACCTACCCCCGGAAGACACCCCTCTTTCGGCGACGAGAAACGAGTGCAAAGAGGGTCGAGGATAACTGTGCATCAGGCCTGACGAATCCGCTCTCAACGCTGTCCCACAATGGAAGCCAGGCCAAGCCCGCTGCAGCCACCTGTTGTGCACCTCATGCAGCAACTTGCATGGGTCTGACAGGCAGCCCGCCGGGTCTGAGGCAAGCCACAGCACATGTCCCCCATGGAAATCCAGCCAACCTGGAACAGGGGAGCGTTTCTCGATGTTGTTAAGTATCCGTACGGGGGTGCTTGATTTCCATACCCTGGCGAGTCAGGTTGTGAGCCGCGCCGCCCTGGAGCACAGCACACCGATGCGGAGCATGTCCGTACCCTTGAAGTCCAAAGCCCGTCGAATCTGCAGTGGTGCAGGGCAGATAGTTGAGGTGCGCGTGTGCAATTTGCACAGACGGGGGACCACGTTTGTATGGGCAAGGCAAACTCCGAGAATACGCCGGGAAATATTCTAAGGCCAGGTACATTTGCTGTAACAGTATTCCGTACATCGAAACAACGCCGTCCGATTCGGGTTCATCAGATCGTCGTCGCTCACTCGTGGTTTCTGCAGGTGCAGGTATTCGTCGTCGCGGCAATCTATGGTTTAAGCAAGACGGCCAACGTGACCGTTAAATTTTTCGTTGCGACATCGCAGTTCGAGGCTCGGGTGGATCTGTGAGACATGAATTTGTTGATCTTTCGTCGTGGCGGAATTGACGCGGGCGATTGTTGTGGAGCCGCAGGAACATCGATGCTGACGGGCGCCGTTGTCAGCAAGTCATCACACACCCTGAGACCAAGCAGCCAGGGCCGCTCGCGCTGGGAAGATCGGGATCCAACGGATGCGACCCCTACCTAAAAAGAAGGCATTCCGTTCTAGAGTACGAAGTAAAATGTCGAATTCAAGCAGCTTGAGAATGCCTTGGCCGCAGCAAATCAAGCGAAGAACAAGATCTAATGCACAATCATTGTTCGAACTTCTCGCTCCAGCCTCGCACCACGCCTTCAGTCAAACACTCTGGGGACTACACAGCAGAAACGCGCCCAACCCGAGACCCGATTGACCAGATCGGTCATCCAAGCCAAGTCTGGAGAGGGCAATTACGGTATCGCCGATCGCAGCGTCGACCAGCTTTCGGCGTTTCCCTTAATGAGATATCATCGCGGAAAGTTTGGCTTGATGCAAAGCAGGCACGTCAGGCCGTTAGGTGGTCCTCTTCTTCCCAAAGGTTCTTTCAGCAAACCCCGCTGGGAGTCATCAACGCGCTCGTCTAATCCCGTATGCTCGGCCGTCTCGAGACGATGCACCTCAGCCCTGGCGTGTCCGTCTTGACCCACCCTTGACAGCACGATTGTCAACGTCGCCTTTAGTCGCACGGTCAGCAGTGTTCACGCTGTGCGACCCGGCCTGGGTGCAATCCAAGGTGGCACGGCTCGATTCATCCGCAGTGCTTGTCAGCTTCCGCATTGGCATGCTCCGAACCTTAGTTAATGCCCGAGTGCATCCAATAATTATGCGCCTCGCATGGAGAGGTGCCTGTCTTGCCTTGAACACACAGCTGCTTATGGATGGCGGTTCCCGTGGTTTTACACGGTGCCATACCTTATCGCGTGCTGCGCTTTATCCTCCCTGCCGCCGGCTACCCCAGAGAGTCGTCCAGACTCCAGAAGGGATCAGGCCGGCCAACGGCTAGATTTACACCGCTCCATCGCTACCTCGGTACACATTGCTACCCTTTCTGGACCGCTATCACCTCAGATCCTGGATAAATCAGAGCAATGTCAGGGCTGATCTCGCGGGCCCTAATCGTCTCCGGCCAGGGAGCAGCCATCAGATTGTCCTGCCTGCATAGGTTGTAGATACAGGGAGAGGGACGATCAATTCCGCCGGTGGAGGAAGTTCCGAGAGGACGACTTCAGCGGCATCATGCGTCTTGTGGCTATTGCATTTCGACTCTCCGCTGATCCACTTGCAAGGCAACCACACGGGACGCCCTGCTGGCATCAATGCTTATTTTCTGGATCGTTGGGCCCCTTTGGCAAGCTGTTGCCCGGCTGCATGTCTTCGACTGGGCCGTGCGCGAGCAATTGACTCCCATGTGAGAGTCGTACACTGACCTGGATACCATCTCCCAACATTAGATACGTCATAAACAGGCCATTTTAAATAGAGAACCGACTGTAGACACTCCCTCTTCAACAAGCGACAACCGAATACCGACATGTCCTGCACATCCGTATCCCGTTCAGCCCGACCTGGCTACCGACCTGCTTCTTGGGGTTGTCTCCCGAGTTTGCTGTGACGTTCTAATAAACGCCGAGTCATCTCCCCCAGTTCCCCAAAGCATAACTGATTCCAAGCCCCGTGCACCATCAATCCCTCATTGAGGAAGACTTGGCGGGCTAAAACGCAAACAGGCTGACCGAGCAAAGCCCGGGGGAATGGGGTCTTTTCCCCTTCACTTCCACAGCAGAGCGCCAACGAATCAACCAAAGCACCCAGCCACAGCCATAGATGGCAAATTGCCAGTGGACGTGGCGAGCAACTCTGTCCGCATGTATGTGCACTCCCCCGCTCTTCGTTTAATTCTCCGATGAAACGTCCTGGTAGCCAATAGGGTAATATTGGGTTTAGAGTTGCATCACATGTTCGGCTCATTCTGCCGAAGTTGATTGTGCGCTGGGCAGATTATGTGTCCTATACCGACGAAGCCGTTGTCAACCTCAGGTCACTGTTCGACTTGAGGGAAGGTGGATGGATGATCAAGGTGGCGGTGACAACTTCGGTTTGTTTTTCGAACCCTTTGCTCCGCCTCTTCCATCCCCAGAGAGCCCAGACGGCCCACGCAGGTCAAAAGGTTGAACGTCCCGCAGTCAGCAATGCTAAACTTGGCCAGTCTAATATAGCTGACGTGCTGTGACATAGAGATGTGGTCCGAGATTCAAAGCGAGCAGTGCTAGTAAGGGCGACTTGTCATTCACCTAATAATTACCTTATGCACCCATGACGGTAGTTTGGCTGGGCATTATCCGTTGTGGCCATCAAGGTGGCACTCCGAGACAGACCGTTAACAGGGCTCTGGTAGAAAAACCATCAATACAAAGACCAAGGAATCAATGTATGGGTGAACGCAAACCTATGGAAGATACCGTATTAAAGACACCGAAGGTGTCCACTACCGGGTTTGAAAAAAGGAGACAGTGGCTTCCAAGAGAAGGGGACAGTCTCTCGTCAAACCCCCAATGTTTGGCTGGGTACACTGCCTTAACCACCTGCGCTACGGAGAGTTCTGAGCGAGGTCTGGTTGTGTTGTACAGTGCTCGTTGGGAACAGCCTTGTAAATCTCCACCTCCTGACCTCAGATAAAAGTTAAGGTAGCTGACGGGTTGTAGTATTTGAGCTTGCCGCCATTGGCAGCGGACAATGGGATGGTCGGCAGAGGGATTAACTAAAGCTGATTTCCTCCCATATTGCTAGCAAAAAATGGAACGACCTACAGACGCTGCGACTGGGGGAGAGCGATAAGCTCGATCCCAACTTCTCAACGGCGGCTCAAAACAAGAAAATGCGGAGTGTTGAAGGATGGTCTGACTCCGAAACACTCAGCTTGTGCTCAAACTCTCCTCGCCAGGATCTTCAACGCTCTCAAACACCTCTTATAATCGCTCCCCATCTCAACCCCCAAATCGTATCGTGATCCGCCCCCTGAACGGTCCTACTCTGGTAGTCAACCACATCCTCAGCGCCCTCCCAGCACCCGTCAAACCACTTTGCTCCCTTCGACGCCGACCAGCCATCCCCTGTCACCGAGTCCTTCTCAGCATAGAACACCCGTACCCTCAACCTCCGCCCCGCAGCTGCCAGTGCTTCCCTCAACCGCTGCACCAACTCATCATAGTCGTCCCAATCACCCAATCCGCCCTTCATACTCTTTCCCTTGCGCAGAAGCATCGATGCCTCCTCCGAGATGCCCTTCACCCCCTCGTCATACACCCGCCGCATAACACCCGACCACACCCCCTCCTCCCATTTCACCTCCCACGCCCTCCCCTCCTCCTCCTGTTCTGCATCCCCGCCCTCCTGCTGGCCCCGAGCGGGCACCACCTTCGTCACAGACCCCCATCGACATCCCAACAACCGGCGCCACATAATCATTCACCATCTTGACCAACACATCCGTCCTCTTGACCAGCGCAGAAGGGGACCCACTCCTTTACCAAACCGAGCGGCATCGACCCCGTGTGCGCCGAGCGCGAGGTACGTCGGGGACTGGTGAGGTTGGTCGGACTGGGGGAGAAGCAGGTCCGGCCGGTGCAGCAGCAGGTCGAGCGCGTAGACGGTGCCGCCTGAGTGGGCGACTATGGCGTGGACGTAGGGGATGGAGAGGTGCGACAGGAGGGCGGGGATCGCTTCTGTTTATTTTTATTTTTATTCTTTTTGGTTTGTTTTCTAATTATTTTCATTGTAAGCATGCATGTGGCCTGGGAAGAAGTAGAGATGTAAATTTACCCCTCCAAAGGTTCAGCCTGTCCTTTGCTTCCGCGGGATCGGTGCCGCCCACTCCCGGGCGGTCGGTGCAAATGATGCGGATCTTGTGCTTGATTGCGAGATGGTCTTTGGTCACCAGCAGCAGGCGCGAGGCCATCAACGGGCTGAAAAAGAGGAGGATGCGCTCTTGCTCGGGTTGCGTCTCATTGCGGTAGCCGTAGTCGGCGTATTTGACTGTGAAAGGGTTTGCGCGACCGCGTGGAGCGTCAGCTGGGAGTGAGAAGGTCTGATGGAAGCGCGGGTTGTCTAGGAAGGTTGCGGCCGGTGGCGCAGTCATGGTATAAGTAAGGTACCTTATTCGTCCTGTTGTTTCCGACGTTAGTGGGAGTTTAAGCTGCGTAGAATTCCGGCCGGAGGATGTATTTCGGCGCTTGGTGGTCGAATGCATGATCACTTCAGTGATTGGTTTATCTTCACGAATCTCCCGCTGCGGGTTCATGTCTGAAGGCTGAATCGTCAGCTAAAAAATTGTACGGGATCCGCACAGACCCCCTGAATTCCGCCACACCTGTGCCGGGCTGAGCCTCGGCAAAAAAAAAAAAAAAAAAAAAAGGAAAAAGATAAATTGAGGTATGGAAAAGGAAGAGAAGAAGTTCATGATTGCACTAACCAATACAGTGAGCAAACCAGGGCCAAATTGTGTTTTTCTGCATCCAGCAGCTCCCTTCTCCTACCCAATCTCACTAACACCCAGCATCGATCTTCTCCAGTTTACAGAGCCAGTAATCGAATTCAAAGCACCCTATCAGACTGCAGCTGAGAAATTTAGCACCAAAAAATGTGTGGATACGTACGGAGTCCTCTTTAGGCAGCAGCGGTAGCATCGAGCGGCTGGTGAACTTTGGATGCGGCGCAGCAGCTGAGAATATTTGGACCTCAACGACACTGCGGGAAGCTTGGACTTGGTTTTTTCCCTTTCGTCCCAGGACTTGGTTATCGCGACACCTTTTGTCAGCTCCCTGTCCCCTTGGACATTGTTGAAATGTCTGGTTGGGTAGGTATTTCCCGGGACCCAACCTTGCTACCCAAGGACTCGATACTTCGGCTGACTCGACATATGGTGTGCGATAGTTCCCAATCGGGCGAGATGATTCAGGGGGGTGGCGTCTCGACATCGTCGCGCTCCTCGCAGTGACTGGGGAGTCGTTCATTGGCGAGCATGCGCAGGCACTTACTTCGTCGAAGCTGTGCTTGCTACCGCGCATCATGCCGGCGCCGCACGCGCTCCTGCAGCCCCGGCGGCCGGCGAGTCTGCCCCGCGAGACGGCCAAGGTCTGCGGCGTGCACAGCGGCATAGTTCTCGACACACTCAACTTCTTTGCAAACATCATTCACCCCATCGACCAGGTTCGGCCTTTTGCATTTAAAGTGCTGGAGATCCGGCACAGTCACCTTCTCAGGCGTAAGAAGCAAAAGCAGCACAGCGCCCAGCTGGCCACTGTGGGCGGCTCTGGAAAGACCGCGGACGGACAGGCCAAAGCCACTGGGGTCACATTTCCCGACCCGGAACCCGGAAATGCGGTGCCGCAGGGGCTCCGTCGGCGGCCGACAATGAAGGAGACGGTCGCTGAGTTCGCCTCCAACGCACCGACGGTGCTCAACGCACACGAGGCACTCAACGTGGAGTTAATACCGCCCGACAATCTGTCAGATCCCTCGGACAAAGATGAGCTTGCCCGCGTCGGCGCAGCCTTTTCTTCGCCGCTTCACCTACTCACCATTGTCAGCTTCCTGATAACCATCGGCCTGGTTATTGCCGGTGCGCTGTGGGAGGACGGCACTGCCCTGCTCGCCGTGGGCCTGGCTAGCATCACTACTACAACGATCAGCTTTGCGGCGCGGTGGAAACCATATATCAATGGGCGGCCCCCGTCCGCGGCCGGGCCCCCGGGCGACATCATGATTAGGACCAAGGAGGGCGCGTTCCTGCTCATCAAGTGCACCGAGGCGGTCGCCAGGGAGCTGTACTCAGGAGTAGACGAGTGCTATTATTTCGTGTCAGGCTTCAAGTACCGGCTCTTGATGACGCTCAGCGCAGCCTTCCTGATGCCGTCGGTCATCCTGTTGGGGAACTGCAGCTTCAACATGCAGGCCCTTGTCGGGGCTGCCTACTTGTCCCTGAACATTGCCTACTGGATGATCGGCCTTCTTCCCCTCCGCGCCTCGTGGGATCTAACCCGCTATGACGTGAGAGATATCACACCGGAGGATGCAAGAAAAGCGGACCAGGTCACAGACCCCGAAGACCTGAGAGAGGGCCTCCCGACTTACACGAGGACCCTGTGGTTCGCCATCCGCGAGACGAAGGAGATTGAATGGGCTCAGCGTAGCGGGTCCTATCCAGCCACTCCAGAGTGGGACGAGTGGGCGACGAGGGCTCTGGACAAGGCGAGGAAACAGAACCGTGTGTGGGAGGCAATTAAATGGAAGAATGAGATCATGTTCAATGGGACTAGGAGGGATTAGCGACGAGGTTGCCGCAGCTCATTACATCGGCTAATGTTCAATACAGATTACAATATAGCAGAACAGAGGGAGCTTACTGACGATATCCAACAGTACAAACATACCGTGACCGTGCTGCTATCAATAAGGTAAGGTATTTTAACTTGCGGGTCTTGACCAGAGTGCTGACGACACAATACTCCCACACCATACGTATTGACTCGAACTGATGATCTGTGTCTTGGATTATTGCACCTGACTGCCGCTCTATTGCTAAGGCTGGATCTATGTCTGAAGGATGACAGTGATATAAAAAGTCTGCTGTTTCCTTGTAGATATTCCCGCTAAGTAAACGAGGACTTGGGCTTCTCGAACAAGGTCGCTGAGAACCTACACTACCACTATAGAGAGCTGAAGCATCACTACTAGTTTCAAACAGAACAATCCTACCGTGACTGAGTATCATACAACTTGACTATGAGGTCACTCCTGACATGGATGGCCGACTTCCCGAGCCCTTGATCACTTGACCACGGCAGCTGGACGTATTCCTCCATCATCCTCGGGACCCGCTTTGACACTGGATCAGCCATGGGACTTGGGTCAAGTGAGGATTCCGGCGGCTCGGAGTCGACACTGATAAGCAACCAGTCAATTCATCAGCATTGCGTATTAAAGAGCACACAAGGGAAACGGTGACGGTGCCGATGCTCAGGGGAGGTAGGCCAAACGGGGCCAGTTCGCCGAAGATGAGGAGTTCGATCGGCTTGTAGGAGATGACGGATTTGGCTCTGCGGGAGGGGTCCTTATAAGCAATTGGCGAGGAGTGCCCCGTTAGACTGAGGATGGGGAGGGCCCGGATGGAGGAAAGGAGGAGGTACGCAACAAGCCAGAATTCGGGCTCACGGGGATGTGGCCCGAGGTCTTTGCCCTTTTGGAAGAAAAAATGCGAGCACCTCGCCGTCGACGCCCGGGACTTTAAACTTTCTAATCGGATGTGTGTCCGATGTGCTTCAGGTGCGCCTTGGTGAATAGCGGCACTCCCGCATTGTATATTCTTGGATGAACTTCTCAGCCTCTGCCACTGTCTTCTTCCACTCCGAGTCGCTCATAGGAGGCCCTGGATCACGCGCGAAATTGGGCTTCACGAGAGCAGGCAGTGTGCGTTATGCTGCATTGTGACGGCGCCGCTGTGGTGACGATTGGGCTCGGGTAACGACGAAAAGAGAAAAGATAATATTGCCGGTGCAATGTTCTTGATCCAATCGATGGTTAGAAAGGGCCGAAATGTATCGCGTAATTCTGGACTGTATGAAGGCCGATGGATACTTGTCGTGAGACTTATTTTTTGCAGTTCCGCAGCTTCCCCAAGTTTGCAACTTTGAAAGTTGATGGTTTCCATGTTGCTAGACAGAGGCAGGCCACAAACACCACTGCAAGCAGCAACATCCCGTCTTGAGCCCCGAGGTCAGGGACATTCCTTCCTTGGTTGAGCTACTATGAAAGAGTGAACAATCCGATCTACGAACAGAATGAACCACGCCTTGGTTTGAACCGACTTGGTCGATGACTGTCATTGCAAATGCTCAACTGAAGGCTGCACTCCCCTAATATGGATGCTGAAAACAACGATGTTTGACTATGGGAGACCAGCATTCCAACCTAACCTAGATATATCTGCGGGGGCTGTGCGCAAGATACTTGAGGTTTTCGGTGCATATCCTGAGCCACCGCATCACCTGGCATACCTCAGATTCTGGACGATGGATGCGTCGAAATCCCGCACACCTGCTGCCGACCGCAGGACAAGGCTTGCGGCCCCTTGTTCTAAAGAAGGTGTTGAAGCGCTTGAGGATGAACATGCACATGACCTGGAGTTGCTGGAAGAGATTCTAGAGGAGTTTGAGGGAGACATTGCTGGTATCATTAGCGATCCTGGTAAAAGGCTTGCTGAATTTGTGGACTGGTGGAAGACAACGTGGGTCACCCGGATCTCTGATATGCTTCAAGACCTCAACGGTGATGCTCTGTCGGATACTGAGAGACGGAGAGCCGCAGATATCGGAGTCGTATGGCGCCCACGTCAGGCCGACAGCTTACCCCGCCTCCCCAACCCGTTCGCACTGGTACTATAATGTACTAGTAGTACCTGCCATCTGTTGTTAGCCTGATCTAAGGGTAACTACCTTAAATAATCTCAGGCAGTTCGCGGCATGCCGCCACCGTCGCACCGGATGGATTTCTCGACGGCGCATAGCATCCGACTTTATCCTTTTGACGGCTTTCCCCGGTCTCCCGCGTCGTCATGGCAACGACGGGACCAATGTTGGCGACAAACGCTGGAGCGCCCACAGCAGTGGCCCATGACGGTCGATCTTGGATTTCCGTTTTCTTACGGCAGACTGTGACCGCTTCCGCGACACAATAAGAGAGAGAGCTTCGGGTTGGGTACCTGACTTGAGACTAGACTCGCCAGCTCTCAGAACTCCGGAGAGATTGCTTGCTATGTAATTACCTGACTTAGTACTTTGAAACCGAGGCGTTGCTCAGAGATCGAACCACCAACACCAATAGTACGTTTCCTGTTTCGGGATGTCCTTATCCCTAACCGGGCCATGGGCTTCGGTTGTCGGTTCGCCCACTTCTCTGTCGCCGCCCTCTTTCAATCGTTTGCACGCTCACACCTACCACCGGTCTTATCCGTATTCAACACAAAACACCCAGAACAACCGCGAACAAGGAGAATCCCAGAATTGTTCTCTGAGAGTCGCCCATCATCGACGAAGCGGCGCCCGTGACGAGCACCGTCGACGTGGTCGGCGTGGGCGGGAAATATGAAGCCGTGGGCGTCGGCAAGGTAGCGTTCGTGCTCGGGTTGCCAGTGCAGGGGTTGAGGGAGCTCCCGAGCTGCACGGAAAAGAGTCCCGAGGCAGCCGCATTGTCTGCTGTCACGGCAATGCTGAGGTTCAGACGTTCTTGGGTGGTGTGTTCCAGAAAGGCAATTCCGGAAGCGTCCGTAGCTGCCGTCTTGAAATCCGTGTTGGTATCGCCGTTTCGGAGCGTGACCTTGAGGTCGATCGAGTCGATGGCAGTAACCGTGACGTTGAGCGACTCGCCGGCCTGGGCCATGTATGAGAACGTGTTGGAGCTGGTCTGGGACAGCAGACCGGCGGTCTTCAGGCCCGGGAGTACGGCAACGGGACCGGAACGCGGGGCGCCAGCCAGGCCGTTGAGAAGGGCTTGTGCCACAAACAGCGAGGCGTCTCCTGCCGTGTTGAGGGTGGTGAATGTGCCCCCGGAACGGATGATGGCGGTGGTGATCCGCGAGTCCTGCTGCGCAGCGTCGATGGCGAGGAAGCCAAAGGAAACTCGGATGCCCAGTTCTGTGGCGCGCTCAATGGACTCGATGGTATCGGTGATGAGATAGCTGGGATCGTCCACGCCATCCGTCAGCACGAGGATCCCCGTTCGGTCGACAGTAGCGCCGCTGCTGGCCTTGGTGAGTTCGTCGAGCGCCGCGCTGACGCCACCGCCAATGAAGGTACCACCATCAGCTTCAATGCTGTCGATGCTCGACACCGCGCCGCTGGGGTCGCCAAGCGGATACAGGACTTCGGCGACACTCGAAAACTCGACCACGGTGACCACGTCGCCCGTCTTGCCGCCCGTTGCGGCGGCCGAGGTAATCAGTTTGCTGTTCAGGAGCTTCGCCGCTTCGAGACGGAGGTCGTCGGGATCGTTGTCAATCATGGAGCCGGATGAGTCTATCACGATGCCGACTTTGCGGCCTCCGTTTCCGGCGTCGACATTGCCAATAAGGGTGCTGCACTCTGTACCGTTTTGGCGGACCAAAAGGCGGGCGCCGGCAACTGCTTGAGCTGACAGGGCGAGGATGGCAGAGAACCCTGCCAACTTGCCTAGCGGAAAGAAATGCCTTCACGGGTCAGCAATCGCCGGTCTTTCATTTTCAAGAGTCACAACCCAAAGCTCCATGGGGCATTCGAATAGCACTCACATGACGACTGGGATTCAAGGCACTGTGTGAGCTCCGGTGTGATAATGGTCTGTTGTTGAGAGATGGTTAAGAGATGTCGCGTGTTCGACCTCGACGTACACTCAGGCGCACCTGAGGATTGGCATATTCGACGAGATCTATACTTTATATACCTCTCCTAGGTCAGATGTATGATCCTGTTGGCCCAGCCAAGGCTCGATCCCTCCTTTCGACAAGCCAAATGTTAGGCATTCAATATCCATCGGATTCCATCAGTCCATCCATAGCAAGGTTCTCACTGTATTTTTGGAATCCTTCAAGCGCGTTGAGATGGTTGTAATAGAATCATGATTGGCCGCCGACTCAATCGGACGTCAACTTTCCTCAGCCCTTCGGAGCATTGCAGATTTCCTGGGACGCAGCCTGCACCGGTCCGTGGCTTCTTGCATCGCCCATAGGTTGAGCTGGTGTGCCTCGCTTCTTGGCAATGATTCATCGCTCAACAGCCGTCGGACATCATTGTGGCTTGGATGCGCCTCGTGCTTCAAGTTTGGCATGCCTGCAGCAAATCGAGACCTGGAATGTGCAAGATAATCCGCAAGCGCAAGGCTTTGTTTCAGGAGGACATCTGTCACTTGTGACGTGCTGCTGTGGTCCTTCTTTTCACCTGTGGAACAAGACGGAACAAGGCGTCAAACACCCTGATGGCTGGCCGTGAGGTTTCCAATCCAGGGTGTATCTCCATCTGATTATCTCGAAGTGAAATCACTCTAATTCATCAAGACGTTACCGCAGTACCTGCCCGGTAGTTGGACAGGAGAAATGGACAAGCGCCTCAGTCCCCAGCCCAGTTTAGCGCCATGCAAGAGTCCCGTCATTGCAAGAATGACGAGCCAAACACTTGTCCCATTTCTCGCGCCTCAGACCTGGACCATAACACCACGCCAGGAGCAATACTCCTCTGGGCCAATCTGCTCACCCGCCGCCTTCGCTGCCTGATCTGCCACCGCATCGAACATCCGCGACACTGCCCAGGGTGAAACTTCGCAGCCTCCCATGGCATATTCACCGAGCTTAGCACTCAGTTGCTCCCACAGATCCCTGTTGACCACAAACCTCTCTCTCGTTGTTCGCCATCCATTCGCGGCCTACGTCGGCGGCCAACGCGTCACGTGGTTCACCATGTACTCGGAGCCCGTCACGATGACGATGCGTTCCCAGCCCTCGCCCCACCAGACCCAGTAATCCAAGACGGCGATGGCGGCCCCGAGTTCGGCGCGGTTGCTGGTGTGGGCGTGCACTTGGCCGTCAGGACCTTGGCTTTCCAAGGGTTCGCGATAGGTCCCGGCCCACACTGGTGTCACGCTGGAATCGGAGCGAGGGGGCAGGCCGTTTTTGTTGATGACGGAGGCATAGCCACCTTGTGCCCCTACGTTCCCATTATCACAAGGCAGGCGTCGTCGGTAATCACGGCCATGGTCTTCAGGTCCGACACGCTGGGCACATGGCGCCGTCGGATGCAGAAACGCTCGAGTAGTCGATAGGGCGAAGAGGTATTGACTCGCCTGACGGCAAACATCTCGTCTGGTTCCGGGTCTGTTGATAGAGGGCGGAACTCGGTGCCTGTCCAGATACCGTTGTCCCCACCGTTCATGACTTGGCGCGCATGCTGGACCGCGCCAGAAGATGGCGTTGGCTGTACCGCGAAGGAAACGCCCCCTTCGATTTGCGCCAGTATGACGGCCAATTCGTGGAGCTTCCCAGTCACGGGAGGCTCACAATTGACTAAGTTGAAGTCGCGTTCTGTGTCGAGCACCTTGCGGGGTCGGTCTTCCTTATCTGAATCGTATAACATTGTGTTCGTGGTCCATTGTGCGTATTTCTGGGCTTGGCTGGCGGATTAATTGTGGTTTCTTTAGTGAGCCGGAAGGGAAGATATTGATTCGCATCTTTCAGGCTTGGGACTTCAATGTTCTTCGATGTGTTCAAGTACAGCGAGCGGACAGCGGTGAGTTCTTACAGTTGGTGGTTGAATGAACCACATCCTGCAAACAAAGATCATATGAGAGCCCTTGCTCGCTAGCCTCATAGGCAACTTTCTTCTCTAGGAAGCGGGGCGCTTGGCTCTCCTAGTGTCTTGGCATAAATGTAACCATGGGCATGGGGACGAGTCGTTGAAGCGTTCGATAGCTCCGACGTCGTACCGCATCGCCTTCCTTGCCTGGTAATATCGTGCAAGGCGGAGATAATTCGCGTGATAATCGTGGATTCTTTGAGGCATTGGAAGGAATGAGGCAGAAGGGACAATTAGCCTTGGGAGGATCGAGCCTTCTAGGCCCTTCCTTACTGTTTCCTCTCGACCCTTTCAAATTCGTGCTGTTTGACGCCTTCCGACATTCGTTGTCTACGGGCATGCTGTCAAGAAGCGCGTCTCTGGCAGTCCGGCTGCTCGGCAACCTACCTTATTGGACGCTCGATGGGCGTGTATGATGAAGGCCAGTGCGGCGAGGCGGCCTCGGGCAGCCAAAAGGTCGAAGTCCTTAACCAAATCTATAAGGTACGTTGAAATTTCAAGTGGCTTGTTTCAGACGCAGCCTCAATCACGCAGCCGCCAGGGCGGCGGCTAATTTTTGATAGGTGCTGGCGTGATGCCTACATTGCATTGTGGTAAATTTATCGCAAGCTCCTGAGCATCCTTCTTCCACCTGGACAACGCCGTGGGAATACGACTCGCATCACAAGCAGCTGGCTGACCCCATCAGTTGCATTGACGATGCGCGTGTTAGTCGCCGCCCTGTGTGCCCTCGCGGCCTCTTCATCAGCGCCACCGGCCCTCGGCCGTATGCAGTTCGAGAGCCCGCCCGAGTTTACAGGCGTGATCGCGCCCAGCAGGAACCCCGTTCACGTCATGGGAACGCAGCTTTGGCTCAGGTGGACTCCAGCGCCCAAAGGAAAGAAATTATCCATCATGCTCTATTAGCTTACTGCAGCTGAGGCTGCCACCTTTAACGGAAAACCCCACGGAGAACTAGCAGAGTACATCACTCGTACAGCAGCCACAAGAAACTAAAGATGGCATCTGTGGTTAACTCCTGTGCTTACAGACGACCAAGTAGACACAACGAGCTTTGTCTGGCTCGTAGGACAGCCAAGAACTTTTCCGTCTCTCAGATGTTTGCTTTGGGCGTCTGGGGGGAGAATACGATGGCACCCGACTCGGCGACCAATATCTTCAACATCACTAGCGCTACGGCCGACACAAGCAGCAGCAGGCTTTCCGGCTCCCCTTCTAATACCACCAGTAACGGCGAGGCCCATGCCACGACCGGATCCAGTTTGCCAGCTGCCGATCGGTTCACGAAACGAAGGCATATCGGCTGGCGTTATAATGGGGGTAGTAATCGGCGTTATCTCCGCTGTGATACTCCTCGTCGGCCTGGCTTGGTACATCGGGCGCCGCGAGACCATCAAGCGACAAGAGATGATCCAGCCGGTGGCCATACAGGGCCTCCCACGGCACTACGCGCATGCCTGACAGACACTGTTTCGCCGGCCCGGCAAGCGACCTTAACACGGGGCCTACCCTGGCTGAGGCGCCGCCGGATAACCGCAGGCACGAGTTTTGGTTCAACAGGGAGCATGGGGTATCTGTTCTTCATTAGGACAAAGTAGATACATGTATATGTTGACGACTGGAGTCCGAACCTTTGTCCGTTCTTCCCCTGCGCCCGACCCATTTCGTTGGCAAATCTTCTTCAATGATTCTTTTGAGCAACCGGGACACCCCCCCTTCCCTTCGAACTGACTAATTACCAACTCCAAGCAGTGAATCGTCCGGCGAGGCATCTGCAACCAGCTGCGTGACCACGATGCCGTCAAACAAGTCTGCGAGGTGGTACGTAGACTCCTGTTGCTCGCTGGATTCGCATGCCGTAGTCAGCAAGTCGGCTGATATCATGTTGGGTTGGGTTTGATCCTGGACAACAAATTGAGTCTCGTTGCTGACTTGAGACAGATTGACTCCATGCAGTGCACTTGCAGCTCTCGCTTTGATTTGAGACTCGACGCCCTGCGGCAGGGCTTCTTCGCGTAGGACGGCATGACAGTGTTCTCGGGCTTTAATGTTGTGACAACGGTCAAGGTGAGAAGCTGAGCGAGCCTGTTCTCAACAAGGTCAGCAAGGTAAGGTAGTGTTGCAATGGACTGTACTCAAGGCTTGTGAAGAGGACGAGGAGGGTTTACAAAATGTTATTATTATTCCTACACCGTTGTGCCCTAGGGCGTGCCGGACCTTCAACAACTTACTATACAGGAAAACCGCGCCCTCGTGGGCCGGGTGAAAAACTCATATCGACAATCAAGGACACGATCAGTGTGTGATTTTGCAAATACAAAGTGAGAAGGCCTCTTGGCCTTCGAAGGAAAGGGATATCAGACTGCGAGCTCCAGCTCCAGCCTCCTGGCCAGACTGTACATCGGCAGTTTCCCCGAGTCCATCAGCCAGTCCAGGATCCTCCCCGTTAGCCGTGCAGCTTTGGGACTGATTCCCTGTAGAACAGAAAAAAGTCCCTTCGCGTTCTAACCTCGGCTCTCTCCCATCTTCGAGTCAACGGTGGGGCCAAGCACCACATCACAAGGTTTTCGACAGTCTCTCGTCCCTCTCCATACTCGCATATAGGCGTCAGAACATCTGGGACGCTCCTTTCGAATAAGAAAGCCCGAAGGCCTATGGTCCCAGTTCGAATCTGGACCAACAAGTGAACTCTTCGCTCTGCTGAGGCCGTCGTGTCTCCGTAGGGTTTTGTCTTGGAACAGAGTCTCATGCTGATGGTCAAGGTCGTCTGCGGGCCTTTTGCTGTCCAGCCGTCTCGTTCCTTAAGCCACCTCTCTCTCAAGGCGTTTACAAAATGAGCCCAACGAGTAGCTTTCCATTTATTTTCAAATAACTACACTAACTATAACCTAGCGCAATGGCCGTCACACGACTGCTGGTGTCAACAGCTGTGTTTACACAAATGGGGATACCCTTCGTCCAATCTTCAGTTGCTATGTACTAAGTATATAGGGGAATATCTAAGGTAGTTAAGTCTGGCACTGGACTTGGATATAGGGACATAAACCCAAGGAACTGTGCTTGTGTGAGATTTGCGTTCACATGTGGTCATGTGCATTTTCGCTCATAACGACGGCTGCTCTCTGATCCTCCAACAAAGTGCACCGTGCAGCGTCGCTACTTGCGAGGCTGGCTGTGGGCAAGTTTAGGCATTTCTTCGCTGCCACACACGCAAACTGACACGCAGGCCTGGATCGCCAGACCCCATCCCGCCTCCTACTTCCTTGGTGTGTTTCTCCTTTCAAGATGCCGACCTGCAGTTCATCTGAATCGTATGATTCAGGCTTGGGGAGCGAGCCGAGCGGTCCAAGTTGGAGCTCCGAAATCAGCCATGACCTTACAATCCTTACTCCATTCTCCCTTGGCACAGAGACATTTGGCGACTTCAATAATCGGCCTAAGAATCAAAAGACCGACGAGCCAAACCCCGCCAACAGCTGGTTTAACGGCGTCCTAGTTGGCCAGGTCGGCACCTTGTTCCAAGCATTGCCAAACGAGGATGCGTCCCTGGTGATCGCGATCGAGAACTCTCGATCGACTGGCACCTTATTGAAAGCGAGCCTCTCGCTGCCCAAGTCTACTTCACCAACATGAACTACGAGCCACCCATGGACATGATCGATATCGACCCCATGGAACACCTCGGAATAAGGATGGATGCATTCTCAGTCCCCCAGATTCCGTTTTCCTCTGAGCCTTGGGTTAGTGAAGTCCAGGACAATTTGGGTTCAGGCACGGCGCGGCGTCCTCCAAAGAGTATCAGCCCCTTGAAACGGTGGGGGTTCGTCCCTGCTCGCTCCCCCGGCGGCAACGCCGCCACCGCCGAGGACGACTGGTTGGCCGCTGGACTCTGACAAGCCCGCGCAGCCATTTCCCGTAGGGTCGCCGATTCTCAGTCCATCTATTGTACTGGATCCCATATTTCTTGCGCTTGGCAATGAGGGTGACAGCGAACTTGACCGCATTGACAGCGCTGCCGAGCAAACAACAACACAAATGCACCAGCCCACCAATGCCTCGAAAATGATTGCCACGGAGACACTGGTGTCCATCTCCGGTGGAGCTCTCGGAGGCCTCATCGATGAAACTGTTGGAACCTGCAGGGCGACGACCGCTGAGATGTGCGCTGGAAGAAGCTATTCCCAGTCAAAGCAGTGGATTGAATTTTTAAGGTGGTAAAAGTGATTGATTGACCATGCTGTTGATGGGCATGGGAGAGGACTAAGTATGTAAGGAAGAGGGGTTGCAGTGCTGGCACCAATCAACCACCGAGGTCCGTTGAATGCAGCCATCAATGCGGCTTCGTTCCGACAGAAACCTCCATACCGTCTTCCCCGTTAGCTGAGCCAACGCGCAGCGGAACTCCTCCAGATCGGCACTTTACGCCGTCTACCGGCGGCTGCGATGCTGAACTTCAAGTTGGCGCCGCGGCTGAGCCGGGTGTCTACTCGACCAGACAAGTTGGGGTTGCCAAGATCCGAATTGCATTATTGTTGATCTCCAGGCTGCATGATGCTTGCGAATCCGAAACCTGGGTGTCATTCTCAACGACAGAGCCCGAGGAGCCTGAGGACCATGCTGAGGGTCAGGAGACAATGCCGACCCAGGCGATGGAGTGAACGGCGTCCCTGATGAAACCGACGTGGTTCAATCTATGAGCTCCCGCTCCTCTGGAAACCACAAAATGGGCTTAATATCCAATGAAGAGGAAAATGACGGTCGGGAAGGCCGAAATAGGAAACGCAGACACCTAAAGTCGCCGGAGATGATGGAACGCCGACCGCGATTTGCTTGCCCCTATCAAGCCTCCGAGCCAGGACATCATGGCTGTCTGCAGCGGGGTCCCAGGACTCCAAACGGCGGCTGTGATGGCATATACCGACTAAGTATAAACCCTTAGGCCCGAGAAAGCCCCAACCATGAACATCCCCCTGATAACCAAACCGTATTTCAGGCAGCATCTCAGCCTGAAGACACATGGTCTCATTCCGATGCCAGGTTCGCTGGAGGTCCTTCGATACTAGAGCCAAAAAAAAAACGAACACGTTCGAAAAGCCGGATGTCGAAAAAGACCCAAGGCACACGGCGAACGTTTCATGGATGCACGCCACGAGATTGAGATTGACAACATGTGCAATTCCACGTCAGAAGTGGACACATGTTGGAAATTGTTCCGGCTTCTCAGTCCTGGCATGGATGGAACAGAGGAGTCCGTGATGAAGATACTGACTGTATTGTCCCTGTAGGTTTTTGGGTCCTCACTAACTTGACAAGTGCAATCGGGTTCAATGTCGCTGACTAGTAACCCAACTCAGACTACATCGCTCCCGATCTATCATTGACTATCCCAAGTCTAAACGTCACGGACATAGCTTTCTCACACAGGAGCTCTCCACTACCACGCGTATGATTTGTCTTGGCTGCCTGAGCCATGCGACAATCAGTCGTTTGGTTGAGCTGCCAATTGCAGTAGGTTCACAGCACTGTGGCCCTTGTTTCCGCAAGGCACAGAGCTATCGATGTCAGAGCAGCACCTTATAATGTCCCAGACCCTCTCTGGACCCGTTTTCGAATCGACGCAGCAGGTCCCTCAACCCTTGGTCGGCACGACTACACCTACGCGCTCGCACACAAGCTTGAGGGACTCGAGCGGTGCGCCGCCGTGTTCATGGTCCAGATCACAATCTGCCAGCAATGGCGGCGCGACGTCGACAACCTCTATCCAGCCAGGATCACCCTCTATTGAGAAGACCCACAGCCACATAGGAACGAGCAGTGTTGCGCACCTGCAGCGTAACAATGAGAGACTCCGGCAGCGAAACCAGCAGGCAGCGAGCAAGATTTCCGAGCTACGGAATGCGAACCGCGCGTCTGAGACCGATATAAGGGACGCGGACGGTATTCTGGAAAGGGTGTTGAACTCAGGAGATCTCTCTGTAGACATGTATGAGAGTCTGAATCAGTTATCGAGACTGCTTCAGGCGGCATCGGAGAAGCTGCGGAGTGTTGAAAGTGTTCGGTTTGCCCCTGAGTCTGCTTCCCCAAGCAACGTACCTGATATTGCTCACGCAGCAAGCGCACTGTAAGGCATAGACCAAGTATTCAAGTGGTTATGAAACGACTTGTTGCCGTCAGAGATAGATCTTAGCTACGCGGTTCAGTTTCACACAAATCCACATAATGCATCACCGGCACTACCCACAATCCCATACCAACAGACATACCGTATGCGCCAGCATCAGCCTACTCTGAGCAGAACCTCTCTCCCCTTTCCCCAACAACAACAAGCTCGAGATTGTCCGTTACACCAGGAATCTCGTTTTTGAACCCACTCATGGCCATCGCCAATGCTCGCCATCTCCCTACAAACCCACCCTCAGGGGCCTCTCCGTTTGAAGCTCCCACCCCTCGCCAAAGAGATACAGCGGATCGACCGTCCCAATCGCAATGCTGATGCTGGTACCGGACTCCGGCGTAAAAACAGGAACGAGCCGCACTCGCCGCAGAACACTCGCGCATCGCTCTTGCGGCGTGGTCCAGGTCAGCGACGCATAGGATACCTTGTGATATATAAAGAAGAGGGACGACGTGCTCTTTCGGCATTGTGTGCATTGGCAGCTACCACGCTGTCGAAGAACTGAGGTCTTGGTCAGCTAAAGCATGTGCTGGAAGGGATAAACAATCAAGAAGCCCAATACGCCATCCTCAAAGTCGTGCCCCTCGGAAAAGTAGATTCGGTGAGCGATCTTCCCGCAGAGGCAACTGCCCGTGATTTTTTCTGGGGAGCGGTTCCGAGATCAATCGTTGAGGCCTTGTCCGTAATCCGTTCTTGAAGACGAACAATGCATGGAATTCCAACTCAGTTTCTGAATGAGGTGAGATAGAAGAGACACCTGAGCTGGAATTTATCATGATGCCGCTGATTGATGCACAGCGTGTCATACGGCCGGAGGATTTCCCGCACCTGCCTCATTCTGTAAGTCACCACCAAGTCCTCTCATAGAATGTCATGAGCACATGACGGATGCAGCCCGGACTCACGAAACTCGATCGGAACCATTTTCTGTTCGTTTCCTCGTCAAGTGTGAACCAACATTCGTGCATTCAATGGCTGCGTTATGTTCATGATGTCTATCGACCCAATTCAAACCCAACTCCATCCAATGCTTCACACCACCTCTGTACCCAGAAAAGCAACCCGATCCATACAAAACCCCTTTCAACGTACTCAACAGACCCAAGTCCAAACAATACCCCCTTCACCTCTTCACCTCTCCACATATACAGGAATCCCATATACCACCGCCGCCGCAGCCGTCACATATCTCAACTTACACCTCCCCCGACTTCTCGCCACAGCCTGCACAAGACTTGCATCACCATACTCTCCCTTCAAGTTCCCAATCGTACTCTCCGTCTCCCCGGATCCACCACCCCCCGCGTTCCCTCTTCCCCTCCCTCTTCCCTTTGTTTCTTCCCTCCCGGTGATACATCCCCTTTCAATCAAACCCCACTCCTCCATCACACCCCCCGCAAACCGATCCAGATCCCGATCGGTCACGTCCCACAGCGTACCCACCACAGCCGGACAACCCGCCATCATGTAATTCCACACCGGACCCGCGGGCTCAAACTCGCCATTATCCGCCAGCGCGGCGCTGCTGCACCCCATCAGCAGCACCGTCGCGCGGCAGCCGGGTTCCAGCCTCCTCACCGTCCTGCCGCGAATGTACTGCGCTCCGGAACCGTGGCCGAAATAGAGGAGGATGCCGGAGTCTGTGAGAGCGGTCACGAATTCGTCTTCTGTCGGAGGACGGGCCGTGATTCCCTTCCAGCTCTGCGGTAGCAGTTGCGTGGAGAAGGCGGGTGAGAAGAGGGCCTGCGTGGATTGTAAGTCGGCCGACGGGTTGAGGATGTAGGTTCCTGAGGTGGGCGGGATGTGGTGACCTTCGGAGGCGGCAGGAGAGGACGAGGACGTTCCAGTGGGCTGTTGTTCTTCAGGCTGGTGCCGATCAAGGAGCAGGCGGCGGAGGCACGCCAGCGAGGGGACGCGCGAGACGGGCTGACCCTGCATGCACGGGAGGGATTCCCAGGGGAAGATATGCAGGGCTTTGTCAAGGACCAAAATGGTGTGGATGGCGGGGACGGGCTCGTCGGCTGCGTTGGCGGCCGAGTGGTAAGCAGTGAGGGCGTCCATGGTTTCGACAACCATCGAGTCAAAGTCGATTTCGTCGTAGGCGTTCCACTCGCCGTGAAACTGCAGGATGTCGACAACAAAGTAGAGGAGGTCGGTGAGCTCGTCGTCGAAGTCGCAGTTAGGCCGGGTGGCGTCGCCGAGGCCGATGAAGAGCTCCAGGATGTTCGTGTCCAGCGTGGCACGGACACCCTGCGCTGTCTTGATTTTCTTTCCGCGCACCTGCCGCCGAGAAGGGAGGTGCTTATCCAAGACGGCCAGGAAGTCCTTCTGAAACCTCGCCAGCAGCTCCGGGCGACGGGAGTGCTGCGAGAAGATGCCCCTGAACCCGCCTAGCCAGATGTTGTTGATGTTCACCAGCAGCTCCTTCAATCGCTCATCCAAAGCCTCCCGCTCAGCCCACCACTCGCTCTTGGCACCCTTGACGGTCATGTTTCTCGAATCGTGGCTGGTCTGGTTGATCAACTTGACGATCTCCAACAGTTCGGAGCGGCCCTGCTGAAAGTCGAAGACGTCACTGTCGGCATCGCGCGAACTGGCCCGCTCGAGGGGCAGCCGGATGACAAATGGAATCTGCCCAGCCTGGAACTTGGTGATGCATAGGTCGTGATTGCCCTCGCTGAGGGAGACAGAGACGATATTCCAGGACTTTGGCGCGATGTCGATATAGTCTCTCTGTATCTTGTGCAAGTCGAGTGTGAAGCCCAAACTCGAGCGCCTGGTCGCGGCGGATGAGAGCGCCGGCGGCCAATCCAGCCTGTCGTTTCTGGTCATGTTCTTCTCTTGGATCATCGCCTTCCGCTCCCTGCGCCAAGTAAGATTTCGAGCCAGCTCGACCGAATAGGCCGTCTGAGCAGAGTGGATCGCTGCCTTTGATTTGGTTGAAGTGGCCGTGAGGAACAGGCCGACGTTTTGGAGCAAGACCGATATCCTGTGGATCAGGCTGGCATCGCCACTAACAGCGGCCATTGACTGCGCCTCAACAAGATAGTCGTGGGCTTCACGCAGGTTGTCGACGTAGAGCCTCCCTTGTCCCTCGCCCGCAGTGGCGCTTCGTGGTTTCTTAGGCGACGAAACTTTCGCTCGGGGCGGTGACGCCTTGTCTGAGCCGGAGAGCGCGGGGAAAGAGATGGTCGAGTCGTGGATGACAGAGAACACAGGATCCTGGGCCATCTGCTCCATGCTCCGACCCATAAGGCACAACGCCATGGCCACCTGTCTGGCGGGCAGAAGACCGGATGCCTTGTCGGCCGTGGCTTCCACGAGCATCGCCTGGGCCTTGGGCCAGTCCTTTTGACGTAGCATAGCCTCGGCCTTCCGCACGAGGATAGCCACACGCAACTTGGCTAACTGGGCGTCCTCCGCATTGGGGCCGAGTGTGAGGGCGGCGGCGGCGGCGGTGGCAGCAGCAGGGGATGTTATCTTGGCTGTGCCTCTGGCCGCTTTCCTTGCCGGCGCCTTGGTAGCGGCAGCTTTGCGGCCGCCTTTCGTAGGTTTCTGGCTGATACTGATATTCTCCAGCTTGTTCTCGATAGTGGCGGTTTCAGCTTGTTGGCCGGCGACGGCAGGAACGACAGCGAGGTCTTCTGCGACTGCCTCAGCCTTGGCTAGGAGAAGCTGTGCTCCCTCGAAGTTGTTCTGGGACAGGTGTATGGAGCTGATATAGCAGGCGAGTGTTGCCAAGGAGTAGGAGCAGTTCTTATCAGGAAACAGGCTTGTGGCTTGTTGCAGCATCTCTTGCGACTTGGCGATGTTGGCCGCTCTCCAGCAGACTGACCCAATCCATGCGGCACACTCTGCGCTGTAAAAATCCGAGTCGACCGTGCTGGCCATTTTCAGTGCTTGCTCTGCGTAGTACATGGTCTCCTGAAACATGCCGAGATGAGCATAAAGCGAAGAGAGCCGGAGGACGTGGCGGTAGAGGCAGTGGAAAATCCGCCAGAATTGCGGACGAGGTGTCTGTTGGTGGCCTTCCTTCTTGAGCTCGATTGTCGACAAGTTCAGGGTCTGGCTATTCCGTTGGCCTTGTTCGACGGTGGTCCCTGGCGCCATTTGACTCTCCAGCTTGGTCCAGTCCTGGAACAGGATGCGGACGCTATCTCTAGAGTACACGAGAGCGTGGTGCGAGTCGCCACGCTCGAGGGCTATAATGGAGTGGAGGTAGTAGGCGTATGCGACGAGTTGCCTCCTCTCAGCCCGAGCGTGCTTCTCAGGCGCGGCAATGGCATGGAAGGCAAGCTCCGCTTGGGAAAGGTGATCGCCAGCTTGCCTGAAACTGCCGAGGGCAAGGCAATGGTCGGTGAAGGTGAGGTGAAAGTAAACGATGGCTTCGCTGCGCATTTGAGCTCCGATATGCTCCTTCGCCTTCAGGAACACCTCCTCAGCTCTTGACGATTTGCCGAGGTTGGTGTATTGCAGAGCGAGACAGGAGCTGTGGTGGACCACGTCTTCGGCATTGGCGACCTCCGCAACCTGTGCGATGTCCGTGACCAGCTCCAGAACGGTGGCGAGGATGGTGTCCCGGCCCTTCATGCGGAGGAAGTCGGCAACCGACTGCAGGTGCTCGATGAGCCCCGGTATATCATCGACTGCCTTCTCCAGGGTTTCCCTGTCCCGACATGTCGTGATGATTGACCGCCAGGTGGAAATAGATCGATCGAGCGCCCCGATGTCGCGGTAAGCATCAACGGCCGCGGCTAATGACTGGTAGAGCGCTTTCATGTGCGGTACGAAGCCAGCCAAGCCCGAGTCCTCCCCGAGATCACCACTGCCCTCGAGTTGAGCGGCGTCCTTAGCAACCGAGAGGAGCTCAGGTGCCCTGCCAAGATCTCCAAGTGCCGCGCAGAGTAGGGCGAGAAGGACCCTAAGTCTCCGGACTGGGTAACGGGTGGGGATGTAGATGCGAAGCAAGGTATCGACGATGGCGTGCTCCAACGTGATAAAAGCCTCTTTTGAGCATTGCTGGAGCAGAATGAACCGGAATTGGTGCTCCAATGCCGCAGCGCGTTCGGCCTCGTCGAGATTAACGGTCCAGTCCATCCAGACGTGCTCCATCTTCGAGATGGAGACAAGAGTTCGTGAGAGGCCCGCGGCCTTCTGGTTTTGGGCCCAGACGACGGCTGGGGAATCTGTGTCGAGGCTTCTGGCGACTGTCGCTAGGACGCCGTCTTCTACCAAGCTGGTCCGAACGGATTGGAGAGCACTGAGTGCCTCCTCCCCTCTGCCCAACGTCCTGCAGAGTTCCGCCATGCGTTCCAGCTTCAAGGTGAGCTGGGCCTTTTCCTTTTCTGTGCTCGTCCGGTGCTTCACGCACTCCACTGAACGCCGGAGCGCCCGAAGAGGGGCGGAGTCTTTTGGGTCGGTTGACTGCTGGCGGAGGCAGCTGTACTGCAGGTAGTAGAAATGCGAGATCTTCACATGGTAGGATGCCGAGGCGTCGGATGTGGACGTCCCCGTGTACTCCAAGAGGGTGCTGCAATCGCTGAGAACGGCGTCCATGAGATTCCAAGGGAGTCGTGACTGGTCCAAACAGGTTTTGATGGTCATGAAAGCCGAGTCGAGGGTATGGTGAAGGTACTGCGACATGAGCTGTCGCCGCTGATCGTACCGGAGGAAATCTTTGGTGCCGCCCTTAGGCCCTGGAGGCTTGCCGAGCCATCGAAGGCAAAATCGAGGGCACTGAAGGATGAAGGTCTCCAGAAGCTCCTTGATGGAGAGCAATGACCGAGAGGTATAGTCACTTCCCTTGGCGAGGCCGAGGAGAAACTGCATTGCCGCTTTCCGGACCGCGCAAACGTTGATCAGCAGCTCGTCGAGTTCGGCAGTGTCTCCACGTAACGGGCCCTGGATGCCGGCAACCACTTCTTTGAGAAGGTGATCGTCGGTCAGGTACTTGGCGGGATATTTGAGGTGGAGAGAGAGCAGCTGAGCCGCAAGAGAGCAAGACTTGGCGATCGATTCGTCCTTGGGGTCCATCACCTCTCGAAGCTTTGTGGTCCACATGATGGCATCCGGTATTTGCTGGGCGTCGCGTGCGAGAGCTACCAGGGTCTGGCAAATCCCGGCAAGTGGGAGTTTGGATCCTTTCAACGGTTGGAAGCCGTAGTTCTGAAGTTGCTGGTGTATCCGGTTGAAGACTTCGGAGCAGACGGCGTAGCGGGATTTCGGGCTCTCAGAGGTCCGCCGGATGTATGCGCTCAAACACCTGGACAGAGGAACCATAATATCCTTCTCTGCGTCTCCCTTGTGTTTGGCCAGTCTCCACCAGTGAAGTCGGGCCTCAAAGGCGAGTGCTTGCAATTCGAGAGCGGATGCCGGGGAGATGCTGAGTCTAGACTCCTGTGCTGAACCGTCGTCTTTGGTAGATACACTGGGCGCAAGCAGGAGGAGGCATTGGGTTACTGTCTCCATTTGTCGAGCAATCTTCCCAACGTCTGCGTCATCCTCCTTCGCCGCCGTGAGAATCAAGTTGATTGGTGACGAAGGCTGGTCCATCAGAAGATGTGGGAGTGCCGCCTCGATCGCTGATGGCTTCTTTGTCGCTGCCAGAAGCCGCAGAATCTGGGTCTGAGTCGTGATGACTAGCACAAGCCGCTGTCCTGATGCCTTGATGGCGCCGAAGCCAAGCAGCTCTGAGAAGAGCTGGGCGGTATTCTTGGGTTCAGGATTAGCCGCATTGGCTGTCTTCTTGGTATCGGAGCCCGAAGAGCCTCCCAATCTCTTTTTGAGGATCCTCAACTCCTTGATGGCCTGCTCATGAAGGTTCAGGCTGATCAGCTTCCCAATCAAGGCCGACATGCCCGACTCGAGTTGTAGATCTGGGAGGGTGATTTTGCCTGTGGGGGGTAACTGGCGCAACGCAGCCAGGGCTACGCGGGCACACTCGACGGTGGCTAGGAGGTTCGTGTTGTTCTTGGACGACTTCGAAGGCGATCGAGCGTGTCTGGTGATGACGGGCGAGGTGGACTGTCGGTTGAGGCTGCGGGGCTGCAGAGGAGTCATGGGCGCCGAGCTTGACCGCCGAAGCGCGTTCTTGGCTGCCGTCTTGACCAGGTCGTCCTCTTGGGTGGCTCGTGGGACGGCAGCCGGGGAGGGCTTCGCAGCCTCTCCCAAGGCCTTGAGGGTGGCATTGACGACGTGTGTTGCGAGTGCCGCCTTCTCTCGTATAGAAAGACCGCTCTCGGTGGCGGCAGTAGCTTGTTTGACGCGTTTCGTTGGTGCTCTTGAGAGAGTGTTCGCTCTTGACCGGGCCGAGTTCGCCGTCTTGGTGGTAGCTCGGGCTTTGCCCTGGTCAACAACGAGGGTGTCGTCCTTGGGGAGCAACAAGCTCTTGAGCAAGGCTGATGTCGCCGGGGTGCATGTCGCGACGGACGAAACTGCGCTGCGCGCGGCGTCAGCCTGCGCGAGTAGTGTATCCATGAAGAAGGTGCGTGATGGGCCGATTCAATATCATATCATCGCTGTGTCGAGGATAGTATCCAAAAGCCAGCAGTAAACCCGAAGGATTGGTATGGAAGCTGGAAAGGCAATGACGCTGAAGGTCCAAAAGCGGAAAGATTGAGAGCTGGAATCTCGAATTGCGGCCCGAGTCGCGTGGGAAAGACGGCGGTCGGCAGGTCCAAAAACAGGGGTCAGTCAACGGGCAGATGCGGGCTGACCGCGTCAGGAAAAGCTGTTCAGTTGGCACGGCAACGGCAAGACAATGGGCCTGTCATTTGGACCCACATCACTTCTGCTGGGTTTCATCTCAACAATCGAAGCTTCGATAAATCTTCCATCTGCAAAGTTGCAGTGGGTCCCCGCATTTTTACGGATGACAACCTTCATCAGCGAACGTCACCTCGAAGACCGAAGGCGACTGACAACGGTTGCGCAATTATGAACCGCATCGCGCTCCAACCGGCGCTTCGGACGCCGGCATTACGCCAAGCACTATTGTTTGAGAAGTCTTTATCATTGACACTCAGAGCACGCGCTCTCAGTACCGTCGCCGAGCCCTCTTTTTGGAAGTCTCTTGTGCCCAAGCCGCTGCGGCCTCAATTGTCGACCGCTCCAGGAAAGAAGACAAAGCCCCAGAAGGGATGGAATCCTGCGACCTTCTTCATCTTCATCTTCCTGCTGATCGGGTCCATGTCCATCCAGATGATCGCGCTGAGGAAAGATTTTGCTACCTTTATGCGCCAGTCGGACGTAAGGATAGGGCTGCTCCGGGAGGTGGTGGAAAAGTTGCAGAGGGGCGAGAAGGTCGACGTGGAGAAGGTCCTGGGCACCGGGGACAAGGAGAAGGAGTTGGAGTGGGAAGAAGGCTAGCAACTTCGAGCCGTCTGTTTTCCACGATGATGTGCTGACGGGACGCGACAGTTCTGAAAGAGATCGAGCGCGAGTCACCCACAGAACAGCGGAAGAAGCAGCCCGAGCCGACGCCAGCTCCTAGTTCCGAGGCCAATGTCGTGCCTACGGCACAGCCGACGCGGGCAGCACTGCAGAGTGAACTCGCCAGCAAAGGCTTTTTCTAAGGGCGCCGTGCTGAAGATGCAGGATCAGTAACGACAATGAAGGTGTTGCTCGGCTCCAGTCAACCGAACCCGTCATGCCCGTCTATTGCCGACTTGCCCTCCACAACGGCCCAAATATCCTCGGCGCTGATGGCTGCGTCCCACAGAGTGCATGCCCATCGCCGTCTACGGTACGTGGCATCATCTCGCTTTCATGTGCTGCCCAATGCCGCACGGCATCTTGGTTCACAGTTGCCCAGCCCACGACAATGATGACCGAGACATTCCAATAACAGTTATCCCTATCTGAAAACAACGGTGCTGATCTTGGTTCTAACTTCTGACTGTCTTTCCTTGTTTGCTTGGACTGTTATTGTATGTACATTCTTGAGCTCTATGCTGACAGTCCGGCAGTCACCTCTTCCAGGTCTAGCCTCGAGACCTCATCACGGTAATCGAGACAGAACGAGGCACCCGGGAGCTTCAAACATTGATCTGCTCCCTGGGCGGAGCAAAGTTTAACGTCGCGCCGCGGTCGCCTAGGGCAATGGACGTCCGCCATCACGACGAGTCAATGCTATTGATACGGCCATCAACCAGCAAGTGACCAACAAGTGGGTGACCTGGGGGACTGCGACTATCATAATTCGGTCTATTGTAACATGTTCTTGAACACGGCTCCCTCGTTCTCCTGGATTGAGCCAGCTTCTGGCGACGAACGCAAAGTCCACAACCCAGGCCGCCGCAGCTCTTCCACGAGGGCCGGCAGCAAGCTGTCAGTCGACATCTCGACCCTCACTCCTTGAGAACCCGGTTGGCCGGGTTCCAGGTCCACAAAAAATACCTCCTCGCCCCTGACGCCGCCAATGTTCACAATAGCTATCGGCATCCCTCTATCCTTAGCGCGCTTTGCTAGCCTCCACGCCGAATATGTCGCCATGGAAGTGGCGAGCACGAGCAGCCTCCCCGCGCCGTCAATGGCATCTTCTGCAGCTTTCTTGACCCCATTAGCGATGCTCTCCCCAAACATCACAACCGCAGGCTTCAAAATGCCGGCATTGCTCGTCGGGTGCCACGCCCCGTCGCCATCCACTTCAACCGTCCCCCTCGCGCCATCCGCCAGCGGCGGCGGACTCGCTAGACACTTTGGACACGCCGGATACCGGAACGTGGTATACGGCGCATCGGGAACCTCCACGTCACCGTCCGGGTTCATCTTGATACCCCGCGCGCGCTTCTCACGCGGGTCTTCCGTGTCTAGCGCGCCCGTCGCGATGGCCTCCTGCAGGAACGCATCCCACAAAGGATTCAGCCTCGCCAGTTCCGCCTGGAGCACTTCCCGCGGGAACTCGCTCCGGCAAGAGGCGCACACCGTCGACCGCAGGTAGCCGTGCAGCTCCAGCGTCGGGATCTCCGGGTGCGCTCTGGGGTGGAAAGAGTCGACGTTTTGCGTGATGACACCGGACACGAACCCCAACCTGCCCAAGTCACGCACTGCGTAGTGGCCCGCATTGGGCTGAGCCTTGCGCAACGTCGTCCACCCTAGAAAGCTGCGCGCCCAATAGCGCTTGCGAGCCTCGTGGTTGGCGAGAAACTCGTGGTAGTAGATGGGGCGGTACGTCTTGTTGACGCGGTAGGTGCCGTTGGCGCCGCGGTAGTCGGCCAGGCCGCTCGCTACCGAGAGGCCCGCGCCGGTGAGCACGACGGTGGATGTGGGCAGGTCCCGGGGCGGCGGGGCATGGAGGAACTCTTGCAGGGCTGCTATGGCACCGGGGAGGGAGCGGGCTGTGTGCGGGATGGTGGCGGGAGAGGGGAGGAGCTCGGTGTAAGGGATGCGCATGAGTGGTTTCTTCATGCTCGCTTTGTAGCAATATACATTAATCAAGGCCGATTTGTACTTGCATCCCGATTACGCTGACGCGTGTTGTACGTCGATGTCCGGCTCTATTTCCCTGATTCAGGATGAAATTCGACGCTGCCGAACTTGAACTTCGTAATCGTCACAATGCTCGCCTAAGGATCCAACCAAGCCACCTAACTCGGCTGGTCAAAGCTCAGACTCCACTTACTTATCCACCATCCCGTCGCTGTGTGGGACAGTGTCAAATACGAATTTCGATACGTTGGTTCTAATTTAAAGGTCAGAGTGATCTGTCAACATGTGGGCCTCATCATGTCCAGCTCCGTCCATAGTGCTGTCGTCGGTTGTGTCTGACTTCTCGGCTCCTTTGGACACCAGCCTGTCTGGCAGTTCATCCAAAGCCATCGGGCGTAAGATTTGTGAAGGGTCGTCCAGTCTCGCCCAAACCTTGGGCGGAATACGGGCCTGGACCCATTCAGCATGCTTAGATGCTCCTGCACAAACTTTTCATGCTCCTCGAACAAGGCGAGGCCACATGCCGGTGTATCCCGGAGGTCCTCTCGCCGGTAACGCATCTCCTGTTCGTGTGATGCGAACTCTGGACTCCGGCTCTCCCAGAAGGTTGTCTGAGGGGGGTTCAGCTGCTCGACTGTTAGCTTCTTGAAGGAGTAATGTCGCAGCTCGCGACGAATTCTGCGAGGGATCGGGCCTTGAACCATGACACCGGAAGTCAAAAACCGAAGTCAGCTATCCCCAAGCACTTCTTGCCGGTCGGCACATTACAAGATAAGGTAGATGGGCGACTAACAAGTCTGTCCCGGTCAATGTATACAACACGATATGGGGATCCAGGATTAGGTCCGGGTCTGGGCCGTGGTGGTCGATGAGGAACCAGCACGGGTAGTTGTCAATGGCAAATTCGCAGCCATGAATCCAGTCGCGCTCGCGGAGGCGATCAAAATCATGTTGCCAGACGTGGCGGCAGATCAGCTTCACCATGCGCTTGTTCCGTTACCCGAAGCCAGTGAACTTGTCGCCGGGGACCAGATGCGTCCTTGTCTGCACCTTGATCCGGATGGGACTGTCATCGGCTTCGGGGTTGGTTGAGGCAGTGACTGGGCCGAGCGGCGGGTTCTTCGGTTGCCTTGGTGTGGCAGCCATTGAGTCCCCTACTTGGTCTGACTGGTATTCTTATCACCTGGTGGATAGACTTCTGGTGTTGCAGAAACCACTCCGAATTTCAATGTAGTCGGATCGACGTTTAAAGAGGCACTCTAGACAGATTTAATAGCGATAACTTATGCTTAATTCGGCTAGTGAGTTTACAAGAAACACAAGCATCTGCGAAGAACCGACACAGATCCAAGAAACCCATGCGATTGAACTATCCATCCCTGGCCCGGATTCTGGATTTCATCATCCGCATGCAGGTGGCCGCTGGAAAGTGGTGCGATGTCGGGCGCGCTTATGGGGAGATGTGCCCACTGCACCATGCTTACCTAGTTGCCCCTTATAGCCGCCAGGAAGCTGTGGGCTTCAATCGCAACTCCGATCTCGAGAATCCCAAAATTTCCGACGAAGCCGCATTTTCTATGTCTTTTGTCAATCAAAAAGGGTAGACAAGAGAGTCGCCCTGTGATTCCGAGCACTTCCCAAGAGCCTCCCATGCCAAATTGGCCTATGCCTCCGCTTAATTGCAGGCGCTGCCCCGGCCCTGCGCTGGTACGACTTGCGACGCCTGCCGCGTGGCAGCTCCATCCAAGAAGGGCACGGAGCCTTCAACTTCAGTCCATATTAAGCCACCATCCCACGTCGGGGACACATCACCCACATCTCGACACCGTGCGCATCTTCCAGACCTTCTCCCCGTCGAGGGCATTTACAAACCGACTCCGACGCTCGTTACACCCCGATCCGCCATTACTTCTGCTTGCTCCGACTAGTACTACAACACCACTTAAACCACCATTACTCTCCCTTTCAACCGTCATGGGCAACAGCACAACACAACAACAAACCCGAGGCCACGCCGGCCACGGCCACCATCACCACCACCATGACAACGTCTATCTGACCTCGACCAACAAAAAGGACGCCGGTGTACGCATCACCCGCATCGGGCTATACTCCAACCTAGGCATGGCCATCGTCAAGGGCGCCGGCGGCTACGCCTTCAACTCGCAGTCGATGGTGGCCGACGCCTGGCACTCGCTCACCGACCTGGCCTCGGACGTGCTGACGCTAGCCACCGTCAGCTGGAGCTTGCGCCCGCCCACGGCCGCCTTCCCGCAGGGCTTCGGCAAGGTCGAGAGCTTGGGGTCGCTGGGCGTGTCGAGCATGCTGCTGTTTGGCGGGCTGTTTATGTGCATGAGCAGCTGCGAGAGCCTGTACGCACATTTCTTTTTGGATGCTGAGGCGGCGAGGCAGGTGCTGGAGCATGCGCACGGTCATGGCCACCATCACCACGGTCATGGGCATGGGCATGGGGTGGGCGGTGCGCCGAGTCTGCATGCTGCGTGGCTTGCCGCGGGCACGGTGGCGGTTAAGGAGTGGTTGTACCATGCCAGTATGTCATATGTACCCTGTAGTTTCTTTTGTTCTACTACCCGACCTAACCCGTGTGCTTGCCGCCAGCAATGAAAATCGCCCGCGAGCGCAAGTCATCCGTCCTCGCATCCAACGCAGTCCACCACCGCGTTGACTCCCTCACAGGCATCGTCGCCCTGCTCGCCATTCTCGGCGCCAACCTCCTCAAGGACGCCACATGGCTGGACCCGGTTGGCGGCCTGTTCATTTCGCTCTTGGTCATCCGCGCCGGCTTCTCCAACACCCTCTCGGCGCTCTATGAGCTAGCCGACCGGTCCATCGACAAGGAAGTGAGCGAGTCGGTCTCTAAACAAGTGGTAAAGAGCCTCGAGGACGTGGCGCTGGGGCACGAGGTCGAGCTGCGTGACGTGACGGGCGTCAAGTCCGGGCAGAACTACCTCGTGGACTTGGAACTGGCGGTGCCGAGTGCGTGGACGGTCGAGGAGGTGCATGAAGTGGAGGACGCCGTGCGGACACGGGTGGGCGGCAAGGTCCGAGGCGTGAGGCGGGTGCGGGTCCGGTTCGTGCCCAAGACGGCGCCCGTGCCGGACCGGTTTGATGAGTTCATCCCGGGTGATGTGAGTCCCCGGAGCAGTCCGGAGCCGGAGGATGAGGATGGAAACCATGACCATGACCATGACCATGGGAAGGGACATCACAAGGAGGAGTAAATTAATCTCGCCTTCGTCTGGCAGAGTCACAAGTTTGTCATACGTGTTCGACCAGTATGTCTTGGCACCGCCTCGAAAAGAGAAACCATGGAGAGCCATTAGTCCTCCATGCATTGATGTATGATAGCCTTACCCACACGCATATATGTACATAGGTGCCGGCGTCGATACCCAGCCTAGGAACGCGCACCATAGATCGTAATATGGAGAAGGACATGTCACTGTGCAGCATACCGCAAACCGAGTCGAAGGCTATGGGGGACCGAAATAACCAAGCAACCCATCACCAGCTCATTCGTGATCTTACCAGGAGCAGCAGTAATCAAAAAACCATTTAAACACACTTTATATACTCTGCAGCGGCCTTCGTTCATCCCACCTGTATTCGGCCATTTCATCCCTTACCAAGGTACCTCTGGAACCAGTGGCTGTATAAACCTCGACGCAGCGCTGTGTATCCCAGGATGCGATGCAACATGCCATTATAACCCCCCCTCCATACTCATTGATGAGGAACGAAAATGAAGCCAAGGGAGCCCAAACGCCTCGCCCGTCAACCCGCCAGATCCTGCTAAATCCATTGTATGTATGTCAACATAAAAGGAGATGCCGAAGAGGAACAGCAGCAGCGCAAGCTCTATGTCCCTGTAAACATTAAGCAACACACCAGACACGCTCCACTCCATGAAGGATTACGTATGCCCATACTTTGCCTCCACCTCCCGCATGTACTTGACAAACGTCTTCTTATGCGTCTAGCAAGCAGTCAGCACAACATATCGTCGAAAGGTTCACAATCCAGTAAGAGAGCAAAAGCAGCGGTAAACTCACCATCCCCGCATACCGCCCATCCTTCAACACGCAAATATACCTCAGCCCCAGCTTCGCAAAACACTCATACACCAGGTCCATGGGCGACTTGATATCCAGCGCCACTGGTGCCTACCACACAACCACACTTATTAGCTAACCGCTCAAGAAGAGGCGTCCAACCACAACATAGAAAGAGAGCCGGACTCACCGGATCAATATACGGCGTGAAATCAGTCGGATCCCTGCCCCCATCATCCGAATCATCCTCAATCGTCATGACGGGCGCCATCAGGCACAGACTGGACCCTTCATCCCGGAGGTTATCCAGGGCATACTCGAGGTCCGGGGCCGGGATCAACCCCACCAAAATCCCGTCCCTCACAATCGGCAGGCCGCCGTCCAGTTCGCCGGCACGGTGCAGCAGCTCGAGCTTGGCACGCAGGCTGGCAGCGGGCACGACGGGCGAGGTGCTGATGTCGATGATGCGCTCCTTGCGCACGCGCGGCACGATATCAGCCAGGTTCGAAGTGAATATTGGCTTGTGCTTATTGTTGAGGTAGGGGTACGAATTCATTTCCGTGAGGAGATCCTGGCAAGCACGCTGGGTTAGTCATTGCATTTTGTTTGTCGTTCAGGGTAGCGGAGAAGTGAGTTACGTAGATGCTGAGCGGCTCGATGGCGTCCGCTGTCCACTTGGCAACCAAGATGGCCAGGGAAAACGGGAGGACATAGTCCAGACTGCCTGTCAGTTCGAAGAGAATGACCGCAAGCGTTACCGAAAGCCGCGTGACGCCACACATGGTCGAGCCAGCGGCGATGAGGCCATACACGCCAGGTTGGATGCAGGTAGCATTCGGCATCTTGCCACAGGTGCCCCAGACGCCCCAGTCTGGCGTGGCCATGACCACCCACTGGACAACGTGTCCAATGAGGCGGCCCATGAGACCGCCCACAACCATGGACGGAACGTAAATGCCGGCTGGGACTTTCTACTGACTGTCAGCAAAGTAACTGCAGAAAGGGAATCGCCAAGACTGACAATGCCAAAAGTGACGATGGTCAGCAACCCCTTGATTAAGAATGCCGCAAACAAGTTCAGCAGAATTGGCGGGATATCGTCGATCTCCTCCGGACAGAGTCCCAAATCCTCCAGGTTATTATCTCGGTCGTCGCACGGCGCCGCCAGGTTATACAGCAGCTTCGCCACGGGCAGCTTGGTAAAGACGTTCCAGTACCCAATCAGGCCCGTAACAAGCGCAACCAGCATTACCTCAAGCAAGGGATACGCCTTGATGACGGGGATGCGGCGGAAGGTTCTGGCCCAGTGCCTCGAAGCCTTGATGAACAAGGCGCCGGCGGCTCCACCCAAGACGCCCACCATGACGAAGCTGATGATCTCAAAGTACTCCCAATCCACGACGTACCGCACTTGGAACATGACAATCTTGTGCGTTCCGTACGGATTCAGAAACTTGAGCGTCAAGGCGGCCGTGATGCAGCAAAAGAAGGTCCGGAACAGCGTCTTGGCCGGGAAGAAGTAGGCCACCTCCTCCAGACCGAAGAGCACGCCGCCGAGCGGAGCGCCAAAGGCCACCGCAACGCCCGCCGCCGCCGCAGCCGAGAGGACCTCGCGTCTCTTGGCATCGTTGCGGTCATACTTTGAGAAGAGCCGGCACGCAATGTTTCCGACGCACGTAGCGATGTGCACGTACGGCCCCTCCTTGCCCAAGCTCAAGCCCGAGGCGACGCTCAAGATCAGGCCGATGGTCTTGATGATAAGTGTCTTGACACCCAAGAAGCCGTGCAGCACGAAGCCGCTGAGAATCACGCGCACCTCGGCCACACCGCTGCCGGCGGCCGAGTAGTAGATCATGGGCGGCGCCGGCTCTGTCTCGCGCGTCCGCCGGGGGCTGACCTCCGTTCCTTCCGCTTCATTCTCAGGCGGCGGCGCAGCTGCCTCGGCGGCAAGGTTTTCGTCCAAGGTCGTCAGCCGGTACGCCGAGGGCACGACCGTCTTTGTGGTGAGACTGAGCAGACACGACAAGCTGGCCAGCGTGATAACAGCGACGATGTAGACGACATACTCGGTCCACCTCTCGCCAAACGGAAACCCCTGCAGAACCTCGCCCCAATCGCGCCAGTCCGTGCAAAGACCGTGAGGGCAGCATTTCTACGGCAGACCAGTTAGCCAGCTGCAGCACCCTTACGAGAAGATGATGTCGACCAACCTTCTCACTGATCAACCACCCCCGCGCACAATACCCATCCTTGAAGTCAAAGACGGTCGCCTCGCTGACATTGACCACATATGCCAGCACAGCCACGATGAACCCGACGAGGGCGCTGAGCAGCCAGCCCTGTGCGCCGTCGAACAACACATGAACGCGGCCCCAAAAGTCCTTGCGGCTGCGCAGGGCCTTGACACGGTAGGCGTCGGCGATGCTATCGTGGACCCAGTCGGTCGAGGTGAACTGGTCGTACCAGACGCGGTCGTCTGGGTAGAGCAGCGAGCCCTTGGAGTCGGCCATGGACGACTCCTGCTGGCGGTCCGACAGGGCGTGCCTCAGGCGTGTGCCCCACGACTCGGCGCGGTGGTGGTGGCGGAGGGACTTGATGCTGTCTGTAAAAGGGAGCACGATGGTTAGCTTGAAAGGGACCAGGGAAATAGTTGGGGATGCTGGTGCGTTGGTTCACCCGGGGGAGCGCGTACCCGCATAACTCTGGTTTCTCGATAGGTTGGGTACCCCGGGCGAGCCCTGGGCGCTGTGGATGCGCATGCGCGATGTGCGTGGCCCGGCCAGGAGCGGCGAGCGCTCGTCTGGGGGCTCGGGGTTGGAGGGCCGCCTGCTCATGGTGGCTGGCTGGCGGCGGAAGCTCGTGGGTGAGCTGGGCAGCGAGAGGTAGTGGCCGTGTTGCTGCTGTTCAGCGCCGTTGTTATCGTTCGTGGTGACAACGTCGGGCAGACCAGGCCCGTGTCGTCTGCCTGTCATGTGCGGTGTGTGACGCGCCAAGATGGAGGACAGGGTCGTGGAACGCGGGGGCAGAGAGGTTGAGGTGTATGTTGCAAGGGCGTCGACGCCGTCACTGTCCGACTGTCGAGGGTCAGACCGGTCCTGTTACTATCAGTGATGCTTTTTACCATTCATCCAGGTACCCGGGGATAGAATGCCTAGAATCTTCCAATGATCGAGCTAAGTGATCCAAGGAACGACACACAACAACCGGGCAGAATTATTATGCCGCTAAATATTGTACAACTGGCGCTAAAAAGAAAAGGGAAAGAGACAAACAGCCAACCGCAGGCTAAACAGGAATGCAAGAGTAGGAAACGACAAGCAGCAGTGTTGCTGCGAGATGGCAGCCCTGAAGCTGGCCGGGATCCTTCTCCAGATGTTTGGGTTTGGGGAGCGGAGCAAGAGTGGAGGAGTGGCTCATGGCCAGATCCGCGGCTGTTGGCTGGTTGCCCAACCCCCACGTGCGCACCTCAATGTCTCACTTGGGGCATCATGGGTGCTGTGCTTGAGGCCAGAGGTAGCACAAGAGTGAGGGACAGCCGCTTTCGATGTAAGACAGTTTGAATGATGAATCAGAGATTGGTTCGCACTATGCTTCTGCTACTGGCTAAACGATGCTTTCGCGTGTGATAACATTCCGAATTAGTAAACAACGAAATTGGGACCGTGTCCGAACGTTTTCGATCGAAACAATCCGAAAAAATCAAAGCCATTGTTCAAACGGGCTCCAGGGGCATGCAACAATAAATCAGATGGGCGTCGGGTCGGTTCCAATACTGTGCGGTTATGTCATTGAGGCCCCGCCCATTGGTCACTTCTTCGGGGCGCTGCGGCGGTGGCACCCTCGCAGCAACCCCCGTCGGCACCTGAAACCACCGGGACCAACGGCCCTGATCCTTGAACAGCCGCCGAGTGCAGATGACTACGCCACAAAGCCGGAACAAAACAAAGATGCACAAAGTAAGCATCTGAAGACTCCAACGTAGTGGGTGGTGGTATCATGCCGTTCGGGGTGTTCCTCTTAAATGACACAAAGGAGAAAGATGGAGAACTGGAAAGGGAATGAAAAACCGCGGCGGGCAGTGCCCAAGTTCGCATCCTTCAAACCGAGTCCAACGCCCACTCCCGAGACCGGGCCAGACAGGCCGCGATCCACACCGCAGGAGGCACGGACTCGCGGGGAGGAGAAACGAAGGGCGGAGGATCGACGGCATGACGACCATCGGCGCCACGACCAGGAGTCTGGCCGTGACCGTGATCATGAGCGGGCACGCGACTGGCGTCCCCGTGCTGAGCGCGACCGTCATCGAGATGGCGACCGGAATAGGGAGAGTAGTCGAGACCGGCCAAGGGCTTATGAGCGGGGCCGTCATCGGGACCGTGACGGACGCCGCAGTCCAAGGCCCGCACCTAACCGGGAGAACGGCGACCTAAAACACCCTCCGGCGCAGAGAAACGACCTCTTCGTCATCGACAAGCGCGGCGACCCGCTGATCCTGCAGTACGGAACCAACGACCGATCCATAGTCCCAGCCTACTACCGCTTCGGCTCAGGCAGGATCATCGGTTCGCCCGGCTTCCTCACCATCCACCGCGACACAGCCCATGAGCAGTTCAGCATCAGAGCACCCGGCGAGGGCAGCGGCAGCGGCTCCGCCTTCGGCGACAAGGCCCTCGTCGCAGCAGCCAACCGCGTCGAGTCCAAGCGGATCAGGCCATCCTCGGACCAGCCGTCCGCACCACCACAAGACTTCATCCCCCTCGAACCCTCCCGCAAACGGAAACGCGGCTCCGAAACCCCGGAACCCCATCAATCACCGCCAGACTACCGCTCCATCTACATCAGAACCCACACCTCCTCTTCAACTCCCTCCTCTCTTTCCCCAGCTTCCTCCCGCTCCAGTTCCCCAACCCCCCAAGCCCCGAAACCCGAACTCACCACGACCCAAACCCGCGCGTCGGCCCTCTCATCCCACGTCAAATCCCACCCCTCCGACACCGCCGCCTGGCTGGCCCTCATCTCCCTACAGGACGCCCTCTTCGCAGAGAACCGGCCCGGTCCCAGGACGGCCGACGAGTCCCGCTCGCTGGCCGAGCTGAAGATTGGCTTGTTCCAAGAGGCTTTGGAGCATGTCTCGGACCCGGCCCAGAGGGAGGGGCTGATTCTGGGCATGATGGGTATGGGGCGGAGGGTGTGGGATGAGAAGGTGCTGGCCAGGAAATGGGATGAGGTGCTGGCTAAGGAAGGGAGTGGGAGTTGGGGTCGGGCTGAGTTTGGGTTTGGGCTGTGGAAGGGGAGGTTGGATTTTGAGATGGGGAGGGTGGCGTCTTTTGTCCTGGACGACGTGAAGGGGATGGTGACGGCGAAGTTGGCTGAGCTGGGGGAGGTGCTTGCCAAGATAGCGGGTAGCGAAGGAGAGGAGGAAGAGGTATGTGAGGAGGTGGTTTATCTGTTCTTGAGGCTGACGAGGCTATTGTGGGATGCCGGGTTTGGGGAGCTGGCGGTTGCTGCGTGGCAGGGACTGTTGGAGATGACGTTTTGCCGGCCGATGGGCGAGTTGAGTGCTGAGGCTGCCATGGAGTCGTTTGGCGAGTTCTGGGAGAGCGAGGTCGCACGGATTGGGGAGGAGGGAGCCAGGGGCTGGAAGCGGTTTGCCGAGTCGGGCCAGGACACGACTGATTCGCCTGAGCCAAGGGTGGAGAGTGCCGGCGTGGTGCCCCAGGCGGCGGACCCCTTCAAGACGTGGGCGGCGGCGGAACAGCAAGCGACTTCAAGGGCGCGCATGCCGGCGAGGACGCTTGATGAAGGGACCGAGGACGATCCGTTTAGGGTCGTCATGTTTTCGGATATCAAGGACTATCTCGTGTGGTTTCCGTCCGCTGTGCTTGCGCGGCTGAAGCCTCTGCTAGCAGACGCATTTTGCGTCTTCTGCGGGCTTCCAGCGGCTGGGCTTTCAGGGGTGAGATTCGCCGCTCGGTTAAAGGACCCATTCGTTGCAGGTAACGAACACAGACACGACCTCGGCCTTAACAGGGTCGATTCCGGGGCAACACTAGATCTCTCACGGCGAACCCCTGAATTCACGCAACAAGGTGACAGCATGGCCGTGTCACCTGAGGTGCTGTTCTCCGGCGATTCGTGGTTCCGGTACCTTGACAAGTGGTCAAATCAGTCAGGTGATAGACAGGTCGAAATGGCCTGGGCGCTGTGCACGGTCGGCTACCTTGTCAAAGACTGCGGAATGGAGACCCTGGCAGAGTACTATTTGGCCATGGCATGGCTGAACGAGCCTACTGAAGCGAGGAAGATCGCAAAAGGGCTGCTGAAGCAGTACAGCTCCAACATCCGCCTCTACAACGCATATGCCCTAGTCGAGTGGGCGAACCGGAACACCGAGGTTTCTCACAAGGTCCTGGCTTCAGCGACTGGGCTGGCACAGGTAAGTGACACGTTCCAGAACCGCTGACCGCACACTGACGCATCATAGCCATCAACCCCCAGCAACAGCCAGCTGCTTTGGAACACATGGGCCTGGATCCACCTCGAGTCCGGCCAGAAGGAGATGGCCTTGGTCCGTCTCTGTGCTTCCGTGGATAGGGACTTCCACTGCTCTGCCGTTTCTCCGGCCCTGCTCCTCAAAACCAAGTCGCACCTCTCCAACACCCGAGACTATTCGCTGTCTTCCCAGCAGCTGGAGACAGCGGCACGCTATGCCGAGGGCCTGATGCTGGTGGAGTATCTCGCCGGCGAGGAGTCGGGTACTGAGCCGGCTTCCGAAACCCAAGGCAACATCACTGCTGCTCTCTCAACCATTCACGCCTTCTCGCGAAAGCTCGGATCCCGTAGCCTAAGCCAGTCCACCCACCACGAACGCCTTCTCCAAACCGCCGCGCGATTACTATACCACCATGCAACCCATGGGTAAGCCTCCTCTGGACCTTTCTTTCTTCGTGACCCGTACTCACTAGGTACTAATCAAACCCTCACAGCCCCTATCGCCCAAACTACCTCGCGTCCCAACTCCAAGCCTTCATCGCCCTCTTCCCGCGCAATGCGATATTCCTCTCCCTCCTCGCCTGGTCCCAGCCCTCGCCGCGCATCAACGACCCCGTCCGGGCCACCCTCCAGTCCGTCTCGCTCTCCGCTGCTCACGACTGCCTCAGCACGCGCCGCTTCGCCATCCAGCACGAAGCGCGCCTCGGTACCGCCCATTCAGTCCGGGCGGCCTTTGAGGCGGCGCTGGATAGCGAGGCGTGCAGGGCGAGCGTCGAGTTGTGGATGGCGTACATTCGGTTCTGCTGTGCTAACAGCAAGGAGTTGAGGGGTAAAGCGAAGGAGGTGTTTTATCGCGCCATTGGGGCGTGTCCGTGGGCGAAAGAGGTGCACATGTTGGCTTTTGGGTTGCCGTTGGCTGGGGAGCTGGGCGGGTCGGAGTTGAGGGCTGTCGTGGAAACGATGGTGACCAAGGGTTTGAGGGTCCATGTGGATTTGGGGGATTTCATGGCCCAGTGGGGGCAGCGGAGGGATGGGAGATGATTGCGTTATACGGAGGAATTCCGAGAAGTCAGATACATCGCTAGCGGCAGCCGGCTTGGGTTGTGTTGTGACGAGCATGATAGATCAGCTAGCTTCCTATTTAAGACTCACTTGGCCCTCGTCCCGTTGCGACGCGACGCAGTGTCCCGTGCCCTCACATTGAAGCGTCCCAAGCTCGAGTCGGCTTGTATGAGATGTCGGTTAGGCTTACGACTAGCCAACCTCGTACTTGTACCAATCCCAACAAACATCGAAGGCAACCATTGCTTTCCTTCCCAGGTACACACCAGACATGCTCTCACAAGAAACCATGAGACACGAATATATCCCGAACAAGAAAGCACCCAGGAAACACACGCTCCGTGAATAGGTCACTTTCTCAGCCGCTCTGCCAGCCTCAGGCGCGCATGGCTTACATACCCGCTCGTCCCGTTGCCACCTGCTGAGCAGGAGCTTACTCCGTCGTTGCTGTGATTGGCCGGGGGGCCTTGCAGCTGCAGATTCAGCCCCTGATCTCTTTCAGCTGAGGCGGTTTCAGGTCTTCTTTGTTCTTTCTCCCTTGCCATGCCCCAAGCAATTATTGGTTCGGTCGATCAGAATATAATAATAGGGGCAGGCTGGACAAATCGGCCGGAGGTTTGGGTGTCAGGGGGATGAAGGCTACGTCAGTGGATTCAGACTCGAGACACTCGCGAGCATGTCTGTCTGCTCGAATAAAGCATCAGCAATACACGAGCGAATTCCATGTCCTATTTCCTGTTCATTTTAGGAACATAAGACGTAGCTGGTAGAAGTCTAGCTACCTGGCAACACGACATCTCTATACAGAGCAGATAGTAACTCACACGTAGTTCATGATCTGCAACCTCGCGAACGCCGACAAATGCCAACCAACACCAGGACAACCCCCCGCCCCAAGCACTCACACTCCGACAGACCAGTTGTCACCTCCGGGACAGCCCAGCCACATCCTGAGTACATCACCGCCACCCAACCGCGACCTCCTTCATCACCCGCCCTATCAGTCCCAATACCTCGGCCCATCACGACGCGGCTTCATCGCCCAGTTCTTCGTCCGAAGCTTCTAGCTCCGGGCTAAACTAAGCAGCCCGCTCGCGGCCCCTCCCCTGCCCTCAAGATCCTCCTCCTCCATACGCTCATCATCCACCCTACTACTACCACCCACTCTCCGATACAGCTCCCCCACCTCCGTAGCAGTACGTGGCCGGGGTGGTATACCACCAGCCCCGGAATACCTCGGTGCATCCTCATACCTGCGATTCATCAACTCCGACTGCCGCCGCTGGTGCTGTTGGTGGTGGTGTTGGTAATGCTGGTGCCGTTCCCGCCGCTCTTGTTCCCGTTCCAGCCTGGCCTGCTCCAGGACTTTCTCCAACGCTCTCGCGGCCGGGCCCAGCTCCCGCTCCCGCTCCCGCTCACGTTCATTGCCGTCCACGCTGCCGTTGCTCCCCCTTCGGACCGGCGCATCGGGTAACGGTCTTCTCCTGCCCGCAACAGCAACAGCAGTGGCAGATGAGGAGGAGGTGGAGGTGGAGGATGCGCCGGGAGGTGGGAAGGAAGCCGACACCGACGTTGGGCCATGGTAGGCGTCCTGGAGCCGGTGGCGGCTCTGACCCTGGTCGTCTGAGAAGGACCTCGCCCGCGAGAGACCCGGGCCTCGAGAGGGTGCCGCAAGGTGTCTCGCCTCTAAACGGTCCAGCGGCACGTCCGTCTGGCCGGTGCGTACTTTGTAGCTGGCTAATCCGAGGCGGAGGCGGAGGATTTCTGCCTTCTGTTTTCATCACGACAGCGATTAGTGTATCTGTCTTTTCATCATCAAGTTCTGGGTGGATGGCCAAAGCGGGAGGGGACTGAAAAGCGAAGTTGAGGCCATGGTGGCTGTTGGAGGCTGACGGAGAGGAGCGGGAAGGGGGAATGTAAACCTTACCTCTCTGGTTTGCTCCCGTGTCAACCTCGAATTTGAACGCGGCACCGGTGCTGCGGCAGGTGGTGGTACTGTTAGTGCCGGTGCTGAGGTATCCGGCTCGGTGAGAATGGTCGCCTGGGAGGTGTCGACTGCCGACGTGTCGAACACAGACGGACTATCCGGAGAGACAGAGCGGCGACGGGTTGTGGTAAAAGCAGTAGTTCGGGCCGTGGATGTCGAAGATGGCGGAGACTTTGACAGAGGTGGGTGTTAGCACCCTCAGGAAGGTGATGTGGTAGACAAAATCATAGTTACCTCCTCCCGACGAGGTCGTAAGTCCTCCCTCGTGTTGTGGTCGAGACAAGGCCTCTTCGGCACAGGCTCGCTGCTCAGTGCCTCATGCCGTGTGGCGCGCGACACGTTATCCCGGGAAGCCGGAGTTGGAGAGCGCCGTTTCCGCGAGTCGGTCGCCTTCTGCGGTGAGCTCGACGGCGACGACGCCGACACCATCGTGTCCATATGCCGGGGACCAGCAGTCTTAATCTTTACCGGGCTCAGCTGCGCTGACAACACCTTGGCACCGCTCCTGACCTTGGGCGAGCACGCGTTGGGGTCGAGCGCACCCAGAGCGCGACGTTTGGCGGGCGATGCCTCCATCTCGGCAACCAAAACTGGGTTGACAGAGGCCCAGTCCAGTGGTAGCCGGCAGTAAACGAAAGGATGAACAAACGGCTGGAACCGGAGAGTTAAGGACCAAAAGAGCGGAGGGGTGAATGTTGGTGATGCAGAACGGATGAAGGGTCAAAGAAGACCAGCACACGTCGAATAACAACCGAATGTGCTCCTCCGTAATATCCTCTCACCCGTCGGTCAGGCAGTCCCATGTCCACAACAGCAGCGGAGTCCAACGCGTCGTGTGGATGGCCTGCCCCTGTAGTGAGACACGAAAAAGCAGAGACGCTTCCACGTCTCTAACTCGATCGGTAACAGTCAGCCGGGTGGAGCAAAGCAGCCCAAATCAGGCAATTTGTTAAATACGCGTAGACGCGTCGGCAGCTCAACCCTTGACCACCTCTTAGGGTTGAGAAAGGAAGGAGGGCCCGCAAGATCTGCAAGCGCCTACTCAGTAGCTCAGTAGCAAGGGTCCAACGCGCCGCGCTTCATGTGTGGGCCCGCTGCAGGAACCGCGACTTTAAATCCTCCATACCTTACTAAGTATGAATCTGAACAAAACCACCAACCTGCATCGTATACCAAACACACAACATGTGCCTGGGAACTGTCATCACTTTGGTGTGTATTCATTATTGCGCCTTACAGATTCACCCCAATCTATCCATATAGAACAAAGAGACAGGCCAAAGATAAGACGGGCACGTCCAACCCCCGTCACCATACCTCCTTGACAAACGATGCATACACAATATCCGTAAAAGGGGTATCGCCACCCTACCTGCCTTACCAGCCTGCCTGGTCATTTCCCCGAGAAGAGCAGACAACCCCCATTCCGACCTGAAACTCCTCCATAGGCCCACAAGCACCAAACCATGACCGAGGCCCAAAAAGACAACCCACGAGGTAAATGGAAAAAGAAAAGGAGCAACTTAATGAAAGATAGAGAGGAGAAACCAAGAGGAAAACCAGCCCCCAAAGTAGCCTTCCACAACCAGCAGGATAAATAAATCATCGGAAAAAGACAAACGCCAACCCTCCTCTCCCTAAGAATGCACCGCGTTTCGTTCTGTTGCAAGCTCTCGTGTTCTCATCATCCCCAATCTATCCTCCCCCGTTCAGACCAAAAGGCAGAAAGGATCACACACGATCCAAGACCCCAAATCGAGCCATTAAGACCCTCTGTTTTTCTCCTTCCAGCTTCCCTCAGAGACTGGCATAAAGCGACTGATCCACCTTGAACGGCTTCCCCAGGTCCCCATTCTCCCTGAGCTGATCAGCCTGAAAATCAAACAGCCCCTCGCCCGCAAACATATCCACGTCGGCCGAAGGCGACCCAAAGTGCTCGACACTGATATTGTTCATGTCCCACAGCAGGTCGCTGTCGATCGGCTGCCACTGGAGGTCAATATCCAGTCCTGCCGTCTCGGCGATGTCGCTATTGTTGGATGACTCCGACACGCCGCTCTCCTTGCTCGCCGACGAGTCGGGCGTGTCGTCATCGTTACTGGGCGTCCGCGACCGGTACGTGCCAAAATCCGCTACGAAGCTTCCCGTGACGGCCTCGAGCGACTGCTCGAGCCCGGCGAACAGGTCCTGGGGGTCGACCGTCGAGTTGGCCCACACGTCCTCCGCACCACCAGGTGGCAGAGCCTGCTGCGTAGTTCCCGCCGCCCCCTGCTTGCTGTTGATGTTGTTTTCAGGTGTCGTCATCTGCCAGCCGGGGGTACCGGCGCTTTCGCCTGACTTGGTGGTGTTGGTGCCTGCCGCGCTGCCGTTCCGTTGCATCGACGTTGTCCGAGACATGAGTTGCGGCCCCGGCTGCTGGCCTTGTTTGGAAAGAGTGACGCTCATGGGTCGCGCCGCCGGGGCAGGGACGCCCTCTTTGCTGGGAGGTGCAATCGATTTGCCTTGGGCATCTAGACCTAAGGCAGCTCCCATATGCTCTCGCAGGAAACCGTATGAATTTTCATACGGTTTGATGTGCTCCTCCTGACGATGAGCATTGAGCGCTTCCTCCGTCGGGAATCCGATTGAGCCCATCTCGCATCCGGGCTCCAAGCACGTGAGTTTGGGCGGCGCTGGTTTCCTGGAGGCCACGGGCGACTGCACGTCGACCTGCGGCGATGACGAAGTGGCAGCCTGTTGCTGGGAAGCAGGAGGGGGAGCAGTAGGGGATACCTTGCCGGTCCCGATCTTGGCCTTCTTTCGGGCAGGGGGAATGGCCAGGTTTGCCTGCGTGATACGAGACTCGCCGAAATACTCGGGATTCCCGGCGGGCGATTTTTTGCCAAACGGGAACGGCGGCTGGGTGGTCGTTGGCGCCGCCGGAGCCTGCGCAGGCTTGGTAGTTGCCCGGTTCTGCGCCTGCCTGAGGGCCTCAGTCTGCTTCTCAAGGTTCGCGGCGCTCAAAGGCGATGACTGCGGGACCTGGCTTCCGCCAGCGGCCGACTCCTGACCCCCTACTCTCGGCCGCGTGGCGATGAGGTCCTGCTGGATGCTGTCGAGCATGTTTAGGAACTGATCCAGCTCCTCCTTGGATATGGTCACCGCGTCCCGCATTCTCGTCAGTTTGTCGGCGTCGTGGAACTGCTGAACCACCTTGCTCCGCTAGCGAAAGCGTTAGCACATCTGCCGCACGTTGGTCACAACGGAAGAGTCAACACATACTGTCTTGAAGAACATCCTCGCCCGCGAGTCATCCTTGGTGACACGGTACCACGTTGCAACGGCTGGGCCACGGAGCTGCAGTATTCGCTCGGCAACCTTGACGAGCTTGTGGCGAGCCTCTTGCACATCTGCGGGCGCCCTGGGAATCTGAGCTTCCCTTTGGCTCTCCTGGACCCCCTGCGAGGAACCCTCGTTCGCAAGCCGCTTCAGTCGAGTGATTGTTTCATCTTCAATCGGGTTCCCGCCGCTTCGGTTACGCATTACAGCGGCTCTTAGTTCTGGCGTCAGGCTTGCCATCTGCTCCGGCGTGATCTTGTCGAGCTGTCCTGGCGAAGCCTTCATGATCTGTTCCAAGGTCGGCCTTGGGCCCGTGGCAACAGTCCGGGCCTCTGGCTGAGGAGCAGACCGTTGAGCAGCATTGCTCGTCTTGGCAGGCACGTCGTTCGTGTCACCTGGGCTCGGTCGTTTCAGACTCTTCGGTATCGACGCAGGCGAAGGGTTTAGGGGCGGCCGAGCAGCCTTGAACCTCCCCAAGGCGGGAGCAGGCGCCGCTTCCGCTCCCGAAGGTCCCGTAGGCTTCGGTTGAGCGGCCTGTTGCTGGGCGCCCTGTGGCGCACTCGGATGCGGTGCAGGAGTGACCACGCCCAATTGGTTGTTTGGAGTTGGAGGCACCGGCACGCCAGCTGTCGGGATCCCAACAATCGAATTGACGTTGGCCCTGGCTTGCTGGGTTTGCTGGAACTGCTCCCAGGCCTTTCTCGCATACCCTTCCTGCCTTGCCATTCTCAAAAACTCAATCAGGATCTCGTCTGGCATGCCCTGGAAACGCAAGTTCTTCTTGCGGGCGGAATCAAGGTCTTCGGGCGTGACGTGGGAGATATTAGGCGGATAAGAGTGCCCGGGGGGTAATACTTGTGGCTGGAAACTCGGCTGCTGGGCCCCGGGCCCGTTCTGCGGCTGAGGTGTGGCAGCCGAGGGTATGGGCGTCCGTCTCTTTTCCAGTACCGACTTGAACTGCATTACCTGAATGTTGTTGAGCATGGTGTGCAAATTGGCAGGGACGGCGGCGGGGTTAGTTTGAAGTAACTGTCTAAGTTGGCCCCATTTTCGTATTTCGGCTGGTAAATTCACCCTGAGAAGCACCTGAGGAGGAATGTCCATGTTGTTCATCGCTGCCCGAGCCTCTGGGGTGGCAAAAATTTGCATGAGCTGCCCCCTTTCTGCGGCTAGTTGCTGGTTCTGCAGTACCCCCGGCTGTGCCGCGGATTTCATCGCGCCGTTGCCGTTCTGAATCGGGTTAACCACGGCAGCCTGATTCTGGCCGCTCAATTGATTCGGCTGGAGCTGGCCGCGGACTCCAGGAGTCAGTCCAATCTGGGGGCCCTGGAAACCGCTGGCTGTCGCGCGTTGGTTTTCTTGCAGTTTTGCGTAAAACTCCCTCATTGCCGCATTCTCTGGCACCCCGCCCATGGCAGCTCGAGCTTCGGGGTTGACGTTTGGCACCATTCCTGCCATAGCCGCATTATTCATGTTGCCTTGGAGCGACGGCGGCCTCGTGTTGTTCACATGGTTGAACTGCGGGTTTAAAGTTGTCGCCATTGGCGGATTGCCCACGTTCATTGGCTGCCCGTTGGCTTGGCCCATAGGCACGGGGGGCTGCCGCATCGGCGCGTTGAGCGTGTTCATTGCCGGACTCTGCGAAGGCTGTGCGGGGGGGGTCGGCGTCACTATGGCCGCAGGCTGGCCTTGCATGGGCCGGCGAGGAACCGCCTGGACTCCCGGCTGTGCCTGGACCTGGGCCGCCGTAGTAGGGTCGATATTGACTTGCGGGACGCCGAAGGTCTGCTGTACTTGAGCGGACCGCGGTGTCTGGTTCAGCCCTTGGCTACCCGGCGTAGGGTGTGGCGGAACGCCCACCATGGGACTCGCAGTTGGATTCCGACCAGGAGCGGTGCTAGCGGGGACAACCATCTGCCCGGCTTGCTGCGCGCGTAGGCCCATCTGATGGTCGGCACGGATGCTCTCTATGTTCGGGGCAAACGCCTTGCCATCAGCCATGGCCGCTTGCTGAGGGAGGGTGCCAATAAGAGCGGGATTCATCTGGCCCTGGTGCGCTCCTTGCGGCATCATGTTCAATGGAATGCCTGGTCGGTGCTGCATCAGGTTTCGCGACTGCGCCGCCCTAGCTTGCTGCAGCTGCTGGAGCGCGTGGTGTTGATAAAAGACAAAGACAGGGTTGATACCCTTGGCAGCGCATTCCTGGAGTTGGGCCTGATTCCACTTCTGCTGCATCAGCTGCCGAACCTGATTCTTAGTGGCTTCGTTCGCCCGATCCATGAACTGCAAGGCGAGGTCGTTGACCGCGGTCCTATCTTGCTCACCCAACCCTCTCAGGGGGTCGAGCTGGAAGGTGGCTGGCTGCCGCGGTTGCTGTGCCACCTGCATCGGGAATTGGCGCTGATCGAGTCTGTTCTGGAGCATGCCTGGACCGGCCATCCCCATCGGTGGTGGTTGCTGCGGAATGCCAGAAACCTGCATTTGGTTCGGCATGGGCTGAAACCCATGTTGGGCGGGCTGTCCCATTGCGCCTCTCGCGGCCATCTGGTTCAGTAACATCTGTTGCCGCTGCTGTTGGGCAGCTAACTGGGCTTGTCTCGCGGCTTCGTTGCTGAGCTGATTTTGAAGATCAGGAACGTGGCCTTGCCTCCGCTTGTGCAATTCCCCAACTTTACGCTGGATAGCGTGGTCATAGGATTGCTACGCCCGTGTCAGTCAGTGTGACATTATTTGTTACCATGTATGCGGCCCGCTTCGCCTACCTTATCTGGTGACTGCATAAATGCCTTCTTCTCAGTATCCATCGCAGACTGGAAGAGCTTCTGCCAGTCCATGTTGGGGTATGCTAAGATCGTGCTTGATACCCTGTGAAGCCGTTCATTAGCCCTCTGTTCAAATTACCCACTTGAATGCTGCCAAACAAGTCAAGGAAAGACTCGACAGCCGAAGGCAATTCGAAAAAGAAACACGCTTCGTACAGATTAAGGGCTCTCCCGAAACGATCGCTGATGCTGACGCCGCTCTGCCATGAGTTCATAGGTGCCATGCTCATGCTCTGCATCAGATGGCTGTAAACAAGATGGTTCAGTTGTTTGCCCGGCCCACCCTGCTGCTGCTGCTGTTGTTGTTGTTGTTGCTGCTGCTGCTGCAGCATCATTATCTGGCCGTTGGAGACCATCTGCGGTATGTTGGCGGCCATGGCCGCGGACAACTGGCTGATACAGAATTGTTCGTGCCTTTACGCAGTCAGGCCAGGGAAAGCGTGACACTAGTGCGGAAAGTAGCGGATAGAACGGCGCCCGTCCACTCAATGGAAAGCCCGCCTCTCCGCGACGAAAATGCCACCAACGCCACGCCCTCCACTGGCAAGGCTCGGCAACTAGCCGGAAATCGTGTAGCGTGGACGGCAAGGGCCCATATACACAAGAATAGCGTGCTGAGACCGTAAACGCAGAAGCGCAAGGTCGAACAACAGCACCGCCACAGCGTGGGCAGTCTCAACCTAGCGAGCAGTGTGCAAACCAAGCCGTTGACGTGGGCTTCTCGATTCGTTCACAAGCCAAAACTCGTCGAAAGCGAGCTTGCGATACGTATGTGCAGCGATCTCATCTGTTAAGATGGCGGGCACTCGGAGACACGAATGGCTAGAGTCGTGATCTGGGTGGTATGGAAGGTTGATGGTTGGTCGCCGGTACTAATGCACGAGAGCAGACGGTGCGGCAGGATCGCGTCGGGCGTCCGAATGGTCGAGAAGGTTCCCGTCACTCTGTCTCTGACGAGGGTATTCCTTCGTGTTTGGCTGACGTGGTCGAGTCGGAGGGCTGGATAACCAGGCGGGCTCGGTGATGGCGGCGGGTGAGGAATATCGATCCACGAAGATGACGGCAACGAAAACCGAGAAGCCAAAAAGTCAGGGCACCAAGCGGAAGCAAGAAAGTGAAAGCGAAGATGAAGATATATAACGAGCACTTAAAATCAAGCCGAAGCACGACAAGAGAATTGTCGTAGAAACTGGCACTGAGCCTGGGTCTTGGGAGGGAGTTGCGGGTGCCTGGTGTGGGCGGCGTGATGAACCAAGAAGTGGGAGGGAGACGATGAAGCGGGATGGGAAGGGGAGAGATGGGACTGGCGCGAGGATGTGGGCTGCAAAACCGCCAAGCCTTCTGCTGCTGGGCGGTTAAGTGGGTCCACGCCCAAAGCCAAGACCAGAAATGGAGGCCAAGGCCAAACCTTCTTGCAGCGGTGCCAGCGAGGGTGCGAAGACAGTTGTGCGCCCGTCGTTCTCATGGCAAGCTCTTAGGGTCATGGGGACTTAAAATGAGATGCCCTTTTTGAGTGTCCTTTGGCCCACGATCAAATGCCAGGCAGGCCATGCGTTGACTGAGTTCATACGTAAGAATGGGCAAAGATTTCAACTACAGCTACTCGGCAACTCCCGATACGTTGACGAATGGACCTCCGCATCAGAGCTAATTTGGAAGCTAGCGACAATTGCTTCAGCACATTTCGTCCCGACTCAGCTGTCCAGTGAGACGTGCGATATGAGAATGCAACGGTCGGGGTATCAGGCCTTGCACGGAGTAACGGCCGCAGGGAATGGCCTCGTCTGCTTTCGTCCCATCCAGAACGGATCACGAGCTGGCCGCGCGTCAACAAGCCACTACCGAACGGCAAGAGCCTGCAAAAGCGCTACTATGGTATGCTGTATGCCTCTCATGTCTTTGTGAGTCTTTCTCTAGATTCTCGTCGATCTTCCTCTATCACTGCCGCCTTTTGCTCTTTCAGTAACGGTACCACAATTGGGCCACACGTGAAGCCAAGGCTGACGGGATGGTGGCCACTCGGACGGCAGGGCAGCCACTTCGCTACACACTCATCCCAGCCAAACCTCTCGAGCTTCGACTTTCCGCAAATTCTTCTGCAGCTTTGATCGAGGTGTAATAATCTGGGTCTCAAATACTGATTATTGGGGTGCTGGAGATGAGCTTCTCGACATCAATAATGGATTTTCAGGTTGCAAGTGGCAGTTTGCAGCTCCCATAGCCCGCCCCAAAAAGATCAGAGCCAGGATGGCCGCTCAGCCACCTGGACCCACTTGGCCGCCAGGCCAGTTTCGGGCGTTGCGGGTGATCTTCAATCCTCGCGCGGGAGAAGACCAACGAAGTTCAGCACATCCAGATCAATTGGAGACCAACCGTCATTATTGTATACTCAAGCATCCCATCTATCTCAGCCACTGATGAAGAGGGAGGGGATTCCAATCGTTCAAGGATGCCAGTTCGTGGCTACCTTTGGCAATTCACCGTGCAATCATCAATGTCACTAGCACATCCGGACCCACTTCGGCAGCCGTTCTGGGATTCAGTCTGGGCACCCTGCGTCCCCGGATGCCCTCTCTTAAAGATCACTGTGTATCCCTTGGAGATATTTCACGCATTGCGGCGGCATCAGTCTAGCCCATTGTCAAGGAAGTCAATAAAGCCAGCTAAACACTCCAGGAGCGATTATGACTGTCGGACTTCATCTTTCGAAGCACACGGTCACGAGTCAGCAAAACCAACATGTATCGAACTCGTATAGTCCAATTCAAAGCCCACAAAACAGGTAACACTCTTTGTGCGATGTCACTTCGAATGCCTCTCCTGTCCCTACTCTCTTCCTTGCTTCCCTTCGAAGTTGAAAGGGCGGGCGATTGCGCGGAAAAGGGAAGCAGTACTTAGGTGGCTACACAAGGCAATGTCAAGATTGGGTCGTCCCCTGCGGAACGACAACAACAAAACAAGCACGCAGCCGGCCTGCCCCCTGCAGCCCTTCTGCAGCGCTCACCAGAAGCTCACGCAGATATTATTGTCTCTAAAATAAAGTGAAAAGGACTCGTGAGAACAACTCATCCACGGGCCGGCCGCCTGCGACGGCCTTCCTGGGCTGGATTTGACTGGACGATGTTCGGGTTCTCATGTTCCTCTACCCCTATATTCTTATTGCTCTTGGCCTCTTGCCCCTAGACATGCTCCTGACCGCAAGGTTGAGGTTGTCATTGCAGCGTCGAGGCTTTGATTACAGGAGCGGACAAACAGGTGATGGACTCGGGGCCCGCTCAAGCGAGCCTGATGCCGGCGGCAACAGAAATGGTGAGCAGGGCAAAATGACAATCTGCCTTCGGTTGGGGGTTAGCTAACTCGTCTAGGTTTCTAAGAACGGCGTCTTATGTGGTGCTGTTAGTTGTTAGTCCGTCAGTCAGGAGGAGTTTGTTGACGGACAGTGTGCACCTGGAAGATCCTGTCGAAGTTGTGAATGACCAGGTCTGACTTTCTCCATAAGCTTCAGTAAAAGCACAGCAACAGTACGAATAGAAGGCCGTATCGTCTGCTCCACATACCGGGGACCGTCTGACCACAGGAACTCGCCCATCTTGCTGGCATCAGTGCTGCGATATCTGCAGAGTCTGCAACCAACGCGCTGGGTAAAGCGTACTTGTATAGATAGGGCTGCGTGCATCGAAGATCAGCCCAGCCCAGCCCGAATTTGATACGGGTTTCTGCTGGATCTGCTGGACAAGAGCAACAGCCTCAAATTGAGGTGGCATCGCATCTGTTTGAATGCGACATCAAGGGCCACACGCTTGTCGCTTCTGGAACGTGCTGTAATTAACCCTGTGCTTCGGGCTCCCGTGACTTATCCGCCGGCCAATCACCCCACCCACCTTGACTCGGTGGGCAAATGTGGGGTTATCCGTGGCGTTGGAGAGACGAGAATAGCAATGGGAGAGACTGGTGGGTTTAAACCATGCTCCGCAAATCGTGGGCTATAGCGGGCTTGAGATGGAAAGGACGCCTGGTCTTCTCCATGGATTGGATTGTCTGTCGAAATCGAATGCTAGGTTGGAATAGCTGGTGGTGAGTCGGGGCGGGATGGATGCGGGAGGAGCCTGGATTGGGCCCCTCGGAGGAGACCAGTCTGGGAGGAGACCAGGGCCCTTTGTCGATTGGGCGCCAACTGCTTGTTCAAGCTTTCCGGATCCGCTCATTGGCAGGCCATCTGCCAGACGCACATCAAGACGATCAGACTCATAAGGACAGACGTGCTGATGAGTCCAGAGATGCTCGTTCATTTTCACACTTTCAGATGTGTCGATGCACAAGTAACTGCAAAGGGAAACAACGCCTACGCCGTCTATCCCGAATCCTTGATGACCTTCGATCCTGGGTACACGATGTGTCTTGCGGCGCTTTGCAAGTCTCAATGTGGCCGTCCAAGCCGGACAGCCTGCAGTGTTACGTCGTATTGACGCAAGGCTATGCTGAGAAGACTCTCTTCAGACACCTGCTTGGGAAGCCAGCTCTCCATAGACTCCTGCCTAGGCGTAGTTGGACCGGCGGGATGCCCTGGTTAACAGCGGCCTGAGCAAGTCTGAAGGAGACCAACCTTTGCGCAACGACATCGGGTGCCTGCTAACGTTCCCGAGCTTCCTTGTCCCGAGCTCCCTTAGAACCGTGTCAGTGCAGAAGGCGTGTCATCCGGCCGACGAGGCAGCCTGTTGTCGGTAACTTGTACAATACCTACTCATGCCTGGCTGGCTCCTTCTTCCAAGCTTCAGCGAACGCAGCTGTGGCTGCGACAAGGTTGGTCAGGCGGCCAGTGCGTCCATTGTTGATAGGAGGACTGCTACATCCCATTGTAATGAATCTCCCGCCATTGTTGAGGCCATCGTCAAGCTGAATCTGTTGCCATCTGGCATAGGACACCGGGTGGACTGAACTCCGCTTGACCCCGAGCTCGTTCCAGGTTGAAGCGGAGCAGAGCGGCAGTGACGTGCCGACGCTAAGAGACACCGGAAGTGGGGCTGCATTGGTATTTCTAAACTTCTTATTGGCTGAATGTAAACTGGTCCTTGCTGCTCTGATTCAATCCGGAAAATGCGAGTTCGAGATGTTGAGTTGAAGCCAGATCTGTACGGAGTGAGTACCTTAGTTTGGTCATAGGGAATGGGACTTAAGACATCTTGGTACCTTACAGTGTCAACCAATCTGACTGGGAGGACATTTTGCAGGCATCAGAGACCTCGAAGTCGTCCCGAATGAAGCCCCACCCTCGCCGCTCAAGTGGGCCGTCGGTGACGCCTCAATTCAAAGGAGTCTGGTGCATCTGATTTGGAGAGGGGACCCGACCCACGTTGATAATCAAGAGGAACCGTCAGGTCCCCAGGTTTGTGCGCGGGATGGCCTCCTCCCCCGCAACACATGTCAATGTCTGCATGCTGGGCAGAAGGGCCTTCTCAACCGTGTATTCGCGACAGGCTGTGTTTTGCCCATCTGCCTCGCTGCTTGTGCGGTGCGATTCCAGAGCTGGTCGTGTGACTCTGACCTCAGGACGCCGCTGGTACAGCTCCTCACCTCCCGCTTCTGCGTCCACTGCCAGCCAAGTCCCCGCCAAGATGGCTCCCCCAACAACTGCCCTCGAATTTCTCGATTTTGTCAATGCCTCGCCGACCCGTAAGCCTCCCAGGTTGGTAACGCTATCGTGTATCATACGCTGACCGCAGCCACTTCCCCTTAGCCTACCACGCCGTCGCCGCCTCAGCTTCGCTCCTTGAGGCTGCCGGCTTCACCAAGATCAAGGAGCGCGACAGTTGGGCCTCAATCGTCAAGCCCGGCGGCAAGTACTATCTCACTCGAAATGGCTCGTCGATTGTGGCCTTTGCCGTCGGCGCTCTCTGGAAGCCGGGCAACCCCATCGGCATGGTCGGAGCCCACACAGATTCGCCCGCTCTCCGCGTGAAGCCCGCCAGCAAGCGCACTGCGAACGGCTACCTCCAGGTTGGCGTCGAGACGTACGGCGGTGGCATTTGGCACAGCTGGTTCGACCGGGACCTGAGTGTGGCCGGCCGGGTCCTGGTGCGGGAGGGCGAAGGCGAGGGTAACTTTGCGCAGAAGCTGGTTAAGGTCGACAAGCCCATCCTGAGGATCCCAACTCTGGCCATCCACCTCCACCGGCAGACGAACTTTGATCCCAACAAGGAGGACGAGCTGCTGCCCGTCGCCGGGCTGGCCGAGGCCGAGCTGAACAAGGCCGCCGAGCCCGAGGCCGAAGGCGAGAGTGAATTCCAGCCCCTGAAAGCCCTACCCGAACGGCACCACCCAGCCTTCCTCTCCCTCGTTGCGGCAGAAGCCGGGGTCGACGTCTCCCAGATCGTCGACTTTGAGCTCATCCTTTACGACACCCACAAGGCCTGCCTTGGCGGCCTTAACGACGAGTTCATCTTCTCCGCCCGCCTCGACAACCTCAACATGACCTTCTGCAGCATCAAGGGTCTCATCTCCTCCGTTACCTCCACCCCGCTCGACAACGACACCAGCATCCGCCTGGTAGCCTGCTTCGACCACGAGGAGATCGGCTCCCTGTCCGCGCACGGCGCCGACTCCAATCTGCTCCCGGCCATCCTGCGCCGCCTGTCCGTCCTGCCAGGCAGCAGCACCACAAGTCCCTCCTCTGCCTCCTTCTCACCCTCACACGAAGACCTGGCCGCCTCAACAGCCTTCGAACAAACACTCGCGACTTCCTTCCTCCTCTCGGCTGACATGGCCCACGCGGTGCACCCCAATTACGCAGCTAAGTACGAGCGCAACCACACACCTGCCATGAACAAAGGCCCCGTCATCAAAATCAACGCCAACCAGCGGTATGCGACCAACTCGCCGGGGATCGTCTTGATCCAGGAGGTCGCGCGGCAGACCAAGGTGCCACTGCAGCTGTTTGTCGTGAAAAATGACTCGCCGTGTGGGAGCACGATCGGGCCGATGCTGTCTGCGAAGCTTGGGGTTAGGACGCTCGACATGGGGAATCCGCAGCTCGGGATGCATAGTATTCGCGAGACAGGCGGTAGTTGGGATGTGGAGCATGCTGTGAGGTTGTTTGAGGGGTTCTTGGGGAGATTCGGGGAGTTGGAGCGGAGGGTTCTGGTTGATTAGACGGCCTTGTTCAGTTCGCCTCGGGCGGTTCAAGGTATCGTTGGATGTGCTATTGGTGGGGACGGGAGAGGGCGTGATGATGTGAAGGCGGGTATGGGCATGGCAGTGATTCAGCGCGAGAAAGAGCGTGCCGACGGTATTGTCCGTGGCTTTGTAGCATGGTCTCGATGGGTGGTTGCTTGCTTTGTTGCAAAAGCAGCTGGCGATACAAATGCAGCTGACTGACATATTGGGATCTCTTAGCATAACGACGGTCCTCCAATGACCCTCGTCGTTCCTCCACACGCAACATTGGCTCTTCAACTGAAGGTGGTCCTATTCATCGTGGCTTGTCTATTCGAGAATAATCTGCTCCGGCTCAATGGCTTCCCAAGATGCACGCCAGCTTTCCTCGGACAGGAAAGACATGACAAAGGAACCAATACGGTGGAACCGACCGGTCAGCTGTCCAGCTGGTATGCCAATGATGCCCTGGGCGTCGATGCCATTATCGTATTCATGATGGAATTTCCCCACAAGCATCAGTATAGCACCCGGAAAAGAACTGGAAGCGTACTCGGCAAAATCCCACTCGCACTTCAAGCCCTCCTCGGTGACAGCTTCTACATTCTTGGTCCTGCAAGTGAGCAACACGTGCGGAAAGCCGTTCATTGTGCTTGTGATCTTGACTGTTGCCAGAATTTGGTCCGAATGATGAAAGAAGATTGGGCTGTTCAGACTAGCCCAGCTCCATGTAGGGGCCCTACTGGATCTCCCGCCTGAGGAGAGCGAAGCCGGCGGAACCGTTAACCATACCAGTAGCTCGACGAAACAATGCTTCCAAAGCCCGTAAATGTAGTCGTCCTCCCATAAGCGTTGTAGGTCGGCGGCAATCCCCGCCAGGGCGTTGAGCCGGTCCTCTTTGTTCGTGAGCAGCCTTTGGGTGAAGTGCTGAACGAGCTCCCCCCAGAGTAGGTGCCCGGGCTTTTCCAAATCGCTTGGCCACCTGATAGGGAAACGTTTGCGGAAGATGGCATACTCCAGGTAGCTTCCTTTCGGCGTCATCAATCTGGCAGCAAGGCAGTGCCATATTGGCTCTTGCTTCGAAAGGATCAGAAGGCGAGGCGACAAGTAGCTCTCCTGGAGTACCCAGCCCCGGCGATCCAGCGGGTCATCCGGCCAATACATATCCAAGAGGGTCGAGATGAAGATGGTGTGCGTCCCCACGTCTGGAACGTCAAGCTGCCACTTCAGGGTCGGCAACGGTTCCGGCTGTCGGTTTAGAAAGCCCTGAGAAACGGCCGAGGCGGCCGCTGCGGACATGGTGATCACGGCGTTTTTGTAGATCAGGTCCATCCTTTGAATCTCGCGTTGCTTGTCCTCGTCGCTGTCTTGGATAATACAAAGCGCATCAACCCATAGGTAACGCTGTCCGATGCCACGCGTAAGTCGAACTGCGTCTTGGAGGGTTCGCGGGAGGTCTTTCAGCGGTATTATCTGTCTCATCGAGTCGAGGTTTCCCAGGGTCAACGTGACAGGCTGCGGACCCCCCCAACAGTAGCTCAGCGCAGTATATTCCCCAGTGTCGCCTTGTTCAGTAACGCGCAGACGAACATCTGGGGCAATCATGTTATCACCCACGTCAATCAGCCGCGAAGGAAGCGCAACGTTGGTATTTAGAGGGCAGGTTTCGGCGTGGTTGCAGCGACAATCCTCAATCCATGACCTTGCTGTTGCGAAGACCTTGCTTTCATCTGCGTATCCCAGCGGTGGACGAGACATAATGAACCACGACGCAGGATCGGCTGTCAACGGGAGTAAGGGATCTCGTTGTCAGCCATTTGACTGAGTCCAGCATAATCGCCTTACGTAGCGCGGGAGGATAACGTACATTCCGTGGTAAAGACTGGGGCATAGACGACAATGGCTTCATCGAATTTCGGTTTGCCCACCAAGTAGGACCTTGCTTCCGGCGAGTCTGGGGCCAAGGTAGGCAGGTCGCCCGGTTTGCCGGTCAGCATAGGAAACGGATCCTCGATCCCTCGTGACAGGAAAAGCATCAGCGGCTGCGAACCATCCCGCCATGAGTGGTTCTCGGTCTCGAAGAAGAACCTGCCTGAAAGCGGACCGAGGTCGCAGAAGAAGCTGCAAAGCGGACAGCCCCCTTTGGCGCTGACTTCACACTCCTGTCGAGGTAGATGCTCAAAGCCTTGTTCCGACACGAGCTGCAGGAAGCCGTCAAACGACATCATTTCCTGGCATCGTGGACAGTAGCCCGGCGGGCCGTTTCCAGCGTGGATTGGTGGTTGAATTGAATTGTTTGACATGGTTGTAGAGTTAGGACCATGGTGTCGCAAGGAGAGAAAGTGGTAATACGGTGGTAGCCTCGCTTACTGCCCCGAACGCTGTCAGTCGCAACGACATGACCTACGAGCGCCAATGGCCTCAAACAAGATACTTGAACGAACCGAGCTGAGTGCCCGACTCCGGATCTGAGATAGGTAGTAGGGCGCGGCAGAAGAGGAAGGCAAAGTCAAAGACAAAGAATGACAGGAGAAAACAAGACTACAAATTGAGTGTTAACATGCTAGTACCTTAAGTTCCGCGCTAACAAAGTTGGGGTGTACTATAGCTTACAGTAATTACAACCATCACCTACCGCATACCGTGACGAATACAGAGCACCTTCCTACTCCTGCGTGTTGCAGCATCAAAGCTCCAAGTTTCATGCCGGAGCCTGGATTGGGCCCTAACACTGAGTAATAAACGTTGAATCACCAAGACAAGCCACTGAGAACATCAATCAGTTGCTTCTTTCGACCAACGATCAGCCGACGTTTGAATCGACGCGCCACGGGAGAGACCTACAATACATGTTCAACGTGCTTATGGGACTTCAATACGGATCACGTAAAAATCACAAGGGTCTTGGCGGGCCGCGGATCGTGAAAGAAACTTTCCGCTTTCAGCCTTGCCAGCCGGTCCTGGATGCTCATTCCAGCCTCTATCGCGGCTCTCCAGTCTCAGATCCTCCCCACCGCCTCCTTAGACAGTGGAATCTAAGGTAAAGACGACCGTGCGCCTAGAAAGCGCCGTCAATCTAAACACCTCTTACTATATCGCTGCAGTATTACCGTTACTATCTTAGTACCTATTGCTGTGCTGTCGCTCTTTGGGTTGTCTGTACCCCCTGCCTTTTCCCCAATCGCTGACTCGTTGCCCCGCCCGGCGCAAACTAACAGAACGATCACTTGAGGGAGTCACCTCGTCACCCTCGCCGCCAGAGTCTGCTCTTTCCCGCCTCGTCGCCTCGAGAAACTCAATCTTTTGGCTCCCGCATACGGCTCAGGTCGACTCCGCAACCACCTCACCAATGGAACAACCACCATCATTGCCAGCTCAAAAGAACACTCCAGCTCGGCGACGCGCAAAGCGCCCCGTCAACTCGCCCGCTCGAAAGACGTATGCCTCCGAAAACGACATGCCGAGCGAAGCAGTCTTTCCGATTGAATTAGGAGGGCCCCTCACCCCTCAAAAGCCGGCTCTCAACAGCCTGGCGCCCTCGTCGCAGCCCAACCAAGGCAGGTCCAAGGGCAGGAATGGGAACAGAAGCCGGCCAAAACAGGTATCATCACCCGGTCCTGCAAAGCAAGGCCGAACAACACCTCCGCAAACATCAGCGCCAAAGCCTATATCCGCGCCTGCATTTGCCGGCGCGACCTTCCATGCGTCTCCGGCACCCTCATCTCTTCCTATCCCCAGCTTCCTGTCCAAGGCCCTAGACTCGCCTTCGGTGCAGGAGACCGACCATGCCAGCCGCGAGCCGTCGCCGCCTGCCACCGACTCTGAAGCCCCCACTCCGCAGCACCGCATTCTGTCTGCAGACATAACCCGGCATGAGTCACCCCTTGACATCTTCTTCCGTGCCGATCGTGCCGAGAAAGAGCGGGCGCGCAGGGCGAGTTCCGCCAACATCCTCGGTCATCCGAAACCCGTCCCGTTCTCCCCTCCCACGCAGACCCGCTCGCCGGCGGAGCCTACGACCCTCCCAGCCGGGCTGTTCGGCGGCCCCGGCAATCGCCGCCCCCCGTTCCATCGCAATGCCTCCTCTGGTATCCCCGCCAGCGAGCTTGACGGTACACAAGATTCCGTTATAGGGCCGGCTCTTTCCAAGCCGTACCAGGAGCGTATCCGGGAAGCCCAATCTAGTAGAAAGCCTTCCGAAACCGGGCCCAGGTCCGCTCCATCGACACAGGATGCGTCGACGCTAGACATGAGCGAGAGGCTGAAGCGGTTCCTTGCTATCCCGTCCGTCGAAGCCGACCAGCCACCTCCGAAACCCCCTGCTGTGTCCCGGCCGGTGCCTACCAACACCTTGCCGGCAGCTTTCCCTACTGGGGGCGCTCACCCTGAACCGCAGCCCGCCACACTCCCATCCCCCTTCTCAAGGCGACCGGATGCTAATGTGCGCCGGGGACCTGCGACTCAAGGCCCACCGCCCCTTCCTTGTGGTTTCTCGCCGGGCAAGCAAGCGAGCCCGCTGCCAACGGCGGCTGCTGCTGCTGCTGCAGGAAGCCCGGAAGGCAGCCGCTCGCCGGAGATCCTGCACATGGAGGATAGCCTTCGGCGTATGCTCAAGCTGAACCTCGGGCCGACATCGTCGGCTGTGCCGCCGCCGACTACCTATCAGAGCTCGTGAGAGCAAGCAAGCTTATGAGAGGGCCGGTGCTTGGATGATGGGCTGGAGATGGGGGTGAAGATGGACTATTTTTGCGAGCCTGTTCCTTTCATTCTTCATTCCCTTCTGCATGGTTCATCCGCCAGCGCCGAAATTTGTCTCACTCGGATCTGGGTTCATGGTTTATCATGCTTTGCTTTGCTCTTCTTTTCTTCCTTCTGGCGTTGGGATTTTCGAAGAGGCTCGGTTTCGTCGCCCCTAGACGAAACGGCGTAGCCACGCCGAAGTGCGGTACAGGTGGACGGGCTTTTCTATGTTGTGCTGGATTTGTTTTCAGCACAGGGCATGGGGCGGGCACAATTGGTTCGGCTTTTATCGCTTGCTTGCTTCGCTTGCATCGGGCCATCGGTGGCAGGATTCTCTCAGTTTCTTTCGTTCTATTTCCTCATTTTGTTTTTATGTCATAACCTGCTATTTGTTTGTATGCCTACGTCACGTTTCTGGTCCATTGATACTACAGCCACCCCGCTGTTCTGATACTTGGTTCAGCTCTCTCTCCTCTCTATTGGGGATCGCGCATCGAATGGATAATCAGTTGGCGGGGATGAGGATACACTGCAGCTTATGGTGTGGTTCGCGATAGACGGTTTCGGGGGGTTGGGATATGGCGCGAAGAAACGGGCATCGGCATTTGGGCGAGACTGGGTGCGAGAATGGAGGGAGAGGAGGGACGAACGCATACGTTTTTCCCTTTTTATCTGCCATACCGGCTAGGGAGCCATCCATGTCTTTTGGGTCTATGTCGTTTTCTCTTTCCGACATCTCTGGTATGGAGCGGGCCATCGACTCACTTGGCTGCTGCGTTGAGGATACTGGTTCAGGTCTCTTATCATCAGATACCCCCCCTTTCCTGCCGTTCGCTAGGGCATTCGGTGTGGGACGGTTCTCCGGAGTTGGGTGCTGGCGGAAATTGGTTGGCGCGGATGTCGCGCGTCTTTTCCTGCGAGAGCGGGCGGATGGGGTTGGTCCGGGATTAGGATGGTCGAGAGAGAGCATTGACTGTCTCCTCCTACTCTGAGCTCTCATCAGTTCTTTGCTGTGTGCTCGGCGTGGATCGGTCCGAGTGAGGAAGGTGGCTGAGTGTTGGTTGCGACACCGAGCACGTGGTCCGGGAATGGAAGAAATGGGGATGGATTCAGTCGACGCCGTAACACCTACCTCACTACGTGACGACATTACCGGCAAAATGAAACAAGAAAAAAACCAGAAAAAACAAGTGATGGGAAGCAGGTATCATGGATTCGGGCCATCGACAGGTTTTAGAGGGAACATACCCTAGGGTAGCTTTGACCCCAGAAGACACATGATATCTCCCACTTGTTTTGGTTCCTTGTTGCAAGCTTCGCGGGAGTTTCATTCCAGGTATCCTGCTTTCAGAGCTTCGTCGGTAGGTAATTTACCAAGTGCGGAAGGCTGGTGCATCAAGGGCACAGAGGGGGGTGGATTGCTCACGCCATTTTCTGGATCGTGTTTATGCCAACACACCAGATCAGCAATGCTTAAGAGGTCACCAACAACCTCAACTAGAAACTCACCTCTGGCACCGCCAGTCAGTGCAATGCAATCTTGGCCTCTTCCTTTTTTACTTCAGGCTCGGTAATACTATTCATCACGTGACCTTCATTCCATTCCATTCCAAGTCTGGATTTGCCCGTCTCAGCGTCTGTCATTTTTTATCAGGGTTAGTTCATATGGATCGCATCACGACTTCCGCTTGTTCGTTATTGCCAAGGGACAAATCAACCTAAACAAATCGCTTACTTCTGCCAGCTCGCGCATTCAAGAGCTTCTCATCCGCCTTAGATTTGGCTTTTTGCCATTGTTTTTTCTAGGTCCTCCGCGGACTCGAAACAAACAAAAACAATCAAAGCGACACGCGCGGCGGCCATCGAGGGCTCGCTTAGAGATCGACATTGCATTTGAGGGCGACTTCTGGGGAGTGGGTTGATATTCCTACATTGTCTCTGCAGGATTGCCATGGCTAGGCCCCAGGCGATTGAAATCAGTAGTGATGAGGAGGAGGATGAGGATCTGCGAATCGCGATTGCGCTGTCGCTAGGGCAGGATCCAGGGAAGCGGACTGGTGGGCGGCTTGGTGGGCGAGGTGGAGATCGGGTGATTGATTTGACGCAGGATGATGATGAGGAAAAGAAGGGGGAGGAGGAGGATAAAGTTGACGGCGGCGGCGGAGGCGGCGGCGATGTTGTTCATGATGGTCGCAGTCTTCCAACACCCCAAGATCTGACAGCACCAGTGCAGCAACTTGCCTCAGCTTCGAATTTCACGTCCATCGGCCTGGACAGAAAACGGATGGAAGAGGAACGGCTCGCCAGGTTGAGCAAGCGCAAGGCGTCCCAGCTCGATGACGATCAGGCGTCGGCCAGGCCCATACAGCGACCGAGGACGACTCCCGCATCATCCGTGCCTCCCACTGCTGCTTTTCCGGAGAAAGAGAAACCAACCGCACCCGAAGCTACTCTCCCAGGCGCGACGACGCCAGCGCGAACTCGACTTCCCTTCCCACACGGCGTCGTCAAGAAGACGTGGGCTTTTGGCCAGCCGAGACAGGGTGACGATATCAAGATTGAGGAAGTCCTCCAGAAGCGCCAGCTCCTGCTGGCCGTGCTCAGCTCTTTCCAGTGGGACTACGACTGGCTGGAATCCAAGATCGACCTGGGACGGACCAGGCTGATTCTGATTGCGTTTGCTGCCGACGCGGCGGAGGTGAGATGGTCTTGTTCTGCCTGTAGAGGATGGATCAGAGGTTCGCTAACATATGTAAAGCAAAAAGAGCTGCGCGCCGAGGTACCCGGTGACAGGATCCGGTTCTGCTTCCCGCCGATGCAGCAGATCGGTGCAATGCATTCCAAGCTGATGCTGCTTAAGTACGAAAAGTACCTGCGGATTGCCGTTCCCACGGGAAACTTTGTGAGGTATGACTGGGGAGAGACAGGGACCATGGAGAACGTAGGTGACTCCGCTGTCCTGAATCGGTCACTCTTGAGGGGAGAGTACTAACCGGCGTGGTAGATGGTGTTCGTCATCGACCTTCCGAGGTTTGAGACGGCTAAAGAGAGGGAAGCGCAGAAGCTCACGGCATTTGCTGAGGAGCTCTTTTACTTTCTCCATGCCCAGGGGCTGGATGGGAAGCTCGTAGACAGCCTACGAAACTACAACTTTGCTGAGACCGGCCGCTATGGTTTCGTACACACGATGTAAGGAAGAAATCTTTTGGCGCCGCTGTTGATGCCGTCACCCTGGATGCTAACCTGCTTGAAGCCCTGGAACTCATACTGCAGAGGAGGCATGGAGGAGAAGTGGTGGGTTCCATTCTCGGTATCTTGCCCTTGACGCCGCCGGGCTTTGTCGTTGACTTGTTACCGGCAGGGTACTGTGGCCTTGGTCGGATGGTCAACGTCCTCGGCCTCGGATCTTCGGCGCCTATTGAGTTGGACTTCGTGGTGAGTCTTTCGCTGAAACTGACGCCCGACGAGACGACGTTGACCAAGCACGCAGTGCGCATCTCTAGGCGCCGTCAATTACAGCCTCGTTACCGCCCTGTATCATGCCTGCCAGGGCGATTCAGGTCTCAAAGAGTACGAGTTGCGTATCCGGTCGAGCAAGGGCAAAGGGCCGACATCGGCTGAGGAAGCTTTGTCGATGGTCAATCGACATATGCGGGTATTCTTCCCTTCACGGCAAACCGTTCTCGAGAGTAAAGGGGGAAGAAATGTCGGTTTTCTCTCCCTACTTTGTCAACTTCCGGGATATCGCTAACAGTTCTTTGGGCAAATAGGGAGCTGGGACGATCTGCTTCCAGTCCAGGTGGTGGCAGTCGCCCACATTCCCTCACGAGCTCCTCCGAGATTGCAAGTCTGTCCGGAAAGGCTTGCTCATGCACAGCAAGCTGATGTACGTCCGGCCTCGCGACGCGCCTGGTAGTTTGGCAACCTCAGCTGCCCGTTGCTTTGCCTACGTCGGCAGCGCCAACCTTTCCGAAAGCGCGTGGTGAGTCAACTCCTCCTCTCCATTGTTTACCAGGATGACCAAGCCTTGGTGCACATCATTGCTCGATAACCTCTTTCGGCGATTCCTGCAAACCATCGCCGGACCGCCCTGATATCATCACGAATGATACTGACCTGCGGACTCGCTCGTTTTCATGACAGGGGGCGACTTGTACGAGACAGGTCATCGGGCAAGCCCAGACTTACATGTCGTAACTGGTGCGTACATTCCAAACAACGCGTAATTTCCGCCTTCCTGCTTTCTGTTTTTGTGGACCTACCGCTCTCCCTGAATCTCACGCCCACACACTCCTCTTCTTCCTCTCTACATCATCTTTTAAGCACCTGAGCGCCCCCCATCCCCGAAGCGCAAATATTCTCGCTGCACCTGACCACTCGCTCACATGCAATCATGACGAACATTGGCTAACGCGTTTGAGGGCGGCTGCGCCTTGACTTCAGGGAATGCGGTGTACTCGTTCCGGTTGACTGCAGTCCGGCCCAGGTTCCTTCGAGTATTCACGACGGAGCTGCACCCGCGTCGGGGGTGTCGCCATGCGAACAGGGGCGGAGAGACCCAGAAACAGACTTGACCACGTTGTTCCGCGGGCGTGTGCCTGTCCCAATGGAGTGGCCTGGGCGTGTGTTTAGGTCTCCGGTGGAAAAAGTCAGGGACAGGGGCGGGGACGAGGAAGGGGAGGAAGGGACTGCGGTTGTGCCTTGGTTCTTTCAGGAGTAGTCGCGATGACGTTGGGGCAATTCTGTTGGGGGGTTGTTGGGGAGGCGGCGGAATGGGGGGAGGCGAGTGCGCATGAGATCCGGGCCTAGGAGTGTTGTTGCAGGAAACGAACATCGAGATCCGATCATACACGTAAAAACCAGTATTTTTACAGTGCGGTACACAATGTGGATCAATACCGTTCTCCAACTCAACGGGTCCCAGAAGATCTGTGCGCTCGAACCTGTCCTACGGATCCAGGTGGCATACCGATCAGGGAAAAAGAGGTGAATGATCTTACCCTGCAAGCCATAGGTCACGTCTTGACCGCTTGGGTAACTTAGCTCCCTATGCAATTGCGCTGCAGCTCATTAGCGCAACCACATCTCGAAGCGAGAAGAGGCGTGTCGAGGGCCATGGAATAAAAAAGGCTAGAGGGAAAGGCTTTCACGTCATGATTTCTGTAATACCAGGTTTGCATGCAGCCGTTGTGCAAGAGTCAGGATGCCGGAGACGCGGTTCGTCCCGCAGGATCTTATCTCTTGGCAATCATATCTCTCGACGATCAGGCACGACAACAACGCGACATGGACAGAGAGAACTCGTCAATTGTAAACCCGCAGATCAGTATTATGGTATGAAACTAAACAATATGAAAATTTTGGAACCTGTAATTTTAAGATAGGAAGTTATCTGTTTTGAAACACGGTGCGTACTGTTGGAATCGCGAATTACGTTGAAACAAGCTGGGGAATTACATGGGCGATGCAGACAGACTCGACGTCTTCCTTTCTTCTGAATTGGGCACTGTCCGAATCTTTTGCTCGGGTATTTCGTCATTATACTTACTTTGCTAAGAAGAACAAATGTTCATCGCACTGTCCAAGTGATCTAGATGGCCACTAGTGGGGCCGTACAAGCCCAAGATGCATTCAGTCGTTGGGCTACATCAGGCGACGACGCGGAAGCTGCGGCGCGCTCCCTCGTTCGCAAGCAGAAAAGCTTTGATGAACTTGTGCCATCCTTGGTGTTCTTGCCGCAGGTGCCGGTCTTATGTCCGTGCTCGGTGCTCAACTTGCAGCCGTGTACGTAGTCGGACCTGGTCACAGGAACCCCAATCTAGACACTACTGCATCTGGACACCGCGGCCGTCATCGTTGACGTGATGATGGCTTCTTTTTCCAATCTCCAAGGCTATTACCTCAGATGGCTCGGTTGGCAGTGTTTACCAGCTGCTTCTATGCATCGGCGCGTCACTGTCTGATATCGGGCTGGTGAGGGTATATAATCCCCTCTTACACATCTCCCTAGTACCATCTTCTCATCAGCATATTAATTTCGACGGAACACATAGACAAAGCTCGAAAAAACCAAGCATCCGAGCCTTCGCTTACCCCTCGCTATTGTTCCTCCGAGTTTGAATGTTCCAAAACGTCTTCTTCTTCCTCGTCTTCAGCTACCCAAGCGTGTAAGTTCTCCCGCCGTTCCCGCGTGGCAGTCCACGTCTCACATGTCAGCCTTCGCTAATACCTTATCAGGGTACTCCAAGAACAATGCCTCGCGCCGCTGGAAAGGAAGTGGCGGTCTTCGTGGGCTTCGTGGCAACTCCCGTGGATGCCGCGTACCTCGTCGAGGCCGCCATAGCTCAAAAACTCCCCTGCATGATTGCGCAACAAGGCCGCGTAGGAGAACAAGACTTGACGCAGAGCGGGACTGTCGTCATCTTTGGTCCCCAAATCGAGCGATGGAAGGACCACCGGAAGTGGACCCCTCGACGAGCCCAGAACAAAGGATTCGACTTCTACCGTGAGACGACGACCGTCAAGGAAGAGGCCATGACCGAGATCGATATTGTAAGTTTCAACTGTCCACCAGGCTTTTCTTTCTTGTCTCCGCCGGCGTGCAGCTAGCCCAGACACAGCCTTTAAGGCCCAGCCTTGTCAGGGGCTTCTCCGCAAGGACGCAGCTGTGTACCCAAGTTCGACCATATCTAACTCTCGACTTAGGAAACCGAGAACGCCAACGAGCAGCGCCTTAAGCCCTACGTGGGCCCTTACGGGGCGAAGAAAGAGCAGATCAAGAGAAATGGCCTGATCAAAAAGACTATCTCCTTCATCATCGATGGCGAGCAATGGGGAGTAGCCGCCTATTACACCATGGCGGCCATCGCGGCTGGCAACCTTCGGCGCCCGCGCTCCGCCAACATGGCCCTCCCGCTGCCCCGGAGCGAATTCTGGCATCAGGAGGGCGCTAACAAGAAACGTTCCGGAGCCCGCCGTATTGTCATGACAGATGATGACAATGATGGCCTCCCTGCCGACTGGGAGACCTGGTCCCGCGCTCCCGAGGTGCTCCCGCCGCCCGCCCCCGCCGCCCTTGCCATCAGCGCCATTCGCGCCGTTCCTGCCGCGCTCGCCGCGCCCGCAGCTGCTCACCATCAGCCGCTATACGTCTCCGCGCTGCTCCCGCAGCCTGCGCTCGCTGCTGGGCCGGCCTCCCCCCCCGCCGTGCAGCCCCCTGTCGCTGCACCGTTCGCCGCTGGCCCCGCCGTCGCTCCCGTCGCTCCATTCGAGCCCCTTCGCCTGGACTGGAGCGCCATTATCGCCAGGGCTTTCTCTGCGCCGGAGCTAGCGGCTGCCTCCTTCCCCCTCTGGGCCGCTGCCCCCGTCGCAATGCCTGCGCCTGCGCCCGCTCCCCTGGCTTGGGACAACGTTCCCAACGCGGCTGTGTTTGCGCCTGGCCCTGCGGTCGCTGCCTTCTCCTCGGCCCCTGCTCCCGCGCCTTTTGGGTACGAGAATTTCGTGCCCGCCGCGGCGGCCGCCACGGCTCTCGTCGCAGTCCAGGTCCCTGCCGCTGACCTGGTCGACGACGACACCGTCATCCTCCTCCGCGCCTTCGAGGGCAAGCTCTTTTCGTCCTGGGCCGCAGCCCCGGGCCCCACCGCCCCGGCAAACGATGCGGTCATTGCGGAGCTCGGGCAGCCGCAGGCCCCTGCCGCGCTCGCCACCTCCATGGCTGCCCTGGCCGGCTCCTCTCCATCGCGGCTAGATTCGGGGTACGTCTCTTTTGACGTCTCGTGCTCGTCGTCGGTCCGCCCAGGATCGTCCGGCTCGTTGGCGACCGCCCTCGTTCCGTCCGCGCCCGCGCCCGCGCCGGTGGCCGGCGGGGAAGCTGAGTCTGGCGCCCAGGGTTCCGGGCTGGCCGCGGCGCCTGAGTCTGCCCATCCCGCTCCAGACGGCTTCCCCCCATTCGATTTTAACGAGTGGATCCTCCCGTAGGGCGGGGGAACGCTGTGGCGAGTGTTGAGGGGTGATTTCGGGCTGTTTGTTGGGAACGCTGGGTCTGTCGCTGCTAGAGTTTGCGAAGGGGGGAGTCCATGGGCGCGCATGGTGGCATGGAGCAGCAGCGAGTACTTGGGCCGAAGCTGACGACGCTCTTTAGGGGGGGCGGAGGGGGGATCAGAGTCGCCAAGGGTGGTGTGCCGGGGGTTGATTTCGCGTCGCTGGGTACTTTTGTCGTGGAGGGAATGGGTCGACTTTGGGAAGATGGGTCAGGGGAAGAGGCTCTGCTTGAAGGGAACGGGATCGGTCATGTGCTCCTGAATGGGCGGATTGTCTGGCCGAGACTAGGTGGCTGCTTTTGTGTTGTCAAGATCTCCTCGTGACGGGATTGAACTTGGGTTGGGGCGTTTTGGTCATGGTTGGACGATACCCTGGTTGATTGACTTGGTTAGAGTCGAGTCTCTCGGGACATTGGATGGCCCGGCGTGTTGGTTCTTGGACGGAATCGGATGATACCCTGTATTAGTTTGGGAAAACGAATTGAATTGGAATTACCGGGTACCCGAATGCTAACCGCGATTCAAGGCCAGGTGAAATGTGTGAGGATTTGCTCCCTTGGACCGGTGCCTTGAACTATATAACATCAACAGGATTACTCACCTTCAGATGCCTCCAAGCGCGCAATGTGTATGGTTTGGGATTTCCCGTTGAACTGTAGCAGAGCTGAGAACTACCTGAGAAAGAACCCGACTACCTATACTGTAGCCACATATTATTCAGGCGATCTGGACTAGCCCTGTCCTGTAGCTCGACGTGACCGTGCTCAGCTTCGCTCGTCCTGCCCACATGCTTCCTCGCGCCTGGTTCAGTTCAAACTTGGCGTTAGGTTATTTGGATGGCAACGGTGCTAGTGACCTTCGTTATATTCAAGGTCAGTTAAGCAACGTCTAAGACCTTGAAAATGTTTGCGGATTTGATTCACCTGATGCAGTCACCGAGTCGCAAGTTGAAACTTGGGTCAACCTAAAAAACTGTGAGTTCGCCCATGCAATCGTCTCTACTTAGTCAGAAACACTGGGCGGGAAGGTTCACAGGATTGTAACCTTGGAAAGACTAGAAGTACCTTGGCAAAGCTTGAACGGGAAAAAAGAGTGGGGTGGGTTGATAGGATGGGGTGCCTTCCCCTTCTCAGCGTTCTGACCAAGACACGTTCCTTCTCTCATCACCGTCAGTTGGATGATCTCGGTGGACAGTTCCCTGCCCTCTTGGTGGCAACTCGGAAGATTGATGCGAGACCATTTTGCGCCGTCCTACGAAAGTTACGAAACTTCGTCAGGGGTTTGTTTTGTTGCACCCTATCAGCCTCAAGGAGCATCGAGCCAAGCATTGATCGGGCAACAATGTTACATCGTTCGGCATTTCAACACGTGATGGCGAGGGCTGGAGGCAAGGGTCATCGAGGGCTCCACTTTCAACCGTTCCGCTCCTGTTCTCGTGATTCAACGTCAAGCCGTGTCCGCTGTCTTGAATACGGTTGATTTGCCAGCCGAAACCCACGTGCAACACTTCTCAACGCCAACCCAACTCAGTCACTCGCTTACCTGGTACTTGAACTTCATCTTCAATTTCCAATTGGTACAAGTACAAATTCGACAGGGTGATGGAGTGACTCGGCGGGCATCCCATCGCTTGCCCAAGTCTGCAACTTCGAAACTCCTACACAACTGCGAAAGCCACAGCACAAGGAGTGTACCTCGCCGAGTGGAGTTACAGTGAATACAGTTAGGCAGTGGATTCATTGCCTTCTGGCACTGCCCTCTTTACTGCACAAACTTAGGCCCCGGTGAGAAGGCTTGGGTGGACTGACAACGGGCGGACACCGAGCGGTGAACGCCCGATTTGGGAAAACACAATCCCACGCCGCCACCATGCTCTGTCTACTGACACCAGCCTCTGCTGGGTTGAGGAACGGCGCTGCTGCTGGGCTCGGCAAGGCGGGCTTGCTTGGCGGGACGAGGTGGCAGCACAGTGTGCTTACTCGCCCAGTCCGAACCCCATCACATCCCAAGCTTCTTACACGGCCGAGATGGTTTGTGGTGTCCAGCAGGTGGAGGCGTGATGGACAGAAAACGACCGGGAGCCAAGAGAGTCCGGCAGCAGGTAACCAAATGGAAAGCAGGTATGGCTTGTATCCTCCTTCTCTGCGCTCACCATGCCGCGGCGTATCTTGGACACAACCGGAAGGGCCAATTGCCGTTGTCCTCACCCTGACTGCCCCTTCCTGGCTCAAAGCTGCCGTGACTAACAACCAAGCACAGTCCCAATTCACCCAAGAAAGGCCCTGCGTCCGCGCTACGCAAGATGCTGCCCGGCATGGCCAAGGCGAGCGTACACGAGAACATCTACACCCTCCCTAACTTCCTGACCGCCTCCCGTCTCGTAGCCGCGCCCTTCATTGGGTACTGCATCCTCCACGACTACAATTCCATGGCCTTCGGTCTGTTCGCCTACGCCGGCATCACCGACCTCCTGGATGGCTGGATTGCCCGCCGCTGGAACCTCAAGACGGTCGTCGGCACCGTTATCGACCCCATGGCCGACAAGACACTGATGACCGTCTTGACCGTGGCCCTGGCCATGAAAGCGGCGCTGCCAAGTAACCCTTCTCTTCCCTTTCCGATCGGGGTAAGTTGTCACTAACCATACCATGTCCCGACAGTCTGGTTAGCCGTCATTATTCTTGGCCGAGACGTCGGCCTGGCCATCTCGGCCATCTACTACCGCTGGATCTCGCTGCCGCCGCCCAAGACATTTGCGCGGTATTGGGACTTCTCGCTGCCCTCGGCCGAGGTGCGCCCGACCCTCATCAGCAAGTACAACACGGCCCTGCAGTTGGGGCTGATGGGGCTAACCACCCTCGCGCCTGTGATTTCCGCGGTGGACCTGGGCACCACGCTCGGCGTCATGCAGTGAGTTTTCCTGCAGCGTTTGTTCTCGCCTTTTTTTTTTCTTTTTTTTTACTTTGGCGAGATAACTAATCCGCGAAAAAGGTACGTCGTGGCGGCGACGACCGTCTGGAGTGGTGCTAGCTACATTTACAGCAAGGACGCCGTCAAGATTCTCACGCCAACGCAGGCTGGGAAAGAGAAGGTGGAGGACAAGCAGACGGGGCCCAGGTGAGGTCGATGGACAGGCATCTCTACGCAACCTCGGACGCCCAGCGCACAGCACTGGACGAGCATGATCATCCGCTACCCTTCTGCTAATACCCTCCGCCGTCCTTTGTGGGACCTGCAGTTGTAAGATAGCCCTGCGTAGCCGGGAGCGTTGTTCAAGTACCCTGTAGACCGCACCTTGTATGCGCCCTTTTTCGAATACCTAGCAAGCAAATACCATGCAACTTTCTCTGAAACGCCAACCACCCGCTTGCCTCCTTTATCCGTCGTCGAGTTGATACATGTTTCTTGCATCCAGAAACATAACATACAGACCTTCTGTTCATAGAATCACAACTCAGCCACCCGACTCTTAGCATCGAGCGTCTCGAGGTCGTCCACACCGGTCACATCCAATCCCTCCACCACGACCCTACCCTCTTCGCCCGCAGCCACACCCCTCCGTGCACCAGCCCCCTTCTCTAACCTCCTCACGAACCCCAGCAACTTGACCAACCCCGCCGGCGTAACCCCCTCGATCCGCCTCGCCTGCGCGATACTCTCCGGTCTCGCCTGCTTAAGCACAGCCTTCTCGACAATGGACAGGCCATGCACGCGCTCATAGTCCAAATCCCCGGGCAATCTCAAGTCCTCATCCCGCCTCAGCTTAGCCGCCTCGGCCTCCTGCAGCCGCACATACGGCTCATACACCACCTCGATGGCGACCCGCTCCCTGATCCGGAGCGGGAAATCAACCTCGTTCACCCCGGGAAGCACGGCCGAGCTCAAATGCTCCGGTCCGACGCCGGGCAACCGCAACACCTCAAACCCGTCGCGCTTGCGCGCGCCGCTATCCATGCCCTCCGCCACGACCGGCACCCCGGCCTGCCGCCAAGCGCCGGGCGTGAGCAGCGTCTCGCGCAGCACTCGCTTGAGGTCGTCAGCGCGCTGCGCGTCGTCGCGGAACCGACGCCAGCGCAGGTCCGAGACGACGCCCCAGTCGCGGCCGCGCGGGGTCAGGCGGGCGTCGGCGTTGTCCGGGCGCGTGCTGAGGCGGAACTCGGAGCGCGACGTGAACATGCGGTAGGGTTCCGACACGCCCTTCGTGACGAGATCGTCGATCATGATGCCGATGTAGCCGTCGGCGCGCGAGAGGGTGACGTCAGGCAGGGAGAGGGATGCGCGACCCGCGTTGATGCCCGCTATGATGCCCTGGCCGGCGGCCTCTTCGTACCCTGTCGTGCCGTTGATCTGGCCGGCGAGGTAGAGGCCGCGGATGGCTTTTGTCTCAAGCGTACGCTTCAGGCTGCGCGGGTCGACGTAGTCGTACTCGACGCCGTAGCCCGGCTGGAGCATGACAACGTCTTCGAGGCCGCGGATCGTGCGGAGGAGCTGTTCCTGCGCTGACGCGGGTACCGTCATGCTCAGTCCGTTGGGGTAGATGACGTCCGTGTCGAAGCCTTCGGGCTCGAGCCAGACAATGTGCCGCTCGCGGTCGCCGAAGCGGATGATCTTGGACTCGAGCGAGGGGCAGTAGCGCGGGCCTTTGACAGTCTCGCGGATATGGATGGTCTTGTCGAGGTTGGCGCGCACAATGTCGTGAGTCGCTTCGTTGGTGTGGGTGGCGTAGCAGAGGAGCTGGTCTTGGACGGAAACGGTGTCGTTGAGGTAGCTGAAGGGCATTGGCGGGTTGTCGCCGTGCTGCTCCTCGAGTATCTCCCACTTGATGCTGTTCTTGGCGAGTCGTGGAGGGGTGCCCGTCTTGAGCCGGCCGAGCTGGAAGCCAGCGTCGCGCAGGGACTTGCTCAGCCCAAAGGTCGCCTGCTCGCCCATACGTCCGGATGGATAGGCTTCGAGGCCGATGTGAATCTCGCCGCCAAGGAAGGTCCCCGTTGTGATGACGACTTGGCTGGTGGGCAGCACCTCGCCTGACTCGAGGCGCACGCCCGTGATCTTGCTCTTGGCGCCGTCGGCTACAGGGTCGTCATGGTTGTCGGCGACGACAATGTCGGATACTCTGCCGAGGACTATGGACAGATTGGGGTACGACTCGAGCTCCTCCCGCATGTATTTCTTGTACAGGGCGCGGTCGATCTGGGCTCGCGGACCCCAAACCGCCGGCCCCTTTTTCCGATTCAGCACCCTGAATTGCACGCCGGCCTTGTCGATGATGCGCCCGGCGAGTCCGTCCAGCGCGTCAATCTCGCGGAGAATGGTGCCCTTGCCGATGCCGCCGAAACTCGGGTTGCACGAGCACACGCCGAGGTTGTGGATGTTGGGAGTGATGAGAACTGTCCGGGCACCAGCGCGGGCCGCTGCTGCGCACGCTTCGGAGCCGGCATGGCCGCCGCCAATAACGACGACATCGAATGGCCTGAAAAATTCACGCAGGCGTCAATACGATGACGAATCCAACTTTGCAACCGAGTGCATGCGGAATGCGCGCTCACCTCGAGTCGGAGCCAATTGTCGCAAAGGTCCTCAGTTTGTTCACGGCAGGCCTGCTCCGGCGAAGTTTTCGTCGGAGTGGCCTGTCCAGACCCCAGGGAAGCCAGAGCTTCGTCATGGCGTTTAAGTTTCGCAGCTTGTATGCGCAAGTGGTGATGCATGCAGGATGCGATCGAGATTCAGAAATCCATCGCGACAATCGATAAGGGGCGATCAGTAGGCAAAGGATCGTTATGCACACACCGCCGTGGCTCAAACCGGAACATGTCTTGGCACTCAGGAACACAGCTCAGGGTGTCTCTTCTTCATCAGTGTGAGAGCTTGGGGGGCCACCATCAGCCTATCTGTTCTGTGCAGAAATGAAATGTCCATTGGTATCGTACTCCGGTAGTCAAAAGTACAAGCATGCGAGGAAAGAAACAACCCCGTGCAAACCCAAAGCCGTTCGTACACAGGCATGTGAATGAGAGGAGAGCACCGATCAAGATCTCGTGCCAATGTTTGTCATCGGCTCGACCATAGCACACCTAAACATCACGACCACGTTACTGCCCTTGCTCACCCTCACTGCCGGCGGCGCCGGCAGCGTTGGCAGGGTTGTATGGCCGACGTAGGACCTCCAAGTTGCCTACAACATCAAAACTATGTCAGCTTCTCGCCGGCCGGGAGTCTCGCGGAAGACGCCGTGTGACATACGCTGCGTAATGTTCAGCCCCTGGCGGGGCTTCCCCTCGGCGTCAACGTAGTTGGACATGGTCGCATCGCCCTCGACCATGACCAGCGTCCTGCAGGTACGCGGTCAGTCAGTTGTACTTGCATCCTCAAGAACAGACGCGAAAAATAGAAAGCATGGCGCACGCACCCCTTGGGCAGCGACTGGAAGAAGTCCCTGCGGGCGCCCTCCTCGACGAAGCAGCTGACGTTGAACCAGCTGGTCTTGCGGTTGTCGGCCGATCCTGAGTTGCTGGCGACGGCGTAGCGGAGGTATTCACGGCCGGTGCTAGATGCGCGCAGCTCCGGGGAGTCGGCCAGGTTGCCGACGATGGTGATGCGGGCGACGGGGCGCGAAGCGGTCGAGCTGAAGGTGCGCGCCGCCGTGCCAGTGACCGGGCGGGCGGCGGCCCGAGGTGCGGTGCGGAGGAAGGCCGACATTTTTGGGACGATTTGTTCTGTAAGTTGCCGGAATGGGAGTTGGTACTCAGTTGAATATTGTCGATTTTTTCTAGCGGCGGGCTGATGTGTTTCCAGTCGGCTTGTGAAACATACGATGCTGAGCTTCAGACGCGTTTGATTGCCGCGACGCGAACCACTCATTCAATACCGTGGCTAGTGCTGAGCTTCAGCCACAGATCTTCCCTTATCTTTAACGCATATGACTGGTAACTAACGGCTTCCATTCTTGGCAGTCTTGCTCCTTCTTCCGATTCTCATACCCCTTCAAGCGCCGCCAAACAGTTTCATCTCAGATCTGCGAGCATTGCCGAAACCACTATATTCGCATTAAAACTCAATGATGCCGATTCACAACTATCTCTCTTTGCCTTGGCTATGAGATCTTCGCGGGATGATGCCGGCAGTTGCACAGCCGCGGCGGCTTGGCCAGATTGCCGCCGGAGGCTCTGCAAACTGACAGATCGCCCAATGGGTTTCTTGCTCCAAATGCACTGCGTTGTGACGACCACTAATTCTTGCAGCAGAAGCAAGCGCAGAAGCGCAAAAGCGCGGCCATGAAGTGTTGTCTCACAACAACAGTGCGAAAAACCGTCCCTGAGATGATGAGACGGCTGTCTGATGAAACGGCAACACCAGTGATACCTCAGCCCCTGGTTTTTCTTTGGAAAAGGGAATTGCAGTAAGACTCGGACACGATGCATCGCACGTCGGCGCCGATGTCATCGAAAATTGAGTATGAGAGCGAGCTGTTCGCAATTTCCAGTCTTTGTTGACTTGGGCGGCGTCAACCCTCTACCGCTGCCGAGCATTGCCCGTTTTGGGTCTGAATAGAGCTTCAATAAGGCGACTCAGCGCTTCTCACCAAAAGCTTGCCCGCAACACCATCGTCACAGTGGGGTCTTCGTCTCATAGCATTAATGGACTGCTTCCGTCAATAAGCCAATGGAGCAATAGAGCAATAGCCATGGGGGGTTGCTCTTGCTACTGCCCCACTAACACTCCTCCTGCTGCCGTCTCCTTTTATGTTGACCATCTTGCCATCGCCAGAAGTCTGGATACTCTTCTTTGCCTCAAGCCAACTGACCTGAGCCAACTTTGACTGCACACGACTGTCCTCACTGAGAGCCTTGCAAGATCAACCTGTCCCTGACGTTCATACTCAGGGGAGCTAGCACCCTCTCTCACACTCTTGCTCTCCACTACACCTTCACCTCATCACTGGTTCATCATGGCTTCCAACAAGACGGCCGTCTGGCACGCCCTCGGCTTCACAACTACCTCCGAGGAGCGCACCGGACCCGGGCCCCCCTATACGACGCCGGCCCTCCAGGCCAACCTCTTCTTCCGCGTCTTCCTCGGGATCGTCTCCCTCTTCTTTACCTATGTCCCTGCTCGCCTCCTCTGGAGGAACGGAGAGTTTGCCGGCACCGTTCTCTGTGTCATGATGCTCATCTTCAACAGCACGACCATCGTCAACGCCCTGATATGGCGCGACAACAACGTCGAGGAGTGGTGGGCCGGCTACGGATGGTGCGACATTCAGGTGTATATTCACTTTGCCCTGCATACGGCCTTCAACATTAGCCTGTTCGAAATCATGCGTGGCTTGGCTACCAAGGTCTCCCTCCGACGCGCCGACAAGCCGGCCCGCAGCGAGATCCGGCGCCAGCGCATCGTCTCGGCCGCCGTCATCTTCACTTTCCCCGTCATTCAGGTCATCCTCACCTTCTTCACCACCATCAGTCGGTATAATGTCTCGACTCTGGTTGGATGCAGCGCCGTCTACTACCCCGGCTGGATCTACCTGGTCTTCTACATCCTCCCCGTTCCCGTCTTCGCCGCCCTGGCCGCCTACATGGCAGGTGAGTAAAAAGCGCCTCCTTTTTCCCATCCGCTTGGGAGCACGCACTCAGAAGCACTTGGCAGGTCTGGCCTTTTTCCGCTATCAAAAGATAGACAAGGTCACCAAAGACGTGGCCCGTTCCCAGGGCGGCGTTGCAGCGGCCAGGCGAGAGCGCGTCCGGATGAAGCTCTACTTCTTTACTCTCTGCTGCATCGTCCTCGTGCTGCCGCTCATCATGGTCATGCTATTCGTTTACATCGTCGAGGGCGGCCCCTGGAACCGGCGCTACGACTTTGATGCCCTCCACTTCGGTCCTGACCCCTACAACATCTACTTCATCTCCTTCACCACGTCCGACATGCTGACGTTTTCCGAACTGAACACTTCCCTTATTGGCGTATGTGCCGGCATCCTCGTCGCCATCCCCTTCGGCACCACCCCTGAGGCCATCAACATGTACCGCGGGATGCTCCTCGCCGTCGGGCTCGGCTACATCTTTCCCAAGTTGAGAAAGGAGTACATTCCCGGCACCAAGCGCGGCTCTAGCTTCAGCTGGGGATCACTCGGTCGTGCCCTGCGCGGCAAGCCTTTGCTCGGATCCAAGTATGCTTTCTTCTCCCTTGGTCCATCTTACAGTTGAGGTTAACCATTATGACAGCAGCACGCCCTCCACCCACAAGGACAGCCTGCTCCTCACCGCCGAGCAAGTCTCGCTCGCAAACCACACCGACAGGGGCCACTTTTCCTCCATGAACCAGCCTCAGCCGCGGGACTTCACCATGGCCAGCGACAACCTCCAGTACCCGGAGAAGAGCCTGGCCATCGCCTCAACTCACCACAACCCCTGGCCCGACCTGTTTGCCACCGAGATCGACACGGCCACAGCCGACATTGAAGCTGGCCGTCATCCGCCTGCCCGCAACCCCTACCCCATACCCCCCATTTTGGTCGCCAAACCACCGCCCAAGTTCCCATCCTTCTCCGTCCCTTCCCTGCACAGCCACAAGAAGACGCATCCCCAACCAACCGCAGTCACTACCACCTCCATCCCGTCACTGGCAAACTCTTCCTCCCTCCAATCCCAAGCCCCGGGAACCAAAACCGGGTCCGACCCGGGTAGCACAACCAATATGCAGCAGCAGTATCGAAAAGACAGCACAGCCAACTTCTCCCCAACTTCAACAACAACGTCATTAACAACAGCAGCAGCACCGTCCATAACAACAACGGCAGCAGCAACGATTCCGTGGCCCCCCCCGCCGCCCCAAGGCGTGAGAGTCGAGACACGCATCACTCAGCGGTCTATTGATTTGGACATGATGGAGGAGGATGGAAAGGACGATTGGGAAGCGGGGGTTGGTGGTGGGGAGTAGGAGGCGGAGGAGCAAAGGGGCCGGCAGAAAAACAGGGGAAAGGCGAGAATCATGATGATGTGGAGGAAGGATGAAGGCAGAGTGAATAATAACTGGTGGCCCTCGGATGCGGCGAGCTAGGCGCTTGCCTGTTGAGAGGGCGTTGGCGGAGAGGGGAATACCCTGAGAGTGGGGCGGGGAGGTGTAACTGTTTCTCTTTTTTTTTTTTTCTCTTTTCTCTTACGCGGTGAGGGGCATTGATCAATTCGTTCTCGAGGTTTCATTGATTTGGGAATCTTATGCTCATCTTTGGTGATAATACCAGTTTTGCAAAAGTCAGAAGGCGGGTGAGGAGAAACGGGGTGTAATCTAGGAAGGGCGACACAGCTGGGCTTGTTTTCCTTTTTATTTACTTGGTGTCTAGGTTGACTGAGATTAGAACAGGACGGGCCCAAAAGGAGATATAGTCAGACTGCATAACAATCCAACATTGCATACGTCCACTGAGTTTTGGGGAATGTAGACTGGTGAGGGCAATCCAGCCCTTCGTTGAACTCAAGCAATGCATGTACAAGTACAAGCAAAGACTAGTAGTCAGCTTCAGCAGAATGGATAAGTGCTAACGGGCTGAGTGAGCGGAAAATACATTTCGTCTACGGCGCCCGTCTAGGTACGGAAACCAACAACGGAACTGTACAAACCCAGGGTCAATCAACCGAAGTACAGAGCAGGACGGGAAACAGTCTGCGCATTTTAGCATAAGTATATATATAAGGTGATGGGTATGGATATGGGAATGGGTATAATTTGCGTGTGCGTTTTGTAATCCGCTCGTCCCTCTGAACAATTTCACAGCTCTCCTCTTCTCCATCCGTGAGCCACATACAGGTATCACACACCAACCACACACCCGTGTCAGCAACAGGTGCCGCCTTCACCCTCAGGGCAGCAAGAGGGAGGAAAAGTGAAAACAATGCAACCGATATCATATCTTCTCGTCTCATCTTGGTCTTGCGTCTTCATCTTTTCAGCCTCATGCAGCAAACGTCAACAACAAAGGAGAGAAAGGAGGAAAGCAATACGCCAATGACGATGCAGCCAATCCATATCGAAAACCAAAAGCGACCAAAAGGGAGAAACAGAAACGCTTCCACCCAAAAGACAAGAGGACAAAAAAGGAAAGAAGAAAACAGCCTGCCTCGACTTCTCCCCATCCCTGCGCTATCTCTGGTGCGCAGTGGGGCCCGCACCTCCGCTTAGGGCGACGTCTGCTTCTCCTTCTTTCCCCAATCAGTCCCCCCACAAGCTGGCTTCCCACCTATCCATCATGCCCATTCCCGAGCGCAGGTTGTTGATAACCCTTTGCATCCCCAAGAATACGGCCGCGATATCCTCACCCCCGCGGAACCACCCACCCTGCCCCTCCCATCAACCTCAACCTCAACCAACCCCAGCAGCCATCACGCACACCCCGTCACTCCATCCGACACCAAGGATGCGCCAGGACCTGGTCAATGGTATACCGCCTGCCGACGTCACGATCCAGCATCTTCCTAATGAGATCGATACTCTCGTCGCTAATGGTGTAAGGCACGCGCAGGTCGCGATCCATAATCTCGTCGATGCTGTAAAAGGGGTTCTCCTTGTAAATGATGGTGTACAGCAGGATGCCGAGGGCCCAGACATCCTGCTCCTTCCCGCCGTACGGCTGGCCCGCGAGGACTTCTGGGGCGGCGTAATCTGCACAGTCCGTCAATAAAATAATATTCTGGCGGGGGTGAATGAGGTCTTGAAAAAGAGGAACTCACCAATCGTACCCACAAACACATCAAAAGGCCCGCTCTTGATGTACGCCGCGCTCCCAAAGTCAATCAGCTTGATGCGGCCCTCGCCATCGAGAATGACATTCTCGTCCTTGATGTCGCGGTGCACAACCAGCGCCTTGGTGTGGAGGTGGTGGATGGCCCTGGCGACCTGCACAAAGATGCTGCGGCTCTCCTGCTCGTCCATGTTCGTACGCAGCTCGATGTAGTCAAACAGGTCCATGCCCGGCAGGCCGTGCGGTGCCATCTCAATGTAGTAGTTGACGTCGTCCTCAAAGAAATCGTCCATCTCGACAATATTGGGGTGCCGCAGCCCGTCCCGCCGCAGGTAGTCCAGCACGTGAATCTCGAGAGGGACGGTGCCCAGCCTACGGTCGCGCGTCCATGTGTCGACGAGGATGCGCCGCTTCGTAACATACTTGAGCACGCACTTCTTGCCCGTGCTGCGGTACCGCGCCAGCTTGACCTGTCCGTAGGCGCCCTGGCCCATGTCCTCGAGAATGACAAAGTCGTCAATAGTCTTCTTCTTCGGCGTCTCTGGCGACTCCGCCGGTCTGGCGGCCTCGACCTGCCGCTCCCCGTGCGAATCGGACGGCCTCTGCGAGCCCGTGAGCCTGGCGGCAGCGTTGATGGCGGCCTCTTTGAGCTGCCTTGCTAGCGAAGACGGCTTGGACTCCTCCTTCTGCGACTCGTCCGAGTCCGATGGTAACTCCAACGGCGTGTGGGCGGGCGTTTGACCTGGTGACGGCTGGTGCAAAGGAGTCGCCGCACCAGATATCACCGGCGACGACGCGCCCTGGTTCACCCGCGAAGCATGTAGGTGCCTCGAATACGTGATCCAAAGAGCATAGACCATCTCGGTCTGCGCCACAACAAACTTATTGTTGCCTTCGACTGCCGCGGACTCGTCGTCGCTGTTATCCACCACGGCCTCGCTGGACGTCGTGACCTGCTTCTCACTCTTTACCACCCGCATCTGGATGTCAATCCTGAGTTGAGATCCGTCCCGGTGCCGAGCGGGCAGACTCTCGGGGCGCAGCAATCCAGTGGCAGCATCCGGCTGGCCCTCTTCGAGAGCCAGAAAGGCCCAGGCTTTCCGGAAAGAGTGCTCGGGAATCACAATGCCTTCGACGAGGTGGATGCCGTCCCGCTCGGTGAGAATTCGGAGGACCTTGTCAAAGTTTGGCACTAGCTGGTTGATGGACATGCCGTCTGGCCTCTCGTGACCAAATAGCGCGCCGCAGAAGACCGAATTGGAGCTCTTGATGGCCAGACTGTCTGGGCACACCACGACGATGCCTGCGATGTGCGGGAAGCTCGACACACGCAGTTGGGTAGCCCCCCTAACCTGCTCCACCGTTGCCGGAATGTTGATTCTGTCACAGTTCCGGCAGGTGTAGTACTTCTTCTTGGCGATCTCCCTGTAGTCAATTTCGCCAAAGCGCGGGTCAATGCCCTGTCGCGGGATTCGAGGGATCAACTTGCCAACGTCCAAGCCGGGCTGGAGCTTTGCATTGCCCCAGATGGGACCCAGAGCACCAGAAAGCTTGACGACTGTTCCGTCTTCATCGACGTCGATGTGTGCAACATCCTCGTGGATCTCCTCCAGCACCCATATCAAGCCTACCCGCTTTTCAATCACCCAAAAGCTGGCAGATCCAGTCGCGCCATTGCGTTTCTGCCTCAAAGTGTGAGTTGCCTACCCGCGCACTACCATGTACTTTGCGCACTCACCTGGATCGGGACCACATCTCCACAAAGTAGCACGCCCCTAGATTTGCTGCTGGTGCGATGAGACTGTCCCGGCTTGGGGGGCTTCGGATCGCCACTGTGGATTGTAGCTGGCCGCCTCCCGGTCTTGGGCGTCGACGACCTCGAGTTTGGCTTGCTGAGAAGCTTCGCGGTGATCCCACCAGAGCGGGCACCGAGCAGAGTTGATGTTTGCACGGCAGGAGCCGGCTGAGCGATTTCGCTCTCCGGACCGTCTCCGACCTCATCCTGACTACCTTTCTGCAGTTTCCTCACAAGCCAAGCTCTCCTCTCCTCCTGGACCACCTCCAATATGCCCATCCTCCGAACTTCGGCTGTCGTGACACCGAAAAGCAAGCAAGCCAAATCATTGGCGGCAAGGATTGTCCATGGCGGTTTCGATTCCGTGGTAAAGATGGCTTGTGCGGCTGGCACCCACCTCGTGGGGTGGCTCAGTAGGGCAGGCGCTGCGACGGCAGGGGTATTCGGGGCCGGGGCGAAGGGTAACGACGATCTGTGGTGCGGCTGCGGCGACGTGTCAAGAGCCAGGAACGGCTGCGCCATGACGTCTATGAGTTTCTGTTGTACCGAGACCTGAATCGTGTCCGTGTCCGTCATAGTCCGCTTCAGCACGCTGGGGCGTCTCGATGTTGGCGGCGACGTTTGGGCCGTGGTACCGCTCATACCGCTCTCGTTTGTCGGTGTTCTCGATGAGTTCTCGGACCCGATGCCCTCGCCGGGCAGAGGCTGAGGTCGCGAATCCGAGGTCGTGACTGGCACATCCTGCTTGGAATTAAAGATTTGGGAGGCGGCAAACTGGGGTACCGGAGCGGTCGGAGAGACGAGTGGTGTCCTGTCGATGGGCTCGGGACTCGAAGTCCTCGGGGCAAGCCCCTTTTCGAATACATTGGCGTCGGAGACGGTTGCCGGCCCAGTCAGTGGTCCAGTTATCATGCTGGGGTCTCCGTGGGGCAGGTTCCCAGCGCCAACCAGCCGCGCCCTCGCCAACAGATCCAGCATGTTTTGCGTTTCCACATCACCCGTCGCCCGCGCCTGGGCGCTGGCTATCCCAGCGTTCGACGAGGCCGCCCAGGCCATCCGGTCCCTCATAAACTCCATGGACCTTTTGAGAACGTTTTGACGGCTGTGTATCAAGTCTTCGGACTGGTGTGCAAACGAAAATGAATGGAGAGATTCGGAGGGGAAGCGCGAGAGGTCTTCGGTAAAAGTGGGGGAGGTTGGACATGGGGATAGCGGTAGTGTGTGCTCCAGTAGCATGGTGGTCGAGACTGATCTTGTTACGGGGCCCGAGGAGGACGTCTCGCTTAGCGACGAAGGCATGGTTGGGGCACGCATCGGATTGTGCTGCTGGCGTATGCGTCTGAGTCCGGACATGCCCAGGCCATGGTCGTGGTCCGTCATGATGGAGCTCCTACGGACATTGGCTGTGTCAGTACTGGCGATGAATCAGCGCGACACCGAACCTGTTTGCCAGCGTAACAACAGACGGCCCGGCAAGCAACAACCATCGTTCTCCCTCTCGCTATTTCAGGCTGACCTTGACATTGCATCGTACTCAGCGGCTGCCGTGCCGGCATCGAACGAGAAGCGGATGCGAGCCCGTTCGGAGCTGTCGCCCATGGCGCCAAGATTTCCTGTGCTCCTGTTTTTCGGAATTTGCAAAGATGGCGAGAGTCCCCTCCAGCCACGGGCCTCGGCGTCATGTCGCGTGTCGTCGCCTGTCACAAAGAGTCAGCACGAGGGCTCAGCCATGAACGGCCCTTGCCTGCCAAAGCAAATGCGAAAGCTGTCTCGACCGACTTACCATTGTCCGGGTTCCCGCCACATATCTCGAGCATAGTTGGCGCGAGCAATGGTTGATAATCGGGGTCGAGGAAACAAAGGGAGAGACAGATGTTTCCTCGGAGAGGGCGGGAAGCAATGGGCCGGCGATCGAATTGCTGATGCAGAGAAATGGGTTAACTAGGTTAGTGGGGTTCTAGAGGCCGTGCCGTCGGTCGCCGTTAGGTAAATGGGCAAGCTACGCCACAACACTAGGGATGCTGGTCAAAACTGAGAAGCGCACAGGGCCAGCAGTTTACGCAGCTTGCCTAACTGGTTGATGAATCTGTTTTTACAGCCCCAAGAAAACATCAAGGGCGTTGTTCCAATAGAGTATTCACATCTCCTTTGGCATGCAAAGTCTTGCCAAACAGCGGCAGGAACGGCTCGCGGTGTCTGAATTCCTCGGCGAGCAGGGCGGCCAAGCATGCAGAATCGCGAAAATACCATGGTACAGATATGTGATTATATACAGATTAGCGAGGGGTACTGTCCTCGCCGTCTTGAATGGTTCACACAGATGTACATGCTTTTCCGGTTCTGTGATCGGGCATGCTAAGCCCCATGCATGCCCGTTCCTCTATACAATAACGTCCCTCTTAGTGTACAAGTACAAGACCCACGGCAGGAGAGGGAGTACGATGCAACTGACGGGAATTTTACGATTACTCTGGGTTGGGATTCGAGCCATCCTTAGATGATCATTCCGTCGATTTGGGGCCCGGCTGGACAATGTGTCATTTAGGACATCCCAGTTGTCCAAAAACGGAAAAAAGGGAGCTCTGAAGGAGAGTAATCCTACTGTGACAGAAAACGATGGTAGAAAACTCCAGGTGCCTGATAGGATATTGGAATTCCACCCCACGCTGAGAGGCTTTCTTCACATATTGTGTGGTAATTAGAACCCTGGGAGATTTCGATGTCCACCATCACGCGGGCAGACCAACAAGACGGGCTGCAGACTGCCGGTAACCGTCAGGCGACACCGAGCAGTCGCTGCCAACGGACCCAGGCGAGGGTTGGCAGTGGGGTGAAGCAGTCAGCTGCTACACTTCCCCAGGACACAGCAACAGCACGTGGCTGTTGTGGCGGCCAACGATGAGGCACACACAGGCGATCCACGGTCTTCCACATCCCGAAGCAATTGCGAGGCTTGCGATGTGGTGGAGAATTCGGCGCCAAGCTGATAACAGTTGGCGGGCCCCGAGAAAGAGCGGCATTTCAGGACAGACGGCCCGGGCGCTCCGGGGCTGAGCGGCCGGATCCCCGGCGGTCGGCTTGTGCCCAGCCAGCGAGCTGAGACGACTTGACCAAACGTTTGAAGACCACACCGCCCACTGTCCATTGTTTTGACCGGCGCTGCCACGCCGGTGGGCCAGAACAGAGCCAAGACCACACAGCTTCCTGCTGCCCCTGTCGCGTGGCCGGAATACCCGACGTCCAGAGCTGGAGAAGTACAAAGCCGAAGGGGTCAGATGGACAGATGTTCGCAGCGAGTCATGTCAGCGGACCCCTCAACCTCTTCTATGTTTCAACGCGGCAGTCCCGTCTCTCGACGTCTGGTGAGCGCCGTATCAAACAAGGATTTGATGTAGTAATTTAGGGTTGCTTGGGTCGGTTCACTTGGTAACTAGCTAGCAGCAACGAGTGAAGAAGGAAACCTCACCAGCTAAATGAGCAACCATGACGGAGCAAAAAGCAAGCCACGGTGTTGATATTCCATGTTTGTCCGGGGAACTATGCTCCTGTGTAGAATCCCTACAACAGTCCTGTGGATTTCCGGGTTAGATTCTGGATGGCTTGAGTGAGAGTTTCATCAGCCCGGTGATTGTGGAATGATGACGGGAATCTGGCCTCCTGAGATGAGATCGGCAAGGAATGATGATATAAGCGACCCCTCGACACCCCACCACACCTCTCCAGTTGTCTTGCTGGGCCGAGTTCCCTAAATAACGAACCACAGCCAATCGACGACATCTGGCCCAGTCACGAACTCCAATGGTGTTGCCACGGAAGGCGGAAGCGGTCAGATGGGGTTTTTGGGGGCTTCCGGCCCGGCCCCGGCGAACCTTGAACTATTGATGGATGGTCGACATGTCGGCAAACATTAAACGACATGCCCAGAGTCGCAGACCACTGCCCCTCCATCGCGCTATCAATCATCCGCAGCTGAATGGTGCGATGAAGACGCCACTGCTTCCCCGGGGTGCGGTTGCTCCAATGGGCAATCTTCAAGACCTGAGACCCTGCATCGCTTCTGACCTTTATTAAATCTCGCCCGTATGCCAGAATAGCCTCTCGTATTTATATGGTTGGTACCCTGTTGTGATGGCATCGGACACGCGATTGTGCTCAGATCTATGAAAAGAGACCTGTCGTTGCCCCTCACCTGCTGAACTACCTCCTTGACCTGGCCCATTTCTTCAGCTTTCTCTCTCTCCTCCAAACGCCACTGTTCGGCATCTCGGGAACTGATGATAACCGCCAGTCGTCATCTTGCTTGAACACGCCGTCCCGTATCTCCTGGGGACGTCAGTTGTCGTCACAACGACGAACCAGCCGCGTTGGCTAACTCGGAGGAAGGATCCGGGATCGCAACATCAACGATTTGGCAGCAGGACTCCAACACCGGGCTGCTTCTCCATTACCTCTGACGCTTACTCTGTTCGACCGAAACAGCGGGGAAAGAAATCTGAGCCAGCGGCCATATATTATTATCACTCTTACTTCCCACTTACACGTCAGCTACAACTTGCATTGCCAACCGCTGACCTCTCACGGTTCTGCACAGACTAGATGGCTCTCTAGACAAGGCTGCGGAAAGAGTGAATGGCCCGCCGTCCGGCTTGGGATCCGAGGTATTCCTTTGTCCACACGCGACTTTTGCCTGGCCCAAATATTACCCCAACCGTGCCTCTCGGCCATCGCTGGGGCTGACCCCACCATCCTCTCACTCTTGGGCCTCCTTGACATCGCCACCTCCGAGCGCGCCAATCCGGAGCGGCAATTGACGAAGTTAGCCGGAGGCCCAACCACAGCGCTTTATCTGTGCTATCTTCTCTGAGAAGGCTCATCGACTTCTCCCTCCACCAACCTCAACCTTCCCCGACAATTCCCTCTTCTTCTATACTTGGTCCTGCCGCGGACGAGTTCGGCTGCCCCGCGAAACAATCGCCATTATGGCCGACCTTCAGACCATACATGATGATGATGCCCTGAGTGCGTCACCGGAGCCCGCCGCCCCGGACGGAATCTTGGCCGGCGAAGCAGGGCTTGAGAACGGGACAGAAGCGCGGCCGAAAATGAGAGGACGAGATAGGCTGCTCCGTGGTCTGCAGCGCATGTCGTCTTCACCATCATTGACTCGCCCCGGCCGCCAGAGATCCGCAAGCAGTCCTTACAGCATATCCGGTGCTCTGTCTTGCGTCAGCCTGGCCTCCTCCGCCTCTCCGTTCGGCCAGCCGAGTGCCGGTTCCTACTTTTCCCAGTCGTCCGCCGCCGGGAACTCAAGCACACACACGTCGATCCCGGCCACTCCCATCACCGAGTCGCCTGTGCACGAGGAAATGGAATCGGCTCTGCCAGTTCGACCAGTGGGCCATGCCGGGCCTGTCTCGACCACAGCGTCTCTGCCGTTGAGAGTCAAGTCAAGGACGAAGATGTTCAGCTTGTGGGCGCGTATGCCCCATGAGCTCAAACTCTATATTCTTTCCTTCCTCCGTCCGAAGGAACTCGTACGGGCCTCAAGAGTGTCCAAGGATTTCTACCACATGTGCTTTGACGGCCAGCTGTGGACGAGTTTAGATGCCTCCGAATTCTACAGGGAGATACCCGCCGAGTCACTTGCCAAGATGATCGTGGCGGCCGGTCCGTTCGTGAAGGACCTCAATCTCAGGGGTTGTCTTCAGGTGGAGCATTACCAAAGGGCCGAAGTGGTAGTCAAGGCATGTCGAAACTTGATGAATGCCACACTGGAGGGGTGCCGGAACTTCAAACGGTCGACCCTGCACAGTTTGTTGAAGGCCAACAGCAAGCTCACCCACCTGAATCTCACCGGTCTGGCGGCAGTCAACAACGCCACCTGCAAGATTGTGGCTAATTCCTGCCCCCTTCTGGAGGTGTTCAATGTCTCGTGGTGCAAGCACATGGATGCGCGAGGCGCCAAGTTTGTGGTTGACGGATGCCCCAAGCTCAAAGATCTCCGAATGGGCGAGATCAAAGGATTCAACAACCTGGATGTTGCCGAGGCTATCTTCCGGACGAACAACCTCGAGCGTCTTGTCCTAGCCGGGTGCGACGACCTGACCGATACCGCTCTGCGGACCATGATTCATGGTCAAGACCCGGAAATTGATTATCTTACCGACCGCCCTTCGGTCCCGCCCCGCAGAATCCGCCATCTCGATCTCTCTCGCTGTTCTCGCCTTACCAACGCAGGCGTAAAAGCCCTTGGCTACCTGGTGCCTCACCTCGAGGGCCTCCAACTCTCCGGCGTCACCCGCCTCGGCGACTCCGCCCTCGAGCCCATCCTGGCCTCCGCCCCCTGTCTGACCCACCTCGAGCTTGAGGACCTCTCGCACCTGACGAACTCGCTTCTCTCCCAGCACCTCGCCAAAGCTCCCTGCGCGCCGGTGCTCGAGCACCTCAGCATCAGCTACTGCGCGCGCCTGGGCGACGCCGGCATGCTGCCCCTCATGCGCGCCTGCACGCGCCTCGAAAGCGTCTTAATGGACAACACGCGCATCAGTGACCTCGTCCTAGCCGAGGCCGCGAAGATGGTGCGCGCGCGCTCGGCGCTACGCCCCGCCGCCGCCCTTCCCCGCGTCACGCTTACCCTGGTCGTCTACGATTGTCCGCTGGTGACGTGGACCGGCGTCCGGGAGGTGTTGAGCCGCAATACGGACGTCTTCGCCCGCCACCGGGACTGGAATGCTAAAGCCACTGCTGATGACAAGGGGAAAAGGAAGGAACCGGCCAACAACGACAACAGCTTCTATGGAGAGGTGATTAATGACAACAACAACAACGCCTCGTCGTCATCGTCGTCGTCATCGTCCTCGTTCTCATCCAAGTCCTTGCAAGTCACCCCCCGCAACCAACCCACCAACAGCAACACCGAGGTGATTGGGCTCAAGTGCTTCTACGGCTGGCAGATGACGGTTGACGAGCATACCAAGAGGGTGCTGAGGGGCGATGTCGCGGCCGCGAGGCGACTCGAGAGGAAGTGGGCCGACTATATGCAGGCGAACGAGGAGGCCGAGGCGGGAGGGTCGGGTGGCAGGCGGAGGAGGAGGCGGGTTAGGGAGGCGCAGGCTGCGCATGATGAGGAGGAAGGGGCTGGTGGGGCTGCAGATGACGGGGAGGAGGCTGGTGCTGGTGCTGGTGGGGGGACTACGGGGCGGAGGAGGGCTAGGACCACGGTGTGTGTGGTTATGTGATGGCGTGGCGACCATCGGAGGTGAGTATTTAGTTGGTGGTGATGCGTGGGTTGGGGGTAGTCTTTGAATGTGTGGAAGTGGGATTGTATGAGTTATGACTGGATGGGAATTGTGTCGGGTGGGATATGGTTGCACTGCTGGGGAGTTCAGGGAGTTTGTTTTTTTTTTGGGGAAGTATGGTTTTTCGTCGGGGTTACTTTGGTTATAGGACATTGGAGTCCAGTTTGGCATGGAATCCACGGAGTTTTTAGGTTCACTGCTTTACATATCCGTAGCCATCAGTCCAGGCCAGACTTGTCAGGCCATAGGGAATGGATGTCGAGCTCAGTTTCCTCACCTCTACTCACATACCTTTACATAGCCTTGACGCCTCGCCAGGTACAATACTGCATAGGGCCGTCATCAACGCTTTTTCAACCTCTTGTCCCTTCAATATACATATTTCAGCCCTGGTCCGTTCGTTAGCATGGCACATGGCGGGCATTAGATACGAATGTCAAGACGAGATTCAAGAAAAGTCAGAAAACAGAGTAGGAAGATTGAAAGCAGATTATGGAGGATAGAGACACAACTAAGGGAAGGGGAATGCGGATAACAAAAATAAAATAAAAGAAGAAGACGACAAGATGTAATATACAAGAAGGTAAAAGCCAACCAAGTGTCCAAGACTTTAATTTCGAGCTAATTAAACACCCATGGCTGGGTTGTGTCACCGTGTGAGAGGGTAGCATATACTTTTGGGGCATAGCGGCATGTATTCGCTCGAAGGCTTCATGAACAAGGCACCCGCAATCCTTCTACAGTCCTACCAAGCATTCCCACACGATACTTTGCACGCTCACCCACAGCATCGAGTCTGAACCACTCGAGCGCCATCACAACACGCTCCTGAGAGACCTAACACAGGTCCTCACCAGTGTTTCGGGTCAAGCTGTGCTTGGTCCAACGGTGGTTGCAGGAGAGCAACGTCACATGATAACTGCAAGCGGCCCTGGTATGGCAATATGTCATGTCCAAGCCAGCAGGTAGTGGGAAGGTCTGAGTCCTCATAGGATGAAGGCAGATTGGTGTATAGGCTATCGACAGGCGAGCCGGGAGACAATCTGGTCCCAAGGCGTGGTGGTTGAGATAGAGGGGAAAGGGACTAACATCGACCACACAGAGATCACCAACCATGGCCGGTCTGCCTTCCACAACAGTTGGGTTTGTGATGGCATACTGGGTCTCACAAGCAGACAATTCCGAGTCCCGGCACAGTTGCCGCGGCTGCGACGTCACTGGGCAGCGGCCTGGTAGTTGCACAACATGTGTTGTATCCTCTTGGATGTGCCTCGCATCTAAAGCAGCGATCAGACCAAATTGCACTGGGACATCATGAGCTTCGATCGCCATTGACAACGGGTGAGGTATGTGGCGCAATGTGTCTCGAGAGAAAATCCGATACAGGCAGGCGTCCAAGATCAGAGATCGCTCTCCATACGATCGACGCGGACGCACGGGGCCGCCTCCTGCAGAGAGGAGGCCGCAGAAGGGCCGCGGGGGAAATGTCTGATTTACAGATGCATCCTGGCGGTAACACACGGCGTGTGCCGTCCCCCACACATCTCGGACGAAATGGATAGGCCGTTGAGAGCTGCAGGGTCACTCTTCTGGCTCCTACTGTGTATGGAGGACCAGGTGTGACTGCACCACCAATGGCTTTTATGGTCAAAACTTGTCGATGTGTTGGCTGGGGCCAATGGTGGTCGGGCTGCGTTCGACTGGCTCCAAACCATCTGCTGCAGTAGTTGATGCGAGATGAGATGCCGTCACAGTCGAAGCTGCCCCAATGCTGTTCGCTATTCGGTTTTGTCGAATCAAAGAGAACAAAACAGCCACAGTCGGTATTCCCCTGTATCAAAACAGAACGGAAGAAGAAGAACTAAGATCATGAAACCCCGCGAGATATGTGTGCGAGTAAAGCTATATACTCCGTCGACATCGGGGTGTCGCTAGATAAGACACCAAGGTCAGCAGAGCGCACATACCAGTTTCAGGCCCAGGCTCAAGCGGGGCTAGCATCCAGTAGATCCGAGCGATCCTATGGAGCAGGGCAACCACGCAAATGGCAAGCTGCAACATGGAATTTTTTGTCACTGTGTTTGTGTGGGCTTGGAAGCAACCTAGCTTTGCAAATCAGCTCGATCGGTTGCTTCCAGGTTGCGCTTGAAAAGAGTGGGACATTCCTTGTTCGGGGTAACCGCCACCATATGAGCAGGCGGAAGCTGCAGTAACCACTGAGCGAGCTCCACCATAGCCGTTGACTGCTTGATAGTTGCTGTATGGGTGTCGTAGACGTGGACGGGAGTTGTGAGCTTCAAATACCTGGTACTTTCAGGGAATCTAGAGATCACTCGAGCTGGCATCGGACACAGGGCGCCTGGTCACCGGCCTTTGACCCATGGGTCAAGCTTTCGCCCTTTCTTTCAACCTGCGCTCGCCCCTCGTCACCCAAAGAGCTGCCAAACCCGGCGGCCCCTCTTTTTTCCTTTTTCAACTCCCGCAGGCCTCTCTTCCTTCCACGGACCACACACTTTTTTTCCTATGGGGTGGATTGAACCTGCAACCTTCACCTTCCACCATCTCCTCATCCACCATCACCTACCCATCTCGATCCTTTTCTCTCTCCCACTCCGGCATCTCCCTCCGGTTGTTCCGTCCCTTGCATCGGCGTCCGCATCCTCCGCCGTGCACCGCCTTATCCGTCGCCCATTCCATCCAATTCAGGTCATTGCGACATCTGGACGGCATTTAGGAGCCCCGCAGCTCTCTCGAAGGATACTCCACAACTCGTGTCCCACCGCCTTCTGAATTAGGTATGTGCATTCTGCCCCGCTATGAGGCTATCTCTTATGGCGCATTTCTCTTTCTGTATCCGCCATCGATTTGCTCTTTCCAGTCACGAAATACGCCCAGGGAAAGCTCATCGGAACCTGTACGCTAGAGGTTTTCACTCTTCTACAACGACCATGCTCTGGGTTTGTTTTGGCTTTGGTGGCGCAACCCATTCCGGCTTGTCGATTGTTCACCTCCAGCTAATTCTTCCCCCACAGTTCGAAACTCCATTCCATACCTTAGCTTTTAGCTTCTCCCAACCGCGTGTGGCCACCCATATCTACTCCGACAGACAACCGCGCTGTTGTCTGGGATCCATTGAGTCGCGCTCCCCTCGCAAGACTCGCATTCTCAACCGCAATGTCGGCGCCCCAAGACCCCATTCCGCCCAATGGGGCTGACCTTTCCGAGACCATGGACCAGCTCAATCTTGGTGGTGACAATGAGCCTCGCCTGGGTCCGGACGGAGAGCCGGCGCCCAAGACAGACGAGGAGTATGCTCAAACGCAGCTGACCTTGCGCGCGATTGTTTCGTCCAAGGAAGCCGGCGTGATCATCGGGAAAGGCGGAAAGAACGTTGCCGACCTGCGCGACGAGACCGGCGTGAAAGCTGGCGTTAGCAAGGTCGTCCAAGGCGTTTACGACCGGGTTCTTACGATTACTGGCGGCTGCGAGGCCATCTCAAGAGCTTATGCCGTTGTCGCACGGGCGCTGCTGGAAGGCGCTCCCGCCATGGGCATGGGCGGTGTCATGCAGAGCAATGGCACTCATCGTATGTCCCCAGCGTGACCAAGTTTGCTTGTGACATGCTGCTGATTCTGTAACGCAGCCATCAAACTGCTCATCTCCCATAACCAGATGGGCACCATTATTGGCAGGCAGGGTCTCAAGATCAAGCACATCCAGGACGTGTCTGGCGTGCGTATGGTCGCGCAGAAGGAGATGCTGCCGCAGTCGACCGAGCGGATAGTCGAGGTCCAAGGCACGCCCGAAGGCATCCAGCGCGCCGTTTGGGAGATCTGCAAGTGCCTGGTGGATGATTGGCAACGCGGCACTGGCACCGTTTTGTACAACCCAGTCGTCCGGACCCAAGGCTCCGGTGCGCCAGGCGTGACTGGGGGAAGCAGCTACGTACAGGACAGGGTCCCATACGGCGGCTCCCGGGTGACGCGGACAGGCAATGGCGCTGACTTTAGCAACGGCGGGTCTCGGCCCTACAACCGCCGTTCCGATTCGGACGCTGCGGCTCGTGGCCCGCCGACCCACGACGAGAACGGGGAGGAAATCCAGACACAGAACATCAGCATCCCGGCTGACATGGTTGGCTGCATCATCGGCCGTGCCGGCTCCAAGATCAGCGAAATCCGCAAGACATCAGGAGCCCGCATTTCCATTGCCAAGGTGAGTGCCGGTGGCTCCGAGCACACAAGGCTGTCTTGGGTGCTAACGAAAGCGACAGGCTCCTCACGATGAGACGGGCGAGCGGATGTTCACCATTATGGGCTCTGCCAAGGCCAATGAGACGGCGCTCTTCCTTCTCTACGAGAACCTCGAGGCGGAGAAGATGCGCCGCCAGCAGCAGGCTGGGCAGGCGTCCGAGTAGAGCCCGGGCGAAGGCCGAAGGACCCATAGGCTGTGACAACAGAGCCATGTTGCAGCCGATGGATCTACGCAAATGGGACATTCACCCAGCTGCCTAAGCGACACCGTCCAGGTTTTCTGGCTTGGGTCGGATTTGGCAGCCCCTCGGTATGGGTTATCAACCAGATCTGACTGCCGCAAGGCTTAGTATTCAACGGAGGGAATGATGCGATGACACTTTTTCTTACTCCAAAAAGCATTCCGCCGGGTTCTTCTCTCCCACTTTCTTTCCTTGGACTGATTTCGCTCCCCCTCATCCTACCACTCTTTATTCGGCGACAAGGACCCACACAACAAGTGGTTGCGGACCACATCAGTGACCTGCTGAGAAAGGCAGAGTCCAAGGGGGCTGCCAGGGCAGGACTGCCGCCAGTCCGACTGCTCGTGGCTTCTCTAGTCACAGGGCAAACACGTCACCAGATTTGCTACTCAACTCGAGTCCGCCACCGCTCTCCTTGCTCATCCGTCGCGTTACCAGGCCGTCTCTCTCTGTTCTCAAGGACCCATATCCTCTTACACTCGACGGTTGAGCTTGGCCAAATTCTCATACCAACCGTAATTGCTACTCTTCCCGCCGTCTTCACCCAGCTTCCGCAGCAGGAGGGTTGCGGCAATTCGTGCACCAGCGACTCGCATCGTTTGCACGACCTTGGGCTGAAGCCTGATATCAGTATTATCTTAGGGGAGACACTGAGGAAGCTCATTTAGGTGGAGGCAGTGGGCGGAACTAGTATATGAATATCATGACAAGTTGTGATTAATGCCGCCCGGTATGTTGTTGATTGGTGCTGTTGTATGGCTCAGCTGAGCGTCGCTTCTCTGGCGGCTTGTGACCCCTGCGTGCTATTTTGTTCCGTCTTCATGTTGGTACGGTAGGATACGTGAGGTACGGTCTGCTCAGGATAAGCATCGCATGTGAGTCTGGAATTGGGGCTGTTTGTTGACCCCCCAGGCCACCTCGGCCACCTCGGGCACATGGCACCCCACACCTTCGTGGATCGCGAACGGGCAGCCCTACTAGGTAACGGCAAGCAGGCCGCTAATAAGCGACCCGCTAAACCGGGCGGGCGGCTACCGTGGTGGGAGCTGTTGTGGAGAACCTGGAACGCTCAGCTCCGAAAAGCCAGCCTGGCCGATTCCCCTCGATTGTCAGGGTCCTTCGGACGCGCATTGGAGCAATCCTCCTCGTGTCGAAACCCCAATTATTTCCAGACACAACTCACCCTCGCTTTGCCTTTCTCTTATTTTGCCTTTTGCCTCGTTTGTTTCTTTGCGAGATTTTGTGAACCATTGGTCGTCGTGACCGGTCCCCTCAGTTCCGGGTCCTATTCCCGGATTTCGGGGCGAGTCAACAAGGTTCTTGCACATAAACAAGGCTACTCTGCCACCGGCCATGGCTCGCACAAAGCAGGCCACACCTCTCTGGCGCGAGCCCTCTTCCGAGTACATCAGCAAGGCTGATCGCACTCCGCGAAGCAGGAAAGTCAGTGCGACGCACGGGATGGCAGACGAGCTCAACGGAAAGGCCAATGGCGAGGTTTTGGCCAGTACCAGCGTGCCGAGCACCGAGACCAAGACCCCCGTCACAAAGAAGGACGCTGGCATTGTCACGCTCATCGTCGACATCGCCGGTATCTATGCGTCCTTGTGAGTATCCTTTCCCCCCAAATCCACATCCTCGAACTCACTAGGGCTAACAACTCCTCTAACTCCCTTCCAGCCTAACATGGGCCTACCTCCAAGAGAAGCTCACCACCACTACCTACGGCCCGCCCACCGTCCCCGAGCGCTTCAAGTTCCCGGTCTTCCTCCTGACAATCCAATCCGTCTTTGCCTTCCTCGGCGGCAAGCTCTTCTCGGTCCTGACCACCCCGCGCGGGCAGCCCTCGCCGCCGCTGATCCCCACCCGCCAGATCCTGCCCCCGCTGTTACTCGTGGCCTTCACCAACGCCCTCGCCGCCCCCTTCGGCTACGCCGCCCTCGCTCACATCGACTACATTACCTACATCCTCGCCAAGAGCTGCAAGCTCTTGCCGGTGATGTTCCTGCACATCACCGTGTTCCGCAAGCGCTACCCGCTGTACAAGTACCTCGTCGTGGCGGCCGTGACGTGCGGCGTCGCCGTGTTCACGCTGCACTCGGGCAGCCGGAAGCATGGTGGTGGTGGTGGTAACAATGATAAGAGAGCGGCTAGCCACAGCGGGCAGACGGCGTGGGGAATGCTGCTGCTCGGGATCAACTTGTTGTTTGATGGCCTGACGAATAGCACGCAGGATTACATCTTCCAGACCTTCAGGGGGTATACGGGTCCGCAGATGATGGCGGCGAATAATCTGCTGGGTTCGGCTATCACGGGCGGGTATCTGGTGCTGAGTCCGTGGTTGGTGCAGACGCCCGTCGGGGAGTGGTTCGGCATGGACGTGACGGGCGCTGGGGCCGGCGAGTTGAAGGCGGCGTTGGGGTTTTTGGCGAGGTATCCGGCCGTGTGGAGAGACGTGCTGGGATTTGCGCTGTGCGGGTGCATTGGGCAGGTGTTTATTTGTGAGTTGCTGGCCCCCTTTGTCTCCATTCCCCTCCTGTGTTTGAACAGGGGCAAGGCGCTAACTTGGTCCCCTCAAACTAGTCCACACGCTCTCGACCTTCTCGTCGGTCCTGCTCGTTACCGTCACCGTCACGCGTAAGATGTTCACCATGATCCTCAGCGTCGTCGCGTTTGGGCACCGGCTGTCGCAGATGCAGTGGTTGGGTGTCGCGCTGGTGTTTGGCGGCATCGGGGTGGAGGCGCAGATCGCGAGGCGGGAAAAGCTCGCAAAGGAGGCGGCGAAGAAGGCCAAGGGGCAATAGCCTATGGGATTGTAGAGAGGGCGAGGTGGAGTTGTACATACATATCATTCTGTTTCTGGTACATACATACTTGGGTAGATAGTGATACATCTGGTTTATTTTTGGCTGTTGTTGACTTTCAAGTTAGCAGCCCCTTGTCTATCTCGGCGAGCCTCCGAGACGAGAATGCGTGGATGCTCCCACCATAATTCTTCAAGCAATGGGTCCTCAAAAGTTCACAAGCAGGAAGAACCGGTCGTATAAGTATATATATGTTTTTTAACGTTGATAGCCACATGGTGTTCGTAGCCTAATCCCATCCTTTACACAAAAATAAGAATTACCCAAGTACTCCTCCCCGGTTCCGTGCCATGACCCCAAGGATACCGTCCACATGCACCACCCTCCTCCGTCTCTTCATGTTTTCCATTCCACACCCTCAATCATTTCACATCAGACCAAACCCATCTGGCCGCTCTATTTATACATTTCGTTTAGTTGACGGAGGAAAGGAACCAAATAGATGCGTGCTGTTGTTGCTGCTGCTTGCTCGCTAACGCTCGACGAACACCGGAGACGGGAAAAAAGCAATATCGCCAAATCCCCGAGGGGCAAAAGCAGTTTCAAGACCTCCCAATGCTCTCTCAGCCCTCAAACCGTGACATATGCTCGCATAAGTTGCTCACAGCAGAGAAAACGATAGCCAACCCTCTCAAAACAACATAGGAAAGCGCACCAGGGGTGTGCTAGGCACTATAGATATTGCAAAGCCGTTACCCCACCCTCTTCTCAACCCCGGAGGACACGAAAATTCAAATCAGTTCGTCAATCGACCGTACAATCGGCGTCTCCCCCTTAGTAGGCGGACTGCGCGGGTCGGCCGTCTGGATCGGCCTCCCAAACGGAAAGAAGGGGTCGCGCGGGAACATGGTTTCGCGCGGCGAGAAGAGGCCGTCGCTCGGCGTCGGCGGCACCTCGACAAACTGCATGCCCGTCATGCCCGACAGCGACTGATGGATCGGGTTGTTAGTCATGGTCTCGGCGCGCGGCGACAGCAGAGCCGCGTCGTCGGGGAAGCTCGGCAGCATCGCCACCGGCCGCTCTTGGGCGGGCGCGGGCTCTTCCTTCGTGGCTGCCGGTTTCGGCGGGGGGCCGAGGTTCAGCGACCCAAAGCCAAGGCTGGCCGGCTTGGAGCCGAACCTGTGCGCACCAAACCCTGGCGAAGGAGGTGGCCTCGCAAACGGATTTGACGGCGGAAAACCAGGAGACATTGGTGGCCGGGATAGCTCAAGCGGGACGAGTCCTGGGGATGGCGGCCGTCTCGATAGAAGTGGAGGCGCAAGCTTTGGCGACCGCGGTGGCTTTGACAAGGTAAAAGAACCGAGCCCCGGCGAGGGTGGAGGTTTCGACACCGAAATGGACGGCCCGCAATCGCCTCGCTTGGGGGCAAGCATGGAATCGATATTAAAGCGGCCAAATTTCCCTGGGTCCGACTCATCCTCCTTCTCTGACCATGAGAAACTCGATGGAGCGGATGAAGGGCCCGGTGAGATCGGCTCTCCCCGGTTAGGAGTCGAGTTTCCTCTTGCCCGGTTAGGACTCCTCTCGGGACTCACATGTTTCGAAGCCACACCGTCAGCCGGGAGCGGGGCGGTAAGGGGTTCCTTAGCTGCCACCTCAATGTTGTCCGCTGACATGGTCGCCCTGTGTTTTGTCGGGCTTCTTCCTGAGCGCGGCTTCAGCCCCGCGCTTGGTGCGAGCCTCCTCTTAGCGACCTCCTTCTGGAAATCCTGCAAGCAGTACATCAGTTTCATGTTGGGACTGATCCACCGACTCTTGGCCTGAGCCGCGTAGTAGGCGTCGTTGACGCTTAGCTCGGGGTTCTGATAGAGGCCGTAGGCAATGATTAGACTCGCCGATCTGCTGGCGCCCTGTTGACAATGTACCAGCACCTTCTTCCCCTCCTTCGTTCGCTTGTCGATTGTTTCGCAAAGAGTCATGAGGTCCCGCGCAATATCCGTGTTGTGGTCCCATGGAATGTGGATGTACTCGGGCTCCTTGAAAGGTTGTGCCCTGGGCGTTGTTGGCGTATCGCCTGAGGCGTCGTCAGGAAAGTATTCAAACGCGGTGGCATAACTCGCCGTTGTCGCCGCAGTCTCCGGAATCGGAGAGTCTTCAGCAGGTTTCTCCTTGGACTCTAGACTTTGCTGGCGATTTGAGGCAGCCTTGAAAGGATTGCTCACTTCGCGCGCCACGTTGATAACCACATCGAAGCGGGCCGCCTCTTCAGCAGTCGGCTCAAGATAAAGATAAACATTGTCGCTGTAGATCGCGATAGGCCCATCTGGATACCCGGGCGATTTCTGGTCCTCATTGTTCTCAACTTCATGGTAGGGCTCGCTGTCAAACGCAATGCGATTCGCCACCTGTGGTCGTATCGGCGAATCTTCTTCCTGGATTGTTGGGCCCAGCGCAGGGGCATCGGCTGGCCGGGGTGGGCGGAAAAAAGTCGAGAGGCCCGACTCATTTCGCTCCATCACGGTCGGAAACGTCATGCCCTCAGGTGGGCCGAATGTCGCCGATTTCAGACCCGACAGCATCTGAGGGGTTGATGCCGAGTGTTTCAGAGCGCGACGTTGCAGGATGGGAGCGACGGTGGGAGAGTGGGGCACCTCGACTGTCGTGCGCGCTATCAGGTCTGAAGAGTTCGTTTTGAGGCTGAGCTGACTGGGTTTGCGCTTCATGGGAGCGATCATAGGCTTGATAAAAGAGGGCGAAGAAGGCTCAGACAGCAACGATGAGGAAAGTGAACTCATGGGCGGCTGGATGGAGAGTCCTTTCATGTTCTTGAGCCGCCTGGGCCCTGGTGATGTCCTCGGCCGATCCTGGTTTGGGTCGGAGACCGTGAGACTGGCCATGCCGGACAAGCGCCCGAGCGACGCCGCAGCAAAACTCGGAAGCTGGGCAATATTTACGGGGGAATCAGGGGACGAAGACGGAGAGGGGTCGGAAAGATCTGATGAATCTGTAATCGATACTGTCGTCGTCGGGGATGAGTCGGCTGACTCGGTCATGTGTGTTGATGTGCTGTCATTGTGCCTGTGAGCGGCTTCTGAGGGCAATGAACCGGGTCTCAACCCTGGTTGTGAATCGGCGGGTAGCTTTGCGTCCTCCATGACCAACTTCGGGTCGACAATTGTGACAGAATTCGACTGGTCCATGTCGATGCCACTGTCCACCTCATAGACAGACATTATGGAGGGGATTTGGTCCTCAAACAACCGTCGCGCCACGGCAGACGGCATATTTTGTGAATGTGAGAAGGCAATGCCTGTTGTGGCTTTTCGGCTCACCAGACACACCCGGTCTGACCTCCCTGCACTTCAATCCGGCCACAGCCACGTCGTCCGTACGGTCGGCTAGCAGGTCTCCGGCCTCCCCGCCGTCTGATAGTCGCAGAGGGGCGAAGACTAAACGACGTTTGCCCAGATGCACCGCTTGAAATGTTGCGGATATCCTTGCTTGGAGCAGACGTTCTTGTCGACAATGTTTCAATGACGAAGTCGGGCGACGCCGGACAGCCCTGCTGTATCCTTGCTGCGTACTCGACCTGTGTACTGCAGAGAAAATAAAAGCCAGCCAGTTTCTCAAAAGCTCCGGCTCTTGCGACCAAGTCTGTTGTTCCCAAGATCGAACTGTCACGGCGACGCAGAGACGCGGTGATGAAACAATGGGCGGGAGCGAAAGAGGCTTGTAAACCTGGCGGAGACTGGGTTCGGTCTCACTGGAGGACTGCGGCGCAGCCGAGCGGAGAATCCAGTGGGCGGTAGACGATAGGACCAAGAGAAGAATGAGTGGAAGGCGAAGCGGCCAGCGACCAAGACCGTGTAGGCGTCAATACATGGTCTGGCGCTCTTCCCGTCGCGAGGGAGCCGTGGCAGCTTGGGTGAATCCGGCGGTCGAACGGCGGGGTCTCTTTGTTCCTCGGCAGCCGAGTCTGGTTCTCGACCCAAAGCCACGTTCCCGTCCGAACCTTATAGCGTTCCGTCCCTTTCGATATTGATGGCGGACGGAATGGGTGGGAAGAAAAAGGGATCGGACTGCTGGGGGAGCGAAAAAGCGAAGGAAAAGAGAATTGGCGGGTTGAGAAGGGCAAGGATGGGCGCGAATTCATTGACGGGGATGTGGTGGGCAGCAGAGCAATGAGGCCGAGAACCTGGAAACCTGAACCAGAAGCGCTGAGAAGAGGGCTCCACGGTGCAGCCTTTCAGGCTAGAATTGGGCAAAATTGGAGGACCAGCAAGGCAGAACAGGACAGCCCGCAGCAGGACGCTTGCAGAGTGCAGACGCTGCATTCCCACCTCGAAAAGCCCCCGTCTTGTTGCTGATGAGCGGCATGGGGGAAAGCCTTGGGACTGGAGCCACTGGCCTGCGACACAGCTTCCGCGTTGCCTGCGCCAGGCTTCGTGCAGGGGCGCTGGCTGCGATGCGGGTCGCATGGGGACTGCCGCCGGCCAATGGAAATCCAGTCTGGTGCACCCCACTTGGTTGCGCAGAACGCCGGCGGCTAGCCGGTCTTTGCGGCTTGTTCTGCTTTCAAACAATCCAAGCTAAAAATAGATGGTGTGACCCATGGAAGCAGAATTGTTCAGCACTTTTGATTGGGAGCTCTTCCCGGCTGGAGTTCGTCGGACCAATCAATGACAGTCAACGAGGTTGAGTGCAGCCCTTGCCACTCGCTGTCAAAGCTGTCAGCTGGATATTCAAGTCCCTCTGCCCCTTGAGCAACTCCGTACAGAGGACACCGTGAGACGCACTGGAAGAGCGGTTATAAAAGTGCCAGTCTGGCATCTCTCCATTGCGATCCTCTGCAGCCGGCAACACCCTAAGGTTGGGATTCGAGCCACGGTACGGAGTACACGCGTATCAGTAAGGTAGTGGTCGAACCCAGGTTTCTCACTCGCAGCCCATGACACAACAGGGTTATCCTCGATGAACTTATTCTGGGCTGCGCTATTGTTAGATTACCAGCATGCGACAAGGCTACTTGTTGGGGTCGCATGTCGGTCTCGCCCTTGGAAAGAAATAAACTCTTGACTCGCGCTTGTGCCAGATCTACGGACGTACCAAATCTGGGTGCGGGATGTCACCGAGGACCAAAGTCGTCCGCAAGAAGTGAAGCTTAGCGCCAGCCAGCCGCTGGTAAATCAGAGAAGCGGCCGTGAATTTGGGTCGAATTTTCAGGCTCGCCGCTCCATGGCGTAGCCCCACGAGGTGGTCCCTTTTTCCAGGCCATCTCGTCATGGTCTTCAGGAGCCTCCCTTGTCTTGTGGCCATCTTCGACCTTGGGCCCAGAGCCTCGATCAGTCCGGTCAACCCGTTCCGGGAAACCGTCAGGCAAGCATCCGGCGCCGTTCTTCTCAGATCGAGATTTGTTTGGGTTGTGCGAACATCTCATCGCTGTACCTGTATTTGCGCCGTCTCCCGCCCGTCCCTACTGTATATGTGTCTTTGCGATATCCGACTGTCGGCTTCAAGTTGCGCACACAAGTTGATCCGGCCCTCCGAAACCTGAAACGAGCCAAGTTCGATGGAAGCGGGGAAACGTGGGAACATGGCACGTGCACACTCACACACTGGAAATCTCGCTTGTTTGAGGCTTTGAGAGCAGCGGGGTGCTGTCGGTTACAGATACAGATCCCCGTTCCCTCCACATTGGGAAAAAACATCGTCGCTTTCCATTTTCGTCAATCATTAGCGGGCAGAAAGCCAGGCGCAGAGCCTTACGTCAAGCAGATCCAAGCACAGTACTGTCGTTAATCATAATTTTTGCGCCCTCCGCCAGCCTTACCACGAAAAGCCCGCTCGACAACCCATATAAGGTACCGCTCACGAGGACAACGGTACAATCGCCCGCCAGTCTCAACCCAACCATCGATCGATACGTTTGAGGCATCCCCCAACGTTGGTCTCCCCACGAGGTTGACTGTCTACGCATGGTATGGCGTGACCCGACCGGGCAGTGAGGGACGCGGCGCGTCTGATATAGCTCGGAGGTCGTAGGGTATGCGGACCACCCGGTCAGCTCCAGACCAAGTCATCTACAAAGCGTACTATCATCAACCAGCAGGATAATGTAGCCATGCTCTGCTCCGTGTCTGATAAATCGTGGGCATTGCACTGCCTTCGCTGAAATTGCAGCACACGCCCGTCATGACTCGAAGATAATGCGGTCTTCGAGAACAAACATGGGACGCGTTCCAGCCCGGTGGAGTGGTATTCTCCATCAGACTCGGTCAATCTGAGGTGCTGCACCCGGACATCCCCAGGGCCCTCTTCTTCTGTCGCGCACTTGAAACCACGTAATCCTGCAATGAGCCCGACGATCCTTTGGGCCGCTCATTCGTTTCGTGACTCAGCTTCAATCGAACCGCATGGCCAGATCACCGTCTGAGACTGACATTGCTATGAGCACCGCTCTGCCCGCGAGTGATCGGGGACGAGGCCATGATATGAACTGTCGACAAGGACACCAAACTTGGGGTCAGAGGGAGCTCAGACACGTCAAGGTACAGTTCAGAAGAGCGTGCCATGTCTGAAATGCAAAGCGCTGCTCTGAGACGTTCTGGACGATCGGTCTTGCTTACCGGCTCCTCGGGGCGCCACCGTGAACATCATGATGGAGCAGTCAAGGTCACGACACGAATCTGCTGCTGGACGTTAGTTACCTGTAGGTACCGGAAATATGCGAGCCTGTGCGGCCTGCATAGGGCAGTCACAACGGCAATTCTGACTTTTGAGAAGCGGTTGACAGATGACGGTGGAAAAGCGGGCGACAAGGGATGTGGACATGGCCAATCGGCGAACCTATCCGAATTTGCTCTCTATCCCTCGATTCCTTCGCTTCTATTGCTTCTTCCCAACCACGCTGCATGTGAGCATCGACATTCGATGTTCCCGTTGACAAGCCCCTTTAATTCGCCAATTCCTTCTCTCATGAGACGAGGAATGAGGTGCGGAACCTTGTCGGTGAGGCCCGGCGTCGTCAGACCTTTTACCCGCCACCGTCCTCACCTGCTCATGCATGCCTTGAGAGAAGGTCGTAACAGCAGGGATGGCTGCGGGGCTCAATGCGACACCAGGTTTGCTCGACTCTGCACCTGCATGCTTCTTCTTCGGCTCGTTGTGCACAAATGGACCGGGCAGGCAGGCACAAATACTTACCGGCAGGAGTTGCTGTATAGTCCATGGACAGACTGTCGAGACGGGATTTGGCAACTCGATGAATATCTTGCTGGCGACAGGTAAGATACTCGCTAATAAGGTCCTCGGGTAGCCAAAAACGGAGTCGGAATGTTTACATCAGGTTATCCATACAGGGCTGCCCATTGGCTCGCCGCACCGTCGGCCGTCCATAGACTCCAGTCAGCGCTCGTTCATTACGGTAACATTACCGTTATCGAGAGTGCTTCACAACAATCGACCACAGGGTTTCTTCCTGCACTTCAAAACCGCTGTCCGTCATACGACTCGCTCTCTAAAAGAGCTCCGCTTGATTGCTGGCATAATCGCCTGCTCACGATTCATCGTGCTTATTTCTCGCTGCTCATTGCTCACTGACTCAGTTGTATCTACACTACCCATTGCCTAAGGTACCTTGCCCTGCGATCTCTGACTTCTGCTCCCGGTGGTTGCTGTAGCTGCCAGATCGAACGCGCCCAGAGCTCAGCGTCTTCGACCTTCACTTGGACTGGCAAACATCATTTCTGATGCGATTCTCTCACAATACGTCTAATGTCCCGAGTCCGAAGACATGACATCGAACAGACATCTTCCCAAAACACAGATTTTGAAGCTCGCCTAGAAATCAGGAATCAGAAAAGCATTTTAGCACGGCACAGCAGTGCGTGCGGGTTGAGGGCGTGGTGTGGAGACGGAGGCACAGGGCACCTCGCTTCCCAAAAACATGACATCGTCCAGTTTCGCTGCCCATTCGCGGGCTTACACCAGCACCCAACCACAACCGACTCTTGAGGCCCATGAAAACAGCGGTACTTCTGGCAATCGCGCACTGGGCAGCAACAACAACAACAACCCGTCGTTCAGCACCGATGACAGTATCTTTGATGCGCACCGTCGCAGCCACAACTCATCCAAGCTCCCAGCTTTTCGTTTTGCCGACCTGAGGAAGGATCGCATTTCGCTACCCTCCTTGCAGCAGCCCACCCCACTCGCGCCCATTCTGTCGAGGCCCCTGGGTTCGTCGGAACAACTCCACCACCACAGCAGCGCTCAAACCCTCACAGACAGATCTGCTTCAATTGAAACGAAGCAAACTGGCGGTGTTACGAGAAGTCGTTCCCTCAAGTTCCATTTTCCTACGACTGCTTCGAACCACTCGCCTTCAGGATCGAAGCGACCGGCGTCATTTCCAGAGCCAGTCAAAGACACTGACGGCGCGTCTGCGGCCCAGTCGCAAGTGTCCTCCGTCCCTGCTCCCGCGATCAAACGTCGCTTGACGGAGAGCGCAGTCAAGGAGCCGGTGCCAGCGCGGCGAGATTTGTTGTTGCCCAAGACTGTCGAGAGTTCGACTTCTGAGTCGGACGACAAGAAGTCGCGCCCTCCACTGTCGTACAAACTGCCCAGCCCCAGCAGCACCGCCAGCGCGTCGAGAGGGCGCGCTGTGATTCCTCCTATCCGATCCTTCCGCTCCTCTGGGTCGCGCAAGAGCGCTGTGCTTGATATGCCTTCCCGGCGCACGTCCCAAGACTCTTGCAACGAAGAGCAGCTAGACGCCAACCAGCGCAACCGCGCGTTACGGGCCCTCGAGGGCCAGCGAGAGGAGGACTTTTCGCACCTCGCTCCTTCCGAGTCTGGCGAGATGACTACAACAACTGACAACGACAACACTGCCGACATCTTCATGAGAATCGCAAAGGAGGATGCGGCCTCTCGGGCACCTCAAACGCAAGCGGCAGCGCCGGAGCCCAGTGTTATTGTGAGTTCATCACGATTCCAGACTGTGGACTCGGTGGCTAACAATGCATAGTCACGAATCGTCCGGGCCGGACACCGCCGTCCCCTCTCAGCCGCTATTCCCGCTCATGATACTCCTTCTCCGCCCCGGATGTCGCGTCGTCTCTCCGACCAGCGCGAAAACTCGCGCACCCGGCACGCGGCAGAGAGCCAGCCTGCTCAACAAGAACCTCGGGAGTCGGCATACCGGACGTCGGAAAGAGAGACTCTTCCGCCCATCGCCACTACGAACGAGAGCTCTACTCGCGCGCAGGCAGGCCGAGCTCCTCAGAGGCCATCCCCTATCACGCCCAAACAGATATCTTTTAAAGAGTCGTTCGCCGAGAGTAGCTCGGCATACCAGCGCAGAAGACAGTCGCTTACCGAGAACAACAACCTGTCGTCTTCGAGGACTGCGCAACACAGGAGTTCGCATCTTGCAATTGCACAGGCTCGGACCTATCACTCTTCCCCATTGGTACCCAGGTCTGCAAACGTAGTGGCGGATGGCGTTCATCATCCCTCCGAAGCGCATCATGGCGTCGAGGGAACCGAGTCCTCTTCCTCTACAGCCGCGCCTTCCACGGTCTGGGACGAGTTGGACGATCTGAAGTCAAGGATCCATCGTCTGGAGCTAACGGGCAAGCTGCCGTCTACCTCCGCGTCGAGGTCGTCTGACGAGCGGCCACGGACCGCCACCACAAACGCCACCACCGTCTCAGCGTCCCCCAAGCGTGCTTCCGGGACTGGCCCAGCGCATGCTGACGGCAACAACGCTGCTGTGGTGCCGCGCGAGACACAGCCGCTGCTTCTCTCTGCCCTGAGCAAGGCCAAGGACTTGGTCAGTCCAGAAGTGTTCAACGCCATTGAGTCAGCCGCGACTGACGCCATGGCGCTGTCGTCCATGATCGGCGCCGTCGGCCAACCAGGACCGATCTCGAGTGGTGCCAGCACGATCGGAGGCTACAACGGCAGTGTGACCGACAGGCAGCTCCGTAAGAAGGCTGATAGCATCTGCCGGAGTTTGACAGAGCTGTGTATCGCCCTTGCCGACCCAACGGAACAGAAGAGGCAACCGCAATCGGTAACAGCTGCTCCCGAACCCGAGCAGCTGCTGAGCCCAACGTCCGTCAACGCAACAGCGGGCGGCGCGCTCACACCCCAGAGGCGTCCCAGTGCCGTCGCAGATGTAGTTGCGAAAACAAGCACGAGCCCCAGAGCGCCGACAAGCCTGGAGCAGAAGAGGAGGACGATGCTCGCTGGTACCCCCCTGCCGTCCTCTCGCTACGTTACGGCCCCCTCTACACCGCTGGAGCCAACTCCCGGACGTAAATCTTCCCTCCTGTTGGCGCGGATCCGGCGGACAGCGACCGAGGAGCCAGAGGAAGTGCCTCAGGCTGGGAGGAGGTCGTCTTTGCTGTTGAGGTCCCGAAGAAGCGGAACAGAAGAGCCCGAGGAGGATCGCGAAGGGCGAAAGACATCGCTGCTCCTCCGAACCCGCAAGGCGGTGAACGAAGAGGAGGATGAGTTGCGCTCGCGCATACCCTCGAGAGCGCTTACAGAACTCAACAGCTTTCGTGCCGTCCCGCGCGACCCTGCCATGGCGGCCAGGCCCGCCCAGCCTCCTGCTCAGGACAATGTGGTTGCATCTCCGCTCCTGCCGCGGCGTAGGATCCTCCCGTCGGGCATCGCCTCCCGGCTTGCCACCTCGGTCCCCACAACCTCGGCGCCCACGACGCCAGCACGCAAGTACCTCGAACGCAGCATGCTCCAGGATCGCGGCACCCCGCAAGAGCGAGGCTCCTATCTAGAACGCAGCTATCACTCGGAGCGGGGCGCCGCCCATAACCTATCTGAAAGATTGGCCGAGGAGCGCGGCCAGCAGCAGCAGCGCCAGATCTCGCTGAGTCAGAGCGCCATGCTCAGCCGGACCGGCAGCCTCGGCCGCCGGAGTCGGGAAACTGGCATTCCCAACATTCGCTCTTGAGCGGTGCATCCAGAAGAAACCCCCATAACACATGCGGTGGCGGCTGAGGACGAGCGAACGCCGCTGATGACACTTTATTACGACATTTTATGGATATTTCGACGCTCATAACGACTGTACAAAAACACCGACTGACGGACTCGATGCATTATGCGATCTGGGGCGCGTCATGGCGTTTTCTGCTTTTTCTTGCAACATGATCATGGTTAGGGGAAAAGCAAGGGGGCGTTCGAACTTTTGCTGCATTTGGCATTCGGCATATCGTTAACTCGTCTTGCGATTTTCCTGGTACTTTTGAGACATGAAGGCCTGGCGTCTTGGGTTTCCACGACTGCATCGGGGGAGGCGCAGGCGGACGGAAAGGCATGAAAGGCACATGGCTTCGACTGGGGTCATCAAGGACGGAAAGGAGTTGTGTGTATGCAAAGGGAAGGTGGAGGACGATGTTATACGCCAATGTTAATGTGTTTTGGGTGGAACCTGGGTAACTGGTTGGGCTTACTTTTTGGATTGTGCGTGGTGCGGAGAGGCTGCTGACGGTGTATATTGTTCCGGGCGCCTCTTCCCGGCGTGCCTCTGGTCATCCCGTTGGATGGATGGGAGTTTTCTGGTTTACTGTTGGCGCAGGGCGGCATTGGGGCGATCCTCGGTATTGCTGGGCTTGAAACGGACAGTGGCCCAGGGGTCAGAGGGTGCTGGGACGTCGCTGGGTCGATGTGAGACTGCGGGAGTTGGAGGGTTGTATATATTGGTGTTGCATTGTACAACGAAGTCTTGCTCATGACGAATCCCTTGGAGCTGTGTTTTATCTTGATGATTCGTCTGTGAGATGAGTCCGGCGAGTGTTTCCCAGACTGTCGGCCATGACTCACCGGAAAGGGGTTGTTCTGGGTTCAAGCACAACTACCTACAAGTTCAAGGGCATCGTGGAAGTTGAGAACTTGGGCCGATTCGCCGGTTTAACACGGTATGAAGCGGGTGGTATACATCTCCATCCATGGAGATTGACCTGTTTGTTGCTGCGATATTTGCTCCGACTCGTCCTTCAACCACCACAGAAGACCCACCAAACAAAACCCAACTCAGCCGCTCGGACACCAACTCATCCCGAAATCTGATGCCACCGTAAACTTCGCCAAAGGCACTTTCTCAAACCACCTGGAATCAGAAAGTAAGCGTCGCTGTCTTTCTTTCCCTCTCCCCGATATCCCTCCTCTTTCCTTCTATTTCTTTTACCTCCACTCCGGCCAATCCATATCATTTACATGCACAATCGCATCCCCATCCCGGCCCGCCTCTTCTTGGCCACCACAACCACGATCAACAGACCCAGACTTAGCTTGAGAAGCTGCTTCTCCACCACTGTCCCATTATCTAACTTCAAGCGTGGACCAATTTTCACCCTCAAACCGAGAGTCAAAGTCGAAGCCACTTTCGTTAATCTCAAGAAGAGACTCCACAGCAGTTACGTCGCCAACCTCACGCGCAACATTCCAACAGAGGGAAAACAAAAGATGAACTCTGACCCGCGTGACTACGCGGATAAGCTGGAGGACATGGCCACGATGTCGTCAACCCGGCAAGGCCGTGGTGGCGGGGGACGGAGGGGTGCCAGGGGTGGCGGCGGCGGGGGGAGTGGTAGCCGTGAGGTGGACTTGTCCAGGGCGCTGTCACGGCTGTTGAGGCATCAGGCGCGCAATGCCGGGGTTGCGCTTGATCGGGAAGGATTTGCCCCTCTGGATCAGGTTGTGAGTAACCTCTTTTTTGCCTTTTTTCTCTTCGGTTGATGTGTCGGGCTCTGGGATGAAGTTAGAAGGCGATGGGAGACAGGGTAGATTGTGTGAGTTGAGTTGGGTGAGGAGATGCTGGTGAGCATAGGGATTGAAGCGAACTGAGTGGAATTATCACCCAGGACGAGGAAAGGCGAACCAGACAAGCTGCTCCACTCTGGTCTTCATACACACACTGACACTATCATACAGCTCCAATGGGGCCCCATCCGCTCCCTGGCGCCCACCTTCCCCGAGATTATCAACGCAGTCCGCAACTCGGACAAGCAGCGCTTCGCCTTGAAGCCCAACCCGGCCACCAACCCAGACCTGAACGAGTCTTCGACCGATCCGTCTGACTGGCTGATCCGCGCCAACCAAGGCCACTCGATCAAGCTCGACAGCGAGCACCTGCTCAAGCCCCTCGCCTTCCCCTCCTCCTCCTCAGACACCCTCCCCGACGGCTCCGTCCCCATCCCGCCCACCGTCATCCACGGCACCTACTTCGCCTTCTGGCCGGCCATCGTCGCGAGCGGCGGGCTCAGACCCATGGGACGCAACCACGTGCACTTTAGCACCGGCCTGCCCGAGGACTCGGAGGCTGGCGTCATCAGCGGCATGCGCAAGGACGCCGAAGTGCTCATCTACGTCGATGTGGCCGCGAGCATCAGGGATGCCGGGCTCAAGTGGTGGATGAGCGACAACGGGGTCGTGCTGACCGAAGGGGACGCCGACGGGCTGGTACCGGTCAAGTTTTTCAAAGAGGTGGTTGGGCGTAGGCAAGGGGTCGGGGTGCTATGGAAGGATGGGGAGAAGGTGGCGGACTTGCCGGAGAGCTTGAAGGTACGGGCGCCGCAGGGGAAGAGGGGTGGTGGCGGTGGTGGTGGTGGGAGGGGCGGAAACGGACGGGGGAGGTGAGGTTTCACTCTCTTTCGGCAGATGTGGACATGACATCTTCTCGATATGATGTCACTCCTCCAAATATAAAGGCGCCGGCTCCCCATGTTCTTGTTGCAATGAAGTTAAGCAATCAGGTGCGTATTTAAAGAAAAATGGCGAGACAGGAAACGAATGGGAACGGAGAGAATAAGGGAGAAAAAGAAGAGCATCACATGTCCCAAACTTAGAGCTTTCCCGTTGATCCGCAACTGAAAAGGCATATTGCAAAGCATAAATCACGCCTATCTGCTCGAAATTCGTTAGCCGTCGCTCTAAATGCATCACATCTTCAGCACTCAACCTGGCCCCACCTCGTGTCATACTAGATCCCTTGACCTCAAACTGTGCCATCATACCCCCGAGCATGTCCACCACGCCGGAATGCTCCCAACCAAAACCGCAACCGCAAAAAACGTACCGCAACCATCATCCTCCTTCCCCATCACATCCACACATAGACCTCCCTCCCCAGAGGGCATCCCCGCGGTCTAGTTAGCGGATTCAGCCCTCCAACCCAACTGCGCCATGAGCGCATCCGCCTCCTCCCTCCGCGCCCTATCCTCCCTGACCAGCCACGTGAGCACTTCCTCGGCGATGCGTTCGCGTGCGTTCTTCTTGCCGTACACGTTGGCCACTGTGCCCAAGCCCTCGGGCACCTTGATGCCGTCGGCGCCGAAATCGGCGTGCCCGTCCCAGTATTGGTGGCCGCCGTTGACGCCGCTGGTGGGGATGCCGGGGGAGGGCGTGATCTTGTAGATGGGCACGGCTAGGCCCATGAGCCGGCAGAGGTCGGCTACGCGGGTCGTGGTGGCGGGTTCGTCTTTGTTGTTGTTGTTGTTATTGTTGTTGTCGTCTTTGCCTTTGTCAGGACCGTCCTCGTTGCTGCCGGTGCTGGTGCCGGTGGGGTGGTTGCTGGGGGCAGGAGCCGAGGCCGCCTTCTTCTTCTTCTTTGAATTGGGAAGGTTTGGGGGCGGCGGCTTCGGTTTGGGAAACACGACGTTCACCCCGTCGGCCGGCATGTATCCGCCACGCATGAGGTGCTCGATGCAACACTTGGCGGCGTACTGCTTGGCGTCCTTTTTGCGGCGGAAGCACGGCGCCACGAGAGAGCCCGTCTCGTCGGCGACGAAGCCCGCTGCGACGCTCGGGAAGACCGTGTGCTCGGCCTCAACAGTGGGGCGGAACTGGCATCGCGAGATGAAGCGCTCCGGCGCGGGGGACTCGTCCGTGAACGACGGAGGGCTGATGCGGTGTGCTTGGGCGTATACTGGGGAGAGTCAGTGTGTTGATTCAATGGAAACGGTTCTCGTGATATGAAGGAGTGGCGGTTACAGTTCAAGAGAGTGACCCAGTCGCGGTCGCCAAGGTCAGGATTGGGCGCGCGTTGAGGCTTTAGAATTTCGGCGATGGCTCGCTTCTGGAGCGGCGAGAGCGGTCTTGGGTTCTGCTCTTGCTGCTCAATCCAGGCTTTGAGGTCGCGATAAATGACGGGATCGTCGAGCAACATCGGGCCCGTCTGAGGACTGAGGGCGTTGGCTGGCATCTCGAATTCGTTGTCAAGCACAGCCGGCTTCAACTTCTTCTCCGCGGGAATCAACGTCGGTTGGGAGAGCGCCAGGCTGGGCCCCCGTTTCACGGCCTGCAACATCTTATAGATCTCGACGTCGAGTGTGGGAGGATGCATGCAGGTGACGAAGTGGGGCTGAACGGCCTCGTTCCGCGTTGGCTGCAAGAGGAAGAACAATTGACAGATATGAGCAGGAAGGTCTGGCTGGTTCTTCACATGATGAGACTTTCACAGAGGCAGATGAATCCTTGCGGTCGTCGACTGGTGTTTGTTCTACCTCTTTCCGCTGCAGGTCACGTCTTTGGCCAAAGGCGCTTGCTGCCTGCGAACAACAAATGAGACTGCCATGAAGGCCTCGAGACCGTCCATTTAAGTAACGGGGGATTCGATTCTGCAGTTTCATCGTAAACATGGGACGATCCGCCGGGCGGACGCACACGAAGGCAGAGAAGCCTGGCTCGCTATCCGTTTAATGTTCTCCAAAAACACACAAACCTGGTCTGAGCTCCGCTTTCCCACATCGCCGGCTTGGGGAGCGGGTTGGGTATCATAGTTTAGTTAATCATAAGTCGCTGACAACGTCAGTGAGCGCGTGCTCGTCGTGGCCGGATCAACTTGGCTCGCCATCAAAGAGTCCCTTAGTCCTCCTCAAAAAACCCGCCGCCATCGCTGTCGTCCGAGTCCGAGTCCGAGTCCGTCTGTTCCTCCTCTGTCTTATTTGGCTTGCCCCTGGCTGACGTCTTCGACTTCAATTTCGGCGTCCCCTTGGTCTTCTTCGACGATGACTGTTTGGCCGACACAGTGCGTTCTACCGGCTTGGGAGTGGTTTCGGAGTTCGAACTGGTCTGTGGTCGCCGGTTCTGCAGCCTCTCCAGTGCCGCCTGACCCTCCTCCCTGGTCTTCTCGATAACAGCCCACATGGGTGGCCGCGAGGTGCGCAGATAGTGTGCGGCTGTATTGGCCGCCTCCTTCTCTCCTGCCGCGGCAGCGGCATACAGGCTGACGTAGGGCTCCATGAAGGGAAAGTATCTGGCATAGTCAATGTCGACTTGAGCAACGTGGAGGTCCGCTTTGAGCTGAGCCACCTCCTCCGGGTCGGTAGCTTGGGCCGCCTTTTTTTCGAGCTGCTTCGCAAAGCGCGTCGCCTTTTTCCGTTCTGCTTAATGCGGTTAGACGTGGACGAGAGGGAGCCGGTAACGTGCGGCCGCATACCAAAGAACCTGACCATGTGGTACTTCGCGATCATCTTGCTCCTCTCCTTCTTGAACCGTATATCCTCGATGCGCTGTTTGTGTGCTACCAATTCTCGTTCCAGGTCATTCTGCTTGTTTGCTGGGAGCTTCAGGTTGTCCCGGGCAAGCAGTCTCTCGATTGCCCTGGCGCGCTTCTTGATGGCACTGAGACTGTCCGTGTTTGCGGCAGCGGTTTTCGATTTGTGCGGGCGTTTGATCCGAGGCCGTTTCCTCGCCCCATCCTCAACACCATGTCCCGAGGGCTCGCCGTCAGAATGGGGTCGTTTCTTGCCCATGTTGCTGGTTGCGGCTGGAGTTGCGATCCTACAATTGAAGAGTGTTAAGAAACTGTCGATCGCTTCCGAGAAACCTCCAGAAATTTTGGGGGACTCGGACGTGCATTTGCCTGCCGGGCGTAGGCGATAAGGGTTAGGGTATGCCTCTTCAAGCGTCATTAGGACTCTGACATCCCAGGATCGACGACTTCCACCAACTTCAACCTTGTTACTCCGGTAGTAAGGAGCTGAGGTACCTTGTGCTACACGCAGGACGTCCGAGTCTAAAGTCGAATTACATGGACCGCAGAAACCCCGGAAATTCAATTGAGAAATTGAGGACGGATTAAGTCGGTGAGAGCTGAGCTTCACTCCCATCACTGGCACCCGCCATGGACCGTCCCGAATTCGGGCTGATCAAGTGGTCGCCCAATGCCACGCGCGATTCATTCCTGCACATCAACTTGCAGCACCGTGTCGTGCAGCTCTACGAACCCACAGGCCTTGCCCAGCGGGGGAGGTTTGAGTACAGAAAACTCGCAAAACACGACGACTTCCCGCCCCTGACCACTTACGACTGGTCGCCCACGGTGCCTGGTCTGGTTGCTGTGGGCACGTCGACTGGCGTTGTCAACTTGCTGCGGGTTGACGACAACTCTAATGCCTACCTAGAGCTGGGCCTGAAGATATCGCGCACTTGTCAAGCCGTGGCATTCAATACAGCCGGCAAACTGGCCGTCGCACTTGATAGGGTCAGAAGCGACCATTGCCTGCACATATGGGACCTCAGCCGTCTCTCGGGCACAGATGCCACTATCTCTGGCTTCCCTGCCGATGTTGATCTTCCCCCGGATCCAGTCGACAGGCTGGAACTCAACGCCTCCGTGTCGAGTGTTAGATTCTTTGAAGACAACCCGAACGTGCTAGTTGCCGGAATCAAGGGACAGGGCCTCCGGATCCACGATCTTCGAGGTACGTTAGACTTCAGTACCGCTTTTCAGACTTGGCCCTTCGATTTGTAATAGTTGACCACCCGGGCAGACCAAGCACACGGTCCAGTGGTCCAGTTCCAGACCAAATGCTGCAATAACCTGGCCATTGACTATGCCGACCAAAACTACTTTGCATCGTCTGCCCTGGACCTCCCCGGCGTCATGATATGGGATCGCCGAACCATGAGCCGCCACAGCGTCAACCCCTCCTACACCGAAGCCGTGGAGCAGCACGGTCTACCCTGGGGCGGCGCCTTGCGCCTTGAACGCGCAGTGGACATGGAGACCAATCCGGCCGACAGCAAGAGTTCCTTCATTCGCGCCCTCCGCTTCTGCCGTGACCACGCCGGCATGCTTGCCGTGCTCTCTCAGACCGGCCAGCTGAGGGTCTTCTCGACAAGGCACGAGCATGTGGAGCCGGATGCCAAGGTGGACGGTAGCCCGGAGCTCCTCGAGGTTCGACGGTCATACGAGATGGATCCTCTCTATGCCGAAAGCGCCCGCAAGCACGACAGGATAGTCTCATTCGATTGGATCACTATGAGCTCTCCCGTCTTGCAACCCCACGTGCTGGTGCTTAGGGCCAGTGGCGCCCTCGACGTCTTACAGAAGCCGTCATTTACCTCGGAGTATCCCTTCAAGCTGATACCGTGGCAGACGCCGCACAGGGGCCAGGCCGGTATGCCATGTCAATTTTCGAACAACTGGAAAACGCTAACAGCCGGACAGATGGCGCAGACTACCATCAACTGATGAATTTTGAACTACCACAAGCTCACGATGTCTTTGGGCCTCTCTTGACCGAGCAAGCCCTCTCTGATATTCCACTATTTGGGCCGCGGAAAGGCAATGTCAAGAATATTGTAGAGAAGACGTTGGCCAAAACACCAACTGAGGAGTTATTGATTACAGAGGTGTCTGCACCCAGGCAACGTTCCGCGTCATTTGACGACGCATCTTCCATCGCCGACAAGCTGAAGGCGTTACGGTTGGCTTCAAGACAAGAGAATGAGCAGCGAGATGAGGCCCTTCTGTCACAGCTGGAGCGGCACGAGAAGCTGCTCACCAGCACCAGGGACGTGCTTGGTCTTTCCCGCAAAGAACGCTTTGCCGTCGACCATACTATGCTCCTCCGCGCGCAGGAGGGTTACCGCTTTGACTTTGCGAAAAACCAAAACATCGTCGCCGATGATCCGTGGCTTCAAGATGTTTGGGTTTGGGTCGCTGGTAAGTCGGCCACACTTGGAATACCTGTGTGATGAATTGCTCATGGCTCTGAACAGGCGCTGAGGCAGCTGCAACCGACGGAGGCATGATGTCGCACCCACTGGATATTGGTTACATGGGAGTCCACACCGTCTGGACAAACGATCTTGGTGAGTTAGCATCAAATTATCCAACAGCTGCTCTCTAACTTAAGTAGGGAGCAAGCCTCAGATGAGGTTGTCCGATGACGCGCCGCCTCCTGATGAGGCCGGCTGGGAACGCTGCCTGAATGCAATTAACAAGAAACTTGGAGTTCCCAGATTTGATGGGGGGTTAGAGACCAAACGCCCCCACCACAGGGAGATGTGCCTCGAGATATGCAGCCTTGGTCGGTCATACTACGATGAATTTGACCAAGCATTGTCCGCGTCAGGGCCTAGGAGAGATTCTACGTGGTACACCATGGTGGCCGCCCACGCCATATTCCGAGGCGACACCAAGGGGGCCGTCCAGGTGCTGAAGAAGGCGAGTGCAGAGCACCCGGAACTTCTCTTCGTCTCGTTAGCATTGCAATTGATTGGCAAGAGCAGTGACGACGAGGCGAAGACAGCCCTCGACTTTGACGAGAGGGTGGCTTGCAAGACTGATCCTTACCTCCGTGCAATATCAGCCATCATCGCGACCGGCGACTGGGCCGTGATCGCGGGTCAAACGTCCCTGCCTCTCCGCGACCGTTGTTTTGTCGCGGTCCGCTACTTCACCGACGATGCGCTCACTGCTTGGCTCGACCGCGAAGTCACCACTGCCATCGAAAATGGCGACGTCGAAGGTATCGTCCTTACAGGCATCACCGACTCCCTCGTCGACATCCTCGCCCGCTACGTGCACAAGTTCAACGACACCCAAACCGCCACCCTCCTTCTCTCCATCTGCGCCCCGCGCTTTATCGACGACATCCGCGCCAACGCCATGCGCAACGCCTACCGTCTCTACCTCCAGCGTCACCGCGCCTTCTTCCTCCGTGCCAAATTCGACGTCGAGTCTACCCTGCGCAGCAAACACCACGGACGTGTCACCGTGCAACCGCCCCCGCGCCAAATCGGCCTGCGCTGCGTCTACTGTGACATCGAGTTCAAAACCGAGTCCATCTCCGCGGCGCCCCCATCCCGCAGCGGGACCGCCCTGCCCAACCTCATGACCGTCGCCGGGGGAGGCGGTCTCGCCTCCTCAACGACTTCCGTTCCGCGCGCCGAAGCCCGCACCCACAGCCACCACCAGCAGCAGGCAAATCCGTACACGGAAAAGATGGTTGCATCGGGCATCTCATGCCCAAACTGCAAGCAGCACCTGCCGCGGTGCGTCGTGTGCCTCGAAGTCGTCGGCATGCCGCGCAGCGATCGGCCCGAGCAGTCGCGCGACCCAGAGGTGCGCCGGACGGCGAGGTTCCCGACGTTTTGTGTGGCGTGCGGCCACGTGCTGCATCTGGACCACGCGCGGCAGTGGTTTGCGCGCCATCGCGAATGCCCAGTCCCGGAGTGCAGGTGTCTTTGTAATACGAGGGTTAACGAGGAGTTGGACTATTAGCAGGGAAGTGAGGTGGTGAGAGGGGGCTAGGCTAGTTGTTACTGTAGGTAAGTGAAAGAGTATGTTTATCATGGGGTAGTACAGGTTCAGCATAGGTTCTGTCGGGTAGTCAAAATCTCGTGTGTGTGAATGTACATTTTGCAGGTCCAACAGACAGTTACAACAAACACCCTGGTTTGTTTGTCAGCATGGATCTTTGTGAGAAATCAGGACATAACCGGCGAGTATCAAGAGTTGGGTATTCGAATCTTTATTTCTCTGCTCTCTCTTCTTATCATCTTTCAAATTTTTAATCCTTTCTCCTTTCTTCATCTTATACCTTATTCTTTCTTTCTTCTTTTCCCTTCCTGCTTTCTTCCTTCCTTCTATCTTCTCTTTTCATTTTATTCTCCTTTGCCTCCCCCCTTTCCTTGGTGTCTTTGGTTGCTTATTTTTTAGGCTTGTAATGTCACAGCAAGACATTAACGAACAAAGTACTCCGTAGGGTTGGCCTGTAAGCTGAAATAGTTGAGCACCATATGCGAACACAAGCTTTCCATTCGTGCTTGTTGGTCTTGTCCCACCCATGATTCCACGCCTCAAGCACCGTTCCCGCTCTCTTGGGAGATTTTGGGTTCCGGAATGTGAGACTCCATTGTTTCATCAATCGCGATGTTCTGGGCAACGGCTTGCATGGAAGAGCAACAAAAAGGGGGAACACAAAGTCGCCAAGAAAACCTGGGGCAGCTCCTTGGCCGAACTTGAGCCAAGAGGGCCGAGAACGGCCAAGAGGCATGCCAAGTTGCCAAGGTCCAGGCTCTCGGGGGAAGCTTATAGGGTGAGGTTACCAAGAAGGGGCGGCGAGACGGTGGCTTTTTCCGTGGCTCGAACGTAGAGATGGAGGTAGAATAAAGAGGTACGTGGTAATGAAAGTCCAAAACACAACCTCGTATTTCGTAGAGATAGGTAGATTTGGTCGAGGTAAGGTTTGCTGTACTGGAAGTGGCTTGTTCCCGTGTTTCTCTCGCTGAGCTCTCCGATACAGCAGCTTGGGGGCATTCACGTGTCTGACGTGCTTGGCGACAGCTTTCGCGACAGTGGGGTCGCGGAGGGGTCTCTGGTGGAGGAACACTGGGGCTCCGGCGGGATGAATGCCGGTCATCATGATGCTGCGGCGGGGGCCTCCGGCTTCGAATGGCATCACGATCTTTGATGACTACCAGCAGCTCCAGCTGTTGGGCGGCCCGGCAGCCGAGGACACCCGACGGTGGCAGAGATAGGAGAACAACAGGCAGCACGGCAGCTGGCAGTGGCCGGATAATGGGAAGGTCACCGTAGGAGGTGGGACGGAAGTGCCAGCACGTGTAGGTAGGTGAGGCGGCTGGTGCAGTCTCCCACGTGTTAGTTGTCGCCCCGGCTTGAATCGCAGCAGTCAGGCCGGCTTGGCCCCGCGTTCCCGGTGCGGTCTGATCGGCCGGCGCTGAAATGAATCTTTCCAAGCGAAAAGGAGGCTGTGTTCATCCTAGGCTGATGGTATTCGCTGAGACAAAACGGGGGTCGGAGGAGACGGGTCGCCAAGCACTTGGCGCGCGGAGCGTGATCTCTTGGCCTGACATGGGAGCTTGGCATCAGGTCGCGAGCTTTGCTTGGGAGCGGGCATTTTCTCAGCTTACCTCCACACTCTCATGCCATGCATGTGTCGATTTGTAGCTGTGCTGAGAAGCGTGGTCTTGCTGTGTTTGCTTCAAATTCCCGTTCAAGTCAAACTTCGACTAATGAGCCGAGAATCCTCGATTTTGCTGGCAACGCGACAGAAGGGGCGCGTGGAGAAGCCTGGGCATTTCTGGGCAAAGCGTGTGACCAAGAGGCAAGAGTGGCCAAGACCCCTTCTGCAAGTTCCAAGCCTTGGCAGTAGCTTGGCAAATCTTGGCACGCAATGTAGTGCTGTTAGAGCCGGGACGGCTTCCTACGCAAGGCTGCAGCGAAATGAGTGGCACGAGCGACCCTTCCCAACGAAGGGGACTTCGAGCGGCCCAATCGTGCCTGCCTCAGCCAATGGTACACGCTTGGCATCCGAGGCCCAGACCGCCAAGCGCCTGCCAAGACCTCTGCCAATGTTACTGCCATCAGAGGGAAGGCGTAATAAAGACAGAATGGCCCGCCGCTCAAGTGAAGTCAACCGTGCATCATTTTCCTCCCTCTGCATCACCCTGAGAAGAGCACCGCTGCTGCAGGGAATCCCGTGTTTTTTTTCCACGCAGTGCTTTGCGAGCGATTCCTGCTCCGCGTTTCGATCCTATACTCTGACGGTCCTTGGCATTCTTCAAGCCCCAGTGCTGCACCGGCAAGCTCTCTTGGCCTTGGCACTCCTACCACAAGCAGTCATTCAACTCTGGGCAGAGTCTTGGGAAAAAAAGTGGGTCGCTAGGGCTTGTGCTCTCGCCATCGAGTCGAGCCCACAAAACAACACCACGTGACTGCGGACTCGGAGAAATACAAACACCGGCTTGCGCACCGCCAAGAACTGCGCCAAGCAATTAACCTGCAATAGCCATGTCGGCAGCATCACCCACTCAGGCCCAAGCGCCGACGCAGGAGAGCAACAATGCAGCTCCGGCGCCGGCAGCTCCCGCTGCTGCTGCAACCTCGACTTCGCCGAATCCCGCCTCCAACAACACCACCCCGGCACCCTCGACCGGAGCGACGGCGAGCTCGTCGTCCGCCTCTGGCCAGGATGACAGCCTGGTGTGCCGCTGGGACCAGTGCAAGGAGCCCTTCACCTCGGCCGAAGCTCTCTATGTAAGTCGCCAATTACACGGTGGTTGACAACGAAAGAAGAGTTCGGAGCGCTAACTCTCCGCAGGAACACATCTGCGAGAAGCATGTCGGCCGCAAGAGCACCAACAACCTGAACTTGACCTGCCAGTGGAACCAGTGCCGCACCACCACCGTCAAGCGCGACCACATCACTTCGCACATCCGCGTCCATGTCCCGCTCAAGCCCCACAAGTGCGACTTCTGCGGCAAGTCGTTCAAGCGCCCGCAGGATCTCAAGAAGCATGTCAAGACGCATGCCGACGACTCGGTTCTCGTCGGTGGCCGCGCCCCTCAGGAGCCGCCTGCTGGCATGCATCCCACCTACCGCCCTCCCGGCGCAGCCAAGGGTACGTGTTCCTTGCGACCTGGGCCTGCTCCGCTGAGCGCCCCCTTTCCAAGATCTCGAGGCTAATTCGCCTCTAGGTCCTTCCAGCTTCTATGATCACAATGGCCACATGCGCGGTACTAACCAGGGCCCTTTTGGCCATCCGCACCAGAACGGTCAGCCTAGCTACTACGGCCACCAGCAGGGCCCTCAGCCCACCTACCACCCGCCCGTCTACTACTCGCAGCCAATGGGCGGCTCTCGTGCTGACTACATTGGCCATCAAGCCGCGGGCTTCAACGAGCCTCCGCGGAAGCGCGACTTGGAGAGCCTGAACGAGTTCTTTGGCAGTGTCAAGCGTGCCCAAATCGACCCCCGTTCCTACTCGCAGATTGGCCGCTCGCTGATGCCGATTCACTCGACCCTCGGCCTGCATGCCGGTGGTGGTCTGGCCGCCGAGTACATGCCCCAGGCCCCGCACACCCTCGGTGTGGGCGCCCCCTCGCATGGCCCGCTCACGCAGCACTACTACTTGCCGCCCATGCCCAATCTGCGCACCAAGGAGGACCTCCAGCAGATTGACCACTATCTTGAGCAGATGCAAGCCACCATCTATGAGAACTCGGGTGCCAGTTCCCAGTATGCTCCCGTCGATGTCCGCCACTCACCTACCTACCCGACCCGTCCGACCGTCGACACGTATGCTGTGCCGGCCGCCCAGGTTGTGTCTCCGCTCAGTGCTCCCACGCACTCAGCTGGCGGCACCCCGGCTGTCACGCCGCCCTCGAGCACCATGTCGTACACGTCTGGCCACTCGCCTAGCGCTTCCTCGGCCGGCATGTCGCCGTCGTCGCGCCACAGTTCGACCTCGGTCTCGTACCCAAGCCTGCCCAGCCGCCCGAACCTGCCATATCCTTCCACTGCGGGCCTCGGCTCGAACTTTGCCCACAACGAGCGCCGTCTGTCGGGCGGCATGCTGCAGAGCGCCAGCGGTACCCGCCGCGATGGCGACCGGACCCCCACTCCCAACACCCCCAAGGCCCCCGAGGGTGCCGCCGTGAGCTCGCCGTCTGAAGAGTCCGAGGCCGCCGAGGGCGAGAGCTACGACGACTGGGTGCAGCACATGCGCACCATTGAGTTTCTGCGCGGCCAGATTCGCCAACGCCTCGAGCGCCACGACTACGAGGATGACTCGGACAACAGCCGCATCGATCCCATGCTCCATGGCGACCGTGGCCGCGGTGATCGCGTCAACTATCCATCGCTGCCGCCGATGCACTAGGCGGCGGTCTGGGCGTAGCCTCTGACTTGACCCATCAGATCACCAAAGGCATTGTCTTCAAGATGGGTTTCGATGGGGCCGCCTTGACGGCTTCGTCTAGGCTCACATTGCATTGCGTTCCCGTTTGTTTCAGCAAAATACTTCTGATTTCCAGTCTGTCATGTGGCGGGCGGGATTGTTTTGACTGGCGCCTCTGTCCAGTTCATGCGAGAAGATGGAATGATTCCAGTCGGTCCAAGGCTCGATGGATGGCCAGGTGGCTGTGGCGCACTTGTTATCACATGGTTTCTTTATGGATGGCTTCAAGCCTGATGATTGTATGAATGTTGTTATGTACAATACCGGCTCTGGTGGTGTGTCGGTGGTCCTCACTCTACAATACAAAGTTTTCAACCTCATGTCTTCGTGCTCGTTGTTGGTATTGTGTAGAGGTAGAAGCACAGCCATAATTTATGGGGTATTCTCCGTGGAGCGTACAATATTTATTCCCACCAACACAAGTCATACCACACTTCCCTCACTGTCTCCCGACGCACAGATCACGCTCACAGGACCCGCCAGATCGCTCCGGCCCTCGCGGGCCCCTCGTCCGTCCCGCGGAGTCCATGCCGGTTCATCTCCCTCACCCACCGCATCTCCGCTGCCGCCGCATCCCGCTGCATCTGCTCCATCATGTCCAGCTCGGCCAGCATCCCATGCACCAGCGCACGGCACCCGGCAAGGATCCGGGCGAGGCTGGGCCCTGGCTCTGCTTCTCCGTCTCCGTCTGTGTTGTCCGGGGCGGAAGTGGGGAGATGGCCGAGCTCGCGCAGCTTTCTCCGCCAGTCGTCGAGGCGGCGGGCGAGGTGGGCGGCTTCCTCGTGCCAGGTGGGCGGGAGAGGGGGTATCAATTCCAACGCTGCTGCTTCATCCCCAATTCCTCTCTCTTCCTGTTCCAGACCGCTTGGCGGTGTCTGTTTTCCTTCGTGTTGTTGCTGTTGTTGTTGTTGTTGTTGTTGCTGCTGCTGCCGTTGTTGACGAAGCAAAACCCCCTCGACCCTGGCAACCCACTCTCCAAACTCCCTCGCAACCCTCTCATACCTCCCCCCCGGCTCCCCAACGACACTCCACACACCGCTCACCACAGAATCCAGCATCACCACCTTCTCCTCCAACAATAGTAACTTCGCTTGCACCGTCCTTCCCCCACGTCCTTCTGAAGCATCGACGTTGGCATCATCACTGCCAACGTTACTAGCCCAATCCACAATGAAAGCTATATTCCTCCCCTCCTCCACCTCGCCCTCCAACTTCCCAATCTCCTCATCCAGCTGTCTGACCCGCTCAAACTTCTCCTCCAACTTCCCCCGCGCACTGGCCTTCCACTCGTCAACCACCCGCCCTGCGTCGCGGTGCAAGAGATGCAGCTGCAGCAACTCGGTCTGCAAGCGCGCTGTCTCGGCCGACAGCGCGATGTTGGTGGGCTGTTTGGAGGGTGACAGCGGGGCGAGAAAAAGGGAAGTTGGGGGTTTGGGGGCGGAGGGTTTGAGCGGGGTATAAGATTGTTGGTGGGTTTTGAAGGCTGGTTTGAGGATGCCGGTGTTATTCCCAGTGTTGGTGGTACTTGGAGCAGGCTTGGGCTGGAGGTGATGGGGAGGGGCCGCCGGGAGGGATTTGTTAGTTAGTTGTGCTGGGGGTTTGAGTTGGGGGCGGTTGGGTGGTGGCGCTGAAGGGGAGCAAGGGATGGAGGAGCGGCGCCGCGGGGTTGAGGCTGTTGTGGGAGAGGGCGATGCTGGTACTGCTCCTCCTGGTGGCCGTCTGGTGAGGCTGGATAACGGCGGGCGGGAGCGGTCTGGGCCTGCTACTGCTGCTGCTGTCGCCGTGATGGATGAACTGGCGGTGGAGGTTTGCGACGGCGGGCGGAGGGTGGTTGCGCTGGAGAGGGTCGTCACGGACGACTTGGCGCGGGCGTGCCGGGGTCCGGGTGCCTTGTCGGTCGCTTGACCAACGCTGGCGCCTGAGAAGACCCGGCGGGCGGTCGGCGCACCGGAGGAGGTGGTTGGTCTTGGTCCAGCGACCGTGCCGCCGCCCGACGTGGTAGGCCTGGTTGACGTCGATGGCTGACGCACAGTAGCAGCACGGGTAAGACGGCCAGGCGGTGATGTCTCGGGCGTAGGGCTGCCCGTCTCTCGAGAGCGGGTCGATGACGACGTGATACGCGCAAAGACGCCGGACAGTAGGTCGCTGCTTCTCGCAGTGGTGGCATCGGCGGTGGCGCTTCTTGAGGTTCGCGTTGCCGTGGGTGCGCTGGCTGTCTCCGTGAGTTGTCCCTTGACGGGCAGTCTGCTGGAAGAGATATTGCCCGTCTCCCCGTTGATGGCGCCGCCCCTCTCTGACTTGGTGAGTTTGCGCAATGATCGTGTGCGCGAAAAGGCGCTGCTGGATGGTATTGATGACATGCTATCAGTCTGCGTATTTTCACTACAGCAACATCTGCAGTTTCCGTTGCCTTTGTTTACTTGCAGTTGTCGAGTCGCATCAGCTCCTCGCTGATTTGCGGTCGAAACAACGCTTTAATCATACGCTAAAGCGGACCCCTGTAGCAAGACGTTCTTGGCTTTCAGCTGACACCTTGCGGGGCTGCATTGGCACGGTCGTCACGGTCGTCACGGCCGTCACCGAAGTCTGTGACGAATAGTGCCCGACCTCAAACCGACGTACAGTACCTATACCATTGGTGCCGCTTCTAACAGGGGTGCATTTCTCGATGTCTATGACTCTACCAACTTCGCCAGACCGACCCAAGCCAGATTACGGTACCGCTTCTTGAGTTCGCAAAGTCGTTATTTTCCAGGAACTCCTGTATAGGTATTCCGCCCTTCCCTGGTATCTCCATCTGCCGCAGCATCGACGCTGGGTCTAAACAAATACCGCCGCTCTAAATATAGGCAGATCTACTGCTCCATAGCCAAACCTAAAAATCGTACTCAAAAAATCGAAAATGCATCCGTTCCAAAGGAAACAACCAAGTAAACATTCAAGGAAAATCCAGAATCTGTATTGTGGAGACTCTTCAGGCCCTTGACGCCCTTCAAAGCTCACCCCTGCAGCTCAGCAACAACGCCCCCCTCCTCGCCCAGCATCTCCAGACCCTCAGGCTTCCTCTTCCTGAACCCCTCCACCTCCCTCACCACCGCCCCAAGATCCCCCTTAAATCTCCTTAACAAGCCCACACACCCCGCGCACACATTCAGATAGCACGCGCTGCATATGTAACACTCGGCGAACCGATCCTTGTGCCCGCACGTCCGGCACGCGACGGGGTTCGTCCGCTGCCGGTTGGCCGTCATGTACCGGTGCGCCGTCAGGCACAAATACTGGCGGCTCGTCAGGGGCCGCGCGTCGGGGATCGAGTCGGGATCCTGCTGCGGCTGCGGATGCGCCGAGGGGTTGGTGGTGGACTTGTACCACCCGCGGGGGAAGCGAAGAGCGCCCGGGTTGGTCGTCAAGTCCGGCTGGTTAGGGTCTGGTTGGCGCAGCGAGAGGTGTTCGATAATGGACGGGTTGGGGTGAGGAGGTTGGCGGGGGAGGGCAGCGGTTGGTGGTGGTGGTGGTTTTACGGTTTCGATGGAGCCTGTTTCCGAGACTGTTCTCGGGCGCGGTTCGCGGGTCGGCGGTTGGGGCCAGAGGTTTTGTTGCTGGTTGGGCTGAGGGGCTGCGGGAGATGAGTGTTCCTGATGAGGAGCCGCAGGGAGGGGCTGTTGGTAATTTTCTTCGTCCCTGGAAGGGAGTTGAGCTGGAGGTTGGGTCAAATTGGGCCCTGCGTTCCGGTCCGGCGGTGGAGAGTACGGTATGTACTGTTTCTGAATTGGGGTTCGATCTCGGTCAGGTGTCGGGGAATATGCGCGGTATTGCGGCTGGTTTGCCCTTTGATTCGGCTCAGGCGCCGGGAACACCGTCTCGCTTGGGCGTTGGCTTACGTCGGGTCTTGGGGATGACGGGAGCCCGGCCGGCGTCTGTACGCTCAGACCGGTGTTGATCGGGCCCGGCGCCAGAGTCGGACTACTCCTCGCAGGTCGTATTTGAGCCAGCGAGCCTCCAACAGGTCTGCGAGTTATCGGCTGCGGCTCATCGGGTAGCTCGGGGGTTGATGCTGGTGAGAGAGGGGAAACAATAGCTTCCGGCACCGGGCTCCTGACATCGTTGGTTCCATACTCGGGCGTTGGAAGTCGATGGGTGGAAACTGGAGAGACAGTCGCCGGTGACAGGGGACTGAGAGCAGAGGCTGCGGGCGGTACCTGCGCTGCCTGGTTCGTCGTTTTCGGCTCCTCTGCGTTCCCTCGCCTCTTCTTCGCATTCGCCAACTTCTCCTTGATGCACGACGCTTCTTGCCCCATGGTCACGTCCAGCGCAGCGACCTGCTCGCCAGGTACCACAGGGCGGATATTTCGCCCGGGAAGCCCAACGTTGGCAGTTCGTGTTGGGGCTCGTGGTTTGGCTGCCGGCTCAGGGTCTCGGGGATTGGTCGGGGCCGGCGCTGGGAATGAATGCGACATCGAGATGTTCGGGCTGCTCTGCGATGTGTCCTGGGCTGACGCAGCAGTGGAACCGTGGCTGGATGTCAATTTCAGATCTGGAACAGCCAGGATTCTGTCGCCTGTGAGCGACCGGGATCGTCGTCTCCAGAGTTGCTCTTGTTGTGGGGAAGCGTTGCGTAAGGGTGACCCGACCCGTGTCGAAGTGGGCGGTTGTGCAGTTTGTGTCTGCAGGTTAGGGGGCGTTTGAGGTCGTGAGGCGCTGCGATGGGCATCTTTCAAAAGCGGCAGAGGTGGCAACTCTTCGTGGCGTGTTTTGGGCACCTGACCACCAGTTTGGTGATTCTGCCCATGTTGTTCAGACGATACCGGTGGCAGGTCATGCGCTCGTACCCCGAATTGTGCGCTGCTCTTTTGAGCGTCCAGGTTTGGTGACACGACAGAATAGGCACCCCCTGAGTTAACAACGCCTTTGGCCAGGTTCCCTGATGACCACCGCGGCGACTCGGCGGTGTAGGCCGACAGGAGACTCGAGAAGGAACCAACAGGCGACGGCAACGGTTCTGGGGACGCCAATACCGAGGCGGTGGCCGGGGCCAGGCCCGGTCCTGGGATCACAGGAGATGCAACGGGCCGTCGCGGGATGCTCATGGGCGGCGGCCCTGGAGGCAGCGGAGAGTCCAGCGACTTCGGTATCGGGGCCATGGCGCTCTCTATGTCTCGGTCCGCCGCAGCTCCTTTAGGCGGTGGAATCGGCGGCAGCGGAGCATCGGGCTGCATACGAGACGGCGCCTTTTCCGGGGCAAGTGGTGTGAGATCGAGATGCGGCTCAAAGTCAAAGGTTGGCAAGGAGGGAGGAGCCGGGAGGGCTTTCGAGAAGCGAGAGCGTCCCGATTTAGGGGGCTGCAGGGTCGCGGCTCCCATCATGCTGTCCCTCGAGCCGGTGGCCCCGGCCGGATAACCAGACAGAAACGATATGGTTGGCGGGTGCTATTATTGCACAAAGCAGTTGCGGCCCTGCGCGTCAGGAGGGATCCTGCTCGTTGTTCTCAGACGCGCGTCGCAAGGCCCGCATTTGGTGTCGCACGTAGATTGGGGTTGAACCACCGCAATATCCCGACTTATAAGCCAACACTTGCTGGGTTAATTGGAAATAGGTACGCGATTAGCCAGTGTCGCTGCCGTCGTCTTGTTGGTTCCGGCTGGCCAGGAGGAGCGGGCGGAAAAGGTATATGCCAACTGCAGAAAGAGACGCAGCCGGGGAAGATGGCGACCGGATTTTCGGATCTTCTAACTTGTGATGCAACAGGCAACCCCCGACAGGGAAATTGGGCGATCGTCTCGCCCCCTGGTCCATGGCAGGGTGAAACGGCGACTGGTCGAAGGCGAGCCAAGACCAAACCTGAAATGACAGGAGGAGCCGCTTCAAGCGACCCCACGACCAAGATGCTCCAACTGGTCAGGGTTGAAAGAAGCCGTTGACCTCGGAGACTGGAGAAGAAAGTGTCTCGACGCGTGCTTATTTGACTCATCATGCCGTGTAAGGATCATTAAAAGGTAGGATCTCCCGCTATAGCAGCGTTCCGTATTTCCTTTTTCGCTGTGATAGGGACTAGACACTGTTGGTTTGGCCGCCTCACGGACCGCAAGCCAGCGAGTCAATCACCACCATATTGTGGTAATCGGTCAACGGAGACGTCGGATATGAGAATTCGGCAGCAGATACAGGGCACGACCATCTGCCTCGGCCTTCGGCATTCGCGGCCGTCGACTGAGCATTTTCGCTGTAGGAAGATTGGTGTATTTTTAAACCCTTGCAACTGACGGACTGTTCTGCAATTGCCCATCGGAAGTCATGGGCTTGAGCCGAAGCCCACCGCCACAGGTGTACGCATGTACGGGATTCGTGTTGAGGCTTTCAGGTTTACGAGACCGACAGTAACAGTAATGAACAGAAAAGCCGTAATCATGATGGGATTGCTGCAGTTTTCCGAATTCTTCAGACCGGGAAGTGAATTTCATCGATCCACAAGTTCGATTCGGAAGCGGCCGTCTTGGCGCAATGCCCCGGTTTCTCAAAAGAAACTGCTTACACAGTAAGTTCCAGGTTCTTTACGAATCCGTACAACACTTCGCTTCCTCACTTTCAAAATATCTAGGATATGTAAGGTCGGGGTTGATTTTTGTTGTTGTTTCCTATCGTTCCCTTCCTTCTTTCTTTCCCACTCCTCTTTTTCGATGAGGGGTTCTCATGTGCTGCGCTAACGACCACTTACAGGTTCCAGGCATTAGCTCCGTATTGTCGCAAGGCACGTCGGAGACTCAAGTCATGCGTCTCCAAAACCTGCCATGTCGAGATTCGCGACTGCCTTGCAAGCTCTCCATATGTGGTTTGTCAGGCCGGGTCAGGCAGCAAGATCCGAGTCCAGGAATGAGAAGTCTAGGAAGACAAGGCGATTATCCACAGCACCTCGCCAATTGATTCCCTTCCATCCAGGTCTCGTTCCTGCGACTGACAATGAACCAGTCTACTGAGGCACGCATGCAATAGCTTTCTCTTTCGCTTTGAGGCTACATGGAAAATGCCATGTTACGGTAACAGGCCGCCTTGCCAGAGCCTCTCGGTGAGTCTCCCGAGATGCGGCAGCGACGGGACGGGAATAGCCAAGTCCTCCATGGAGTACTTCCTCGACCGAGGGGCCGAGTCGCAGCGAGGTACGGGCATTCGGCCCCTCGAGGCAACGTTCAAAGCGCTCGCACGGACGGTGAGGCAACAGAATCTGGACCTTCTTTGCACAAGCTCTTGATACTCGAGCTCACGGTCCGCAGCGAGCCAGGGTATCTTGCAGGCCTGCATCCACTATACATTCACACAGCGTCGTCTCGGAAGCCTCGACCAGTTCTGAACTGACTTTCGTACACTCAACCATATCACGACGTGTACGTACATGAGGATGATGGTGAGCATCTCTACGATTCCCACGTGGACACGCAAACCGTGTCTGACGGGCCACGGGTGATCACCAGGGCTTGGTTGTCACCTCAGTGCAAGCGATGTATGGAGTCTTGATGTGATGCACGGCCGCCAGCACCGGATCCGCAAACTCTGCTCGTAATGCGTAGACGTCCTGCACTGCTGCGCAAGGGCTCGCCAGTTGGAATGCATTGCTGGTCGGTATGCATACTAAGCTAGACGCCTCCCGGCCTGTGATGGGCATCCCTCTTTCTTCCAGCCTCAGGTAGTGGTTGAGGCAGACGGACGACAGAAAATATGACGAGACCCGGCCTTTTCCTCTTTGCATTGGGTTCTCAGTGGGCCAGTCTAGGGCTCGGGTATCCCTCTGCCTCACAACACCGGCTTGACGAAACATCTCTCAGCGCGGCTGCGGCCCTTTCCGATGCTCCTACAGCCGGCCAGATGTGGCACGACACCATCCTTCGGCGGCCGAGGCAAGACTTCAACGCCAAAGACGCGGCAAAGGCAGCCATTAATGCCATGAACAACAACTTCTACTCATCCTCGCAGCTCATTTGGTCCCCCGGCGATCCCTGGTGGCTCAGCGGCGTCGCCCTGACCAACGTAATCGACTACATGCGCAAGACCGGCTCCACGGACTACGTGGACCAGGTTGCATACATCATCCAGGCGCAAAGAGTGGCATGGAACGGCGACTTCCGTGCCGAGTCGACCGACGACACCGGGTGGTGGTCCCTGGCAATGGTTCGCATGTATGATCTGACCGGTGAGAGCGCCTACCTCAACATTGCGATCGAGGACGAAGCGTACATGTACGAGTCCTGGACTACCTCTCCCTGCGGCGGCGGCATGTACGTCGACATCAAGGCGAAGACGTACAAGAACGCCGTCGCCAACGAGCTGTTCATCAAGCTCGCCGCCTCGCTGCACAACCGCCTGGGCGGCGCCGAAACCAAGTACCTCAACCACGCCTTGACAGCCTGGACCTGGTTTCGAGCGTCAGGCATGATCAACGCCAGCAGCCATCTCATCAACGACGGGCTGGCTTCCGACAGCAGCGGCGCCTGCTTCAACAACAAGCTGCCCGTGTGGACCTACAACCAGGGCGTCATCCTCGGCGCCCTAGCAGGTGCGCAATCCCACTCCCCTTTATATCCCCTATAACCCGCTTCTAAAATATCCCACCCACGAAAACAACAGAACTCTACCTCGCCACAACGGACACAGCCCACCTCGAATCCGCCCACGCCATCGCCGACGCAGTTCTCTCCCCTCCACCCTCCACCACCCCACAGCTCACCAGCAGCGACGACGACATCCTCACCGAAGCCAGCTGCCAGCCCGACGAAAAGGACGGCTGTAACCACGACCAGCAGGTCTTCAAGGGCGTGTTCGCGTCCAACCTCGCTGAGCTCGCCGACGTCAGCACGGGGGACCGCAAGCAGAGGTACCGCGGGTTCCTGAGCCGCAACGCGCAGACCGCGTATGCCAGGGCGAGGGGCAGCGGGACGCATCTGTACGACGTCAGTTGGACGGGACCCTTTGGGAATTCGTCGATTGGGAAGCAGGCGAGTGCGGTTGGGCTGTTGGTTGCGGCTATTTGACTGAGCAAGGTGGGTTGGCCACTGGAAGGGTACGAGGAGTGATCGATGTGTGTAATTACGGGCATGTGGCAGGTCTAGGGCTTAAGTGTCGTGTCCTGTAAATCGGTTTCTAGAAACACTGGGTGTTGTAAGTTTGTGGCTCGAAGGATGCTTCTCGGTGGGTTCTTGATTCCCTCAGTTGGCGCGAGTCCCAAAATTTCGCAGACCAGCCATTATGAAACAGGAAGACGTAAAGAGGCAGCCACAATGCTTTCCTTCCTTTGCTCAGATGGATTGGGTATTCATCGGAGTCGACTCTCCCCGGTTAATCCAAGAAATCCACTGCACTGCATACTACGTAGCCACAGATGACGGCCATTGAGGTACTGGATACATCCTGAAAACACAACGATCCGACCGAGTAGAGCCCCTTCTTAGGTTATCAGCATTCAACAGCGAGCATGAGCGGAAACCTAATCGCATTTTAGCTCTATGAAGCTAGATACAGTACCCATGTTTAAAACACCGCCATGACGAGGAAGGGAACGACGGAGCTATCGTCCCTAGCAATCTCCGGCCACCGCCGGCCCACAAAACATCCTCCGGTAGACTCCAGTCCATCCTCTCGCAGACGTCGCAAAGAGGCAAAGTAACAGGAAAGCGGGATATCAAATCGTAGACGAAGGCTGGCCCGTCCCAAAGTTTTTCTTTTTTTTTGTTTTTCATCCTTCCGAGGTCACTGAGGGACTTTATCCTTCAAAAACGTTGTGTTCTTCCTCGATCCCACCGAATTTCCTTTCCCATACCCCCCAACCCCAGTCTATAGATTGAACGGCCTCCTAGGATAGCTGACTCCCTCAACAGCAGCATTATCCACAAACCAGCTGCACCGCTCGCCGCACCGCTCATTGACCAGCGCGCACGGCAGACCCTTGCCCCCCTCAAATATTTCCTTCATGATCTCCTTCTTGCCCCCGCCCGTTGCGACGAACGCCACCCGCACCGCGTGCGTGACCACGGGCAAGGTGAGCGTGACCCGTCTCGGCGGCGGCTTGGGCGAGTCCTCAATGGGCGCGACCCAGGCATCGTTCTCGCGGAGCAGCTCGTGACCTGGGAACAGCGAGCACGTGTGCCCGTCGGGCCCGCAGCCGAGCAGCAGCAGGTCGAAGATGGGCAGGCGCACCGAGTCGCGCCCGGCGAAGCTGCGCACCAACGTCTGCTCGTACTGGTCGGCCAGCTCCTGCGTGTCGCCAAGTACCTCCGTGTTGATGGGGTGGACGGTCGGCGGCGCGGTGTCGACGGGGAGCTTGTCGAGCAGTTCGGTCTTGAGGAGGCCGTAGTTGGAGTCGGCGTCGTCGAGGGGCACGGCCCGCTCGTCGGCGAAAAAGATCTCCCACTTGTCCCACTTGACGGTGTCGGTGGGAGAAGTGGGCTCGGCGAGAAGGGCCTGCGCGAGCGTCTTGGGCAGCGAGCCGCCGGACACAGCGACCTTGAAGACGCCGTGGCGGGCCAGGCCGGCCTCCTGGCACGAGATGACGTAGCGACGGAGGGCCGGGGCGAGCGCGTCCACGGTTGGGAACGAGTAAAGGTTCGCTTGGTTGGCCATTGTGATGGTTATATTCTGGGTGCCGATCGCGATGTACACGAGATTGACCTTAACCTGGGCCGGGACTTCCGAGCAAGCTCAGGGTTGCTACGAGATCGGGGTGTCGTTGTTTGCGCGCCGTAGCAGAGCTCGGAAACAGTCAAGCTCTGAAGTGTAGTCCGGAGGTCGGTGTGGACCTGTTCGGTGCAGGGATGAGGCTCGGCTTTGATAGAAAGGGCTAGCAAGATCGTCGTAGGGCCGAGCACATGCTACTCGAAACTGTGGTTTTAAGGATGAGGAAGCAGGAGGCTTATGGTAACTTGTTGCAAAAGTGTTTGAGCGGGATTTTGTGATGTTTGGAGCGTGGGTGAAACGGTGGAGGGGTGAATGGAGGGGTACCTTAGGTTTGCTTGGAGCTTTCAACCCCTGTCACCTATCGATAAACCATTCGTCGATCTGAGAGGAACATCAACGAAATCAAAGCTTCGCCAAAACAAAGAAGTACTCCGAAAGGTATGATATCTGGTGATGGAATTGTGACTGATTTGTGCGGAAACAATGAACCTACTATTCACTCCGCCATACTCTGAGAAAACCAGCATCATCAGACCCAGGCGGCTGCGCTCAACCGTCAATGTTACCACACTCGTTCCTGTTGCTGCTTTCGTAGAGCAGTCTTTTTCTAGGGGGAGTGCTTATCTCTGAGTTGCAGGCTGTAGCTGAATTCTAAATGCACGTCGGGAATCTCGTTAGTATGTGTGCCATACTCTGTCACTGTCGGTGCCTTTGCGTTTGACCGGAAGTCCTCAATGGGCTGGAGTCTCTGGACAACCTTCGGAGCACAACGAGGGCTATGAGTGAGACGGCCATCATGAAAAGAATTTTCAGATGCTTCAAGGCCTTCAGCTTCATCAGACAACGAAGCTGACTTTGATCCGTCGAGAAGGACCGGCGGCATCCATGGACCCATTCTATCACAACTGCAAAGAGGGTTCGAGAATCTGCTAAGATGAACAATGTGGGGGAACCACTGTGCCGCCACTGGTGATGCGGGGTTAAAAGGTGGGGGTCATGATCAACTGAATTAATTTCCACCGCTTTGATCCTGCCACAGTCGGTGGAGCTGAGGCTACAGAGAGCAGATGATGTCGGGATCATACGATGGCCGGGGATGTGTCTTGATACCTAAGGCGCTCGGTGCCAGAATCGCTCGAAAGCTGTACGTCCAAGAGCGGGAGAGTGACGAGTGTCAGTATTCGGTGTCAGAGATGCTGTGCAATTTCCCTCGCGCGCTGATGTCGGCTTCGCAGGGTACGTCAATAGAAGTATTAGTTACAGAAATACTGGCCAGAGCGAGACAAAACGTGATCCGGCTGTGAGATGACTCAATTTTACATATCCATATACAATAGACTAGCAGTGATGGGGATCGATATCCGTCCTGCGACTGTGCTCAGGTTTGGACCTTTGCCAAGGGGGGTTTAACGGGTTGGGAGAAAGTGAAATGCCGATTACGTCATTGGGCTCCGAGCTGCCTTCAGGACGTAAGGTACGTCCGTACGCTACTCGTACATACTAGTACATACGCAAGGTAAACCCAAGTACTAATGCCATTCCCAGATCAACATGACGGCCTCTTCATGCTGGCGGGACTCAGCAAAGGTTCGTGGATTGCAGCCGGTAAGGGTTGTGTCTCCTCCGAGCCTCGTGTCAGATCGCCGAGAAGAGCCATGGCCCGGCCAATCGTTGCCGAGCAATTCAGTGCGCGATTCGTCGGGGTGAGCGAAGTCGGCATCCTCCAAGTCAGACTTCCTCAGCTGTTATCACTCTTGCCTGAAAATGCGAGGTAACTGTAGACTTGCTTGCTCAGAAAGAACACTCCGACACAGCCAACGTTGCAAGCGTGAAACCATGACAGGACCAATTTACCTCACTGGCGACAATGCCGCTATCAACGAATTCATAGACCGTTTCGATGTAGGGTGACTCATCCTGCAATTTGGCTCCTTGCGCAGTCTTGCTCACCCCTTTTAGGTTTTTTTGCTGGACTGCGATGGTCAGAAACAATGAGCAATTCTCGTCCTCTCACCGCGCGTTAACCTGTTGATCAGGGGTAATTTGGACCGGTGACCATGTCTTTGAGGGCGTCCCCGAGACCCTCGAACTCTTACGATCCCGAGGCGAGGCATATCCTGCGCTTACGAGACCTCCTTCTCGCTAACCCCTACCAGGGAAGAAGGTCGTCTTCGTGACAAACAACTCGACCAAGTCCAGGGAAGAGTACCTCAAAAAGTTCACCACGCTCGGCATCCCATCCAACGTCGAGGAGATCTTCGGCTCCGCCTACAGCTCCGCCATCTACATCTCGCGCATCCTCGAGTTGCCTGCCCCCAAGAACAAGGTCTTTGTCCTGGGCGAAGCCGGCATTGAGAACGAGCTCCGTTCCGAAAACATCCCCTTCATCGGCGGGACCGATCCGGCCCTGCGCCGGGACATGACCCCAGAAGACTGGAAGGGCCTCGCCGACGGCTCGCTCCTCGACCCGGACGTCGGCTGCGTCCTGGCTGGGCTCGACTTCCACATCAACTACCTCAAGCTGGCGCACGCGCTGCAGTACCTCCGCCGGGGCGCCGTCTTCCTCGCCACCAACATCGACTCGACCTTCCCCATGAATCACAACTTCTTCCCGGGGGCCGGCTCCGTCGGCGCCATGCCGCTCGCCTTCATGACGGGGACGCAACCGCTCGCGCTCGGCAAGCCCAGCCAGGCCATGCTGGACGCCATCGAGGGCAAGTTCCAGCTGGACCGCGCGCGCACCTGCATGGTGGGCGACAGGCTGAATACCGATATCAAATTTGGCGTCGAGGGCAAGCTAGGGGGGACACTGGCCGTTTTGACGGGGGTGAGTAAAAGGGCTGATTGGGAGGCCCGGGATGCCGTGGCCGTGCCGGCTTTCTATGTTGATAAGCTGAGCGACCTTGGCGCGGTGGCGCTGTAGAAGGGTCCAGAATTGAAGGGCCCGGAGCTTGGAACGGGATGATCAAAAACGTGTTGTACCGCGCGGATGGCCACGGATCAGGCTCTCTACTGTGCGGGGGTGCGGCGAGGCTCCAGGGATTGGCCACGGGACGACTCCGGCTTGCCCCGTACGGGAGCCAAGTTGTGGATGGTCCGTTCTAGCTTTCCGCAGCGCAGTTGTACACGTAGAAACGACCAATAGATCTAGACCTTGCAGGCGCCCAACTCATGTTGCAGATTAAACTTTCTCTGCTAGGATCAAGTCGTCGGCTTCGCCTTTTTTTCCCTTTCCCGTTGCCTCTCTCGTACGACTGCATCGGTTCGAGCGGAAACAAACCTCCGGAACTCCCCTTCCACCCTATGATATGGTGGCTGACGACCGATGTGCCAAGTCCCGGCCTGTTGTTGGCGAGCACGACGATCAAGGGGCACGTGGAGTGGTGCAGATGATCTTGGAAGGGGTATGACGTAGTGCCCCTCGCTGATTTCTCGAGGGGCCAATGACGCGCCACCGCCAATCTGCAAGCCATCTGTTGGAGCAGGACCCTGAGAATCTCGCGCTCCCGATTGCCGCTGATTTGGTGTGAGCCCTGCTGTTCGAGTGTGCATGATGCCTGACACAACGTCTCCAGGTGGGGTCCAGGGTCCTCGAAGTCGAGACCGGCCGGTCACACTCGGGTCTTGCAGGACAGCAGCGCAGCACACAACTTCGTCCGTGACGCTGCATCTTGACGCCCGCTTTACACGGGCAGTTCGAGACAGTTGTAGGTCCCTAAGGTACCTTAGGTTGGGATGGACGGGCAGCACTTTCGCATCGGATGCCAAGGTCTAGGTCTCGAACATTCGTTTGATTGATTTGCCGCATCATACTAATGTACGGCACATCTTGACGATATGGGCACTTGACTGGTGGTTGATAGCCTAGCTCCACCGATTGGAAATCCAGGACCAACCGGCGAGGCGCACAGCCGCCAAACTGGGCTCGATGAAAGTGCCAGTGCCATGCACGAGTGATGCAGCGGCGCGATGACGGCACTCGGACATATCGTCTCGCAGCCAAGTTTTGGAGTGACCTGTGCCCTACGGAGTCTAGCCCAACGCAGGATGGGGCCGGGAAGCTGGGGGTGTCTCTCAAGCTTGTGCAAAGCGCCCAAAGAGCTGCCGATTCCGGGGATGCTTGGCTTCATTTTCAAAGCAAGAAGCTGTGGAGGGCAAGCGCGCTGCGGCCGGACAGGGACCACGAAGGAAAATGCAGAAAATTTCAAATATCTGTCCGGAGCCAGCACCCTGATAAATATCAAGCACCTGCTATACCTGTTTCCTCCCGCTGGTCAAGTTTTCCTGTCTTGGCAGGCCGCCTCTATAAACCTCCTGTCACATTGGTTTCTTTCTGCAGGTCCACGTCTGCCGGGGCACACTATTAGGTCTCTGACGGGCCCTGGTCTCCCGTCATCAGATCGTAACTGCCCTTCTTGTCGTCGCCCCCGGGGGCATGGCTTAACCTAACTTGAACCCGGCTGCAGCCCGCCAGTGAGGTCCACCTGTGACTCCTTCCCCTGAATTCGAGAAAATAACGTCAACCCACGCGCGGGAAAGCCACACCACACCAAGGAACCTGGAATCTTCCACCTTGAACTTCTTGCAAGGGCACACTCATCACCACCACCATCTTATAAGTATACCCACCTTATTTATACTCTTCACCCACACAGCGTCACGCTGTCAAATCCCATCTGCGGTTTCCAAGACCGCGGCGGGAGTTCATTAAATATTTCTCTTGGGAAACACGCAATGCCCCTGGCCCTGTGTTGCCTTGTCACGGCGACTTACACATTCTCACCCCCACCATGTCTGCCATCGACAGCTCCTCACCTTCTGTCATCATGGACGAAAAGGACCCACCAAGGGGTCCTCTCCTCGAGCGCCGCCAGCAGCTGACGGATGCGCTGGCTTCATCGCCGTACGATTTGATTCTCTACCTGGAACGAGCCGTGGTCTACTCCCACCTCGCCTATCCGGATCTAGCTGCCGCCGATGCATATCGTTCCCTTCTGTTGGCCGACGAGGTTCGCGACGAGAGCTTCGAGTACCACGACCAAGCAAAGGCGACTCTGCAAGGCTACAAGACCACGCCCTGTCCTGAAGTGCTCAATCATGGCTCCCTCGTGCAAGACTTTGACCGGCTCGTCGATGGTGCTGGCGCCGAGGCCGCCGGCGAGTACAATATACTGGCAAATCTCGTCACGGTCCGTTGCTTTCAAATCCTCTCGCTCAGTCTCCTGCTATGCGGCTGCCTAAAGAGCGCACTCAGCTTCTGCGAAAGGGGTATCAACATGGTGCCCCATAACAGGGAACTCCGGGAGATCAAGGGTTATATCGAGCAGGTTGCTAGACGAAGGCTGCGGAAAGGCCCCGACGCACCCATCGAAATCAACAGCCTACCAGATCGTGGTGCCGTACGCAGAGAAGTCTATCCCTGGAACACGCACGAGCCCGATCGCTTCTCCGAGGACTCCTTATCCTTTCTGAACGCGCGGCTTTCGCAAATGGCGCCCAAGTGCGAGGTCAAAGTCTCGGCTCTTCCGGTCCTGCTCGACGGTGAGAGCAATACGGACGGGTACGACATTATCCCAACATGCAACCAACTTGGCCTCTTCGCAAAGGAAGACATCGCGCCTGGAGAGACCGTTCTGGAGGAGTATTCGCTACTTACGGCCAATAACCGTCATAAGGAGTCAAACTGCGACGCATGCGGCACCGAACTTCCGCCCCTAGACAGCAACTCTAAGGCGGTGAGCTGCCCCGAGTGCTACGACACAATATTTTGCGACGAGTTCTGCTTCACCAAGGCCCAGGAGCAGTACCACCCTGCAGTCTGCGATAAGGATGTCGACTCCATCGCAAAGGACCCCGATGCCGGCGACATTGACCAATCCCTTTATCTCTTGCTCCTGGCACGCCTCCTTGCCATGTCGACACATCAAGGGATTCATCCCCTAGAAGTAGATGAGATCAAGTACAGTAAGTTCACCCGCTTCCTCCCAAACTACCAAGCAACTCCCTTCCGTCTAACATTGGTTCGCAGTCTGGGGCGACTTTGTGGACAGCAGTTCAAACGACGTGGACGGCTCCATCACGGACGAGCCGCCACCCGAGTGGACGCTCCCTTTCTCGTTCAAGTACAACATCGAGATACCGCTGCACATACTCGAAAAGATGGACATTGACATCTTCGCCACCCTTGACAAGCACGACCTTTGGGTCTTCAACACGGCCTACGCCAAGTTCCGCGGTACCGCCTCGGCGAGGAAGAACCCGCGCGACCAACGCCCAGACGTCGCCGCCGTGCACCCTTTCTGGTGCCTGGCCAACCACGACTGCAATCCCAACGTCACTTGGGAGTGGGGCGGGCGTATGGTGCTGTGGGCGCGCGAGACGAGGGTCGTGGGGAATCAGCCGGGCGGGATCAAAGCCGGGGAGGAGGTTCTCAATCATTACTGTGATGTGAACCTGCCGGTTCAGCAGCGGAGGGAATGGGCTCTGGGCAGTCTGGGTGGGTGGTGCATGTGTAAGCGGTGTCGGGACGAGGCGGGGAGGGCTGCGAATGGAGTCAAGGGGGATGGGCCTCCTTCTTGATTGTTATGTGGCTGGATATACGTGTGAAATGATGATGTTGGGATGGAGTCTGTGAAGTGGGGGACATCTGGTATAAGCAGCTGATGGACATTGTGGAGAGCTATGAGTTGCCGTTGGAAAGTGAGAAATAAGAAATGACTGTTGGATATTGCGTATCAAAGCAATCGATGCTAGGTCCTGGAATCTTGATTCGCCGGTAATTCTGAAGAAAGATGACTGGCCCTTGGTTGACAAGTGAACGAGTAGTGGCAGGTGTTTGTTCCTCTCACGGTTGGGAAAAGCCCCGTTACTCCACGACCACCTGCTCGACAGTCGCCGACACCAAGACCGGGCCGGGGATTACAACACAAATCATCGCGACTTGAGGAGGGGCAGCACCCCGGCAAAAAATCTGGGCATTTAGATAGATGCAATGGATCTACTTTCTACCCCTTCCTCATTTCTGGCATTCCCCCGGCCCTGCTACAGTACACCTATTCTTCCTTGTCGTATTCCAACCAGCCGTCGATCACGCAAACAAACTTAGCAAGAAGAAGACTCTGAAGGGAAAGAACGAAGAGCACAAACTGGAGTAACATTTCATTACCCGGGTTTTGTCTTATGCTGGCCCCATCAGCGTCCTCATTGACGTGGGAAGCTCAACCGAAGCGTGTATCTCTGATGAGTTTACCCGGCCACACATATCCCAAGCCCCAAACACCACTAAGGACAGGAACAGCCCCGATCAGACAGCAACTGCCAGCTGCAGCCCCTTCGCTTGTTGATACATTTTCATAAAGCCCAGTACCAAACCCCATGCTAGCAATACCAACCTGGAGAGACTCAAGTGATAACCCCCAGTCCCCATCATCTGACCTAATGGCGAAGTTAAGAAGCCTCACCCACTTAGGAATAATGAACCACCATAGAGGTGTGGGGGTGTATACAAAACAACACAACTCAAGAGTCGTCCAGCAGGTCCTTTGAATCAGTACAAAAACGCTTTGGACCAGGCAGTGCGGCCGTCCCCAAACTGAGCGCGCGAGAATTCTTCAAGAGGGATGAAACCAAGGTCTTAAGGTCGAGGAACCTTTTTAGGGGAGATTTTAGTCCATATCTTTCCTCCCATCTGGTTTACCAAGTAAACCTTCATGCCTTCGTTTATTACAAAAGTGGTATATAGAAAATAAGAAGATCTTTTTGTGTTGTTGTTGGCCAAAGCCGTTAACCAGAGCCGTAAACCAGAATGGCGGATGTGATGATCGGAAAAACCGACCGAGGGTAGAGTCGCCGGGCCTGCAAAGGTGCCGTGTAATCGGCAGAGCCGTCGCCGATCATTCCTACCAAAGGGAATGTGCCGATAACTAACTGCCCACGAACTTAGGGATGTGTGGATGAGTTGAAATGGTTGACCCGCCGATGGTATGATGCGCATGTGATGAGCTGAAAACGCCAGGACGCCTCATGAGCGGAAGAGAGTTTCGCATAAGACGGGATCATCCAGAAAGCATGCGCCAGCAATGGAGGGTGCCGCCTCAACCAACGTTCTCGTCCCGTCGCAGCCCGCCCATTTCCAATCCCAAATCCGCCAAAGCCCAAATATAGAAGAAGGCGATTTCCCAAGCCAGCCGGCCCCCTTAGAACCAGAAACCTATAACCCAAATAACCCCTCCACGCCCGGCGATGGTGGTTGGTGCCAGAAATAATAATCATGATAAATCGAGATGATGCCCTGTCCCTTTGTTGAAAACGCCGAGCCCATGCCATGCCATGCCATGCACTAAGTGTTGCTAATGTTTTGTTGGTGTTACATTGATCCAAGGCGAAGAAGAGCCTCCACGGCCTCGCGCTCCTGTGCGTCCGAGGCCATGGCTCCAAACGCCGATGCCGGAATGTTGAAGTTAGGCGGGGGGCTGAGCTGTGGCGGGCGCGCCATGCCCGCCGAGAACGACCGTATGCCGCCGCCACCCAAAGTATGTACAGTGCTGAAAGGAAAGTGTTGTTGGTTCGACCGGGCTTGGTACGACGACGCACGTAATGCGGCCGCGCCGACGGCGGCCCAGTCCTCATCGTCTGTTGCATCCTCCGGGTCGTCGTTGTTCCTCCGTACGTCGTCATCGTCTGGCGCCTCGGAGCACGACGCCGAGGCGGACCCGTCGAGCGACATCTTGTCGGCTTCGTGGTCCATCATGTCCATGTCCATGTAGCGGTCGTCGTGGGAGAAGGCGGCCGAGAACCCGCCCAAGCTTGATCCGAAGTTTGCCCCGAGTCGTGATCGGTCGGTGCTCCACCCAGGGGTTTTGGTGATGGGAATGCCGTTGGGGTGGGCGCCGGGCGACGCATGGCGAGACCGCGACTCTCGCGCAGGCTGGCCGCGCTGCCTCGCATCCCAACGGCCCCAGCCCACCTTGATGAACTCCACGCCACCATCCAGCCCGCCACCCTCATTCCCGCACCCTTTCCCTTCCAGAGCCCCCACAACCAGCCTGCGCGCCTTCGCCGGGGGAATGCCCGCGAAGCCCGGCACCGAAGTGGTGAGGTAGCCCATCAAATGTCGGATCGGCAGCGGACCGTGATTCAGCAGGATCTCGGGGAGGTGGAACTTGGCCAGCATGGCCGAGGTGATGGCGCCGGCCGAGTCGTATGGGGGCGACCCGAGTCCGGCGTCATGTTCGTCTCCGCCAGCATCCAGCAGTTCCAGGTCAGAGTCGATCGAGTCGAGGCGCGCCCGCTGCAGCTGGGCCTTGAGCCCGTGAGGAGGCAGCGAGGGCGATATGGAGTTCGGAGGAGTAGGGAGGTTGGTCGGGTGGGTTGCCACAGGGACACTCCGGGCCGCTACAGCAGTTAAGTTGTCTCGGCCGTAGGTCATCGCGATATCGCGGACAGCAGATGCCATAGTTGCCATGTTGACGGTTCTAGGGGTCGTCGACTTGCTTCGAGACGTGTCTGCGATGCGGCGCAACCGACTGTTAGCGCTTCTCCTTGTGACAGACACGTTACGGCGCGACGACAGGCGCTGCTGGCTGCTGCTGGCTGCTGCTGGCGCTGCTGCTGCTAATGCTCGCGGGAGCCATGGTTGTGGTTGGGGATTGATGCGGCTCGGTAGCCGTTGCTGGGGGACGAAAGAGGATCGTCCTCGAAAACGGGACTGAGTCACACTTACTTATGTCTGAAGCAACGGTCGGCTATTGTTGCGGAAAACGACTTTGGCCGAAGACGAGGCTTGTCGGGCAAAGGTGACGGTAGGCAAAAATGGCAAGAGCTGCTACGATGATCTTCTGTGACAAGAGATGACTCTCTCGCTGTAAGGTCAAGTGGTGAAAATGGTCACGTTGTTGTTGCTTTGCAGAGAATGAGAGAGAGCAGCGCCAGGAGGCGTGGCAGGCCAGGGCATAATAACATGCGTGTGATGCCTGGGCAGCGCCCGATGGAAGGTTTGTACCAAGGAAAAGGAAGTACGGACAGGTACCTGGCTCCGGTTTTGCGACTCTTTCAGCCAAGCCTCAGTTGGCACTGGGTAAGCTTGGACCAAGATGTACTCTTGGCCGGAACCGGCTACCTGACGTGAGGATACGCTTTGTGCGTGGGCTTCACTGAATGTGAACAAGTCAAAAATGCAAAAATGGTGCACTCCAAGAAGACTGCACCCTGCCACCACTGCGGGCCATCACTAGCTATGAAGAAGTAAGGGAGGATTGGATATTCGTTTCAGCTTCACCACTCCTACCTAGTTTCATTCCTTATTTAGATTGCTAAGTAGCGGCTGGTATAGCGGGCTACATTTAGCATTGTTATTAGCACTTACAACCTAAAGTTATCTATAAACAATATCATCTATAAACCATATCTTAGGGTTTGAAACAGAGCGAAGGTGTTTATTGGTTACCATGAAATTATGTTCTATTGCGAATTCCAAAATGACGATAAATATGGAACATCTTGATAACATATAAGCACAGTGCCATTTGTGTTGCAAAATGCAGACATCAAGGTTCCTGTACGTACCCTTCCGGCCCTATGACGGAGGCCACTACCGTCATGGAAGGTGTGCGCTCCAAAGGGTGCCTGCTTTGTTCGCATGTCTCGCCCTGTCCACTGACATTGCTGATTCCTGCCTTGTGGCTTTTCGTCCCAACTTCGGCTCAGCCAGCCAACCACCAACTGGAAGCCAGGCCGGGGTCATGTGCCCCTGATAAGACACCCGCGAGGTCGACACACTCATCAACTGGTTTTCGATGAGTTCCATTATTTTTATCAAGGGGGGGAGTCGAGATCGTATCACCCCGCTTCCATCAGGGAAGTTGCGGGCTTGACCTAATGATTATTGAGACACACACAAACTTCCGGGGTCACTTCGCTGCTGAAGAAACCGGTGTAGTGTAATGGCGTGCCGAATATTCCCGCAACCGCCGCCTCGTCATGTCGGGGGCTCACATTGTAGCAAGATGGCCGTGTCCGATTGGGTTCTGGCTGCACTGCCCTGGCTTGACGGCCAGTGACAGGCACCTCCATCAAAAGTACGGACACAGGAACACATTCATCAGTGCCTGCAATTCTCTTTTCATCAACAGTGTTGAACCCCAGAACCCAGATCTGGGGCGAAGACATTCCCCCGGAGTCATGACCGTTGCCACCTCCAGACCACGACCTCGAAAGGGGGGTACAGAAGTTGTGGGAGTGTGCTCCCATCCTCGCAGTGTGTGTCCCACGTTGTGAACCAGATCTGCAACAGTCCAACGATGCCATGTCTTCACCCCCGGGTGATTTCCGACTGAACATTTCCGCTAGCGCACCGGACGGTCTTCAAATAGACCGGTACTAGACTCAGAATCCAGCGACGGGACCGGGATGGGCCGAATTTGGATGCCGCTCTCTGGCCGAGTGACTGCAACATGTTTCCGAGTTTTGTCAACAGTGGGACGGACGGCATCCCTTCGTCCAGGTCGGACAATGTGCCTGGCACACGACGACGCGAACAACCGAGATCTTTTCCCGTTCTGTTGTTGATGCGGGGATGGACCATCCCCGGGAACCCGATGCCCCCCGAGGGGTGGCACCGGCTCTCCGCCAACCTCCCAGCGGACCCTGTGTCTGCATCACGGTGCCAAGTGAGTGGTTGAAAACGTCAAACTGAGCGTTGTACGGAAGCATGTGTGGTAACTGGCAACTGCAACTGCAGCAGTGTGTTTCAGCAAAAGAATACCAACTCTCAGGAAGAATGCCGGCTACTGCGTCCGGTCATCGGAATAGCCAAGCATTCCTCGCCGTCCTCAACCTGCCCCTCCAAGCCCTTCTAACACGGCGTGGCAGTTCAACCAATGCATCCCACCCCATACTGCGTACCCACCACGATCACCACCCGCTCACACCATAATTCATTCATCCAGCTCTCTGGATGGCTGATCTTCGGTAAGGAGTATCTCTAGCTCAACTGGCCCCCAAGTCGGGGCTTCGTCAGGAGGATGCCACGTTCCCCGCATTCTCAAAGCCACCATGCAGTTGAAAGTGCCAAACTCGGCTGTATTGGCCCATCATACTCCGTTCTGGAAGACATACTGCCTGCAAGCCTATCGATCCGGTCAGAAGAGAGGGGTGAACAGTAAAACAGAAGGACGCAAACCACTTACTGCCTTGAGGATATTGAGCTCGGCCCGTGACTGCTCATAGACCTGGCGGTACTCGCCCAGACTCTCGTGCAGGACGGCCTGCCTGGTCGTGCGCCCCTCGCAAATGGCCTTCATCTTGAGCTCCATCTCCTTGCGGAGAAACGGCTTGCCCAGGCTTGTCTCAAAGTGCATCCTGTCAAACCCGTCGATCAGGGCGACTCCGAGACTGGTGGGTATAAATTCCCTCACGCCGCCCCGGCCCCGGCCTGGCGCCGCGCCCCCACGCCCGCCCCGTGCGCCTCCGCGGCCGCCGCGCCCCCTCCCCCGTCCGCGCCCGCCTCTGCCTACAGGAGCCTCGGCCTCATTGTTAGCGTCGTCGTCGTCTCCGGCCGGGTTCCCGCCGCCGCCACCGCGCTCCACGGTCCTGACGTACTGCCGCTCCTGGATCTTCTCAATGTGCTCGGCCATGGTGGCGTCGGTGCCGATGCCATTGGCGTCCATGAGCGCGATGAGATCGGCTTCGGTGAGGTAGCCCGGGGGGCCGGTCTTACCCTCGGTGATCATGGCCTCGGAGGGCTCGAAGCGCTCGCCGACGCTGAATCTCGGCAGCTCGGCAGTGCCGGTCCAGTTCTCGTAGGGATACACGTCGAGGTAGTTGCGCTCGAGCACGATGACGCCGCGTGCGGTGAAGGACTCGTCGCCGTAAAGGACCTCGACGTCGGTTGCCATGCCCTGGGCGTCCTCGGAGCAGCAGGCCAGGAAGCGCCGCGTGACAAGCTCGTAGACACGCCGTTCGTTGTCGTCGAGGGCGGTCGGCGCGGCGTAGGTGATGGGGTGGATCGGTGGGTGGGCTTTGTCATCGTGTCGGCCCTGACGCGGTTGCTGGAAGCCGCCGTCGACGAGGCCCTGCGCGAAGGGGCCCCAGCGGTTGTCCTGGGTTTGTTTCCGGACGAGGGCGCGCAAATCCATCCCCTTGTCGAAGCGGTCGGTTTCGGTGCGCGGGTAGCTGATGAAGCCCTTGTTGTATAGCTTCTCGGCGACCGTCATTGCCTGCTGACCGGTCATGCGCAGGAACCGAGTGGCCATCTTTTGCAGTTCGATGGTGGTGAGCGGGAGAGGCTTCCATTTTCTGGTTGGCTTCTCCTGAACCTTGGTGACCTTTGCGGTCCTCGCCGCGAGACATCGCTCGTAAAGAATGACGACTGACATGCGGTCAAATAATCGGTGTCTTGACCAGTTGAAGTTGACCTTGATCCTGTCCCGCTCGTGCATCACTTTGATGCCCCAAAAGGGCTCGGGTACAAAGTTCTTGACGCGGAAATACCTGTCCACGACGAAGCCGAGGGTCGGGAACTGGCAGGACCCTTAAACAAGTCAGTGGGTTTTGGAGGGTTGACGCAGAGACACGACTTACCGTAACTGAGCGTGAGCTGCGACAAGGGTCCCCCAAGCGGGCGAAGGTTCAGAGTTAAGAAACGAGTGAAGGCGTAGCCAATCCTCAGGTCGAGCTCGATGCGTGCCGAGACGGCGTCTACTTGCTTCTCGTCCAGAGAAACCAGGTGCCGAGCGGCGGACAGGATGTGTCTAGCTTGCTTAGCACGGTGGTCGCCGACGGGATCATAGATAACCTACGCTCTCTCGACGTTGCTGAACCGGGCTCTCTTGATTTGGATTTGAGCGTTGCCCTTCCTCGCTGCATCCCTGATCTCGCTACCAATATGTTCGCCCTCGCGATCGCAATCAGTCCAGATGACCAAGACACTGGCGCGTCTCGCTTGGTCCTCGATGTTCTTGGCGATGGACTTGTTGTCCTGAGCAGGCATCAGCATCTTCGGCGCGGTGTTCGAACAGTTGACTGTCAGTCATCAATTACATCTGGAATCACCGTCAATACCGGCGCGTCGAATAGCCGGTCTGGTGGTGGATATTCCCATTGCTTGTAATCTCCCGGAAACTCGACGGCAGTGAGATGGCCCTTGACGGCGGTCATGGTCACAGAGCAGTGTCCCCATGGCGCCCCAAAGTCGAAGTCGAACGAGTAATTCTTGATGTACTTATCGCGTGTGTTGTTCTGGGCAGCCGTTAGCGACACAATATGTTCCCAGCCAACTGAGAAGCGAGACTGACCGTTTGGTAACAGCCGCCGGAGAGATGTCCTGCGACTGCTTTTGCAATCGAAGGCTTTTCGGCCACGCAGAGAACGCGCGTCATGGTTGCCGGTGGCTGTTTTGTACAGGTTGAACAATATCGGGGATGTAGAAGCAGCCAGACCTGGGAAGTGGTCGGCCGACGAGTGTCTTGCAAGTTGCCGTCCTTGTTATTGCCAGGCGAGCGTGAGGTTGCGACGAAAGCCCACCTTTTTGACTCTGAGTTGGAGGAGCATTCTGTGCCCAAATATCGCTTTGGTGGCTCTCACTTGTGAGATCAAGAAGAGCACTACTGCCTCAACCGGCAATCGACACTTCCAAGGTGCCGCCAAGTGCTTTCAGCTTCCACATACGGTACCTACAATGCCATGCCTATCATCGGAATGCCATAGGGTAATGTTGTGGTTGGATAGACGACGCCGGTGCTCACATGTGCTCAACTCAGCTCCGCCATCGGCCACCTTGAGCACGACCTCGTGCGAGGGATCGCGTCGCGTATCCGCAAATCTGGTGGTGTTGAATTCGAGGGTTACGAAAGTTTCGAAATACCACCTGTACCGTATTTATGCAACTATCAGGGTTTCTCTGATTCGGGCCCAGGAAAACTGATGGCAATCAATACCGCGGAACTGGTAATTGATAAAACTCAGAGAACTTCAAGTTGGACAAAATAAATGGAAAATACTGCCCTCCAAATCCGTAACAATATTGAAGTTCCCGCCCATCTCGGTAGTTAATGGAGAGGAGACCGAACACGCGCCGTTGAGAGTTTCAGTTGCGAATGCTTAACACAACCTGCAAACTGGGCAAGGGCCAGCACAACGGCACTAACACGGAACGGGCCGAGTACTCCGTTTTACCGAACGGACTCTAAGGTTACATCATGACGTTCGAGACTCTGTTAGTATTCAAAACGACGCGACCTCTGAATCCGTTCTGGCAAGCAACGCTCTCCATTATCAAGGACACTGCAATCAATAACCAAAAATGGCACTTCCTGTCGTTCGAGCGTTGGAGGACTGCGCCGACTTCACCAAAGCGGTGAAGCCCTTTATCCCGCAGCTCTACGACCTCCCGGCGAGGCTGCTCGACGCGTTTGCCGGCCGCGAGAATCTCCTGAAGCTTTATGCTGAGACTAACCCGCTTATCTCTGGCTTTGCCCTCTCGCTGGTGCTTGGTGGCGTGTTCCTCGTCGTGGCCGAAGTCAACCGGAACTACTCACAGGTCGACCGTTGCTGGAGCCTGCTGCCAACCCTGTACATTGCCCACTTCGATGCGTGGGCACGCCTGCACGGCGTTCCTTCGCGACGGATTGATGCAGCGCTGATCTTCAGTACAATATGGAGTGTGAGCTGGAATCATCAGGCTGTGAAGCATGAGCAGGCGATGATGCTGATGACGCATTTGCTTCAGATACGCCTCACCCGCAACTATTGGAGAAAAGGGGGCTACAACGTGGGGCACGAGGACTACAGATGGTGTGTGTACTCGACTGCTGCGCGGAACTCACGTTGACACTAGACAGGGAGATTGTCCGGCAGCACGTCCCTAAAGCTGTCTTCCACGTCTTCAACTGGACCTTCATCTCATTCATCCAGAGCGTCCTGCTCTTCCTGATCGCTGCCCCTGTCTACACTGTTCTGTTGGCATCGACTATTGAGCACAACCTCACAAGCGCCGATCTCGCAGCGATGGCCATCAACCTGGGGCTCGTCCTGGCTGAGTACATTGCTGATGAGCAGCAATGGGGTATTCCCCGCCCAGCCTCGCCAGCAGCCAGCCAGTGCTAACCATTCACAGCTTACCAGTCAGCGAAGAAGCTGTACAAAGACACAGGCAAAGTCACGCGGGGCTTCGAGCAAGCCGACCTTGACCGCGGCTTCATCACGTCGGGCTTGTGGGGGTACAGCCGTCATCCCAACTTCGCCGCGGAGCAGTCCATCTGGTTCGTGCTGTACCAATGGAGCTGCTACGCGACTAGGACGCTGTACAACTGGGCCGGCGTCGGCCCGTCCTTCCTCATCCTGCTGTTTCAGGGCTCTACCTGGCTCACGGAGCTCATCACGGCGGGCAAATACCCCGAGTACGGCGAGTACCAGCGCAGCGTGGGCATGTTCACGCCAAAGGGTTTCTCGGCTTACAAGACGCCTGCCTTGAAGGTGCCCCGCGTCATCCGCACCAGCGAGCTGGCGAAGAGGCAGCAGCAGAAGGAGAAGCAGCAGAAACAGAAGTGAGGATCTACGTAACAGGGAAGCGGGCACAAGACCGACACCGGAGACAACCAAAAACCAAGCAAGTAGTGCAGAAATCAACCTCCAGGCGTCGCAACAATTGGCCAACGGTGTTACGAACATAGCGTTATGCACTGTGTTTTGTCGGTGCCGTGGGATGGGTGCGGGGAGGAATGGGGCGCGAACTCAGCCCAGGGAACATGGTACTCAACTCCCCAGGCCATCAGGGTCCATTTTCGAAACACTCGAGGGCATCGATCCACCAAGTGGCCTTATAATGAAAACTGGGGGAAAGGGGCGTCGTCGAGATGTGATGTGACCATCGTTTCGCAGTAACTATGTAAAGTACGAGGGGTTTCGGTGCTACGCTGTCATCACAACTGAGGAAACAATAGGAAATCGGGCATATCATCGATGGATGACATGACAGGACACTTCCATTTTCAACTAGGCTGTGCAGTGTCGAATCGATCAATCCCAGGGGCATGGTCAAGGCTTCAGCCGCGACAGGGGTCGAACGCACTAGCGGCTTTGGGATTGTTCACCTGACCATCTCGAAATTGTCCCATCGTTCAAAGGTTGGGTGGGGGCCGCCCTCTTCAAGCGTGGGATTTTGAAACTGGAAGCCTCCTCTGTTGAACAGGTGGTTGACTGGCCATGAAACTGTGCCTCGCACTCGCAAGGCGGCGTTCTCAACTGCGTTGGCGGTCTCATTCGCGGCCATGGGCAGTTGACTAAGCACGAAGCAACGCCACCAATACTTCGAACAGCCAAGGCCCGCCCATCTCGTGAACCCCATCCCGACACCCACCGCGGTAATGAAGGCGATCTTCACGAAAGAAGCATCTGGGTCCTTGACCCTGGCCGGTGGGTTCGGGAGAGCTTCCCGCCGCCTGGGCTTGACCATGTGGCCGAGATGAGAGATGATGAATGGGGGGCGCGTTGAAGGGTCCACTGCTGGTTTGACTGAGAGCTGTAACATTATAATACATCCCCATTCTGCCGGTCTCTCTTCATCCCGCGATGTTCTGCATCTTCCTGTCATTCGTTTGTGGCGTACATTGGTTTGCACAACCTCCACCTTCTTTCCTGCATGATACCGAGCTTCATCCGCCTGCGCATCAAGTGGGTCAGTCCTATTGTCACTTTCGCCGCCGACGAATTCTGCAGCCGCCCACCGATGAGGTGATCTAGACATTCGCCATCTCCCATTACCGACAAGAGTGCCAGCGCGTCCAAGAAGTCATTGAAAAGCCGGTCCTATATCAAGCCAGTCGTCCCCGTCTCACTCCTATCCTAGCTGCCTTCTGTTGCTCATCGGCCTCAAGCTCATTGTTGGCTTTCAACCCACGCCGACACTTCCCCTCATTGTTCGTACCTGAGTTCGTCCAGATTCTGCATCCAAATCTTAAGTGCACACGCGACCAAGGTGGATACGTGGGGGCTCCACCGGTACCGGCAGCAGCACCTTCCAGGCCTGGATAAGAACCGCGGGGAAGACCCTGGGATTCGAAAAGACAGGACAGCATTGAGAATCAGGTTCTGGAGACCAGCTATCCTTTCACCCCTACCCACTGCACTCCAAAATCAGGGACAAAAAAGCCCACCCATAATGCCATTCTCCTGGGAATCCATCGTCTCCTTCTTCTCCCCTCCCGCTTCGCGGAACCCCTCGCCCTCACCCTTCTCATCCCCATTCTTCAACTCAACCGAAGCCGCCACATCACCAACCAAACAAAACGATCTGCCGATGCCTCCAACGTCGGCGTTCACCGCCTCGGCGAGCGCGCCCATCGCCTCGCTCGCCGACTCCTCCTCCTCCCTCGCGGCCAGCGAGCGCGACTACTTCCCGCCGACCTCCCACCACCGCCGGCCATCCATGTCCTCGACATCGACGACGTCCACCGTCCCTTCCGATATCCAAAGGCCGCACCACCCGCCGAGGACGCACACCACCCCGGCGCCCGCCACCAACCCCTCCGACGATGACGAAACCCGGCCGCCTGCCCCGCGGCGTGCAGCAACCTCCGCCGCCGCCGCATCCGCTGCCGTGGATGGGCCCCTCGACCCCCTGTCGCGCGAGTACCCAAAGCCGACACACGAGCCGAGCCTGGACGAGCTGCTCTCGCGGCCCCCGCTCAAGTGGTCGCTGGGCCACTACGTCAAGAGCGCGCGGGAGCGCAAGACGGTGGACAACGACGGCCAGGAGGAGGAGGAGGAGGAGCGGCGCCGGCGGTTTGAGGAGGCCAAGCGGAACTTGCTGAGGGCCAAGGAGATGATTGACGAGTCTGTTGCCGCGAGGCGGCGGTAGGCAGGGTTCATCTCTGCTGTTTCGAAGGCAAGGGGGAGGGGATGAAGATTGACTGGGGATGGTTTTTCTCTCGATTTTTTCGAGAGGGACGGCCTAGAGCTGGCCGAGGGGCTGAGTCGAGTGCGATTTCGAGCGAAGCAAGCATCATCTGCCGGCGTTAACGAATTTCTTTCGGTCTTTTGATTTCGGTCTTTTTCGACACGGATTTGCGGCACATTTTTGGTTGCGAGACCACCTTTGGGGAGAAGAAAAAACTCGCGGGTTTAAACAGAACCGAAACATCTGGAGGCGTTTTTTCTTCGAATTTTCTATTTCTGATAACAAGAGACGGGACACGGCGGATGTCGGCCACATCGCTCTCTGTATGGAATTTGTAATTCCTCATTCTTTCGCACTAGCATAGGCATAGGATAGGGGAATAACCACCGGGGGCTGTGCAGACAAGTCTTCTGGAATTTTTACGACAGCCGGGAGGAGAGCGTGAAGCCGTACACGACCGTCCCGACGAACGTCGCCAGGTTCAGCAGCGACGAAATGCCGTGCAGCATGGAGAAGCGCTTGTTGAGCGCCACCATCTCCTGCGAGTGCGGAGGCGCGTCATTGGACTTCTTGCCGTCTTTCCTCTCTGTTCAGTCATCAGCAAAGACCTCTCACCTCATTGATCACCTCTGTCATCACCATTATCCCCAGAGGAAAACTCACCCTGCACTCTCCGTTCATCCATGACCCTCGTCGTAGCAGGCCCGATAACCGCCAGGTTCCCGACTGCGCACGCAAACGCTCCCGCTAGTGGCGCCAGCACGCTCCACCGGTTCGACGGATCCAGCACGCCGGCCACGCCGCCCGCGACGCCAAATGGGTTGCGGCTCGCCGGGTAGGTCAGCGCCAGCACGGCGGGCAGCGCCGCCTGCAGGGTGAAGTAAACGGGGAAGATCTTGGCCATGAGCGCGCCGAATTGGGGCCGCGGGAGGACTTGGAAGGAGATTATGCCTCCTACGAAGGTCTAGGTTCGTCGTTAGGTGGGATCGGGTTGAGACTGGGAGAGAGGGACGGGTCAAAGGGCATTACGTGGAAAAATGTCGTTCCAAGGAGAGCGCCGTAGCTGGAACAAGCAGGAGGTGACCGGTGGTTAAGCCTTGGTGATGAGAGAGGCGAGGAAGGATGGACGGCCTACGTACCTCAGGATGTGGTATGGAGCTGGCGAGAAGAAAGTCATGGCCAAGATTGGAGCTTTTGAAGCTACTACGGAAAGCGACTTGATTTGTTTCTGGGGACAAGCCAACGGGAACAGATTCTGTATGCGATGCTCTGATGATGAACGCGGACGTCTCAAGCGAGGTTCGCGTTGCATTGGGGTGTGCCACTGTCTTGGCAGCTTACGGTATACCAGCTGAATGGTGCTGCGAAATACGATAATCCGCAGCCGTGACTCCAAGTCGAATTTCTTTCGTTACATTCGTATTGGATTTCAGCTAGGTAAGGTAGCATGCAGTGGCCAGACTGGGCTTTGGATACCCGAAGACCGGCATCTGCCGATGAGTAACAAGGGCTCGTTAAAGGTATCTTGGCCACCTCAAACTTTTCATCGTCCAAGGAAAAGCCTCATCCACCAACAACCACATCTTTCATGTGAAACCCAGACCTAACAAGAAATCTTTGGTCGCACAATCCTTGCAGACCCTCTGCTAACGTTACTGGCTTGTATGCACAAAAGTGTCAGGGAGTTGGATCTCCCTAGCTCTGGTCACTTCTACCATCTGCGTCGGATTTCTCAGTCTGCGAGCGGTGCGATCGACAATAATCTGGACCAAGGACGTCATTGCGACAAACCGTCGACCAGGGCAGTCAACCAAATTCGTCTCACCACAAACGATTCCGTTTTTGATAAGACCGCACTCTCTTTCGCCCTATCCTAAGGGACCGAGCCATCGTGCTTTGCAGCATCGGTTCTTCGATAGCAGCTATCACTCAGACCAAGCTCTGAGACGCTCGTCCTCGGCCAACCGTCTCACAGCACCGACCCATCACCCATCACCATTTCAAGCCACCAAGTTGGCGGGCCTTATCTGCGAAGTTTTCTCCTCCCGCCGTTCACTCCTAGGGCCAGAGCTGGTCTACAGCGGAGTGAACAAGCAACCACCATAACTGGGCGTATCCAGATCGACCAGCTATTTTGACCGCCACTTCGACGAGCATCTCTTTCCCACCCACCATACCCGCTCGTCCAGCCCGTGGGTGGAGCCACAACCGGATCTCTGTCATCATCATATTGTTGCAACCAAGCAGCCATCGTCGCGGACGGCTCCTGGCCGTTCGCTGCCTGCCGCTGGTGAGCTAGACAAGCCTCGCTGACGCCAATATGCCGGCCGGATAAGCCCCTTGAAGGCGCGTTTTGAGGGTTGTTGTTCAATCTGTCTTGTTGGAGCAGGAGAGAAAAAAGAATCACCCTTCAATTTGACCCAGATACGAAGGGCGACATATCCCAGCAATGTCCGACCACGAGGAAGCTGCCCCTAGCTCAGGGTACTCTACCCCTGTCCCCGAGCTCGATGACCATCGGAACCAGACGGCCTCAGTTCAACGTCCCGATCGTCCCCGCCGTGGCACCTTTGACTCGTTGTATGGAGGACGCGTGATGGCCCCCGGGGGCGCTTCCGGCGAACCACGCGTGCGTGACTTTGAAGAAGCCGTTGCCGACGAAGACGCTGCAGAACAGTCGCCGTCCATGCGACGGTGCCGTCACCCTACCGTGGAATCCGTCTCCGATCGATCTTCATCGCCGCCAAATTCGGTCAAGGCTTTCGCCGAAGCCCGTCGCCGAGAACGCGAGCTTTCCTTTTCCGAGCCAAAGCCGGAGCGCAAGCCTGAGGAGCTTGAACTGCAGCGGACTGCGTCGATTGTCAGTCGCCACAGTTACCGCAGCAGGCAGCACACCGTGGCAACCACAGATGCTGCCAGTCTGGCCACTAACAAGACGGCCGAAGAGGATGTTTGCTTCCCGGTGCAGGACGAGCAAAGAGGCGACCATCTCCATATCGACTTTGACTATCTCGAGAACTTCATCAAGGCCGAAAACGAGGCCCGCCAAGCCACCCGTCGGCCCTCGGCCCTCCGGGTGTTTCCTGACCTGCGGCCTGCAGCCACCGCGGTGGACGCGCCTCCTCTCACGGTGACTATCGATGGGGACTACTTGGGCACACCATTTGGCAGTGAGAGTCAGACCGAGAAGGGAGAGAGAGAGGACGCGGAAGAGCAGGCCAGAGCATCCCAGCCCGCGCCCATCGACCACAGCCGGGTGAGCTTCTTTTCATCGGCCTGGGAATCAACCATCCACGCTGCCGATCTTGAGGGCTTGATCCTCCCCGGTGAGGACATTCGTGGCCTCTTTACTTTCCCCAAGGGCGAGACCGACGGAGTCTGGTGGCTCAACATCAACAAGCCTTCCGAGGAGGAAGTCCGTGCGATCTGCCGAGCCTTTGGAGTCCACCCCTTGACTGTTGAAGACATCACGACACAGGAGTCCCGCGAGAAGATTGAGCTCTTCCCCTCCTACTACTTTGCCTGTTTCCGGTCTTTCTATATCGAGATCGACGAAGAAACCCAGGAGAGAGAGTTTGTCCCATTCAATATTTACGTGGTTGTTTTCCGCGAGGGCACGCTCAGTTTCAGCTATGCCAGCAATTCGCATGCTTCGCATGTGAGGAAGAGAATTGCTATGTTGAAGGACTATGTTTCGCTGAGCAGTGACTGGATTTGCTACGCCCTGATGTAAGGATACCTCCAAGCCTGCCTTAGCAAAAAATAGTGCTAACGAACCCAGCGATGACATTGTCGATTCTTTTGCTCCAGTCATCAGCAAACTCGAGGCCGATACTGACCAGATTGAGGACGAGGTGTTCATTGCCCGCACCGACGACATGGCCCAGTTCCTGCGCAAGATCGGCACCGCCCGCAAGAACACCATGGCCTTGATGCGCTTGCTGGGCGGCAAGGCAGACGTCCTGAAGGGTTTCACCAAGCGGTGTAACGAGAACTACAAGGTCACGCCGCGGATGGACATCGGCCTGTACCTCGGCGACATCCAGGACCACGTTGTCACCATGATGAACAATCTCGGACACTTTGAGAAGATGATGTCCCGCGCCCACAGCAACTACCTTGCCCAGATTTCCATTGACGGCATTGCCCAGGGCACCGCCACCAACAAGGTCCTGAGCAAAATCACGTTGCTGGCATCCATCATTGTCCCGCTCAACGTGGTCACGGGTCTGTTCGGAATGAACGTCTTGGTCCCTTGGAGAGACACTGAATCGCTGGCACCCTTCTTTGGCATCTTGGGCTCTCTGCTCGCGTTCTGTATAATCTGCTCATACTTGGCCTACAAGCTGAGGATGTTCTGAACCAAGATCGGAGGTTGGTGTTGCCTTCTGAGCATACGAGAGATGACTTTATGCACATGATTGGAATAGTTTCGCAGGCGACTGTTGTCCACTCTGCATCCTGTTCATAAAGGTAGAAAGCAGTCAGGTTTGTTTAGGTGGGCATCCGGTAGTTACCTAAATCTAGACGAAGAGGTTCTTGTATACATTGTCGTCTTCGTTCATTCCCGCATGATCCAATCTATCTGTTTCTGCAATCCTACCACCTTAATCATGAAAGAGGTGCCGGGCCGGGAAGTTGATGTTTGGTATGGAGGAGGTTGCTTCACCCGAGCTTATCTTATATCTCACTTTCATTGGTTCCGGTCACACCGGCACTCTGTACAGCTTACGGAACCTTCCCCAACTTGGCCCAAAAAAAGTTCAACGACAATCTGGGCCATCCAACTATTATTGTCCGCCTAATTGACAATTGCCAAACACCACTGCACTCGCTCCACGGAGAAGTCGAACCAACAAAAATGTCCTCCTCGTCCGATTTCAGCCTTGATCAATCCGACATTGAGAAGCTCAACGACAAGGACAAAGCCGAGCTGCGCCGGTTCCTTGCCAATGAAGGGCAGCGTGCCCATATCCAGTCTCGTATGTTGCTTCTACTCTTCCCGCCCGTTGTCCACTTGGTCTCAGTGATTAGAGAGAAACACTCGGCCTATAAACCCCATTTTCAATCCATTTTCCCTTCCCGTCTCTCGTCCCCCCCCTCTAAAGCACCTACCTACCTGAAAACAAACAACCCCTCAAAGCCCCCAGGCACCGATGCCGAAGTCCATTTCGGACACCGTACCACCCACAGCACAGCACAGAACGACGAACGTTCAAGAAAACAATACCTAACCAGAGGTAAACCATAGAAACCCACGAACTCACCTCAATGTGCTGGAAAAAGTGCGTCACGTCTAGCACGATTCGCTCCGGCGCGCTTGACAAATCCGAGCAGACGTGCCTCGCAAACTGCGTCGACCGCTTTATGGACGCCAACCATGTCACCCTGAAGCACCTCGAGAGCATGCGCCAGCGATGAAAAGCACAAAAGCAACAAAACACCCTTTCTTCGCATCATATTGTCGCGCAGGTGTGGAAGGACCAGAGATTTGGCGGACCCCCTTTGGTTTCCTACCCTATCCTACCTAAGCTCCCCTGTCCACCCTGGTAACACAGGTAGCTTGGGTGCGTTCCCAGTTTGGAACGTGGTGCAGAAAGGAAGGGAAGGGAGGGAAATAGATGATTGCCGCCCCTGATGTGGGCTTGCTGGTTAGGTCTATCGTGCCAGCAGGCGAGAGACATGGCGTTGGATGCTTCTTCAGCGGACAACGCGAGTTGGGAAATTGAGTGGGCCTGGGGTCAGAGATAGGCTGCATTTTGGGAGGTTATCTCAAAACTCTCTGCGCTGCAGGGCGTCGACAGGGACTACACTGTACACTAAGGGTTGTGACGGTACGGGCATAGAGGGGAAAGAGTAATGGAACGAGGTTTCCGTATGAAAAGATCCATGAGCATCTGTCTGACTCCGATCTATTTATGGCGATCAACCTGCTCGACCGGAGTTTCAGGCTCTGCGCAAATTCCGAGTATTGTTGTGAAGTCATCAACACAATACAGCACACGACAGCCATAAGGGTACGAAGGGCGTTGTCAATTCTTTCATTGCCAAGTCATATGCCCAAGCCCAGGTATCTGACGCCGACCGAAATGCAATCCATGCCCCTTCGATGTGCCAACCATTTTTTGATTCCCCAGCACCCAGCCGAAAACAGAAGGTTTAGACTAGGCCGAGCTTGGTGGCAGCAATGTCGAGAGCGTCAACATCAGCGGTGAGGCGAGCGAACGCCTTCTTAGTGCCGTCAGGGCTGTGTCCGAGTCAGCGATTGCTCAGCGGATCCTTCCTCGCCGAGTAACCTACCGGATCAGGGTATTGATCTTGACGGTGTCAATGTCGTAGAGCTTCTTCAGGGCCAGTTTGATCTGGGCCTTGTTGGCCTTGACATCGACGATGAAGACAAGGGTGTTTTGCTCCTCAATCTTCTTCAGGGCACCCTCGGTGTTGAGAGGGTGGACGATGATCTTGTGCTCATCGAGGCGGGGCTCGTGAGGAATCGACTTGCGCGGGTACTTGGGGGAGCGCGACAGGACGAGCGTCTTGGGGCGGTGGAAGGTGGTCGACGTGCGGACCTTGGTCTTCTTGTGCGAGTGCACCTGTAACGGTGTTAGATGCCGAGGCTGAAATTGTGCACTCGAGAATTAAATCACTTACACCCTTGAGGGCAGCCTGGGCGGCCTTCTTGGCCTGAGCGCCCTTGCCGGCCTTGGAGGCACCGCCTGTCGTAGGAAGTGTCGTCAGTAAAGCATTCGCTTGAACAACGGGGAGACCCCGTCCTGTTCAAACTCGCAAAATCTGCTGCTGCTTTGGGGCATCACCTCGCCGCCATGGCGACGACGGCTAAGGTGCGCATTGAGCGACGGCCGAGTTTGTGCGTGTTGTTAAAGTCCATCTCGGGCGTTCATGTACCTTTCTTAACGTCCTTAGGAGCCATTTTTGGGGGGATCTGTCGGCGCTGGGCGAGTTGTCGAGTCGGTCGTGGATGAGTAAAACTATCGTTGGAATTTTGGGAAAAGGATGGGAAAATTATGGTGTGCGGAGCACAGATGGGGCTGGTGCTGTGGCTTGTTCCTGGCGCAGCAGCTACGATAAGATAAGATAAGCGAGTGTTTGACGCATTGAAAGGTACTCCGTACGGGGGTACTCCATATGGAGTACGGGATAAACTTTCATGATTTGATCCCTCGAATGAAACCTTTTCGAGTTCGGCTTCACAAACAGCAGTCTACGACTCGATGGTTTTGAAGAAGAAAGGGGCGCCGAAAAGCCTGGCGGCTGGACGGCCTCCAATCTTGCACCGGCCCAAGACGATTTCGAGGAGCGCGACCAAAGCTCTCATCAACAAGCACCATCTGCTGCAGAAGAGAAAGCGGCAGGCTATCGCCAAGGGAGACAAGGCTGAGGAGGCGGCCATCGACGCCGAGATCGAGGCATTGGGCGGCATTCAGAGTTATCAAGAGGCCAGTCTGCAAGGCCAAAGACAGGACCGAGGCGGGGACAGCTCTCGGGTTCTCATGCAATGGCTGGAACCGTGTTTCTCGTCTCTATCTAAGAAGAAATCCGGTCGCCGTCTTCGGATGTTGGAGGTTGGCGCACTCAGCACGCAGAACGCCTGCTCGAAGAGCAACCATCTCGACATTGAGAGGATCGACCTAAACAGCCAAGAAGAAGGCATCCTGCAGCAAGACTTCATGGAGCGGCCCTTGCCACGAGACGAGTCTGAGCGGTTCGACATGATCTCTCTTTCACTGGTCCTCAACTATGTGCCTGAGTCAAAAGGGCGAGGAGAAATGCTCCGCCGGACGACACAGTTCCTTCGGGGCCCAGGTCGATACATTGGAGATCCCCAGCTGGCGGTTAACTTTCCGAGTCTCTTTCTCGTTTTGCCAGCGCCATGCGTGATGAACTCTCGGTATCTGGACGAGGAAAGGTTGATCGCCATCATGGAATCACTTGGGTACACCAAGGTGGCGTCCAAGACAACTCAGCGGTTGGTCTACTACCTCTGGAGAAGGGACCGAGTTTGCAAAGGGGCTGGAGTCTCATTTTCGAAGAAAGAGGTCCGCTCTGGGTCAACACGGAACAATTTTGCTGTTGTCTTGAGCTGAGTTACGGCTCGTCCTGGAAACGGAACGCAAGACATTTGCGCCCCGACGCTTTGGCCTCCTATCACGCTCCTGGGACTCGTTAGCTCGGCCAGCTCCAAGGGGGACTCCGAAGGCGACGGCATCCCCAATCTGGCAGCCCGCACTTCGGCTTTTGCCTTCTCGAATTGGAAATTCGGCACGCTTGTTGAGTTGTCCGCATCTCCATCCATCACAATGATTGCTCATGTCAACAAGACCAAATCCTGGCATTCGGTCGCTATCCAGCTGCGCAGACCCCGCAGGATCCCTGCTGAGATCTACACAACCCCATAAAGCGATCTGAAGGCGCCATGTTTCTCTGATAAGACTGACTAACTGTCACCACCGTTCCGTTAGAATGTGGTTGGGAACGACCTGGGTCACCACGCCATCACTGCATACTAAGTCGGTTTGCTAAAGCCGTTTAGTGGCGCTCTTATCATCGACTACGGTGACATGGTGTCTCTAGGTTGAGAACCGCAGTTGAGAGGCACTTTGAGACCATCCATTGGATTAAGTACTGCGTGGCTTTGCGGGCAATATCGATCGGCCGGCGGGCGACCCGGACAACCAAGCGTCCCAACCCTGCCAGCTGACCTTCACTTTGTTCCGGAACATCATAGCCAGTCGACAGGGAGAGAGCCCCTTCTTTTCTCTTTCGCGGATTGGAACTTGCCATTGTCAGCGACTGGCTTGAGATCACGGGGCCGCTGTCATAAGAAGCAGCTATCGTCAAAAAAGTTTAAAAGTACCGTTCACGAGGAACACCAAACGTCGCATCTGTGAACGAGGTTCGATGTCATTGCCGTCCGTTGAGCAGAGTCCCCGATTTCGTCGACAAAAAGCTTCAGCCGGTCTGTCTAAAACTGCGAACGATCTCCGATTTGCTCTCTACGGGTCTCTAGCCGCAGCTTGGGCCTCGTGGTATTGGCTGGATTGGGATCGAATCAAATCAGATGACGACCGTTAGCGTTGAGGAGGAGTTGGCGCGGGGGTCCAGAGCCAGCCACGGCGTCCCCCAAGCCGCTCCCGCCCGACGCTCTTCCCCAGGATTTTGCGGGGTAAAGGGGCTTAAACAGTCTTGGCGCAGTCGCAAGGAAATCGGGCTGTGAAACGGAGGAGTCCATCTTCCCGTATCCCCTGGCGAGAGGGTGTCGCGTGAGACTTGGTGGCCTATCGGAGGATTGGTGTTTTGTTGGGAATGTGGGTTGGGGATGCCGTGTAAACACCAGACCCTAAGCTCTTGGGTCAATGTGTCACCACCCATTCAAAATACCTTAGTTTGAGATCTCGAGGTCGCATATGGAGCTACACCGGCTTAAGACTGGTGAAGTATGAAAGGGGCTGCCTTCGCTTAGGTCGGTTCCGTAGCGACGGGTCTAAAATTCAAGACCCTATGAACGGAAATCCCGCAAGCCAATCGCCAACCTGTCTATTGAATCCAAACGTGACTTGATCTGCAAACCACCAGAATTCGTTGTCATGTGTTATGCCGAACCTAGATGAGTATCTCATCCAAGCTCTTCACAACCCGGTGCTTCCTCCTGACCTCCTCGGACAGCTCCGCATTTCCGGGCCTCTCCAGGACGAAGCTCTGCATCCCCACCTCCTTAGCCGCCTCCACCTCCTTTACAAGGTCGCTCAGGAACAGCCACTCGCCCACCGGCACGTCGGGATACTTGGCCGCGATCTTGACATAGCTGGCCGCCTCCGTCTTGGGGCCCGCGTTGACCGTGTCAAAGTAGTCGGTGATCGCGCCTGTCAGGTCAGGCCTCGCGCTGCTGTTGGTGTGCCGGAAGAGCAGCTTCTGCGCGGCTACCGAGCCGGACGAGTAGATCATCACCCGAACCTTCTTCTTCTTCGCCTTCTCCTCATGGCCGCAATCGTTGGGCGACTCATCACCCTGCTCCTGCTGCGTCCAAGAGAGGATCTTGGGCGCCACGTCCGGGAACAAGGGAGCCTTGAGCGCGCCCGACGCGTAGCCTTCTTCCCAGAGGTAGCCCTGCAGGGATTTGAGGTAGGCGATTTTGACGTCGTGGCGCATCAGGTCTTGCACGTGAGCGGTCAGGGCCTCCGGGGTGGCCGAGTGCTCTGGAGGGAAGGCATCGCGGTAGGGGGCGAAGGATGGGCTCGACCACTCTTTGGCGAGAGTCGTCGGGAGGACCTCCAGGGCGTAAGGGAACTTTTTGGGTAACTGTTAGCATGCAATGAGGTAAGATACCGATGGTGTCGGTTGGGGACCGTTGGAGAGTGGGAGTCAGGGGCCAACCGGCCTCGTTGCCGTGGCTACTGAGAGGGGTAAGATGTGCTGGGTTCATGCACAGAGCGATGGCACGTTCTCTTGCGGCTGTTGTGGAGGACGCAGATGGATGGTTTGGCTCCCAGCCCATTGAATACTCCGTATTGGGGCAACCGTTGAATTGGGGAGGGGCACATCCAGCGATGAGTAGCCACGTCTGATGTGATGAAGAGGGTTGGACCATAGCCACAGTGCCCAAAGACGCCGCGTGCAGCGACGGACGGACTCGTCACTTACAAGAACGTCCTTGACGAATGAGACGGGGCAGACGGTGCCCTCTGTCGGCCGGTGTTAGCGAACTGGGGAGTCTGTATCGTTTGATACGTATGCACATACCAATATCGAGGAGCACGACCGAGACTGGCGATTGGAGGCTGCTGGACTGTCCGTTGCCGCTTTCCTGTTCCGATCCAGCGCCTTCTTCATCGTTCACCTCGGGCTTTTCCCCTTCAATGTTGATCTCTTGCTCTGCACCTTCACTCTTGCGCGGCCGCTTGGAAGAGGCGGCATCTGGTTGGCCAGGAGCCGGTCTTTTGCCTGTTGCATCAAATGAAGGTTCTTGCGCCTTTGCTTGCTCTACTGGCTGCCCCGGTCGGAGCTTGTCTGCAGCGCCAGCAGCCATCGTCTCGAGTCAAGGAGGGAGCAGTCGGAGATGATCTGGATGGGAGTCGGTGGCTGCTGCAGTTTCTGGGTCTTGGCTTCTTGGCCCGAGCGGTCAAGTGGGCCAGCAGTCTTTCGTGGCCGGGTGCCGAACCTTCGAGCTCCGGGTTGCTGCCGGGCGTGATCAGGCGGTGAAGATGTCGCGAGGAAGGAATCATGTTGACGAGTTCGCTCTGTGATTGGATCAGCGTTTTCAACAAGCAGCTGATACTTTTTCGGCGGACAAATTTGCCGTCGTCAACCGGATCTGCTTGGATCATACTAACACAGGGCTAACTTCTGCTTGGAACTACCACTACAAACATCCCTGGCTACACTTCTTCGTACAGCTCTCGGGCCTGAATTGTAACTGCTCTCGAACGTACCACAGAACGGAGTTTCTACTTAGCTTAGGTGGAGGAGCACTGGTTTAATTGAATCTGTCGGTTTAGGGTTGCAGGTGACAGCTTTAACCTGAAGAAAGCGGTCAGCACCATCACGGAGGTCAAATTTCGGTCAATTTTCCATCGGCAACCACCACGACGCACCTGCATGAGGGCTGCATTCTGTTTGATGGATCCTGGGCAGATCCAGCAGTGACGCTTTAGCATCGAGTGCTGTCTCACGACTTCGCGAACCGGCACGGACTTGCACGCCGCCGCCAATACAGAGCACTGCCGGCACTCAGTACAGTACCAAATGAGAAACCCGACCCGACGGCTTCTCCCTGACGGTCACTTCAGCCAGTCTGTTCTACCCCATTCCAGGTCAAGCAGCTTCCCGAGCGTCGGAACCGCGACTATGGTCATGCAGCGAGAGCTTTTCCCTTGCAACGGCATGATGGTTTTGGTTCATACGGCGACAACGCCGTGTCGACGCTCCATCTGCATGCTCACCGACATGTTGAGCGCGGGAGAGAAGGCGGGAGCTGCAGGAATGCTAATGCGAAGAGAGGATGCTGTGATTGGGTTGGTAAACAGACTGGCTATGGCAACGCATGGGGCCATTCTTCCGCCAACATCAACTGCTTCCCAAGACCAACCAGGCAGGGAAGAACCATGGCAACCGGGAGACATCTCTATGGCAGCGGGGACTGATCTTGCGCCGCTCTCATGATCCGTCTTGGATCCAAACAGAGGACCCCGCCATCAAGCGTCCCCAATGTCATGCGTCGACGGGGAGATCTGCATCTTGACTTTCGCGGCGAATGACCCCTAAATTCGAGCGTCCCTTTAGTTATTTGTAACAGAAAGCAACTTAACGTACCACGTACGCTTAAACCGGCCCGTTGGGCAGCGAGCGTGGTATTTTCACACTACCTGACTGTTATTTCCGCACAAAGTGGGCCAACGGTAATTACAGCCAACACCATTATCGTCCTTTGCATTGAAGCCACTAGTGACATTGTTCGGATGCACCAACAGCTGAAAGAATAAGTGCCATCGCGATACATCATGTCTTCCGGGCGTTGGTGCTTTGTCAAGCTCGCTCGACATCTTCAAGCTCTCCGCGCCAGGCTTCCCGTAGTGGAGCGCCAAACCCGGCCTGGGGCTGCAGCCCCCGACGCGCAACCGACGCTCTGACCGACTACGTTCCTGAGCAAGTTGGCCCAGGTGTATGTTTGCATGTATGGTGCCATTGACATATTGGCAATCTGGCTCCAATGCAGAGTCGCTGGCGATGTTTTGCTATGAATTCTGAATGGCCCCACTTTGTGTGAAACCAACAGCAGAGTGCGTGTGAAAATACCAGGCTCGCTGGGCAGTCGTCGTGATGATTCGGTTGAATGCAAATATGAGAGCTGGGAATGGCAACACTGCCGGGAATCCAGCCGCCCATTGGTGCTCGAGAAGACAGGACACCTCTTCTGCAGATCGAAACGGTTCCTTCTGCTCGGCTAGCGTCAGGAAGCCTGCATCTCTTGCACTAGCGACACAAGAAAGATGGTGGGATGACCGTGCACGCGTTTGGCCTGGCGCGACGCCCATTATTGGAACTCTGCGCTCGACCGCCTGAAGATCAGTTGGCGATAACACCCTCCACCCCATGGAAGGTAACCTCACTGCATCATCGCCCATCTCTACACGGTACAAGGGCAATAGGCGAAGAACCGGCATTTGTCTCAATTTCGTGAAATTGGTCGATTTCTGCAGGTGTGGGTGACACTCTACCCTTCCCACATCTCCGTCCCTTCGCACACGCAACGTACAGTGGGTGCCGTTAAAGAAACGTCCACCGGTCGTTTTCCCTGCAAAACTCAGCCAGTTCATTTCCCAATATCAAGAACTTCTGAACTACGATTTTTACCATGTTATACATATTGCTAGAGATCTATAAAGGCTTCCTACGCATTACCATATTACTATACTGTAAGCTATAAACGCATAAGATATTGGAGTTGAAGTTCAACTTACATACGAATAATCTCGTTGATTTTCACTCACTAACGTTATAACTACATTATAACCCAACTGAACCCCCTATAAGCAAAATCCTGAAGTTCAAATTTCTAGAATCTTAAGATTCTAACCAAAATATATATCTCTTGATAAGATTTTAAAGACTAATTTCTCTAATAATTAGATTACACTTCGCAAAAATCAACTGAAATTGGTGCTATTTCGATTGTATTGTATCTGATTGGGATTGGTGAGTTCTGGCGATTTGGGTTGTGATTTTGAACAGCCGGGCGTTTTTTTTCTGGCACCGATTGTACTGTACGTGTCTCTCTCACACACCTGGTCCAACCCCGCTGCGGGCAGTTTCAACCTGTGGCCAGCCGAAACATGCTCGCACACGAGCACCACCACTGCTGGCTGTGTCCGGAGGCCAGTCACACGATGTCACAGCAAGCGGGAGAGTAAGAGCCGTAGTCCGTAGGCTTTGTTGAACCCTGAAGGGTCCAGCATTCTTCGGCAACAGAAGGCTCAGGCCAACTGTCGTGACTCGCAGCGACGAGAACCCGCCGCCGAGGGAAAACGGTCCCGTCGGAGTCCATCGGATTGGCGTCGGGGCGAGAGCTATCAACGTAAGGTATGGAGTAGTACCCAGTATAGTAACGTTATCAGGTCCCGGATCGATTGAACGCTGTCCAGTTTGATCATCGCAGCGAAGCACGCGAGTGGCTCCATATCCCATCAGTTATACGGAGGATTGACTTGAACTGCCTTGTTGTACAGTGTCTGTTTATTATAACTGCCTCGTGCTACTAGTCCTTTGGCCTCTTCTTCGACTGTGTTTCCACGGATGGGGATTTGGAGTCCATTTCCAATAACTACAATTTCTCGTTACCGCCATCATCAAGCCCGTTTATTATTATACCGTTATCTTCCAATCGAGCACGGCGACAGGTCCGAAACAAAGCACGCAGATAAAGGAACACAGCGGCGCTGGTGCACTGTACGGAGTACTACAGTATATCGCTTGGATTTACCATGACACTGAAAAACGAAACTGCCGAACTTGCTCTCTGCGCGCTGGACTGTGATGCCATTGGGACTCCAAAACCGCGAGCGCTGCACCGCGGTGCAGGACGCAAATGATTGTAGGCCAAATGCAGCAGGAAGGCGGGGTGTCGCATCCTGCCATTCTCACCCTCCTCCAATGATGGTGTCTTGCTGGGCGCAGGGGTACCAAGTGAAACAGAAAGCGCTGGAAGCAGATGAACAAAGCAGAAATGGTGACATCGTCCTCCGTACGGAGTAATCCGTATGAGCCGATTATTTGCCTGAGGTGCTCAGGCAGCATCCATGCTTGTGTCATCTCGAATGCTTTCGAGGTTCTGATTATTAGTTACCTCCATCGAGACCCTCATGGCCGCGCAATCTCGCGCAACCATGTGGCCATCGCCGAGTATCCGGTTGTCCGCCAGGAATCTGGCCGACTCATCATTAAGCGGACATTGCCGGATACCCCATCGTGAGCAGGTCCCCATTTGGAGAATGGGGCATGCGAGTCGCAGCATAACCAGCTGGCGTGTGGAGCCACTGGAACGGAACTGAACTGTGCAGAGTGAACGTGGCTTCATTCGGATCACCAAGCACGACCCATACCTCAATGGACGTACAACAATCAGCTTCCACAGTGCAAGGCAGACGACTGGTGAAATCGTTTTGCCAGATGCAGCGATACCCAACTCCCAAGTTCACTTGATATGGATGTTACGCTGTCCAGGTACATAAGCGTCAGAAACGGGCGGTGGAGCCCCTAAACCACTCAGCTTGATTCCCAATTAGGCCCACTTGTATTCCTCAGTAAAAATGTGCCAATAAGGCATATGAGAACTTGATCTTATCACATACTGTGTAGAGGCGACTTAATGCTCACCCAAAGTAGTATCAAGCTATCTTAAACAAGGTAAAGAGGATTTGGAGCGCTTCCCTTGCAGAGGTAGAGCGGTGTGCTGTTGTGGCACCCTTGAATGGACCTCATTCGTCATTTCAGTTATGCAGGGAAAACGCCCCACACAGTTAACAGTGTTAGCTATGTGCAAAGCACCGTGCTTGCCCTTGTCTTTCCCAGCGCTCTGACCAGTATGTGCCGTGCCGTTCTCAACTCGACGATCCACATTTCCGTTGGCCACCACCCATGTCTCGCCTTTCGTGGCAGGCACGAGGGCGCTGGGCTCAGCCAAGGCCATGCCCCCTTTGATCGATGGTGGGCACTTAGCCCGCTGTGATGACAATCCGGCCACTGTTGTCCCAGCATTTCTGGTCACTTCCACGGCCCACCAGCCGCTGCCTGCATCTTCCGTCGGCGCTCCCCCCAGCTCGCCAACCAAGGCGTCTCTGCTTGATGAATGACCATCTCCCGTTTCCTCATTCAACCTTCCCGCTGCCACCCACCGCCTCTTCCACATCCTGCCACCTTCTCCACCATCAGTCGTATACTTCTGTACGCCTCTGCTATCGCCGTCGCTGCCAACCCATCACGGCCGCTTCCAAGTCCATCATCAACTCGTCTGGGTCTTGTTCCTGACCAAAAGGACGCTCGATTGGAATTGCGACTAGCACTGCGTTGCGGAATCAAGTCACTGGCTTTGAGCTGACGGGCGCCCACGCCACCTGCCAACGCTGCGTATTTGTCCGGGCCCGCATTCAATCACAGCTCAACCACCTCGATACGACCTGGATTTGGGGCGTTTGGCATCGAGTTGACCGCCGAGTCCTCGCGAGATCCTGCATCAGCACCGCTTCATTCCTCTCGCGCGTTGCCTCGTGGCACCCTGAGAGCTGCTGATAGACCCCCTGGACCCGGTTGTCCCACAGCTGCCCAAATCTCGTCTGTCCCCGAACAAACCACCAGCTTCCGATCGGTCGGTCTCGGTCGGTCTCCACCGGCTGTGAATCACATATCTCGCCAGTCGAACAAGGGGGCCGAAGAGTCATCTCTTCGTCCACCTGTTCCCCAGAGATCCCTTCGCCCCCGCATGTTCTCATCCGCCGTCCGCCAGGTGTTCCAATAGCTGCAAGTCGCCTCTGGTTTGCTGTCTGCCACCTGGTCTCGCCTTCCGTTCCCACACCTCAACCTCCCCGACGATCTCCCCCTAACGATCGCTTCGCCTTGTCAACGTTGGCTCGATTTCACGACAAGACTGCCGACAAAGGACAGCGTTTCACACCGTCGTCCACGATCCCACCCGCCAACACCGGAGCCTTTTCCGTTCACTGCACAACGTCGTCGACGTCTGGTCACCGGGGTCACGCCCTCGGCACTATAGCTGAAATCCACTCGACATAGAACGACGTCTTCACTTCCGCACCGATGTTATAACGACCATTTTCTTTTGTTTCTCTCGGGACTCGAAGTCCGACTCTCTGACGACCGTCTCAACCACCTTTTCCTTTTCTGTTGGAGTCTTATCAACACCCTCTCATGAGCCTCGGATTGTTAACGACTCGGAGCTGCTTGTTTCTGTTTCCCTAGCCGGTTTGCGCTCTTGTACATCCTTCCTCTTTCCTTCTTGTCTCAGTTCTCACCTCTCGTCGACTACCGTCGCTCGGTCTCGCGTCGCCCAATCGCCCGCTTCCTCCGTTGTACAATTCCGAACGTTGTTTCGACACTACACCATTCGATCGGCATAGACCGGCTTGGGGTTAGGGAAAAGCTCATTTGATTGCTGTACCATCACTCTCGACTCCGATACCCACGACGATACCTAATTCCTTCGCCATGGAATGCCTTCGCGACGACTTCCACGATGGCGTCCTGCTTGGTGGTCGGTATCAGACCATCTCCCCCCTCAATCATGGCTCCTTCGGCATGGTTTTCATGGCCAAGGACACCAAGACGGACGATACGGTCGCCATCAAGTGCCTGACTAAGAAGTCGGCCGCTTCTGATGCTTGCCTTGAGTTTGCCGTTGACGACAAGTCGGAGGAGCAAGTGTTGCACAGCCAACTAGGCTCGCATCCGAACATCGTCAACCTCATCGACTCGTTCGAGACGGATGCCCACATCTACCTGGTGCTTGAGTTCTGCCCGCGCGGCGATCTGTACGAGGCCATCCGCATCGGCCATGGTCCGCTTGAGACAGAGCACGTGAGGCGCTTCATGTTGGAGCTGGTCGATGCTGTGGCATATATGCACTCGAAGGGCGTCTACCACCGTGACATCAAGCCCGAGAACATCTTCTTGACCCAATCGGGATCGATGAAGCTGGGTGACTTCGGGCTTGCGACAACCGAGAAGTGGACCTTCGAGACGACGGTTGGCAGCGACCGGTACATGTCGCCCGAGCAGTATGACTCAGCCGGTGCTGGGTACTCGCCTGCTCAAGCCGACATCTGGGCAATCGGTATCTGTCTGCTCAACATTCTGTTCTCGAGGAATCCCTTTACGACCCCGACAGAGGCGGATCCCCTGTTCCTGGACTTCTCGCGCGACAAGCAGTCGCTGTTTGACGTGTTCCCTTCCATGTCCCAGGACACGTTCGAGGTCATCGTGCAGTGCATGAACCTGGACCCCAGCAAACGCTCCCTGGCCGGAGCCCGCGACGCCTTGCTTCGTGTCGTCAGCTTCACCACTCTTGACGAGGTGTTTGACGACTTCTGCACGAGCGACCGGCGTGTCGTTGCCAGTTCCAACCGCGAGCCCCTCCGCACGCCCTCCATCCAGAGTCCGCAGGTTGACAACGGCGCCTTCCCGTGGGCTAAGGCCCTGCAGGCGACGCCCCCAAAGCCAATTCGGCAGCTCAGCGTCATCCCGGACGACGAGGTGTACGACGAGGACCTGTTCTCCAAATCGGGCAGGACAACCGACTGGATGTCGGGGACAGCGCAGACGCCATCTATCTCGTCGTACATGGGCTCGAACCTCGGCCTCTCCATGCAGTCATTCGCCTTGCCAAAGAACTTCCGGCCCACTTTGCCGGCAAGGGCTACCGCGAAGGCTGCACCGATGGCTGGGTCACTTCCCATCACCATGTCCAAGGCTCGCAACCAGTCTGCCATGTCCTTGGTCTTTGGGCGCAAGGATGCGGTCTCCAAGAGCTGGAGCGATCTGTGGGACGAGGAGGAAGAGGAGGAAGAGGAGCGGGCTAGGCAACTACAGGCGCTCAAGGAAATGAACTCGAGAACCTGGAGCCATGAGAGCACCGCGACCCCATCCCTAGTCGTGGACAACGACGACACTCCCCGACAGGGCCTGTCGCCGGCGACCAAGACGGCCACCCTCGCCAACGATGAAAACAAAATTCCATCCATTGATGCGGCTTTTGCACACACCGTCGACGAGGATCCTGAGATGGACGGCTTGTTCCTCTACGAGGCGCCGCCCGCCAAGGAGGAGCCCCAGCTCCCGCAGCATGTCACGTCGTCACGTCGCAGCGACATTGACAAGTGGGCAGCGCTTGGCGAGCGGAGACGGGCGCACGTTGACAGCTCACCCCCAAAGGTCCCTGACGTTCCTCTCCGGGCAGGCGGGTCTGCCTTCCCCTCTAGCTCTCCGCTCAAGGGACACGGCGCGTTCGACATTCACAAGGACGCCCATCGACCGCTTTCTTCTATTTCTGGGAACCATTCGCCTCAACATCACAATCTTAACCTCCATCATAATCATCAGCACCACCATCAGGGACGGTGGAGCAACACTCGCGACCGGGCCAAGGAATGTCCTCGGAACAAGGGTCGCGACCGAGATTGGAATTGGAACTTTGACTGGCGCAAGGAGAAGCGCCCCGGCTTAGGCTATCTAGAGTGGGTTGGTAACTGGCAGGAAACCCGCTCCTGAGATGGGAGCTGGGTATCCTTGAGCGCCGGTTCACCACTTGTGGTTGGGCCCGTCACCGCCACCGCCACGAGACTACCACGGCCGCCTTTCCATCGAAACCTCGCCGCCATCATATCATCACCATCTCATCACAAATCCACTCCCCTCCGTCCATTGTACGGTCGATCTATTTCTAGCTTTTGTTTTTCTTGGCGCAAGGGGTGCTGATCCTGCTGGTGTCTGCCTCTGTTTTCTCTTCTTTCTCTCTCGCACATATCGTCTTACATATCTTAGTGGGACCTCGTGTCGGTCTTTTGATACTCTCCTTCTCTTTTTCCATCTCCCATTATAAGCATAGCATGGCGGCTTAGAGAACGAAACGATACACACACAAATATGTTAGGTTTGGCATAAGGTTTGGCGCGAAGGAGTGTGGAGCGGGTTTTGTTCTGTGGCAGGCGAATGTGGGACTGGATTACTGCGTTGGTTTTGGATTTGATTACTGTTGGTTTTATCTCCTACTTGATTCGTTGGCGGGGAGAACGGGGATATGAGGAAAAGCAGACAGCACCAGCATTACCAAAGCAGGATCAGCACTTGTTTGGGTGTCATTGAGGAGGTTTTGGTGTTCTACGGATACACACGCACTACACACAGACAAAAGATCGATCGTCGGAGGTGAGAGGGTAAATGGTGACGGCATGTTTGTTGGTTGAGGAAAGAGACAGGTTTGGATTGAGTTGGCTATGAGTAGGGGTGGGTTGCTTGGTTGGTTGGTGTTGAAGCGGCTTTCAACTCGCTTTCTGTGTATTAGATAGTCACTTTATTTTTCGTCTCGTTCTCGCGAGAGAAGGTTAAAGTCTAGAAGAATACCAGAAGTTACCCGCTCGAGAGTTTTGAGTTTCGTCTCACGATTCGTGTCTCAGAATGTATAATGGTTGCCGTGCAGGAATCGTGTATTTTAGATGGTCCTTGGATAGGGGCTTAAGAGTAGATCTCGGCTGCATATCCGTGATGTCCGTCGTGGAAGATTTGACGCCCACGCTCAATGGTAAGGCGGCAAGGCCACAGCTCAATCAGATGGATGATATGAGCTGCTTCATCGTCGAAGTCACCTCCGTTGATTCGTTGGAGGTGCCCAAACTTTTGGATTTTTTCATACACCCTAAGATTGCTGCATCTAGGACTCGTGCACCTTGCTGGACATGGGTCATCAAGGTGCACGCGCTGCGACTCGCATGTACTATTATCTGTATAAGTGCTTCTCCATCATGCCACCTTTTTCTCCTCGTGACTTCAGTTCGTCTCGTCCATTCACTACTTTCCAGATATCTCGTCTTTGCCATCAGTTCACATTCCAAGTCCGCCATGGCTCTCACCTGTGACGACGTTACCGTGCTCGTCGCCGAGCACCTCGACATGGATTCGATGCTTGCCTTCATGCTCAGCTCCAGGGCCAACTACCAGCTGATCAAGCGCCATGAGCGGTCCATTGTTAAAGCCAAGATTGCGAGCATGGTTTTCGACCCCGTGCTCATGCCGCCTTTCGGTGCGCTCCTGTCATCATGTCCTCCTCCTCAACCAGATATGAACCGCAACGTCCTGGACCCTTGTACTTTTGCCATCGCCAAGGAGTTGGAATTGCGAGAACGTCAAATCAACACCATCTTCATCCCCCAATCCGCCAGCCCTCATGGCGAGATATTTCTCGATGGACTCAACCGGCTTCCCTCTTATCAGCGCCTCCCGCCAGACCAGATGGAGTGCTTGGTGGACGGCTTTAAGGATGCCTGCAGGGTGGCCGCCCGCATCGCCGATTGCGAGGCTTCTGTCCGTTTCAAAACCGAAAAAGCATCCAAGAATGTTGGCTATTACGAGGGTGGTGAGAGACGGCCCATCGAGCACAAGGTCCATCTTGCTCGGCAACAATTCATCCGCTCCCTGTCCCCGATCCGCCTGGCCTTCCTCACGCTGCTGCGACGTCTGGCGGGCATGAAATATGCCCGACAACAATTCCGGGAGCCCTACTACTCGGACACCTTCTGGGAACGCATCACGGCCTTCGAAGAGACCTTTATTCGTCATGGCACCGCCGTCATATCCGCCCTGTTGCTCCCTTCCGAGCCCGCCAAAGAACCCCACAGAGCCCAACTTGAGGCACTTAGCTTTGGGGTTGGTCACTCGCCGCCCCGGCATTCAAGCAAGCCGGCTGAATACTACGCGTCACAAGTCGACAAGGTGCTTCGGGAGGTCCTGGAGTACGAAGGGGCCTACTTGATGTCTTCGTCGCCCGACCAGCCTGAAGGCGATCCCAGGCCGATCCCAGACAGCCTCCACATGACGGTGCTGCATGCGTTTCAGGCTTCCGAAGAGAATGAGGTGGAACAGCGTCTCAAGACCACCAACGAGAAGGAGGATGCCGATGGCAACTGGCTGTTCAACATCGACGTCACTGTATTTGATCCTGATTCTGATGACGCCGAAGAATACGTGTCACCGATGATGTTGAGGGAACTGGACCCTCGGGACGCTCTAATCCTCAAGTGGATCAGGAGCACTAGGCACAACCTCGCACGCAAACACATCAGAGTAGACTAGGCCCCTAATGTAGCAAATATATCCAAGTTGGTAGAGATTAGGTTCTTCGAAGATTTAAAGTTGCATGAGTCACTGTCGGTCCAACTACGGTTCGTTCAACCAACCTTCATACAGATTATTATAGATGATATCTACCTCCAGTCATGCCCATCCGTCCCTATCATTTCCGTCCATACCGCCCTACGCCGTACACATGTACCACATAAACCGAACGATGTGCTCGAGCAACTCATTCCATTTACAAGCAGATCTCTATCCTCCTGCCGCCTCCATGAATACCCACCCGACAGAGTACCCACCAGTACTTATGTACATGCATGCATGATTGAAGCCTGATCATGGCCACGAACCCAAGGGAAATGCTGCCCCATCATCAACGCCAGATCATGACCACGAGGTGAAAACAGCATTACACGCCAGTCCATCGCTCATTACTATCCAACATAGTTCGCCGACGAGAACGACCGTTCCACTCCAAGCAGCGACCTTCACAGCCGGCTGTCTGTGGCCGGGTTCATCCGGTTCTCGACACGCTCCAATCCAGACACGCGTCCTCGCACCGGCGGTTGTTGGCTTCTACCGCAACTCGGGCGCTGAAGGCTCGGCGCCAATCAAGCTTTTCGGCAAGAACGCCCAGACGGTGCCCACAACCGACAAGACGAACGACAGCGTCATGACTGAAAAGGCGAAGACCCTTTCCCGAGAAGAGATCTCGCGGCCAAAAAGCTTGAGGTAGAAGGCGAGGGGCAGCCTGGAGCGCAGAGTCAGCAAACATCCATTCAGTCCACCCGAATACCAAATGATTCACCGTTTCCACTGTCTGCCCGTCACCCTGCTCTGAATGACACAACAAAACACGACCAAACACCAGCCGCCGAGCGAATAGAGGGAAGCAGAAGGATAGGGAGCCGGGAGAGAGGGAGGGAAAAAGAGCACCTACGTCACACAAATGGTGAAACACAACGCACTCCCCATAAACGCCATGATGCTGTCAAACGCCGGAAACACCACCGCGATCCCCAGAAACAGCATCACGACCCCCACCCTGACGGCAACCTTCATCGCCCCGCGAAACCCCATCCCCCTGCCGACCAGCCACGAGGACCACCACGACGATGCCTCTTCTCCTCCCGAAGAAGCAGGGACCACCAAGCTCTGCTGGTGAAGCCCCAGCAGCACCTCGAGCGTCGCGACGATGGGCCGGGCGTTGAGCGGGATCTTGGTCAGCGGAATGATGGCGATGCACAGGCACATGAGCACGGTCATGGCCCGCGGGTAGCTGGATTCCATCAGGATGTTGGACGTGATCTCGTCGCGGACTGAGTCGCCGAACATGAGCAGGCCCGCGACGGCGGTTGTGGCGTCCAGGATCCACTGCGTAACAACATAGTTTGTGAATGATGGGGGGACAATAAGTGGTTGAATGGGACTTGAAGGGAGACGTACGGTGAAAGAGAAGGTGATCTTGAGGGCCTGGCTGTATTTGTAGGGATGGCGCATGTCGCGGTAGATCTGGGCGATGGTGAGCGGATTGTTGTCACGAAGGTCTGACGATGGGCTCAATGCTAGTTAATGCTGGACTTACGTTGGGAAACACACCGTGACCGCCCCTGAGGATAGTTAGTCGGATACCTAGGGGAAGACTGGGCGGAACGTACCATGGAGACATCAGCAGGCCGAAAGACAGCGGCAGCGTCAGCCAGTTGGTGGGAAACATGTACGTCTGAGCCGGTTCGATGAGCGACCCCGGCGAGGTGGGTTTTAGCAAGCCGTCAAAGACCAGGATGAGCACGACTGTGATTCCGCGTCAGTGACTTTCTACAATGTAGGGGTCCTGATCTGAACTTACTAGTCAAACAGGAAAAAATGCCAATAACGCTCGTGAAGCTCAACAACCGTAACGGAAGGAAATTCAGGGGTATCAAGATAACAGCGCAGAAAACCTTCCAACCCGTGACTGAGAAGTACCGGGGGAATAGCAAGTCGAGCGAGTCGGCAAAGAGCACGATGAGCGCGACACAAGCGGCAACCAGCTCGAGCGTGAACAGGACGCTCGTGGCTATGCGCGCGTTGCGACCAAATGAGATGAAGGCGAGGTCGGAGAAGGTGATGAGGGTCGGATCGAGATCCATGCATTTGGCCAGTATCTTAGCCGTCCACCCTGTCACGGCAGCGCAAAGAAACAGAGCTATCATGCCGCAGATCCAGCCAGCGTACTTCATACCCATCGGCAGGCTCAGTAGACCGACCCCGATCAAGACACTACCGCCACAACCCAGTCAGCAAACACCAAACCAAACCTCCCGGAAACCCAAGGCAGAACCACCTACTTGGTCGAGTTGAACACCGTCTGAGGCAGCGTGGACTGCCCCTCCACAGCCAGCACAATCTTCCCATCCTGCTCTACCTCCTTCACCAGAATCGGGGGAAGCTCGCCATCCGGCACGTTCCCGCCCGCCTCCTGCTGCTGGCGCCACAGCGCGGCCGCCTGCGCCATGGACGCCCTCCCAGCACCACCAACATCCGACGAGAGGGTGCCATAGTCCACCGCCGCCGATTCACCGTAGCTCCCCACCAGCGGCGGCGTTGCTAGATGGGGCGGGACGGCAAACAGGGACCCGCCGCCGGAGCTCGTCGTGTAGCTCCCCACGCGGAACGCCTGGGCCAGATCACCACCGCCTCCCTCGAGCGGTGGCTTTCCTTCGCGCGACTCACGGCTCCATTGGCGGTGGAGGGCGGTTTGGCTGGTGCCGGGATCGGGGCTCGCGGTGCGTGGGGACTGGGATCGAACCTCACGCCCTGGTCCCTGGAGGGCTGCTTCGAGGTGTTGGCGGAGGAGTGAGGGCGATTCCCCGGCCTCTACGTCACGCTGCTGTCGGGCGTAGGGGGAGGCATCGCCGGATCTTAGTGACGGCGGTGCGATTGGGGCTTGGTCGGGGGCGAAGACAAAGCTGGGCCGTTGTGGGATGACCTCAGGGAAGCCGGCGGCGCGCTGCCAGCTGCGGGTGAACGAGCGGATGCTGTTGACGCCGCCAATGTCGGTGATGGCGGTGAGGCGGTTGGTGATGGAGGATCTGATTTATTGTCAGTCTCGGTAGATTGGCCCCAAGGAGCGAGTCTTATGTGCCGACTTACCTTCTCCGTCTCAACCGTTGGGTCCACTCGCTCTCATCCTGGTCCTGGTTCGAGCCAGTGCTGCGGCCTAGAAGAGACTCATTCTCCGACTGACCGCTCCCGTTGCCAAACGATGAGACGCTCCCGGTCCGGGAGAAACCCCCGCGGTCATACTCGTCCCAGTTTGTCGGGTTCCGCGAGGTCATTTGCGTTGAGTCTGGATCACTAGGATGCGGACGACTCTTGGGATGGAAAATGGAAGTCAAGGTTATCCAACGGGATCAGGGAGGCTGTTGAGATAGTTATGAGCAGATTCCAGATTATGCCGCAGCGTTCGCGAGGTACCGCCGGGAGCTCAGCTACGCGGTCGCGTGCGCAAGGATTTGCTTCGCAGGAGACGCCGTCGAGTGGATTATGGTGGAGTTGAAGATGGAGTGATGATTGTCGAGAAATGCGGAGATTCACTTGATGCCTGCTGGACAAAAGGAACTACTACTTCACTGGAGGCTTAAAAGGGAATAATGAGGTAGTAAGTGCTCCAGTAAAATATTAGCGGTTTTCCATCAAATGGCTGCAATAAATTGTTCAAGGTAAGGAGCATGTCATCCGGAGCCGAGACTCGGGATGGGCCGAGCAAAGTAGCGACCTAGGCACATCATCGTCATGATGCATCCCGTCTGTCCGCTTGAGCCTTGCACAGAGTGATAACTAACGCCAGCTGCGGGTCTAGGAGGTCTTGTGAACACAACATCAACCGTCAATGCAACGCCGGCTATCTTGCAGCAGTTATCGGGAGGGTTGGGTATCATGCCGACGTATCAACTGGACATTTCGAGTTGCTTGCTAGAAAATTCTTATCGTAGAGCGTCCACCTTCTGATTACAGATGCAGAATGCAGAAGGGGAATCTGTGCCACATTGCCAAGCTGCGTCTACACAGTACGACGAACATGAGCGGCGGCTTGCATCGGCTCCAAGCCGCAGCAGACCGCCTGCTGCATTTGTCGAAGCGGTGAATTGTGGCAGATTATTTTCGTTTGGCCCGACTTCCTTTTGCTGCTACCCCGGTAGCCATCTCTTTTGGATTTACACACCTCTCCTGCGATGATGTGGCGGACGGCGCGTGACTCAGTCTGTCTGCTATGCCGCTCGGCAGCACAGCCCCGGAATACACTGCTGGAGCCGGCGCGGCCATGGATCAGCCAACGCTCCTTTGCGACTCGCAGAGACCGAGACCGTCCGTCGCGCATGGTCCTCTCCGAACGGGTCGCCCGCGGTCCCCGAACAGATGCCTCGAGGAGGTCCCGCGATAGGCCAGAGGGTCCTTGGGCTGGCACGAACCGCACAGTTGCCAACATCGACCCGGATCGCCGACGGGGTCCGCCTCGAGCAGCATCCAAAACATCGGCCACCAGCGCACGCGACAGGGACTCCAATGACAGGGGTTCGCGCGATGGCGACGACAGCCGCTTCAAAGCCCTCAAGATGCAGCGCGCCCTCGCATCCATTTCATACCGCGAACGTGCCGTTGTCAAGGCACGCATTTCCGACGTCGAATCCTTCGATCAGTTCAATCTGCTGCCGCAGTTGAGAGACGCCGTCTACGAAGAGGTCTTGAAGGGGATGGTGGACATCAAGCCGACGCCGGTCCAGAGGCTGGCCATTCCGGCCCTGCTCGGCCAGAAGATAGGCCAGCGCAGCCCCGCTCCCGAAACAAAGAAGGCCGAGGCAAAGAGACAAGAGTTCCTCCTAGCCGCCGAAACAGGGTCCGGCAAGACGCTGGCGTACCTGCTGCCCACCATCAACGCCCTCAAGGTGACCGAGGCTGACGACCCGGCTGTGGCGGCATACAACCAAAGGCTAGAAGCTGAGAAGGTGCGCCGCGGCGGGACCCCGGTGTCTGAATGGATCGACAACTTCGAACCGCACCCGAACCACGCCCGCCCCCGCGCCGTCGTGTTGGTCCCGACCGCCGAGCTCGTCGACCAAGTAGTCGCTGCCGCGAAAAAAATTTCGCACGTCATCAAGCTCAAAGTGCGCGCTTTCTCGTCCAATCTCAAACCCACCAAGATTGAGCGCAACATGTACAGCCACGGTGGCATCGACATGGTGGTCGCCACTCCGCATCTCCTCGCCTCCATGGCCGACAAGGACCCCAACATCCTCTCCCGGGTGCGCCACCTCATCATCGACGAAGCCGACTCCCTCCTCGACCGCTCCTTCTCCCCCGAAACCTCCAAGATCGTCGACCGCGCCATGCCCTCGCTCAAGCAGCTCATTCTCTGCTCTGCCACCATCCCGCGCCGCCTCGACAACTACCTGGCCACCCACTTTCCCAACATCCACCGCATCGCCACCCCCAATTTGCACGCCATCCCGCGCCGCGTCCAGCTCGGTGTCATCGACGTCTCCAAAGACCCCTACCGCAACAACAAGCTCCTCGCCTGCGCCGACGCCATCTGGTCCATCGGCAAGGACGCCGCCCTGCACGACGGCGCCTCCAAAGATGAGGTGGACGTCAAGCGCATCATGGTCTTTGTCAACGAGCGCGAGACGACGCAGGAGGTGGCCGAATACCTCGTGTCCAAGGGCATCGACGCCGTCGCGCTGCACCGCGACACCCCCGAGCACCGCCAGAGCGAGATGCTCGCCAGCTTCACCAGCAATGAGCCCATGCGCATCAGCAAGGACGAGGCGGAGCAGAACAAGCAGGCGATTCTGGCCAAGACGAGCGGTGCCGGCAGGCGGCATCTGCCCAACACCAAGGTCATTGTCGCGACGGATCTGGCGTCGAGGGGCATTGACACGCTGGCTGTCAGGCATGTGGTGCTGTATGACGTGCCGCATACCACAATTGATTTCATCCACCGGCTCGGGAGGGCTGGGCGGATGGGAAGGAGAGGGAGGGGGATTGTGTTGGTTGGCAAAGACGATCGGAGGGATGTCGTTGCCGAGGTGAAGGAGAGTATGTTCATGGGGCAAGCCCTCATCTGAAATAATCTGACGATGTATGATATGGAAGGGTTTGTACTATAGTGTAACGGCATAGAGTAGATACTTACCCAGCGTGTTATGGGAGTTGAGCGGGAATCTGTACTGCGTTGGATCTCAGCCCAAGACCGTACAAGTATCTGTAGCAATTATGAACAGCTAGCCAAGTTGAGATACCCTGACCAGACTACTATGTATTATCTAACATATCGACTCCTCTATCGTCGTGACTCATAAGTTATAGTCGTCAACGTCGTTGAAATGAATAGCCAAACACAGCTCGCTCGCTCGCTCGCTATTTTGAAGTGAAACCCTAAAACAGAAAAGAAAACCTGTGTCTTGCCTTCTCTTTTCTCCTTTCACCCGCCCCGTCATCCCCACATTGGGTGTGCTCCCATCCCGCTATAGAGTACTCCCCGCTCCCGCAAGCATCACTTCGTAAAGCCCACGTCCCACGTCCTGACCTTACTCAGCGTGCGCTTCCTCATGGTCGCCATGATCTGCGCCTCCATCTTCTCGATGCCCGCCTCGATGTCCGCATCCTCCTGCGCGTACTTGACCTCGCGCCGCTTGTCCCACCACCGCCAGCCAACCACGATGAGCACCGTCAGCGGGACGGATATGGCAAAGTAGATCCATAGGAGCGGGGAGACGGGGGACCAGCGACCACCACTTCCACTTCCACTTCCATTGTCGGTGCTGGCCGCTAGGTCTGTAGAGTCCGGGATGAAGTCGAAAAAGGACATGCTGAAGACCGAGGCGAGGTAGGTGGACGGGAGGAAGATGGCGCCCATGAGGGAGAGGAGCTTCATCGAGGTGCTGTCGCGCTTGGCCGCGTGGGCTAGGCGGCGCTGCTCACCGGCCATTTGGAGGCCGAGTTTGGACTCCTTTTGGGCGATGATGTTGTACAGCTGGCACGGAGGTCAGCTTTCAAATCGGGAAAAAAAAGGGGGCAAAATGGAGGGGAGCTTATTGAGGGGACGGGAAAGGGGTATTGCTTACGGCCGCGCGCTGGATCGTCAGCCGCTCCAGCGTGATGTGCGCGTAGTTTTCGATGCCCTTGAGCTTGGCCTGGTAGAAATCCAGCCGGGCCAGCAGGCTGCGGTGCAGCTTATCCACCTCGCCGCCGCGGCCGCCGTACGCCGGGTCGTCGCGCGCCCGGTCCCAGAACTTGTCCATGGCGGCGCCCACCAGCTTGATGATCTCCTGGTACGCCTGGGGCCGCTTCCACAGCACCTGCGAATGGCACTCGACCAGGTCGCGGTTGATCTGATCCAGGTCGACCATGGCGTCCTTGACGTACTTGCTGTCCTCCTCGCGCACCTCGGTGCGCATGCTGACGGCGTGCTCGAGGTTGCGCAGCCACTCGCGCGCGTTGCGCTGCTTGACGTCGTTCTTCATCGACAGGTCGTGGCTGAGAATGATGAGGGGCAGGAGCAAGGGGTGCAGGACCTGCGCCGCGCACGCCCGCAGGTGTCTGATGCTATCGACGAGGTCCGAGGATGGCGTGCCCTTGGCGTAGCCCGTCGTCATGTGGGTGCGGAACGAGTGCGACAGCATGAGCTCCCAGCCCCGGGTGCGGCCCTTCTTACGGACATCGGATTTGCGGAATATTATTTCTGTACGGATTAGCTAGCACCTAGAGAACTGGGCTAAGGGCTCGTACGCAAGTGCGGGTCGTCGTCGTCCTGGTCGAAGGCGCACCAGAAGAAAGGGCCCACCACGCTGCTGCCCTCGATGGCGCGGAACGGTAGGTGAAAAGCCCGGACCATTTCCTCGTATGCCTGGTGTGATAGAGAGAGGTAACTCGGACTAAAGGTCTCGGGGTGGTCTGCATCAAGTTGGAGGCTGCGAGATACGCCTGATCAGGATCATCGGGCTCATCTCACGGTAGCCGGGAACAACTCACATTAACCGTATACCACCGGTTAACTCAACGTTCGGGGGCAATTTCGGAGGTGCAAATGCGCCCTTGTACCGTCAGTTGAGGATCATAACATTGAACAGTTCACGGGTAGCTTACCCGTTGATGCAGAAAGTTGCCGAACTCAGCGGGAAGCTCATCCAGACGAAAGCGATGTTGCTCGTTGGTGTTGCGCGAGGGATCCTGAACCAACACATATTAGCCCATCTGAGTCCCATGTTAGAGCCATGACAACGTTGCTTGTTGAAGTTCTCTCGCCACCTGCTCCGCCTTCTCAGCATTGTGATCTCCCGGCCGGTTTCAGCTCCACGCGATGCCTGATTGACCATCGTCCGCTCTCAAGTCACGATGTGGCAACTCACCGAGTAATTGAAGATTTCGAGGTACTGGGTCTCCTCCTGGACGCACTTGCATTCGGTCACGTAGGACCGAAACATATAGTCGTCCATGGTTCCCTTTTTTCCGATTGCACCCTGACCCTGTTACAGACCCCAACGCTTTCAAGAGACCAACGTTCATCAACGGATGGTACTAGGTCTCAAAGTGCAAGACGCTCATGTGCTCTCCGAATATAAGATCAGACACAACCAAGATATCGGACAAGCAAGGTGAGTCTGACGGTGTGTAAGCGGCAACTGGATTAACAACATAAGATCGAGGTCAAGACTCACCATAATATTCCGTCTTTACCTCATGCTCAACACAAGTGACAGATTGGATATATCAGTTTAAAGCGACGACCAAAAAACAGACAAACCTCTACCCAATCCATGGGTTCGCTGAATCCTCACAGCCTCGCCCGGCCTCAGCGCAGAAGTAACGGGTGACCAGCCACCATTTGCAAGCCTCTGTCGATGCGGCCGCCGGTGGGCCAATCGCAACTCTGCAGGGTTTGTACCACGCCTTGTAAGCACAGTAGCAAACAGAGTATTTACTGTACAGTTGACCAAAACAAGGCATACAGGTAAGATAATGGAGCAGTTCATTTCGATTTACACTGTAGCATCAGGTGCAAGTACTTCTTTTAGCTCCACTTCATCACGGAGCCGATCCGGATAAGCGAGCCCCACAGCAGCCTACCAATGCCGGTGGCTGAACCGACGAACCGATTCACTCACCGACCCTGTCCTCTTCGGTCTGGACAAGTCGATCACGACACAGCCATGGGATGCAGCCAGCGCCCAAGACCGCCTACCTATGCAAGACATCGAAGGCCCACTGCATAAGAAACGGGTTCTCATCACTAAGTCAATGATACATTTTGCCTGAAAACGTAGAGAGCCTCTCAGAATGCCTTGTCCTTGTCTTACATCACCACAAACCTCTACGTGTACTCTACCACATACCACTGCCTGCCTAACTTCCATTAATCTTGCAAGTTCTCAACAATGGACAGCCAAGTCAGACCACAAGGTTGGTTCGCTCATTTACTCCCTGAGGTGATGAAGCAGACAGGGTGAATTTATCCCCATCAACGTGATCAGCAAAAGTGAGAAGCAGATTTGTCTGTCAGGACAGGAACTAAAATATAGCTACATTTCCATGACAGAAGAGGAGGAGCTCCCTGACAGGAAACGTCACATGCCGTCCACATCCAGAATGAGCTGCAGCAGATTGCGAGACTGCCGGTTCTGGGGTTACATAGATGTACAGTACGGACGTACAAGACACTACAAGCCGAAAGATATCGAAGTTTCTTTTTCTTTCCCCAGTCCCTTGTCAATCAGCATCCGACTCCTTCCCCAACCATGATCCTATCCTACCCTACCGCCATCCCGTCCTATCCATCTTAACCTGTACATTCAGCGCCAGTGATCGATGCTCTCTTATGTTTTCTACTTTGTGTGCCTGCTTCAAGCGATGATTCCACCATCAACTCGGTCTTCTTCTGTGAGGACCGGCCCGCCCGTTGCTATTCCCCTTGATCCTCAACCCACGGATTCTCGCATCTCATCATCATTTGCGTCGTGACCATTCGACCGACCAGAGAACCAAACCTACCGTAGCAGCTGGGGAATGAAAGACAACTGTCATGTTGGCACGGCTGACCCGTCACCGCCCGACTCCCCGCCTCTTCTTGCATATTGAGCGGAGGGGTTTTCAAAAGTCCTGAAACAGGTAACCGTATCTAGCGACAGCAGTCAGTCTCATAGTTTCCCCCAACCCTCCAGCGGGGAGTGCGAGACGAGGAGAGGGAGAGAAAAAAGAACAACCTACTCATCATGTCCCCCCTGACCATATTGTTCAGTTTCCTCCGGGTACCGATCAAACTGGCTCGCATCCCCCATGCCCGCCTTCACGGGCGGCGAGTACGGTGCGTCGATATCCTTCCGCGCCAGCCGGTCCCACGTCACCTCGGCAAACCAGGGATGGTTCTTGACGTCCTGCGGCCCCCCGTACAGGTTGCCCAGCCGCTTGGTCAGGTCGGCCGTGATGAGCCGTTCGAGCAGGTTCTGCGCGTCCGGGTTGATGTAGGCCGGGTACTTGACCTTGCCGCGCAGGATGTTCTCATAAATCTTCATGGGCGAGCCGCTGTCCCAGAAGGGCGTGTAGCCGCAGAGCATCTCGTAGATGAGGATTCCTAGGGACCACCTGGACAACGTGTTAGTAAGAATGGACGAGTAAGGGTCGGAGGTGATTGGTGGTTGTCGGTGCGCCTACCAGTCCACGGACTTGTTGTATCCTTTGTTGGAGACAACCTCGGGCGCTAAGTAGTCCGGCGTGCCGCAAAGCGTCCAAGTCTTGTCTGGCACGCGCTTGGCGAAGCCAAAGTCTGTAATCTTGAGGTGGCCGTGCCGGTCGAGCAGCAGATTTTCTGGTTTCAAGTCTCGATAAATAATGTTTCGCGCGTGCAAGTATTCGAGTGCCAAAGTGACCTCGGCAGCGTAGAATTTGGCGACCGGGTTGGGAAAGCGCTGACACGGGGGTTAGCCCAGGACAGTCCCAGGAATCAATCCCATACGTACCCCCGATCTCCTCAACAGCGAGAAGAGCTCGCCGCCCTCGACAAAATCCATCACCATGTACAGGTTCTTAGCATCCTGGAAGGTGCCCCACAGCGTGATCAGAAACGGGTGCTTGACCTCGGCCAACATCCTTCTCTCGTCGTTGGTGTGCTCGACCTGCTTCATCCTGACCACCTGCGCCTTCTTAAGCACCTTAATAGCGTAGTACCGGTGGTTGTGCTGCGACTGCACCAGGTGCACCCGGCCAAAGCTACCCGTTCCCAGAGTCCGCAGGAGCTCAAAGTCGGCCAACGAGTACCTACCCTTCGTCACCCGCGCCTCACCCGATCCTGCTGTCGATTGTGTCTGGGCTTGGGTCTGCTGCTGGTGCTGCTCCTGCTGGTGCTGCTGCTGGGGCACTGTCGTCGGCTGGCTTGACGCCGCCCCTCCATTATTTATTGGATAGTGAGCATACTGGTTCCCTTGTTGCGGCTGATACCCGGCTGCCCCGCCGTGTTGCGGCGGGTTGATGAGATTCGAGACGTGCGGTACGTGCTGCGGATCCGATCCGGGAGACGGGGTGTGTTGTCCCAGGGGGTAGGGCTGCTGGACCGGTAGAGTATTCATTGGTTGTCGCTGCTGCTCAGCCGCCGCTTCGGACGGCCTGTATGGTTCAGTAGCAGGCGCGGAGGAGCGGTGGGTTGTAGAGTGCGACGTGGCGCTGGAGCGGGAGCCGCGCGAGGCAGTGGACAGGTCGAAGCCGCTGCTCGATGTCGGGGTTACGGGGCTCGTCGGGTTGCTTGTCGACGAAGGGCCCTGATTGCCCTCCCTCGTCCGTTTCCTCCTCAGGAAGCCAAGGGCATGCATCAAGCGATCCGACGAGACAGCCGATCGAACGCCTTGGGCTGTCTAAATGGGCAGCCACGCGTGCAAGAGAAAGAGACGGATGAAAGCCGTTGCAACAGGGCGCTGCGCAGCAATCAACGACACACCAGCAAGCCAATAGCTCTCCTCCGAGGGGGTCACGGCGGGTAGATGACGCCGAGGATTTGGCCGGGCCCAAGGAGCTGACACAGGGTTGGGTGCCGCGGAACCTGAAGAATCTCGGGCGGTGCCAATTGCTAAAGAAGCCCAAGATAGCTGATTGCCGTGAAATTCGTAGCCGGGAGAAATGCCGTAATGACTGTCGTGGGGTTGAGGGTGAAATGCCAGAGCTGGCGAACGAGGTTGCAACACGCAACAGCCCCGCGAACGGCCAAAGCCCTAGGTACCGCAACGGCACAAAGAGGAATAATGGACCAATGGATTGGCTGGCCCAGAGGAACCCGCGCAGCGGTGGGTAGAGGGGGAAAACGAGACGTCGTGGGTGCTTCTCTAGTTCACAGGAACGAATTGTGAGAATTCCGGAATCCCGAGGGTCAACAACCCACTTCTTCGAGCAAGTGGCCTGCAACGTGGACAACGGATGCTACCAGTCAGCTACTAAGCAGCTGCGGTTTGTGCAGTATACCAGTATTGAAGATGGTGGCGTAGGAGTACGGATGCCAACGAGGTTAAGAAGCAGATCATAGGTAACTGGGTACTTGAACCTTAGGAGGGATGGCGTTGTGGTGGAGGGAAAGCCATTGACCCAGAAATGCACAGAGCTGTCCTGGAGGGGCTCCCCGGCCCTTTGTGGATTGGCCATTGTCCGGCCTTGGCAATGGGATAACTATCCAATCCCTTGAGAGCTGCAAACCGGGCTAAGATTTAATCAACTCTGATGCTGCATCATTTTCATCATCCAAACCGTACTGTAAGCCTTCTTTTGCATTGCGGAATACCAAAAAAATATTGTCTTGAAAACTAGCAACAACAAAAAAACCTTGACTCGCTGTCCCGAAGAACAGACAACCACTCTCCGCCATTGATGCTGTGCATGTTGATGAATTCAATCCGGGAGTGTGTTGTTGGTGGCCAGAATCCGAGTCGCTTTGAGGAGGGGCCGATGTGGGGTAGTCCCCGCAGGGACAAGGATTAGCTCCTGATCGGGCGCTGGTCCAAATCGTCATCGGCCGGAGATCTGTTCTGCGATTCCAGGCGGCATCTCATAATACAGTACGAGGCAGCTGGGGGTAGTCGGGAGCGCCTCCCGTCCATGACGCAGAGCAAGAGTACGATAATGGTCGATCAAAAGAAACATGATACTAATAACATGGCACCAGACCAGGCGGTGTTCTAGATCGAGTTGAATGTCTCAAGTCAGCGCCAAAGTTTGGCTGAAGGCGTGATGACTGTGCAGCAAGCTGACCTTCAGTCCCTTGCCTTGCGCACACGTTTCGCACAAGGGGTTGCCATCGCGGTCGATTGCGATCAGAAAAGAAACCGCTGTGTGATGCACCTTCATCCGAGAGCCTGGAATAACGTTGATACAGAACAAGTGACTTTATGCGAGCGGATGGTAACGTAAACCCGGATTCCCTATCCCCATGCAGAACAGCGGAAATCAAGGTATCTTTTGAGTTTTTCTGGCCGTTGATCGTCATCAAATATCCTTTCTTCAAGCCCGTCCGGTCCCCACCTCAGAATCGGTGGCTTCGCTTGTTGTTCGCTCTCCAGGCAGTGAATCCAACATAGCCGCCGCCGACGACGAGGAAGAAGAAGATAATCTTCATGAAGAACCAGGTCCAGCTGCCGCCTTCTTTGGACCCAGACTTCTTGCCTCTGCCACTGCCGGGAGTCGGCCGCCCGGTCGGCTGTGCCGTGTACAGGTTTTTGGCATTGATCGAGATGATGTCGTGGTTATCGCTCAGCTCCCCCGTCTCGGCGCTGAAGCCAAGGTAGGCCACCTGGGGAATCGCGGGCGGCTGGTTTGTCTCGAAGCACAGCGTCCACTCGCCCTCGGACTTGTACTGCAACTCCAGCTTGAGAAACTTGTCCTGGAAGTAGGTCAAGCGGAACTTGGTCGGGACGCTGGCGTGCCGGATGCCCCTGGCCGAGCAACCGGCAAACTCGGTGTCCTTGCCGTCCGTGTCCTTGTCGTACGAGGTCTTGCCGTCGCCGACCATGGCCATGACGTAGGGGAAGACGACGCCGGGACGGTTGTTCTTGTACGTGTCAAAGAAGATGCCCAGACCCTCGAACTTGTCGGCGCTGCCAAATACGGGGCCGACTTTCCCGCGCTCCTTCGTGAGCCACATGGCGAAGCCGTCGCCATACAGCTGGTTCTTGCCGTGAATCCTGAATTCAACCTCAATCTCCCAGTTCGTCGCCGTCAATGGCACCCTGGAAAAGAGCCATCCGTTTTGTGAAGGGTGGTCCGAGGTCAGGCGGATGTACCTGCAAGATACCGTGTTAGAGAGCGCCGGGCGCGCGATGCGCTGCTGGGAGGGTGCATTTACTGATCGGTGCGGATGATTGTGTCGCCCCCAAAGTCGTACCACCGACTTTGCATGTCAGAGTCCAGGTATGGCTAGAGCAAGACGTCAGTCCAGTCCCTAGGGTGAAGTGAGGCAGAGGGATGCGCACCTGGACGAGAGTGTGTGTTCGCAGCTAAGCAAGACCGTCAGCACTGCCGTCAAAAGCAGACCACAGCATGGAGCGACGCACCCCTATGCTCTTGACATTATCTCCCGAATCCTCCGCCTGAATCCGCCCCCAAGAAAGCGTGGCCAGCCACAAAGCCGACAGCGTCGACTTCAACATTGCGCCGCGGTGTCGATGGATCGAGAGAACTGAACGAAAAGGGAAGGGAACGACTCGTGTGAGATGTAAGTGGAGGCCGTGGCCAAGGCGAACAGAGGAAAGAGAATCAAAGAAAAGTGTCCGAACGAGTGCGTAGTATGGCCGTTCGGAATGCTGAGCCGAGAGCAAGCCTGGCGCTGTATGTGTGGTCGCTCGAGAGTCGGCAACACTTCGACTCTCACAAGACCCTGACGGTTTCCCTTAGCTGGCCTTTTCAGGAAGCCCGGTGAGTGGAGTGGCCCCAGCCTCGCTGAGCTACCCTTGTCTGTGAGCCTCGTGGATTCATAGCCGGCTCCACCCTCACTGATCCACCCAACGTTTCTGTACCACGTTAACGCACCAGCCTCAGCATCAAAGGCATGCGCCACAGCTTGGAACTTTTCCCAGCATCATCTAAGACTCAATAAACAGCAGACCGGATCCCCATCCAACTCTCTGCCCGCCGCAACCATGGACTCGGACGGAGTGAAGAATGCTATCATCCGGCAGCAGCTCCAGGCGACCAATGCGGCCAATGCGCGGACCCTTATAGAGGTAAACGCTCCCCGTATCTGCTATCTCAGACCAGGGAACTCCCAAACCCCTCTTGCTTGCTCTCAAACTAACCCCGTGACCCCTAGAACATCAACGAGAAGTGCTTCGAACGCTGCGTCCCCAAGCCCGGCTCGTCTCTTTTGAGCAGTGAACAGACGTGTCTCACACAGTGCATGGAGAAGTACATGGCGGCGTGGAATGAGGTCAACGCGGCATACATCCGCAGGTTACAGCAGGAGGTCGGCAACCAGACCATCTCGAGCACATAGACGAATGGAGGTGCCAGGCTGTACAGCATGACTACCACCTGGAACAATAAGTGAAGGACTGAATGCCATTGACAGGGTCAGGCTGCATATGTACGATTGGGGATCAGTTCAACCGGGATAGAGTTAAGACCGCGGGAGGCAAAGATGGTGGTTTCGCGAAGAATGGACGGTTAAAGGAGGGCAATCATCCACAGGTCATTTTCGCCGGATACGGTCGCGGGTATCTCAAGAAACGACAAACCATCAGCGCAACCATACTATGGAGCCTCCAACCCATTCTTCTTGGCCTCCTCTGCAGCCCTCTTTCTAGCAAGATACCTCTCCTTGGCACTCGAGATATCGGCCTCGGTCTTGCGGCTCTTGCTTGCAAGCTGCACCTTCGCAGCCTCCTCCTCTTCCTCCTGCCGCGACCGCTTAAGCGTCTCCTCCAATTGTGCCGCCAGCATCCTCGTCTGGCGCTCACGCATCGCCTGTTTCCCGCCCGCATTATACACCCCTTTGGTATGCCCCACAGCCCCCGTCCTTGCCGCTGCAGCCCCGTTCTCCTGCCTCTCCTTCTCCATCTGCACCTCAGCCTTCTTCTTGGCCGCCACATTCAACCCGCCTTTCAACAACTGCCTCTTATCCACCACCTCACCCTCGTCATTGACCAACACATTGCCCCCCATGGCATTGATCTCCTTCGCACGCTCCGCCGCACTCTTCTCCCGATCCTCCTCCTCCAACCCCACATTCCCCCCTCGAGGCTGCACCCCTTCCTCAGCGGCCTTGACAAGCAAAGCATGCTCCCTCTCCCCCCGCTCCAGCATCCCCTTATAAAACTCCGCCAGTCCTCTCCCCTGATTCCTCTTCCTCTCCTCCTCCTCCTTTCTCGCCTCCTCCTCCTGCAGCCGGCGATTCGCCTCCTGCTGCCGCCGGTACGCCTCGGTCACGAACTTTTCTTTATCCGCAAACTCGTCCCCCTCGGCCGCCCGTTCCCGCTGCAGGCGACGCTCCTCGGCAATTTGCCTGTCGCGCTCCCGGATCTCGGCCGCATTGAGCAGCGCGTCAAAGTACCGCGGCCGTTTCTCGGTGGCGGCGGCGGAATCTTTGGAGGAGGCGGTCGCCTTGGCGGCTTTGAACGAATCGTAGGCTGCGTCGTAGTCGTAGATGGAGGGATCGGCGGCTTCGGCCGAGGCGGCGTGCTTGCGGGAGGTGAGGGCGCTCGAGAGGTCGGTGAAGAGGTTAGGTGTTGTTGAGGTGGGGGAGGCGGATCGTTTGGATTGGGATAGGGGTGGCGGTGGCTGGTTGGCGGATGGTTTCTTGGGAGGTTTTTTCCGATTGTCGAGCGTGCCGCCGTCGTTTGTGGATGGTTCGGTGCTGAATATGTCGAGCTCAGAGACCTGGGCTACGTTCACTGGTGTGCTGTCGTCACCTGAGCCGTCGTCGTCTCCTCCGCCAGCGAACGGAGCTGGTTTTCGAAGCGCTGCTGCTGGTTTCGCAAAACCGGCCTTCTTGAGGCCGAATGAAAATGCCGGCTTGCTCATTGTAAGCTTCGGCAATGGATATACGAGAAAAGGTGGTGATACAGGAAAGCAGATGGCGAGGCGCATTTCCAGGTTGGCAAGACACCGTCGCCGGACGAAAGCACTCTGGAAAGAAGTCGGTCCATTTCACCAGCCACACACCTCTTATCGGTGAGATAAGAGCTCCCGGCAGGCAAAAATGGGTTACTTGGAAGCTCAGAAGGCGGGTCATTCTTGGCGTCTTTGAGATTTGGACGAAACGTCGAAGTAGCGTCGTGTTTGTTTCTTATGTTGGCATTTTCTCCTGTCCACAGGAGTCTGGTAGGGGGATTGGTATCGATTCTGCTGATATGGTTGCTCGTCCTAAATGTCCGGATCCTGTACCCGACCGATGGGCCGGGAAACACCTCACGCGGCGCATCTAGACCGTTGATAACTGTGCTCCATATCTCAGGCTCACCCATCCCGCGTTCGTAGGTATCGCGTGCTAGACCACGGCGAGCATAGGAATTGGGTTCTCTCTGCGAGATGGAAGAAGGATATAGACATAAAAGCCCCGATCGTCTTCACCGTACTGATAGGAGTCGAACACCGAAACTTCTGTAAAACGGCATCGTGTACATCGTGGTGTCGGTGTCCAGGCACTCGTCGAGAAAGAGTTCCATCCGGCGTGAATCCAACTCGGCCTGCCCGCCACGGCCACCCACTGCTTGACATATCCAACTTCCATTGAGCATCAACGTTTCGTCAGGCCGTACCAGCACCTCATTCAAATGGCCTTGCACCAGGAGGAAGGCCCCAGACAAAGCTCCTGCGGGGTCCAATATCTCCGCTCCGCCGCGTAGGTTGACAAGGCCGCTTTCCACCTAGTGAAGGCCCATAGGACTCTCCTTCGGACGTAGAGCAATCTCCTTATCTGTAGAAGCCCAATTTCGCGACGGCGCTCGGTACGCGGTTGGTCGAGGTGTGGGTGTCATGCTTCTCCAGCCTAAATGTGCCGAGAAGACAGCTCCTGGCCCCTTGCAAATCCCTGCCAGATATGTCACACCGGTTATGTTTTGATGGTACTTCACAATTCCTGAATGTGCTGGCAGGGTATCTGAACGGTAGGTCAGAGTGGCCAAGGTATATCGTCCCAGTATATCGCCCAGAGCTTTAGGACTTCGTCCGGCCGGGTGTGGTACCAGACCAGGGGATCGCCGTTGTAGCTCCTCGGCGACAGATACATGCGCCCGGAGAGATATTGTAGTGTCCAAATTCGAGGAGCTCCAGTTGGATAGCTCACTGAAGGTATAAGCTCATTACGCTCCCAGACGAGCTGTCGGCGTGAGAAGTGTAAGATTCGAGGTGAGAGGAGCCTTTTTTGCAGTACCCAACCCCTCTGAATTCTCGGTAGTCAAGTATGTAGTGGGAAGAGGAACCACGTCTGGTACTAACCCTTTCTAACGGCGACTCCTGTCCTTCATGCTCGATACCTTCGTTTTCTTCGATGAGCAGCAGAGTTTCGTCGTCTTGCGAGGCCTTCACGTAAGCCCCAATGACTATGTCTCCTCGGTCTCGGTTCAACCCCCCGTTCGAGTCTTGCGAGGCACTTGCTGCGATGTTGCACATGGCGTTATGGTACACATCTGCCATAGAGCTTGATTCACTCGCCCAGTCCTGGGGGTCGTCCTGGATGATGCAGAGCGAGTCGATCCAGATGTATCTGGCTCCGAGCCTACGAGTTGCCACTATAGCGTCTTCGACAATCCGTGGAAGAGCCGGAATTTGCTGAAGCAGCTCTTCCCTATTTCTCGTTTCCAGGTTGAACACCTTTGACGCGTCGCCCCAGAAATGACTCAGCGTCAGGTAGGGACCATCTGGAGCAACTGCGCTGTTTCGATCAACCGTACGTGTTCTCTAGGCTGCCCCGAATGTCCGACGTCGATAAGCCGCGTCGGAAATCACCTCAGTTCCGGTTGCTGTTGCTTCGTTGTGCGGCATGCTTCATGAGTTCCTAAGCAATTTGCTAATGCCTTGAGTGCAAAAATTCGAGAAGACGCATCTGAGTTTGTCGAACCGGGACCGACGGGCTTGATGGTCACGCTAGGCTTGGATGTCTTATTTGGTGTCTAGATTTTTTTAGCTTCTCCTGCTGTTCCCGGAGGTGGTTGAAGGACGTCTCAACACATGACCTACCCTTATCATCTTCAGGGTCGCCCTGCATTATGACAACACGCTCCACTCTCAGTCTGTTTGCCTCATCTCGGATCGAGAAGGTGAGGCGGCACCTCAACCATCTTTCGTCATATTCGCCGCATTCGAGATAATCCCGGCTGAATGTGGTCAAGCTGTCGCGTCCCAGCTCGCTTCATTGATGGCGGAAACCATACTACCCGGTTTATTCTGTAGCAGCGTGTTGCAAACAAAACATCCCTCCCTGACGGCTGTGGCAAAGCTTCTATGAGTAGAGTGAGTCTAGGTCGGAACTCTTCCATTGTCCTCGATCCTCGTATTATTGGAGAGATATCCATAATCACTAAGCCAGCCGGGCTGTTGGGTGAAGCAGGAGCGCACACATTCTTCGCAATGTTGGCAGAGATGATGCGAAGTGAGAGCAGTTGCATCAACGGGGACAAGTTGAGCTTGTTCGATTTCTGCTGATTTCCAACAACGGAAAAGTCGACGCATCTTGCTGGATCGACGGAAAGGCATAGCTGCGTACCTTCAAGTAAAGATACATGTTGTAGGACGGTACTGAAGTATGCAGATGGGAGGGAGAAAGGGTGGAAATTGACGATGGAAGGCACGATGTCTTTGTGCGAGAGCATTGAACGGGGCTCGGACTATGCTCATAAGCCACGGCTGTCCGCACGTGACGTTCAAAGCAAACCTGAGCAAAGCCGATGCATCGAGGGACCTGCATCTGTAAATGGATTGCTGAGAGCAGCTCATGGGTTGTCGGTGACTCGGGACTTGGCTCTTGCATTCTACTATCCTATCCTACGGTACGTTACCCAACCATGAGGGCCATTGCTGTGTTATCAATGGAATTTATTCGTCGCTTTTCTTAGCCCGAAGCTTCACTACAAGTTCAGCCTAACAGGCGAGGAAGAACGGGAGGAAGTTAACCTAGAGTAAAATACTCCTCTCCACCTTGCTGACCATCAAGTTGGAGCAAGCACTTGAAACCGACGGCCCCCTCCTTGATAGCCGCGGTCTCCCGCAAGAGGCAACACCCGGTGTCGCCATGAGCATGTAGCAACTGTTCTCATTCTAAATCTCAACCGTAATCCCGTTCAGGCCACGAACAACCCACATACGACAAAGGTTTCTCCCATAACGGACCGAGGGAGTGACTTCGATCTGAAGTCTTTAGACTATCCAGCGGCTCCCTTTACAAACTGCTCTCTCCAAAAGCCCAAAACCCACCCATCCAGCAATCCAAGCTCGCTATGCAGTCGCTCTTAGCACTCTGTTAGTCCCCAACCCACTTCGGTTCCTAAGAAACACGACAGATGCCTAAGTAACAAGCCCAACAAATATTTCATACGCCTACCTCAACTTAATCCCAACCTTAACCAACACCACACCCTCCGTCTCCACCCCCTCCGCATCCAAGAGATGCACAAACCGATACCCCTCCCTCAGCCGATCCAACCTGACACAAGCCCATGCGGCCAACGAATCCCTCCCAACCTCGTCATCCCTCACGAGGAACCTCACAAACGACAGCTGGGGAACGACTCCGGTTACACTCCTGAACACCAGCTCCTGGCCCTTAAAGTCCGGATCGCGCCCCTTAGCGGACTTGGTCTTGGCCTTGTACTCGCCCTCCTTCTCGCGGCCATCGGCGGGCACCGGATCGGTGCCGTGGCGCTCGCCGGGCTGCTCGACGTGCATCTCGACCTTGAGGTATGGGCGGAAAGAGGAGGGGTCGTCGTCGCCTGCGGGGAGGGGGACGGATTGCGCCGCGAATATCCGCAGCGTTAGGTCCATTGTGTAATGCTTTACTGCGACGGCTTGGGGTTCCGTGTTGGTGTTGGAGGCGGTGGTTGGGAGTGGTTTATGGAGGCGGTAGCCTGGAAAACCGTTAGTGGGCGGATGGCAAGGGGGAAGTTTGAGGAATACCCTCTGGCTTGAGCACATATCCGCTGGTGCCGGCGAACATGGCCTCGTTGAGCATCATGCCCTCGTCCCAGTTCTGCCAGTTGAGCGCAACGATCTGGATGCCCTTGCGCCAGAAAACGGTCGGGTCGAGGTTGGACGAATTGACTCTAAGTCCTGAAGGATACACACGCAAAAGGAAGCGGCGGTTGTGCTCAAACAGCTCGCGGGCACTCTTCTCGTGCACCTCTTTGACGTCACCCTCGGACAGCGAGAAGATGTGCGTCGGCATGGCCGCCTCGGGTTGCGTCAGGCTCTTGAACGATACCCCACGCGTGTAGATGCCGAGTTTGCTGAGCGCCTGGATAATCTTGGACGGGTTCTTCTGCTTCTTGGCCGCGGCGTTGTTGCCCGGCAGAGGTACCTCATCGCCGTCGGTCGCCGGGGGGCTGCCTCCCTCCGGCGGGACATACTTAACCTTGACAAGGATCCTGCGGCGCAGCTCGGCTGGCGAGGGCAGGTGCTTCGGGTCCTCTTTGGCCTCGGGCACCAAAAAGGGCCCCCACGTCTCGAGCATAATGGCCACCATAGCCTCCTGTTGCGCCGGGCCGCAGTGGACTTCCAAGCTGGCGATCAACGGGCCGTCGGTCACCACGAAGGCGTAGTCCCTGATGGCCTCGCACACCTCGCGGAACGACACCTCCCTGGTCATGGTGTACCCGTGCTTGACCTTCGGTTCCTTGGGGGAGGTAACCCTCTTCAGTGGGCTTGCGGGCGGGCTCATGCTTGAAGGGTCCTTGTTGTCAAGGGGAACCTTGGCCGTCGCGGTTGGGGTCGCCGTGTTGCCTGCTTTTTTGGAGGATGAGCGAGACAGGCTCCTCTTGATAGCCGGTGGTGTGAACTGCTTACTCAGCGTTGTTCTCTCCAGCCGACTGGTCAGAGATCTGGGCAGCTTGTCCTTCACGGTGCTCAGGCGCCTCTTCTTTTGGCCTTTCTTGGCGTTGGCATCCTCGTCATCACTGCTGCTGCTGCTGTCCGAGTCCGACTCATCGCCGTCCCAGACATCAATCTCAATGCAGCGGCAGCCGCGCAGGAGGACGTTCCGGTAGGCGTCGGCGCTGGATGCACTCGACAACTGATTACCCGTTAAATACGTATTATGGCTCGAGCTGACAAAGTAGTTGGACAGCGGCCAGGAGAGGTCCTCGTCACGGGGCGGGGCAACGGCGTTCGTGGTGGACGAGGTCATGTACCGCAGGAAGGCATTGAAGTCCCAGGGCTTGCCGCCGGCCAGCTCCAGGGTGCGATCAGCGTCGGAGTCGCGCTGGATGTCCTTCAGGAAGGCGGCAACCTTCTGGGGACTCCACGTTGTGTCGCCGCCGGCATGGGCTGCATGCACTTTCTGAAGGTGTGAGAGGATAGTGCTATTGACTACCCCGACTGTATGCGTCTTCCCCGAGACACCACCTCCCGCTTGATGGCTGCCATCAGGTAGCGGGCGCGCAGTCGCCGGGGCCGACATGGTAGCTTGTTGACGTTGGAAACCTTGGTTGCGACTAGTCGACCACTAAGCGGTCAGCAGTGAGCGAGCAAGTATCTAGATGGGGGCCTGGATCCTTTAAGACCATGTAAGGTAAGGTACGGTATGTTTTCTCCTTCCCGAGAGCCAGTTTTGGGGATCAGGCCGATTCAGGCTGGTCAGGTCAGATCAGGCCTCTAAGACAACCCCTCCAAGGTTCGCCCGGTGCCAATGTCAAACAGCAGCTGAGGACCATCAGAACCCCACCATAAAGCTAATTGGTTAAACACCCCGCTAAAGCGCCCAAACCGGGGCGGAGTCCGCTAGGCCTCATGAGGCGTAAAGAGTGTGGCCTCCAGCGGTACTCGTCAACGCACGGCCCAGCGACGGCGCCGGGGTCCGGAGGGTTGCCGCCGGCCTAGAAGTCGAACTCTCATGAGCCGTGGTACGGCGTGCACCGCGCCTTAATAAAGGTACTCGGCCAAGCTGAAGAGCTACCGTACTAGTCCGTTCAAGCCATACGTTGGAGTTCACCCGAATGAATGAGAAACAAAAATAATGCAGAATCATTCTTGAAACTTGACGGAAGCGAGATTCGAACTCGCGCGGTTTCCCACTGCGGAAAGTGTTTAGTTACCTAAACGCAGCGCCTTAGACCACTCGGCCATCCCGCCATTATTTTATTTTGGCCTTATCTTGAACTACAGTAGGTTTGAAGAAGGCAGCTAGCTAGCTTCTCTTCTACTTGAATCTGTGCGCCCACTTATCTTTCTTGCGTCGCAGACGTATTCTGTATACTCTCCCTCTTCCTTTCCTTAGCTTTCGACTAGCAAATTGAGTCGGCATTTGCAGTGCCCAGTGCCTCGCCTTGATGCTACTTGTCTCTCACATTTGTCCAAACTTACAAGCTAACTACGCCTCCCCCGGGGTTTTAAAGGTTAGCGCGAGACAAGCCGCACCGACTAACCAAGACATGCAAGCAAGTAGAGATACCTTGGAGTAGAAAAATCATTGTTTTTTGGTACTCTGTACTTCCACCTTCAGCTGCAATTCCGTAACCTGTCTGGCATCGAGTGCGCTAGCCGCAGTAAAAGATCCTCCGGAATTGGATCCCATGCCTCCTGAATAGCCGTACGGAGAGCCGCAAGACTAAGTCGTTGAAGATCTGGGTGGCGGTCCTCGATATAGTTCTTCACCCAGTGCCAGAGGTTCTCTATCGAGTTGAGGTCAGGGCTCCAAGCAGGACACTCTAATACCTCAAGTCCAAGTGCCGTAAGTAGACGCCTCGTTGAGAGCTCTATAAGCAGCAGCATTGTCTTGTTGAAAGACAAATTTGCAGCCGTGAGACTCCCAGAACTGTCGTATAAGTGGAAGTATAAGTCGTTGATATTTCTCGGTATACATCCCCCGGTATCCCTTTCCTAGAAGAACTCGGGTCCCTTATACCGTTCAGCGAAGCAGCCCCTGAACATCTAGCTATATGGTTTTGCCGAAGAAGTGCCCAAGTGTCACGAACCAACCATATATCGAGGCCTGGTGGGGCGACGGAAGCCAATGAAGAGGCGTAACACCGAGGGAAAGCTGAGGTGGGGCCTGCAAGAGGGATCACCGCCGAGGAAGTGAGCGCGGTGAGCGGCTCACCAGGATCACCGCCAAGAAGGCGATCGCAGTGATCGCAGGTACGGAGGTACCCGGGGGAGAGGAAGCTGTATATAGTCTACGATCTTTAGGCCTACGGGCATCACTGTAGCTTCCTCAGTAAGCAACTCAAGTGCAAGACTGTCAGTACCTTTGGACATTGCTTGTTGTGAACCCTTTGCCTTCACCGAACCTCACCCCGTTGTCAAGTATAACCTTCAGGATTCCCTCTCAGAAGTTGGGGCTTGAAATTCGTCACCCGAAGGCATTGCCAATGTGCCTCAATTCTGGAAGAGCTCTCGCGATACGGATATACAGAGATTAAATGCAAGAGAAGGTGCTGTCACCTGCACTCCGACGACAGGCGCCGTTACAAGTACATCAACACCACGTTCACTGCATACCAAAACATTAGTAAAACCTGAGCTCACCTAGAAAAACATAAACGCCTAATAAGCGCTCCAAATAATGGGCTACTCCTAGGTAGAAGCGGTAATTACTTGCACCTCTTAGAGCTACTAGAGGGCTAAATAAAGCTAAAATCAAGAATAAGGAACCCCCTACGCAAATGAGCACTTCTAAGACAACAGTTATATCGAACATTGTCCAGAACAATCCTAGCACCAAAGGTTTGCATCGAGTCTAAGGTATGTTCTTGCGGCAACCTGTATGAGGATATTGAAAAATTCAAGGTACATCATATCCATTTTGGAGGTCGAAATGATCATGGCAAACCAGCTAGATACTTCAAGATTCAACGATCCTGTTGGAGATCCAACAGCCACGATTCCACGGTGGCACGCTTTTTGGGAGCTTTTTAAAACAGTGGGCTTTTTTTTCGAGTGCCTGTGAGCAGCTCAGAATCTGTCAATTGAGAGTTCTGCTCTTATCCTCCTTCTCCAAGTTGCCTGGGTGCCTCCCAGACCTTATGCAACAGCTGTGTGTTACCCCCGACCAAGGTAAGGCACCGGCAATTCAGTTTCCGAGTTTCAAGTGCCACCACTTCCAACAGATACATTGGCTGAAGATGAGCAGCCTGAAGGTAGATAAAAGCCCCAGTGAACGGAAGAGTGTCCAAGTAACGCAGTGCCATCAAACGCCGGTCTATCCTTTTGTCACGCCAACGCTCTATGCCCAGGAGAAATGTCACATCTCATACAGTTTTTTTGTGTGTGTCATAGCGCCCGAGGCCCCTTCTTGACGATGTCAGCCTCATCGTCATCCCGAGAAGACGCCTCATCAAACTCGACCGTCGTCTCATACGACCTCTGCACATAAATGCCCCCGTCCTTCTGCGCGCTCGTGTGCACGTCGTCCAAGGGTATGGATTCGGCCACCATGACAGTCCTCGACACCGAGTTGGGCCCGTAGCCACCGCGACCGCCAGGCGCCGGCGTCCGGGCGGTCCCGTAACCGTGAGACTTGTTTCCGGAGCTGTACTTTTTGACGCTGCGCGAAAGCAGCGCCTTGAGCGGCGGCAGAGAGCCGACAATCAGGGCCGTGGCGGTCTCGACGGCGCCCCAAATGGCGAGTCCGACGAGGTCGACCATACCGCTGGCGGTGATGACCTGCGTCATGCGGACGATGGCGACCGACATGATAATGGCGCCCAGGCTGAAGGCGACGCCCAGGCCGATCTTGCGGCGGACGTCGAGCTGCAGCGACGGCAGGATAGCGATGGGCAGAGCCATGATCATCAGGTCGCTCGCGATGTCGACCGTCGTCGAGTAGATGACGTTGAACTTTTGCATCCAGACCTCGTGTGGTTCGCTGCATGCGCCTGAGGTGGTACCCGGGTCAGTTATGCCTGTCTTGAAGCTGGCCTATGACGTGGGATCCGTTGTTGAGTCACTCACCAGCTCTGAAATAATCCGACGGAGGGCTGCAGGTCAAGGAGCTCGCGAGCCAGCAACCAATGTAGGCCAGGAAAGTAAAGACGGCGACGCCGTACCATAGACGCCGAAGGAGCGGGAACGGCTTGACCAAGCGGAAAAAGACGGCCATGAAGCTCGCCTTGATGGACCACAGGATCGTCCAGAAGAGCTTGATGATGGGGAACTGCCAGCGAGTGAGTTGCTCGAGTTGCCATGTGGTGTCCTGGTCCATGGCGACGCGGCCTGCTCCGAGGTACGTGCTGTACCACAGCGAAGGCATCTGCTCCGTCTGGAGAATCGCCATGGTAAGAGAGCAGAGCCAGGCCCAGATGATCCAGTAATCGTCGACGAGAAGGGAGCCATTCTGGCGGAATCGGACGACCAGTCGAAGGGACACGAAGGCGGTAGCCACCGAGAAGCAGACCCAGACGACGGCGAGGAGGCCGGTCTCATCGACGGTCTGAGCCGCACCCGTGAGCGGCGCATTCGGGTTCGGTGGGTAGGCCGACATGGTTCCAGTTGTCCACCAGGGCCAAAGGGCGTGTCGAAAATTCAGCAACCAGAAAAGCAAAGCAGAACGGGAAGCCAAGGGCACCCGAGGATCTGGGTCCTTACATATCCCCTGAGTCCCAAACCACCGGAGCCTCGAAGCAGCACGGGGGCGCGGGAATCTCCCGACAGAGTTGCGGCATCTTCCGGTGACGAGATTCTAGCGTCGCATTGTTTCCGCGTCTGTGTCTCAGGCTCTTCCTCCCAAAGGTGTGGCCAAAGAAGCCCGCATGGAAGCTGAGCCGAGCTTGAAAGCGCCGCGGACAATGGGCCGAGGGCAATCATGGGCATCGAGAAGGAGCCCTGGCACTTGTGGCTGAATACGGCACCGAAGTGGTTGACGGGCCCCCCTGCCCCGTCACCAAAGCCTATGCCTGACAGCTTCCAATTGTAGTTTGGGGCCGATGCAGGATCCTTAGTCGTCCTTGGCGGCCAGTCGGAAGGGCGATCTCAAGAGCCGGACAAGCCCCGCGAAGGGGCTTACTCCGTAAGCGTCCTCGGCGAAGGCTTCCCCGAGCATTGTTGTGGAAATGAACAGACGATGGGCGAAGAAGATTCTTGTCACATCGAGTTGTTGAGTTATTCTGGAGCTGGTCAAATGCATTGCAGGCAGAATCAAGACGATCATGTCTTGTACTGAGCCCTCAAGGTTCGACATCAACTTCACCTGTGAGAACAAACCCTCGGTGCTGCAGGAACTTGAAGAATGTGATGTGGCAGGAGTCCTATGTTGCAGTGCTTGATGAGGGGAGGATGCAACCGAGCCAACGTCAGAAATTAGAATGCAGCTTTGGACAGTTCCTGCATGCACCGTAACACTTGTTTCAGGGATTTGATCCTAACAAGCTACATCCCGCCAATGAGGCTTTGGCAGTTGACCCACGTACCACGCTATTATGCTTAAACATCCTTGAACCGGTGAACGTCCAGGGTGTTGAAACCAAGTCAACACGAGACCGTCGATAACACCTCAACACACTCGCAGCATTTGCCCAAAATTCCCATCCAACCCTCGCCCATTGCCAACCGGGGCAAAGGCGCGGCCAACTCAATGCCAACTGTGGGTGGCCCCGGCCCGACCCGGGTGCTGTCTCGCTGGTCATCCCTCTCATGGTTCAATTGAGTTCTCCGTTGTCTGGGACATTTCCCTCAGTTGTGTGCAGTTTGAAAGCTCCTGGGATCTCATGGTTCTCATCAACAACAAAGTATGGAGGAAAATGCTCCTCCTGAGAGAAGCAGATCTTGCGAGCTGGGGATGCGATGCCCAGATCCGCCCCCCTTGCATGTCCAAGACCGCTTGACGCTCGCGCTCCATCGGAGATTCCAAAGACCAGCATCCTGCTCCTCCGCATGGCCCCCCTACCCCCACGTGTCGTACTCGTCGGTCGGGTTTCCCAAAGAGCCCGATCCGCCAAGCAGCCTTGATTAGGTAGGTGGCATCGACGACTATGTAAGTTGGATGATCCCCCTCAACCTCCTTCATCGCACCTCTTGCTCTGCTCGAGGTACCTCGCGTCACTCAGCGACGTCGTGCCCAGCTCTTTACTCTCATTAAACGGTCAAGATGCGCTTCCAGGCGGCCCTGTCACTCCTTTTCACTCTCGGTGCTGCCGCGGAGGAGCTTGAGCAGAAACCGAGTTCCCAATGCAAATGCGTGAGTTGTGTCCTTCATCGGGCCTTGCCAGCGCAAACCTGACCTCGCTTTTTTCATCACAGGTCCCTGGCAGTGACTGCTGGCCCAGCCTGTGCGAATGGCAGACCTTTCGCAGGCAGCTGGGCTGGGGCAAGCTCATCAAGACGCGCCCCGTTGCTGAGTCGTGCTACGACGGACCTCGTAAGGATCTGGGCCAGTGCGCCTACGTGGCCAAGATGTGGTCGGACCAGGACTTCCAGACCAGCAACCCGGTCGGCAGGCCGTATCCCTACAACATCACCTGCGCTCCCGTGGACTACGCCGCCGGACAGACTCCCACATCGTGCATCCTTGGCTCTCTTCCCGTCTACGCTGTGAATGCCACCACCAGGAAGGACATTTCCGCTACGCTCGAGTTCGCCAAGAAGAACAACGTCCGTCTCGTCATTGCGAGCACGGGACACGACCTCCTGGGCCGCTCGGATGGCTATGGCGGTCTCGAGCTCTGGCTGCGCCACTTCCGCAACGGCATCTACTTCCAGAAGACGTTCCAGTCGGCAACAAAGTGCACCAAGTCCGGTTGGACAGGCAGCGCTCTGCACGTCGACGGCGCCTGGCAGTGGCGTGACGTCTACAAGGTTGCCGAGGCAAACAACGTTATCGCCGTCGGCGGTGGTGCGCTCTCTCCTGGTGCCATCGGCGGATGGCCGTCCGGCGGCGGTCATGGTCCCGCCACGCGGAACTACGGCCTAGGCGCCGACCAGATCCTCGAGGCTGAGGTGATGCTTGCCGATGGGAAGATCGTCACGGCAAACCACTGCGAGAATCCCGACCTGTTCCGCGCCCTCCGCGGCGGCGGCCCCGGCTACGGCATCGTCCTGAGCCAGCACATCAAGGCCCACCCCAATGTGAACGTTGTCACGACCCATCGGCTCGCCATCGCTCCGTTCGAGCAGACTCCTGAGAATGCGGACCTTCTCGATGCCGTCGCGGTCATCCTCCAGCAACTCCCCGATCTCAACGACAAGGGATACGCCGGGTACGGCTATTGGTTCCGCAACTTCCCCACTGTCTTTGTCGGCAACGCTCATTCTGGCTACACTCATGGCTTCTGGACCATCGGCAAGGGCAAAGCCGAGGCCGAGGCCGCCATGAACAATACCCTTAAGCTGCTCGAGAAGTTCCAGGACAAGCTGTTCATCTACTCCTCCTACACCGAGTATCCCGACTACTGGTCCTTCTACCACGCCGAGTCGGGCCTGTACGACCCAACCGGCGACACCTCGATCCTCACCTCGCGCATGATCGACGCCAAGGCCGTGTCCAACTACACCGCCGTGCGCGAGACGGTCGAGATCACCAGTGGCGCTCCGGAAGAATTCGCCTCCAACGTCATCCTGCTCGTGTCGGGCGGCCAGGTTTTCAAGGACGGCGCCGACAGCTCCTCCGGCCTGCACCCGGCCTGGCGCACCTCGCCCTTCGTGCTCATCACGGGCCAGGGCATCCCCAAGGTCGCGCCTCGCGAGGTCCGCGAGTACGCCACCTACCAGATCACGCACGTCAAGGGTGCCGCGCTCAAGAAGCTCGCCCCGGATACGGGCGGCTACATGAACGAGGGCGACCGCCACGATCCGGATTATATCCAAACCTTTTACGGCTCCAACTATCAGAGCCATCTGGCGGCGAAGAAGAAGTACGATCCGCAGGGCGTGTTCTACTGTCCCAGCTGTGTCGGCGCCGAGGCGTTTGTTGAGAGGCCTGATGGGCCGCTGTGCCGGGCGTAATCGACCAGGGAGGGGCATGGGCGCCGGTTGAGTCTCGGGGCTCACAAATTCACTCGCTTACACCTAGTTCATATTTAGACAGTAGCTTAGTCTCTCTAATATTAATTCATAGAAGTTCACTGTGGATGAACATGTACCTGGCGGAACCGTCTGTGCTGATTCTGCGCAACTCTGGGCTGGTGGGACTTGCCTGTCTCTCCACCACTGACTGGACTGAGATCCACACACACGAGGGCAGAGAGCTATTATCCGCATCCCATCCCTACTCCAACGACACAGTCCACCAAAGAGCCAAGGCACATGGTTTTTGTTTGCCCGCTACTGGCAAAGCCAAATACCCAACCCAAACAATGAACGCCCAAACCCGTCTGTCTTCCCAACCAGCAAAACCCCTTGCGTGATCAAAGATCCCTCTCCCCAAGCCATAATAACCCTTTACACCCTTCTTCTTCCCTGTTATCCCCATACCAACACCCCAGCTCGTCACCAAGACCCAATATCGACACCACAACAACCCGTCTAGATTCTCAATACTGCCAAAGCACCCGATGATGCAGAACCCTGCCCCCCAACATGCCATACTCAAACCTCGTAATCCACGAGTCATTCGTCGGCAGCTTCGCAAACACACTCGCGCCCTTCCACACAACAACCTGCTCGTCCATCTCCCGCGCACTCCGGCTTACCAAAATCTTCTCGGCCAGGTCCGGCCGCCTCTGCTTGAGCCGCTCCTCCAAAAAGGGCGCAAAGTGCGGTATCTTGGCGCCCCCGCCGACCACCATGATGCTCCCCAGCAGCTCCCGGACCTTCTTCTCGTCGCCCTTGGCGGCGTTTTGGATCGACGTCATGATGGCTATGTCGAGCGGCGCGATAGGCAGCACGGCGTCGTGCTCGATAGCGAGGGACTTGGCGGTTCTTTGGTGCGGTTGGGGCTGAGTTTGCGCGACGCCGTCGAAGGATGTACCCTGGAAGGTGGTGGAGGCGCCGTTCGCTGGGGCCGGCGTGCCGCCGCCGTTGCGGGCGCTTGGGGCGGGGCTGCCGAGGTCGCGCGAGGAGCCGAAGATGTAGGGGGGGGGAACGGGCGTGCTGGCGCCGTCTGGAGCCGGGGAAGGGGCTTTGGAGGTGCCTGGTGTGCCGGTGACGTCGCCGTTGCGTGCGAGGAAGTTGAAGGGTTGGCTGCGTTCTTTGCTCGGGGTGGCTACGTCGGGTGGGGCGCCAGCGAAGCTAGTTGCGGTTGTTGCTGTTGCTGTGACGGAGGGCTGGATGAGAGCGAGGATGGCGAGCTGAGCGGCAGAGATCGGGTCGTCCGGTAGCTCGACGTCGTAGGCGTTGTAGGAGCGATCGACGAGCTTCCGCCGGCCGCGGAGTTTGGTCGAGTTGTCAAATATTGACGGGTCGTAGAAGCCCATGGGGGCCAGTATCACTTCGTCGTAAAACTTGAACTGGTACTTGCGCGTCGGCTGATTTGGCGCACGCAAGTGGAAGTCGAAGTTCTGGACAGATATGTTGGCCTGGGACAGGGTGCAGTATTTGATCTTGAGCTCTTCGGCCAGCAAGAAGTCGTACCGTCGGCGAAGGTTGATCTCCTGATACGGGAAGTTGTCATACAGCATCATCTTGATGAAGGTCTCTGTAACGTCGTGGCCGCCGAACTTGAGGTTGATCCTCGAGTCGTCGATGCAGAGACCGTCTTCCACACATGCGATGGATGTCTTTTGCGCGCCGACATCGACCACGCAAGCCTGTGTGTATCCCGCACCAAAAGTGGCCGCCATACTCTCCTGAATAAACGAGACGCGGCCGAATTCAAACAGCTCAATGCAGACATGCAAAAGCAGCTCGACATACCGCTTGTCGTACAGGTCTGGGATGATGATGACGCAGCTGTATTGTTTCCAGTCTGCGGTCCGTTTGAGGCCCAACTCCCACCGGAATGTCCGGTCGAGCAGGGTCTCGATGTCGTTGAACAGGTGTGCCCTCGTTGGATAGTCATCCTCGTTCAGCCATCCGTGCTGGATCGGCCACCACAGCTTGAACTTTGGGTCCGAGTCGTCCGGGACGCGCAGGGCCTGTTGCCCAATAAAGACTGGCGAGATTGACTGCGGCTCCTGGGAAGCGTTGATGTCTGTCCACTCGATCTGCAGAGGGTCGTTGTGCTGAGAAATGGTCTCGGGCTCTATCCGCCGGTTGAAATTAACCACCAGGTCCTTCGAGTTAGGTAGCACTTTGCGTTTGTTGGCGCGCATGTCGATCTTTAAGTCGTTGCACATTTTCTGGTATTTCTTGGACCACTCCTCGCCGTGCTGCTGATCCATTGACCGACCCTCGAACTGCCGCCGCGGTAGCGCCTCGCGCATCTCCGATTCAGTCTGGGGATACTTCGTGGCAAGAGCCATGGGTACCGTCTTGGGAAGGGCATCGCTCGCGAAGCCAATGCGCAAGTTCTGGCTCCCAGGATGTATTACGATAATCTTGGACGGATCCATGAAGGACGTTGAAGGCCCGGCCCCATCCTCGTCGTCGAGAGGGAGCGGAACCTCGCCATTGGCGTTGATGGCGCGATCGCGATCCTTCGCATTTTGAACTAGGCGGTCTCTGTTCGCCTCGTTTTGGAGTCGGAAGGAGAGGATTTGGTCATCGCGCTTCATGTAATCTCTGCCGTCAATGTCAGCCGGTTTTGGTCAAGGGCTTCCAGCACGCGGCCCATACGTATAGTAGTTTTTCTGGTTGATGGGGGGCACGTCGGGCCAGCTCGTCATCTTCATGCCATTGTCGGTCCGTTCCAGGCCTTCACCGAGGCGAGTTAGCAACCGCTGCTTCTAGAGGGATGTCTTGCTCAAAAAAACCAACCTTCCCGGAGGAGGACGCGGTCGCTGACTTTGCCCACCATCTTTGCCCGCGTCTGCGCAATTTCGCCGAGTCGGAATTAAACCTTGATTCGGAGTCTTCCACTAAGGGAACTGGTGCGTCAAGAACTGAAGCCAGCACTGATCGCGGCGTGAAGGCTCGAGAGTCGTGCGTGGCGTTGGCGAACTGGTTGGGCGAAGGTTTGCTCTTCTTGGGAATACATTCACGTTTGTGGGACATGCGGCAAAGGATTTTGTCTTTTACGCCGCAGCTGGTGGACTTCCATCCAAGATTTGTCGAGGGACATGCCATGCGTCTCGACAGCTCCAACCACCACCATCGTCCCACGATGCTCACAAAGCCCCTGTCAGCGGCAGGCACGACGTCTTGCGCGCTAGTCCATTCCAGAGTTAGCGCTCTCTCACGACGGCGTCTTGGCGGAGGCCTTGGCACACAAGTTACCAAAGTTCCTTCTTAGCCATCAGACGCACTTGAGCTCCTGTTTGCAATCAACAACTTAACTCAAGGAGGTCGTGATTACAATAGGATAGGCAGAATATGCCTCTCACTACATTATATGATAACGACTTGCATCTCTCGGGGCTTGCTCATATGAGGTATACAAACCCGAGAATTCACACTTGTTTCGCAATTCAACTGGTGATACGGATCGCTGACACCAGCTGGCGATGACGTCGCCACTCAAACGTCCTCACCTGGCAGCTGAAGGACAACCTACCGGTAGGTACACGTACTGTGTACGCATGCCACCCGAATGATTGAACACTGCCCATGTTCATCTCAAAGACAGAAAAACATAAAGGGAGGTTCTGCAGCAACCTTATCCCGATCAGTGGCCGTTTCACAGAAGCATGCTGATCTCCCACTACAACTGATCCTCGAGCTCTTGCACTTCCAAATTCACAACCTCAAGGCAAACCACGCATTCTCAAAACCAAATCTCATCGCCCTTCGCACAGTCCCCATCTCGCAACATTCAATCACAATGGCTCCCATCCCAGTTTACACCAACAGCCCCATTAACGCCGCCAAAGCCTCAGCCGTCGCCCTTCAGACAGCCGCCGAAGACAAGCCCGCAGCCGACGGTAGCAGCACTCCGGCATACATAACAGCACCGCTAAACCATCCCCAAGCTAGCTGGACACCCACCCCAACCCGCACAATCCCCTTCCAACAAGGGCCCGCTGCCCCACAACCAGGCGCCATCCCCCGTCTGCCGGAAGCCACAACAACAACGTCATCCTCCTCATCACTCCCACCACCACCACCTCAAGCAGGCGCAGGACCTGGTGCAACAGGCCCAGCGGCGCCAGCTCCCACCGCACCGCCCCTCGCCAACCCGCACATCCCCGGCATGACCTACCCACCGCAGATGGCCATCCCGCCGCCGCAAGGCCCTGGATACGGCCAGCAGGGAACGTCGACTGCCACGGCACCGCCGGTGACGGGTCCGAGTTCTGTCGAGGGCCCGGGTGGGTACAGGCAGATCACGTCTGGGTTTACGACGCGGTATGATTCGGGGTCGAGGGGGTATGGTGATCATAACGAGGAGGAGGGGGACGGGGCGGGGGGTTTCCTACAGTCGGCGGTGAAGTTGGCCAAGGCGGCGGGGGAGAAGCTATCGGCTGCTGAGAGCGAGGTGTGGAGAAGGATTAACGAGGGGACGAGTTAAGGAGATGGAGGATTATCTTTCGGACGGATCAAGGAGCAGTCAAGGGATGTGGTTCTTCTGAGTGTACTTGTCGGTGATGGTCAGTGGCTTGGGGAACAGTCCGTGATTCGATCTACGGTCTGGCGACTTGAACCACGGAGGAGCGTTGGCTTTAGACGGTGAATTCGACTGGGTTGGTTGGATTAGTGATGGGATGGATCATATAGTTGTTTTAAGAATTGAGGCTTGGCCCCTGTTACACGTACTGACTGTGGTAGCAGTACGCTTGTCATGTAGTTAGTCGTTATTGTAGTCTTGTCAAGTCTACCTCTGTGACAGGCTGCCTGGGAGAGGAAGCTGGCAAGATTGTCCGCTAATAAAGCTTCCTTCGGACGTGGTCGAGCATTGGACGCCTATCGATACCTTCGCAGTGGTTTGCGAGGCTCTGCTCTTTCACAGCTGTTTTACAACATCAATTTACAACATCAAAGTCTCGGATGCGAGCATGGCAAGTACGGATAGTTCACGAGAAGAAATGCCTCGAACATCTTCCCCTGGAGATAAATCAGCCTGGCAATTACCCTTCAAGTTCAGATCATGTTATGCCTCCAGGGTCCACGCTGCCCTCGGTGCCCAAGCATCATGATTCAGGACGGAAGATCCTAGGCCGAGCGGATGGATCTACCACCAGGACGGCATGGGTCAGCCTTCTGAGGCTCAGCGCAGCGTTAACTGTTTTGATGTCCGAACTTGCACAGGAGAGTACACTAGTATAGTACAGCAGCACCTGCCCCTGACCCAGAGATGAGCTTAGACGTCTTTGCTTTGAACCTGTCTCTGCGATGCACAGCTTAGTCGCAAACGTCTGACTGAGTGAGGCGTCAACTAGGTGCAGAAGCGTGATCAACGGCCCCGTCCCCGAGGGGTTCTGACTTTTACAGATCGTATATGGTAAAATCAGGGTTCCTTGTCCTGGGCTGGGCACGGGAACGCCCACCCGAGTCAGGGCAGTGGGAGAAGATGGTCCGCGCCGAGATGCGGCGGGTGTAAGTCAAGCACTGCGGTACTTACGCAGTCGGTGATGCTCTGCTCTCTCGGATCGACCTCCAATCTGCTGTCTGCGCTGCCCAGGATATGTCTAATGTTGCCCAGAAACGCGATCGCGCAGTCTGGCATTGGGCGAAGGATGCTTGCATAAAACAGATAGGGAACGGATTGGGATCAAGGACGACCTGGACACGAGGGTCGGCAGTCGCAGTGCCCGTCATCGCCGACGGAGTGGGCTCCGGAATATCTCGTGCCCCTCCTCGCATTCTCGCTTTCAGCGCCCCTTCGCGTGCAGTCTCTTCCTCGGGATCTACAGGACTTCTCCCACCTAGGAGACCTTCCACAACTTCCATGACGGGTGCCCATCGAGGCCCGGCATTTACACACAAGTCACATCCCACATGCTGCCGCCGCCCACCCCACAGGCAGCCTGACAGACAAGGTACCGCACTCGGTTGAGAGTCCGCGTGCGCAGTTGGCGGCCTCTTTGCTACTTTGAGGAGGATCGTGTCGTCATTGGCTCAGCGGTGTCCCTTACGAGCCGACGTATACGCCATTGAAGGGACGGCTCAAAAGCCAGATAATTTTCCAAAGCACCAAGGAAGGTTATGTGGACCGTTGGGTGCAAACCCCAGCGTTCGGTTATAGTGCCTGTGATACGACCTTACATCCGGTCCCTGGTCTCCGTGTACTGTAGCGCCGGACGGGGCTCAGCTGCCGGGCTCGCCGAACATCTTAGTAGAGAGGGCATGAGGGGATGTCACTGGTGGACCTGTGCCTGGGAGCCCTGGACAGAACATGTCATCAAAGAGCTCTAGAAACACCAGTATTGTCTGAGCGCTCGGGAAAACAAGGGAGGTTGACAGGGCAGGGACTTGAGATCCGAGATTAGCACTGCGGGTAGGTATTCTGCACTAGTTGCAAATCCAGTAGTGTGCCTGTTAGAATTGCTGTTCTCATTTGGTGATGCCCCCGGCCCGACTCGATCGATGCATGGGGCAGTAGTAGTGTAAGCTCGGCCGCGAGACCCTCCACTCATCATGGAGAGCGACTCAAACGCGCTTGGCTGGTAGATTGATGAAGATGGACTTGACGACTACTGTGTAGGCATTATGAGCTTTAAGAGGGACCACATAAGGTGCAGGGGGTTTGTCGCCGACAAGTGGGAGAAAGCCGGCCGAGCAATCACGAGTCGTGAAACGCGAGGGGGCGAACAAGAGCCGGAGCCGGTGGAACGAGTGGCACGGTCGTATCGTCTCGAACAACTTGCATGCCCTAACAATAGAATTTTGCTGCCTCGAGCCTGCAGAGATATCAAAGGAGTGGTGCAGCGAGCTCGCGTTGAGCTGTTGGTTCGAAGAGGAGAGTACCACATTCATTAGTGCAAAACAAGCCAAGAGTCTTGCCGGGGAGGCAACAAGAAACACACCAGAAGCGTGTGAATGGCTCGACGGGTAATCCTCCACGTCGGCGCATGTCTCCCAAACATTGGGTGAGTGGGAATGCTGACGATGAAGGGGCAGCGGGGTTCGGTACCAGAACACAATGCACCTCGCAATTCGAGTTTTTGACTGTGGATGATTGGGATGTTGCATCAGTCCGATCCAGCTGATTTGCTTTGATATCTCAAAAGCAGCATGCCATCTAGTAGGAATCCAAAATAATCCTCAGCGTTGGCTTGACTGGGGCTTACGGCATGATGCGCGACGGGAAGACGGCATCGGCTGTCAGCACCATCGCAGCCCACTTATCCGTACCTGCGATCGAGGGGCTTGGCCTGGACTCTATGAGTCGATGAGATGGCAAGGGAGTGAAGTGAGGTGTGGAACTGAAAATGGCCTTTTCGCCCTGCGACAAATCTGAGACACCGGACCCTGCAACCCCGCTGATGAAGCTCTTTCTGATCCACCTGTCATGCTTGCTGCGACCCACACGCCGTGGACCTTCGGGGCTGTGGAACCATCCGTTGCAGCAGGTCACCCGCCAGGCGAATTACAACGCGCTCCAGGCCCATTGTAACGTCAACCTCAAACATCGCTCCCCCTGCGCTGCGCGACTCGCGTCTTCAACGACAACTCTTCCGCTCTCTCCACCGCGTCCCGAACCTCGCCCTGCCGCACCACCGCCCACCACCAGCAATGGCCAGCAGGACGCTATTTTTCAAGAAAACCAGTTGTCTAGACAGATGCCACGCTGATAAAGCCGATGCATTGGACTCAACAGCCACGATCTCCTCTGGGTCTTCTAAACCACCAGATGGCAGAACCTGCCACTGATCTGTCCGAGCATCCAGCTTTTCGTCGCAGTCCTGCCTTCGCTAAATTCGCTGGTCGTCAAACGTCGTGCGCACGGCCGATCCTTCATCCACGACTAGCTGCCTCGGCCCGTTCACAACCGCAGACATTTTCTGTCGAAATCATCAGGGCCAACTCCTTCACTGTGGTAAGCTGTATTGAGGCTCTAAGCCTGAGGAGCTGGCGGGCTGAGGTTTTTCGCGCCGCTCCCACTTTACACAGTAGTGTGCGATCCAAGTTCTCGTCCACAGCCACTCTTGAACTCGAGCGTGCGGGAGGAAGCGCCGCCCGATGCTACGACCCGTCTTCTGGAAAGAGGCCGGTTGGACTTTCGCGACCTGGCCGGTCTGGATCCACAGTCCAAGCCGCCCATCATGTGGAGATCTGGGGCAAGGCGAAAACTGGACCATCCGAAACGACATCCGGATGGTCCATGACAAAACAGCGCCTGGCACTGGTGCCAAACATGCTCGACCAAGATATTTGCTGCAGAACCCGGCCTGGCCTGGTCTAAAATTGTCGTTTTTCTTTTTCGACAACGGCAACGAATTCGAATAATCTTGCGTCGGATTTGCGAGGCAGGAACTGAGGTTCTGGCGTGTCTTCTAGGCCGACTGCTCGATCGACGGCGCCTGGTTGAACGCAACTACGAGATCATCCCGAGCATGACCAGTGAACGCTGGTCTGTTGTCTTGGGCCGATGTGCTTCCTCATCGCCCATCTCTATCTTCAGGCCTCGCGTTCCTTTGGTCTTCCTTTGCCAGGTTGCCACCTCATCATTGTTGGAAGACGACGATAAGACAAGCTCCCTCATCGTCGTCTTCCCGCATAGCCTCGTTCCTCCGTCAGGTTTCGACGGAGCACCGTCCTAGCCGGGTTTAGCTCTCCTACTCTTTACCCTTCGCCTTGTCTTGGATTGTGCTGTAATCAGGCACCAGTTTTTGAACGAACGAACGACGTACATCGTTTCATTAGCTGTTCCACTTTTCGATTTTCCCCCCCTCGGCTTTTACAAAGTACCTCCCTTGTCTTGATCTCTGGCCCTGTTCAACCCGTCTCTCCCTGGCTGCTCATCATCCGCCCCAGGGGCCCTAGGGCTGGGATCAGATCTTGGGCATCTGGGGGGCAACCTGGCGTTAGATGCTGTTTTCAGTCCTCCCTTACTTTCCCAGAACGGCAGATTGTTCTGAAGCCAAGCCCTTGTTCGTCCACAATCATTCTCTCACGTCTCCGGCTGCCCCGTCATCTGCAGACGGATGGTACCCTATCGACCCTGCTCGCCCTAGTTGGCCCATCTCAACGTTCTCCTTCATCACCCTTGCAGCCCGTTCCCCTTGGAGCCGGACCTGGCAAGTTCTGTCTCCTCCACCTCACAGACACAGGTCAGATTCGCGGACAGGGAAATCCGGTTCAGATCCTACCGGTGTTCCGAGCTCGACCCTCCTGGGCCGTACTACGTAGCCTTCCCTCCCCACTCCCTTGTCCCCGAGGCCTGGACTCCGGTTTCCCGTAGTTTCTCTCTTATAACCAAGGGTCTTAGGCCGCCCCGTCATCCGGGCCTATTCCGTTCCCTTCGCCTCGTCCCACTCACGAAAGCTCACACTGGTTGTCCCGTAGTCGCTCCTTTGACCAAAACTTCACACCCCTGACATATCAACCTTTGGTCTATAATAGACCAAATCTGTTTCTCACTTCCGCATACCCCCGGACGGGCACCTGTGTGGACCTGCTGTTTGACGAGCCTGCCCTCGTCCAGCTCATTACGTTCCTTCTACCGGCATTGGAGACTTCGGCTGTCACTCCCTTGCTTCGACAGCCTATCGGCCATTCTTTTCCCGGAAGCTTCGCTCTTTTCTTCAGCGCCAGCCTGTCCTTCATTCACGACACCTTGCCACTCTTCAACTGTTACCGCCTATATTCCAGCCGCTATCGCGTCGTACGCGACGCTCAATCGTTCAGAGCTTTAGTCGACAGTACCTGATCTGGTGCACGAGTCCCAGCCTCTGCGTGTCTTATAGCGACCCAGTAAGTTACAACACAAGAGTCTCCTGACACATGACACGCCGAGCTAGTGGATCCTCCTAATTGCCCCTCGATTCTCAGGGCTCGCTCTTCCCAGCGGTATTCATGCTAACTCTCCCAAGGCCACATCAGCTCAGCATTCGATCAGTAGATGTACCAGCACACTCCTTCTGCCCCATATCCCATGGTCATGGATTCAAACCAAGGCCAGCTGTATGCCTCCCCTCATTGCTCGCTGACGTCTTGACCTAGGACCACACTTACATGTACAATATAGGCGGCACGAAATACATATCCCTTCATTCACCCTCAGCGAGCCCGGCAACAAGTTTGGCGGAGACATCCCGCCGCCTCAGTCAGGCCCAGTCCTTGAGATGGACAGTAACACCACATTGCCGCCCAGGACGGATTCGCTGCTAGCGTCGCATGCAGTATGGACGACGCCGACTTCTCATGGCACGAGACCGCGACCCGCCACCATCCACGAGGGATTCTCATTCTGCGTTGGCGAGGGATTCGGAGGCGTGCCGGCGTGGGACTCTTCAGCATTGCAGATAGCCCATTACACAAGCAGCGCGATGTCATCGAGGCCGATCTCAGTTCATCAAGACTTCTACGCCGCCGCCACCATGGAGAGCAGTGAGTACCTCGACCGGTTTAGGCCCATCAAGTGGCTGACCGTTCCGTCAGATACCTGGGCCCGAAAACCATGCGACGGCAACTTCGAGATGCCAGGGTTCGACTCAGATATGATAGGGCAAGCGTACACGACCGACGAGGCGGTCCCGATCCATGATATCAGGTCATCCGGTCCTCCGATGGACGGCGATTCGGTTGCGTTTGATGGAGTTAACCCGCGCAGGATGTCGGGCTCGTCCTTCACTGTCTCCACGTCTGGCGGCTTGTCAGAGATGACGTCCTACGAGGATTTCTCCACGACGCTCTCGGATGCGCCTTCACTCACTTCGGACTATCCGCCGCCATCCAACAGGACTTCAATGATATCGACGACCCAGTTATCGCCCGTCGCGTCGCCGAGAATGACGCCCCAGAGTCGGTCAGACTTGGTACGGACGCAGAGCAGAGGAAGAGCCTCGCCGTCGCCGCGGCCGGGAGTGCGTGCCGTTCCATATTCGGTCGAGAGTGCCAGGAACAAGAGGTGGTCTACTGGATCCTATGGCACCGCCAACCGACGGCCGTCTCCATTTGTCTACCACCACCCTCACGACGCCTTCAATGTTCATGCCCGCCTATCGTCACACCACTCCTCGCCCACCGTCGCCCAAGGCCAGCTGCCCCTAAGCTTCGGCAATCTCCAAGCAGCACAGCAGCATCCGTACCTGTACAGCAACGCACCACCGTTCCATCGCAATAGCATGCTGCTTCCGTCCCAGTTACCGTCGCACGCCTTCCACCAAGAAGCACACCAATATGAGAATCCACCGCCGTTGCTCTCTCACGGTCTATTCCGCATGCTTCAGAGCAACGCCGACCCGCACTCGCTGCCCAGTCATTACGCTGACCTCTCTGATCCGCCCGATCTGTATGCCTCTCTTCAGGAAGAGCAACTGCCGCCTCCGCCAGAAGACATGACACCATCCGACCCCGATCTCGTCCCACATGAACAGGAGCTCAGGTTCGAGGGCGATCTATATACGCCAAAGTGGGTGCGGGGACATGGAAACAAGCGCGAGGGTTGGTGCGGCATCTGCAAGCCGGGCCGGTGGCTAGTGCTCAAGAACTCGGCCTTCTGGTACGACAAGAGTTTTACCCACGGCATCAGCGCTGCGACGGGAAGCCCATTTCAAGAGCCCCAGGAGACCAGGCGCATGGATGGAAACCCGGATGTGTGGGAGGGGCTGTGCGGGAATTGCAACGAGTGGATTGCGCTGGTCAGCAGCAAGAAGAAGGGGACGACTTGGTTTAGACACGCCTACAAGGTAAGATCGAGTATTCGCCTAACCCTAGAACAGCGACTAACTCGCTCAACTAGTGCCACACGCACCCCAAGGTCAAGGACGCGCCCAAACGGAGAAGGGAGAGCAGCAACAACCGTGCTCTAGCGGCCGCAACCATCCCCAACAAGCCCCGGCCCGAGCCGCTTACACCACAGATGGCGCCCGCTATCTCGGCAGCGGGCACGCCGACTCCCGCCAAAGCCCAGGCGCAGATTCAGATTCCTTCACAGCCTGCTGCCCAGCAACCGCCACAGCCGCAATCCCAGCAGTCACAGTCAACGCAAGAGCAGCAGCAACAGCAGCACTCGCAGCAACTACCGATTCAACTCCAACCTCCGCCAATGCCGCGCCACCATCACCGGCCCCGCCCCCTGCCACCGCAGCTGCACACGCAAGTAGCCACGGCACCGCCGCCTAGCTCCACCCTCATGCGCCCCGTTGGGCCGCCGTCCATCGGTGGTGGGGACGGGTTTTCCAACATGATCTGATCTACATATCGAACTCAAGACTGGTCTTTCAGTTCAATTCGACTTTTGTTTTCATGGTTGCTATTACTACCGCTAAGGAAAAAAAAAAGCCAAAGCGCAACGACAAGAACATCAATGTGTTAATGACCCCGTTATGACCGGGTATGGATCCGACAGCACCACGATTTTCAGTTCTCTTCATACTTTTGATGGAGATGGACTGATGTGGGAACTTTGGACTAGGCACAGCGGTTCTTGAAGAGTGGAATGGGCTGACACGGTGGGAGTTATCCAGCGGGCGGTCACACACGGTTTCGGTACGGGATGGGTTTGTTCAGCTTGATGTTGATGTCGGTTGGGTGAATGCATGGTTGATGCCTTTGTTTTCGTCTCGCTGTTCTTTCATTTCTCTGTTTCACTTTTTCCCTCTTCTTCTGCTAACCTGTCCTCTTTCTCCTCTGCTTCGGTGTCGCAGGGGTCGGATGATGGATGGGGTTTTCTGCTTCAACGGACAAACAAACATCGGATTGACGCTCTTGATTCCAGTTCTTGCACATTTTTCTTTCCCTTCTCCGTCTGCTTTTCTTCGATCTCCATTCTGTCTTTCCTTTGCTCATTCTTATAGGTAGCTTTGGTTCACGGATTTTTGTTATCTGGTTGAGACATGTGTTTTTCTCTGTTCTGTTGTTGCAGTGTTTTGTTCTTACACTCCCTCCTCTTCTGTTGTTTCGCTTCTTTCCCTATGAGAAACAACGCCCTCAATCATACCATGGCTGGTGCTTTAAACTTAGGTAGAGGCTTAGATGGTTTTCCTTTGAGCTGCCTGGATCGGGTCCGTGGGTGGTCATGATGACGAAGCTTTGTTGATACCCCTGGAAAACAAAGAGGAGGAAAAGGGTCGTGAGAGAAGAAAGGGGGAAGCTGGGGGGTGGGGTTCTGGCCGGTGATGAGATCGACTGGGAGGCAGGATATTGGAATCAGATATGGGAAATAGTCATTGGTTAGACTTGTTTGATGGGAGGAAATGGGAAGACCCTGTTGCCAACGCTTCTTGAGCTAGCCGTGAGCTGATGAATGTCGTATTCTGTGGCTCGAGTGGTCCCAATGAAGACGAGATTTATACTCTGAGAAGAGCCGCGCATGCCTGATCCACCAAATAGATCACATACGGTTAGCTTGTCATGCACAACCAGCCTAAGAGTTTCATGTGGTCTCTGGGACAGCTTTGAGTGACGAAGTTCAGCTCAGCTTGTCATCCACTGCATACGACTCCCATAGTACCTTTTAGGGAGAACACTCCGGCATTTGCATTACAGCTTTGCGACGCAAACCACTGGCATAATAAAACACTCATGCGCAAGCTATAACCCGATGGTGACTGACCCCAAGTATTGAAGAGTGAGAAGCTTTGCCACACGGACTTTCCGGCTTCCCAGGAGATGTTCACCACGGCGTTAGATGGGCTCGTCCTGTCCCTACAATGATACCACGTCTGCGTCGGAAAGAAATCCAGATCAGCTGAGGGGCAACCATGAACGACACTCGGAAGGGTGGAGAGGATGAGCAGTCATGATTGTCTCTTAAAACTGCACGGCGTAAAATGGGAATGGCTGAGGCATGTGTGTACTTGGCAGGGCATTCCAACAGCAACCAAGGAGACTTGAGAACTATGGTGACCCCCTGATTACTCAAGTCGTTTGTCTGGCTGACCAGGCAACGATGTTTCAAGACCCGTCTGAGAGATAAAAAAGAGGAATCTCGGCTCTGCCCTACGGAGCCACTGAGCAGGGATGTTTAAGTGGTTGCATATTCAGCTAAAGTTGGTCTCGAGTGGCTCACCGCGAACCGCCAGTTGTCGTTCCACAATGTGCCTTGTGTTGCACAGATATATTGCGTTCAGTGACCCGTTTATGATTTTCTGATACTTCTGGCTCGAAGATTATTTAAGTACCTACGTTGGATTGCAAGATCAGACTGGTCGCCTATGCTATGAAGGGCGAAGAGTTGTGATCTTCCTCGTCTGGATAGCACCGGAAATGGGTCTCGGGCGACCACAGCCATTCCCACCTTGTGGGGATCCACGAAATACCTCGGACAAGATCATCCAAACGGGATACAGGTAGTTCATTCAGTCCAAAGAGAGAGAGATCGGAGGGTAAGAAGGAGGGATTGGCGGCTTCCAGCGCTATTTCGGGTCTTTGCTGTAGGGTTGCTGCACCAGGTCGGCTTTCATCACCGTTGGTGCCTCTCCTGATGACGAGGGTACCTCAAGCTCTTCGCCAGAGTTTACGGGGCTTCTCCGGCGCTGATGGTGCCAATCTCGCCGGGTTGCATTTGACGCAGGTACCGGTGAACTGCGACAGGTCAATTGATGGGGCGCACACCTCAACCCCGGATTATCTCTGCAGGATGGATGTCTCTCAATCTCGCTGTGCTGCCACCTGCAGAATCAGCATCAACAAACAGGCTTGGTGTTAGTATTAAACGAGGTGGGTCACGAAGGCTGTTTGCTGACAGAAGGCACATGAACTGGCGGTGACGTGATGCTGATCCCTCACATCAGCGAGAACCCTCTTGAGGCCACGCCCACTTTGAGATCGAAACATACCAGGTAAGATTCCGTGCTGTACATGCAGCGATGACGCTTGTCGATGGACAAGACTGATAGAAAAGTGTACTCGTCCACCTCAACCGTGACTTATTGCACAGGAGTCGAGTTCTAACATGGTCTGGGTGACACGAGGGTGTGAAGAAAAAATGGGTTCCCTAGTGATCCCATTGGTCAAACCACGAAATGCTGGATCTTGCGGCCTTGGTTTTTAGCTTCGCCCTTGCTCTGCTCCAAACCTCCCCGCCGCCATCGTCTGCCGATTGGGGCTGCTGCCTTCCAAAGCTACCGCTGCAGGGGCCTTTTGACTCGGTGGCCATGGCTTCCAAGTCGTCCTGCAACGTCGAGCAACGGCTGGCTTCTCCGAAATCACGTTTGGCCATATCCGGGTCTTGCTTGGGAGATTGGCGATCGTGGGGGACTTTGAACGTGCAGAGGTATATGATGAATCTGGCTCGCCTGGCTTCTTTCCAGATACATCCCGCGCATCGGTACCCGGGACCGAAAGGCGGACGACTTGTTAACTTACGCAGTTTCATCGCCTGATCCATCCGCCTCGAACGTGCGACTGGTTCTGCGCTGATTCCACAAGAAGACTCTTGGATTCACAGCTTGAGCTCGGACACTCGATCTGCCATTGAGACGACTGCCTAATTCGGAACCATTCCGAGGACAGCGTCTTGCAGTCGGCGAATACTTTCAGCGGCATCCCTTCATGCACCCTTCCGGATCCAGTCCACATCCCTCTCGGCCTTGGAATTCACGGTCACCCCAGGCCTTGCATAAGCCCTTTGGTCCACCGGCACCTGAATCCACCCCACCTGCTCTCACACAACAGACGGCACACCAGCCACCGTCCAACCTTACCGACTGCCCGCAAGGGAATCTTTTAGCCGCCTCCTCCGCCAGGGAGAACGGACGCACGACAGGGACAAACTCTGGCTTAACGTCTGGAGTGTCTTCATTGCCGCCGGTCCCAAGCTGTCGATCTATCTCAGCGGCCCTCTGCATCGTTGCACCCTGTGTGCCAAAGCAACGAGCGGCCCTCTACAGATTGCCGTGTTGCGTTGCGAGTTGATATGCATGTCGAGGGAGAAGAGGTACACCGGTGCTCGACTCTAATCTCCAATCTCCGCCATTCAGCATTCTCAGGCGCAACCGAGCAAGCAGCTGTGCCGCTCAGCGCTTCCCGACTGCCAGTCCGCCAGCACATACCTGACGGTACCACATCACTTTCAGCCCCCAGCAATTGACAATTATATCTCGCCCTACCTCCATCGCCGATGCTGCTCAATCTCCATTGCTGGGTTCCGCTGACGACCGCACGACTTCTATCCTATTTTTTACCCCGCCTTCGTCTCCAAGGTTCGTTATCAGCTCCGCAGTCCGCACCGCTTCGTCGCTGCATTGGCCCCGCCCCAAGGAAAATTGCCGTTCACTAACCCGCTCTATCAGCTCCAGTTTGATGTCTGTTGGTGTACCTAAACGAATGTCAACCTTTGGGTGGTGACCAAGAGCTTCTGGACTGGAAAGATATTGGCTCCGACTCTTGCGGACGAGCTCTCCCTGTTACCGTCCTAATCGGCCCCCTCCAATCCGTGATTCGAAGTGTGTCCCTGAGAAAGCACCGGCGCCAACCCTTTTCCACCGCTTGCATATCCCATGCTCTGCCTGGAATATATTCTCTTTTAAACAGATCCGACCCTGCTATGAGTGCGGACCAGTCAAGCCCCAGGTTCGCTCGCTCCCATTCTCTTGTTCAAGGGCCCAGACCATATGTACGTTACCTTGGTGTTTTTCTGCCATGCTGATTACGCCGTTTTCGCAGCTTTGGTGATTCAACCGCCCAGCCTCCCACGCCTAAACGGACCCCGATATCAACCGTCTTGCCGAGCCCGGGTTTTGAGACACCTACGCACAGCCAGGGACGTTTCGACGAGTTGAGTGGGTGGACTCCTCGTTTTGCCGAGGAGTATTCCGTTTTCAACGCGACACCCGGGAATCTCAGAGGCTCCCGTACACCGTTTCCAGACTTCGGCCCTGCAACACCGTGCTTAGGTAGCGCAAACCAGAAACGCTCGCTGTCCACCGACGGAATTGGCCTCGGGGTTGCGGTCCACGGGAATGAGTTGTCGCCGAATCCAAGCCTGCCGTTGCCCTCCGTCGAGCCCTCCACAATCTTGCGCTCATCGCCGGCTTTATTACGGACGGCAACGTTTGACGACTCAGGCGCCGCTGGTCATCTTGCGGGATCTGTCGAACGATCAGCAAAAAAATATCGTCGTAGCACGGTTGTCGCGCAACCGCAAGGCCAGACAGCAACCCCTCCCCCGTCAGCTCGCAAGGGAGAGCGTAAGCTTGCACCCAAGGGTGACACTAGCGCCATGCAGAATGAGCAGGACTATGGGCAGCAGGCGCACTTCATGGCCTCCGCGCAGCAGCAAGGCATGGGCGGCTTCATGACACCCCAGGGCGATGTCTTCGGCTATCCGCTTTCAGCCCCGGCTGCCGCGCCGACATATGGAGCTCAGAGACCATTCTGGGATTCCGACCCGAGCCTCGCCGGTATGGATATCGACTTCACCCCCCACGGAGACGGCATGCAGCCCGCAACCCAGCACCACGGGCCCGAGTTGGTGGATTGGGCGAGGACGAATCAGCTGTTGCCGGACCAAAGCGGTATGACTGGCCCTCCTCCGTCCAGTGTCGATAACGGCACTTCGCTCGTTTCCCAACCGCCCATGTCGATGCTAGTGACTTCGTCGGTCGATCACTCGCTCTTTGCAGCCAGTTATCCCAACCCTGTCGATGATCCTTTTGGCATAAGTGATGCCAGCGGTGTGGTGAACCCTGGGGTCTTGTTCAGCCGGCCCCAGTCGGCGAACCTCCACACGGTCTCGTTTAATAATCAGGCCATAGCCCGGCCAACCACGAACACGGTGGTGAGCCAAGATAGTCGAGTGGACAGTGGAGGAGCGTCGGTGTCGAAAACTAGCGGACGCGCCGAGTTGCGCCGTTCGGCCAGCGCGAAGGACGCGACCCCCAGGAAACCGGATTGGGCCTCGGCGAGCTCCCTGGTCAAGGAGGCTGGCCGTCCAGGACTCTCACGGAGCTTCAGCGAGAATAGGGGAAAGAAAACCGTTGGCCGGCCATCTCTGCCTCCCCTTGCTCCCCGGCCGCGGTCCCAGTTGGTAAACAACGCGGGCGTGAATGCCAACAAACCCGTCATTTCACAGCCCCAGAGGCCGAGCGGCGGAAGATCCTCACCGTCGAAGAGTAGCCACCACCACCACCGCTTGTCGAGCCTCTCGTCGATCCCGGAAACATCAGGTCCACAGATGAGGACTCAGGCGAAATTCACGATTGATTCCAATGGCCGAGCAAGAGTAGAGACCACGGTGGTGGTAGTAGATGAGCCATCATCGAGCGCTGTCAAGCGTCATTGTTCGTATCCTGTAGCGCCGCGGCAGCAGTGGTATTCATCAGACGACGACGACTCATCAACGGATGACGAACCCATCATCATTCCGAGCAGGAACACGTCATTTGCACTCCCCGACCCGCGAAAGCCCACGACTATTCATCCCTTCCACAATTCGCAACGGAGCATGAGCGAGTATAGCACTATGTCATACACGAGCTTTCAAGGACCATCCCACGACGCAGGCGACAGCGACGGAGAGACCATAGTCAATGATTCGACAACGCCGACGCGCAAGGCCTCGGGCGACGCGCTCAGCGAGCTGCGGAAGCTGCGCGAGACGCGCCAACAGAAACCTGCATCGAGCTCGAAGCCAAAACGGTTCGTTTCGAGTCATCATCATTACTCGGGTAACCCCGCGTCGTCGTCATCGCCGACGACGGTGAGCGAGGCGAGTCTGCCGACGCCGACGGCGGATACGATGACCCCCGGCGTGCGGTGTGTCTGCAACAGGGCGGAGGCGGGTCGGAATGACTTGTTGGTTCAGTGGTGAGTCATCTTCTCTTTCAGTGCTGCAACGCTCTGGTTGGCCGTGCTTTGTCCAATTATGCATGCTAAAATTATCGTCCGTCCCAGCGAGTCCTGCGAAATGTACGTCCATGGCCAATGTGTGAGCATCACGCAACGGACGATGCCATCAATATATATCTGTGCCTTTTGCTCGAACACACCAAACATGCGAGGCGGAAAGCTCCGAGACAACGGGCGCTTGTCGGGAGCCGTCGCGCTTCCAGGCTCAGTCTCGTCACCGCTGGCGCACAAGTCTCTAAAATCGTTCCGGTGAACGGCCGATTCTGGAAAGGTGCCGACACCAGGACGGAAGGAAACAGAGACGAGTAACAAGGTATTATAACTCAGCATACGCCCAAGCCTGGAAACGGTTGTTGAATAGTTGGCTTGTCTTTCACGGCTTTTCTTGGACGAGGCAGAACAGTATCGAGAAGAAGCCGACGGGCAATAGCCAACTTCGCCGTCAAATACCCACTATATTTTCATAGATGGAATGAAGAACATAAGCTTAGGATACCACCATCTTGTTCTTTGCCGACTCGGACTCTGCAGTTCTCCAACCATCTAATGGCAGCTTGAACGCAAGCGCGGATCCTGTTCCATCTCCACGGTTCCGTACCTGCAGATTTCGGGAGGTGAGACAGAAGCCCGAGCCCGGAGACTCCGGAAAGCGGGCTGGAAATGCCGAGCTGCCCCACGGAGCGCCGACCTCGGAAGGCGGGGTTCGGGCAGGAGCGAGGTCAACGCAGCGAAACAGTTGCACTATTTATCACTCCTGTTCTCAACATTTCCTTCTCAATAACTCTTGGGAGTGTTGCTAGTACCTCTTTTCAGTCAAAAGCCTCCTTAAATTCTTAGTCTTGTCAGGTCAAGCTGCGATTGGCGATACACAGCAGCTCCTTCTCCCTGGCCGTCGTCCATCGCCTCTTCCACTCCGCGCCGTTTGCAGGGAAAATAAAGCTGCCCAACTCAGCGCTTTACGAGGGAAAAAAAGGTCCAACAGGGAAGGAACGTCTGCAGAAAGGACCAATGGCGACATACAATATTGTCGTTTTCGGTGGTGACCATTGCGGTCCCGAGGTACGTTTTACGCATTGGGATCGGCCCGTCAAGGGACAGAACGATTTGAGAGGCAAGCCGGCACGCAATTGACTGACATACGTCTCATTCAGGTTGTCGCCGAGGCTATCAAGGTGCGTCCAATAGTTCAATTCGTCGTCCGACCGCTCATTGCGAATCCCACGGTGTACAAGGGATAAACCAAGGGCTGTTGCGTGGGGACAATGGTGCGAGGATACATGGCACAGGATCGACTGCTCACAACGACGCGTTTATAGGTTCTCAGGGCCATTGAGACTCATAGCCCGTCGGCTGGCAAATTCAACCTCCAGGAGCATCTCTTGGGCGGTGTAAGTCGTCTCTTCTCTCACTTTCCGTCTCGTTGTCTCTGCCCAACGCATTTTGCTGCCGGGCTTGCTCCCTCCTCTCCCTCGAGCTCCCGAGCTACCCCGGCTTGTGGAGCCCGAAGCACATGGGTTTCCCGGGACGAGCATCCACACATACACATCAGCTTCGCCGTTCGCACGTGCAACAAGTCCCTTGACGGTATCCCCAGACGAGTCATCTGTGCCGACGAACATTGAAATCTTTCTCCGGCTAACCCAAAAACCAGGCCTCCATCAAAGCGCACAACTCCGCCCTAACCGACGAGGCCCTGATGGCCGCCAAAACCGCCGACGCCATCCTTCTCGGCGCCATCGGCGGCCCGGAATGGGGGCCCTCGTCGCCCGTGCGCCCGGAGCAGGGCATCCTCAAGCTGCGCAAGGAGCTCGGCACCTACGGCAACCTGCGGCCGTGCAGCTTCGCGTCCGACTCGCTCGTCGACTCGTCCCCGCTGAAGGCCGAGGTGTGCCGCGGCACCGACTTTGTTGTCGTCCGCGAGCTGACGGGCGGCATCTACTTTGGCGAGCGCAAGGAGGATGACGGGTCCGGGTTCGCGATGGACACCGAGCCGTACTCGCGCCCTGAGATTGAGCGGATCGCGCGCCTGGCCGGGTTCTTGGCGCTGGCTAGGAGCCCGCCGGCCAAGGTCTGGAGCCTGGACAAGGCCAACGTGCTGGCCACCAGCCGGCTGTGGAGAAAGGTGGTGACGGAGGTGTTTGAGAAGGAGTTCCCGCAGCTGGAGCTCAACCACCAGCTGATTGACAGCGCGGCCATGCTCATGGTCAAGAACCCGCGCGCGCTGAACGGCGTGGTCATCACGAGCAACCTATTTGGGGACATCATCAGTGACGAGGCGTCGGTGATTCCGGGGAGCATTGGCCTATTGCCGAGCGCGAGTTTGGGGGGGATTCCGGATGGGAAGAGCAAGTGTAATGGGATTTATGAACCGATTCATGGTGAGTTTTTGCTTTTTTATCTGCTTTCCTCTCCTGGTAGTGGAAGAACCTGGAGAAGTGGATGGAGCTGATGCTTTTTTGCTGGACAGGCTCTGCCCCGGACATTTCCGGCAAGGGCATCGTCAACCCCATTGGCACCATCCTCTCCGTCTCCATGATGCTGCGCTACTCGCTCAACCTGCCCAAGGAGGCGGCCGCTGTCGAGGCAGCCGTCAAGCTGGCCATTGACAACGGCACGCGGACCAAGGACTTGGGCGGCAGCGCTGGGACTACTCAGATGGGCGATGCTGTGGTCGCCGAGCTGGTGAAGTTGCTCAAGGCTTGAACGGATGGATGGCGGCAGCTGGCCGGGGAACGGGGTCAACATGGATGTGTCGATATGGATGCCTGGATTTCAACCAAAATGGACCAATGGAGAGACATAGGGAGATCAGAGGACCATGGTGGGAAAATGGCTAGACAAACGGATCGCATGGCACCGCGGCGGGATAGACGCCGGTCCGCATTGAATTCATATTATTGCGCTGTGTCTTGCAGTTTTAATCCTGATCTGCGCTCGGAAGGTGACAGAAGTGGTCGGCTCCTTTAAAAGAATGTGTGGGTCGGGTATTTCTGAAGTTGGACTCGTGGAGTGACAGGTGGGACCGGATATGGCCAGTTGTTGAAAATGCCCGCTTCATCGGGGACGGGGACGGTGTCGCTATGGTGATCTGTTCCGAGGAGGAACAAGTCCAGCTTGTGTAGCTCCTCATCGTCTACGCCCGGCTCGACGACACGGTTCAACGCGCCGTCGTCGAAAGCTATGCCGTGCCTGTGACATGAGAAGGTTTTGTTAGCCCCTGGCCAGATGTAAACAAAAGCCGAGTATCCCAGGGAACGTACCACAGCAGCAAGCCTAGTAACCTCGCCTTCTCAACTCTCGCCCGCAGCTCCCGGTCGACACCAAGTTCCGGCACCTCCGCCACCAGCTCCTGCCAGAACACCTCCCTCAACCGCTCCGCACAGGGGTAGTACTCGAACCTCGCCCTACCATTGCCATTATCCACCCTCCGCCCCAATATCTCCTCCAACCCGTACAGCCCGACCCCAAAAGGCAACCACTCCCCTTCAGCCCAATCCACAAGACCCTTCAACCTCACTAGCCTTTTATTATTGTTGTTGCCAGCATCGTCATCAACAAGATCCACAAGCACATTCCCCGCGCCCAGATCCCCATGCGTCAGCACCCACGGCAGACGTCGCTCAATCTCGTCCATCGCATCCCACACTTCCTCCACCACCGCCGAGAACCGCGTCGGTAAGGCCCGCCGCATCCACTGCATCCGTTCTCGAAGGGTGGAACCTACCCGCCGGCGCTTGCCCACCACCTCCACTTCTCCCATCCCGGCCTTGTTCGCCAACACGGCTTCTTCGACGTGCGCGTGCGCCGGGGATGGGAATGGTGATTGGGATGGTGATGTTGATGAGGGCTGGACCGGAGACAACCAGAGCGGATTGGAAGAAAGGTGGTGGTACGATTGGGCAAAGTATTCCCTCGCCAGCGAGCGGAGGAGGGTTGCCAGTTGCATTTCGGGGTCGGTCAACGACAACAACGGACATAGTTGCTGCGGTTGCGGTTGCGGTTGCGGTTGCGGTTGCGGTTGCGGTTGCGGTTGCGGTTGCGGTCGCGGTTGTGAGTCCGCCAGGCTGGAAAGGGGCACGCCGTCGATGAAAGTGTGGCGGTACATGAGCAGGGTCCTGTCGCAGGGGACGATCTGGCTTTGGGCTTTGGGGTGGTTGTTGTGGATGTTGTCTTGATCACCACTGCCGTCGAACGCCGTGGCCGGGTCGATGACGGCCAACAGGCTGGTCGTTGCAGGGGCCAGCTTAGGGAAGATGGCGCTTGCGGCGGCCGTGATGTTGAGGTCGAGGCTGTGGGTGGGCGGGCGGAACTGGAGGATGATTCGGTTGTCTGGAAGAAGAAGTGTGTAGGAGCAGCGGCCCTGGGCCGGGGGCTCGAGAATGGTTGCTGAGGGGTACATGGTGCGGGCGAGCTGGCCGCATACGAGGGTCGTGAAGGATGAAAGGGGATCATTGGTTGCGACGGCGAAGTGTATTGGTGGTACTGATGATACATGTACTGGCGTTGCCGCGCGCGCGAACACTGGTCGGGTCCTGTACGTAAGGGCGTCTACATTCATGATGGGAAGCTAAGAGGTAGCTGATTCGAGTACAAGACAATCAACAAAAATAGTATGCATGAGGGATAAACCGGTGAAGAAGGGCCGGTGAATTCCCAGGAGTGTAAGCGATATCCGTGTCCACGCCCACGGCCCACGGCGCCGCGCTGAGAAAGGAATGCGTCAGGGTGGGAGGCAGGAGGGGATCTGTTAGCTTACATGGCACTAATTATGCAAGCCACAAGCCCAATGAAGACCACCAGCTGGGAGTTATTCAGAAACTGGTCACACTACGGAGTATCCGTACATGAAGGAGGAGGCCCTGTTGACCCCGCAGCAGCTGCTCAAGAGGGACGCGGCGGTTATAGTATGCGAGACCTTGCGGCAACATTTTGATGCCGCAAGATAGGAGCAAGGAAGAGAAAATGAGGGAAAAGAGACGAGAGATGAAGGTGGTGAAAACAAGAACAGGACAGAGAGCTGTTTCAGGACAGCTGCTGGGAAGGCTACAATACATGAAATAACCACCACCTGGCAGCTACCAACTAAACAATTTTCATTCCCCTGATCATCCTTCAAGCAATCTGATATGCCGTATTGACGACCCGAAGTAAAGGCACCGCGGCATCACCGCTCACCATTCCACCAATGCAAAGCCCAACCCCTGAACCAGCGACGTTCACACATGTACAAGTACAATCCAACAAAACCAGCCCAACCCATCCCTCAACCGCCCAGACGAACGACTCACCCACCGACACTCCCCAGAGAGCAATTCTCCTCAAGCCCTCCTCCTCACGTCCTCACGCCCTCACGCCTCGCAGCACCCCTCCTCCCGCCAATCCCAAACACTCTCAGAACACTCTTGATGATCCTTCCAATCACCTCGACGAACACAAACCTCAAGATGGCCCTGAGCCACCCCCGGCGCCTCTTGGGCTGCACCGCCTGCATATTATCACCACCACCACCACCACCACCACCACCAGCAGTAGCCGCCGCTGCCGAGTCAGGCGACTTAGCCATCTCCCCTTCCCGCTGCTTCCCTCCGGGCATGACCCGCTTCCGGAGAAGCTCTTGAACCTTGTTCTTGTCCCAGTCGTCTTTTGACACCGAGGCACGGGCGGCAGTCGACGTCGATGACTCGGCTGTAGCCACGCTCGTCGTTGAAGGATGGGAGGGCGCCTGCGCTGCCTTTTTATCGCTATCGCTGGGCGGTGCTGCCGGCTGCGGCGGCAAGGCTACAACTTCGGCGTAGCTGAGGCGTCTGGGCTTCTGCTTTGTGGCCTCCTGCTGCTGTCCTTTGTTCTTGATCTCGCTTGGGCTCGCGGCGCTGGGCGGTTCGGTTGGGGAAGGTTTCGACGCTGCGACTTCGGCGTAGCTAGGGCGCCTAGCCCTGGGATCGTGGGATGCCGTGTCCTTGCTCGACGTAGGACTCTCGGCATTGTGGGACTGTGAAGTAACGGCCTTGCTCTGGCTGGGCGGTTCGGAAGCGGCAGTGTCTGCCGCGGCAGCCTGAGCGTAGCTAGGTTCTCCAGGACGGTCTGCCTTCTTGGTTGTTGTGTCGGGCGGGTCCGCCTGCGCGGGACCCGGGTTCTCGGCTTGTGGAGCCGGGCGGATGAAGACTTCCTGCATGGAGCGCTCTTTGTCCTTGTCAAGTTCAACCTCCGCGGGGGCCAGGCTTCTAGATGAGTCCCTCGTCGATGGTGGAGACTGTGGAGGGGAGGGCTCGGCCATTGGGATCGGGCGATGCATTGGCTTGACAGTCCTAGGGCTCAGACCATCCCGCAAGACAACCCCCTCGTCTTCCTCACTGGTTGGGAGTTTCAGCGTTTTGGGCTTCGGCTTCAGGGGATTGCTGAACACCACCGCGGGGCGGAAGTTGGCCGCCTCCTGCTCGGCGGCCTGCTCTTCGGCTTCCGAAATGGAGTGAAGCGAGGCTGTTGCGTGAATCGAGCTGACGGAGCCCCGTGGCGACCTCTTTGAGGAACGACGCGAGGAGGCAGGCGTTTGAGGGGCACTCAAGTGGAAATCGCCCGTAATGTCTTCGGTTCCCCGCCGTGCCGGGTTAACCACAGGAGAACGGGGGTTGCCCTCGAAAGATGCCTGGTCGGCAGGGAGGCCTGTTTCGAGCTTTCGTACGGCCTGCATGATGTCGTCGCGGGCCGACGGGAAGCGCTCCAAGGTCGGATCATTCAGATCAATCTGATCGGGGTCAATGTCCTCGACGAGCGAGCGATAAAAACGCTCATCATCCTCAGCCACATCCTCCTCAGCAGTATCCTCCTGGCCCGTCTCTTCGTCCGACTCGTACATGCCGACACATTCGTGGGCGAAAAGAGGCGACTTATCGGCAATGAAGTCCTCCTGCTCATCGCCAGCTTCCCTACCTCGAGGTTCCTCCTTCAAGGGGCGGCCCTCACCCGGCGGGGGTTCCAATATGACAACCGTGCTCTAATCTTGTCAGCCTACGGACGAGACTGCTGCACGGAAAGGTACACATACCTCCAAGCTTTCGGGCGCCTTAGGAGCGGGTACGGCCTCTGCCGCCCTTGAGTCGCCTGCTTTCTCCCCGCTATCACCGCTTGCGCCGGCCTCGGGGTCTCTGCGTTCCGGTACCTCCTCATGAAGAAGCTCGGCAGAATCTGCCACCTCTGCAGCGACCCTGGCAAAGATAGGAGTGCCGGTGGTCGAACGGTCGACAGCAGCCTCTTCGGCAGAGGGCTGGACATGCTTGGCGGCAATTTTGGCATACGACAAGGGTGCATCGCTGCCAACATCCTTCCTTTGCTGTGAATCCCGAAATTCCGCAGAATACTCATGAGATGGCCTAGCACAATTAGCATTACTTCGCCCCGTTACACGGCACATGCTTTGGCACTTACTCTCCATGAGGCTTCACTTCCAACACATGGTTCGTGTTCCCGGCGCTATCCGTCACAGTCGGCGCGTCGTCTTTCAGCACCCACCAGTCTCCATTACCAACGCGAAATTTGTACTGGATTTTGGAGCCTGGCTCCGCGCGGATCTCCTTTGTGAAGTCGTAGTTCCCGTCATCCCGCCTTGTGCGCTCCATCTCGTAGGGCTGCCATGGCGGATTGGAGAATGTGCCTGCCACGTATATCGGCGGCTGAGTGCCGGGCTTGTGATAGGTGATGACAACGGGGATTTGAGTAGATGTCATGGTGAGTAGGCTGAAGATCTAGATCGTTGGAATAAAATTGCGGATGGGAAATCAAACCGAGCTTAGGTTGGCGTTTCGATGTTGCTTCCAAGACCAAGAAAATTGGCACCGAGATTGTCGAAGATGGATGCCGGCAGTCAGCTCAGCCGACCTGCTGCGCGGTCGAGATTTTATGGGTGTTCGAGTATGTGAACAAGCCGAATCGCTGGCGTCACTAGTGAGGTTAGTAGGTAAGGTTGACGAAACCAACTGGTGGTTTCGAGGTGGGCATGGACTGTCGCGCCACTTAAGTTCAATCTAGGAACGCGCGGTGCGAAACCACGGCGTAAGGTAGCACAACAGCAGAGCGACCGAGAAAGATGAGCAACAGAAAGATGTAGACAAATGACAACTAGGTAATATGGATGAAACTCGTCTGGATCCGAGGAAGCGATGATACCTGGATCGTCAGGTCAAGGATTGAGATGAATCCAGCACCTGCAGGAAGCTCAATCGAGATTTCGGGTCACCCTTGCACCGACCCGAGGGTGAACCGGACAACGGATAAGTAACTTAAGGTCTGAATGATGACGGGATTCTGCTCAAATTGGACTGATGAACCCCTCCTATGCCTTGATTTCGATGCAATCCTGCATGTGGTGATGGTCCATTGACCTCGAATGCTCGTAGAAGAGGGACTGGCCGATGGTCAGTTCTAAAACCTGCAAGTCTGGCACATAGCGGTTAGACATCCAATTTCCTCGCCCATTGGGGTGCACTGAACGTGCCCAGGTGGCGAGCAATGACGATGGCAGCCTCGTGAGGACTGCGTCTTGTTGCAGGCTGAAAGAGCTCGTCGGCCAGGGATGTAAGTGGAGAAACTCTAAACTCAAGCTCCAGCTCCAGCCTAGAGGAAAAGGGAAAGCACAAACCCCACTTTCAACAACCCCAGTTGTTCAACAATAGATCTCCGTTCGTCAATTCCTACTTGCTTTATACATGCCATTACTTGGCCGAATTGACGCTTGAATTACCCGGTAGCGACAGAGCACCTGTGTATAAGGTTACTTCTGACGACACGGTACGTCCGTACGAGGCTACCGTGGATGTGTAGTTGACGGGGCCAGGACAATTGATAACCGCGCCATTCCGTCATCGATCAACTTATCGATAAGGATAGAGGGGCGGTCTTGGGCGGCAGAATGACCGGTTTACTAACTTTTAGGCTCGTCTGCAGAGCAATCGCCTTCGACAACCTGTTTACCGTCAACTTTCTTGTGGATGAGGCACGTTTGCGGGAGCGTCCTCCGTCTTAGATATCTCACCTCGAGTCCATCGCTTTTGAGAGTTTAAAGTACAATACAACCCTGGTAGCTAAGGTTGTTTGTTAGCGTGAACTTACCAGGTAGTTAACTACACTCCTTTTCCCTCTTTCGACTTTCCTGTATTCTTTCTTTATTTTACTTCCTCTTTATCTTTCCTTTGTCCTTTGCTGTCCATGCGCCACGCTAAATAAACGAACAAATTAGGGCTGGATTGTACCACGCACGCCGCCTTCCTTTGCGCACTCACCAGAGAAAGATATTACAATCAACTTATTTCCGACGATCAGCCATGGCGAACCTACCAGACACCATCCATGTCAAGCGCAAACGTGGCGCTGATGACGTCGAGTACCTTCGTCTTGAGCCGAGCAAGCGATCGCGATTTGATGAATCGACTTGGGTCTATCAGAAGATCGATTCCATCGAGCCGCCCGTCGAACCTCCTGCCCCAGCGATCCCTATCATCCAACCAACCGAAGAAGGCGACGAAACCTGGCGACGCCGTCACAAACCAGCTGGGCGCCCAGATACAAAGGATGCCGCGACCTCAGGAGAGACCCCGGCAGCGCTCGCTGCCTCAAAGCAGCCAGCAGTGACCACCGTCAGCCGTCCAACTACCGAGAACCTTCGACGCTTCCACCTAAAGAGCTTCATTTCGCCCCAGTCGGCCGCTGGCGTGTCCAAAAAGCGCACTGCGCCGGCTGTGTTTGTCGAAAGGGATGCAAAGAAGCACCGGGAGTCGTTGAAGGCCACCCTTCAGGAACACGCGACCATACCGTCGGAGCCATCAGGCCGGCGGACCGAAGCCAAGTCATCGGAATTTCCTTCGCCAGCAGACGGGAGGCCTGCTGCCGCTATGGAGCCCCGTCCACTCAAACTCAAACGACCAGGGCGCAGGGCTTGTACTCAACCGCGAGGCGTGCAACCTTCGCATCCCCCGTCAATGGGCGAGGAACGCAAAGACATGGATATGAGCTCGCTTGCTCGGGCTATGGATGCCTGGACACTTGAGGAGATCGCCAGGAACCTTACCCGCACCGAGGAGCAGAGCACCAAGCCGTCTCTGGCCCCAGCAATGCGCGACCGCAAGGACAAAGATGTTGATGAGGTTGCTCAGGCGCAAAAAGTCTCGAAATTTGAGATCGTCAGCCGCGCAGATGAGAAGAGCATCACATGTAAGCACAGCCCTGCCAAATCACGCTTCAAGCCCAAGGCTCCGAAACAGCGCTATTTCGAGCGCCATCCCGATGCTCAGGCCTCGAGACCAACGGATGAAACCGCGGCGGAGGCCCCAGTTGCGGAGGAGGACGCTCAGAGCTCCAGCGACGAAGAAGACTATGTCTTTGAGACGTATAAGCGTGTTCCCGTCGAACGCCTGCGAGACAAAGAGGTCCCGTTACACCGCGTCGGTCTGCTCGTGTTTGATACCGAGCCCGAAATCGAGTTCTTTTACGGCAACGAGGGGGACAGTGGGGAGGAGTACGGCGATGATGACGAGGACTCAAATGGTGAGTGGGCTTACAGAGCCCTCAAGGATCATCAGGCAGCTGACCAGCCATGTAGCCGAAGATCACTATACAGCAGACTATCCTGACGAGGATCTCGATTGGGATGACGAATTTGGCCGGTACCCGTACCATTACTTGAACCAGAATGCCTCGGACATGGAGGAGTGGGACGAGAGAGACTATATGGATGACGATCCCTTGGACGAAAGTCTTAGATGGGCCAACAATGGCGAGGGCCTGATGGAGTGAAACAAGGATAGGTACTGATATCGGTAGGAGCATCGGACTGATCGCACATCCGAGCTTCGCAGCAAGTGTATTTGTTCTTGCGTCTAGCGATTCTGCTTACTACAGTTCAATTAAGCAACGCGAATCACAGGCATTGTCCAACATCGAACACGTCGTAAGATCCTGTTCCTCATCTACCCCCCCGAGCTTCATTATATCATAATAATCAGTACCCAAACCAGGTTCCCATAGGAATATAGAAAGAACGAGGCCAGAGGACAAAACCCCGGCCAATCAAACAAAACAGACTTAGCCTCCCACATCTCCTAACTTCTCGCCGCGGTCGCTTCTGACGCGGCTAATGAATTCTTTTTGATACACTTTGGCAAGGAAACGAGACAGAATGAAAGAAGTTGGTATGGACGGGGTTTCCATTCTATGCGCGGCTCTCTGTCACAGCGCCAACCGACATCAACATAGGTAACATGAGCATCGTGTAGCATATACGCAGCAACAAATGAAATTCTGGACGAGAGCGTAGTAGAGGGACCAGGTATGTATGTGTATGTGCGTGTATCTGCAGGTGTATATATGTATGTATGTATGTGTGTGTATTGTGTGTTTGTGTGTGTGTGTGTGTGTGTGTATAGAGCAGTTGGAGTATGTTGAGAGGCAGCAGAACGAGATACAGACTGACCAAAGACTAGACGCAACGACAGAAAACAAGTCTGCGGTGCAGCATCCTCTGATACAGCCGCCCTTTCCTGGCAGCGATCCACTCCTCTCTCTGCCGGCGTCGTCTCTCAGCTAAAATCTCGTCAGCAGCGAGTTCTCGCCACCACATAACAAAAGCAGGTAAAGTTTGTGAGTGGTGCTCACCAAAACCCCTCGCCAGAACGCGATGCTCCTCCCGCACCCAATCATTCCGCTCGTCCATCAACTCCTTGGGAAACTGCTCCATCAGACTCACCTCCTCCTGGCGGCACTTGACCTGCCGCGTGCGGTAGTACGCGTCCCTGTAAAGTTTACACCACGGCGGCCGCTTCGTCTTGGCCTTCTCCCTTTCCTCCTCACTCTCCTCAGTCTCCCCTCCATCTGGCCACAGCCCTTTTCAAGCGCGGGCGGCGTCGCAGGAGGCGTGATACTACCCACCACCTCCTCCTCCTCCTCCTCCTCCTCCACCGCCCCGTCTCGGGGCTGCTACCCCTGCCCAACCCGCTCACTGGCGCTCTCACTCTCACCCTGCCCTGAGAATCATGTCTCTGGGATGGATTGGTCAGGGGGGGTGTCCACCTCGGGATCGACAAGCGATATCAGCCCCTCAGGTGTCGTGGCCGGAACCCAATCGTTGGCGCGATAGTAGCACTCGATCCCGCTGACGGTGCAATTGAGGCCTGACCACCGCGCCATGTAGGTCGCCTGGACCTGACCTCAACTCTGTTTGAGCTCAACCTTATGGTAGATCATGAAGCCCTCCTGTTCAAAGATGGAGGGCTGCTTATTGCGCTTTTGGTTTTGATTGTTTGTGCTGTTGTTGAGGTTGGGCTTGCTGTTGGCGGCGGAAGAGCCCGGAGAGCGACATTAGCGCTGGCGGCGGACGACTCTCTTGTTGGTACGCCTCTGGCGGTGGTGGTCACGGTCCGGGCTGGTTCGGTAGTAGTGGGCTGAGGGTCGGTCTGGGACGGTGTAAGAGCGAGTGGTAGAGCTAGTGCAGTGTGCCAATGCTCTCCGCGGGACCAGGGGTGCGAGGGGCGGAATGAATCCTTGATGGTGGCCTGCTGCGGATCGCGGGCGGGGAGGGAGTGCCGGCCAGGTTGGATATGGGTTTGAGAATGGGGATGAGGGCGCGCCGATGGAGGACTGAAGAGGGGAGGGGGGGAAGAATAGACGAAGTGCGAGCTCAACCGGACGGCGTGGCAGATCGCCCAGGAGAACAGTTATCGATGGAAGACGCTGGTCGACGTAGATGCGCGGCGAGTCCTCTAACGCGATGCTCTGGCTGAGCGTGGGTGGCCTCGTGTGTCCCTCGTTGGGTTCCATGTCGGTCTGCCGGATGGCAAGACTAGGATTGTAAAAGCCCATGGTGGAGTGGTCGAGATGGGGTGGTTATGCTTCAAAGATCCGAGAAAGTAAACAACAGCCTGCACTCTGCTGTGAGCGACTGGCAGGCGCTGCGAGAGTGGGACGACAATAATCTGAGGCTCGTGGGACTCCACAACCTCTATATACATCAAGATTCCAGGAACACGACGAGAAGCTGCAAATGATCCTCCCAAGACGGGACTTCTGCGCTACAGCTTCACCACAGCTTCACCTTTAGATAGAGATCTTCTATACTGCATCGGTAGATGAAGTAGCTCCTTGCAGTAGCTGGTTGAATCCCAAAACGCCATGAGTCAATCTGTAAATCTCGAGGAAGCAGGTGGGCGAGGGGGTGGAGGTGTCGATGCCCGCGAGGTGGAATCGGGAGGTGGGACATCTGGACTGCCAGCTGTCAAGGAGACAGGCGGGTTGAATGTGCCAACGGCTCATGGCGAGTAAATGCCGCAGGTCCAAGTCTCGTCAAGCAGTCCGAGGCGTGGATGGTGGCGATCCAGGCTAGGGAGAATTGTTTGGACCCCTGCCTTTTCGGCTCCCCAGAGGGTCCAGGACTCCAGGCATCCTGCAACGAAGAAGGCTGGATCAACATGCGACTAGACTGAATCTATCGAGGCGGAGGGCCCTTGCTGCATCTTCGGCGACTTGCTGCACCCAAAATCCAGCGCTTCTCGGTGTGGTGTGGTACCGGTGCAATGTGGTACCGCTGTGGTGATGATGGACCGAATCTCGGCTCCCTCCGGCGAGAGTTGGTATGTGTATGGCTAGAAGGGTGGGTAGCAACGTCTCTATCTCACATCTGAAATGAATGTGATTGTGACGAAGAGAGCTGGAACCTTACTAACAGCACAGGGCCTGGATTGCAGAAGCCAGAAATGAACTGGTACGCCAGAGATAGGAAGATACAATACTGAGTACCTAGCCGAGCCTCAAGAGTAGGTAATGTATGACAGTTCTTGAAGAGCCACTCTCATTGAGGCGCTAGAACTGTGGTTCTTGATAGCCCCTATTGTCCTTCTAAGTGCACAATAGTACCCCATCCGAAAAGAGGTCACAGCAACGGTAAGCCTTCGAATCTCCGCAGCTGGAAAGTCTTGGTATCGAATTGCTTACAGACCGGCACACCGTGAGATTCCATAGCAGCTGAGGAGGCAACACAGCTGGGTTTTTTTGCCATGATTGCGGGGGTCGCCGCAGGAGGTGTAATTATCGTCAGTCAGTCAAGCGGGAGTTACCGTTATACAATCCTACCTCCTCTCATGTCTGTGAAGCGCTGGAGTCGCAATTGCCTGCCGAGTGCCTCAGCTTGAAAGTTGAGAACGCTTGTGTGCTCGAGCAATTCAGAACAGGACTTGGCTCGCACCGAGCGGCCAAGCCAAGGCGGTGAGACATACCTGCAGCGCCGTCTCCTGAAAGCTAGGAGTGAACGCGGCAACCGGACTCAGCTTCAATGCGTCTTTTTTCCAATGCACCCATGTCGATTCAGTTTGGTGAGGGAGAGCACGGGGAAGAGTGGTGTTGCAAGAGGAAGTGAGGGCGCTTCCTAAACAAGAAAGCGCGGATGTGGACGGTCTGCGCTGTGATTGGCTCAGGTTGTGAGGTCAGCGGGTCAAGCCGTCATACCACGTAAGGCGTAGTGCAAATGCGGTTGTGTCAACCGCAGCAATCTCGATCTGGAGTCGGGAAAAGATGGAGTCTGCATCGTGTATGAAGAGACCTGAATCGCAAAAGGCGGCCTTTAGTATGAGAAACTGAATCATGGTCCAATAAGCAATGGAGCTTTTGGTTCCTCTCTGAAAATTGAAAGACGTTTCACTGAAAGCGGGAGGACCCTTTTATTAGTGACCGCCGTTGTGAAGAGCGGGAAGAGTACCCCGAGCTTAGGGGTCATGACACAGAGCTTCCAATGCTCCTACTCTTCACCAGATTCAAGGTAAGCAGCAGCCATTGCGGAAGCATGTCGTACTGACTTCGGCCATTGGGTCACAGAGGGAAAATGGGACCCTTGAAATGTCACACATCATATTTCTTGCTCCTGTTCTTGAACTAAACAGAGGCATCGGACGCTGCTTGAACCCTCCAAGGTTCTCACTATCGAGATCGCTGCACATCGCATACAATGTGCGGGCATACTTGACACATTCTGCGACCGGCCTGATGGGAAATTGTACTCCAACGCAGCGAGACCTCCTGGGCCATCCCGTTTCCAAAAGCGGGCTAGAAGGTTGCTTTCGCCGGCGCCAATCCATCTGAAACTGGCATGCGACCACAATAACCGACGTACAGTACTAGGTATTGTGTAAGCGCCATGGCTGTGAGCTCTGCTAGCCCCCTGGGAATGGCGGTTGATATTCCGGGCCGCCACCCCCTCTGATGCAACTGTTACGATCCGGCATCTCGCAGATCTGGCATGTCGCCTCTGCGACTGGCCTCTTCGCCGGCATTGGGTAGCACGGCAGCTGTGGCATATTCTAAAACTCCGGCGTTGTACAACCTCTCGACCGAGCCGTTGAACATCTGAAGCAGGCACAACGGCTTCAATTCAGCCTTCTTAGCAGTTTCTTTGGGGCTATCAAATCAGCGGATTCGGTGGCGCGGCGTCAACGAAGGGATGCCATGTTGTCTGTGCAATGATCATCGCAAGATCACAGCCTCTCGGGCTTTATTCTGCAGGAAAGTATATGCTCGAGTTGTTGTCAACGGCACATGGTGACGTTGGCATGACTAAAGCTTGCCCCGGGTATCCTCCGCATGGCGGCCGGACAACCTGCTCCTGTCGTCTACAACGACCCCCAACCCCATGGTGGTGTTCAGCATGCTCTGGCCAGTCGCCATGTCCTTGAAAGACTCGTCCCCAGAGAAGGCCCTGCGTCCCATATCAGTTTCCGGTTTGAGAAGTGACAAGACTTCGACTACACTCACCAGCCCCGTTCCTCACCCAGCGACAGATGGGTACAATCGCTGTTCAGTTCGCAGTTCCAAGCCCCTGATACCCCTTGACCACCACTCCAGTCTTGAACAAGGCCACCCTGACGGTGGCAATCGGCATCGATTTCAGCTGTGCCTTGCTTCGCGCTGCTATTGTTCCCTTGGGTCTCCGTCCCTGGACTCCGCCGGCGTCGGTACAGGCTCAGGCCGCAGGTGAAGCACTTGAAATCCCGGGTCTCGACAGTGGCGGGCATTCGGCCCGTCAGGACACGCCCCAGGGCGATGATGACGGCGGCATGGGAACACAGCAAGATCGAACGCACGCCGTCTCTATCACACTGGGCGATCAACGCCTCCAGGGTCGCCGCCACACGGGCATGCAGTTCATCGATGCTCTCACCCATGCGGTTCGGCGTTACAGCCGGCTCATAGCTCAGATCGAGCAGGCCTGGGAAGAGCGAGTCGAGTTTCTCGAGGCCGGCAGGAACGGGGTGCTCAAAGTCGGCTGAGCCGTACCACTCGCCCAGCCCGGTTTCTCCGCGGATTCTCAAGACCGGCCTGTCTCGGACCACTGCCTCTTGCGCCTTGCGCACAAAGGGCTCGACAGTCTGCAGGCAGCGGTAGTAGAGGCTCGAATAGACACGCTCGATGGGCGGGTGCGCGGCCAGCAGCCTCACGGCGAGCTCGTTCGATTGGTCGACGCCATGGGCCGTCAAGGCCGGATCGGCGGCCCCACCGGTCGGTGACTTGATGAAGGTCGTGTAGTTGCCGCTTGACGGATCGACGAGCCAGTTGGATCGAAACTACTGACCGTGTCAGCCATTGTCACCGCAGTAGTTTGAAACTTGGACTTGACGGTTTGGGAAAAACGATGATTCATAGCCTTCCTCATACGGGCTGTCTTCCTCCCTAGGTCCTCCACAAGCGCTCTGTCGTGTAACTCGACTGAGCCACATGTGGAAAAGCACGACCAGGACTTCGAACCACTCCACAAAACCTGAGACAAATATAAAGACGCAGCCGCAGGTTGGGGTAACAACTTACCCCATGGCGGGTAACGTAGATCACCTGCAACATGGCGGGCGGCCGCAGGGCGGATGGTCCCAGCCCCCTCTTGTTGCTTTTGCCGTAACTAGACGGATTCGGCCTCGGAATAACTGTGAGTGGCTGGTGTCAATCGGATTGCCTCCGATCCAATCGCTGTATCTTGGATAGGAGATTTCCATGTTCACGATGTAGGTGGGAATGCAGGATTTTGTGCGACTTCAGCTCAGAAGGGCTACAAGTCTTCAAGGCATACAGATCCATGCATGAGGGTACCTCCTCTGCCGACATGCGCATGCAAGATGCAAACGGGTGTCTTGTAAGGAGAGGGGATATGGAAGCATAGGCACGCCGTGACCTCCTTCACCTTGTTGTTCCTCGGCTGGGTTGGGCCTGGGATGAGATGTCGAGAGGAAGAGGTACTGTACCAAGTATGACTTTACCTTTTCTTCGCTAGTTGACCCCTCTTCCAGGAGATTAAGAGGCCCAATCGATCTCCCTGCGTCGGGCCGGCTTTGTGTAGTTGCCCTTGAGGTCGCCGACTCGGGATCGGGAGTTGGGGATTCGGAGGACGGGAATGCTGGACACGGGACTGGGGCCGGCCGGATCAGATCCGGTAGATGAGATCGACCAACCCGGTTTGGCAATGCCGGCGTTGTTGTAAGGTTGTTTCCTTGGATTTAGGAGGTCGGGGGGCATGTAAATCGACTGATCTGGAAGTTGGGGGTGTCCAAATGGAGCGGGAAAGCCAAGGCCCACACAGGGCGGACTCTTCGTGATGATGTTGCTGCTCTCCCTTTCCAGGTAATTATCTTTAATCTGTCAAGGGAGGAATCTGGGCGAGTGAAATGTGGTGTGGATGCATCAATGCGGATTTGTCGAGGCTGCAATTCAACGGCCGCAGTGTGGGTTTCAACGGGATTATGTCCTGCTTGCTGTCTGGTTGATGAGAGCGAGGCGTTTGTGATTCACTCCAGAGGATGTCGGCTCAGGCTGTGTTGGGATGCTGAAAAGCCGGATAAATTCGGATGCAAGATAACATAAGGATAGCGAACGTGTTCGGATTCAAATTAAGTGAGACAGGAACTAATGAATAGTGAATGAGATCCGGGAAGTTCAGAAAGATGCGACGACAGATTGAGTCGTGAACCCGGTTCAGTTTGAGGACAGGCCCGACGACGCTGCGGGGAGCCGAGGTAATCCGTACAAGTCCAGCAGGTCAGACCAGGGCAAACCCTAACCCTTCTTATCCTGTATTTCCCTACCTAGCCCTAGTCCTTCTGAGCTGCCCAGGTGTAAGTCGGGTTGTGCTACCAGAACAGAAGGTTGTCCAGCCCATCGCATAATTAAGATTGACTTGCAAAGAGATCGGAGTTTACCCGTGAATGGTTGATCAACAGGGTCTGAAGCCTGCTACTCCCATTGGTGAACCCGGAGAAACAGGAAAGCCGTTGTTTGGTCGGAGTAACGCATGGCACTGTCCACAACGCGTGGCAGACGACAAGATCCCATATGTCCCTGCCAGCGGATATCATCTTGTCAGACTTAATCCTCGCTTACGACCCCTACCCTCTCCAACACTATCCACTCTGTCCACAACAAGTAACTTACCGCCGCCTCAACTCCCGCTCATGGCCCAACCAGAAATTTCTACAATCCCGATGCCCCCAGAACTCAACCCACCACTCCCCAAAAAAATCATCGACCTCCCCATCCACCTTGGCCACTCTCTCATCCCGTTTGAGCCCGCACACCACACACGCCCGCGGGGCAGTGGGCACCCCTTTTGCCGTAGTCACGCTCAAGCCCACCGCAACCTCGGGCACCCTCAACTTGACCGCGGGCCCCTGGTGCGCCTGAGCCTGATTAACAGCCGCCACGACGCTCCTCAACCGGCCCACCTGTCTTTTCCATGACGCCGCCACCTCGGCCGCCTCGCGGTCCTCATGCGCTGCCTGCGACTTGTCGACGCTCGCCAATTTCATACCCCTCTGTCCGCCGGCAGCTGAGGAAGGGGCGGCCGAGATGGACATGCCCTGGGCAAGGAATTTGTCGCGGTGCCAGCGGTGCTTGCGGCCTGTTATCAGGCGGGCGGCGACGGTGGCGAGCGCGAGATAGCCTTGGAGAAAGTTCAGGGTGGACTGCGAAGTAAGAACGCGTTGGTATGACGGGGAGGATGGCGGGAGGGTTAGGAGGGGTTTGAGTAAGGATGAGGAAGCCAGGTCGAGGAGGGAGGGAAACAGGGACAGGAGTATGGCGGGCGGAGGAATGTTGGTTGGTGGAGGGCCAGGTTTTGAGTTCGGTGTAGTTGTCGGCGATGGTTGGGTCGTAATGCTAGTAGAAGCGGGCCGGGTTTCGGTGGCTCCCCAATCTTGCCACTCCCAGTCTGAGGTTGCTCCGGGTTTGCCCATCCCGTTGGGTTGAAGCTCCGTTGCGGCGGCGTTGGTATCCGGGAGGTCCCTGAACTCTTCCCATGCATTGCCGAAGCCCTCAGATTCGACGGACGGCCAGGCAGTTACCGGCGACGGGGATGCCTCGTTGGCCTCTTTGAGGTTCCTGACCGCCGTGGGAGGCTTGACTTGAAGTCGTTTTACGGGCTCGGGTTTCCGCTCCTGGAAAGATCCGTAAGGTGACTTTGGAGCCTCTGGATAATATGACGGGCCGGCCTGAAGGGCTGCATTGGAGAGTGTCAGGCCAGGAGGCGGCTTCTTGGGGCCCGCTGGCGCTGAGTCGAGGAACAAGAGGTCAAGGGCAGATGCTGTAGGGGCAGCCTGAGGGATGGTGACGGCGGTTGTTCCTGTCTCAAAGTCGCCAAAGTCCTCATCGTCGTGGGCACCGCTTTCAGCCTCAAAGTCGGCATCAAAAAGCACGTTGGGATCAGGATTGCGAGCCGGCTTTTGGGTTTGCGCCATTGTGGCGTCCCTTTCCCAGGATGGTCGATGTTGCCACGGCTCTGGGGTAGAGCTCTCGAGACCCAGGTCCACAAGCTTGTTGGTCATCATATCGATGGTTGAGGCTCTCGTGAGACGAGCCCGAGGTTGAGAAGTTGCAGTGCTTGATGCAACAGGCTGTGGAGAAGGATTGGCCGGGGCGACCTCAAAATCGCCCCAGCCATCCTCATCATCTTCCTTGATCTGCTCTGACGCATCGTTCCTCAGTGGCTCACCAATGGGCGAAGTAAGCCATGCGTGGGCTTGGCCGCCTGTCAACTGCTGCAACGGAGGCCATTGTGTGGGCTGCGGCAACGAGGTGCTGGGAGACAGGAAAGAGAAAGAATCACTCGCGGCCGGAGCGGTAGTGGCTAAGAGTGTTCCCGAAGTGCCCTGATCTTGCTCATTTTGCTGTTGGGGGGCAGATGTTTGTGTCTGCGATACATCCCCGAAGGCCGCAAAAAGGTCCGCTGACATGGTGGTTGCTTATGGTTCCTCCAGCTCCCGTATCTGTCTAAGGACGAGGCATAAAAACATCGCGGCAGGTTCCAGTGTCGACGTCGGTGAATCTGATGTCGTGAGTGAGGAAGACGGAACAGGGCTGAGGTGTCTCCGTTGTTGTGGAGCAGCTGAGGTTTTCGGCGATGCCTAGCGTGGGCAATCAGCACAAGGGTCCCCGTCAAGTCCCTGTTTCCCCTCAAAGCTTCGCAACTGCAAGTGGAGCAGGTCGTTCAAGGCTGAAACGGAAACTCGTGTTCGGAGGCAGTCAATTCATACCTATGATAATTCAATGGTGTTTGGCCTTTCGGGGCCTCCAGTACTGTATGTCGTCTGGTCTCGACTTGTACGATGATGCAGTTCGAGGTTGAAGAATTGCACAAAATCGGGTGGGCAGGGCTGCTGCAGCAGCCAAACAGGGGACCGGCACAGGGGGGCAGGCTCGCTGGTTCGACGGCAACCGATTGGGTGGAGATTGCGCTTGTGAAGACCCACCTCGCAGTGCTCCTACTGCAACCCGCTGACGATGATACACAGCTAAGGGCCGCGATGTCAGTGCCGATTCGGGCTGAAACCAAAGACGACTTTCAATTCTCTTTTGCTCGCTACAAGAGTGAAAGCCAATAATCTTGGAACTCTATGTCGTCGACATCCTCACGCTCACATATCCACAGCGGACGGTCCTCCATCTCAGTAATCGAATGATCGGAACATGCCCCTCAGACAATCATGAGGACCCTGGCCGAGACAAAGTGCGATAAACCCTTCCCTCATCCATCTGACACCGCAAATATCTAACAGCTGGCCCAGATCACGATGGGAGGATACGTTCAAGGAGGGATCCAGCATCGCCGACCTGCAACGGGCCGTCAAGTTCAACGGCCCCCACAGCCCCTGCGTAGCTGGTCTGCGCTCCATCTGCTGGAAGGCTTTTCTGCTATGGAGGGACGCGCCTGCTGAACAGTGGCCTGAGCTCGCCCGCGAGTCTCGCGCAGCCTATAGCGCCATATGCGGCCAGCACCTACGGTATATCAGGCATCCCGAGCAGCTCGCTGCCCTCACCATTGACCCGCTGGCCGATGACCCAGACTCGCCCTGGAACGCCGTGCGTAGGGACGAAACGGCCCGCGCCGAGATCCTCCAAGATGTCCAGCGACTGCCCGACGAACCCTTCTACCACGAGGAGCGCGTTCAAACCATGATCTTGGACATTCTCTTCCTCTACTGCAAACTCAATCCCGGCGTGGGCGGATATCGCCAAGGCATGCATGAGCTGCTTGCTCCTATTGTCTGGGTGGTGGCCCAGGACGCGGTTGACCGGGCGACCGTTACGACCGACGACCCTGCCGAGGCGCTGATTGTTGAGATGCTAGACTCGGCTTTTGTCGAGCATGATGCATTTTCGCTGTTTTCCAAGGTCATGGAAAGTGCCGGCCCCTTTTACGAGGTCAAGGGTAGTGCCAGCTCGGATACGCCACAGAAGAATACCATCGTTGAAAGGAGCAAGTACATTCACGAGGTGGCTTTAACAAAGATTGACGAGGAGCTGGCGAATCACTTGCGAAACATTGAAGTTCTTCCGCAAATATTCCTCATGTGGGTGCTTGCCCCAGCTGTTTCTACCGTTCAGGGGCTAATTCCTTCAGCCGGTGGATCCGACTATTGTTTGGCAGAGAGTTTAATTTCGGACAGTTACTCTCGCTCTGGGATATATTATTTGCATACGATCCCCATCTGGAGCTGATAGACCTCATTTGCGTGGCCATGCTGCTGCGGATTCGATGGACTCGTAAGTCGCACCGACTCTTCAGAAGGCTCCTGGGCGAGACTGACGACCCGACAGTGCTCGAAGCCGACTATTCAGTTGCCCTGCAACTGATGTTGAAATACCCCACGCCGGCGCCCCCTCATGGTCCTCATACATTCGTTGACGACGCCTTGTACCTGAAAGGCCACTTCGACGCCGCTGGCGGCGTCACTTTAATATTCAAATACACTGGCAAGAGCCCCGCGAATTCATCATTCACGACACCAGCCCCATCACGCACTACGACGCCATCATTTCAGAAATTCAACAGCTTGCGCCAACGGACGCTCGGCGCGAGGTCACCACTGCCGGCAAGGATCCTGCAACAACCCGGCGGCGTCGAAGCACTCCTCCAAGGGGCGGCCAAGAACGTGATGCAGAGGGGCGAAAAGCTTGGTATCAACCAAGCTGTGCGCGATGCCGTGGGTGAGATTCGCCGCAATGTTCAGGGCTTCCAGGAAACCCGGAATACGACCAGGGGAGCCCGCGCGCTGTCGCTGTTTGGAGAGGCCACTCCCCCGCCACTTCAGGATCATGCCCTAACTGTTGCCATGATGGAAAAAAGAAACCGCCGATTGGCTGCCATGCTGGACGAGTCGGTCACGAACCTCAAGCTGCTGGCAGCTTCAGGGTTCGAGGGTGAGAAGGAGAAGCATCTCGAGACAGTCGAGTTGGCCGCAGCCAAAATCCAATTCGTCAAGGCATGCTTAGAAGACGCCTCGCTCGCACTCCCAGAGGAGGAGCTCCCTTCTCTGGGAACACTTACAATATCAGGTTCAGCCGAAATCAGTTCTTCCACGGTTGCCCTCGACACCACTCCTCTGGTTATGACCTCCTCCGCAGTAGACGAGACCAGGACGGCGTTGTCAACACCAGACTCGAGCAAGGGAAACAGCGTTCTCGCCTCCCCACCGGCGGAGTCGCAGGCCAAGCAGCTAATTGCCGAGGTCGACAAGATGGACACGGACCATCACGACGAGGACACGTTGCCTCCTCTGAAGTCGGAGCTCACAAACTCCCCTTCACCTCCGGCAGTCTTGACAGTCATACCTGACACCCCGCCTCCACCGGTGCCTATTCAAAGGGAGCAGCGGCCACACGGCCCCATTCCCACGCGATCCACACTAGCCCAGTCGTCCTTCGCCTGGATGCTGGAGCCAGATTCAGCCACATCCTCTCTCCAGCGGCCCCATTCATCGTCCTTCTCGTCGTCAGGCAGGCCACCGAGCAGTGGAGGGGGCAGCACTGCCCAAAGAAAGCGAGTCAACCCCAGCAGAGAGAAGAACGCCTTCCTCTTTGGTGAGGTTACGGGTGACGGGGCTGGCGAGGGGCTACTGTCGGCGGACCAGATCTTTGGGTTGCAGCCTATCCGGAAGGGGGGATGATGGGCCGGGGTGAGGTAACCGGCAAAGACACATACAGCGGGGCAAGCGAGGGTTGTTGGGGGCAATGGAGTTCAGGCCACCTCGCAGGCATCTGTCGATCTGAGAGTGTTCCGCCCTTAGGCTGCGGCGGAATCGACCGACCAATATCACCAAGGCCTAAGCGCGACTGCTACTAGGTAGCCATGGTGGCCCTGCGGGTACCTACAGCAGCGCAACCTGGTCGTCGGTGAATACAAGATCGATAAAGGTCATCAGGGGACTCTGGGCGAAGCAAAACCCCCATAGCATGGGGATGGTAGTGACCGTGCCGCAGGAGGAACTTGGGATGATGGCCAGGGGGAGCACGGCTGCCAGCTAGGGAAGGTGATAGAGAAGAGAAGGAACGTGGTGTCCAGGGGGTGCATGCAGTGACAGGGAGTGGCCGAGACGGTCACCTATCGACCAGCTTTGCGATACCTACACGCTAGACAACAATTCGATTCGACAATGATTCACCGTTTTGCACCGTTTGTTCTCCCAGCCAAGTCGACAAACCCACATCGCCACAATGAAGAGGTATAGCTCCTGCTTGTGAAGCGTATGACGGCTCTCCAGCTGAGTCGCCAGCTTGGCATAATTGTTTTCATCAATCGAGTTCCCCAGTCCCTGGAGGCGCACGGTTGGTTGTCTCTGCTCTGTTTTTCTCGGTTCCACAAGAGTCCCAAACCCATACCAGACAGCGTCTTGAAACCTCCGTGTCTCGGTCCTACCCGAAGCCTGGCGAGAAGCATACGAGTCGAGAAGAGCACGAAAGGCCCATGCCAGCTTGCCGGGTCCATTAGAAGGGAGAATTATGTACGTCACGCCTGCTGTGTATAGTGAGACGGATGTTGGTGACGCCAGCAGCATGCGATGTCCTGAGGAAGTCAGATTTGCCTGTTTCACCATCGACAAAAACCGCACCACCTAGCTAATAACAGGCGACAGAGTAAATTTGGCCCCTCGCAAACTTCGCCGCTATGCACGTCTACCGCGGATGCAGTTCGGGAACCCCCTAATGATGTCTCCGCGTCACCGACCAGGGCCCCGTCTTTTTCCTGTGATACCACCTACTGCAAAATTAGACATGTTATCGTCGTACGCTAGCGCTTCTTGTACGCATGTGTTCGGAGAATTAACAAAAGGCCAAGTAGTATCGGCGTGCAGTGCCAGTTGCCCTGCCCGAAGGCTGTATAAGGAGGAGTCGAGACAAGAATAGACTGGTACGTTCTGTTAGCCACTGCACCAAGCAAGGTTTGGTTCATCTTCTCCCCACCACTTCGCTCTATTCTATTGTAACAGAAGGGATGCCGTAAGACACAAGAGCACGACAACAGACGGCAGGCTGGGTAGCTTGCTATCGCAGTCCGAAGTTACCACTCATCCACCAGAAGAAGACAACGTAAGGACGTGACACTGCCTCGCAAGGGTCGCCAGCAGAGCACATAAGTCGTGATTCGTAGCACGGCAAGTTCCAGGAGCTCGGAATACCCCAGATTCCCGATCAAGCAGAAAGTGATGGGTCTCTTTCCTAACACGGGAGGTTCATATGATGCTCCTAGCATCCTAGCAAGTCTCAGTCTGAAGTCAACACAGGATTTCCGCTTAGACAGCGAAGACATGTGCTACTGAGCGTCTATAGATTGCACAAACACTGTTAATGAGAAGCCACTAACTCATGACCCCCTTTTCGTTACTCGCTTGCCCAAACATTGAACACACCAGGAGGTGGAAGAGTCTTCTTCCCATGTCGTACGACAGGGTAGAAAAGCAAGGGGGCTCCATATGAATGTTTGGTTTTGTCTTCCAGTCAAGCAGTTGTAAGTCTATATGCACTTTGTTTCCAAATTCAGACAAAAGAAGGGTTCCGAAGCGCGGCTGAACGCGCCATGCAGGGCGATCGAGCCCAATTACCCCTTTTCTCTCCGGAGATCAAGCCCACAGTACGTCTCACAAGCCCAGAATGTCGAGTCTTGAGCTCTATCAAACGGAGACTCACCTAGAGTACACAGTCGTGCCAACCATAGCCCGGAATTCTGGGAGGTGAACGACGCCATGAAGTTCAGGGGGCTTGGAACACATCAGCAGAAAGAAAGAGTCTCTTTTTTGCGCGATACGACCCTCACGGGAGCAACAGCTGCAGTCAGCGATGCGGTTCCGTTCACCATTCATGCTGAGCGAATGAACGACTCGGAGCTTCCCCAGTTTCCGCGCAGTATCACCAAGCGCGGTGCCGGCCGGCTGCTGTGTCCCCCCCCTTTGTCTTTGCCAAAGCATGGGATGTTGGCTGTATCAGCGCTGTACTGCATGATATATCCATAGCAATAACTACAAGGACACTATAGGTAAGCGTAGCAATGGCGCTGTTAGGGTCTTTTGACAGCTTGCCAGTCCTTCAAGCGATGGACAGGGCATACCGAGGTAAGGTATGTTATGTACAACCGTGTGAGGTCGTAGTGCTATCACCCCAAACGACGGGACAAGGGAGGCAATGAACCGGCGGGTTGGAACTGTGTTTCTGGCAGATGAGGACTCGCGATATTGAAGCGGTGCGCAGCGGTACCTATCTGCACGTCACCAACCATTCGTCCAGGAATGGAGTCTCTCTGCTGTGGATTGACCAGTAATTGATGAGTTACAGCTCGAGCCCTCCCAATCCGGAGAAGACACGACAGAAACTAGCAGGTATACTTGCAGAAAGTACGGGACGGATGGCGGTTCCGAACCATGGTTCTCAGATATGTCCCTCCCGCCCGCGCACATGCACGGTTCCGAGTATGTTGGGCGTGCACCGTCCCACAAGCTACAGTAAACTTGGTGTTGGCAGAACGAGACAGCCTGGGACCTTCGCCCTGAAGGGTTCAGTCAATCAAGCCACTTTCTACCGACGTAGAAATTCAACAAGAAGCAAAAGGAAACTAGTTCAAAAAACTGATGCTATCATCACAGCGCTACAGTCCATGTCGGCACTGAGCCATCGACTGTCTCCTGAGCCAAGCAACACTCTAGAATTCCCATTGGCGGAGGAGAGGCACACGCTGGCTTAAGCAGCCAATCATCCCCAAGGTCAGAGGCTACATCCCGAGCGAGCACCCGATCCTACCCCCCGTTGAAGAAAAATCCCCCTTCCAGCCTAGTGAAGCCACCCTGGAGCAAGCTCAGGCCCATGCGCCGCCCTATCAGAGATCCGAGAGAATACGGACGCTGATGATGGAAAAAAAGGTTCGACGAGATTCCTTCCTAATCCGAGGATTCTCAGCGAAAGGTACAAAGCACAGACGATGCCTGCCGGCTGCATGCTGGCTGCATCCTGCATCGCGTCTGCATCGCGAGACGGAGCCAACAAGGGGGGAGGGGGGATGACACGCTAGGCACTGTACGTCGTCACAGCGCATCTTGACATCGCTTGCCGTGGTGCAGCTGTGCTATGTTGCTCGTTTTGTCCAGCTGCTTCTCTGGCTATCCAGTTCGTTTTGGTGTTGGGTCGAGGGTTTTGGTGGTGTGCTGTGCCTTGACAGCCAGAAGCCGCCTGGGGGTTTTCCGAAAGGTGGGTTGCTAACGGCGTCAGGGGCAGACAATTGGTCAATTTCCTCGTTTTCTGCAAGGGTCAGGAACAGGGCTGGAGAAAAGATGGGAAATCCTCCACCTTGGAAAATGGAAAGCAGCACCGAACTACAAAGGACGACATTTCTGGGACTCTACGTACGGAGAAACAAGGTGGATTTGGGGTTGCGCGTCCTCGCTGTTCTGAAGGGGCTGAGACCGAAGAGCGATCATCAAATCAAACCGCCCAAAGCTTCAGGCGTCCTCAGCGTGTCGACGTTTATCAGGGTGCTCCGGTCTTGTTTTTTCAGCTGCGGACTTCCCGAGCCCCTGGATTTGACCTCTGTCAGGGACTCGTCGTTGCAAGTCAAGGCTCATCCCATCAGTCGGACTTCTTGTTCGGTCTCACATCAATCCGTCACACCGCATTTCTTCTCACCCTGTTTGCTTCTGTGTTGCTTCTAGAGTTGGATCTGCCCCAGCTTGTGTGAGCGGGTATGTTGATATATGTAGTTACTTCGGGGGACTGGCCAGCTGAGGTATTTCTGAGCTTCCATGTTAGGCTGGGGCTAGACCCCCGTTGAAGAAGGGTTGGAGATGATCTCGAAGCATTGTATCTGCGTCCGAGTCAGGAGTGCCGAGTTGCATCTGGAAACTTCATGTGCCAGTAGGGAAACAGAACCTAGGCGCAAAAAAAAAATGCGGAAGGGGGACTGCAGGTGTAGCAGTAACCACCACCACCAACCGTGAGAGTTCAGGTTCTGACACGAGGAATTCTCGGGTGCGACCTGCGTGACGAGCTTGCAGACCTCCCCTCTCAGCTGTGCCCGTGTCGACAGATCTCCAATACCAAGACACGGCATGTGGGGATGGCTTCCCGATCCTTGGGATCCCCCATGCCCTGAAGAGCAGGAGGTTTTGGCGGGGTTGACCGCAAAGGGGCCCAGGATTCATAGCCACGCCCCTTGTCTCATGTTGGACCCATTCTCGGCCTCCAAATCGGAATTGATCTGACTAGCGTAGGTAACGTTGTCGTTGTCGTAGGATGTTCGTCACCGAGAAGGTAGAGCGTTGCAGCGGGAGGAGTTCAAATAACAACCGTTGAGCCAAGTCTTCTCGGTGTAGGGCTGAGCTTACTGTCCGAGGCGATTGAAGGATGGAACCTTTGCACGTGGGCGCTGACTTGGGACTCTGTTGCCGTCTGTCATGCCGGTGATGTGAGCAGAGAAGCCAGGCTTGCTGGACCGGGGCTGTCCGGGGCCCTGGTACCGAACTCCTACAGCGGAGTTGGAAGAAGGAGTCGGAACCTTGACGACTGGGTCGACTCACCGTTTCCTCTGGTCCTCAGAGTTCTGACGGACCAAATGCGAATGATGATAGAGAATGTCCAAGAAGCCCTCGGCAGAATCCTGGAGATGGGCTTACCACGGCGTAGAGATGGCAGCCAACGGATATTTCCGCCTTCTTCAAAAGAAGCAAACGTTTAGGTCGTCAAATGCCGAGTTTTGCACAGTTGCTTTTTCTCGTCCTCCACGTTACCAAGTGCCGTGGAGTTTTTCAGGGCCTGACTGATGAATATTCGGAACTGGAAAGTGTAAAGATCAGAGCCCAGCGCATGTTTCGAGGGTCTCAACGCTCCTCATCGGCTCCACTCTGCAAAGACGACAGCTGGTCGTCACCGGCCTCGTGGTTATGTTTCGGTGGAGATGGTGGATTTCAATCCCTGTGAGAAACACCTTGGTGTTAGCCGCTGAATGACTGATGGCGACAGAGTGGGAGAGAGCATGCCTTTTTGCGTGCCAAGCGCCTCCCCATGCCTCTATGCAAGCAGCCAAATGGAATAGGGACGTGTTTCAATATTTGCGGCAGTCCCTCAACGCCCGAGAGGACGACCGCAGTATTACGTGTACGGATACTCCGCAGCTTCGGCGTCGACGCGGCCCCGCCGAGCCCTTGACGGTCCCTTGAGTCAGGCGGAGTGGGGGAGCTCAACGCGGAGCCGGTCCATTAACGGTCAACGGTCGGAGCTGGCATAACTAACATGCATAACCATGCACCGGGTTTTCGTGGCTTACCCAGCAACGTCCTGCGTGTTGATCCATCGCGAGCAGAGAAGAGCTGTCGCTACTTGCTCACGAGTGGGTGATGGTAGCATGCTGCTGCCTGAAACTCAATGCAACGACGCGTCGTAAACGCGGTGTCTTTCTGGCGTGGGCTGAGCTGTGGCCACCCGTCAATTGCTGGTACCGAAAATGGAGAGCCCTGAGCTTGAAGGTGGGTTAATATGATATCCCGCTTTGGCTGCCGCAACCCTCATCCGGACTCGAGGCTCCAAGGATGCAGTTACTGTGGTATGATTCCGAATCTCGCTCAACCGGATGTGACCACAAGCAAGCAAGCCGTGAGACGAATGAACGTCATGCACCTCTCATACGGAGGTACAGTACGCAGAGTCCAAGACTCGACTGCCCAGCAGGCCCGAGCCCGAGGAATTTCTCTGCTCATCAGTGGGAATGATAATCGCTCATTCTTCGCTGGCGACATGCGGAGTGTTCATGCGCTTGTGCAGGGACTATCGATGGGAGCTTGCTGATGATGCAGAGGACTCTGGCCGGTTAGTCTAACCTGTTTCGGCTGGCAGCCACTTCAGATATGCAGGGGCCGCGGCCTAGGCCTGACACGCGATCCAGAGAGCAAATTGGGAAGGCTTGCGATGACTTTGGACCCAACTGTTTGCGTCTGGTAGTGTAGGGACGGAGTAATTGTCAGAACCGTTCAAGTTCGGGACTCTCAAGGGATCCGACCTCGGGCGAGGGAATCCGTTTGCTAGTAGTATGTCGCAAGCGGGGACCCAAGCTCTTTCGCTGATCAATCCTCTGCTGTCCCCATTAGATCTCGCCATTGGCGATGTCTCCGAAAAGCGAAATCAGGCGTTTGTGCTGCTGGAATATTTCCCGGCGCGATGTCCCTTTCCATGATCAATATATAATTGGTACTGTATGAGGCATAGCTCAATGGCCTCCGCGTTGCCCTTGCGCTCGAATCCGACATGTGGCGGTTGGAGACACGGATGAAGGGCGTCTTAGCGAATCCCCTTGTCCGGGCTGTTGGTTCAGTGGACGGGCGGTTGAATGAACCAACGCGGGCCGACGAAGTATTTGGAATGTGCCCGGTTTGATGAGCTGCATCTCGCCATGCGGGCCGATTGACGAGTCTTCCAGAACCAACAGCCGAGAGATCGCGACCTTTCACTAGGTACTTGTCGGGGCTCCAAAATCGCCCAACCGACAGTCGCCAAGGCTCCGAGTAGGGTACGTCGACTCGCCCAAAAAGATGCAGATGTCTGAGGTGGTAAGACGGTACGCGGCCATGCACTAATGAGATAGATGGCTCAAGCAGGCCAAAAGCTGGTGAGAGGTGATCGGTGCGTTGCATGTAAATTCTCCGTCGTGCGCTGTTGGGGCTCCTGATTTCTTCCCATCGCTGATGGAGATAAAACACCCACCTAGCGAACCTATTGTGCTTGAGCGCTGGCACCGAGTCTTCCAACTGCCGTACAAGTCGACAGTCATCTCAGCCACCATTTGACTCCTGCGATTTTGTGTTAGCCCGCATCCTCGAATAAGATCAAAAACCCACTCAACACTCGTCAGTTTAGAGGCATGGAGAGCGGAGATGAAGGCTGTTCCATTCAGCTGTGTAACGTTTAGCGGCCTCGGTGCGAGGCTGCGAGCCCCATCGCCGCCAGGTTTCGTACGCAAAGAACCCTAACACCTTGTCCACTACCTTGACCACAACTCTTGCGCGTAGTCCCCATCCAGGACAGGACGTGGCGTTGCGAGGAAGCGCAAGGTTTGGTGGATTATGTCGTGGCGCCAACTCCCTTTAACGTTAACGGAATCCGACGTAACGGCGGCTTCCAGGGCCGGTGTTCGGCAGCGGAACATTCTTCCGCGCTGTCATCAGGACAATTTAACCGGCCTGCGCCGCCTCGCGAGGGAGCTTGATAATGAGCTCCTCTATCAGGGGCAATGGATGCTGTGTTCATGAGAGAGGGAACTGGAATCGCTGACGCACGGCGCTGCGCACTTTCACATGACGAGGTATTTTCTTTGGAGCGATCTGTGGGATTCTGGCCTCTTTTGCCTCGAATATTGGGGTTGCGGGACCGTCCAGGCGGAGTGATGTTGTCTCGCTTACTGAGAGAGTGAGGCCGGGTTTCTGTCTGGAGTGGAAGGAGCTCATCCAAGTCCGGATCTCCAAGCCAACCAAACCAGAGATTCGAAGACCAGCCAGGACATTCATGCAGGCGCGATTTCTCGATTTGTGCACATCGTGTCAACGCAGGACCAACACCAGCATCGAGCAGCCGAGCTGCAAGTGGTGTGGAGGCCACTTGAGATACACACCAACACATGCTTCCTCGGTAAAAGACTCTAATTTCCCAAGAACCACATTCTCGTCCTGTGATAGTGTCTGGGTCTTGAGGTCAGGGCCAGGCAGGGCACCCGTCCCGCTTCCCCGGGCTGGCGCGGCCGAGCTCAATGTCACGGTGTCTTCCCTCCGTTAAGATGCGGAGAGGACGGGCCTTCCCCAGACCCGAAAAACCCCAAAAACCCACTCACGATCGAATTGGCTGATCGACCGTCATGGGTCTAGACATACGGGACGATAGGATCTGGGGTACGGAGGACTCGGAGCATATCAAGGAGCGTCGCCCGCACACATACCACAGGCACACACACGATGACGGACGACCGAGGGCCGAGTTGCCCTTCTCCATGGGCCATCACGTGAGTCTGTTGAATCAGCAGCGTCGATGGGAGCCAGTGGCTCGCCTCGGCCACTGCAACCACAATGAATGTGCGGCAACCAGCGACTTGCCGGCATGCGATTGCTGCACACAGCGACGAGGCCAGCGAATCATGCCCAGTGAAGGCTAAATTTATCGTGGGGTGATACCTTGGGACCAAGACGGCAGCCTGCCTATACGCACGAGACTGGCGAGGTTGTATTCGCTGAGGCGAGCGACATGCGACAGCACGTCTGGGGGCCTTCTGGGACATCTGGAAGCACCGTCGAATACCCAGCAGTGTGTCACGGCTCAATAGGAACAGATTAACGGCTGGCTGCTTGCCTTCGGTGCTGCTTCCCGGTCCGCTGCGACGCTGCAACGGAAGCCAATCTCGTCCGCTCGCCGTGGAGATCAGCCGTCTGGGGCCCAATGATGGTGTGTCGAAGCTAGCGGTGGATATTGCTGGTCCAGTGTTGGTTCTTTTCGTCATGTCAAGTTACCTAACCTAGGTAGGTTGGATTATTTGAGCCGAACCCCCAACGACATGATAAATTGGCTTGTGGTGCAACCTTATGGTATTGACCGGTCCGCTCCTCCCCGGGATCATCATCCTTTACACGGCCTCCAGACGCGCAGTGGCATATTTCTTCCGCATTGAAGCGAAAGTGGTAATTCCTGGAACTGGTTCAGAGTCATGTCCTCGTCTGTTTGGGGCTTCTGGGTGTTTGAAGGCTTGAGTCAGTCTGTCAACGAAGTACGGCATGAGATCGTCGTCGGAATTTCATGCGTTCCCACGTGTGGAACGCATGGCTGGCGCACGGAGAAGAAGGCGCCGTCGCCGAAGATCCAACGGCGGGGTCACCGTTTTTGGCCCTGCAAGAACGTTGGCGGAAAGATCAGCAGAACAAACTTCTCAGTGCCAAGACACCGGTCCAAAGCCCGTGCGGCGGGGTGCAGGTATCGAGACCCCTTGCAAGACTCAGCAGCCACCCACCGACTTCCATTGTGGCCCACAAGATTTCTTCGACTGTCGGGCCCTTGCACACCAGGGGCCAGGATCCAATGCCACAATATCCTGGCAGATGCGTGTGAGTGATGAATCTCGGAACGCATTGCAAAAACGCAGCAAGGATGCGAAGTCATTTTGAGCGCCCAATATATGGAACCCTGGGCGTCCCCTTCCCCCACAACCAAGCGTTCCTGAGTCGTTGTTTTGTTGTTGGATTCATGCCGCTTTCCATGCCTCAAGTTCCCGAGTCGAAAGGAATAACATAAGTTTGACGGCCTTGTACAGTATATCTGGGTCATCGGCTCGCCGTTTGTTCGCGGCGCTGCTGACAGAGGAGCTTCGCTGTCGATTTTGCCCTTGATTCGCCAATTGGATTCTCATCCCATACCTCATCTTCTCCCTCGCCGCCCGCTCCCAGCTGCGGATGCTCTCGCCCACACGCCCGGGACGGCATATCCCAGGCAGCCTGACTGGCAATTGTCAGTGGGTGTCGACCTGTGCCCTCGATTCACACGGTCGACTGTTCCCGTAGTCATCTTCCCAGCCGTATAACAACTCAAAACGATAGTCACCCGCCGCCACCATGAATTTCTACGCCGCTTCCAACATGCCCGTGTACCGGGTCGAGGAGAAACCGCAGAAGAGCTCCAAGCAGGACTCCAAAAAGTCCAGGATCCTTGGACTCCAGAGGCCCCAGAGAGACGCTGCGCCACCCCCTGTCAGACCCGTCACGTCGTCCGATGTCACGCCGCACGACACCCGCTCCATCGACAGGCTCCTGGACCCGGCAGTCGATGGCCCTCCTTCGCCAGAGAGTCTTCGCGAACTTAGCCAGCAGCTGAAGAGGGAATCGGTCCGCGACACACACCAGAGCCACCAAACCAGCTCGTCCGGCTCGTCATCGCTGCGGTCGCTGACCTCGGCCGACCGGCCCTCGTGGGAGAACGCGTACGAAGGGAAGCCGCTCTCGAGGAAATCCTCGGGCCGCTCTACATCCAGCAGCATGCCATCCCGGGACCGGCCCGAGAGCGTGCAAATATTCGGCAAGACCATCTTCAACCGCAGAGGGAAGCTGAGGCGCGAGAGCAGCGCCCAGAGCTCGTCGAGCTCCATGTACTCGACCGATGCTGTGGTTGACACGTCGCTGCCGCCCACGCACCCCTCGGTTCCAACCCGTGACTCGACCATCCCGTCCCTTTTCGGTCTTCGCCGGAACCACAAGCAGGACCAGGCCGCCGATGCTCAGCGCAGACTCAACATATCTGGGCCCTACAACTTCCAGCACGTGGGTAGAGTTGCGCAACCCGCGGCTCAAGGCGGCCTCAAAGGTGGTAGAGCAGATGATGCGCATTTTGCCGACTTCTCGTCGGATTCGCTCCCGTTGCATGAAGAGGATGCCGTGGCCCCCGAACAGCTGCAGCATACGACTTCCCTCAGACGAACTCCGTCTGTGCTGAAGAAGAGTTCCTCTTCCCGCCGCGTTCTCAATCGCTCTCAGTCCCAGGAACAGCTGGGCATGAGTATCCCCCCCCCGCGCCCGCCAAGGTCTCCCATCGACCCGTCCCACCCCGAAGGCCCTCTTCCACCTCCGCGTGGCTCATCGAGTCGAATGTCGGCTCGCCATGAACGACTCGACTCACTGGACAGGCCGCAGACAAGCGTGAGCTTCCGTTCCCCTCAGCTGTATGCTGACCCCGGAAGCCCTCCTGCAACATCGTATGGTTATACACCGGCGCCGGATATGGGCGTGATCCCGGAAGACGCCTATGGTATTGCCATGGACCCCCAACTCGACGCCAACTGGCCGCTTCCGTGCCCGAACAGTGCTGCCCCAGAGTACACCCTGCCCAACGTGCCCGAGGAGGATGAGAACAACCCCGCAGTGAAGAAGTCCCGGGCGAGTGTTGCGAGCAACTCATCCCTCCGAGGCAGCCAGTCTGTTCCCATGTTAAGGGGGCTTGCCCTGCGCCAGGCAGACGACTCGGGCCGCCGACCCAGTGATGGCTCCGACACCCTTGGCCGGTTTGATATGCTTGCTGCGCAGCGAGCCCTTAAAGCAGCACTGACCGAGGGCGGTGGGGCACTGCCCCGAGAAGCTTGGGAGGACGACATTGATTACATTTATGACCACGAAGCCGAAGCCGACTGCGACTATGAGTGGGGCCGCCCGTCTTTCGAGACGAGCAGGGATGGAGACACAGCGACGCCCGTCGACGACCACGGACGGGGCATTGGATCGTGTGAGGCCTCTCCTGCGATGCTGACGCCAGGACAGTTCGATGTGCCGGCTCTCAGTCCCGTCAGCCAGCTCTCGTCGGCAACCGCGCAGGAAGCCATCACGCCGACTGTGGTAAACAACCCCAAGGCGTCCAACTTTTCCTTACCGAAAGTCGATTCCAAGAACCTGCTCCACGTACGGAAGACGTCTGATGCGTCCAGCTTCAAGGAATCCCACGGCTTCACTCTGTCGCCGTCTCTCTTGATTCCGATGGACTATCAGCAGCAGATGATGGCCTGTGAGGCGGAAAGGCAAGAAGCCTCTGACTTTGCTTTTCGTCATTCCGGCGAGCACGCACTGAACATGGATCCATCAGCGCTCCTCCTCCGGTACCGTACCAGCGCTTCGACGACCGGCACGCTCGAAAGCACCAGCTCGGCGTTCGATAAGCACACCTCGACTGCCTCAACATCGACCGACTACAGCCGCCTGACGGCAAGTGTCACGTCGCTCGACATGGAGTCTTGCCTCCCGACCGCCGAGCCGCTGCAGCGACTCCCTTCGCTCGAGTCCCACGGCAGGGTTGAGAACAAGACTGCCATGCCCCCGCTCCCAGAATCGGAAGAGGTGGCCCAGCCACCCAGCCGCCGGCCCCATTTCAAGAGCCGCGGCAGCGAGTCGAACCTCGGCAGACTAGCCACGGACGAGCCCTGGCCTGGCAAAGTCAAGGGTTTTTCTGCCCAGGCCCGGCGCGGGCGTTCGAGGACAACGAGCCTCAGCACGCCCCCCCCCGCAAATCAGTATGCGCTGTTTCCGGCCGTACAGCTGAGCGGGAAGCAGATCTAAACAAGTCAACGACGTCAACAGCCCATGGCGTATTATATACACTCCGGGATCACCGGAGATGGACGGCACATACCTCTACCGACTTGATTGCCCCGAAACCACACGAGGCGTCGCCTCTCACATGTTTCCTTTTTGTTCTAACACAACATGTTATTGTTTCAAACACATCTGAGAGCGGATGGAAGTCAAACCATAGACTTGGAATGGTAGGGGCTTGTTCTGGGCACCCAGGACCTTGCGGCGCAAATGGAAAAAAAGAGGAATACTCGAAATCTCCCAATCTGTGTAGGAAGTGACCTGTTGTCGCATCAGCGTTCCTCTTTTTTCTCTTGACCTCTGACTTGTTTACTTTCGCTCGAGGACCTGACACACCTGTCTTTTCCGCTTATAGCCTATCCGACTTGACACAATACCGGCGTATGTGGATGGAATGGACACTTGTACCATGTTAAGCCGCAGCCCACTGTTTCATACTTACTGTTCTTTATATACCTTCTGTGTTGGGTTGGCGTCATCTTCGCGGATACCGACGTCGTTTGTATACCTCGACGAGCGAGCAAGGAAAGCAAACCAGCCTGGATACAGCAGCAGCGCCTGAGCAATACCAGCAGCAGATTGGAAGAGAGAGGTTGGATGGATGGAAAACCAGCAGCCAGCAGCGAGCAGCCGCATACCTATCCGATAAAATAAAGTCAGCCCCCGCCCGCCAGTTCGACGCAAAGGCAATGCCACCTCGTCCATCAAAATTGAAGCAAGCAACATCGAACGGGAAAGCGGTCGGAAGGTGGGGGTGGACGGTTGAGGAATTGAGTTTTTGAACGATGAAATGACGGCTATATATGATTGTGATGAAGGGAAGGGAGAAGTAGTAGACTGCAGAAGGAGAAGATGGCAATCTCACACGAGAGAAAGTGAAAAATCTGGGGACAAAAACAAAACAATCAACGGACAGGTCTGGTCTGGTCTGGTGCTGGTCTGGTCTGGTCTGGTGCTGGTCTGGTCTGGTCTGGTGCTGGTCTGGTCTGTTCTGGGTGGGTAGATATAAAGGGTACTGGGAATGGAATGGCGACCGGCCGAGGCACCGCTGTTAATCTGTCCCCATCTGCAACTCTCTTTCTTAGTCCTAGTCAAGGCTCGAGCGCTAAGTTGGTGAACGCTTTCATCTTCGGCAGCTGTCGTGTTGTTGCAAGTTCCTTGAAGCCAAGGGCGGGCAGTTTGTTACTACGCGGTATATCATATTATAATCCGTACATGAGACTTGAAGTCGAATCAAGCATGCCGAAAAAGCAACACTCAGGTTTCCCTCTCAGGTATGTCCGTAGCCCACGTGGTCACCAGACTGCAGGCGAAAAAAAAGCAAAACTTCCTCAGCCCCTCACCTCCTCCACCTTTTCGATTGGTACAGGGCTGCAGGCTGTTAGCTGATAATTAGACGTCATTGCCATCGCCTTCCAAGCTTTTTGAGGCCTGCTAGTACCAAGTTGGGCGCTGCCGCTGCCCTACCTGAGGATACAATATCGTCTACTGGCTTCGAGTGTCGGACCAAGTGTCAGGAGAACGGACAGTTTGTTGTGTAGGCTTGTCACATGTTACGTCCAGCCCCCTTTTTGGGTGACTATGGGTACATCACCTATTCTGGAACACCAATACTATCGTTGGCGTTGACGAGGCGTGTAGTGTTGGTGTGTGCTGACCAGATATGGACGAGATACAGGGGCTCAGTGACTACCATGCGCCGCAAGGATGCACTCCACCGCCGAAGTTTGGACTGGTTGCCCCGGGCTGCTGTATCTTGATCCGACGTGATGCGCGGCCGCTATACGCTGACGGTTTGCCCCTGTAGATAGATACCTTGGGACTACGTTATCCATCACCCGCTCTGCAGGAACAGGCCAGCGGACATGGGGTGAGCCGGTATGCGCAGCCTCGTGTTGGTAATGTTGCCCCTTGGGTTCATCGGATATCTGGAGGAGAACCTGGCTGATGTGGATTGGAACTTGGGAGAGTCTCCCTGAAGACGTGTTCATCTTCAATCCAGGTTTGTCCTCCTGCAGTGTCCGGGGGGCGATGACAACAACACAACCCTTGATACATCCCTAGAAAAGGAGCTACTAGCATAAGGGAAAAAACGAAGCAAAGTGACATTGCAGTGATTTCTGAAGAAACCATTCCGTGCTTCCAGGCTCGACATTGCCATGTCGAGGTCGTGACTGCGGATGCTAGAGCAATGTTATGCTTTCCTTTTCGCGTCAAGCCATGATGTCTGCCTGTGCCGAAAGTGCTGTCTCTTCTCATCAATCCCGCTTTGACCTGCTGCCAAATAGATGCCCATTGCACCGACTCAGAGTGTCTGTGTTGCTATACGGATACCATCGGGCGTATCTGAGACGCTCAATACCTGACCAAGGCAGTTTACGAGAGCACGCATGACAAGCATCAACGGCCTTAGTTCTGGCCCTGTTCAACCACCACAGAAATCATGGTGACGCTCATTTGGAGTCCATTATACTAGTACAAGGGCCTTGGCCAATGTCGCGTACAGTAACCAAGCCAGACCATGACGCCTCCCATTACCCTCCAAATTCCCAATATATAGCAGAACGATGCAGCCAGGACAGCCAGAACCCGTACTCCCTTGTCGCCTTGCAACGCCAATGCCTCAGGCGAGTGTGCCGGCCAGAAAAAATCCAGTAACATGTCTGGTTTGCGAACCACAACAGCCCATCTTCACCTCCCGCCCTTCACACCTCAAGCTTTCGATCCAACACACAAACCCGCCCAAATGCCACATGAGAGCAGCAACTATGTACCGAAGCGAAGAATCTCCCGCCCCAGACCGCCATTTTCCCATTCATTTGGCCGCCTCTTCATCTCCCTCTTCCTCATTCCCCGCAGCAGCCCTCCGCTGAGCCCAGTAAGGGGCGGAGATGAATTGAGCAGACAACCCAAGAGCAAGGAGCAACAGGAGCCGTGACTGAGGAAGTTTTGGGTTGCTTGCGGGCTACACCCACCCCGCGCCACCCCAGACACCGCGTATCCTCCGCGCCAGCTGTATGTCCTTCTGCATGATGGTGACCCGCTTGGCGTGTATCGCGCACAGGTTGGTGTCCTCAAACAGGTGCACCAAGAACGCCTCGGCGGCCTCCTGCAACGCCAGGATTGCTTGCGACTGCCACCGCAGCTCTTCGGTCGACGGCTGGTACTGGAGGGCGATTTCTCGGACCTGCGCAAAAGGGGTTGGGTGTCAGCAGGGGGACGATATAAAATAAGGGGCGGTGTGTTGAGAGCGCGGGAATGAGAAATGTGTGGTGCGTGCGTACCAATCGAGCAAAAGGCAGCTTGGACATGAGGAGATCGGTGTTGGCTTGGTAGCGGCGGATTTCTTTGAGCGCGAGAGTCCCTGGGCGGTAGCGGCGCTTCTTGGGTTGCGGGATAGGGTCGCCTGCTTTTTGGGGGGTCAGCATTCAGGCAGTATGGAAGTCATTGACGGTAAGGAGCATACGTTGTACGTCGCTTTGTCTTTGTCGCCTTTGTGCTGGTGGCGCTGGCGCTGACGCTGCTGGGGGTCGTCCTCGGGATGGAGCTGCTGATGCGCCGGAGAGTCGCTGTTTGGCTCGTTTTGGGGGCATGTTGTCAGGTTGAATGGCTCAATTGGTCCGGCGACTGAAGTTCAAAGCTATGCGACAAGTTCTTTGGTCGATCGGAAGGTGTGGGAGAGGCAATTGGAGGTTGCCGTACGGAGTCCAGGGAAGCTTTGCGACGGGACGATCCACCGAATGCAATGGTCGAGGTGGCGTAAGTTGAACCGGTGAAAGAAAAGGAGTATCGCAAGATGCTGATAGCGAGGAAGGATGCTTGTATCTAAGACCCTGATGTGGAAACGGGAATTGCTGGAATCCGGTCGTCGGGAGTGTATAGAGGGCTCAATTCGGGAGGCTGGGAGCTTTCACACTTTGGCCAGACCCGCAGACACGCGAGCAGGAGAGCTCGCGACGCGCCGGACTGACAGGGGTTTAATGGGATGGGCGCTTTGTTCAGATGGGGTGGCTGGATTTTCGGCAACAACCCAATCTCGCCAATCCACACCGCGGTTTACCATTCGTTACAGTACAGACGTACCAAGTATCGTAAATTTACGCCGCTACATACCGTACTCCTGAAATGTACAATTCATGGTGCGCAGTGGCGCAGCCACATGTTGGTGGCTTTGGCCTCATGAACCTATTCCAGCACGGATATATGCATGAGTGGCTTGGTCACCTAACTGGCGTCATCTGTGGGCCCGGTTCAGCTGTCGGCTTGCCGCCTCATGTCAAGATCGCTGATAAAGATTACGGTTTGATAGAAAGGACAGCTCAGCATCACCGCGACTGACTATCCGCCTTCCGCGCCCACTCCGTCGTTATTTGGCAAGCTGACTGCTCAGTTGGTTTGGTGCACACGTCTTACTCTTTTGACAAACGCCACATCTAAACTGCAGAATCGCATCCTGCAACTGCATTGTGCCAGCAAACCAACAGGACTCTGAAGCTACGAGATCGCAGCGAGCCTTGAACCTCACCCACCTTCCAGGTTATTCCCATACACTTCGCATCATAGCATTGCCATTCCACCCACCGCCATACTGCCATGGATCAAATGATGCCCGGCGGCGGGGTGGCCTTCCCACTCGAAACATGGTTCTGGGAGATGCCCATCGTCACCAGGTGGTGGACAACAGCTACAATCCTGACCAGCGGCCTGGTTCAGTGTAAATTCGTCACCCCGTTCCAACTCTTCTACAGCTACCGCACAGTATTCCATAAGTCGCAAGTACGTCCCGTTTTCTCCGACCGATCACACCCTGTGTTAGCGCATCCTAACTTTCAATGCCTGACAGTACTGGCGCCTGCTCACCACGTTCCTCTATTTCGGCCCCATCTCGATCGACCTCCTCTTCCACGTCTACTTCCTACAGCGCTACGCCCGCCTGCTCGAGGAGTCGTCGGGCCGTTCGCCGGCCTACTTCTCGTGGCTGCTCGTCTACGCCATGACCAGCCTGCTGCTCCTGTCGCCCTTCGTCTCGATAGCCTTCCTCGGCCAACCGCTGTCGTCGACGCTCCTCTACATCTGGTCGCGCCGCAACCCGGACACGCTCATGAGCTTCTTTGGTGTGCTCGTCTTCCGCGCACCGTACCTGCCGTGGGTCATGATGGGCCTTAGCTTCGTGATGCATGGCACTGTGCCGCTGGACGAGATCATGGGCGTGGTGATTGGCCATATTTGGTACTTCTTCAATGATGTTTATCCGCCCCTGCATGGGGGGTCGAGGCCGTTAGATCCGCCCATGTGGTGGCGGAGGTTGTTTGGTGAGTGAACTCCGCATCGTGCTGTGGCGTGCAACGTGCTGAACTAACTGGGGACAGAGGGACGACCGCGCGACGAGACCGCGAATGGTATCAACAATGAGCTTGCTGTTGCCGGAGCCGCGGTTCCGCCACCAGAAGTGCGGTGAGGCGATTGCGGGAACAAGGCATGCTACATTTGTACAGGCGGCGGTTTCGGGTAAATTCATTTGGGACGACATATTGAATCAGTTTCTGGTGCTCGGCGTTGACGAAGGTTTGCGCGCTTTAACGGAGGATATTTCCATCGGCATTACATGGAAGACGGCGTTGGGTTGGTTCGCTCTATGGAAGAAGATCATAGTACGGGCGATGAGGCAGGAACGCATCTCTGCAGCACATAAGTAGCTCTCATACAGCCAGATGCCACATCATCTCGCTTTGGGTGCTTTGCCAGTTTTGGAACGCTGAGATTTCCACACATTGCATTGGCTACACTTGGAGAAACCAGCAGCACAGACCACGAAGGGGTAGAGAACCGCACAATGTTCAAGCAGCAATCGATACGCTTAGTTGATGACCATTACCGGCCATGACGCAGATGTATTACTTTGCGTACGTGAGGTATTGCCCAACATAATCCTTCCGGTACGGGTTCTCGTCCACCTCGGCAGAACGGTTCAAGGGCGTCCACTTGGGCTCCTCTTTGAACAGGCGCATGGCATGGATGTACTATACGCTTGTCAGTATTTGTCTCGTTTACTCCAAACCGTCCAGAAGAAACCTACATTGCTCTCATCAGTGGTGAACCGATGGTAAATCCCCGCAGGCAAGATAATCAGATCATCCTGTTGAATGACCTTATCGTCAGCCCCTTCTGCATCACCGTTGAGAAGCCTACGGAAAGCTGGAAACACACAGAGAAGGGGGGGGTGGAAAACGAACCTTCTCCAAGGCAATCCTCACCCAGCGATCCCCCTTGTCCCGCACATCAAAGTACCCCCGCCCGTCCCGGACATAGCGGATCTCCTCGTCTTCGTGCAGGTGCTCGTCAAAAAACATCTTGACCTTGGCCTCGTACGCATCGCCCATCTTCTCGGGCGATACCGTGATCTCGTCCCGGTTCTTGTACCCGCGATCGGCCGCCAGCGCGTCCACCTCCGACAGCTCGGGCATGTGAAAGTATAGCACCCCAAGAGCCGAGAGTTCCGACTCAGAGAGCGGCATCTGGGAATCGTGCGGGAGGCGTTGATCGCCCTGACGGCAGTTGGTTCTTGATGTTAGTTAAGTTGGATGGAAAGGGGCTGTGCGGGGTTTATTTGGGGAGTTTGTGAAAGGTGGGATCGGCTTACGGGGAGGTCGTCGTAGTAGTAGGCCTTCATTCTGTTAAAAGTCTCTACTGTGTTGGTGAGGTTGGTGTGCCTTGGCTTGAGGGAGCTGGGTTGAGGATGAGAGCGGTAATGAAGCAGGTGAGGAGGGGTTTAAAGTTTAAATCTGGTGGTGAGGGGCATTTCACACCGGGCAACATCTCCTGCTCGGGATGGACATGATCACTTCTTACTCAGCAGCGGCACGCTTGTACATGTCGCGTTTGCATTGGCTGAAACTACTCGATCGACACTACGAGCCAGACGAAATCCCGCTTACGAAGAAAGGGGAACATATCAGGCAAGTTTGCCTCTTCTCTGGCTTTCATCAGGTGGAAATTGCGCTATTGCCTTGCAATCAATAAGGAGCAGAAGCGGGATGTGGGGTTGGAGTGCCACATTTGAAACGTGTAAGTCAGGTCACGTGGTACTCGAAACGCCACCCATGCCTCACAGTAACGACAGGAACAGTCAGCCATTTGGGCTGCGAATGAAGGGCTGGATTTAACGGGCAGAACCTCCTATTTTGCTCAGAGGGTGTTAATTTCAGAATATCACCTGCTTGAAACAACGTCTCGCCTGCGACCAAGCCTATATAGCCCAGGTCAGTTCTGAAGAGATAAGCTGCATGCCTTTCGAAGTGCAACATCTGCAATATCTGTCTCTACTAACTTCATACAGTGAGGCCTGCGGCTAGGCAATTACTCTAGCCGCTGATTGCGGGAGGCCAGATGCACTGAGGCCAGGATGGTCTCCCAATGGGAGGCTGCCGTTCAGGAAAGCCGACTGTGACGGGAGAAACGGGCAAGGAGTTGATATACCGGTATCCTCCAGCATTCGCGGAACGCCCGAGTATACTCTGTTGGGGCACTCGGTTCTCCAGCCTGTCTCGGTGTCTCGTCCAAACCGTGACTTGATGACCTTCTCGGCCACGTGGTCAAAAATGCAGGCACAGGGAGCGCCATATTCGACCGTAAACACGTCAACCGCCTTTTCGCTCCCCTCTCGGTGAATAAATGCCAGCATAAGCCTTGACTGCCTGAGAGGGCGCTCTCATATTATGGTCTGCAACCTTGTCGTGGCCGCACTGATCTTCATGGCCTGCCCCGAGAAGGTGGTCCAGTCGATCATCCCGGTACCCTTCTCGAACGCAACGTGTGTTCTCCGCACAGTGACAACCCTTGCCTGCAGCGCATAGCCGGACGGGAGCCTAGTCGATCGGACGCGGTTGCTATCCATATAGTCCAGCCAGAAGCGATAGATGTTTGGACGTTTGACCGACGAGATTGGTTGCAAGTAGATCAACTCGCGACTTCTTGTACTTTACTGCCGTTGACGTCAAACTATGCCTGATGGGGAGGAGCATGGGCGAAGCATGCAAGAAAGAAGGCACGAAATCCTATACCACCCCCCGCCTTCTCTTCTCCCTCTTCTCATCCTCCTTCTGTTCTCTTTCTGTTCCATCCCTATTCCCACAATCCACATAACCTGAGGTACGTGACAAGGATGGAATCAAGGAAAGATCTGCTTTCTGACCTTGAGTATCTCAGTGAAAAACGCCGTTTAATGCTGAAGTCAAGAATTGTGCGGTCGAGCCATGACTTGAGCGTTCACCTTTGAAGGTCGTAACTGTCGATAAGTATGTGACGAATCAAGTCGCATCAGCCAACACTCATAATGCCTTAAGGTAGGAGATCGGTTCTTCTTGTCGCATCCACTTGGGGCCAAGAACAGGTCACTGAGGATGGTTGACCTCATTCGTTGCATCTTATCACTGAGTACGAAATCAACATCTTTGTCTGATGCTTGAAGGGTATGGAGAAGCTTTGAAGGGGGAGAGTCCTAACGTCATTGAGGGTTAGGGTTTGCTAAGTAACCCCATCGGCCAAGTGCCACTTCATGCCGATGGCTCGGTCCCCCACCAAGCTTTCAACCGCCGGCCCCATCCACCATTCATCCGCATTCCTCAAATTAACATCCCAGGGTATCTGGATATCCGGACGTATGAGGCATACCATGAGCTGAACACTGCTCAGGCGGGCGCGTGCGTTTTGCCCAGCGTCGCCTCGCATTCTGAGACGTTGAATCGTAGACCTCCACAGATTCCCATTCCCTGACACTCAAAGCCCTCTACCATCGCGCTATGGATACCCGAAGTGCGAACGATGGGTCGTCGGTGGCCGGGTCCGAGGCATCCAAGATGAAGCTCCAACTGCCGGCAAGCTGCGACCCTCCACAGCCGGGGGCGCCGGTCAAGCAGCTGGTCTGGATTGTGCGTTCCTCGTGCGTTCCACACCCTTTATTACCAGCTACCTAACATCATCTCCAGGTCTTCGGCGGCACCGGCCACATGGGCCGCTCCCTTGTGAAATCGGCCCTCAGTCACGGCGACCTCGTCACCACGGTCGGACGCATCATAGAGACGCCGCCCGAGGCCATGGCGCTGCTCAACAGCGACACCTGCCTGGGCCAGCTGTGCGACGTGCGCGACGCAGCGTCCATCGCCCGTGTCATCGAGCGCACGCTCAAGCGCTTCGGCCGCATCGACTGCATCGCCAACTGCTCGGGCTACGGCGTCATCGGCGCGTGCGAGGACCAGGACGAGCACGAGCTGCGCAACCAGTTCGAGACCAACTTCATGGGTACCCTACACATTGTCCAGGCCAGCCTGCCCTACTTCCGCCAGCAGAACGGCGGCCGCTATCTCATCTTCAGCTCCACCTCGGGCGCGCTCGGCGTGCCGGGCCTGGGCCCCTACTGCGCGACAAAGTACGCCGTGGAGGGGTTGATCGAAGCGATGGCGTACGAGGTCGACCCGTTCAACATCAAAGCCACCTTAGTGGAACCCGGGCTGGTGAGGAGGGACGAGCCGGACTCCAATATGAATCCGCTGCCGACATGGGGCCATTTCCTCATCAAGCCCGCCAGCGAGGCCTACTCGCATGCGACGTCCCCCGCGCTCCACGCCAAGAGGATGGTGCAGTGGCTGGGCGACAGACAGCCGACGAGCGCGGTCAAGTGCGCCGAGCTGGTCTGGCAGCTGGGCCACTGCTCGTATCCCCCGTTGAGGTTACTGCTGGGGAGTTATGCCATCGAGAGTATCCGCGACCGGCTGAGGTCGGTGACGGAGGAGCTTGAAGACTGGAAGCATCTAAACTATCCTATCCCGCCGGATGCGCCAGTTGGTGAAAGGGAAGAGAAGACGGATAAGGAGGGAAGGAATGAGGGGGAGTATCGGGAAGAGGGCGATGACAAAACCGACAAGGACGAGAGAGAGGATCAGGAAGGGAGGGATGAGGGAGAGGACCGGGAGAAGGAGGATGATGATATGATGGAGGGGATAACCCCGGACGTGAAAGACAGCGAGGGCACATGACGAAAAGCCCTGGAGAAAGTGTGATTCCTCTGGATTTGAGGTTTTCCCTGCATTCTTGTGCATATCTCCTGTACCGCCTTGTCGCCCAGAGCTTGACTGTCCAGGTATAGACCGTAGAAGACCACCATTCATACAGATATAACGATATGGACATGTCTCCACATGTCTGCCGTAGCGTAATATAACTATCCTACAATGTGTGAGTTTCTCCCGTTAGAGCTGCTCAACCGAATAGTTTTTCTACCTTACCTACCAAGGATGTTACTAAGGTACCCGTATGATTTCCGTACCTTTTATTGCTGACGGTGTTGGGTGTACGTTCCGTATGCAAGGCGCGCGACCAGGTTATTCACGCTTAACTGCATACTGTGCCTTATGGATAATCTTATCTTTGAACATGGCTGCCCAGAGATCCATTGCTTGGCCAAAAACATTTCGGCCCCACCGGGCCAAGCATGAGGCGAAAAGGGGCACCACCAATCTTCTCCTTTGACCAGACAAGAACGACATGGGATGGTCGATTTCGTATCTGCAATTTAACAAGATTTCCATCCCCTGACACGCGTCCAGCCCACCTCGACCAACATTCCCCTTTTCCCTGGGCTTCAGGACGAGCACCTACTCCAGCGTCGAGCATTGAGTAGTGTTTCTTTGTCTTCTTTATCTTCATTCCATCGGCGGAGAGAGCATTGCAGGTCGCTTGCGCCACACCGATACTTTGCGCATTCGGAACCTAGGACGCCTTCGGACATCTTCTCTGAGAGCAAAGGTTCCGCGCCGCGCTTCCCTATTATTTGTCGCTCGTTTACTTCGCAAGTCCCGCGAATCTTACAATATGTCGAACAAGAAGAACGAGGATATCGAGATGCGGGCCGCGGAGAGCGGCAATGACTTCGAGGGTGAGAAGGATCCGTTCCTGGGCAAACCCCCTTCGCCTTCGCGGCCTCGTCGCGACAGTGGATTGGTGGCCTACATCGAGAAACTGGACCACAGTCCCGGCGCCTCTATCCTCGCGTACTGCCTGTCGTCAATCAGTATGACAGTCGTCAACAAATACGTCGTCTCCGGGTCATCGTGGAATTTGAACTTTTTCTACCTTGCTGTGCAGGTAAGTCCGCATCCGGCAGTGCTTGGCACGCAAATTGGGGCGCTGACTGTTGTTAGTCGACTGTTTGCACGCTCGCGATTGTCCTGTCCAAGCACGCTGGCCTTCTAAAGAATCTCGCGCCCTTGGACGCGACCAAGGCCAGGAAATGTGCGTCAACCAACATTGCGAGGCTACCGGTCCTTTTGGCTGATATCCATGACTAGGGTTTCCCATTTCGCTTCTCCTCGTCGGAATGATCTACACGGGCGCCAAAGCCCTCCAGTTCCTCTCGGTCCCGGTCTACACCATTTTCAAGAATTTGACAATTATTGTCATCGCTTACGGAGAGGTGCTCTGGTTCGGTGGCAGCGTCACCCCTCTCACGCTGCTGTCCTTCGGCTTGATGGTGCTCAGCTCTGTCGTTGCTGCCTGGGCTGATATCCAGGCCGCCATTAGCGGCGCCCACTCGGTCGAGGCTTCGGATGCTCTCGCTACCCTGAACGCCGGTTATGCGTGGATGGGTTTGAATGTTGTCTGCTCTTCGTCCTTCGTGCTTGGGATGCGCAAGGTCATCAAGAAGATGAACTTTAAGGACTACGACAGTAAGTCGAGTTTCCTGGTACAAGAGGAAAACAGGACCGCTGACCTGGAGTCCAGCCATGTTCTACAACAATCTCCTCACTATCCCCGTTCTCGTTGTCTGCTCGCTACTGGTCGAGGACTGGTCCGCCGAGAACCTTGCCAGGAACTTCCCCGAAGAGACGCGCAACAAGATGATTATCGGCATGGTCTACTCGGGCCTGGCCGCCATCTTCATATCGTACTGCTCCGCTTGGTGCATCCGTGTCACCTCCTCGACTACGTACTCGATGGTCGGCGCTCTGAACAAGCTCCCCATCGCCATCAGCGGTTTGATCTTCTTTGATGCGCCGATCACCTTTGGCAGTGTCACGGCTATCTTTATCGGCTTCGTCAGCGGTCTCGTCTATGCCTGGGCCAAGGTCCGTCAAAAGGCCCAGGACGTTGGCATCCTGCCTACCAGCAACAAGCCCACGATGAGCGCCAGCGCGCAGAGCAACAGGGACGCCGCCAACTCTTGAAGCGCGAGGCATCAGTCCACTGTGCTAACGCGAGCTCTTCACAGCGCACCTGAAGCGCCAGAGCCAAGAGGCTGAGCGGCGACATGCCCGCCGTCACAGCCTTTGAAACGTATCTTTCTCCGAGGCAGTCAGGACTCTTGACCACTTTCCCTTCCCACTTCATTCGTGTAATCACTTGATTTTTCTCTTACCAAGCCCATTTTCTCTAAGCCCTTTTAGTGGTTGATCTACTTTCCAGCATAGAGCCTTGGCAAACGATAGTGAGGGTTTTTGTTCGGTTTCTTTGATTTCGTTTTCCTAAAACGGCGTACCTGAATGTTCGCTCCAGAGGCAAGGCTCTTGAAGATAAACGCGTGCATGACTGGCGTTTTGGGATGTGGGACAAGCAAGGTTCTAGTGGACGGTCTTTTCCAAGATCGAGTCGTTTGGATGATAGGGATGGTGTCGGGTTTTAGAAGTTGGGAGGAGGGATGAGCGGTGGGAGGTATTCTGGTGGCCATGTCGGGTGCTGACGACGGGTAAGTTGATAGTGATGTACGGAGTAAAGACAAATGTCGACCGAACACCGAGTGTCGATGTCAAAGTGTTGACATGTTCTCAAGCATAACCAATTGCGATGCACCCACAGACGGCCCAAGTAAGCCGGGCAAGGACCGATGAGTGTGATGTTCATGTTGAGAAACTATTATGATGACATACAGACGCTACCCATACCTGCGCTTTCTCAAACCCCCTGTGCAGCCCCCTGGTATCATTGTGCGACTACCTAGCTTGCCACACCCCAACAATCAACTTCCCAAAAGCGTACACTTTCCAGTGCCAGCCACCAAACCCACGGTATTCAAACGTTCTCAAGAAGAACCTTTCCCAAACGCCGAGCCTGGCACCAATGCATTCCGACTCTCGCTCAATACCCACAGGCTCCTGTACCACATCACGGCCCCGGCACCCAACAAGAAATAGTATGCCATCGACCACAAGATGCTGGCCCTCTCCACACCCCGCCGCCGCTGCTGCTGCTGCTGCCGTCCTCCTCCTCCATTCTCCCCAACATCTCCGCCCGCCAGCACCGGCACGGGCTCCACCCTTCCCCAAACCTGGGGCAGGCCCAGGCAGTTGCAAAAGGCGTGGACGGCGCACACGGCGGCAAGCGAGCCCGTGCGCAGGAACAGGAAGGTCGCGTACGCGCCGAAAACGGTGGTGAAGGCGAACTGGAAGAGCGAGCGGGCCAGGGCCCTGGCGGCAGGGACCTGCGGGTTCGAGAGACGGAACTCGTAGAAGTGGTGCACGTGCGCCAGGCCGAAGACGATGGGCGTCAGGAAGATGGTGTGCCGCAGCGGTGACTGGGCGATGAGCATCAGGGGGATGGAGGCGGTGCGGAAGAGGACTTCTTCGGTTATTGGGCCCTGGAAGTGCAAAAAATTGGCGTTAGTTGGGGGTGTATACAGGGAGGAAGGGCCAGAAAGAACGCACGGCGACAATGTTGCGCCAGGTTGTCCATTCCTCCCAGACTTCCTTGAGCGGCGCCAGCCGAATCCAGTCTGCCCAGCCGCGCTCAACGACGAGGTAGCTGAACAGCGGCCCCGTGAATAGCAGGGCCGTGAGGAACAGCACCCGCAGAGAGTCCCACAGCGCGAGCGGCCAGAGGCCGAGATGGTGCAGCGCCTCACGCGGGGTTATGGTGTGGCCGTCGTCCGGGCGGGGGTGCGTGAGCACCAGGTAGGTGACGCCCGTGCAGAGGAGACATGACAGCGTCACAGAGCGGATGCGGGCGCGGATAACTGACGGCGCATCCCGAGAAAGGGTTGAGGATGGGCGGGTGGCGGGCGACAGGTAGAAGGGGACGAAGTAGACGAGCGCGTAGAGGACGAGGAGGAAGACGGCCGTGCGGGGACTAATTGGCGGGGGTGGAGGCGCGGCATCTGTGTTGAGTTGTCAGGACACGGCTGTGTTTCAGAAGCAACACGTGGTGTGGAAGATGGAAGTACTTGCCCTTGTGCCAGGGGTTGAGCTTGCGGAGCGCGTCGCCTATGGCAGGCATACTGAGATGCTGCTGACGATACTTTGTGCGCCTTTGTAGTACTTGGGTGTAACCAGACCTGCGCACAACGGGCCGCAGTCAGGGGCTACGGGCTGGCCGCACTCCTGCTTAGACGCCGTCAGAGAAGCGCGTCTGACGCTGTGTACCGCAAACCCGACAGGCGGAAACTGGAAGGAGAGAGTGGTGGTGTGGGATTGGGCCGTTTCAGCGAATCGCAGAGTGTAAGGATGTGCGGCTGCTCCCGTGCTCCACCAATTCTTGTCTGCGGCACCTACTCTTGGACTTGATACGCCGGGACAGGAGAGCCTTTAGGTTTGGGGGATGCAATTGTTCTGGAGAAGCCTTTCGGCGGGAGACAATTTCATGTCAAGCTTTTCCGGCGCCGAGTCGCCTTGATTACCTTAGGGCTGGGCAGGACGGAATTTGGCAATGGCATTCCGTAGGGGCCCCTTTCCCAATGCGGCATGTAGGTATTGTCAGTTTTGAAAACAATGCGAAGCAGCCATTCGGCCCCAGTTTCACCTCTGGTTTGCTTGGATCTAGATTCGCGGCAAAATTGTTGGACTGTAGACAGGGCGGCACAATCGCACCAGTTGGGCAACCTACTGTACCTTACCGATATCAATTCCCCCGTACTCCCCACAACCGGCAGCTCCCATCAACTGAAGAAGCGTGCAGTCGGGATATGTGGTTGGAGGTGTCAGCCACACACGGCAAGACAACACAGATTGGGCGCGAAAGAACGCGAATCAAGTGACGCGCCATCCCCATCTTCGGAAGCGTTTGATTTGCCGCCCCGCCGGGCGTGTGTGGCACTCGCAGCCAAGCTTGCGGCTTGCATCTGCGCTTCCCAATTGCTGCCACCACCGTTGAACACGTAGCTGGGACCCATCTCGTCCGCATGGCTTTCGCCGCATGCCATCGCCGGCCAGACGGTCCGCAAGGAAAAAGGGGAAGTGGGTGTGTGATCCTCCAATTGAAGTTTTCATTGCGTTGTCGGAGTCCAGGTCGACGAGTAGGTTGCGACCGAGACATGGCGGTCTTGCGGTCTTCAACAGCGAGCTGTCTCTCGGGCGCCACATGCTGTGAGACGCTGCGCAAAATTTGACGTTCTGCGCAAAGCTGCAGCCCCCGCGCAGTGCTCGGCGAGCCGCTTCTCGAGGGGGGTCATAGTGCCCTATGATTCTAGGCTTGATTTCGCATATCGAATTCAGGAGTGCAGCAGCACGTCGTTTATAGTGTCGATTTTGGCATCTTCTCGGTCGCACCAAGTGCTGGCCGCAGAACCATGACCCGACCAGTCGGTGACATTGTCAAGGACAGCGGCTCCTCATGTCTCGCCGGTGGAGACCATAAGACAGATAGATGACCGGATGATGTCCAGTGCTTTTGGAATCCTCTGGACAGGGTGAAGGTGCTAGTAAAACTCTTGCGCGCTTTTCCCAAAGCGGCAAACAGTCGGGGCTAGACTAACCCAATTAGGCACCGCGAGCCTGCAGGTTCACGCAGCAACTGCCTGGGCCTGCCTATCGCAGGCCGGCAACTCGTGGGACGCGAAATTGGACTTTTTCAGCCTTGCTCTGAGCGCTGCAGCGGTCTGGTTTTGTCGGTTGCTCCTTTCCTGTGCAGCAGAGGGGGATTCCGCTGGCTTCCAGTTTCGAGCCGGTCAATGGGCCATGCTGTGCTGCTTGGTACGCAATTCGTGGCTGTTCTCTGCGGGAATCTTTACGAGCGTGGAATTGCTTCGACAGCTTTTCTCCGAGCACTCCACGAGTGAGTTCCCTTCCAATTTCCCTATCCCAAGGCGAAACACCAAAGGAGCAGCTAGGTGCTGGCCGAGATAGGCGCCCTTGTCCGCCATCCGCCCGTCCAATTTTCGGCACCGCATAGCAACCCATTGGCCCCGGGTGCTTCGACAGACGCCCGGCTGTCGCCTGCCTACATGCTCAATTGATATTTGCCTTTGGCCATCTCGCCATCTGCATTCTTGTCTATCCTTAACCACCTGGATTTTCCTGTTTCTCTTCAGCTCACTCCTTATTGCTTGTTGCTGCTGCCGGGTAGCTGCCCAATATCCTTAATCTTTTTTCTTCTCTGTACGACGACGACCTCGATCGCCCTCTCCCGGCCCCGCAAGTTCCGACTGAGATTCAACTCATTGAGTCCCCTCAAGTGGTTGCAAGCGACGGGCGACGCCGTCTACTTATTAGCGAGACCGAACGACGCTACTCTCTCGACAACGACCTGCACTCGACCCTGGTTTCGACGACACAGCTCGCCTCGCTGGATTTCCGTCGGATAACACGCATGACACAGACATGGAACGAATCTGAATGCCCAGCTTGTAGACTGCGAGCGGGATTTGAAGGATCGATACGCTCCCGGCCTCGAGCGCCGGATGTCTCAGAGCCATGCCGGGGCCACCAGACCGACATGGCCCGACGACAACGCTCCACGAGCGATCCAACTCGCAAAACAATAAACCGGGCATCCGCCTCGTCCCCTACTCTCCGCCCCGACTCGACCCCGAAAACCGGGCGGCAAGTCAGGCGTCATCCCGCGAGAATGCAGGCAGTCGGTGCTCTGGGAATTACGACGACAAGACGGGTGGCAATGCTGAGCACTCGAGACGTCCGAGCTGGAGGGATGAGGTGACAGAGGGCCGTGTTGGGAGTCTTGGGTTGCCGTCACCGACTGCGCCGGCTTTCTCATTGGCGAAGTCCAGGGATCCGAGGGTTTCAGGAGTGAAACCTCGGGCCAGCCCCTCGGACCTCAGCCCCGCTGGGCCAACCACACCTCATCTAAGCTCAGCATCTGAAGTCCCAGCCAATATCGCGAGCCATAATGTGTCGGAGCCGCGGCGCTCCCGCGCCGATGACACTCCGTCACCAGCTTCAGCCACAGCCCAGCGCCCGCGTTCGCTGTCCCGTCGACGCAACCTGCGGCTCGCAGTCCACCCAAACGGGACCTTCTCGCTGGTTCCCGAGGAGCCGCAATCCGGCGTCTCTGACGGCAGCTTGACATCACCTAATCCGTCGTACGCGTCGAGAACACCGAGCGCCCAGGACCGCCCGTCCACGGACACGTGGAGCGATCACCGTGCGAGCACTCCGTTGACGGGCGCAAGCACCGTTATCCTGGACCAGAGCTTTTCCGAGCTAGAAAAGCTGCCTTATTCAACGTCATCGTCTCGCCGTTCCTCAACCACACAGTTAGCCGAGGACCCTACTTCTTCATCGCCCTGGAACTACCGTCTTGTCGGGGGCCTGCGAAAAGTACCCGCGACACCCGACACCAAAGGGAGGCAGCCGTTGTACAGTTCATCGACATCAACATCCGAGACGCAGCTGGCTCCGCTACCGGAAGCTTCCACGGCCATCGACGACGAAGAACAGGAGAATGCACCTACACGAGCAGTGATACCAAAAACGTCTTTGACATCCGTCGCATCCAATCAGACCATCGAGACTGTCTCCGAGGCGACAAACTATAAAGTCTACGGCCGCGGGTCTGTCGCCCAAGAGTCCAGCGATAGTCTCGTCTTCAACTCACCAGGCCCCTCTAATTGGGAAGTCTTGGGCCAGTCATCTCCTGCCACGGCATATCCGAGTAGTCCCGCCACAGTCTCGCTCGGCGGCAACGAAAACTACGTTCTACACGGTGCTCCGTCGGTGTCTCCTTCATCGTCCCTCGTTACCATTTCCAAACAGCCACGCCCCGTTTACTCTCAAGAGAGTTTGGTTGTTGCCCCTCTGAGACCGGCGAAAAAGAGATCGCACGAAAGATTCGGCTACTACAAACAGCGGTCTCGAGAAACCCTCCGGTCTCGCACGGGATCTGTTCAGTCGCTCAAGAGCTTGTCATCCGTAATTGCCAGCCAGGACCCCGCTCAAGCGCTTCTGACGACGCCTGTGGTACTCAACCTCGGCGGATCAGCAACCCAACGCTTCCCATGGTCCGTTCCACAGAGGTCTGGATCCAGTTCCTCCAATCCCCAGGGCGCCATCGCCTTCAGGCCGCCGGCCCCGATGCTGCCGTTCCAACCCCACCAATGGAGTTCCCAGCTGTCCACAGTCATGTCCGAAAGCGAAGGAGGTAGCGACCTGGCGCGTTCCGTCTCTCCCCTGTCGGACGGGAGCGGACACCATCGCCGCCAGAGCAGCACCGGCTGGGTGGGTTCCATGCACAGTCGCCAGATGGCGAGCATATCTTCGTCCATAGCTGGACAGCTAGAGGAGGCTGCGGGTCCCTCGGGTAGCGACTCGCTCGAGAAGCCACAGCCCAGCTACGCAAGAGCGGGGCCCTCGCAGATCCGCATGGTGCGCGACCAAGACGAGCATGGTGATGGCTTGGCGGATTTGGAACACCGACCATCAAAGACGGGACTGGCCGCCCTCTTCAATAACAGCTCGAGCTGGAACCTCCATTCCAACGCCAGCTCTCGTACCAACAGTTTCACCTCGTCGATCCCGGCTTGGGCCAGGTAAGCAAGCGAGAGGTGCCTTTGCTGATGAGCTGTGATATGCTGACACATGTCCCCAGAGTCTATTACGGCTCCGGCGAACGACGATTTCTTGGCCGTCGTCCCTCCTTCTTGACCATCTCCGACGGTGGAGATAGCCGGCCTCCGAGTTCGTACCTCCCCGGTTCCCGCAGCGGGTCCCCGAACTCGGACAACTTTCCTCAGGCCATCTTCAGCCCGCGGAAGCGGGCGAGAGAAATCCAACCGACGACGATTCAGCAGTCTGCCCCTGAGGAGGCCTCCATGGAGATCTCTCCGGCCCCCTCCCAGGGTCAGGACTACCGCAGCTTCCGGGCGCCGAAACAGAAGACGTCGAGCATCTGGTCTCCGCATCTCCAGGTGGATCGTCGGGCAACTGGGTACAGTGTGTGGGATCCGCCGAGCGTGAGCTGGTCAGCCGACAGTGGCGTTTTGGGCAAAAGGAATGTCCAGGTGATATTGTTCACTCTTGGATTTTTGCTCCCTTTCGGTACGTCTTCCTGTGCAGTTCAAAAGTCTCTCGTCCAGTCGTCTAACTTACCGTCCAGCTTGGATGGTTGCCGCATTCCTTCCTTTGCCGCCCATCCCCGAGCTGCACATGTCTGACGTAGAGAACAACGGTCCTGCTCCTTCCGCCTCCAAGTACAGAAAATACGTCATGGAGGAGACGAGATATGAGAGCGCCAGATGGTGGCGTAACCTTAATCGGGTCATGTCGTTTATTGGTCTGCTCATCATCGGAGCCGTTGTCGCGCTCGGAGTCGTTGGCGGGCGACAGGGATGGGCGCGGAGGTGACAAATTCACCCGCACAGTACCACCACCACCTGCCAAATGTTCAATCTTCAACAACTAAGCACTCACACCTTGTTTCGGTCCTGCTGTACCTACGCCTAACGACCACATATTCTCCTCCTTCAGTTCACACACGCCTGCCTTTCAAGGCACGACACTTACGACGCATCCCACGATGGACGGGAGATTCTCGATTTTCCACGCCTAACGGTAACATAACGCCGGGGTTGCTTTCACTCACCAAATCGTCTCGAACATGGCGTCACCTTTCCAACCCTCCTTGCCCAGGCACCACGACCTGGTTCGCCCCCCCTTCCTCCCTCCTTACTAGCCTTTATCTGGTAAAGGCAATAACGACATTTCTATTCTGATCAGCTACATATTCCTTGTTCGCAATTTGTATCCCACCAATATCTTTTCTTCATCTCTAATAGAGACAGGGGAGAAGGGTTCTTGAGTTGGCTGGGACCCGGTGCCGAGATAGGGGCCGCTTGGCTGATTACTCAATTTCTTACCTTCATCGTCTTTGGAGTCGGGGTGGGATCAAATTTTCAAAGCGTAGGAAGGAGTGTTGTCTCACACGCATGGTGTTTTTCATGGCGGTGTTTCGTGCGTCAATGACACCGACACACTCTTTCTGGCTTTCTGAATATCTGTCATGGGGGGGATCTAAAAAGAAACGCCACATGATGATGATGATGATACCTACTTTCATTCTGCCTAGAGCTTACGGCCGTCGCAACGAGACTCCTGGCTCTCGAACCACTACACTTACACTTAGTGTCTAAACTAGTTTTCTCCTTGCACGCCTTTCCGCCTTTTGGTGGCGGTGATGGTTTTGTATAGTGCTACGATAGGCAATGCATGCAATGCAAATACGTTAGTGTGTAGTATCGCTTTGGAAGGGTCACTTAGCTTCCAAGTTACGCTGCATTGGTACCTGAAGGTAACCAGTCGATGTGTCCGTAGCAAAATCGCAGGTAGTGCTTTCTCAACCCTCAGGCCTCCTATTCTACCTATGTAGTTTGCCCTGACTGTTCTTCTCCATCTAGGTATATGCATCCCTTCTCTGAGAAACTCCTGACTGTGCTTCTCCATCTAAGTATATACATCCCTTGACTGAACAAGCTGCACCATTCTATAACTTCAACCTAGCCGACCTTTCCACACTTACTTAACCTTCATTTTCTCCTTGTTCTTCAACTTTTCATCGAGCTCCCGAAACTCGGTCAGAGCATCATCCCACTCCTTCTCCAAATCCTGCGTAATCCCCATCACAGGCGTCCTCGAAGCCGAGCTATCCGAGCTAGCCGATCGCCCAAGCTTTCCATCACCACCAGCAACGGCTCCATCCACGCTACCGCCAGCCTTGCCAGAAGCACTCCTCTTCTCAACCTCCCTCCTGAGATAGCGCTTCGTAGAAGGCGAGGCGAAAAACGCTGTCATCCCCGCGGTGCCAATGACGGCATAGAAGTAGACGCGGGACCAGACCAGCAGGGAGCCGCGGAGGGAGAGGATGAGAAAGGGCGCCACTGCGAAGGAGAATGTGAGCTGCGTTGTGAGCCACGAGGCGAAGTCGTAATATTTTTTAGAGGGCAGGGGGGCTCCAGTTTTGGGGTTGAGGAAGAAGGGACGGAAGTTGCGGCGCATGTCTGGTGATTGTTTCTTGTCAGCACATATCATACTTGAGCTTATGGGGTCGTGTTAGGGCTGGGAGGGATGACGTACTCTTCGCGACAGTCTGGATGAAGGAGGCGAGGACAAAGCTAAGGTAGTAACCCGGGTAGAAACCGTGCCAGAAGGCCGAGGTGGTAAAGGTGGCCAAGCTGGCGCCGAAGCCGGGCTTCTTGCCGCGTGGCGTCACGCGCAGGTAGACGTAGTTGCGCAGCCACTTGTTGGTGTTCATGTTCCAGTTCCCGAGGTAGGCGCGGGTATTCTGGGCGAACTCGACGCCCCAGGGGTCGATGTTCTGTAGGCGATCCCATGAGACCTTACCTGTCAAGGGATTCACCCCGTTGTACCCCAGCCCCGAGAGGATGCAGGCGCCCTCGGACAGTGTCCAGACGCCGTAGTACTTGGTGCGTGCGGTGAAGCCAACCATGTGCAGAAAAAACAGGCGGCGGAGGAAGCCGTATTCGAGGTAGCTGTCTTCAAGCAGGAAGTGGTGGTCAAAGTACGCGGACAGCTTGAGGAAGGTGAAGATCCAGATCAGGCCGGTAACGAGCTTCAGCATGGCCGGGGTGCCGCTACGCGGAATCTTGCGCTTGCGCCTCGTGGGTGGCTTCTTGGCTGGGTCGACGTGGGAGGGCACTTCGAACATGGAGGTGTCGAGCCAGCGGCGGTACTCGGCGAAGTCAAAGGCAGGGCCTATCAGCATGCTGGGGAAGAAGAAGACGAAGCCGGCGTAGTCAAGGAGATTCGGCAGTTCGGTTAAGCGGCGGTCTTTTTGGAGGTCAGACAATTCGGCTTCTGGGAGAAGACCGTCTGCCACATTCCAGCAGAAGGCGCTGAGCTTCATGACCATGACCATCTGGGCCCCCGTGATATCGACCGAGCGCGGGCTATTCGCGGCCTGGCGTGCGATGTGGTTGATGCTCATGTGGCCCATCAAGAAGACGAAGCCCACCCACGGCATGTAGCGGGACCGGCGGAGGAACTTGGCGATAGCGTAGGCACCGCCCGCGGATATGAGCATAGTTCGGAGGCCATCCCACAGGTCGAACAGGCCGACGAGGATGAAGACGGAGATGCTGAAAGGGTCGTGTTAGCCAATCGCCATGGTTCCTCGTCGCTCAGCGCTGTGGCGTACGACGCACCCAAGCGAGAATAGGTTCTTGTACGCGGGTCGGGCGTCGGGAACTCGTTTCAAGACTCCGGCGAGAGGGTAGGATAGGATGAGGGAGAAGATGAGTTTGACTGGTATGTACGGACGGGGTCAGTCTTGCCGTCTCAGAATGGTCTGGAAAGGGGCGTCGTACGCTCATCGGGACCAGCGCCGAGGCTGTCGGCGAGGTAGACGAATGCTGGAACAGAAAACAGCGTCAGTCCATAACACTGTCAATGCCAGCAAAAGGTAGCAGTGAGGTTGCCTACGCCTGTGTATGAAGGGTATCATGGTGGAAGACAGTCCGCCGACGACGTAGAGATGGTGAAGGTTCGAGGATTGACACTCGTGTGGCTGGCTTATTCCCAACAAACAGCAGCCGACTTTTCCGCGACGAACGTTGGGCCAGAGCCGAGAACTGGATGGTATTCGTCTGAAGTGTTCGGGGAGTCGAGCTACAAAGTGCGCATTGTTGGGGATATACCGTATATAGGCAGGTCCATCTCTCTACCGTTATAGGGTAGGAACGGTACCTAAGGAAGTTCAATGGGCCTGCCCGAGGAGCCCTGAGAATGGCAACGGAACATCTATTGTGACATCACCAGCTGATCCATGCTCGGGTCTTGTGCGTGTCACATGCGTATTGATACAGTAACGTGAATTACATATCTTACTCGGCCAAACTCCGTTGATCAATGCCGGAAATGTAACCATCGATCCAACCACACGCTTCTCGCACAACTAATGTACATCACTCACTGATTTATGGGGGACCAGACATGACAAGACAAATGAAGGATGCAATACAACCGAAAAGTCAGCAAACGTGACTGTTACTACTACATCGTCGGCCCTAAGCATCATATGTGCAGTTCTCGTTGAGGTGACCTTACTTCTTCACGGTTCGAGGACAAGTGTGGGCTGAACCAACGCAGTTGCCGTTTGTTGGCAAGGCTCCGCATCTCGATGGACTGAATCCAGGAGAATCCAGGAGATATGAACCCCCCTCCCCTCCTCTACCTCTTCCCCCTTCCACCCCGCCAAACCATTTTTCTCTTTGGGCCGTTTGCGTGTCTCTCTCGGCCGAGTCTGGCCACAGGAGGGCCTGTTGAGCCGACTACTTGAACAACTGCCCGCAGTCGGTATCACTGTACGTCTGGCGGTAATCACAACCGGGGAACTCGACGACGGCACCGTCAGCATCCGGGCCCGGCATTGCCTCATAGTCCAAGCGTCGATCATGCTCGGTGAGATGGAAAGGCGGTGGCATTGGCAAGACACCTTCAAAGTCAGCGTTTGCCCAAAGATGGGAATGGCCTAGCGAGCTGCGGTTCGTCATTGTCGGTAAGCTGCGTCGCTGGGGGCCCATGCTGTCGAAGAGGTGTGCGGGCTGAGAAGAGAAGACGCTGGTCGCTGAGTCAAGGGTTCTGATACTGGGATCGTAGAGGTCACCACCCCGTAGAGCCCTTGATCAGCGTCGAGTGGCTGCAAAGGGTATAAACTGTCGAAGTCCGCTGTACTACCACTAGCAACAGGGCAAGTCTCAGCTCAGCAGAAAACCGGATTGCTACACCCATATTCCAGCGCGCCGATGCCATCATGTGAAAGCTCAGCCAGGTTGAAACCGAGCGTTTCTCCATCGTCAACCGCCTCATGCTTGGCGCTGCAAGCCTTCGGTTTGGAGTCGGTTCGTTTGCCAGTTGACGAGGAACTCGCCTGAAGCTTGTTAGCTGGTGGTTTCCGAAGGAGTTGCTTGCGAAGCTTCGGCTTGCGAGGTGATGGCTTTTATTGACGGGTATTGGAGGGTTGCCGTGACTGTGTAGACGCTGAGGAGATGGATACTAGCCATTGGTATCAGCAATGGGAGCCTCAGGTATGTGCCATGCATGTCCACCTACACGGATCAGGGACATTCTTCCCTGGAGACACAATCCTGAAAACGTTTTCCCAGTGCCTTATGGCGGTATCCTCGCTGTTCTCGGAGGTAGCTTCCTTCTTCAATGACTGTTTCCAGTTCCTTCAGTCCTCTTGCAACTCCTTTTTGATCTAAGGAATGGTCGCCTCTTCTCCTTCTTGCCCCAACTCCTCCGGCATACAAACATGCGCTGCCTTGTCTGGCGCAACAGCCTTGTGATTAGACCGGGGGAAGTTGTCCCGCACTTAGTACACCGAGTGCCCAGGAATGATATCGCCAGATATATTCGCTGCAGAGAGCGTGTTTGTCAGCCAACTTCACCACCTACTGCAGTAAGGTAACGAGTGTGTTGCCGGTACTTGACACCCCGCATGCCATCATAGGTCGAATCTTTGCAGCCCTTCGTGATCTTGGCGTAACATTCCGGCTCTGCAGCGCGAAGAGGACACGGGAGGCGGATGCCTGCATGCGTGGGCTTGCTGTTGACTGGCTCCTTTCGCCCCTTTTTACCAGCGGGTTTCTGGTTTGCACAGGTCCCCGGCCCGGTCAGCTGCTTTCGCTGCGCTGGCGTGGAAGACTCGGTCGTCCCTTCAGTCTGAAGAGACGCCAGCTCATCTTGTACGTGCTTTGTCATTGGTTATCCGAGATCTGCGGTATGTTCCAAATCTTCTGCTCTGATCGCGGCTTGCCCATTCTCGAACAAGCGTCGTGCTAGTTACCTGTCGAGGTGTCTTGGAGCGTCTCGGAGAGAGGTAGCGGTGATGCACGCCGTTGTGCCACAGCCTCACGGCCACCTACCTCTCCCGTCAGACAGGAGACAGTCACACCGCCGTTGGAGGCGTCCGCACAACACCGCAGAACTCGGATGTGCTATCTCACTGAAGTCAGGCTGTGAACGTGAGCAGGTTGTATCTGGCAAACCTGGCCTCCAACCTGGAAGCCGGCAGCAAGATGTGGCCAGTGAAGAGCGTACATACCTCGTCAGCTGCCTTCGCAGACGTATAAGACACGAAACCAGGTAACGGCGAGAGCGCCAAGTTCGACCGAAGCTCCAGGGTGTCGCGAGCAATGACACCGCCGTGTTCGTTCAGATTCTCAAGGTGATGTCGAAGGACTGTGTAAGGAGCAGACATGGCTGCTGGCGGTAAGCGTATCGAATGCTAATCGTTGGGTTGCTGCGAGCAAATGGTGAAGAATATCGTCGCTGCGACAATTTTCCTGAGGCTTTCTGCGTTGATAGCTGAAGCGGCAAGCTCAGCTGCTGTGGCTAAACACCAGGCTCTTCACAGACCAACAGCCCCGTGCCAACAGAACAGCCTACGCCCCGTGTCTCTCACACCGCCACACTCGACGACGTAGTCCTTCCGGTTCACCACTTCCGAGCATGGTGTCGGTGGCAAGGCAACGGTGAGGACGTCGTCGACATGTTGCTGTGTTGATTCGAAGCCGAAAATGTAGCAGCGACACGATAGCGTTCGAATACATCACTTGCTTTTCTCCTCCAGAATGGCGCTTCCACTTGATCCGCGTCCTGGCTGCCTTCTCGTGGCTTGAGAATTCAGTATCCACGTCCAAGGCATCCGAGCCTACACAGAAACGCATGTCCCAAACATCAAATCATCAGACTATAGCCTCGAGCGGCGGGGCCAGCGTAGCTACCGTAATATCCACCAACATCCTCACCGGTGAAGTCCGACGGCCAGAGTGCGCGAGTTGCCTTACAGCTTGGTGACTGTACCCTGCTGCTGGCATCCCACAATGATGCCACACAGTGCGGGGATAAAGTGATGCGTCAGATTCGTCAAGACTATGGCGATGCTGTGGTCCGTATCAGGCACAAATGCCTTCTTCATTCACCCTTCCAGAAGCCTGCCCTGCATATTGGGACTATGTCCACGGTTCGTGATTCCTTTCCAGCCTCCAAAGTCCATGCTAAGGACAGAAGCTCGCTTACCCAAGTATAACTTAGGTCTAGCTGTCCCACGACGCTGAGGCGGGTGAGGTGCTCCGTGAGGTCGCTTTTTCTAAGCTAGAGTACTCGCCCGATCTAACGGCGGCATTCCTCCGCCCAGACGTTCTTGCCGGCACCACGTCGTTTGCGGAGCGGTACCAGGACGCAACAGCAGGGGGCTTATCGGCTAAGGCAATCTTGATTGCTTTGGAAATTGACAAGCTGGCTGTGTGCCGCCTGCTGGGGTTGGCTCTGGTACTCGCCACTGCTGCAGGCTTAAGGGTCGGCATAGGGACGGCGAGCGTCCAGAACGGGTTTGCCTGTTTCGCTGGAGTGAGCACCCTGTTGCCGTTGCTGGTTAGCTTCTTGCAGTGGGCGGGATAGTGATGGTCAAGACGACTGGGGCGTAGGCAAGGGTCGTCTGTACCTTCTGAGAGCGGAGGGAGAATGGAGAAGATTTGATTAGTTGGAGTTTTTCTTGCGACAGCCGCTGATCCTTCACTTCATATCTGGTCACCAGTGACGGCCGCGTCAACAAATTACGCGAACCCGATGCTCGCTCTGGAGCCCGAGTAGCTGGTAACCCGGCAGGCTTTGCGTATTGATGAGCAATGCCTGAATAATCCATCGGCAAGGCTTGCGGTAGTGCGCTCCTCAATCGGCTCGGCAAAGTTGAAGAAGCTGAGGCCTGAAACTGCCCCTTAACTTAGCGGGTCTCCTTTTCGAGCTGACCAGGCGTGGTCGTCGTCAGGTGGCGGCAGGTGAGTCCCCGTTGAACAAAAAGGGGTTAAAGTCTAGTGGTAGCCATCGACTCGGCAGCCCCTTCATGTCGGCATGTCGAGATCCGGCATAGCCCCTGGCATCGATCCGGTCACGGAAAGCACGTCCTCGGCTCGCGGCCGTCGTCGATATCTCAGCGATTCGTGAACCCTATCAGCTCGCGCATCCGCTTCAGCTTCGACTTCCCTCCGGACGTCTGATCTTAGGTCCTTGGCGATATCCATACCCTTTGTCTTGCTCAGGGATCGCTCAGCGTCTGCGATGGCCTCGTCACCGCCACGGGTGTTCTTCTTTCGTGGCCACATACTCGGGAGCGCGATCTCTTGAAATCTCGGCTCCACGCACCGCTCGTCGAACCAACGGTGGAGGCGTGACTCAACAAGCTGTGCAATCTTGGGTACGTCCTGCAGCCTCGAGCGGCTTCCCAACAAACTACGAATAGAGAAATCCAGCCTGTAGTCGTCGAGGAAGGTGAATGTCATCTTGGTGGGCGTATTATCGGATGGGTTGCTGGGCACAAATGATATCGACAGTGTGCCGCTGAAGCGAACAACTGAGACGGCCAGGGCAACGGGCAGAACCGCGCTGAGGCGTCTGGGGTAGTTGAGGAGCAGCTTCGTCTCAACCGCCAGCGTGATCATGTCGCTCAAATCAACGTCCATCCTGGCTTGGAGCCGCGCCCCTTCTCGAGTGGCCATGTTCGCGTCGAAGGCCTTACCCGGCTTGAAGGTGAGGCCATCCTCGTCGACCGGGATGATGCGGCAATTGCTGAAGATGGGGAAGTCCTCGCCCAGACTCAACTCGGTGACGCGAATCTCATCAACAAAGTCCGGGCGCGTTGTCCCATTGAGTGCTTTGGTCAGCGATGTGAGAATGGCATCGTCATGCTGGGCGTCGCTGCGGAACTGGGCGATCGTCTGGGCTACGAGCACGTTGAACCAATCCAAGCTCTCCGGCTGGTGGCTGTCCACCTTGTAGTACGTCTTGTCAAGAATAGACCCGATAGTCAGGGTCGGCGGGCTCGGACGCAGGATACTCGACTTCTTTCTGTTAGGGTTGGTTTGCTGACCAGTCTCCCGGGTGCTTAACTCGCGCAGGCTCAGGAGGGACTTCTTATGCGCACGAGTCCGAGATCGTCGCTCGGCGGCACGAAGCGATGCGGTGACCTCGGGTGAAGGAGGTTCGCCAAAAATAAAATACTTGATGAAGGCGGCAAGCAGGAGCACTATCGAGAGCTGGCCCAGGATGAAGCCCTGGGTGAACGAGAGCCTGCACAGCCAAACGGGAAATTGTTGTTAGCAGCTTTAAATCGCCTCCTCCGGCAGAGAGACGGGCACAAAGGACTCACGCGGGCTCCGGCTTGGTTGGACAGACATCCTGTGCCATGTTTGGGTTGTCTGATATGGCCCCGATCGCCGATGAATTTGCTTCGCAAAGTTGAGTTGACGTTGTGAAGGTGTGGAGACATTCAAAGCTCCCCGGGTAGTGTTACGGATTGAACTTTACAAATTTCAAATATTCAACTCAAATCTTAAAAATATCATTCAATGCTTTCTTGAAATGGCTTGGCGAAATGATATGGACCCAGGCTAGGATTAATAGCCGATCAAACATTGAGCTAGCGTTAGGGGAAGATATTCAACTAGGGTAGGCTTGAGCCGGGGTAGCGGAAGGGAAAGCAAGATATATACGGAGGTACAGTAGTTCTAAACCTTAGCTATACCGCCTGGCGTATTAGGTGAAGTTTCAGAGTCACACTTTCAAATCGTGATTTCAGGATTTTCTGAAATTCCGTAACCCTACACCGGGTCAGAAGAAGGTAGCTGACGCCTTATCTAATCGGTATGCGACTTGGGACTTGGAGAGGATGGCGTCTTGGCAGCTACAGGGGTCGTGCCTCCCAGTCATTCCCGTCTCCGGCACTCTCACTACGGCATACAAGCAAGGCATCGGCAACTTCCATCCAACCATCACACACCCAGACTCAGATACATAAGAGCCTCACATCTCCGGATCACCGTTTCTGGTCTCTATCCGAATATCCGAGGTCTCCTACGAACCAGCATGTGTCCTCGTCTTTTCTGCGAGTTATAGAAGACGTTTCTGGCGTCTTATTACACAGACTGGTCCGTTCCCTGTTCACCGAGTTGGTTCAACATGGACGTGGTGCAGGCCTCGGCGGGCTACGTCACCAAGATGGTGTCGGCCGGCGACAGCGCAACGGGGGCGCCGTCGGCCAAAATGAAGATTTTGCTACTGGACAGGGAAACGCTTGCCTTCATTTCGACAGCCGTCACCCAATCGGCCCTGCTCAACCACGAGGTCTATCTCATGGACCGCCTCGAAAATACCAACCGCGAGAAGATGCGCCATCTGCGCTGCTTGTGCTTTATAAGGCCACACCCCGACTCCATCGGCCTTCTCATAGACGAGCTGCGGGAGCCCAAGTACGGCGAGTACCATCTGTTCTTCAGCAACGTTGTCAAGAAATCTACCCTTGAGCGCCTAGCCGAGGCCGATGACCATGAGGTGGTTAAGCTGGTCCAGGAGCATTTCCTTGACTATGTTGTCATCAACCCCGACCTCTTCTCTCTCAATATGTCACTGCCCATGCACCGGATATGGGGTGGCACCCCGGACACTTGGAACACTGATTCCCTGCAGCGGGCCACTGAGGGCATCATTGGCGTTCTTTTGAGCCTCAAGAAGAAGCCCTTGATTCGGTACCAGAAAACGAGCCCATTAGCGAAGAAACTGGCGTCTGAGGTCCGATATTACATCACCCAGGAGGATCAGCTCTTTGACTTTCGCAAGGTCGACACACCCCCTGTGCTCCTAATTCTAGACCGGAGAGAAGACCCCATCACTCCCTTGCTCATGCAATGGACATATCAAGCAATGGTGCACCATCTCCTCGGCATCAACAACGGCCGGGTTGACCTCAGCCATGTTCCAGACGTCCGGCCAGAGCTTAAGGAGATTGTCCTGTCGCAGGACCAAGACCCATTCTTCAAGAGGAACATGTACCTCAACTTTGGCGATCTTGGGGGCAACATCAAGGACTACGTCGAGCAGTACCAGTCCAAGACCAAAAACAACGCCGACATTGAATCGATAGCCGACATGAAGCGCTTCATCGAGGAGTATCCCGAGTTCCGAAAGCTCTCAGGCAATGTGAGCAAACATGTCACCCTCGTCTCGGAGCTCAGCAGGCGAGTAGGCGCCGAGAACCTCCTCGAGATCAGCGAGCTCGAGCAAAGCATAGCCTGCAACGACAACCACGCATCCGATCTCAAGGTATTACCTTTCGCCTTTTCCGATTCTATCGCCTCCACTGACCTCTCTCAGAACATCCAGAAACAGATCCAATCCCCCTCTGTTTCACCAGAAAGCAAAGTGACCCTCGTCGCCATCTACGCCCTGCGCTACGCAAAACACCTGTCCAATTCCCTGCCCATGCTAACCGACCTGCTCACCGCGGCCGGCGGTGTCCCCGCCCGCCAGGCCGCGCTCGTCTCCAAACTCCTGGCCTACCATAACTCCCTACAGCAATCCGCCGCGACCGCCTCAGGCATCACCGAACTGTTCGAATCGACAGGGCTCTTTAGCTCGGCTGGCTCGCGCTTCAAGGGTCTTAAGGGCGTCGAGAACGTCTACACGCAGCATTCGCCGCTGCTCGAAACGACGCTGCAGCAGCTAATCAAGGGCAAGCTGCGCGAGGCGCAGTACCCGTTTGTGGAGGGAGGCGGCACGACGAGAGATAAGCCGCAGGACGTGGTTGCGTTCATCATTGGCGGGGCTACATATGAGGAGGCCAAGATGGTGGCAGGGATCAATGCTTCGAGTCCCGGTGTCAGGGTCGTGCTGGGGGGCACGACGGTGCATAATGCTGCGACGTTCTTGGAGGAGGTGGAGAATGCTGTGGGCGGGTGGCCTGAGGTAGCAGCGGGGAGGAGGCTGTGAGCTGAGAGTTGTAACGGGGGATAAATGTCGGCGGATGGGTGCCTCGGATAACTGCTGATGGGTTTTCGGAGTTTATTTTGAAGAAGGTGTGGTCGTTCTCCAATACGAATTAGAGATAGGCCGACCTAAACTCTAGGATCTCTGCTTTTGACTTCAGACAACCGCCGTATGCACCTCTATCTATCGTTCCGTTTTGCCTATCGGTCCATCACCCCTTTATAAACACCCACTTGGCATCACTCAAACCAGCCTGCAAGAATCCATGCACCCATACCCCGCCGCCACCCCCCCTTCTTCACTCTTATCCCCCTTCGTCCTCAACAAATACCCGGCCCCCTCATTCCGTAGCACCTCCCCTGTCGCTTGATCCCACAGACACGTCCCATAGATACCCAACTCACAAATCACCCCGCCGTGCTCCAACCTCCCGTTCCTCAGGATGGTATTCACCAGGGGCGGCGGCGTAATGAGCTCCATCAGGATGTACGACCCCCAATGCTCCTCGGGAATCTCCCTCAAGCGCTGCGGGATGGCTGTCCGGTAAAAATTGTTCCCGCCGCCTTCGCGCTGCGGCTTCATGACGTACTTCTTGCACTCCTCGGAATCCGTGGCCAGCCGTCGCGCCTCGAGCCCCGCGGGAGTCGTGTCGAGCGGGTAGATATTGGTGAAGGTCTTCCAGAGAGCGGAATACGCTGGCTCGTCGGGGACGAAGCGCCGGAGTGCGGACGGAATGGACGAGACGGACTCGGGCGTGGCGAGGACCTGTTGCACTTTCTTCATGCCTGCGAGCTGCGTGAGGACGGACGGGCAAGTGATGGCGGCCGAGCGCTCGAGCTGGTAGCGCGCTTCCCAGGCTGAGGGATCGGGGTAGTCGCTTGGTCCGTAGCCCGCGCGCAGGTAGGCGACGGCGACTTCAAAGGTGAGGGATGGGTTGTGGGGTAGGTGATAGAGGAGTTGGCGGCCTCGGGAGGACGGCGCGAGGGTGGTGTGCGTGAGGATCTGGGAGAAGGGCAGGCGGAAGACGGGGATGGGCTCCGAGTCGGAGGACTGCAGGGCGTATTCGAGGTGGCGCTGGTCAAAGACGTTGCGTTCGCCGTCTTGAACCAGGAAAACAATGCAGGTTGGGTGACCGAGCGCGGATTTGCCGTAGGCGTGAAAAGCGGCTCCCAGACCGGCGGCGAGGCCCTCTGCGCTGTGGTTGGCGGGAAGGTCGAGGGTCGATCTAGGAATACCGCTCTTCAGGAGCGGATATTCGGTTTTGGATAGATATCTAGGGTTTTGTTAGCAGCTTTGCTAGCAGATACGGCTGGGTATCGTACTTGTGAAGCAGCGTAGTCTGCGCCGAAAGTCCGCCAAAAGAAGACGCGATGGTGTTGAACTCGACTTGCTTGATTTGAAGGTTGTCACCGTCCTGGTGAACCATGTAGTCGGACCGGAAGAGGCCGAGGGCGAGACTCTAAGAATCGGTAGTCAGCCGCCTGGAGCTGAGAGGTCTCGTGGTCATACAGCATATATACCTGAACATAGCCCTCTTCCTTCACCCTAAGATGGACATTCCACAGGTTTGCGATGAAGTCGTCACCGCCAGCGACCCTGTCACGGTCAGAGGACGTTAGGAGACAGCCTCAGAATTGAGCAGGAAACCCACTCTTGCACAAGGCTGCTGAGAAACTCCTCGTCCTGGCTGATGCGGGCGTACAGCTCATTGTACTGCGCCTGGATGTCCTGGGCCTCTTCAAAGCAAGTCTTGGGGAACGGACTTGGGAAGAGAGTGACGGGAGCACTCATGGCCAGAATGCCCTCGGTGTCGTCCCCTGCAACTGTTGGCGGCGGTCGCACGGCAAGGCCATTGGCGATGGTCCAGTCCTTGATGGTCTGTACCAACCTGTTTCTTTCGAGAACATCATTAAGAGTTGGGGGGTAGGATGGCCCTGTCGAAGATGGCATTGTGTGAGGCGCGGCCCGTCTGAGATAGGCTAACTGTAGATCCAAGCAGAAAGCAGCGTGGTGCAGTTCGAAGGGAAATATAGCACCGAAGTTTTCGAATTCAAAACTTGGGTGTTCGATCAGGGGCAGTCTGATGCTTACAAAGCCGAAATCAGCCGGTATTGCACCCACCCGCCTTCGTGCCTGGCGGATAGTCGCCCGGTCAGCAGCTTGTCCAGTAATGAATCTCTCGCTAGACGCTTCAAAACTCACAATCTCGTCTCCCCTGTACCACCAAGATGGAGAGCTTTGCTTGCCTACAGGTGACTTAACTGCCTTAACCAAGTTACGTTACAATTGCCGAGTCCCGATGCTTCTGATGCCCCGCACTTGCGCTCTCGGTTCCCTGCCGTGCGTTTCGTGGGGCTGCTTTATCTTATCGGGGTGAGGAAACAATGTGCCTGGTGAGGTGTTGTAGATTGGGCCTTCAAGCTCTTATTTTCGTTGCTTCTTTCCCTTTGTATCGATCCTTATCTTTCTATTTCTCATCTGCCAGGTTCTGGCCTCAGTTCTCTATGGTGGTTCGCCGGGCTATTGATCCCTGGATGACTTCGACCGTTGGGTCCAGTTGCTTTGCCCTCACTGTCAGGAGGATCCCTTCAACCCGTTCACAATGGCATACGGCTTTGTTGACTCGAGGGTTGCAGAGTAGTGTGGGAGACTTGCTGCAGACGTACGCCAACAAACTCTCTAGACACAAGTCGTAAGGTGACGGCGGACAATTCATATACTGCTGAACTTGAAGACCATAGAGATTCGATAGGCATTTACTGTGACGCGTCGGGAGCGCCTTCTGGAGCGCCTGGGTGGTGGCTTTCGTGGAAAATGGGCTGAATAGCAGCCATCCCTAACCCCTATCTATCTACTGGGTCCCGCGTTTTAGCGCGTTGATCGCTCCCACTGGTATTATCGTGGCTCTCATCGATCCTCGTCACCACAGAGCAGCGGGCATAAGAAAACCCAATGCAAATCCTATCTTCACTTCATCAGCCGCCGAAAATTTAAATGAATCAATTTACAGCGTCGGCCCCGCCGCCCTGCCAGGAATCATCTTCAAGATCTTTCCGATGCGGCCGCTGCAAAGCACGATCACAGAGCTCATCGTGCCTTTCAACCTTACAAAACCTGCGTTTCACGAACCACATTCAGACATCAATCACTTTGCCGAATCCGCGATTCGATCTTGTTTTGCATTCGAGGTCGCTTAAATTCTGAGCATGGAGGGTGACGACCAGAGCGATCCGTTTCTCTGGGACGAGGATCGCGTGGTGCAAGAGCTCTGCACCTCACACCGGTCATGGAAAGCACCTCCGGCGAAGCGGCTGCCAGATCCTGCCGCTCTCGAAGCAAGACTTCGTGAATGCGGCGTCGATGGCGAATCGCTTCTAACCTACGGAGACGAGTTCGGCTTCGACCAACTGTGGCGATATTTAGGCGTTAAGAAACTGCCTCACCAACTCTCTTTGAAGGACGCCGTTTCTCAGTTGCGAAGGCACAGCCCAAAGTACAGGGCATGGAAATCTCAACAGCTGGCCAGCAGCCAGCTATGCGACGAAGATGATGGTGGCTCGGCAATCAAATCCGAGTTCCAGAAGCTCACTGGCCTTGAGCATGTCGGTCAAGCCGCCGCTGTCAGTGGCCCGATTCCAGGTGCAAACGACGCCGAGCCCAGCGCAGCCTTGCCGGACTCGACAAAGTCGTGCCCGGGTGTTCTGTCTCCCGCACAGTCACCTTCTGCCGACCGCGACCTGCCTCCTCTTCCCGGCGCATCAGGAACCTTGAGCCCTGACCAGGAGGTTGTGGAAGGGCCTCCAAGCAAAAAGAGACGGATCGCGCCAACAACACTCTCCACTGAACCCACGGATAACGACGCGATCAGAATCATCCCCACAGAAGGCGATGTACCTCTCAAGGGCACAGTGGAAGCCTTGCTGCAGGCCAACAATCAGGCTGGTTTCTTAGGCGCAAGTATTCTGCGGCTTGATGAGCTCACAAATCCTCACACTATCGATCACAAGGATGCTTCTGAACGCGAGTTTGCTTGGATGCAGAGGAAAATTCCCCCGGGGCGTCGCATTCAGGTCTCAGCAGCTATGAAGCGGTTCTTACGATCGACCCGCGTCGACTCATTCCACGGCTCCGGCGCTAACACGGAGGAAGACCAGGCCGACCCGACTTTGCCCTTATTCGGGGACTCAGACGGCGAGAGCATGGACTCCCAAACTTGGCAGGAGTACTTAGAGGAAGAGGAGGAGCGCGCAGCCATGGAAGCGCGCAAGAACGCCACCAAGAACCGGACGCTCAGCAAGGACGAGGTGGCCAGGGTTATCGACAGTGCAATTCAAGACCTGGAGGCTCAGTGGGCAGCAGAAAAGAAGCCCAAATATGACCTCAAGGCCTGGAAGATATGGCAGGATGCCCGCCGCAATCCCAATCGCCTGGCTCTCATCAGCTCGACAACGCGCACGTGGCAGCACCTTCAGAGTCGGATCGCAATTCTAACAAGACACATCATGGATGAGCCGTGGTCAGTTGATGAGGACGTCCACCAGAAAGCTTCAGGCTTCCTGGAAGTGACAGTTTTTGAGAAGAAGTACCAGAGCTGGCTCATCGATGTTCTCCGAAGCCCGAAACAGCCGCCGAAGCCATCAAGACTTCCGTGCCGGACCCCTCGCCAGACGAAACCAACGATTCTCGATGATGACGAGGAGATTTTGACAAGTGACTCGGACGACATGGACGCCTTCATTGAGTATGACGAAGAGGCCGTTCAGCTTGTCCAAGATGAAATGGACATTGTCTCTGAATCAGCCTCGGAACGGACTCCCGCTCCGGCTAGCACCGATCACGATGACTTGGCTATGCACGACAACGGAGACGATGCCAGTCTGCCTTCAGCAATTGCAGCACCTTCTGCCAAGCAAATGGAGTGTGACCCGCCTCTCACGCAGCTCACGCCTCGAAAAATCAAAGCCGAGAAAGCCTTGGCACCACTGACTACCCTCCAGAGTGGTTCTCGGGCTCCCGAGGTCATCGAGATTGATTCGTCCCCTTCACCATTCAACCCACTCAGTCAAGTCCCCTCCCTCCGTGACCTCGAAAGCCTCGAGAAGATTGGGGAAATTGGCGTTGACTACTGGGAAAAGGTTGGGGACGCCGAGCGGCTTGTGGTGGCCGTGCTGTGCGAGTGGTCTCGCGGACAGCGAGACAGGCTCTATGACGCGGTCAAGAACCATGACCACAGCGACCTGTGGACAGAGTATATGGAGCCCGCCCTGCAAAATCCCACATCAGTCACCGTCGACACGGTTGCATTTCTCATCTGCCGTCTGTTCGATGTTTTCGTCAGCAAGACAGCCAAAAGGGCGAACCAGCAAAAGCTGAGGAACAATACATGCCATCGCATGAAGCGTGAAGGTGACCAGTTTGCTAGCTTCTACACCCTTCTCAGGAGAATCATTCCGATCTTTTTGGAAATGCCCCAGACGCCAACTCGAATTGTGCTCAAGGCCCCCAGGAAGGATAGCTCGGCCGCACGAGAGATGGCCGAGATTTCAGAACCTGCACATGACGCCAGCGCCTCAGAGGAGTCCTCATCGGATGGCGCGCCTACAGCGCCGACTAAGAAGCGGCGGAGACGTAAACTACGCGATGAAAACGCAGCAAAAATTCGAATTGACACCAAAAAGATCACTGAAGAGCATGCCCGGCGCGCCGACCAGCTGCGCACAAGGATCCGCGAACAGGGATCGGTGAGCTCGAAACAGTCACGCCTCATCGTCAACGAGACGAAGGAATCTGAGGATCAGGCATTGATCTACATCAACAACCACATCGGCAGCAAAATCAAGGATCACCAAATTGAGGGCGTCCGTTTCATGTGGAACCAGGTGGTCGTCGATTCCAGTGTCCGCCAGGGCTGTCTGCTCGCGCACACCATGGGTCTCGGCAAGACGATGCAAGTTATCACACTCCTGGTGGTCATTGCCGAGTCGTCTGCGTCGCAGGACGAGTCTGTTCGCTCGCAAATTCCCGAGAGTCTGCGGGAATCCAAGACGCTGATCCTATGTCCCCCGAGTCTCGTGGACAACTGGCTTGAAGAGTTAGAGATGTGGGCACCCGGAGGGGTGCTTGGCCCGGTTTGGAGGTTGGATAGCTCAAAGCCGCTCTCGGAGCGTTTTCAGACAATTCGAGATTGGGCATCGTCTGGTGGAGTGCTGGTCGCTGGCTACGCATTGTTCACCAGCCTCGTCTCCGCCGACGACGAAATTGCCAAGCTGCTGATGGAGACACCCAATTTGGTCATTGGCGATGAGGCACATTATATGAAGAATCCGGACTCTCAAAGGCATCAGGCCACAGCGAACTTCCGCACGATGAGCCGCATTGCCATGACCGGGTCGCCTCTGACCAACAACGTCATGGATTACTATTCCATGATCAACTGGGTTGCACCCAACTATCTTGCCGACATCGCCGAGTTCCGACAGAGGTTCTCCAACCCGATCAAGGAGGGTCTCTACGCCGATAGCGACCCATATGAGAAACGGAGGGCCCGGAAGTTGCTGCATGTCCTGAAGGGAACGGTGGACCCCAAGGTGCACCGGAGGGACATTGATGTTCTCTACAACGAGCTTCCAAAGAAGAAAGAGTTCATTCTTACGCTGCCTCTGACTAAGCAGCAGATGCGGCTGTACCGGAGATATCTCGAGTTCGTGACCAGGGAGCAGATCACTGGCAGCGCGAAGGCTTGGAGTCTGGTGGCCAAACTTCGACTTGTTCTGGCCCATCCTTTCATCTTCAAAACCTACGCTGAAGAACAGAAAGAGAAGGCGAAGCGAGGCGGCAACAAGTCCCAGCGCACAGTTTCGGCAGAGGGGCAAAAGCTCGAAGAGATCGACGAGGATGTGTTGCCTCAGGATGCCATTCACGAGCTGCTTGCCACGGTTGCCATCCGCGAGATTGAGAGCTATGATCTCTCCAACAAGATTGTCCTGCTTCTCAAGATTCTGGAGGAATGCCGGAAAGCCCGTGACAAGGTGCTGGTCTTCTCGCAGAGCACGCTCACGCTCGACTACATCGAGAACATCTGCAAGAGGCAGAAATACGTATACCAGCGCCTGGACGGCAACACTCGAATGGCAACACGCCAGAACGCGGTCAAGAAATTCAATACCGACGCCGAGTCAGAGGTCTACTTGATCTCTACTACCGCAGGCGGCCTCGGACTCAACATCTATGGGGCCAACCGAGTGGTCATTTTCGACTTCAGGTACACGCCGGCTGACGAAAAGCAGGCCATTGGTCGGGCATACCGACTCGGGCAAACAAAGCCGGTGTATGTCTACTGGTTGACGATTGGCGGCACCTTCGAGGAGACCATCCACAACCAAGCCGTTTTCAAGACTCAATTGGCGTCTCGGGTGGTGGACAAGAAGAACCCGGACCCATGGTCAAAACGCATGGCCGAATACTTCGCACCGCCCAGATTCATTGATCAGGAAGACCTGGATGGGGCGCGAGGCCAAGATGGGGTTCTCGATGCCCTTCTCGGGAGCGAGGATATTCGTCAGCGCATCCGGAAGATCACGTCGACTGAGACATTTGAGAAGGAAGAGACCTTCGAACTGACGGCAGAGGATCAAAAGGAAGTCGACGAAGACGTTCAGCTTGAACTGCTCCGGTCCCAGAACCCAGAGGAGTTCAAACGTCGGGAGCGCGAAAGGGCATTTCCACCGAGACCCACGTTCGCAATGCCGCCGCCGGCGCCGGGGTTCTATCAACCGCACTCCACGGATGGTGAGTCTCAAGCAGCACCTCAATGCATAGCCAGCCGCAGCAATATGATTGTGAGGATCAAGGTGCCGGAGCATTTGAGGGAGAAACGCAAACCGGAGTCATCAGTTTCTGCCGTGGTTGCCGGGACAGCGTCCGCTCCCTGCGCACCGTTGCCGGCACAGCCAGATGACGACCATTCTCACCAGCAAGTACTGACTCTCACTTCTGATGCAGCGTTAGTCAGCCCTCCCGTCCCATTCGCGCACCAGACGACGAGCGTCACGATCCCAGCAGCTACTCAATCCCCGCCGGTTCAGGGCCAACCAACCATTTCGCAAGCCAGCCCAGCACAGATTCAGAGTCCGAACAACGATGCGATTCCAGGGTTAGCGTTGATTCCAGGGCTCAGCCCGGAAGTTCCACAACCCATACTTGCCACCGGGTCGCATTTTAAGGGAACTCAAACCCCGGCGCCTTCAGCATTACTGAACGTCTCCCCGATCCTGGGCAGCCCGGGCACATCATCTCCCGCAGCCGACGAGGGATTCGAGTTCGACTTTCCGGAGCTGGTGGCCATTCACCGCAAACTAGACCGCCATGTGCGGCACCACCCCGGCGAGTTGGTCAAGAAGGTGGAAGAAGAGTTAAACAGGAACAAGGTCGAGAAGCTTCCGCGGCTGGACAAAATTCAGAACCTGAAGGAGTTCTCTCGCAATCCGAGGTTCGCTGAGGCAATGCTTGCGGGGTATATGGAACCCGCGCAGCTTGCAGCTCTGACGAGGACGGAGATGGAGAAGATATCTGCCGCACTGGATGGCATGGCCAAGGAGGAGTTCAAGCAGCATGTTTGGACAGCCAAGGCCGATCTGAACGTATGCACCACCGACACCAAAGCGCACCAGAAGTCACAGTGAGCCCAGCAAACGACTGACATGATTTGATCGTGATAGCAATTTCGCCCGCAGTTAAATCCAAAGACGAAAACGGCGGGGACGAGCACGGCGGAGTTGAGGGCGGTGAAGGAGAGACGGTTGCTGCGGTTCATCGAATCTGGACCGGAATCAGAGGATGTTGCTGCTCCGCCGCAGGGCCCCGGGCGCGGGTTGAAACCCGGCGATTCAGCCGACTTGCCGCAGTTTATTGACTAACGGAAGCACTTCTGCTTTCACACTTTTTTTCATCGTCGATCTATTATTTGAGATACCCATCGATTGCTTCCTGGGGCTTTGCAAGGCGGCGGTTGGGGGGGCTCATGACAACGGGAGGCATGGGGCTGGCATGGCAGGGCAAGGCAAGGCAGCGCAAAGGAAGAAGCAGCACCTATGGGCAAAGGGAAACCCAGGATGGGCGGAAGGGTGAGCTGCTTTCATCTTCACCCTGGCCAGGTTTTTCTGGGATTTGTTGGACGTGTTGTCTGTTACAAGGGCACGGATCAGAAATCTAGCTTAAGCTAAAGCTTTCTGCCCAATCAGAAATATCATCAGCGGTGATCGAAAGGAAAAACAAGCTCTTCGCGTTTTCGCATACACGTATGCAAAGTGGTCTGACTGGATGCGAGTCCTAGTTGGTGATTGTTCAATGCATTCGCGAAGCCGGTACGGTCATAATATTGTCAGGTCCAAGGTGTAAGAGGCCCGAGAGGTCTCCGATACTGCGGGGTTGAGCCAAGAGTCGCAGCGCAGGAAGTTACCATGACTTGGGTTGTGTGGACCAGAACCAAGCCCTGCAGCCAATAGGACAAGGCGGAATTGGCAGAAGCGTTGAATGGCCAGAATCCCATTGAAGAGGCCAGATACCGAAACTCCGAATCCAGACACGGAAGTGTCCACATGGTGGGCCACCTGCAGGAGATGGCCGCGGAAGAACTGTAAGAAACTTGTAGTCATATTCGTCAACCTCCGGTCGATTTCTCCTTCTTACCTACTCTTGCTCTCCAAAACTCTCAATTCGTCTATTCGCCTCCCGTCCTGCTGTACACGCCATTGCGTTCCCGTTCTTGCGCGCTGTCAGGGCTCTTTCAGTCTCACTTTTCGATTTCCGCCCTTTCAGGCACAAGGATTCTCTTTTTTCTTGCCCCTGTCGCAGAGAGTTGAATTGATTCCTCCCCGCCCCCACCGTCGACGTTTGTTGAGAAACGCTGTGCTGAACGCCAAGGCACACACACAACACCCTGAGACGGGCCATTCGGATCAAATTGAACCTCTCAGGACCACGAGTATGGACTCTGTTCTGCGCCAGTCCAAGGCCATGTGCCCCTTCATGAGGAACGCCACCGCCGCGGGGCTCCGCGCCATGTCGACGGCCACCCCGACTGCCGTCTCGCCCTGCGGCGGCACCATGTCTAAGCTTCAGGTCCTCGCTCGCCGCTGTCCCGTCATGGGAAAGGCCATGGCTATCCAGACGGCGCGCATTGGACAGGCCACCGGTTTCGGCACCGTCGCTGCTAAGGCAAGCATGTCGACTCTCTCTGGCCACGTGAAGACCGGCAAGGCGAAGCTGCACACCAGCCGCTCCCAGGAGGCCCAGGCTGTCGAAACCCCGGTTTTTAGCGGCCGCGAGAAGGGTAAGTTGCGGTAGTTCTGTGGTGATATGCTGCGCGGGAAGGACCCCAGACAGACCAAGAGCCTTCTGCTGACAATGTCTCTGCTCGCAGCCCAGCTGCCTCCCCGCCTTCCGACCAAGCAGCATGTTAGCGCCAGCCCTGCGACTGCCACGCGCTCCGGCGCTCCGGACTCGCACTCGGCCAAGTTCGACTATGAAGGCTTCTACAACCGCGAGCTGGAGAAGAAACATAAGGACAAGTCGTACCGCTACTTCAACAACATCAATCGTCTGGCCAAGGAGTTTCCCCGCGCTCATATGGCCAGCAAGGAAGAGAAGGTCACGGTCTGGTGCGCGAACGACTACCTGGGCATGGGCCGGAACCCATATGTCCTAAAGGCGATGCATGAGACGCTTGACGAATACGGTGCCGGCGCTGGTGGCACGCGCAATATCTCGGGCCATAACAAGCACGCGGTGGAGCTGGAACAGACAATTGCCAAGCTTCATGCGAAGGAGGCGGCGTTGGTCTTCAGCTCGTGCTATGTGGCCAACGACGCCACTCTGGCGACACTCGGCAGCAAGATGCCCGACTGCGTCATTTTGTCGGACAGCCTGAACCATGCATCCATGATCCAGGGTATCCGCCACTCGGGCGCGAAGAAGATTATCTTCAAGCACAACGATGTACAGGATCTGGAGGGGAAGCTGGCGTCACTGCCGCTTCATGTCCCCAAGATCATCGCTTTCGAGTCGGTCTACAGCATGTGCGGATCAATTGGCCCTATCGAGGAGATTTGCGATCTCGCCGAGAAGTACGGCGCCATTACATTCCTCGACGAGGTCCATGCCGTCGGTATGTACGGCCCGCATGGCGCGGGCGTGGCAGAGCATCTCGATTATGAGGCGCATGCTGCCGGGCGACCCCGCGGCACCATCATGGACCGCATTGACATCATCACTGGAACACTGGGCAAGGCCTATGGTTGTGTGGGCGGCTACATCGCCGGCAGCGCCAAACTGGTCGATACGGTGCGCTCGCTAGCGCCAGGCTTCATCTTCACCACGTCTTTGCCGCCTGCCGTGATGGCTGGCGCCCGCACCGCCATTGAATACCAAATGGAATACCAGGGCGACCGCCGGCTGCAGCAGCTGCATACGCGCGCGGTCAAGGAAGCGCTCCAGGAGCGCGACATTCCCGTGATCCCCAACCCGAGCCACATCATTCCCATCCTGGTTGGCAACGCCGAAATCGCCAAGCAAGCAAGCGACAAGCTTCTTCAGGACTACGGGATCTATGTGCAAAGCATCAACTATCCGACGGTTCCAGTGGGCCAGGAGCGCTTGCGCATCACTCCCACGCCGGGTCACACCAAGAAATACCGGGACGAATTGGTCAACGCGATCGAGAGCATCTGGACCGAGTTGGGCATTAAGCGCACCAGCGAATGGGCCGCCGAGGGTGGCTTCATTGGCGTCGGTGCACCGGATGCCGCGCCCGACGAGCCGCTTTGGACGGACGAGCAGCTTGGCATTGCCGAGGCGGCGCGCATGCTGCTGCAGGCTGCTGAGGCCGAGCAGCAGCAGCAGCAGCAGCAGCAGCCGCCGCCCAAGGGTTCCTCTCCTGGCCCGCTGACGGGTGGACTGACGGAGAGACTCTTGGAGCGGGAGATGAAGGGCTTGCAGCAGAGCGCTAGTGTCGCTGCTTGAATAGGCTTCCCATCTTGTGTTGCCTGTGGTCTGTCCATGACCGCCCTCTCCTTTCGATTCTCTTACCCGCTCGGTCTGTCCGTGCGGGTGCCGTTGCTGCTCAATCAACTTTGTGGAGCTCACCTGACCCGTCTGTCTTGTTTGTTTCTCCTTATATGTCGATATGCACTCTAAGACCAGAAGACGTCAAATACGTTCCTTGGAGCGGAAACGAGCAGCGAGTTAGTCGGCCTATTGCGCACTGAAGCGTTTGTGGTTTTGGGACTGGACACATGCTGTGTCACGCTGTCACGTCTTGTGAGGAAAGCAGTGCTCAAAGTGTGAATATGCTTCTTGGAGATACAACTCTTTGAAAACAAAGAAGTTCAGAATATTATTGGTTGGCCTCCTATGTTGAGGTCAACTTGCCATACCTCCGTCTTGTTTCATGCTGATTAGAGTGCCGTGCTGAATCTCATGTTTCTGAGTCCTCCAGAGTGGTCCTGTGAGCACGCTTATTATTACCCCATGTTCTGAAGAGGATTTCCAGATTCCAAGGGCTCAAAGTTCCTTTTGACGTTAATTAACTCTAATCTATCTATCCAATCACACACCCATCTTCCACAGCATACCCCACAGGAACGGAGCCGGAGACACTTGATCACTCCGACGGAGCAGGAGTTGGAGCGGTGAGACTCTCCGTCCCATCCATATCAGGCATGCAACTTGCAAAAACCGCGTGTAAAGTCGCCGCCGCAACAGGGCGGTGCTTGGACGACGACGACGCGTCCCGGTCGCATTATGTGCCGCTTCTTTCTTCTCGAACAGGGCCAAGGACAAGAAGATGGCATGTAGAGCATGGTGATTTCGTCAGCAGCATGACGACGACGACGACAATTTGTTGTTGATCTCCGCCCGTTTGAAAGGGGATGTGGTTGGGCTATTGTCTTCCGTTGTTGCTGTGCCGGTCTACCACAAGTCCAAGTCGGATTTACTACCTTAGATCCTCGCCTACGTAGTAGGTGGGAGACAGATGCAGTTGGCCACTTTTTTTACTTCTATGTTGCTGTCGCCTAACAGGTTCTCTAAAGCGAACTTGTTCTGTGGTGTGTCTTCACTCCCGAGACGAAGAAGGAATTCCGTCTCGAATCGCCCGCCTCCGCTCTGGCTCATTCTTTTGGCTCTGACCGGCTTAGGCAACTCGACCGATCCGTCAGCGTGGTACGGTGTAGTGTGGGGGGAGTTGTGGCGACATGGAGACTGCTATGGCAGCTCCCGTTGCAAGCAAGGTCACAAAGGGGCCGAGGGCTTGTGCCACTTGTGCAAAGGCGAAGAGCAGGTGTATAGCTGGGCCGAAAGGGCAGGACAAATGTGAGAGGTATGTTTTCAAGTTTGGTCTCTACTGTTTCATCAATCTCTCTATCCCTTCCTCCCGGGGGCTGATGTGTACTTGTACATTTTGAACAGTACAATGGCTGGGGCAAGTCCCCGACCCATGGGGAAACTCAAACAAAGGGTGCTTTGAGCTGTGACCCCGTTGGATGTCCACGTCCGGTTGGCTCAGGCTACCGCATGCCGAACTTACCAAACCTGGCTCCCTACTGCCTCGACCCAATTACCCTGCCTGGCCTTGGCCACTGTCTCGAGGAAACAGCGCTGACACATTCTAAAGATGCCACCGGCTCCAGAAGCCATGCTCTTCACAAACCCCAGCGCCCGCACGCAAGCGCAAGGAGCCCAAACCCACCCGGGTAGCAGAGCTTGAGCGACGTCTGGAGGACCTGACAGCCCGCATCGAGTCGGTCCAGCGACTGGGTCAGACGGAGCCGAGCCCGCCCAACTCGGATCATTATGTGCCGCCCTCTGGAGGAGCGCCCGCAGATATCGAGGACCCGCTGCCGCCGCCAGGGAACTTGTTGTCCGAATCCCGTGGACCGACACCCACTTACAGCCGGGACAGATGGGACCCGTTCGGGCACCTATTCCCGGACCGGTCCATCTTTGAGACCCGGCCCGACCACCAGCAACCCACAAGCAGCAGCAATGCTGCATCGGTGGGCCAAAACGCCTCCCCTCCAGTACCCCCAATCGAAATATCGACGCAGCCGACAGCCTCATCCCCCTACCAGCAGCCAGTTTCGCGCCCCTCTCAGCATCAAGTAGGTTGCCCATGGCCTCAGGGAGACGAAGCCGAGGCGTTCCTCCGGGTATACCGGGAGAAGATGGCTCATTTATTCCCCTTTGTCGTCGTGCCGCCAGACCTGTCGCCGGCTCATATGCGGGAACAACGGCCCTTTTTGTGGAAAGCCATCATGATGGAGGCATGCGTGTACGAGGGGGCGCGACAGGTTGCGTTGGGGAACGAGTTGCTGAAGGAAGTCTCCGAGGCGGCGCTGGTGAGGCCGGAGAAGAATATTGATCTTTTGCATGGGTTGCAGCTGTTGATTGCTTGGTTCGTAGCTCCCAGGCGTCCCGAGGCTGGATGCATGCTGACCGTTACTTTTTGGGGGTGTGGGTTAGGTACCATTATAACCTCGACAACTTCCAGATGGTCAACCTTTTGTTTCTGGCCAGGTCAATCACGCTCAGCCTGGGGTCTGCCGAGGTTAAGGGCTTCCCAGGTGATGGAAGGTACAGCTCCGAGTTGCTCGAGCTGATGCGCGCGTTCGCTGGGACGTATTATCTCGTAACCATGTGAGTGCCGTTTCCTAACACCATTGAGCGGAACCTGATCTGGTGAGATGCAGCACGTTCACAACAAACAAGCGGCCTGACGCCCTCATGAACAACATGAACACATCGTACTTGGCGACGTGCTGTCAAGCCCTTCACAGCCAGATGGAGTACCCCACAGACGAGCTCGCCGTTCATCTTGTCCGTACGCAGCAGCTGTCACAGAGCATCTTGCAGGCATTTTCCAGGCGCAAGGCCGTCTCTGATGAAAACCAGCCATCGCCGAGGGCCCTCATTCCGCACTTAATGGATCGTATTCAAGGATTCGCCGCCTCCCTGCCGCCGCATATCCGGGCGGACCGTAAGCGTTCCTCTGTCTGAACCAGGCTCCAGCTCCGGCTAACACCTCCTGACAACAGCTTCTTTAGCAGGCCACCTCCACGTCGCCGAAATCCTCGTGTACGAGAACAGCCTGGAGGAGCTCTCTCAGTGCCCCTTCGAGAAGCCATCTCGTGGACGAGATCGGACGACAGTTCTCGCCGCCTCGGTTGATGAGGCGGACCCGAAGCGGCTCGAACTTTTGTGGCAGTGTGCGCGTGTCGTGACCACATTCATGAAGAATCGCTTCTCGGAAGAGATTGGCGACTATCCCCGCTTCGTCTGCGTGTCGTCGTTTGACTTGACGTATGTGTTCCTGACAATGCTGCGGTTGGTGACGTTACAAGTTCCTGGGTGGGACTTGGCAGTGGTCGCAAAGGAGTTGCCCTTCAACGGTAGGCAGCCGTCCCGCGAAGTTCGTAGGAGGTCCGTGAAAGCTGATATCATGCGTGCGTGTTCAGACTTTACGACGTGGTTAATACATCGCATGGAGTACACGGTAGAGCGACGGAAGCGGAAGAGCAAGCCGAGTGTCGCGAGCGACGCAGATGTCCCGATGCAGATGAATGAGACATCCACTACGGAGGTGCTAGTAGGGTGGCAGGAAGACGACTTCGGTGATCCCTATCTCAAGCTCACGCGCAAGCTCCGCAACGTTCGAGACAGTCTCAATGTAAGTTACTCACTCCCCTCCGGAGAAGGAAGAATCGGCCAGCTTACTGAGAGCATTGCCAACAGCTCATTGGGTTCGACAACGACTACGCAACTTCTCAGGTCGCGCGAGTTTGCAATCCTGCACCCATGACTGTGGCCGACGCGACCCAAGACTTGATGCAAGACCTGGGTGCTGGTCTGTGGCAGGACGTAACGGGTGGGCCGCCCGATTGGGATTCGTTTTTCGTAGGCAAAACGGTCGACTGGTCTGCCGTCTTGAACAATTACAGCATGGCAACCGAATCAGGATATATGGCATAGAGAATAGCAAGGGATTGGGCTCTACGGGGAGATCGGACGTTGTTGGCCGTCGTTTATGTTGCGGTAGGTGTATCCGTACAAAACGGGGGCGGCCCTAAATCGCGGCGAGTTCTCCCAGTCTCCAAGTGCTCGGATTTTCAATGAACTGCTAAGGTGCAGACAGAACGTGTCAATTTCCTGTTCGTCCTGCTTCCTCACAGGCGCCTTGCCTTGGGCTGTCTCAGGTTTGGATGTTCCGGGCAACTGCGTGCTCGAACCGATGTCCTTGGACTGACCGTTCTGTTAACCGCGATAGTCGAGAGGATGATTTTTACATACATTATCTTGACCTGCAATAATAGACTCAACGGAGCGGTACTTGCGACGAGCATCCTGCAAGTTAATTCGCCCGCTTCCAGTTTTGGCGAGCACATCTGAGAAATGGATGGGATAAAGGAAGGGTCAAGTCGGAACGGCCGATGTTCGGCGGCGATGACCGCTGGAAATCAGTGGGCCGAGCAACGAAGCAAGCGGCTTCCAATTTCTTGCTATCTGGTCAATGGATTTCAGGAAGGGCGAATTACCTAGCCAGAGTACCCGTTCATCGGCGATTCTTGTGCATCATGTAGGCTTCGAGCCTTTGCAGAGCAGAACCAGACCGAGTTGCACAATTCCAACCGTAGAGTCCATCTGAGCTACGTGAGATGAGTTTCCCTGGCAGTTCCACCCATACTGGCAGCATGTGGGGTGACTCGACGTCTGCAAGTAGTGAGTAGTATTCCCCCACATGGTCATCGAAAAAAAATCCCTTTGAAGACCCCCTCCTTCGCAATCATTCATCGCTGAGGCCTCAAGTACCGAGACACAAACCAGCTAGGATTCGTAGGAGCAGGGCTAGCAAGATGTCCAGCTACGACAAGTATCAGGCGAGTTCGACCTCCCACTTGTCTGTTTCGAGCCAAGAATGTACTCGTGTCTTGGGGGATTCCTCGGGCAAATCCTTAGCCACACACATGTCCCCAGCGGCAGTTGTAAACACCACAGATCGCTGACCGTGACTCAGACTCCCCTCAGCACGAGATATGCCTCGCAGGAGATGATGACCATCTTCTCGGCCCGCGAGCGTGCTAGCACCTGGCGCCAGCTCTGGGTTTGGCTCGCCGAGGCTGAGAAGGAGCTGGGTCTCCCTATCCCAGACGAGGCCCTCGACCAGATGCGTGCCAACGTGGTCGTCTCCGACAAGGCGTTTTCTGTCGCCCGGGACTACGAGTCCAAGTTCCGTGTATGCTATCTTTTTCCCGTCCGCCGGAAGAGACAGACCGTACTGACGGTGGGCTATAGCATGATGTCATGGCTCACGTTCATGCCTACGGCGAGGTATGAGGACAGACTTATCCTGGGCAACCAATCTCACCTAGTGCAGATGAGGGCTCTGCTATGGTTAGCTGGGCTGCAGTGACTGACTAGACCACACCCAGGACGCTCCCGCTGCCGCTGGCCATATCCACCTTGGTGTAAGTGAACCTTCCGGTTACGGATACAAGCCGTCAGGTCCACCGCAAATACCCTTGTTGCGAACATTTGAACTGCTTCTAAATTCTCACAGGCTACTAGCTGTTATGGTGAGTGCTGCGCCGCTCCATCACAGTACTGCCCATCCTTCGCCCTCTGTGATCATTGACTCGGCATGCAGTCACCGACAATGCCGACCTGATCTTCCAACAACGTGCTCTGGACCTCATCCTCCCCAAGCTTGCCAAGGTCATCAAGAACCTCCAGGAGTTTGCGCTTAAGTACAAGGATATGCCCACCCTGGGCTTCACCCACTACCAGCCAGTACGCAGCAATCCTCATTCCGAGCTCGTTTACTCTTGCTAACGCCCACTAAAAAGGCCCAACTCATCACTGTTGGTACGGATTTCCTCCCTTTCTACTTCATGTTCTGCGAGCATGGGGTATTGACTCGATCACAGGCAAGCGCGCGGCGCAGTGGATCCAGGAGCTTATGATGGACCTGGAGGACATTGAGACTGTCCGCAAGAGGCTCCAGTTCCGAGGCGCCCAGGGCACCACTGGCTCCCAAGCAACTTTCCTCGAGCTCTTCAACGGAGACGCCGGCAAGATTGTGCAGCTGAATGAGGTGAAAAGCAACCATTGCCGTCCCGTATTTTCCGTCTACTCACACTTCCCCAGATCCTCTGCAAGAAGGCTGGGTTCCCTTCAACCTACGCCATATCCACCCAGACGTACACAAGGAAGGTTGATCTCCGGGTGGCCAACGCTGTGTGCGCCCTCGGTGCGACTGCCGAGCGCATTTGCTCCGATATCCGTCACCTGGCCAACCTCAAGGAGATGGAGGAGCCCTTTGAGAAGAGCCAGATTGTGAGACTCTCCGGTCATTTGAGAAGAAACAATTTGACTGACTTTGTCTCAGGGCAGCTCAGCCATGGCCTACAAGGTAAGACTTCTTGTGAGATCCCCAGGGAAGGTATAGCGCTAACGGTGTGCAGCGGAACCCCATGCGGTCTGAACGCATCACAGCCCTTGGTCGCAAGCTCGCCCGCCTGCCCGCCAACTTCACCGCCACTTTCGAAACCCAGTGGTTCGAGAGGACGTGAGTGCTCTCTGAATGACTCTTTCCGTGTACCATGCTGACCCCGTGGCAGGCTGGACGACAGTGAGTTGTTCCCCGTTGAACCCCAAACCTCGCCCCTTTTTAGATTTGTTTACTCTTTTTATGGCCGTCGATTGTTCTGGTGCTGACCCCTACAGGTGCTATTCGCCGGATGGATATCCCTGAAATGGTTAGTCTCTGTACTTCACCTTTGTGATTCATTATGCTGATTTCTATTAGTTCCTCCTGGCCGACTCCATCCTTCTGGCACTGGACAACGTGACCAACGGCCTTGTCATCTACCCCAACGTGATCCGGTCTCGCATTGACCAGGAGCTCCCGTTCAGTACGTGATCGCTGCACTCAATGACACCGCTGGTTGCTGACACACAGGTTCTACCAGTGGCAACCGAATCCATCCTGATGAAGCTGGCTGCCCACGGCGTGTCTCGCCAAGACGCCCACGAGGAGATCCGGGTCCTTGTATGGAAGAAGTATCTCTATTGGAGGTTAAGTAGATTGCTAATGTGCTGCAGTCTCACCAAGCCAGCGATGTTGTGAAACAACAAGGTGGTCGCAACGACCTCCTGGAACGCATCAAGAAACATGAGTTCTTCAAGGTAAGTCTCCATAGCCATTCAAGAAGCGAATTGTGGGCAGGGAGGCTGACTGACTCGTTTTCCGCAGCCCGTTTGGGATGATATTGATAGCCTGGTCGACCCCAAGCTGTTCATCGGCAACTGCGCCAAGATTGTCGAGGACTATTGCAACGGAGAGGTGGCTGCGAAGCTGGCCAAGTACAAGGAGGCACTTGACGAGGCCTCGACGGCCCAGCTCTCAATCTGATTGACTTAAGTGCCATACTAGGTTTCACATTGGGAGGGAAAGGTATCCATCATCATGTAGGTTGGCAAAAAGGGGCACGTAGACGCATCTCAACCCTGACCCCAGAGATGTGGGACTTACTGCGATGGTCTAATAGAATTTGCAATACTCCGTACTGTAACGTCGAACAAGAAAATGCTTTCTTTTTGCCGTAAGATTGATGGAACGAATAGATCGAAGGAGACCGCCCTGTTCGGATCATGCTAAGAGTCGAAGCAGGAGGAAGTTGGGAGAGAGGTCGTTGAATCGGATCCACCCAATGCCGCGCCGCAGCGGTCAGCCCCCACACCCTGCCACGGGTCTGGTCCGGCTGTGTTGCGCTCCGCTTCCACATTCGTATCCAGGTTCTCGGATAGATTGAATGGTCCTTGAACCTCGATTGTCTAAAATCCTTATGATTTACCATGGGAAGGCCCGACGTTGATTACTCACTCTATTTGGTCACAGACTCGACCCCGGCTATCCTCGGCGACCAGCAGCTCAATGCCGTGGTCGAGGAGTCGCTCAAGGGGGGGGTCACCCTGGTCCAGCTCCGTGAGAAGACGGGCGACACGGGTCACTTGGTCACCATCGCACGGGAACTCCACAAAATCACTAAAACATACAATGTGCCGTTGATTATCAATGACCGCGTCGATGTGGCCCTGGCCGTGGGCTGCGAAGGCGTCCATATTGGCCAGGACGATATGGGCGAGTGAGCCTTTTTATTGCCAACCCCTGAACCAACCATGCTAACCCCGTTCTGCGGCAGAACTGTCGACGGCAAGGAAGCTTCTAGGCCCGAATGCCATCATTGGCGTGACCGTCAGCACCGTGGATGAGGCACTCAAAGCTTGTGAGGGCGGTGCCGACTACCTGGGCATCGGCACTGTCTATGCCACGCCAACGTAAGGCGCATTCTGTTAATCCAAAGCTCATCTGCCGCTGACATAGCGCTCAGGAAGACGAACACCAAAGACATCATCGGCACAGCAGGGGTTCGCGGAATCCTCGAGGAAATTGCAGAAGCAGGCTATGACACGCGGACCGTCTGCATTGGCGGCATCAACGAGTCCAATGTGCAGCGCATCGTCTTTCAATGCGCAGCCGAAAAGAAGAGATTGGACGGTGTCGCAACCGTCAGCGCTATCATGGCTGCGCACGACATTCAAGGCGCCGCCAGGAACCTCCTCGGCCTGGTCAAGAGTCCACCGGCTTTCGAGGTCGACCTTAACAAGCAGTCAGGCAACGTTAGTGCCCAAGACATGGTTGAAATGGCACCGTCGGTCATCCGGCATGTCCATGAGACCACGCCTCTCTCGCACAACATGACGAACCTTGTAGGCTTCCTGGCCACGACTCCCCGATTTCTTCGTTACTAACGCTGCCAAGGTTGTGCAAAACATTGCCGCAAACGTCGCCCTGGCCATCGGCGCATCACCCATCATGGCCGGATACGGCGAAGAAGCTTCCGATCTGTGCAAACTTGGGGGTTCGCTGGTCATCAACATGGGCTCGGTAGACCCGGCGGGACTGGCAAATTATGTGAAGGCGCTCAAGGCCTACAACCTCGCGGGGCGACCGGTCATTTATGACCCAGTAGGGTATGTATCTCTCTTGTGCCACAAGTCACGAACGAACTCTAGACACTGACCATTTCAGTGCCGGCGCCACCTCTCTTCGACGCGCAGCCGTCAAGACCATCATGTCCAATGGTTATTTGGACGTCATCAAGGGGAATGAAGGCGAGATCAAGACGGTTTTTGGCGGCAGCACCGAGCAACAGCGGGGCGTCGACAGCTCCAGCACGCTCGACGCCTCACAGAAGGCCAAGCTGGTGCGGGAGCTGGCGGCGCGCGAGAAGTGCGTGGTTGTCATGACGGGCAAGACGGACTTTGTCAGCGACGGTCTCCGGACCTTCGCCATCGACAACGGGCACGAGTATCTGGGCCTGGTCACGGGGACCGGCTGCACGCTTGGGACAACCATCTCGGCGGCAATAGCATCGCGCCAGACGGACAGGCTAGCGGCCGTCATTGCAGCCATCCTGCACTTTGAGATCGCGGCCGAGCTCGCTGCCACCCGGCCCGAGGTTAGAGGTCCGGGCACCTTTGTTCCAGCCTTCCTGGACGAGCTCTACCGCATCCGGCTGGCCACGGCGGCGAGCGGCGACCTATCTTGGCTGGCGAGGGCGAAGGTCAGTAGCGTTGAGTAGCTGATTTGCCAAAGCAACCCGTCTTTGAACCTCCACTTCCGGGTGTCACTGGCATGGTCCAATGTGTCCATAACCCCTTAAAGGCTCGGCTTGCCACAGTGAAAAGCGGGGTACGATCGGATTGTACCCCGGGTGCATTTACCCCAGGTTCCTCCTCCGTTCCGCCGCCCCGCCCCTAGAGAACCCACAACCCATGTGCCGTTTTTCCACCGTCCCGGATTTCGGACCAAGACTTCTTCGACTTTCAGACATACATGAGTCGGCCCTTGAAATAAAGCTATAGCCAACCTGAGTTTTACGCCTTTACCCCGAAACCAACCTCATTGCTCTCCATGGCCGGCCCTACCCCTGAGCGGCGGTTCAGTATGCTCCCCTGATCCACACGCCTCTGGCTGTCCCGTCACTAACACATCGACCCAGAGAACCCGGCAGTCTTGTGAGCCCCCTTTTCCGTCTCCTCAACGCCAAGGTGACGATGAACCCTACTGACCTCTCAACCAGCGTCTGTGACATTCAAGAGAAATTCCGTCCTACCATCCATGAGTTCGACAAAGTGTATAACTTCAAAGCCCTCGTCCTTCACATTTCTCACTTTCACATGTTAATCATGACTGACGGACACAACAGAATCCTGACGGCCCGCAAACTCCTCCTCGCCGCGCAGTCCTTGTCCCTCCCAGTCTTCGTCACCACGCAAAACCGCGCCCGCCTCGGCGACACCGTCGCCGAACTCCAACCGCTCATCGCGGCAGCCGGCCCCCTCGTCCACGCGGACGTCGACAAGACCCGCTTCAGCATGTGGCTCCCGCCCCTCTCTTCCAACGCCCATTTCTCCTCCCCCAGCGAAGTCGCCATCGTAGGCATCGAATCCCGTACGTCGAATCCATCCCGCTCTTACCCCCTTTTCGTATCCCCCACCCGGTCTGTCTGCCTGTCCTGTCTAAAAAAAATAAAATAAAAAATAACCCATCCTCCTCCCAACAGCCGCCTCCCCCCCCCCCCCCCCTTTTTTCTCCCCGGAACCCAACCTTTCTCCCATTTCACCCAATTTTCGCGACCCAACCGACCCTTTCTTTATCCTGACATTTCGGGATTACGGTAATAGACATCTGCGTAACGCAAACAGCCCTCGACCTGCTCGCGGCCGGCCACCGAGTCTACGTGCTCGCCGACGGGGTGAGCAGCTCCAACCGGCAAGAAGTACCCGTCGCGCTCGAGCGGCTGCGACAGGCGGGCGCCGTCGTCACGACCAGCGAGAGCTGGATCTACGAGTGCATGGGCGATGCGGGGATTCCCGAGTTTCGGGACATGGTGCGGGTGGTCAAGGTGACGATGGGCGACACGCGGGCTGCGTTGCAGGGGTTGCTGGGGAGTAAGATTTGAGTGCAGACATCAATTCTAAATTCGGGGATTGCAGAGGCGGAGATATGTGAGTTGGTGGAAATGAAGGGATGAACCAGGCGTTTGGTGGTAGGTAGAATAGAGCAAGGGAATGGGTCTTGCTTCTTGAGCAATTGGTCACTTTGATTGTGTTTTGTGAGCATGTTTTCAGAATATCGCCACTGCTGTGCGTCTCAGAGGCCTGATCGCCCAACCCAGTTATCTGTTCCTCGACGAGTATTCCCCCATTGTTCTGCCATCCTGGGCTTCATTAAGACCCATGCGGTAGTCCGTTACTCGGCCCCTGGCGCCTTTGGCTTATTCGAGGCGATCCAGGAGAATGCAGATGCACTTCCGAGCGGGTTATTCCCCAAACGCGCGGCCGCTGGCACCTTGACACTCGTCTCCTGGCCATTTGCGGCTGGCCTCCCCTCCCCGAGGCCGTTCAACGCGGGAACGCTCACACTACGCTTGGTGTTCCCCCAGCTGACCGTTGTTGCCTGGCCGCTTTCCTTGCGTTTCTGCTCTGTGCTCGACCGCGGAGCTTGCGCCGCCTCGTACGCCGATCCTGTCTTTGTTGTAGAACCATTGGACTTGTTCGGCCTGAGAACTTTCATGCTGCGAGACCGCGCCGCGGGCTGATATCCGCTGAGCGGAGTGCTGTTGTCGCCCAGAGCCGCCGCCGTTTGACGCCACGACGTTCGGATAATTGCGCTGGATTCCCGACGGTTGGTTTCCGTTGATCCAGATGTCTCCTTTCCAGACGGTTGGGCCACTTTTGGCTCCGCTGATTGCTTCTCGCCCTCGGCCCCGCTTTCAAATATCGAGCCAGCGGTAACTGCCTTGACCGGCTGACTCGACGACGCTGTAGGCGACCGCATACCCTCTAATTCGGTCTCTACGGTTACGGACTGGGAGCCAGAAACGCTCTGTTCCTTGGCATCCTGGACGGAACCATTCACCGACTTCTCTCCTGCAACAAACTCGGGCGCAGCAGCGTTCAGTTTGGGCTTGTTTGGCACAAGATTCGCTGTCGTGATATGTTTGAACATAGCATCGTCCTCCGGCCGTACGAAAGGAATGGAGAGCTTGTCGCGGTCACTCCCATACAGGGTCATCAGATTTCGCGAGAGAAGAATGTCGGCACCGTGCATACGTAGCGTGTGGCTGCCAATGAAGACGCGGATAGACTTCCTTGACTCGGGAGACTCTTGCTGATCCATGCCCGTCACCTCGAATGAAGCCGTTATGCTAGGAAGGTGAGGCGCGGGGCTTGCAGACCGAGAGTTTGACTGCGTAACCCGGGCCTCGGCCAAAAAGACAGGAAGCGTGATCCTGTGAGCTCCGTCCACGTCCCGGTGGATGTTGTTGACCAGGTCAAGCTCCCGGAGAAGCGAGTAGTCCACCGTCGATTTCTGAGACCCGGTGCATACCACGGCGTACAAAAGTCCTGCCGATGTGAAGTGGCTCGTCAGCCAGCAGCGGATGATGGATGGAGGCGACCCTAGGATGTACAATACTGGCGGCGGCTCCGGCATGTCGAGAGGCGAGTTGTCCTCATGTCCTCCCAGAACAAAAGTGGTGTCGAGCCCAAGGCTGCTGGTCCGCCCTGATATCCCCGAGTGCATCGAGTGGACCGAATGTCCTGCTGAACTGTGTCGGCCGTCTGACTTGTGGGAATACGACCGTTCCATCATATGATGCCCACCCAAGCCGCTCCCCGGGCGGATGGGACCGAAGTCGCCAGAGTGGCGACCGCCATGATTGCTGAAGTTGGCGCCATGTAGAGCGCTTTCGTCAAATCGAACGCTGTTGGCCCGAGAAGCCGCCCCCCTCCGTATCGGCTCGTCCTCGGCTTCAAGCTGCAGGGTGCCGAGGAGATTGTGACCCTCCTCGTCGAGATCGTCAATCAACTCGGTCGATGGCATATGCACTGGTCCTACAAAGAGAATTAGCTTGCTGGAAAATAACGTGGCGCATTGGGGCGGGGCGTTTGCTTACCGTGCTGAGGTGTGCCCCCGAGCACGCTGGGAAAGGGGGAGTTCCAGACGGACTTTAGAGCGGCATCATCGGCTTGTCGTTTCTCCAGCGACCGAAGCCGTTCTCCTTGGATGTGCTGGACATGTTGGATGCGCTTCAACTCCATCTGAACATCGTGCAGTTCCTCGCGGGTGACGACGAAGACCGGATCCATGCCCGAGCCTGGATAATGGATTGTTGGGCAGGTTCTGACAAGCGGCCAGAAAATTGTGGACGGTTGGATGGAGCTGGGCTCGACGGATATCAGACTCACAGGCTGGAGGGGCCGCTCGCGTTGTCTCTGACCTCGATCCTCGATGATATCAATTCTCGAGGTCCGCCGCCCCCCACATCGCCCACAAAGACCGCCAGGTCTTCAGCGACGCCTCTTTCTCGTGTGCCTGGTTCAACGGATCACCTTTGTGAATGGATCAATTCCGCGTTTGCAGCGTGGACAGGGCCAATGGCTCGAAGCAGCCGTCGGAAGCCGGTGTTGTTGAGTAAGACCGAAGATGAAGGTGGCTTCGTCGTCGTCGTCGAGAAGTGAAGTCGTGCCTTTGTATGACTTGCGAGCGAAATCCGCACGAAGTGAGATGATGGTGGCTGTGGTTGGTCGTCAAATCGTTCGAACAGGTGAGCTTGGGAAGAGTCGAGGACACGGTGCGATGAATGCGAGCACAACCGAGGAGAAAACTAGCGTGAGCGGACGCAGAATGCAAGGTCCCGCAGATCAACGGCCCAAGAAATGCAGTCGTAACACCGACAAGCAGACTCGGCTGGTCACTTGAGGGAGTACCGAGCGCTCGAGGCACGGAACGGGGCAGGGGATGATGGTTTTGTCGTTGAAACGTTGAAACGTCAGGAAGGCGGCGACGAGGGAAGCCGGCAGCTACCAGTGTTATTAACTCAGACTGGCGGTAGGTTCGAGATGCCGAAAGCGGCGTGCAGCTTGTGTTGATTTGCAACAGGCAGTTTGGCCAAAGGCTGCACTTCAGGTTGTCTGTGGACTTTGTGGAGGGACTTTGTGGAGTGCAGCCAACGAATGTTGCGGGGTGGGTGGTGAATTGAGGATTCCGTAGCAAGCTGTGGTTGGTATCGTGTGTGTTGTTTCTCAAAGAGGAAACACGGGGTCGAAGATCGCTTGTTTCGAGGATTTTTACAGTGATACCCGTCCTCAATGTTGCTAAATCATCATCAGATTAGATTGTCTGCAGGTCACAGTTTCCACATGAAGATGATGCTCGCGCATGCTCTCCCAAGTCCGAGGAAATTCCTGACTAAGCGGCGCATCACCCAGTATAGTACCAAGTATGCCAATCATTGGACATAAGGTGATAGTCATGTATTTCGGTCACGCTCGGCTTTGCCACAGCCCAGGTTACAATGGAAGAAGCCTTGCAAAGGATAAAGAAATTCAGCTGGCGGCACCGGACCTAAAAATGTAAGTGTGCTTTCGCATGTAGAAGCAACAGCCAGGCCTGGCTTCTTGACATTTGCAAGAGGGCAGCGTAAGAGACACGGTCCTTGTACAGTGTACCCACCCTAAAAAAACGCTCGGTGCGCATGCTGCAGTGCTGTGCGCTTGCACCATTGCACCTTCACGTGCCCACTGTCCACCCGTTCCCTTCTCCGTTCTCATCGAGATTTCCCCTTGAGGTACGAATCCTCCTCCAGCCATGGGGCATCGCGCCAGTCGGGCAGCACATAGCCAACTCTGTCCTCGTCGCGAGTGCCCGCCCACTCGGTGCTCACATGGGGCCGCACGAGGTCGTAGAAGATGCGGTACGACTCGGCGCTGAGGTGGAGCCCGTCTGGGAGCAGATGCTCGAGGTAGCCGCGGACGCCGCCTTCGGGATCGCCCAGCGCTGGCCGTCCCTTGGGATCGAAACCCGGCGTCTTCTCGATGGCCCTGTCCATGAGGGCCTTGTGGAGGTCGATTAAGGTGACGCCACGGTTCTCGGCGGCCACCTGCCGCGCAGTTTGCGAGTAGGCAGCGCTGACCTTGGTCTGTCTGGCCGCGGCGGGGTGACCCTTCTCCTGATCGAGCACCGTGACCCGGATCTCATCCAGTGGGGGCGGTGTAACGATGAAGATCTTGGGATTGTGAGCGGTGATGATCGGGTGGTTGACGATGCCCGCCAAGTTGGCCTTGTACTTGTCCAGGGGCACATGCTGGAAGTTTGTGGGCAGCGGCACGGCAGCGTCGTTGGCGCCGAACAGGATGAACTGATGCCTGAGGTCAACTCTCTTAGGCTCAACAGCAATGCCGGTGAGCTAGGAACTTACCAGGTACTTGAGTTCCGGCACGCCCGGGCTCGGCGGTGCAAAGACCTTGGGCAGAATGCTCAGGGCATTCGATGTGTTGTATCCTGAGAAGCCCCGGTTGACGACATCGAACCGGCGGATAACCTCTAGGTCAATGGAGTCAATGCCAAATTCCTGGTGAGTGAGATGGCAGGATGGGCTACTAACGGGCCTGCAGGGCAGCCTGGAAGGAAAAGCCGCCTGATACGTCGGCGCATCCCTGGATAAGCGAGTCCCCAAACAGGACGATCTGAGGATTCGAGAGCTGGAGATTCAAGCGTTTATCCAACATCAGTTTCCAACGAGTCCCATGAGCTTTATTCTGGTGAGCGACCTACCGCCATGGCTGCTTCTCGACAGAGTTCACCTTGGTCAAAGGACGTGAACGAAAGGACCTAGATAGGTAGGAAAGAACAGATCTCGTATGGAGGCTGTCCCGCCCTTTTCTTCATATACCGCTCTCACCGGTGCCCCCGAGGAACCATGGATATCCGTGGCCCGCTTGCGATATCTCACTCGTCGTAGGCCCCGGCCACGGGAGCCAGGCTACCCCACTGTCTGGTAAGCCCCGCAGCCCGATTCTGTGCAGACCAACCTCTGAGAGCCGCAATGAAGTCGTGATAATCGACTAAGAGAACGTGGGTAACACGGCGGCGTGCAGTGCTTTCTTCCCTGACCCCCACAGACGCAGACCACAGACCGCAGACCGCCGGGCTTTGGACACAAACATTCATGGTCATCACAGCGGGCGGTCAACCTGCCATGCCGGGCGCGTCCCCGCTTTTTACCACGCGGTCGCAAGCAAAGTTCAAACAGCCGATTGGGGACCCAGTCGTCTGGCACGACGAGTTCGGAAATCGAGTACCATCATGCCAGGGTTTGTCGCAGGTCATGAGCGGTGTCGGCACGGTCGGGCCCCAATGCGCCGAACCCCGCCATCCCCGCCATCCCCCGCAGACTGGTTTGTGGGGAGCTGCTCAAGTCAGTTCCTTTCCTTTCTTGTTACTGGTAATCCAGCGCGGTGGGACAAGTCAGGCATGGTGATCCGCGGTACGTTACATAGCGTTGCCGGGTTCCTGCCTTATCCGAAGACAAGATGCAGATCAACACGAGACTGCTTGTGGTACACAACAATTCTGCAAGATGCGTTATCGCTTGGGTTGATGGTAAGATTTTGGATTTTTTCGGAAGATGATTTGTGAGAGCGGGAGGACGAGGGGATCCAGATCCCGCCCCTTATCGATAAGTCTGCCACCGGCCTTCCGAACCATGCCGCCACCACCGACGCCTCAACATCTCAAGTCTCGCTCATTGTCAGACCTGCACATCACCAGTAGTCTCAATACCAAACATCCATATTGCCTCTACAAGTCAAGCATCATGTCCCAGGGCGCTTGCTGCACCTGCGCATCCCTGCTTGACGCAGTGCCCCGAGTATCCTCGTCGTCTGAGAAGCCCCTACCTGACGACAGGCAGCTGGATTGTTGCGGCCGTATTATATGCGGTGATTGCATACATGTATGTACGCTTCCATATCACGCAGTCGGCATCCAACAACTGACGATTTGCCGCAGAGGAATCCTCGCTTTCTAGATTACTGCCCCTATTGTCAAACCTCAGGCCGCTCGCCTCTACCCAGCCGTCTCAAACAAACTCCGAGGGAAAGCGAGATAGAACCAGAAGCAGGCAGCAACCCACCCCCCTACTCGACCATCGCCCAACTCACCGACACCACAGGCCCTTCTCCTCCACCTTATACCACCACCTCCTCTCTACCACCACCGTCCACCCTTCCTCCCCTCATCCCTCCATCGCCGTCCCAGGTATCAGGGGCAAACCCCATTTCAACCCCCAAGCAGCAGCCAAAACAAACCCAAGTGGAAAAGCCAGGCTACACAATCCACCACCTCCGCCATCCACCGCACCCGAACCCAGACACGCTCACCTCGCTCTCCCTTCAATACGGCATCCCCGCCCGCCTCCTGCTCCAACACAACCGCATCCCCCCGGACGCGTCCTACCTCCTCGCGGCGCGCCACACCCTCCTGGTCCCAACGGCATACTGCTCCCGCCTCTTCGATAAAAGCAATGATGGCAATAACCACCACCACAACTCAAGTCTCTCTCCACATCCGGTTGAAGACGAAGCCGAGAGGGAGAGAAAGGTGACGATACGCAGGTGGATGGTAGCGTGCAAAGAATGGGACTACGACACGGCCGTCGTGTACCTCGAAGAGAGCGGGTACGATTTCGCCGAGGCGGTGAGATGCTATGTGGAGGATTGTGAGTGGGAGCGGGAGCATCCGTTGGAAAGAACAGGGAAGGGGAAGGGGAGGAAGAAGGGGTTGGACATGGTCGCTGGTAGGGGCAAGGGGAGGGTGTTGTTGGGTTGGCTGAAGGGGTGACGTAACAGATGGACATTGTAACGAATGGAGTACCAGAGTTGGGTATACACGGCGGCTGTCAATCCCCTCTCCCCAGCCTAGCGAGGTGGAAGTGACCGATCACGAGTTGTGTACGTCTTGGGCTCACGTAGTGTGACATTAACGCCATACCCCTTCCAGAGCGCCCCCCACTTACAAGTACAATACATTATCCCCAAAGCAGCCCAGGCTGCCGCACACTCATCGCGGTCGTCGTAAACTCAGAAAGCAGATCTCGTTCGGATATCCTACCATTCATTAGCAGGTGCCACTCTACCAGAGGGAAAGACAGAAAGACATACCGAGATCTTCCGCTCAATTTCCCGCACCGAGCGGTCCAGCTCCCCGGCAATCATCTGCTTCTTATCGTTGGGCAGCAGCGTGAACCTCTCACAGAGATCGCCGTCAATCACCCCCTTGACAGGGACATAATAGCCGCGGTAGATCAGATGGTCGCGGCCCGCCAACGGCGGATCCTCGGCCCGCATGTGGCTCTCGAGGTTCTGGAAGAAGTCCACGTCCTCGCGGCTGACAAACGGGATCAGCACGCCGACGGTGCCCTGGATCCCACTCCACACGAGCACATCCTGCCCGCCCACGACGAGGTTGGCCTTGACGATGCTTGTCGGGAGATCCTGCGTGTAGAAGTGCACCATCAGGTTGAGGCGGTTCGGCGAACCGTGCAGGTAGTTGCGGGCGTGGAGGAGCTGGATTTCGGAGCCCGGCTCGTCGCTCTCGTGACTCGCCCGCTCGGGGCACCGCAGGATCCACACGTTGCCAAACTTGTCGCCGCCGGCCACCGACTCGTAGTCAACCATGGTGGTGCATGTGACCCATCTGTTGATCGTATCGTCGGCAAAGGCGAGAAGCTTATTGCTCTCGGGTTTGTAAACGACATATGTTACGCCCTGTTGAACATCGCCCACAATGATGCGGTTGCCTTGAGTCTGAAGCGATACGATCAGTTGCGGCGCCACTTCGCCCTGGGCTTTCCTGAGAAGCTGCCTGAGGCCAAGATCGTACACCCGGAGCATCTTGCCGATACCAGCAAGCAGGCGACCTTGGAAGGGGACAAGGGCCATGGGAGGCTCTTCGACCTTGGTCTTGTGGATGAACTCGAGGTCCCTCCCATCATCATGAAACCGATAGACATGGATGTAGCCCTCGGTGAATTGGCGTGGGTTGAGAACCATGTCTTTTCCGGTGCCGACGACCAGGAAGCTCTCGCCGTCCTGGCTAGAGAAGGGAACGACGGCCGCGCTCACAGCCGCTTCGTTACCCTCCAAGTCGATCCTTTGGAGGACCTTCGGTTCTTCGCCGAGAGGATCGACAATGCTGATGCAGGATGCCCAACGACCTTTCGCACGAGGGTATCCAAAGTCTTCCGGCGGCAATACAGCAGCGTCTCCATTAACGGCCCCTGATTGTTCTAGGAGCTGCGCCCGCAGCTCTGGCGGAAGGGTATTGTTGTCGGACTCAATCGTGTAAAAGTATGGCTGCTCCGGGTGCTTTACGAGCCGTTTTGGAGTGTAGGTGAGGGGAATAGATTTCTGTATCATTGTTTCACCAAGTCCCTCAACCGTGAAGATCCTGAGAAACATGTTAGCAAGTGCCACATGACCATGCTGCCAACGAAGTTCGAGTGGATGTAGCTGTCTCAGAAGGAACAATTGATACAACACTTTGGTTGTAGTCAAGCCTCATCGCACATGGCATAGCTATCCCTTTTATCATCATGGAACGGAAAAAAACATGTAGAAAAAGGGGGAGAACTGACCTGAGGAAGTTGGCATGGATGCCGACCATTCCTTCCAAGCATTGCTCGCTGCTGAAATTCCAGCCGTATTCGAGCTCGGAATAGCTTAGCGGCGTCATGACAAATTTTCTGGACAGAGGGTCGGTGTAGCCCAGCCATGGCCTCGAACTAAGAGCAAGAACACATGGCTGGTTCCGGACAGAGACCTGGAAGAGCTTGGTGGGCTTTGGGCCAAGGAACTTTTGCCGCGTGTCTGTCAGCTCGCCAGTGACCTCGTCCAGGACCGTTCTCAGATAGACCCCGGAGTGCAAGCCAATGTGCAGGTATAGCGTCATACCGCCGGCAGAATCCTCCATGGACATGATGGAGAGCGAGGATGGCGCTGATGTCAGGGCCTGGATCGACTTCATTTCTAAAGTCGACTCTGGATCAAGGCTGAGGATGCGAACCGTGCAGTCGTCGCATCCGACTGCCAAAAATGAGCTCCGCCTAAGTCCTTCCGGCACCTTGCCCAGGCTGAGGGACGTGACTGTCCCGGACATTTCCTTCTTCTCGTCGTACTCGGCAAGCGACCCGTCGGCATCCATTTCGAAGTAGACAATCTCGCCGGAGCTCAGAGCAATGACTACCTGGTTCTCGTTTGTGGCGGCAGCGACAATCGAGCGGTGTTGAGGGGCCGGCCACTCATTGACACGTCCTTGGACAATGTGTCGAATGCCCTTTGGATGGACTTGTATCAGCCCTTCTTCGCCGAGCTGCTGGACCGCCAGGGTGGGAACAGTCGTCAGAAAACCGCTCTCGGTAACCTCCTCGACAGTCTCCCCAATGCTCAAAACCAGGGTCGCGTTGGTAAAGGATAGGACGATGTAACCGTCATACTCGTCGTACTTTGTAAGCTTCGTCGTCCAGACTGCAGACGGCGTGCCTGGAAGCTCGGAAGCGACGATCTCCGACACCTCCAGGCCATGTTTGAGCATGCGGAACGTGCTCCTCGCCCTGTTACCACAGACGGAGTAAATCTGTGGCGCATCCTCGCCTGTCAGATTGGCAACTTTGCAGTCGATCAGGGGATTCATAGAGGCGATGCTTTCGACGAGCACGAGGTTCTCGAGTGGCCGAGGGTGGAAGTAGACAGGGTTGTAAGGGGCCCTCGGATCTGTTGGGAAATCGTCGCTCGTGAACTCGATCTCCTCGTCGTCGTCCCCAAGCTTTTCGAATTGATAGAAATGATGGTTGCCAAACTCGCTGGCTGCAAAGAGGAAACCGCTCTTCAAAATGCACAGGCTTTGGGCGATAGGTATCGTGTCAAAGTACTTGATCTTGAGACGGCGAACTTCACCAGTCGGGTTCCCGTCGTTGTCTTCAACCATGTCCAGCGTGACCTTGAAGAGATCTCCGTCATCGGTCTGCAGCAAAAAAAAGAAAGCGCCCGCACTGCCCTTGAGCTTGTGCATAACGCCTGCCACGATGGTGCGCTTCCTCTGCGGATCCTCGGTAGCACCACGTCGCCTGGGAATGGGGACGCGGAAGGCCTCTTGGTTCGAGTGGCGGTAGGTGACGTTTTCCTCTCCGCATACCAAGACACCGCTTGGGCCATCGTTGCCTCCAGGGACCTGGAAGAGAAGGGAAGATGTCGGGTCTACCGTGTCTGACCACTTGCGCACGACGTGATTCAATCCCAAATCGAGCTCATAATAGACGAGCTGTGCTTCAACCTCCTTAGCCGCTTCCCCTGAGGGGTCTTGGTCTGCTTCCGAGTAATCGATCTCTAGGGCGGCGAACACGGGATTGGCATAGCCGACATCGAGCGCCACCAACGACAAGACCAGAACCCCGGGCTTGTGTGCCTCGAGCGGCGACGAGATGGTCAGCTCGGCCTGCGCATTCCGGTTCAGAACATAGACCAGCTTGTTCTTCTCGACCGAGGCAATCAGGCACGCTCTCCCCTTGGGATCAGCAGCCAGATATTGGCCGGGTATGACGCGCCGCACGCCAGACTTCCCGAAAGTCTCAAGGTGAATGCGGGAGAATTTGTTTGCCTTGGGCAGGTACTCGATGATGGCGATGCGGCCCGAGTCAGTAGCGAGAATGATGTAGTCTAGGTGCAGACGCGTCTTAGCACAAGTCCGGGAGAAAGAAGAAAGCTTTGGTGGGCAGCCCACAGGCCACCACGCATTTCTAAAACGAAAATCATCCCGCCAGAGCTGCGGAGCGGATCGAGAATCACTAACTGTCCGAGAAACGGTGGGTGCGGGTGTTTGCAAGAGTGCTACTCACCTTTGTGGCTGCCGGCGAGGCGGAACGAGGCAATGGACCTGATTATGCCAAAGATATCGTGCGTCAAGATGGTCTTGACCTTGCCCTGCCTGGGATCCGGCAGGAGGAGGGTCAGGCGCGAGCCCGAGGCGGTGATGATTTGCTGTTCCTTGGTCCCCGAGAACTGACCCAGCAGCGCCTGCGAAATGGTCGTCGGCGGCTGGATCGTCAAGGAGTACAGGAACATGTTCGACGTGGTCGCCATGCTTCCCGGAGTGCGCAGAAAGCCGGCGCGGCTCTGGGGTGGTAGAAGGGCGTTTGCAACTTGTGGACGACGTTTGCTGCGACAGGACGCAACTGAGCTGAATCGTAAAAAAATAGAATCACAGGCATTGGATTGAGAGCTTGTCAGCCACAGTGCGATCGGGCTGTGAGTGGGGCTTTGTGATAAGAAGACAGTGCTCTCATTTGCCTTGGCAGCTCTATTGTCGACGGTTCATGGTCTTCAACAAAGTAATAGCTTCTTCCAACGACTAGTTATCGGCTATCAGGTCGATAGGACAAATCAAGTTCTCTCTGCTAAATGCCGGCGTCTATACTCAGGCTGTTGGCCGATATGTCGTCTTTTCCGTTTGGTCGCGGTCTTCAATACTGTCAGTTTTACATCCTGTGGATGGCAGGAGTGGAGTCGAGTAGACCAGAAGGTGTGGCTGGAAATGTTCTGATTGGAAACGCGCCTCGAGAAGCAGCTCGGCGCCCCGGAGCTTCAAAGAGTCACCTCACCGGAGATCAGACAACCAGCTTCCCCCGACTATCCATCGCGATGGCTTTCCCGGCAGAACTCGCAGCGCGCTCTGCGCTGTCGAGAGTTTGCACGCGATGCTTTGTGTCGCTTAGGAGACAAGGCAGGGTGTCCAATGGTCTGTTTCCAGTATCCCAGTCTCAGCAGCAACGACGCCCGATTTCTGGGAAGTGCGCCAGGGTACTGCGGGCAACAGATCAGCTCGATGATATTCCCACCCAGAAGCCTGTTTCGAGGCGGTTCTCGTCCGGGTTTGCGCAACCCAGCTTCAGCTTGACTAGCCCGCCGTCTGATACCCAGTCGAAGCGAGTGCTGGCTCCCGACGACCTCTTCCACTCCTTTACAAACTCCCCAATCCCCGAGATCAGGCGGCGCGCGACCTTCATACGGCACCATGCCAGCTGTCCTCATCATGACCACCAGCCGGGTGGCGCCATGTCACCGGCCCATGTAAATTTTGAGTGTCCCGACTGCGGCATCCCCGTATACTGCAGCGAGGAGCACTGGGCCGACGACTACGAGGCACACCTGCAGATTTGCGACACGCTGCGCCAGATCAACGAGGATGACCACGACCTTCGATCCGGTCGGTTTTTCCCCGAGTTTGAGTACGCGGGGCCACAGATGGAGGAGGCGCTCATCAACATGACCAACTGGGACACCTTCTTGTACACGCGGAATTTCAATGCCATCAACGACGACCGGAGCATGAGGCAAGCAACGAGGCTGCTGACGTATCCTGTCACCATCGGGAGTATCATCCATGAGCTCAGTCCCTACAACCTCAAGGATGGCGGCAGGCTCACTCCTGAGGGCATCAAGAGCTTTAGCGGTATGTTTCCCCATGCAGGATATCCTCAATTCAAGGTCTAACCCCGGTATACAGCGCTCCGGTATACTCTCCATCCACCAAAGACGGGCGGCGGTATGGACGTGAAGGGCCTCCGAGTTGAAGCCCCTGCTGTGCGCATCTTTATTCTGGGCGCCCGTGCCGAATCATCGCTTCCTCGGGATGCGTGGGTCCAGCTGGCCCATCTCTTCCCTCGAGCGAGGATCCATCTCATCTTTATCGGCCCAGAGAGCATGCTCAACCGAGACGACGAGTTCCCCCTCCCTCCGCGGACACCAACCAACCCCTTTGGAGCCATTGTTGAGGACAGAGTGTGGCCGACCATGAAGATCAGCACCATTGTCGACTACTACCATACCATCCACAAGGCCAACCACTTTTACCCATACGACCCCTACTTCGACTGTTTCGTTATGTTCCACCCGGGACTGGGCCATGCGGCTAGCTCGCATGAGTGGGAGGAGACGCTGCCGATGCTTCTGGAGACCAAGGCCCCCATCATCGTCACGGGTTACACCCAGGCTGACATGGAACGGGATATTGACTGGGTGCACAAAACGGCAGCGGGCGAGTTCGATGTGCTGATGGAGCCTGGAGAGAACCGGTTCAGGAGCCTGCGGTGGGACTTGAACGATTTGGACCCGCAGGACATCAGCGCGGGCAACTGGGGTGTTTGGGCTTTTAGAGGCAAGAGGTGAGTCTCGGCCTGTTCGCCATGAAAGTAGCTGTGCATCGAATGCTAACAGTGTCTTTCACAGATACGAGGCGACCCACAAGTCTGCCGAACCATGAGCCGACAGCCCTTCGCTTGGTGTCGTGTACCGTAGTCTACTTGTATAATAGATCTGGCCTGCCCCAACTCGGCCACTGTACTATGATGTCTGACCAGATCCATGGTACAGCAAAGCCTGCAGCTACTTTCATTCCCTAGATGTAATTTCATGTGCGTGGCCGTCCAAGCGAGGGCAATCCTATGCTATCACAGCATGTGGTAGGATCCGTCCTACCTCCAGTGAGTTTGATATATGACATTACTAGCTGTCTTGCGAGCGGAGCGGAGAGGAGGTAATTGACCCTTTTTTCCCTTTCTGTTCTCCCTTCTTTTCTCTTTCCATCTTTATCTCCTCCACATCTAAATTCCATGTTTGCCATTTTTTTTCGAATTATTTTTCTCGTGTTTATTTTCTTATTGTATATTGTCATCCAGTGATTCTAGCCTCTCACCGCCTGCCATTTCTGAAATCGGTTTGATGCGGGCCCGATAAGCGATTGAACCTCATAACCTCCAACATCGTACCTTATCTGCGTTCACCGAACACGAATGCAAGAATAGCACTTGCTCTGACTCTGATCTGAGCGCCGAAATGTCTTCAAGCATTGAACTCTGATCATGACGACGCCTCGGCACCATGAATACCGCAGCTGCCCAGCCGCCTCCGCCTGGTGGTAACCCGACACCGCGACCCAAGCCATCGGGCACACCGAGTTTGCAATCCGAGCCGACCGCGGCACACAAGTCGCGATCAAGCCAGTCTTCGGCACCGACAGAGACCAGCACTCCATCACAAGAATTAGGGGGACCTCGCCGCGGGGCCCGTACAACAACAACGGACCCTCTCTCGGACAAGACGACGACCTTCCTGATCCGCCGCATCCTCTGTCCCCAGCAGGCCGACAAGGGCAAGAGTTCGCCGACGTCAATAGAGGGACTCTTGCCGCCCCTGACCAGCCGCAACGATGTGGATCTGCAGCTCTACGCCCTCATTGCCATCATCCTGAGGGACTTCGTCCAGACGTGGTACGCCAAGATCACCCCCGACGAGACTTTTGTCGCCGAGATCGTCCAAGTTATTGCCCACATCACTCGCGCACTCGAGCAGCGGCTGAGGGAGGTCGACCTGGAGAGTTTGCTATTCGACGAACTTCCCGATCTCCTCGAAAAGCATGTGACTGGTTCGTCTGCGTTCGAACAAACCCGCCTTGGCGATGTGCTGACATCCCGGGAAACCTAGCCTATCGAGTGGCTCACGATCCTATCACCCAGCCTCCCGTCAGGACGGACCCACGCGAAATCTACCATTCCCTGTGCCCTCTTCCTGCTCTTTCCCCGGTTCCGCGATCAGAGGACCCTGAAAGCATCGCCGTGCAGGCCGAGAACGAAGCAGCATATCGCCAACTGCTAGTCTACTCATCCTTGGCGATCCTCCTCCCCACTGAAGACCTCCAGAACAGCTGCCTGACGGCCTTGGTTGGCCAGATATTCTCTGAGCTAATTCTCGGGAACGCACTGGCCAACAGGCTATCAGAACCATGGCTGATATGGGAACTCCTCATCATCGCGTCCAGGATGGCTGGACGACCGAATTCTATCGACGAGGAGCATAGTCTGGGCCAGTCCAGCAATGGATCACAGGATAACGGGAAGCGCTTTTCAGCCCACACCCTGTTCTGGACCACCATGCAATGGTGCTTTCTCGCCATCTCATCCATCAGAGCAACCTTTGCGGTCCTGATGGCGTCGGTTTCTTTGCCCCCGCGGTCCTCTCACGGCACAAGCATCAAAGACGCAACCCGGCAAAATCCCAGCCAGGGGCCTGCTCTTCGCATTCGGCCTTCGAATGCGGACCCGCAACCATCTAAGACGCCGTCGCTGGCCTTTCGATGCTGGTCAGCTGTTTCGAATCTTGCCGAACTGGACATTCGGATGCCGTGGCTCCACGGCGCATTGTCGTTGCTGCAGTGGCTGGCCATCATGGGGCCAGGACGAATCGCTGCCTTCGACGGCAAGCTTGACAGGTAGGAGGATTATGTTCACTTGTCATTCGGCCTACGCTGTGGGCGACTTGGTTTGTCACTCCGCCTGCATGACCCGTCAGTCACTGGACCTGACATCGGTCAACGGTGCGAATCAACGTCAGTTGCGCGGCTCTTGGATGTTGCCAGTGCAACACAGCAGTTCTGCGGCTCACAATCATGTCGTCGGGCACACAATCGGAGCTTTGTGAGTCCTCGGCCAGCCGAGGCGGAGGAAGTCACTGGATGCAGTGCGTCTACCAATGCCCGATGCAGACAAGGGTCTCAGGGTAAAAGCTTGGATGCAGTGCAACACACACTCCCACATGTCATGCGGCCAAATCGGCGACCCGCAGACGACGCTTGTAGCCGCTTCTTGTCATTGACAACTGCATATCGAATCCGAGCCAATCACGAACCTCTATGGCCTTGGCCGGGCCTGATTGCATGAGTTGTTTCGTGGGGCATTGCCAGACGATCCATCGACGAGCCTTATTTACGCGCCGAGCTGGAGAACCTACAGGGGTCGGAGTTGCTGAGCCATGTTGAACATCTCACCCCTCCAGCCCCTGCTGAAGAACCACCCTTCGACCGCCAATCTGCGATTCGTACCGTCCCTTGGTCCACCAGCTTTCCAACGTTTCCTCAGCACACCGATCACCGTCGATCAAGCTATCCCGTTCTCGGGCTATTTTGTCCGAGAAGAGGCGGCCGAAGCTTGCCCCATTGAACGGGTGAACGCTAGGACTACACAAGAATCGGCAAAGGTCCAGTATGGATTGGCTGGCGAAAGTCTGCTCATCGTGGCTGCAGCATTCTCCTCTGTTGACAACATCACGATCTGGGCAGACACGGCCATGCGAACAAGGGTCCGGGTCAGGGAACGTCCATCGTCATCACCGAAACTCACCAACGTGACGTTGGGAGCTCAGCGTTATGGCCCATGCTACTTCCCTTCGCCCTTGTCCTCCCCGCATTCCAACCTGAAGCCCCAGCCGTCCTCTAATTATCATCTGAGGAGACTCCGGCAGATCAAGCCGCTTCAGCCGACGAGGTTCTCGTTGACTTTGCCACTTTGAGCGGCGAGTGCCGCGCCTTCCCCTCGAAAACCGTCCGCGTGTCTCAATCTCCGCCATCTTGAACCAGTTTGTCATCCACACCGTCCGAAATGCCATTTGCCGTTTCCCCTGAACCGTTATTCTCCAACGCCGTCACCAGCCTACACACAGACACACACCTCGCAATACTCCCCCACGCATGGACGAACTCAAACGTTACCCCTAAACCCCTCTCTCCTGTGGCCTGATATTCTATTATGCTGACAGATTCGCACCCTCTCCGGGAGGGCGGGTTATAGGCTCCTATCTCATGCCATCCACCGGTATGTCTTAGACCCGGCCAACCTGCCCCCACTCCTCCGCGCCGTGCGGGGCGCCCTCTTTCCTAACAACATGCCCGCTGGCAAGCCGACGTTGGTGGCTCCCACTTCCGACGCCGAGCTTCGCGCCCTCAGGCGAAGGTGCGCTAGCGCGCTTTGGGCGCTTGTTCCGAAAGGGTTGGGAAGGCTGTACTTTGGCGGCGGCCTGCTCCGAGCTAGTCCCGTTTCGAGAGCGAGGCATGACGGAATTGAAGGATCTGCAGAGCTGAAGACGGCGGGCAAGAGCGAGCGCCACAGCGACAGGGGCCGGGGCCCGCCGTCAAAGGAAAAAGCAAGCGAAGTCGAAATGGTGCCGCCTCTGTCGCCAGCACGAGGACAGGAACGGTTAAGATCAGGATCCCGGTCCCGGCGGTCCGCTCCCGTTCCGAGGCCGAAGACCGGCGGTCAGGGTCTTGCTGCCAACGTTAGCGTTAGCGCTGATCCACCGATAACACCAGCAACGGTGGTTCCGTCGTCGTCGTCAGAAACCGCTAGTGCGGGTGAGGAAGTTGATGGCGGTATGGCGTCGACGCGGCTGACCCAGCAAGACGAGAACGGATGGCATCCGGATTGGGATCGAGAGGCTAACCCTGACGACGACGACGACGACGACGAAGGAATCCTCGAGGAGATTGAGCGGGGCATCTTGGACGTGTTTTCGAATTCTTACTGTAACAAGCATCTTGTGTATGGCATGTTGGAGCTCGTTCTCGTCAGGTTACTGCCTGAGCTGACCGAGAAGGGTGTGCTCGAGCTTTGGACGGAGAGGATACCCATAGATGGGTGAGGTGATATTCGTCGTACATGGAGATTTCCCGTAGAAATGCATCATATCAGACCTCAAAAGGGGGACCGAGTTGTCTTTTCAAAATGCAGAAGGCCGCCTAGATTCATTACTGATTTGCCAGAGTACTGCTGAGAGACACGACCAACTGGGTCGGGTTGAGGTTCAGAGCTCCTTCGTTCTCAAATCGTAGAGTGGGAAAGCAAGGTCCAACAAATGAGTCCCTTCCTCGTGATCCTCAGCCCAGGAAAAGGATGTTCGTCCATGCCACGCTCCTAATCCCGTCCACACTCTCGGACTCTATGGATGCTCTTCCCTCTCACAATCACGAGAGAGGGACATCCTTCCACCCGGAAAAGGCCCATGCGAATTCCCAAGCAAGTACTGAAACCCACATTGTTGCCTTTCCATCTCGTCCGTCCGTGCGTCATGTCCAAAACATTAGCCCACCGCCATTGCCTACCACCTTGTGATCCCCCCTTCCACCCAAACCACCACCCCGATTGAGCCAACTCAATTGCGGAACTTCGGGAAAACAGACAGACGAGAGAAAAAATATCACTCAACCCATGGCAGCAGCACTCCCAACGGCCCACTCCGCCCTCCACTCATTCGACCCTTGCGGGCCATCGTCCTGTTCTTGCCTGCTCTCCATCCAGGCGTGCATGTCCCCAGTCCCAATTCCCCCCTAATGCCGCTCCTCGCGTGTGAGGCAGTCTGATCGGTGCATTTGCCGGAATCGATGGCGGGCTGAACAAGGTTCGATGGGTGGCTGACCACGGATAGGGTTGCCCTGCGAGTCGCGAAAAGGGGTGCACCAGAACTAAGCTGAGGAAGGACTCGGGATGATAATGCAGAGGGTGCAAAAACAGAGGTATACTATACTGTACAGAGAGGATGGGGAGAATGCGTCAAAAAATACAAAAACTGACAGACGTATACCTATTGGGAAAACAACTCGTGACACCACGCTGGAAAAGGGCAAACTGGGCAGGAAAGAAAGCGAAAATAAATAGAAGAAAAAAGGCCAAGGTTGACCAGAAGAAAGGTCGAGAAACGCGATGGGATCTCAGAAGCATGGTTCGCGTGAGCGTGAAGTCTTCTGCCGGCGGAAGCAGTATCGATATGCGGTCGACAACGCCAAAGATGGGGTATATGTATAGAAGTGGTGAATGGAGCAAAGAGTGTATCGTGTGTCGTCTACGGGGTGTTGTATATAACATCTCCCCGTGCGAAGATCGAGTAGGTGCTACCCTGGCCGGCAACCAATGCCCGCCCACTATCCTACCATTCCAGGGAGATTTCTGAAGCTTGGCAACTCGCGGTAGGCCATCGTTTCCTAGGCGCTCATTGTCGGTTCCATCTTCAACATGACTGGTGGGGCATTGGGCATCTCGCTGTCGCCTTCCGGGATTCTTGACAGCCCTCCCATTCCATGAGCTACGGCTTTGGCGAGTTGGCTTTGGTGCAGGCGCAGCTTCTCGGTCAACCTCACGACTGTCATGTACTCGTTCTGGTCCACAAAGCCGCTGGCGCTCGTGATGAACGATAGCAGAGTGTCGGCGGCCCTCCGCGCATCTTCCTGCGTTGGCGACCCTGGAGACGAACCGACCGCACCGGACGTGATGGGCGTGGTTGTTGACCTGCCGGTAATACTGCTGTTGCTGCTGCTGTGACGGAGCTGAGGCGGGGAGACGGCCTGTTCAAAACTGAAACTCGGGCCGTTGCTGGACGATTCTAGGGCCGATGATGGTGCAGTGGAAGGGACATGATACCTTGGAGTGGCGGGTTCCGCCGACGGAGGTTGATTCATGTACTCGAGGTCCAGCGTGGGAAACGTCTGGCTCCGTGGTCGTTGAAACCCCGTGCCTTGCGGCAGTGTTTGCCGGGTCTGGTCTCCGGAAATGAAGGCTCCAACGTTTGGGTCGGGGGAGAAGTTGAACGAGGCCGCGGGGCTTAGAGCACTCCCAGCGAAGGACGGCGTCGCCGCATCGGAGAAGGCGCCGTTGAGTGAAGTCGTGCTCTGTGAGGTCGAGTGTTTGTAGGTCCCATCGGCGGCGAAGTCGATGAAACTGCTCATGCTCTCCTTTTCCTCGTCACTCTTGTTTGCCGACAAGGGAGACAAGGACAGATGGCCTAAAGGAGAAGCAGGTGAAATGGCGCTTGATGGTTGGGATGGCGCCAGCGACGGTGAACCAGACGCACGGGTACTGTCCGGAATGTTGGTCTCTGAAGCGCGGCGGATCAGCCTGCCCGGGCCAATGCGATGCTTCAACATGAACTTCTCGAGCCAGGTCGAGCTGGTCGCCTCGGCATGCGACTCGCCGTTTGTCAGACTAGAAAACGTGGCCGCCCTCTCCTTGAGCATCTCGCTTGTTATTTCAACGCCGTCTTTTCTCAGATTCTTGACAAAATTTGTCAAAGCCTTTTCAACATCTGCGCCTTTCCCCTTGCCAGGGCGCTTGACCGGAGAGCTACTCCGCCCCTCCGAGTTAAGGTACTTGTCTTTGTTTCGCAAAACCTTGGATACGGTGCTGGTGATCATGTTAGGGCTGGCGGGAAATGGAGAGTTGAGGAGCCTGGTCCTCAAACCTACCTCCTTTCGACGCCAAAGACGGCGCCAATGTCAGTCTGCTTGGCGTTGGGGTTCTCCTCGGCATATTTACACATCTCCCGGCGGTTTTCGTCTGTCAAGGTCTTCCTCGGCTGTGATGTAGTCTGGATCGCGGGCAATTTTGCCATCTTGAGTGGGGCTGCTAGAGAAGGGATGGCGACAGGTGGAGCGGAGTGCGGCGGGCCGTAGTTGTTCGGGTTCGTCAGCATACTCGGCCATGTCGTATGAGGAGGCATCATGAGCATTGGCAGTTGCGTGTGAGTAGCTGGGGTCTGGTGGACGGGCTGCGAAGGCGGCGGCGGCATCCTGCCGAGAGATTCTGAGGGCAAGGGTAGGCCGTGGGTGATGGGAGGCATGAATCCATATCCGCCTCCATAATCGGGTATCGTGGTCTGTTGTTGAAAAGAATTCATGTTGACCCAGCTCTCATTAGCATAGGTGTTGTCAGGCGCAAGGGGGCTCTCCTGGTCCATGCCCGTCGAAGCCGTGATCTGGTTGTGCATGGTGACTGGGGCCGTCTGAGCCAAACGAAACCGGGCACCGGCAAGCTGTTAGGGACAAGCAGAGCAGTGCCCTCCAGTCGTGGGATTGGTGCCGTCAAGAGCCACTCGGTGGGAGGGGCCACACAGACTGTAGCAGTTGTGGGGATTCGCTCGTCCAGAGGAGGTGGACAAGACAGACTCAGGAGACAATATGCATGATTGGGGTGTCGAGCACCAATTGGTTCCTTGGATCGGTCATGCAGCGGTCTAGCCGTCGAGGAGGTTGCAGGTCGAGGGAGCCAGCCGGGTGCGGAGTAGCACAGAACCCAGGTCAGGTCGCAGGTGCAGAAGTGCTTGTTGGTGTGGGGGCAGACCACGGCCGCTCGGCAGGTAAGTCAGTACGGAAAAGGTAACTGGTAGCTCCCGTCGCAGACAGCGGGTCGGTAGTCGGTGGGCAGGGTGCGTCCGACAGAGGAGGGTCTCCTAGGCAAGGCAGGGGAAGAGCGGCGTTAAGGTTTTGAACGGTTACCGGTCTTCCTAGCTCCCAGCTGTGTCAGGCCGGTGAAGGAGAGCGACGGCTATCAAGGCTTCGGTTTCGCGCGCCCGTGGGAAGAGTCCTATACGTTGGAAGGCATCCAAGCTGCAAAACGAGCGAAGCGGTCGGCGCCGATTGCAGGGAGCAACAACATCCAGCTGGGCCGAGAGCTCGGTCGGCAAAGCTTGTCTCATCAACGGCGGATGCGGTGACGCAACCCGGAGCAAACAAAGAGCGATCTACCAGTCGTGGAGGCGCAGGATGCTGCAGAGTTGGCGCCGCCGATGCAGGCGAACGTCTCAGACCGGTACGAGATGAGTCGGGCGTGCTGGAGGGCAGGCGTGTGGCAGAAAGGACCTCTCTGAGCGGCATATGTATGCCAGTGAAGAGATGGACTGCAGAGCGTGTGCCTGTGCATTTCTCCGGCAGGGGGTTCTATCTCTCCTGGTTGCTGAGGGCACAGGCCATGACTGCCCAGCCAGGACGGACCCAAGGGGGGGGTGAGAGAGTGTGTGTGGTGGGGGTGTAGGATACCCTACCGTATGTACCAGGTGTGGGACAACGGGTTGCGATGAATGGAACCAGGGCAGGGGTTCTGGACGAAGAGAGAAAAGCGAAACCAAGAGACGCGCCGACAGCAGCACTGATGAGAGTTGGAGACGAGCTGTGGAGACCTTCGCCCTAAGTCCAAAACAGGCAACGCAGGCTGCAAAGCCGGATGGCTCCCAGTCAAGCTGCTGGAAGGAGGAATCGACGATGGCCAACGAATGGCTGGCACGGTGTAAATTTACTTACAGATCGACGTTAAGCCGATGAAAGCGGTACGTAACTTACCGTCTCCTGTCCCGTGTCTCAAACCAGGGCCAACAAAAAGCAACCTCTGATGGGCTTGGTATGGGTGCCGTGAGCACGCAGTGGCTGACGGGCAAATTTGTTCCATCGTGTCTGCGAGGGCCTGAATATCTGGCCATTGTACGGATAGACGAGGGGCGCATTTCATGCCAAAATCGAAGCGAGAAAGCGCAAAGGAGCAGTGCCAGACACCAGTAGTGTGTAAGTCAATCCCTACTAGGTTAGTGTACTTTGGTTGACAAAGCTGAAGAAAGGCCATCTCAGGTCATGTATCTGTATCCGTAGTGTAAGTTCTGCTTCTGGGTCGGCGCAACCAAAAAGTCGTAGACTTCGAGCCGCGAAGTCGGTGAATAATACCTGCAAATACCAAGCAAGGCCGGCCGAATTAATAAGGTGCACGTTTGCTTGCTAAAGTTGGTGCGTCTGCAGCCTCGTCGGGACAAGTTAAGATGGGTACAGATCTTTCTCTTTCCCGGACTTATTAAACTGACGATGGTCAACTGTGGGCCGCGCTTGCCATCAGGCTCGGGCAGCTCCGCCCCCCAGGAACCCGGACCCACAAGGATGCATCTGTGCAATGACCGCCCGGCCGCATAACTGTGGCCCTGCGGCCTTCTTCTTGGGGAATCGTCCAACGTCATGCCTTCTGAACCTTTTCTATATTGAAGGTAGGGCAACTACAAGCTTTTTGTGGCATGGCGCCAAATGCGACCGACCATGTCTGTTTTCGGCTACCTTAGTTAGGTCCTCTTGTAGTTCCACGTTGTGATGAAGAGCCCAGGAGCTCTCTTTGTGGCCACAGTCCGCATCGGCCCGCGGCCACACAGCAACCCCTCCGAAATCAATTGGCTGCCCTCGACGAAACCTCATCTCAGCCGTCGCCTGCCGCGTCTGTGGTCAGCCCGCGACACGAAAGGCCAGGGACGATCGCTTAGGTAGACCGGCTCGATAATCGATAGTTAGCCAAGGTAAACTGCCTGAGCTAATCTCGCTGCTCGGCATGCCGTTGGTGGCTTGAACCGGGAAGGCCGTCTTCCACCCGACATTCCAACAGAAGTGTACTTTAACTACCACCGTAGGTCTTCCCATTCGGTCGTTTCGGGCAGAGACGCGGCGCCAAGACATCGAGCAGCGGGCCACGAGCGAGATCGAAGAGAGGAATACGGATCCGTAGTTAGAGCGACTCGCGTAGCTATCAGCCCATGCGATCTCTGAATTGCGATTCCTATCTGGAAACCAGTCTGCCCGTTGCGTCTCGCGGCTCGAAGGGCGCTGTTCATGAATTCGACCGTCTCCTAGACCATCCAACGGCGACAAAGGGACTGAGGTTGGATTTGTCATTGGACACCAGTTAATTTCCAGGTTTTTGCTCCCGCCATTGGGCAGGAATTGGTTACACTATCAGGGTCAAACGCCAGGTCAACCCCACTTTAGATCTGGGCTGCACACCCCCTAAAAATCAGGCAGTTGGCAAGAGGCAGTTGGCAAGGAGAGCACAAAATGATACCCTATTATTATAAGCAACACAAGGCATGCGCACACGCGCTCACTGTTAAAAGTAGTAAATCGAGGCTCCCGATTCTGAATCTATAGTGCGATTGATAATGGGGGTAATACGCGTAGAAATACTGATGAATTTTTTTTGAGGTCTTCTTTAGGACTTGTGGCAAAATTTTACTATAAGCTTGCCAAGAAACGCCAAGAAATATCAAGGATAGAGCTCAAATCTAAGCTTCAACCTTGAGGGGGAGAAGGAAAAAGGAAACCATCAGTATCTCTACGCGTAATAACTATATCATCAATCGCGTTATAGATTTAGGATTCGGAGCCTCAAATCTACTCCTTTAATAGTGAACGCGTACGCGCATGCCTTGTGTTGCCTCCAATAGTAGGATCTTGTTGTTGGCTCTCCTTGCCCTCTCCATGCCAAACTGCCCGATTTTGAAAAAGGTACCTGGTAGGTGGCAGCAAAGATAAAAGTGGGGTTGACCTGGCGTTTGAGCATGACAGCACGCTCTTCGGAAGCGTCCAAGCGCATGCCGTTCTCACCCCCAACTGGTCATTTTCCCTCACAAGGAAGTCCACCAGGTGCGGCAGGCTTTCGCGAAGGCTTCAACGGCTTAGGCAGCGAATGCCCATTCAGCATCCCAACGAGCATCGATTGTCCAGAGACATGTCCTGAAAATCGACCGCAGTCTAGACTAGGTACTAACTATACGCCCCAGCTCTTGCTGGCGATGTGGCCTCGAATGGTCCTGCATTCAGCAAATCACCCCAGAGATCTGTCGACTCTATCGTCAATCCGTTTGTCGCCGAGGGGGACGGCGACCATGACAGCCACTGGGCTGTCAGCAAACCAGGGGCACCAAGCACCTTGCCGATCAAGCTAATTAGTTATCGATGCCCCGCGGAGCCACCACGATCCCTGACCGGGGCCGAGATCGTGCCTGATCTCCCGACCGTTTCTCTCCCCTTTATTGAACTCCGTCAAACAAGCGCTCAGCTGCCTCAATTGTGGATCAACCGCAACCTCCGGAACTTCTTGGTTGAAGATTCCTCTGGTCCATTCCCCCACTCGCGGCACAATTGCGCCCACTCTGACGGCTGCACTTGCATGGCAGCATCGTGCAGCTCGTTCCCGTTTTGGGCCGACTTCTTTCCTATCCGGGCAGCCGCAGCAACACGAGGCATCATGGGGTAGCATCGTGCACGGGACTATGTGCGGCAGCTCAGAGAAGACCATTTGTGCCGGCGACGCTCCACCCAGCACCTTCTTCGCCCCCAGCGTCGTGACTGTTTCCATCGTCAGCCTCGACGGCGGCGGGAAGAGGTGACCCACCTGGAACCAACAGGCAACCGATCTGCAACTCTGGGGCGTACGGCCAGGCTACTGTGGGTGAAGGCCGATAGCCGCCGTGAATTGGGCCCAGCCGACTGTGGTCAGTTTGACTGGTCTTGCGAGCATCAACCTCCTCTCCTCGGACGAATGTCCGGCCTCCTGGCCCGGATCAGACTGATGACTTGGTCCCCGGTTGCTGTTGGGCCGTTTGATGGCGTGGTGCACGGCAGAATGGCATCTCTCAACCCCCACCCTCATCTCCCCTGCTTGCCGCGGCTAAGAAGACGAAATGGACTTCAGTGACACGCTCCTGTGTACAACAGGATGGTGTGCGGCCAAGCAGCGCGGCACAAAAACCCAACCCGAGGCATTCCGCATCCAGCAATCCGTGATCAGGCAGCAGATCATCCCGCTCGGCACCGGGATTTTGCGCCGTTGTTCCCCCCATATTGCGCATGAATGTGGTTGCGGCCCCATTGAAGATCCGGTCGAAGCTGAGGCTACGCACCATATTTCGCCTGAACTCCTTATGCCTATCGCGATATCTCTTCCGCCTGGGCATGCACGATGCAAGGGGCGTTTGTGCTCATTGCTACTCCGCGCCCCAGGGACATTGAGAAGCCGATTTGTCGACTCGCGAGGATGGTTATCAGAGGCTAGGAGCAATGGTACTGTACTTGTGTAATACCGATGGGCCGGTTTGTAGCACTACATACGCAACGTCAAAATAACTCTACCTATCTCCGTCTTACCTGTTCACTTATAGGACACAACGCAAGAGACCACGGAAAACGTCCACCTATCCTCCTGATTTCTTCACTTGAATCAGACGTGCAGGCGCTAATCTCCCCTACAGCTCTATCATATAAATCCCCAACTCCAGTCCAGCAGTGCTGGGGGTTGAAAAGGGAGCCTGAAACATGGCCGCATACACTCGAGATATTAGACAGGCCCAAGATGAGACCAAGTGACACGGGGCGTTGGTCATGTCGCTATGCGGCGCCCTCATAAAATAAGCGCCGTCCCGACTTAGATGCGAGCTTCACGTTGCATCCATCCATCCATCAGCCCTACAGGTATGTTCAAGTGTGTGTGTATCAACCACCCCCGCCTTGGTATGTTATGCCGGTAGTATGTTGGCGCCTGGGTCATTGATATTTCTTCGAGACGTGTGTTTTTGTTGGTGGCCAGTCCTACAATGGGACAAATAACGCAAAGGACAGCATGACATGCAAGGTTTATAATCATTTCTTTCAGGGAGCCGGAACAACTGGGGACTTGAGAGATAGGACTACACCATCGCCCTGAAGCCTGTTCATGTTGATCTACCTACCTAGTTCCCTTTGACACGGCCTGCAAACCGCCCAGTAGCGGGATATTACTTGACCCCGTCGACAAGGTGGGACCTACGGGAGTATCTTATTTGATTGCCTCCCATCGTTCCCAAGTATGAACGGTATATGTTCAATATGCTCAATGCCACACGTCAAGAAGGAGATGGTATCATGGTGGGCGTCCTACCCCCGATTCTTCATATCTCTGACGCCAACAGCCAACGCCACTAGCCACTCGGTGCCCTTCATTCCTGTCCGACCTATGATACATCAACGCGCGTGATGATAGTTCGATACTTCAACCTCATCAAGGTTCGCAGCCTGCCGAGAGCCCTGAATGGCGTAAGCGAGTGAACGACTCCTCGTACAGATGTTGGCAGCATGGTCCCGGCAGTGCATACAATGTCGAGCCCACGCCTCTGTCGCTAACCCGGCACATCACAGGGGGGCACGGCGTATCGTAGGTTGGTCTGACCGAGTTCGTGTGTAGACAACGTACTTGCGCACGGCCAACCCGTATGAGCTTCCTCAGAACGTCTTTTACCGCTTGATAATTGTGACTGAGCAGCATAGTCAACATTCCGACCTTCACCTGAATTATTAGAGAGATACATACCAATATCTTCGTCCGCCAGCTCGTGAGAAAGGCCGACCCGCTGCGGTTGGTGCTTGACCGACTTGCCGTAAACGATCGCAGCCTTGAACTGCTCGACAATGCTCTTATGAATTTGGTTGCACTAAACGAAGCCAGTCAGTCAATCGCCAGTCAACGAGTCGGGTGCCAGATTGTCACTCACAAAATCTTCCACGGTGCACCGATTCGCCCGCAGCACCACCGGTGAGTCGTAGTCGGGCATCTTCCCCTTGGGCTTAGTGTATACCCGGACGAGGTTGAGCTTCTCCCACCTGGACCAAGCGGGTCAGTAACGGACATGGCAAGTGTGAAATACATGAGTACGCACATGGCCTCCATTAGCTCGTCAATGTTCCACCCGTGTTCGGAGCTGATGGGTACCGAGTTGGGAATGCGGTAGAGCAGGTCGAGCTCCTCGATGCTGATGCTGTCGATCTTGTTGAGCACGTAAATGACCGGGATGTAGCTTCGGCTCTTTGCCTCGAGCACGTCAATCAGATCATCGATAGTGGCGTCGCAACGAATGGCAATATCCGCCGAGCTGATTTTGTACCTGTCTCCCTGTCAGCCCATCCATCACCCCCAACAGAGAGAACGTTGAAAAAGACCACGCACTCGCTCATGACCGCCTTGATTTCGTCGTGGTCGATGTGGGTCAGCGGCACGGTGCTGGTGATGTTCAGCCCGCCCTTATCTTTCTTCTTGAACGTTATATTCGGCGGCTCTTTGTTGATCCGGATGCCGAACCCTTCCAACTCGCTCTCGATGACGCGCTTATCCGTCAGCGGCTTGTTGACGTCCAACACGATGAAGATCAAGTGGCACGTCTTGGCGACGGCAATGACCTGCCGCCCGCGGCCACGGCCGTCTTTTGCGCCCTCGATGATACCGGGCAAGTCGATAATCTGCAAGGGGGCGCCGTTGTAGATGACCTGGCCCGGCACGCTGGTCAGGGTCGTGAACTCGTACGCGGCCGCCTCGGAGTGCTGGCCTGTTAGCCGGCTCATGAGCGTGCTCTTGCCGACAGAGGGAAATCCGATGAAGCCGATACTGGCGACACCGGTACGCGCGACGTCGAAACCCGCGCCGCCACCGCCGCCGCCGCCCGACGGGGTGAGCAGTTCCCGCTTGAGCTTGGCGAGTTTAGCTTTGAGCTGGCCGAGATGATACGATGTGGCTTTGTTCTTCTGAGTCCGGGCCATCTGTTGAGAAGAGGGGAATCGTTAGAATCGACTCGCCGAAGGTAGGAATAGCCAGGGCGGAATCGTACTTCGGCCTCGATCTCTTTAATCTATTGCCACGTTTGTTAGTGCCTTCCCGTCATCAACTGAGGCGTCGCAGTGTTGCTCGTTGCGGTCTACCTTATCTACTGTGGTCGCCATTGTTGCGGTTTTCGGTTCCTGGCTGTGAGACTATTTCTGATTGTTTCTCGCGCCGCAGAGACGATAATTGAAAGGTTCTTATAGTGGTGTCGTCAAGCTGGGTTCGGTTGCCGAGTTGAAGTTGCAAGTGGGAATTTTGATGGTGGGGCGAAATTCGATGGACAAGCGAGGTGGCTGCCCCGCGGGTTGAAGTCAGAAGCCGCAGCGGCGTCTCCACTCAGTGGAAACGGCGGCGAGTCGGGCGTTTGTGGTTCCAGCACGCTTACTTGTGATAACACACTACTGTGTACCCGTAAGGTACCGGGTGATCAGCAACGTCCGTCCATATTCGTTGATATATGCTTCACATGTTATGTACACTTTGGAAATGTCAACACCCCGAAACACCCCAGCCAGCCGCCAGCCCAGTGCCCCGATAAGTTGAAGCCCCCTTTCTTGCCGCCAAAGCCAGAACCATCCCGAGAAAAGCAGTTTATCATTGTGAACATGAACATTGTACATCTGTCGACCCTGACGCCCGAGCCCGTGACCAGTTCATCAGGGTCGGTGCTCAGGGCGCATCCCGCAAAAGCGAAGTGCATGTTTGAGGAGCAGTCATCGCCCCATCAGCATAGATTTTGTTACTGTTGAAGCTTGGGTCCAGTCCTGGAAAGCAGTGCCCGAGTTGCTTGTGTAAGCTTGCGCAGCCTGTCCCGGCAGGCACCATCCATGCCGTAACCAAATGTCTACCCTCTTCGCCCCAGACAACAAAGAAAATAAGGTGATGTACACCGCAAGTTTCGGTAGCTCAGGATGCGCCCACGCAGCACCACCGCTATCCGGTGTTGCTGAGCGCCCCGGTGCCGTTGACCAAACATCGGAGCTGCGCAGAGCCTGCCTCGGAGGACGGAGATATTGGGTGGTCTCCCCCGCCATTTGTCGTGGTGTTCGTAATCGAGCTCGGCGATTCCAAACCGTTGACGTTTGTCGTGGCCGCGCGGGAGGAGCCGCTCATGGGAGACGAGTGGACTCCATTGGGCAGCAACGGCAATTCAGCATCATTCCCGGAGCCATCGATGCCCTGTTCCTTAATGACCCTTGTGTAGCCATGTTCGTCACGCGGGATCGCGATGAAGCCGCGACGGGGCACCCGCTGTCGCGGAAAAGGCGACGTACTCGCCTCCCTGAGGCCAGGCTTATCTTCCGAGACCAGTTCGCCGTTGACGTAATGCTTGTTGCTCGGCGCAAACCCACCGAACCCGTGTGCATCTGCATCACGCCTCCACTTCTGGTGCGGTGCCCAACTGATGCACTGCATCTCGTTCTCCGGAAGCTCGCAATATGCCACTGTGAGCTTCACGTTGCGAAGATGCTGTATCGTAGGGATAATGTATAGGAAATCTGAGGCCTGCAAACGGGTTAGCCTGAGCGAGGGAACCACGGCTTCAGCCAGGATAGTCGCGTACCTTAACAAAGAACATCTCCATTGCAGCGAACTTCTCCCATGCCTCCGCCCGAAGTCGCTCAAGCTGGCGGTAGCCCATCTTATGCGGGTCGTTCCCCTGATAGTAGTCCTGGAGTTGTTCACCAAGCTCGAAGAGACCGGGCGTTGTCAGGGCATATCGGTCCGACTCCAAGCGCCAAATAGCACGCTTTGCAACAGCTGAGACGGGGATCCGATTCCAAGCGGTATCTGTGCGGCCTCGTTAGCGGCGGCTCGGTATTGCGTAGATTCGGGTTAGAAACTTACATCGCGACAGCTCCAGATCCTTCTCCCCAAGAAGAAGCGCGACTTGCGTGTTGAGCAGCCACTGCTCTCTGCCGTCGCGGGTGCCGTTTGCCTCGGGGTTGATGCAGTCGTATCTGACTCCCTGCATAGTGCTAAACTTTTCGGCAACCTCGGGTAGTTTTGGATTGACGGCACTATCCAGCCAGCGCAAGATTGGGGGCAACTTGGCCAGGCGTGCACGCTCCTGCTCGAGACGTACCCTCCGTTGGTCGGCTTCCTTGGCCGCGCGTTCCGCCTCCCTCGCTGCCCGCCTTCGCTCCATCTCCTCCCGCAGCGCACGTTCCTTGCGCTCTTGCTCCCGCCTCTCCTCCTCTTCCCGTTTACGTCGTGCCTCCTCGGCTGCCTCGCGCTCAAGCTGCTCCCGACGCAGTCGCTCTTCCTCATCTCGCCTCCTGCGTTCTTCTTCCTCCTTCTGCCTTCTCTCCTCCTCCGCCCTTCTCCTACGTTCCGCTTCCTCTTGGTTTTTCTTCTGTTCTTCCTCTTCCAAGCGTCGCCGCTCCTCCTCCTCTCGCAGCACACGCTCCGCCTCTTTCCGCCTCATTCGTTCTTCTTCCTCTTTCCTCATTCGCTCCTGCTCCTCCTCCTCCTTTCGCCGCTGCTCCTCTTCACGCTTCCGGGCTTCGGCCTCAGCAATCCGCTTGGCTTCTTCTTCTTCTTCGCGCCGTAGCCGCTCCTTCTCGATCTCCTCTTCTTCTCTGCGCCTCCGTTCGTCCTCCTTTCGTTTAGCCTCGCGCGCCCGTGCTTCGAGCTCGGCCTGCTTCCTCCTCTCGTCTTCATCTTTCTCCTTTTGGAGAGGAAATCGGGGCCCGGCAGCGTCGTTCGCAACGGAGCCGGCGTCGCCCATGTCGATATCCGGATCCTCAGACTTGACGTGGATGCTACCCTCGGAAGAAATTGACTTCCCAGATTCTCGACGGCCGTGATGGAGCAGCGTGTCTGCCTTCTTGAGCTTCGGCGTAAGTCGTCTATCTTTGTCGTCCTTCGTCTTTGGAGAAGGTCGAAGGCCTGTGGCTGAGTTCAGGGGCAGGTCACGCGGTGTGGTTGCATTGACAAGCCTATCGTCGGATTGACTCGACTTCGGCCGCTTCTCCTTGGCTTCGGCATCCAGACGTCTCCTTTTGGCGGGAAACTCGTTGCCATCCTTCTCAGCGGGCCCAAGGTGTGGAGGAGTCGCGCTGGACCTGTGCCGCTTGTTGGTGCTCTCGCCAGACACAGATAACCGGTCGCGGGATTCGTCCCTTTTCAAAGCCTTCGTCCTATCATGATATTTCTCTGTCTTTTGTATCTTCTCGAATTCCTCGGGGGGACTGGAAGGCTCCTTCATGGTAGAAGCGTTAGAAGTTAAGCTGGGGCGTCGCTGCTGCCTCTCCCGCTCACCCTTCAGCTCCCTACCAGACACCAACTTCCTCCTGGGTTTTACTGCTTCTCCCTCAGAAGACACAGCCGCAAAATCCGACTCGGCACGACGGACTTTGGCCGTAGGTCTCGCGGCCGGTGAAGGTTCGCGATCGGGCATGGCAATGGTGGGAACGCAATCCTCCTTCTTGGGCCGCCCAGGCCCTCGTTTTGGCGACGTCTGATCGTCGTGATGGTTGGCTAGCGAGGGGGCCCGCCGCTTCTCCTTGGGACTTGTTGGTTGTTTCGCAACGGTCAGCTTCTTGTGCTCTCTTGTCGGGCTTGTGGCTTTCCTCTTGTGTCCTTTGGTAGCGTCGTCCTTGGCCTCAACCTTGCGCCTGGGCTCGCGATCCTGTTCTCTCCTCGCGGGGGAGCGATTCTTAGGACCCTCCTTGTGCGTTTTCTTATACTCGTCATAAGCGTCCTTCAGCATGTGCTCCTCTTCCATCCAGTTCGGCCCCCGTCGTCTCTTTGCGATCTCGTAGTACGTTTCCCCCTTAAAACGTCGGGTAGGATCAAAGTCCGTCTGATCGAGCAAAAGTCTCACGACCTTGATATTTTCTTGGCCGATCGCTGCTAGCATCGGGGTCGAATACTCGCTGTTTGAGCTGGGGATTGGCGGGGGATCGGGATTGGCTTTGCCCAAGGCCAATAAGAGCTGCATGACAATGTCATGACCTCCACGGGCGGCTGCAACCATGGACTCCGGGTCGTCAAAGTTTTCCCTAACTTGCAGAATGCGCGTAACAGTCTCCTCGTCGCCACGGGCGGCTGCTGCACGTAGGGTCTTGTCGTCCATGGGCATATACAGAAGATGATTGCTGGTTTTCGTCGCACGCACAGTACCGGCTCTCCGACCACTCCCGGCGTGGATAGAGCCTGACGCGCCTGGTGATCTTCGAGGACTGTCGGGGCCGTGTGAAGATCGAGCATCCGCCAAGTCCGGATGATGCTCCTCAGAGGTGCGTCTCCGCTCGCCCATTTTCTGCTTGGCTTCCTGTAGGGCTGCCCTAATCTCATCCGCATTGTCGAGATCGTCATTCACCCTATCAATCGGCTCCTGCCCGTACGCATTGGCCTTGCGCGGGTTCACCCCGGCATCGAGGAGAATCTTGACGACGTCCAAATGACCGTTTTCGACGGCATCCAGCAGAGGGGTATCCTTGTCATTGTTGACGCAGTCGAGGTTGCAGCCGGCATCCACCAGCAGCCTTACAATATCGTCGTAGCCATTAAGTGCAGCGATCTGTAACGGCGTATTGCCGGCATAATCGGCGACATTGATGTCCTCGGGGCGTTCCTGGAGCCTGTGCTTCGCGATGTCGTACTCACCCTTGGCGCATGCTCTGGCAAGAAAGGTCTGGCCGTGCGCATCGAGGTGTTTCTTGTGTGGCGCCATCTTTGCGGGAGAGACGGTGGACTCGGCGGTGGCGGGGGTCGCCAACCCACGTAGTTTTGAACTACGCGGATGGGGGCTGCCGCTGGCTGACGACTCGTCGGACTGGTAATCAGTGGAGAGGGGTGCTGGTATCCGCTTCTTCTTCTGCCCAAGACCGCCGTTTGATAAGTTTGCGGGAAGCTGGGTAGAGATGCTGCGACGGTGGGCTCGGGAATGGGGGGAAATAGAGCGAGCCCGGGACGAGGGATTTGTCTCATGATGCGGTTTTGGAGGAGGAAGGTGGTGTTTTCGGGAAGCGTCAAGGCCGGATCCCGAGGTACGTTGACGGCGGATCCTGCGATTTTCTGCCTCGTCGTCCGAGTCAGGCCTCAGCGCTTTCCGCTTGTGAGGCACCACCTTGTCCAAAGGTTTGGCCTTGTCCTTGGATGCGGTGTTGGCTACATCCACAGGAGGAGTCTCGGAATCCGACTTGGAGTGGGCATTCGATGAGCGGCGGCGACGCTGGGGCTGAGGTGGAGATCCAGGCGCGGAGCTGAGACCGCTGGATCCGCCCTTGTTTTTCGTCTTGTCCAGTGACTTCTTCTTGTTTCCGAGGATGGACGCCGTGTTCTCACTCGATCCAGCTCCCGTGGCCGAGAGCGACCTGTCTGACTTTTCGGGGCGGTCGCCTCTGTCGCGGTTGTCAAGTTCACGCTCCTGCTTCAGATGAGAGTGCTTGCGGCTCAAAAAGGAAGGAGTGGCGTCCTCGGCGTCGCTTTTCTCGTGCTTGATAATCTTTCGCACTTTCGACGGCGAGTGGCCATCCTTGCCTGGAAGCACGATCGTTTCGGCATCAGAATTCCCGTCGGCGGCGCCATCTTCATCGCCAGGGCGCGCGCCGGACGCACTCGGCCTGCTGTCCTTGAGGGATGTCTCGGGTTTGACAGTGCTGGACGACTTGGTCGCGGTGGAGGGCCTGGTGTGATCGGAGTCGCTGCCCGGCCGCTTGGGAGAAGCAGCAGGCTTCTTGAAGGCGAGCTCGGCAGCATTCTGCGCATCCATGTCATTTAATTCAAGGGACAACCACCGTTTTGCACCATCCTGGTCGCTGTGAGCGCGATACTTTCAACAAAATGGAACGGGCGTGTGCGGCGATTGATCCGAGTCGAGAGAAAAAGATGCGCCAAACAAGCCGAATCGAGGTGTGGTGGAGGAAACGGAGACTTCCAGTTCCCTTTGGTGAATGGTGAGAGCCCGGCTCAGACAACCCGCACCAACCGGCGGCCCCGTGTCCACTGTCCAAAGCAAGCCAGCAACACGGAAAGACAGGGGCCAGGTGGGTAGGAAGCGGGCACGCACACCACAGGGCACAAAGGCTGAAACCAAAGAAACCGAGTCACGTGGGAAAAGTTAAGGTAGCCGAACCGAGAGGCTGCAGGGCGTGCCAATGATATACTGATGACACATGCAGGCGTTAGAAATGGCCCTGGATTGCTTAACAGTTAAACGAAGAATGTGTTGTGGAAAAGAATGCACCATTCAGAATGGTTTGTTTTGCGGTCGGGACAAGAGAAATCCGCTGGCCTGCAATTCCCAGATTCAAAGGCCTCCATGATCGCCACCGCAGCGATTGGTCGGCGAAAGGGGCGCATCTGCGCACTCCAATGACGAACAAGGACAAGGGAAGCTGCGGCCTGGACACCATGTCATGGATGCGACAGTCAGGCAGCACTGCTGCCTGCTCTCCAGCTCTCTCCACGGCCACGATGCGGAAAACAGAAGTCCACCTCGTAAAAACATGATGTCCACAGTCCAAGTTGTTTTTGGATGCAATACCAGGCCTGGACATGCATTCCGAGTTTCGATCCAAACACGCTGCTCCCTTCCAGGTTGCCTCAGGCTGCTCACGTTGCTTTGGTGCAATTTGTTTTTCTGGTCCCACTCTGACGCAGCCCCTCCTCAATTTCCCTGCCGCCCAGCTCCTCTGCCGCGTCTGGAGTCTCTGGACAGTAGCTGTGCAGTGGCCCAGCTCCCCACCAGCAAGTCGGACTGGTTTCAACCGAATGACAGGACATCGGCAGGATACCATCCCTCTTCTCAGATGGATCTCCCCCCGTCGTTGGAGGCCAGAAGGATAACTGCCCTTCCTCCGGCAGCATATTATATTGCAGACTTCATCACCGAGTACGAGGAACAGGCCATCCTGCACAAGGTAGCTCGAATTCGCACTACATCATTTAGTCAGCATCTAACCGAAACGCTGCCAAGGTCGAAACCGCACCCAAGGCAAGATGGAGACAACTCACACATCGACGTTTGCAGACTTGGCCCTCGGATGTTGTCAACGACACACTGCTCGATGCTCGGCCGCTGCCCGACTGGCTTGAAGACCCCGTTGTATCGCGTATCTTCTCGATTCCTCTCTCAGAAGGCGGAGCCAACATATTCGCCACTAGCCCTCACCAGCGGCCAAACCATGTGCTCATCAACGAATACCCTCCCAATACGGGCATTATGCCGCACAAGGATGGCGGCGCCTACCATCCCGTTGTGTGCACGGTGAGCCTCGGGTCGAGCTTGTGCCTCAACCTGTACAAGAGTAAGGAGGATGGTGCACTGGAACCCGAGCCGGTATGGAGAATTCTGCAAGAGCCTCGCAGTCTCTTGATTACCACTGCAGATCTTTATTCCGAGTATCTCCATGGCATTGAGCCGACTTCGACCGACGTAGACATCTCGGAGAAGACCATCGCGAACTGGACATTGCTGCGCTCGCCGTCACTCTATCACAACGGGATCAATGTGCGACAGACGCGCATCAGCCTCACATACCGCGATGTGCTCAAGGTCTCCAAGCTTGGGAGCAAGATTGGGCCCATGTTCAAGCGGCCGTGAGTGGGAACCAGGCGGTAGACCGGGACCGTCGGTCAGAAGACGAAGGGAATCATGTTCCACTTGCACGCGATCGGCCCGGTGCCGAATTTTTCGGCGTACCATTTGCGAGTTCCCGACGCCGTGACTCCGAGGTTGACCGCGACGAAAATTAAGGCGCACAACAACGTCCTGTTACACCACGCGCCGCGGGGAGCCGTGGCGACGGCCATGGAGAGGTAGATGAGGCACTCGCAGGTGTAGTGGGGGCAGATGTAGTGGCAAAACATCCCGTCCTCCGGCAATGAATACTTTTTCAGCCCTGCGAGATGCTTGTGACACTTGTACTGATTAATCCAGGCGAGGAGGAATACCGGAACTGCAACGGCCATCTTCAGGAGGGACTTTGCATCCTCTGTGTGACGGGCGGGGTCCAAAATGGCACCTGCGAGGCTGTCAGCAGATCTAGTCCCACAGCTCCTCGCGAGGTGAAGCCATACCTGATCCTTCCACCCAAACAGATACGCCCATGACGAGGTAGAAGAAGACGCCCAGTAGCCAATGGACAACCCACATGGTGGACCTGGATGGCTTGATGACAGTAACATGCTCGAATACGCGCCGGGTCGCTTGAAGGAACATCATCAGCCAGCCCAGTGCCACCTGGCTCGAGGTGCCGGATGTGTTTTGGGCGGCTGCCTGGCTGGTTGCGATGTACCGTAACACCACTCCATTGCCAAAGTACTGGGTAAGCCAGAAGATTGAGCACGCCAGGGACACGACATAGAAGGCGCTGAACCAGGAATGGGGCACCTGTGTCCAGGACGTAATTGTCGCAAGGAGGGAAACCAGCCTGGCCCCTTCAGAACCTCCTTGGGAAGGCTCACGCGACGGCGACTTCTGAGCATTGCGGGCGCCGTAATCCATAAGAAGGGCCTTCGCATCACGCGGCATGGCTGCCACGGCCAGCACGCCTCCAGCTGCGAAGAGGAAGAAGCCCTGGCACCATCGAGCCGGTGTGACGCCCGACAAGGTCGTGGCGATCTGCTTTAGAATTTCGTTCTGTCCCATGTCGTATTGGATAAGGTGCGCACGGAAAGCTCGTCGATAGTTGGTTGGGATGGGGGAAGTTGGGCAGTCGTGATATCCGTCGTCCTGACGCTTGAATCCCACTCGATGTCGGTGAGCTCCACGTGCGTTGTCACTTTAACGTTTTGGCCTCGGCTTCACCTTCTTCCGCACCGCTTGAGCTTGGCGATGGATTTCGACTTACTTTGCGATTGCCATCAATGCTTTACAGGATCACCGCATATGGCGTCGATGTTGCAATGCTGATGCGTCGCTCCGGGTTCGAACAAGCCCAAGCTGTCAGTGCTCGGGCCCCTCCGAATGGTACCTTTGGCTTTTTGCCCTAGTGCCATGTCCAAATCGTCAACACAGCATCACAGGGTTGACGGACTTCAATTGTATAAGACAGCAGAGCCGCACCATCATACAGTCAACCGTCCTCTTTCTCCTTCTACTTCTCATTCCTCCTTCTCTGGCTTGTCCATGGCATCGCTCCCACTGCATCGTCAGGGACAACAATCCCTCACTCCTTCTGCCGAACACCCCACGAAGCTCAGATCCGCCCAGAGACACTGAGCCGGCTAGTGCTAAGCGTACATGAGTTTGATTGCTGCTCCGTCCACCACCTCCCGCCGTTTTCCGGAGCGAATAGGGGGCAGAATGATTAGTCCAAAAAGGCGAGGACAATAGCCTTGGAAATGCCATCCTTCCCTGAAATTCGCGCCATATAGAAGCGCTGGATGCAGTGTAGGAAAATGCCAGGGGACGTCAATCTATATCAAGCAGCTGACAGGTGTGCTTTAGAGCAAGCGAGACAGACCCCGTAACAATGATCACGGTAAGCCAAAGGTGGTGTACTCCTTTCATCAGCTGGTCTTAAGGCGAGCAGCCTCGAAATGCGTGTCTTTGGCTAGGGAATCTTTGGTATACTACAGGACGGGGGATGGGCTTTTGTACACTCATTTCAGGTGAGCCTGAAGGCTCTCGAGGACCTGTCTTGTATTAGCGTTTGCGAAGAATCCCAGACTTGACGACACTCACCTCCAACTCAATCTTGGCCTCAGCAATATCCTGCTCGCTGCCACCACCATTCACCACCTTCTGAGCCTCGGCAATCTGGGCGCGGACAGCCTCCGGGCTGAAGTCCTCCAGGGGGTAACCTTCCACGGCGTTGATGCTCAGGGCCGACTTAGGCTGGACGACGGCAAAACCACCGGAAACTGCGGCACATAGTGTAAGCCACGAACTCCCACCTGCAACTCGGAGCTCCATCTCGAGACGTACGGAAGAATCGCTTGCTGCTGCCGCCCTCCTCGATGATCTCGACGACGCCGGGCTTGAGTTGCTCAATCGACGGGACGTGGTTGGCGAGGACACCCATCTCGCCCGACTCGGCGGGGATGTTGACCTGGACGGCGTCGTGGGACTTGTAAATGGACTAGATGCGGGAATAAACAATCAGCTCGGGGAACGGTCCGTTTCAGTCGTCAAAAGGTCGCTTTCGGGTCTCCTAGCGCGCGCTTTCATAGCCGCATCATCTTCTTGGAAGCTTGAAATACCCGGGGCACCGTACCTGGTGGGGGAGCGACAAGCTGAGCTTGATCTGTTTACGAAGTTAGAGCTAGTAGCAGCGCATCGGGCGGAGCGGGCATGCGAGAGACGTACCTTGTCCGAGACGGCCTCGGCATAGCCTCTGCGCTGGAGCGGGGGGCGCAGGGCAGCGGGACGTGCCCGAAGAGCCGCACGAGCAATGCGGAGAGAATTCATGGTGGTTTCGCTGTCTCAATTGCGTGCAAGGCGTCGGCGAGGCCACAGTCGTTCGTCGTCTTCTGCGCAGATTTGGCTGCGAGCCCAAATTCGCTTAGTCGGGATCGTCCGGAGAGCTTCTGCGGAAGAATGTTTGTGCGAATGATGTGCCAATATGGAGACCCGTTAAATCCATGCGTTCTGCTTGAGTCGTAACACTGTTATGTCTATATTTATTGCCATATCCATACACTAGTTCGGGGAAACAACGACAATGCATATCCAGCATTGGTGCATTTCCCTCATGAACGTCAGCATTTTGAAGTCCTTGTTGTACTCGATAGATTGGTAACGTAACGTCATGTTCATCTCCTCAGCCATATGCATTTATCTGCTCAACGAGTTCGCAGCAACTTTCCATGCGGGCGCTGTAAATGCTGCGCGACTCAGCGTCCAGCAAGTTTGATGATGGACGATAGACATAACTACCTTACCCTAGGTAGGCGAGGTTGGTCAGCCATGCTTGATCTGTCCCCATTAGAGGCATTTCTACAGTACCTGAGAGAACCTGCACGCAGTTCTCAAGGCTGTCTGCCCTCGCCGTCTGTTGCACAGTATTCACCCAAGTCAGCGATCCAATCTAGGTACAAAGAGTTCTCTATGCCACAGGACTGTTTTGCCATTGGCTAATGCGCCCAGGTCTGGGCGACTGCGACTTTGAGGCTTGTGCATCCCAAGGATCTGGATATCATCTTCCGCAGAAGAGCACAGTGGTTTCAGGATGTTGAACATCACCTGTACAACTGCCGGTCTCGGGCAACCTGGAAGAATGCCCCAGGCGAGCCAGGCTGCGGTTTCGGTGATGAGAGCTCGCATGGGTGCTGCGCCGTCGGTGCAATAAGTCATTGTTGAACCTCCAGTTGATACTTGGAAGCCACCAGATGGCTTGTCTCACGTGCGCTTCAAAGCATACTTATGCCGCCATGTTGATCAGCAGCTCCGGGTAGTCGGCCTGAACAAGAGACTGGCATGATCGCTGGTCCTGTAAGTATAGGTATTGAGATCGAGAAGCACCTGGAGGAGCACGAAGAAGAGGGAGTGTGGCTATGGGCCAATGGTTGAGCTCATCATAGGACAACCGGTTTCGTGAACAAACCTGCCATGCAGCTCAAGTTCTTCCCTGGTTCTCCCTGATCAGGTAGTAAGGCAATCTGGACGCAAATAATCTGCCAGTTCTGCACAGTGAGAGCTCTCTCTGATCCAGCATTCCGAGCTGAGAGACTGCTGACACATGTTTGTTCGAGGATCTCCTCTTATAAGGTACCCATCACCTCCATACTGAGCATATACAACCAACCCTAGCTCATTTGTCACCTTACCTAAGGTACCTAAGGTACCTAAGGTAGGCAGTGTGTGACTTACCTTACCCTATAAAGCAAACCTAGAGAGAATGTTAATAGCTGCTAGCTCTGTTTCCCTTTCTTATTGTGCTCTGTTTTCGTTTCCTTTCTTCCTTCTTCCCTTCCCTCCTCTTCTTAAATGATCTCTTAGCTTTTCCTTCCCCTTCTTTCTGGAACTTTCCCCTTCTCCCCTCACCTCTGCTTCATCACGACCTGGCCATGTGTGCGGTAACCAATCCATCAGGGCCGGACTGTACTTGTACTGGTCCCTCCGCTCACATGGCAACTCGGATCTCACAGAAAGCCAAGGCTTCCCGTGCTAGGTTCGCCAATGATCCATCTGTCAGCACCCAGGTATCAAGGTCGCATGTTCTCCCGGCTTGCCACTTGAAGAGTAGCGTCCTGCAGGCGAAACGCCGTTGGTGCCGACACCCCACGCTACAGGCGTGGTGTTGATGCGGGGTCGTTGGCTCTGTTCCATTCCCTTGACCTCAGGTTGCAAATGGCGGGGTCGGACCAGTCGAACACTGCCTTGATAGTGCCCTGGAGAGCGTCTTATTGGATTCGGCATGAGACGGTCCTTCGTTCATCAGAGAGAAAGCCTCTCACAAGCTGGGTCCTCTTGGAGGCGACTTGGCAGGCGGGCAGCGTGTTGTAGCAGCCCTTTAACACGCACCGAACAAGATGGCCTGCAGCCAGTCCCGACGAGAGACCATTACGAATGAGAAAACTTTCTCTTACACAGCAGGGCGGGCGTCAGCACCTTATGAGTGGAGCAACAGACAGCGGCTGCAGCTCTCCGAGTCCTGCAATAGAGACATTGCGACATTGGCCCATAATTGCCTCCGATATTAGCACCTTCAAACTGCCTAGTATCCCCAAAATCAATCGTCCAGCCTATTCAGTGGAAGCCAGCAATGCAGCGCTGGCGTAGTTTCGTCACTTGGACGGCCGCAACAAGCCGGCTCCAGCGTTGACAAACTCGGGAACGAGTGAGCCTCAGGGCCGAAGTTATGTCGGCTGGGAAACCCTTCGAGAATCTTGACAGTCTGAGTGCTGCGGGCCAGGTTCGTTGAACAAAGGTACGGAAGGTACTGTGGTAAGACACAATCCGCTGACTGCAAGCCACATGCACATCAGCCCGTAACGTGTGTGAACGGATATTGCCCGTTTTGTTGGCTAGCTGGAGATGGTAGAAGGCTCGATTCCATTGAGCCGGCGATTCCGCTGCCACAGAACTCTCTCATGCCTTGCTTGCGCAGTAACGCCTCGATTATCCATCGGTGTGACAAAGCGCTGAGATCAGCCAGGAGGCTCGATGGCTTTCATGGGATGATGGAACTCTCAGAGGCCAAGTAGAACGACAAAGCGAAACGAAAATACGAGCATAAAAAAACGGGACCATTAAAATGACCGAGGTCCCTTCGAAGAGTGATGCTGTTTAAACCCCTTCGGAAAGGAACCCAGCACCTAACCAAAATTGGCAGTGAATATCCTCATCGCACCTCTACATCAAGGGACCTGGGATGCAAGATACCGATATATCAAACAATACGCAATGCAAATACCCCGCGCAGGAGATAAGACGGCGCATTGAAAAATGCACTTGATCTTGAGTAACGTTATGGCCTTGGTTGAAAGAGACGCTGATGGTGGTTGATCGCAATATCTTGGTGCAGCCTGTAGGTGGGCTATTTCCGGAAGAGGCTAAAACGCCGATATTCTTCGAAGGTGCCTCAGTCATTTTAATGGCGCCATTGACAAAATACAAAAAATTCACAAAACTGGACCAGAAATGGATCTCCCCTCCTGTGCCGTCTTTGCCAGGCCTGCTCCACATCCTGCGATTCCGGCACAAACCCGAGCCTTTGACATTTGCACGGGCAGTGCGGGACTTGGACGCCAAGCCGGGACCCTGCGATGATCGCTGACACAAAGAGCCGGAGGATAGACAAGTTCAGGCATAAGATATGTTGCACAGAGTACACACATGGGTCAAGCCTGCGCTGAGTATTTGGTACTCATGATGTCTTTGCCAGTGCCTTCATAGATGACTAGAAGAGTGAGTTGCTGTGGCTGCGTTCTGGTGACCTAAAAGCACTAACACTCTTCTGACAAACCAAGCCCTGCTCATTGGGACCACCCACACAGACTCCCGCTCGCTGCGACTTCGCTGCCGCTTTTTGACCGCCATCCAAGGCACGCCGGCTCCGCTCGCCATCTCATCGCCAAGCGTTAGCGCCCTTGCTCCGTCCCTGGTTCCTCCTTTTCGGCGTGTGGCGCGAAGGTTGCACCCAAAGTGTTGCCCCGTCTCGCTCGAACCCTGCCCCTAAGGTTCTTCCTGCTCTTCACGACAAAGACACGGCCACGCCCAGCCCTGACTCCGCTGGCCCAAAAACCTGATATTTTGCCGCATTTCCTCCCACCAACATTGCGCAACTGCACCGCTTGTGTTTGTGCTCACCTTCAAACCGTCCGGTTCACCAAATACCCGAAATTCTCTCAATCCGACGTCATTCTACCACCACCACTGAGGCCGACCTTCCTCCGACCACCCGCGATAGTAACTGTTCGCGAGGTCGAACGGCCGAGGGCCTGCCTTGTGTCAAACCTAACACCAAACAACCTGGGCGTGCGACCTTGACACATACATTCACGATGGCTTTGCGCTTATAGCAATACGGTCCTTAGGGACACCATCTTGCACACTCTGGTGCAAGCATTGAGATAGAAGAACTGCAACCACGTTGCAGCCTTCGAGCACCGTCTTTTGCAGACAGACACCACACTACCGCGACAAACCATACAACACATTCGATCTCAAAACCAGCACCCTGTCAAGGGCGGCTTTTGCGTCCTGTCGGAAGGCAAAACATTGTGCTGACTGCCAGAGGCGTCCACCAGCCTGGGCATCGCCGAGTCAGCCCCACGGCTGTCTACTAAGATGGAGCACCACGCACCCCGCGACCATGCGACATCAAATGTGCTGGCATGGACCGCCGCACACTCGGCTAATGTGGAGCCTTCTGTGGAGGAGGACGCAGGCACCGACGCGGACGAGCCGCCGGACCGTCTGGGGCCCATTTCGCCCATTTCAAACCACTTTCACCGCACGCCCATCCGTCGGGGCAGTGAACAACACGAATCGCTCCTGACCAAAGCGCTGCAGAGCCAGTCAGACGAGGATACCAATGACTCAGAATCCCGGCGCCGGCCACGTCGGCGTCGGTCCATCATCAGCAATGCCAGCCTCGCTTCGACTGCCGATTTCACTTGCGGCACGGGTATCACGACACCCGCTCGCACAAGCTCGCCGAGCCCTCGATTGCCCAACGTCGGCTTCGTCCCTCCCGCTGTCGCGAACAAGGACCCGGCTGTGGGTGCATTGGAGAAGAAGCGTTGCATTTCCTTTGCCTGCGCAGCCAAGCCGAAACCGGATGAGAAGGCACCGATGCCCCTTCCCCCCAAGCAAAAACAAGACGGAGGGGGCGCCGGAGCACCGCCGAAAAAGACGAGCATCAAGTTCGCCTGTCCATCGCAACCTTCGAGGATTGCAGATGTACAGCAACTGGAAGCGCGACCGCGGACCCCGGTTTCGCGAGGGACGCCGAGTACTCCCAAGGGTGTGGCAAACCTCGACACTCCGCGGTCCTCGTCGACTGTCCGCGCGTTTCGCTCGCCGACATCCCGCAAGACTCCTGGCAGTCCCCAGGCTGTTCGAAACAAAAGGTGGCTAACTGCCGGATCTGGGGATCTGGCTAGTGAATGCGCACGGTTCCACGAATTCGCGAGCGACGAATTGCAGGAGGACGATTGGATACTGCGGGACCATGCCTCCTTGAAACCAAAGCTCACGATCGACGACACCCTCGAGAAAGAAAATGCTATTCGAAAGCTGGGCAAGGAAGCTGAAGAGGAGGCGGAACTTGAAGAGGAAGAGCTCGACGAAGAGGAGGACGACGAGGAAGTTGATGAGGCAGATCTGATTGATGAGGACGACGATGGTGATCCGGATGATGATGATGAATCTCGAGACACCGAGGAAAGTGAAGAATCTGAAGACGAAGTCGGCAATGACGAGGATGAGGACGGCACAAACGACGATGCCGACACTGAACACGCATGGGCATCCGAGCAATCCGAAGGATACAAGACGGACAATGAAGTTGGCTTTGCCGAGTCGGATGACGAAGACGACGATCTCGTGCTGTGGACCACCCGGATCGGTCGCTTCCACAGTCTGTCCGGTGCTGTATCGATGATGGCCCGGAGAAGGTCTCAGGACGACAACTCGGATTCCTCGGCATCATCCAAGAAGAGGTCGAGCCATTCCCGCAAGAAGAAGCGGTCAGGGACTCGTCCTGTTCCGTTCCGGTCCGACACGCCCGAGTTGCCTGACAGCACTGATTTTGTCTGTGGCACCCTCGACGAAGATAAGCCGCTGGAGGAGGCCTACATCACTTGCGTCGAGGCTCGAAGGCGGGATCGGCACCAGCTCATCCCTCAAGACATCGACCCTAGCTTCCCGACATCTGAGCCTGAAGACGAGGCTGAAGAGCTGTACAGGAAGGGATACGGTGACAGCGAGGAGCATGTTTGGCTGCATGGCGAGTTCGAGGACCTTCATCACGACCGCGACCGTCGGGGCCGCAAGAAGAAAGGAACCGTCCCATCACCGAAGAGATGCCGCTCCCCTCCTCCGAAGCGGCGCCTGTCACCTGCGCCCATGGCTCGTGGTGGTCGGTCTCCTAGGAAGCTTTACGAACAGCGGTCTCCACGACTTCGGTCCCCGGCGCCACTTCGCATAGCACCACAATTCCCAATTATCTCGCCGATACACGGAGCCGAGAACATCGCCTTCAAATCACTGGCCTCTGGACCTGGTCTGACGCAGACCAAGTCGTTGCCCAAGGCACCTGGCATGTTCCCTCATCTCAAGGTACGTAGGTCGAGAGCCGGAACCATCACGGAAGAGACGCATGTGCGCGGGGCCATCGACATTGTCAAGGGCCTCGAGAAGAAGCGGCAGCGGCGCAGAGAGAAGTACTACCAAAAGTACTGCAACCGCGCCCGCAAGGAGAAGGCGCAAACGAAGCGGCCGCCTCCCGGACAGGGCGCGGAGCGCATGAGGGAGCTGGGCCTGCTCATGGCCGGCAAGGCCGGGCACGGGAATTATGTACTTTCCATCTGAAACGGCAGGGCGGCTACTCTGATTGGCATTCACACTGCGGGTATACCCAGGGAACGCTTGCATTGGGGATATGGGACGGCATTCATGACTTTATGAGCCACGGCGAAACAAGGGTTTGATCGTCTGTTTTCGAAGACCATATTGGCGTTGTTTATGGAGATTTGGAACGATTGTTATTTGGTTGTAATCTTATGTTAGACACGAGGCCGCGCCGGCCTTTGATGGCGCAATAGAGCCAAGTGTAGACTTCTCTGTCTCTGTGCATCGGCGGGCAAGGGTTCCCGTCATTCCCTTGCCAGGGCAATGAAAAACCTTGTGGCAGGTGGAAGCGGCCAGATTCATACAGAAGACGAACGATCACAGCCTGGTATCTCAGGCAGTAAGAATTGGCCTTGCTGTGACCTGTCCGTCTGTGAGTCCGTGCATAGCCGGGATCCCTGTGCGGTGGCCAATGCGCCTTGCTGGCCAATTCCTGCCAGCTTCTGATGATTCGAGTATCGCTTGACATCGTCCTTCTGCAACCTTGGACTCTTCGGTCATCATCCGCCACATAACACGATCCTCCAGGGACGCTAGCTTGGCACTTTTTAGATTCTGTTGAAGGAACTCGCTCAGGTGCTACACTCGTCTCCATCAACTACAGTCTGCACAGGAGATCGCCCACCCATCACCAAATTCCAACACCATCATGTGGATCATTAACTGGTGTAAGTGCTCTCTCGTTAGCTCGCGACGTGCTTTCATGGCAACGGCGGCCCGGTTGTTGAAGTAGGCCGTTCAGAAGAATCTGCTGCTTGACGGCACTGGGCTTCGGATGCAACATGGTTTAACAAAGGGTATTTGCTGACGCTCACGCTTCCTAGTCTACGACGTTCTGGCCTCGCTTGGCCTGCTCAACAAGCACGCGAAACTGTTATTCCTCGGTCTTGACAATGCCGGAAAGACGACGCTGCTACACATGCTCAAGAACGACCGCGTTGCGATCCTGCAGCCGACCCTGCATCCTAGTGCGTTTTCCCCGGCATGCGTGCATACAGACGGGAAGGATAAGAAGAGAAGAATGGGCCCGCTAACTATTGTGGCATAGCCTCGGAGGAGTTATCGATCGGAAATGTGAGGTTCACAACATTTGATCTGGGCGGCCATCAGCAAGGTGTGTTTATTCCGTGGCCTTGCCCCTTCGCAGGTGCAAACAGAGAGTTAAGTCTAATCGCCGTTTTTCTAATATCTGTAGCCCGTCGCCTGTGGAAGGATTATTTTCCCGAAGTCAACGGCGTCGTGTTCTTGGTTGACGCCAAGGACCACGAGCGGTTCCCCGAGGCCAAGGCCGAGCTCGACGCCCTCCTGTCGATGGAGGAGCTGGCCAAGGTGCCCTTTGTCATTCTCGGCAACAAAATCGACCACCCGGATGCCGTGTCCGAGGACGAGCTCCGCCACCAGCTCGGCATGTACCAGACGACGGGCAAGGGCAAGGTGCCGCTCGAGGGCATCCGGCCCATCGAGGTGTTCATGTGCTCGGTGGTCATGAGGCAGGGCTATGGCGAAGCCATAAGATGGCTGTCCCAGTATGTGTAGAGCACTGCTGACTGGGGTTGGTGGCATTAATCAGAGTGTGATACTCGCGGAGGGCACAGCGGACGGGAGAGATGGAGTCGGCAGAACGGGTGCGAGTCTGTTTTGGGAAGCAAGAATAGAAAGACTTGCGGTCGATGCGTCTTCGCTGTCATGGGGCTCACTTGTAGGTCCATGGGCGCTGCTGGGAAATTTTTCCTACTACACCTAGTCTGAACTACGACACGATATGACTCGGCAACTATACCTCTTGTGTTGGTTGGGGACTCGGCTTGCGGGTTAGATCTCACCATAAGGCATGATGCTCGAGAGTGACTGAGCACCTGGTTTCAATTTTATTTTCTTATTCTTCCGGGAGTAATGCATAGCCCATGGTACCCTAAGGAGCAGATCACTGTTCAGCCTAGTACGAGCCTGAGATGCTGTGAGAAGGGAGATGCCGCGGCGCAGCATCAGCCATGCTGAGAGGCCCACTAAAAACAAGCTGCCAACCTGAGCCACTGCAGTGTTGGTTGCACTGAAGCCAGGCCGACCGACGTCATTCCGAACCACGGACAATAGCAAGTGACCTAGTTTTCTCCACTCTGAACCCGGCTACTTCTAGAACCCTTTTGAGCTTCGATCAAGTCGCCGTGAACATGCCACATGATATGCGATTTGGACCCGTTCCTCAGGTAAGGTCAGGTACTTGTACAAGACGCTTCGAATTACATACAACCCCTGCTGGGTCTGCCTTACTTGTAGGCCGCAGCTGTCAATCCGGACAACCACTGCGGTTACATTGCGACTGTCTTGACTTCAGATGCCTCTCGTGAAGAGCGCACTTTTTTGCGCGCCGTGATCGAAGCCGACCTCAACAGTTGGACTTCCTCCAGCAAGCTTCGACAGCAGGATGGCACATCCAAACAGTGACCCAGTCAGTTCGAAGGATGAAGATTCGCCCAAAGTTACCGTGCCTTCCCGTACCTATGGGTTTCCACCAGAAGCCTTCGACTGGACCCGCCTCCCAGACTTCAATACAGACTTTATCCCTCCAGAACATATCGAAGCCTTCATCCAGGCCCTGTCCGCACCGGACCCGATCCCACAAACCCCCGACGACACCAGCGCTTCCTCGTCCTTCCGCCTCAACAGCCCAGCGCTTCAAGGAGGCTCAGCCAGTTCCGACCTCGACATCACCAGGCGGGCCACGGCCTCGAGTCTGAATCTCCGCGACGAGGACCGCGGTTCAAGAGACACGGCCGCCGTCGCAGCAGCAGCAGCCGATTTAGCCGCCCCGGGGCCGGTCAGGTCGCCGACGAGCCAGCAACCGCTGAGCAGACAGCCCAGCACCAACAGCCTGTTCATCACAGCCCAGAACGACTGGGCGCCCGTCCACGAGAAGGTGATCCGCGACAAGGGCACCACGCCGTCCAAGAATAAAAAGAAAAAATACAAGGAGGCCCGCTCCAAAGACGAAACCCGCGAGGGGTATCTCTACAGCCTGCTGAAATGGCCCTTCCTCTCCTTCGTCCTCACGTGGATTCTGGGCCTGAGCGTTGCCTACCTCGCCACGCGCGCCTACATCTCGCTGTATGAGCAGTTCATCGCATGGCGCGGTCAAAGGGAGAAGCTGCGGCGGGCGATGCGGGCCACGAGCCGGTACCGGGACTGGATCGCTGCCGCGAGGAGCATGGACAATTTCTTTGGGAACGGGCGGTGGAAGGAGGAGGACGACTTCGCGTATTATGACAGCAAGACGGTCAGGCGCGTGCTCGAGGAGATGAGGAGGTGTCGGCGGCGGGCGGAGAAGGGAGAGGAGAGCGGGACCGAGGAGGGCAGGCTGGCGACGGAGGACCTCAAGGTCCTGATTGAGGCGTGCGTCAAGAATAACTTTGTGGGGGTTGAGAATCCGAGACTGTACAGCCAGACGTATTATGGAACGAAGAACCTGGTGCAGAATTTCATTGACGAGGGTGAGTTCCAGTGGAGGCAGTGGTTGACCCCTTTCAGAAGTGATGTTGACGTGATCGAGATTAACACGAGCGTAGTGGAACGGAGCGTCAAGTTCCTGATCGACACGAAACAACTGTCGAAGGAGGAGAAGCGCATCATGTTCAAGGGCATTTGCGCCAACTACGGCCGCACGGCGCTGTGTCTGTCAGGAGGGGCCACATTTGCCTACTATCACTTTGGCGTCGTCAAGGCACTGTTGGAGGAAGACTACCTTCCCGACATTATCACTGGCACCAGTGGCGGCGCCTTGGTGGCCGCTCTCGTTGCGACGCGCACCAATGATGAGCTCAAGCAGCTGCTCGTTCCGGCCCTCGCTCGCCGCATCACCGCCTGCCACGAGCCCATTACTGTCTGGTTCTACCGTTGGTGGAAGACGGGCGCCCGTTTCGACTCGGTCGATTGGGCCCGGCAATGCGCTTGGTTCACACGCGGCTCCATGACCTTTCGCGAAGCCTACGAACGCACAGGTCGCATTCTGAACGTCTCGTGCGTTCCTGCAGATCCCCACTCCCCGACCATCCTCTGCAATTACCTCACCAGCCCGGACTGCGTCATCTGGTCTGCCGTGCTGGCTTCGGCCGCCGTGCCGGGCATCCTCAACCCGGTCGTGCTGATGATGAAGACGCGCTCGGGCCAGCTCGTCCCCTACTCGTTCGGCCACAAGTGGAAGGATGGCTCGCTGCGCACCGACATACCCATTAAGGCGCTCAACCTCCACTTCAACGTCAACTTCACCATTGTCAGCCAGGTCAACCCGCACATCAACCTCTTCTTCTTCTCGTCGCGCGGCTCGGTCGGCCAGCCCGTCACCCACCGCCGCGGGCGCGGCTGGCGCGGGGGCTACCTGGGCTCGGCCACGGAGCAGTACATCAAGCTGGACCTGACCAAGTGGCTGCGCGTGCTGCGCCAGCTCGAGCTGCTGCCCCGCCCGCTCGGCCAGGACTGGTCCATGCTCTGGCTGCAGACGTTTGGCGGGACCGTAACCATCTGGCCCAAGAGCCAGCCGTCGGATTTCTTGAGGATTTTGAGCGACCCCGACCCGGCGAGGCTGGCGCGCATGATCCATGAAGGGCAGCAGAGCGCGTTTCCTAAGATGAAATTCATCGGGAACCGGTTGAGGGTGGAGAGGCTGGTGGAGAGGGGGCGGAGGGAGAGTAGGCTTGGTGGAGGCGGAGGGGGTGGGGGCGCTCCGGCGGTGTTGGGGACGATTGGAGGTGCTCATGCGAGGAGGGAGAGTATTGAGAGCATCTTGAGCGAGGATGATTTGAGGAGCTTGCTGAAGAAGAGGAAGAGGAGGGATGGCGCGGAGAGTGCTACGGGCACAGAGGAAGAGTCGACGGCTTCTGAGGGGGAGGGGGACGACTGCATGGTTATTGATGGCGGCGATGCCGAGCGGGAGCTCAGGGCTGCAAGGAGGAAGGAACCGAAGATCGCTACGCCGATGGGGTTGGCGGGCGCTGAAGGGCAGGATGAGTGATATCGAACTTGTGCCGGGTTGGGTTTGCTGAGGAATGTGTGCGGTTGGTTTTCCAAATGGTCTGAATCGTCTTGTCATTTGCTAGACCGGACTGGCTAGACGAACAGGACTGGCGCATGGTATGGCCAGTCGGGACATAAAGGGTGAGGTGTTATGCATGCATACATGTAACAAGATGTCTGATTATAGTTTGACACGAGTTAGCATGATACAAATGTAACTCTTCTGGCTGTACTGAGTATATAGAGAGTTATTTCAGCGAATCCAACGCTTGCAACTCACGGCACATACTCAAGACCCTCCCTGATTGGACACTGGCACGCCAGTCTCGGGGGCAAAAGAAGCAAAGGCTCACCGGCTACGGAACCCGCTCGGGAGGGCTTACTTCGTGAGGACGGCGGGGGTTGTCGTCGTTTCCGTTGCCCCGGGACTGGTTCAAACTGGCGAACTCAGAGAGCCTTCCGAACAGGATACAAGCCCCGGGGCATGGACCACCGCTGTAACCGTTAGGCCATTCAGCAGTGGTCGTTGAGGTCGGGGAACCGGGAGCTTCTACATATGCCACTATCACATCCCAACCTGACAATCCCACTTTCGTGCCCTCGCCGCAACGCCACAACCTACTCCTACCACCTCAACAACGACTGACCCCATTCCCAAGTCAAACCTATAGCAGCATACCAATCATCCCTGCCACCGGCCTCCAACTCACTGCACCCCGGGTGACGCCTCCCTTCCTATAAAATGTGGACCAGACCCCGCCAACTGCTCAGAATTGCCTCGGTGACACAGTTAGTCACGGACGCAGACTTGAAGCTGTCGCCGCTAGCTCAAGTGCAGCTGTAGTCCGAGTGATTGCCCGTTTCATTCCGAAGCTGAGTGATGGCGGCGGTCGAAGATGTGGTTGTTGATTACATGCGTACTGAGGCTGATGACGTTGTGTTTCCGTCGTCCAAAGCAAAGCCACAAGAGTTCCAGCGGCATTCTCCTTCGGTAGGACCCTTTGAAAGGAGATACTTCGTCCGTCGTCAGAAGACGGCACAGCGCTATGCTGCGGTGCCAAGACACCGCTGTGTCGACTTCCGTCACGGGATGGATCGGGGCCGTATCGGCGCGATATACGGACAATGGCTGGTTTAGCATCCGGTGGACGGTGTGGAGCGCAAGGAGGAAACAGCGGTCAAGAACACATGGACCTTTTGTCGTCTTCGCAAGACATTATTAACCGAACTTGCTGCATTTGGCATTTTGCTCCGACAAACAGCACAGTCGGTTGCCAATGAAACTTACTCGAATGGGTTGTCGTCAGAGTTGAAGCCGAGGGAATCCGGGATTGCGACGCTGCTCTCACACGGGCTCTGCCGGGTCTGCACGAAACGCCAGAAGGGACTTCATGCAGACCCTGACCAGCAGTTCCGTTGTTTCGTCGCCCAGCGCCTCCTGGACCCTGCTGTTGGCGGACAGCACGCTCCACCGCCGGAAACGGTCAGGACGGAAAAGCTGGGGTCGAAACAAACATTCTAAGCCGCTCACCCGGTCAACCAATCAATCGTGTGAACCCGCAAAGTGCAATTTTACCAGACCCACTTAAGAAATGAACGATGGCACCCGCACTTCCCTCTACTATCAGCATCGGGGGCTTGGGGATCCCTCAGCTCGTTGCCTCTGCCTCGTCAAACTTGACCATTGCGGTCATAACAGTGGAAGGCACCGGAGAATATGTAAAACGTCATGAACATTACTGGGGTTGGGGGGAGGGGAAAAAAAAAAAAGACGTTCATAATCCGTTCCATATATGAACGCCAAAAAAAAAATACAATTAGAAGATTAAGTACATAGAGGTATCATGCCGTTGAATCCCACTGCCATCCAGAAGACGAATCCAAAATCCAACCCTTCCATCAAGCAGACAAAACCCTAGGCTCAACTCGCCCTATGCACCCAAGAGACCGAAACTCTCAAGTTGAGTGAACTTAAGCCAGGAGGGCGAAGAGGCCGGCAGCAGCGGCGAGAACAGCCGAGGCACCGAAGGTGGCACCGCCGGCAGTGACGGGGCCGCTGGGGCTGGGAGCGGCGGAGCCGGTGGGCTTGCCGGAGGGGGTGCTCTTGGGACCCTCGCTCGAGCAGGGGACCGAAACGGTCTCGTAGATGATGGTGGGGATGACGGTGGTGATGGAGGTCTTGATGGTCTTGACCGAGGTAGTGGGGCAGGCAGGGGCGGCGGTGACCAGAGTCGAGCTCGGATAGGGCGGGAACGAGGAGCCAATGCCGGACGGGGCGCCGGTGGAGGACGGCTTGCCGGGCTTGGCAGTCGAGGTCGTCTCGGGCTCAACCGGGCAGACAGTGGTCGAGACGGCAATGGTCTCGGTGACCACGGTGGTGGAGTCAGCCGGGCAGTGGGTGACGGTGTCCGGGCAGTCCGTGATGGTCTTAGTGGTCGTCGAGTAGACGGTCGAGGTGGTCAGGGGGATGACCGACGACGTCTTGGTGGCCGGGCAGTCAGGGACCTCGGGGGGGCACGACGTGATGGTGTAGTACTCAGTCGAGTAAACAGTGCTCTCGGCCTCCTTGGTAGCAAGGGCAGCGCCGGCGAGGGCAACGGTGGCAAGGGCGAAACGCATTTTGGCGGCTGTTTGGGGATTTCGTAAAACGAAAAGGAGGTTTGTTTTGAAGGGTTTGGTAAAGATCGACTAAAGCTGGAAGCTTTGAAGCGTTATGAAAGAGTGGACGACCGAAGTCAAGGAGCTGGGCTTGGTTTGGCTGTGTGAGCTGAGGAGAGAAAGAGAAAAGGGGAGGCCAGCGTGAGGAGGGACATCCGGCTATCATTTAAATAGCCCAACATCTCCCACCGCTCCACGAAGAGCGGGAAATTGCCGTCAGAGTTGGCTGCCCAATTTGGAGGACGCTAATCCAGGGGCTCGGTGGAGGGCGACATTGGAGGAAACATTGGCGGCTCCGCAGTGGCTGCTGATCCCAAGGCGACTGGGAACAGCAGCGCTGTCGGTGTGTTTGCGGACCTGCATCCCATCCACACAGCACAGCACAGGGGCCCAATGGCTTGCATGTCCTCCTGCGTTTCCGGCTTCATCAATTGAGGAAGCGCTGAGGCCAATCGTTAATCAAACCAACGGGCTTCCATGCAACGGCCTCATATTGGTGAGCCTCAGCTCGTCCATTGATGGAGGGGATGTTCACTGGTTGCGGGGAGCCAATCTCCTCTCGATGTCGCATTTGCCACCCCTGAGCAACGACAGGGCCGAAAAGGAGACAGCTGGTGAGCCCTGATTTTGGTGTAACTCAATTTGGCAGGCCGGCGGAAAGGCAAGTGAATTGCTGTAGTTATGGTGTTGCGACTGCCCACGTGCAAGCTGCCAGCCTGGTCGATCTGTTTGTTGCTTCTGTTGCCCCATCTTCCATGTCGTATCGCAGCCTGCTGCGTCGCCGCCGTGGTCTCTCTTGCGACACAGGGAGGAGCTCGACGCGAGCTTCAGCCACACGTCTAGTAGCACTCTTCTGTCGAGAAAGCTGTCAGCTGCTGCAACGGTGTACACATCCTGGACTCTGGATACCCTTGGTGAGTTGGCTGGCAGCCATTTTACGGAGGGATTGATTTGCGCGCAGCGCTAATGCAGGTACCATTCACAGCCGGTTTTCCTCATTCGACGGCGGCCCTCCATCTCGCCCAAAGCAGGGCCGCAAGCGAGATAAGCTTCTTTACATATCACAACAAGGAGGAAAGCTGGGTTGCGCCGTGCTCGGCGGCTGTTGTCCCTGATGAAAGTGCCTACTGTGTAGTTACAGTAATTTGATCGAATCTCTGGAAGGCGCTGGGAGTCGGAACGACCAGCAATGTTTCCGGATCAGAAACGAAATCAGGCGCGCTGGCAGAATCATGAACTTGGCAGAAGGTCGGCTTGGAAAAGGGTTGACGAGGTTCCTGTGTGATGAGTAGTCCCGCCTTCCATGTTGATGCGTGCCTGTCCATCCGGCATTGATGAGAAGAACGCTACTCCCTGCACATCGTTTCTGCGTCCAAAATGTCCTCTCTGGATGATATCTGTAACATCCAGTCAGGCATAATTTGGAAATGACCTTGGCTTCTAATGGCTTGCCCCTGGACCATCGAAATCTCTCATCCATTTGGTTCATCAACCGATCCAACGCGCCCCTGGTCCCTACCCCGCAAAAAGTGCGGAAAACACAACCTCGTGCTCCACAAGCCCCCGACTCAGCCAAGGTGCCAGTTGCTGTGTGTATATGACCGACTGTCGCACCCACCTCCCGACTCATGCTTCGAAACCTGCACAGAAAACCTGCATCTTCCCGAGACCCGTTCGAGACGCTTTTTTGTTTATCGATGTTCCATTACTCCGTACCTCTCCTTGAGCGATGCCCGCAGGAAAATTCAGCCTACCAACAAACAACAAGGCCAGGCCTGACCCAGACATCCGGTTCAACAGCACAATTCTCCGGCTTCGACGAACAATTCCGTTGACGTGTCAACGTTAATGCAACTACCTCTCCGTATTTCTTCCGAAGTGGAGTTGTTTCAAGACCCCGATCCGCTCGGTCCGGCCGGGCGATTGGCGTAATGACGTCGAGTCATTCACCAGGCACGCTGCCTCGGCATCTCATCTACGGTTTTTGTCGGGCGGTCACCCGGGTCCGTCGTTGTGGTGGTTCGTCGGAGAGTTGCTTGTGTTTGCGATCACACCAATCCCCTGCAGCGCAGGTTTACTTTTACTGTCCTCAATTGTCATCAAGTGATGCCGATTACTTTACTTCATTCTTTTCCTGCCTTTTCCTTCTCTTCTCACGTTGATGCTCTTCTTCGTATCGGAATGCAGTCATGGGAATATCAAACAGCCAGGGAACGGGAACGGCCCCGGGTATTCGTACCAGCTTGCGGGACACTGCCGCTTTGGTTGAAGCAACATCAACTCGGGCCAGCTGGTAGCCCAGAAGCAGACATGACGTTTTCCAAAGGGCATGCTGTTTGCTCCGTATCTTGACGCGGCCTATCCAGTGCAATCGAACCCGACGCCATTTCCGGTCCTTCCTGCAGATGAGAGTGGCGCGATAGGACTCGATACAACAGCCCGACACGGAAAAGGGTAGTCACACTCCCATAACGTAGTTGTTGTGGTGTATCCTGAGCAGAAACTGCTCTTGTTTGGGCAAAAGCACCCGCGTTGCATTCGGGACCTGACTTGTTCGCCGATTTACGATGAATCTTCCGGACGAGGCGGGTGCATTGCGAGAAAGTGACCTGAAATTGTCGAAGGCGATATTCACAGATAGGTATGTATGTTCGAGGCACTTCGGTGGGCTGACAGCTCGCCGACCTGACTTCCTGGGACCGGCCACTCACCGGCGTTATCTCAACGGGAATACGGGAGGATTGTGGGGCACCTGCGACACAGCCATGGCCACGCGAGGCGGTCGGCCGCTCAGGCTGTGGCTAACGGGAGGTTTGACAGCCAAATTTAACTCTTGTCAAGCAGGACTGCATCGCCGTTCCTTGACAATTCGACACTTGCGGGTTGGTTTGCATCTTCGACCGGCAACAATTGACCAAGACGCTCGTCTGGAGTGAGGTTCTTGGCATGTTGCAAGGCGTCCTGGTTTAGGACTCGCAAACCAGCACCCTTCGGCCAGATTCGACGGCCAACAAACCAGCGACGTAGGCTGATGACACGTCCCAGGCGGCCCGTCTGCTTCAGTTGTTGCTCATAACCGGCAACTTGTGTTGCCCCAATTCCATTGGCCGGGCAAGGGAGGATTGCGGCGGTATGGCCCGTGCTTCCCCCGTCCAGGACTGAGGACGTGACCGTTGCAGCGGTCCTCGCCTGTGGATCAAAGGTGGGGGAGGGTCCTGTAAGGCGGCTGCCGAGCCTTCTGCGCAGTAAATGCGCAGCCGTCACCAACAGCCTAGCCCACCCTATCCGAACCACACCATCAAAAGTTGGCCAAGATGGCGTCGGCCGCCCGTCCTCAGAAGGGCAATAGCCAAGTCTGCATTGGGCCGTCTGCGTTCGCGCATATGTGCATTACCGCGCCCTACGAGCTTCCGCATCATGCACATTTCCAGACACGGCGTGGAAGAGGATGGTTCTTGTACTGTGTAAGACAGTCGACAATCTGTCTTCAGCTTTCTGGCTCGTTACAGACCCACGTCTCTTCCCAGTTACCGGCCCTTCAGGCGTGCAGCTTGCGCGAGGCTGAGGCCGCTCCTTCGTCACTTCCCCCACAGCCAGCACGGCACCCCGTGTATAAGAGGAAGATCCGCCGCTGCCTAGCCGGCATCTTGAGGCCTATAGCAGTCCAGAGTTTGTTGCTCACACACCCACGCACAAACCACAGAGAGAGAACCTCGGCCATGTCTCCGGTCCTATAATATCCTCGAGTCCTGCTTCCCCAGGTTCACAAACGCGGAATGGCACTGGCTGCCTGGGGCACTCGAAGTGGCCGCGCACCACTCACCCTCCTCCTACCTCGCCGCACAACCCGTCCCCGGCCCCACCCTTCATCGGATTCACCCTCTCCGCGCTCGGTGACGCGATCGTCTTCTTCCCGCTTGAATTCGGCGGCGTGAGATCCCCGGATGCGGTGAGCTGCTCCCTCCTCAGGCTCTCTTAAAACACACCTCGACTCATCGTATGCCTCATCTAGTGTGTCTCCTTTTCATCCTCCACGCGCTGGCTTCCTTGAGTGTTCACCTCACCAAGAACCTTCATGGCTTCCCGAGCCGACCCGGCTGCTGGTCATGCAGCCATGCATGCCTGCCCTCAGTGCTCTAAGAAGTTCTCCCGGCTCTGTGACTTGAACAAGCATTCAAAGTCTCATACTCGCCCTTACAAGTGCAACGACTCGAGCTGCAAGTACCATACGCTCGGCTGGCCGACTGCGAAAGAGCTGGAGCGACATTACAATGACAAACACTCCACCACGCCACGCACCTTTCCCTGCTCCTTCCCGCCGTGCACCTACTGGTCCAAGCGAGAATCCAACTGCAAGCAGCACATGGAGAAGGCCCATGGCTGGAAATATGTCAAAAGCAAATCGAAAGACAAGCGACACGCCGCACGGGAGAAACCCGCCGACAGCGATCCCGGCCCAGGGGATTGCGGCATGGCTTCTAAGATGGACCATGGCACTTCGGTGCCCTCGTCCTCTCCTCCCTCCATAGTGACGTCCGGCATGGATTTTGTCCTCTTTGACAATAACCAGGCCGACGCCTTCGGGGATGACGATAACCACCTCTACCCCGGTTACGGTGATGCCCCTGACTCACAATCCTATCTGCCTTGGTCGTCACCCACGACTCGGCTGCGGAAAAACGAACAGATCATTGAGACCTTCAGCCAAACTTACGAAGGCCTCCAAGAGAAACCAAGCATGGCCAGAGGCACAATCGACACTGAAGGCGACTCGATCTCTTCCAACTTCGCACTCTACGACATCCGACACCATCAGCAGGTCGATTGCCATGATCAGAATCTCGGTGAAACTGCGATCAAGGTCGAATCACCGGCCATTACTGTCGATGACGTCTCCCCAGCGAAGAGGAAGTACGAGCTCGTTGACGCACATCCAACTGACGCGGCGCTTACATTCTCGACACCCAGCGTTGGCCAGCAGCATGACCGCAGAGGCAGAGCGTGTCGGGGACCATTGATTAGGTCATGTGCAGGCTCTAAATACGGAGACGGCGGCGGCGAAGGCGGCTGTCAGCCAAGGAAAAGGCCAAAGCTCAACCCTGTCGAGAGCTTCACAGACACGAGCATGCCTGACATCTTCCGCTATGCCCACCCCGATATATAGTGAGTTTTTGATGTCAGCGCCCTCAGCTCAAGCAATTGCTGATGTCTTCTGTTGAATCAGCGACAGGAGCCGAACCGAGAAGTACGCGCCATGCCACACTGCTCATCGAGAGATCTCAACACTAGTGTGAGGTTTCCCTGTTCACGATCATCTCCCCTCGATGCTGATCATGGTACGTAGTCGGCATCTCAGCAGACCTGCCCACCGCCTCAAGGTCACAGAGCGAGCCATATCCTCCTTTGATATCCTCGACCCGGCCTTCAGGCACCCGAGGGTAGGCGTCTGCCGGTCTTGCTGGGAGACCTTTCGAGACCGATTAGCTTTCGATCACCACGTGTCTCGTCCTTGTCAAAAGGTCTCGAAAGGGAAGCAAGAGAAATGGCGCGTCCTGTTCAACAGCTTTACTCCGCTACACGGTTCAACAGTCCCCGACGTTTCAAGCGACTCCGGCCAGCAGATCGATGAACAATTGCAAGTTTTTTCTGGTCACCTGGATTGTTCGCCGGCTTGCAATCGGAGCGTTAGCTCCGATGAGGCCGGCACCCCTCCGACATCTGTTCCATCTGCCGCCGTCCTCCAAATTGCAGGCTCTGCGTCGCCGGGTACCAAAAACGTGCAATCCATATCTGCGTACGAGCATGAGAAGCTGCAGAGGGAACATCAAGCCTTACGCGAAAGACACCAGCAGCTTGAGCGGATGACACAGGCGCTTTTGATTCAACGGCTTATCCAGGAGAGCACGAATCACACAGCGGTGCCCGGGTCTGACGTCAAGCCGCCAGTACCGAGCTCATCCAAGAACAACCGTCTTCGCAGCTCGCCCCCAACGTCAGATCGCGACAGCCTCGTCCAGCACATGAATTCACTGTCCACCGATGTCGATGTCTACGGCTTCATGCAGGAGATGGAGGATACCCGCCAGACCCTGTCTAGAATTAACTCTGGCTTGAGCACGGCGTCTCGCTCAACTATCCACCATGTCCCGCCGAGTCCACCCTCCCAGCCTGCCGAGCTGTCAGGTCTTAAAGGCGGCGGCTTTGAGAATCATCAGGCCAAACACTCCCCTTCCCATCGGGCGCCCCTCCCATCAATTCCCGATTCAGGCTACGGCACTGAACAGCGGCGCGGCAGTCTGGGCGATCTTCCCGTAGGCGCAGGACAGTCAGCTCCGGCAAAGCCACCGATACCGCCGTCGACTGCCGAGGCGGCCGAAGGGGTTAGAAAGGCGGTCAGCGACGACGAAGCCAGCACGCCTTTACATCACAGTCAGCTTGGGTTACTGACTGACCATGAAGCATACTATGATGACGCCTCTTACAATCTATTTTATCAAGACAACATGCAACACTCGCGCTCTCCGCCGGACGGGTTTTCGTTTGAGTTTTCCTCGCACGTAGAATAGCAGCGGCGCGTTTGGCTAGAGGGATCGGAGTTTATTTCTTGGGTCACAATGTGTGTGTTCTCATTCTATTGAAAGGAATGGTTCTCTGTAAGCCAGATGTGTGACGAAGTCCGGAATATGTAACATGCTATGGTACGAGAGACTTGGACAGTTCTTCTACATCTTGATGGCACTGGTCTTTCTAAGTCAACGAGCATGACGGAACGATAAATGAATTGGAGGGGGGTATGAGCAACGGATGTTGTGGACCGACACGCTGGTCGTGTACGGGATTCAGCAACAATAAATGCCAATGTCATGATCAGTTCCCATTTTGAGATGGCTTGAAAGAAGGTCGAGGGGTCTGCGACAAATTTCGTCGCCTAAAGCTTCATGGCAAACGGTGAGTTAAAGATTCTACGGTACAACTACAAATGCTTCTAAGTCAACTACTCCGGTTCAACCAGGCACCCGCTTGCTCACCTTCAGTTCCTCCGAGCTACCTGCCTCATACCATCCATCAGTGAGTTACTAGCCCCCTACGCCCTGGGTTCAGAATTGGTGACTTATTGTTGGCCGGGCAGTCATTGACTTGACAGCACGCAGCATCCCTTCAAACGCGATGCCCTACGCTGAACGCGGCAAGTCTATATATCATACCGTCTTGCTTTGAAATGAACCCAGAAGAATATCACGCCCTCCCTCGCACTCAAATAGCCATCACGATATCCCCAAACTTGAAATCTCGTACACACCTTTGTTCTGGCTTCTGTCCAAGGCACCCCTCTCCATGCAAATTAGTTGCATGACCCGTACCCCCTTTGACAGCCCAAGATCGTCAAGCACGAGATGGCGTTGGAGCTGCACTTGCCCGCCGGGCTGCAGCAGGTCCCAAACGTGCTGCCGGAGCAAGTCTGCTGAACCTCTGGACCACAGAGCCCGTCATCGCTGATGGCGAGGCCCGTCTGCGTCGGCTTGGCTGAAGACGTTGCTTGAAATAACGAGAAGTAGAAGTTAGCTTACTTACACAGCTTACCAAGGCAGACACAGCCGGGGTGGGACGCATCACTTACATGTTACGACGGCAGTGGACCTGGTAACAACCACGGTAGACTTTGTCGAGACCGCCGTCCTCGACGAAACGGTAGTAACAGTCGACCTGGACGCAATACCAGTAGATCTCGTGGATACGGTCGTCCGCGATGAGACTGCAGTAGTGCTGGCAGTCGACCTGGTGACAATGGCGGTAGACCTCGTAGGGACCGCCGTCCTTGAGGAAGCAGCAGAAGTACCCCCCCCATCGCAGCTGCCCCAGGCCAGCTGGCAGCCGTTGTCAAGCGAGCAGTACTCGTCGCCGACGCCGCAGTACCCAAACACGGAGCAGCAGGATCCCCAACGGGTGCCGGCGCACGTCACGCCGTTGCCGCAGGTGCCGTCGGTGCTGGCGCCCGTCTGCGTCGGGGCCACGGACAGAGTGCTCCTTGTCAGGATACGGGACGTGGTTGTCGTTGCCGTGGCTGTGGCCGATGGCACGGCCGAGCCACTGCCGCTTGGCCCAGTGCGGTACCAGTTGGAGACGGGATCGCCCAGACACTCGCCCACCGTCACGGCTTGGTAGCCCGCGGAGAAGAGCGAGGTGAGGATGTAGTCGGTCAGATTGTAGACGACCTGGTAGTGGATGTCGTGCTCGATTTGCAGGAAGCTGTCGCTTGCTGGGTCGGAGCCGTCGATGGCGTCGTCCCAGATGTCCTTGCTGGTCTGGATCTGCTTTGCGTTGTCGTGGAGATAGCCCTCCGTGTCCAGGTCGAAGTAGATAACGTGGTAGCCGAGTGTTGACAGGATGTTCTGGCAGTTCTTCTCGCAGATGGAATAGGGAGGTCGCATGTAGGTGGGGAAGAAACCGAGAATGGAGTTGATGGCGATCTCGTTCCAGACCATCTGGTTCGTAAACTGTGTGTTGGTCAACTGGCTCGCGTTCTGATGAGACCAGGTGTGGCTGCCAATCTGATGGCCTTCGGCATGCATTCTCTAACGCCTCGTTTAGCATGTCGTCCCGCGCAGCCGTAGCAAGGTGCCCGTACTCGGATGATGGCAGGGTAGATGGTTGAGGGATCATTGATCTTCCCCTTGCCGAGATTGGTTCCTGTGATGAAAAAGGTGGCTTTTGCGCCGTAGCTCTGTTCTTAGATTAGCCAGCCTGTCAATTTAGGTGAGCGCACGACCTCAGACCTTCAGCTTGTCAAGGAGGTCGTTAGTGTAGATATATGGACCATCATCAAAGGTCAGAGCAATGTCTCCTGGCTTAACGCAGTCGTAGATACCGGTCCCTCCATAAAGGACGCTCCCAAGCTTGGGACGGGCGACACCAGAGGTATCTGCACCACTGGGTTTTTGGTTCTAGAAGACATTGTTAGCGGGATATTGTAGATTGTCTGCTGGCATTGCTTACGGCGTCACATCCAGGGCCATAGTTTATCTGGCAGTCAGGAGCGGTGCAGTAGTCTATGCCTGTCCCACACCAACTATCATGGAGGTCAGCTTGACTCGGAGAACACCAAAGATATTAGCATGTCGTACCCTTCAGCGGAGCAGCAGTCGCCGGCCAGGCAGCTTCCGATACCCGGCCCACACCGGCCTTCCTCGTCGTCCTGGCGACGCCCTAGCTGTCTCCCATGCCTGGCCGGCATATGCTGCGCTCTGGCGGCAGCTTGGGCATGGACTGAGCTTGCTCTCCTCCGAGCCTCCAGTTCCGACAGGAACTTTCTGGCTCCTAGCAGCTTCGGGGTATGTTGGCCACGATCGTCATCAGCGAATGCGAAGCCTAGCGAGAGGGCTAGAAGAGTGGATGACAACTTCATGGTGACAAAGGTTTATGTATATTGTACATGTGAAAACCAATGGTGTGTGAACCTGACGGCAAAGAGCGTCCGAGACTGACGACTTGGTCTTTCTGGAAAGATAAGCCAAGTGATTCGTGATGTGATCGAGGCAGATAAACGAAGGACTACCAACGAATCCAAGAAAGGTAGAAGAAGCTCTGTAGCAGCTCTGGTGCTTTAAGTGAACGTTAGGGGGGGGGGGGG